CCAGCAGACCGGAAGCTCTGTTCTCCACGCCTTACGATCGTATGTGATGCCGACTAGAAAAGAATATATCCGGTCTATTCATTTACTACGTTATGACACTCCATGCTTGGCCTACTAGGCTTCGTCTTCGGTGGATGCATCTAGTACTAACTCATGTAATTTCCAGGTTAGCTTGGTCAGTGAGTGCGTATCTATACCTTGCCTAGAATGTTCGTCAGGGCTGTATTCCTCTTGCAGCATCTAAATTTAAGATCTTACTTTAACTTGAACCAGCATGCTCTAACTCTGTGGCATTTCATATATCCGCGGCATATGGTCTCTGTAGATGAGAATTTACCATCTCCAATGTTTCTACCCATTTCGCCTGCTTTGGACAAGTAAGTTCGTTCAATAACTTTGGTCACACTTTGCAATTGTTTCTCCACTCAGTTTATACTAGATCATACAGTTTTAATCTGCCCCTCTGTTATGATGGATGCTTCGTGGAACTGCCAGAGGCCCTGTCGTATCAATATTGACTCGTCAGCATTATACCTTCGCAGGAAATGATGAGAATGGACTTTCCAGTCGAGTCAGACATAATTAGATACCTTGCTATCATCCCTTCCCTGCATAACAGAAAGTCTTGGACACTATAGAGCGATTTCACCGGACCCTTGTTTTCGGAGGTCGCCTAGGATTCGTGCCGATAATGCGACTTGAATCTTAAGACTATGATGTTTTTGGATTACTATCATATTGTCGACTATACCGAGGGCCTTTTCATTAATATTAATTATAGTCTCAATTAAATCACCTTCCGGCTTGCGAAAATGAAGATATGCGCCTATATCGTATAAATCAACAGATAGACAGAGCCTCCGTAGCGTATTGCGTTTTATTAAGGTGCCTTTATGCTAAGGGTGTGCTCAGTGAGCAGATCAGTGAGCTTACATGATGCTCACTGATCAGGTCAGGGCGTGGTCAGTTCTACTAGGTCAGTAAGCAAAAACGGCGAGGGGTTGAGCACTAAAACGGAAAAGCAAAGCCACGATCTAGCATAGGAAATCCGGTACGTAGGTAGTAATAAGATGGAGGTTTTGAACGTGGTGTCCAGGACGTCCCAAAACACTAGATGACGTTTCTGTAGTCACAGAGGGTGTACATGCCTATCTGGATCCCATCTTGGCACGTTTCCATAAGGTCGATATATATCCACAGGATTGAGAAAATCATTGCGTCCCCGGCAAAACGTGGACGCCGTCAGGGACGAACTTCATACATGTAATTACTCCGTATAGTATAGAGGCATTGACGGGATAGGGGTACAAGCTAGCGTCAGACTGGTTAAAGAGGCTGCTTATAGACCGACGAGTATGTGCGTCTAGAAATATCATAGCGACCTACCGCGATGTTCTGAAATTTGGAGGTATCTGTGGTAGCTTTGAGATTCGGTAACTGTTAAGTCAGCGCTTTTCTATGTCTGATAATTATTTTCTCTAAAGCGTATTGAAAATGAATTCCTGTACTCAAAGCTTAATGAGAATTGAACGCAGAGCATAATTGGATCAAAGCTGAACACGATTTTAAAGATCCTTGAAGCACATATGGTAAGTGCTAGAACCGGAGCTCGACAGGTGTTTGAACTCGCACTCGAGCTACAATCTATCGATCGCATCACGAATGAGCCTAATGCGGACTGCCAAGATTTGCAACTTCGAGGATCGCTTTTGCAAAATACCTCAGACTTTTCCACTGGGATATTTTCACCGCAACCTTTCACAATGTGATGCACTCTCGGCTCTGCAAAATATTTAGCTGTAGAGCTTCTATTCGTAGCCGGAAACACGACAGCTTGATCAGGATGTGACCAGCTTATTCGTGAGCTCTGTGTAGCTAGGATCTCCTAGGGCATAGAGCAAAGGATTGCGATAAAAATTAGTCGCAATATCTACATAGTCGGGGTAGTGGAAGGCCAAGCTTGCAGCATCTAGTTGCGCTTCGGTATAAGTCCAGTTTAGACTGTTCTTCGACCAGAGTACTTCTGCCTAGCCTTTTGTGTCGCTGGCGAGTGAGCTGTACCCCGGGGGTGTGAGGAATACGTAGTAATACTATTTGACTAGGTAAGAGCTTAGGGAGGCAATATTCCAGGCTGTTGCTCGATTTTCAATAAGGTAGGAGTTTGCGGCGACTATTCCTGAGTATCTCTCTGGCCATAGGGCCGCTGCAATATTGACGACAACAGTGTTCTAGTTATAACCTGCAAAGATAGCCTTCTCAATATCGAGAACGTCCATCAAGTCGATGATGTCTTTGCCCAGGGCAGCTTGTTCTGCGCTACGCGGTGTCGTCGTTGACAGGAAAGTCGTATTGCCAAATCCTCGAAGAGACGGACAATAACGCGATCGCCTTCTTTCACGAGCTTTGGGACAACATCGACATAGGTGTTAATGGAATAAGGGAATCCATGGGCAAGTATGGCGACGGGGGATTTGGAATCCTTAGGCGCAGAATCATAGTACTTAATAGAAAGCTTTGGTGGTTTCGTATAGTTGACAGGGCGTAGAGTAGGCAGAGCCACACCCCGCTCCGTTGCTGTTGTCGGTATAGTTGCAGCAGTGGCTGTAAGAGAGGAAGTAAGTGAACTTAGGAAGAAGAAGCCCCTGAATATGTAAACTGTTCGTATTGTGAAATGTAGTAGTTTGCTTTACAATGGAAGAACGTCTGTCTAATATTCTCTCTTAGCACCCGTAGCGAGCTGTATATATTTATACACAGGGACTGCAAGTGAGTTTTCGTTGCCTAAACGATCGGGCTACCTATTTAGGTATTGTTGTGGACGCCCCCCCCCCGTTAGCCCGCCCTACCACCTCGCCTCTTAGGCTAGTGCTTATTCTACAAAAAATTATGACGCCTTAGCCCTGCAAACTGACCTGCAAGGCCTGCTCTTCATCTAACATCTTACATCTTTTGAAATCCCCGAAAGTTGAGCCGGTGACACTATTCCTGTCCAAGCCACGCTTACTAGGATCTGCAAATACCTAAGTCAGACAAGCCAATTATCGATAGCGGCGATCAGATATATGTAAATTGCTTGGCTGCCTAAATCGAAGGCTTAGCAAAATTGTATCGTAGCTAGTGGGCAAGAGTTTAGGTAAAGCATTCCGCACTTTACCGGGTCTATTACTACCGTAAGGCTCTATAAGTTTAACACAGAACACGACAAAACTTGAGAGGCATGTTCTTGGTTGCGTTTGAATTGTCACGTCCAAGGATTATGCCTAACGATCACGAAAGATGATTGGAGTCACATCGAGAAGGAGTCTAATAAAAGGAACTATGAAGTGTATCTTATTAGACTCTATAAGCTGATTCCTTGATAAAGATCAAATTGCGGTTTTACGCATGGGCACTAGCACCTCTACGGCTTGACTATGAGAATATGGCCACAAGATTAGCTTAATAAGATCTAACGTAGCAAGTTATTGTAGACTTAGGTCAAATGGTAGTTTTCCTGCCGATTTCCTTTCTTATCAGTTCTCAGGCTCGTTCGCTTAGAGGACTGTGTATTTAAAATTTAGCCTCGTTTGCGCACGCAGCGTGGTTCTGAGCCCAGGATGCTACTGCCGTAGGCCCAGTCGGTTAGTCGGGTATGCAGATGTCAAAAATACGGGGGATAGCAGTTACTGTTGTTGGCTTGACAGCAATTTAGTCTTGGAGGTATACAACTGACTGCGGTGTTGGTACTTCAATTCGGACATAAGGCATAGGAGCTCACGTTTTCAGATCATGTCTGGTCGACAGCCATTGTGTTGGGATTAGACGAGGATACCGAAGTTGAAGAAGACAGTGAGATGTGAAATATTGGACTTAAGTGGCTAAAAGTACTACCGTTACACCTTTGTCTTTGACAAATTAAAGGCACAGCTACTTTGTTTATGGAAATTTACTATCTAGATGCGGGATTCTTCTGCAGGGGACCGAGCCGACATTCACAATGAGAGGCCGTGCCGAAACTACAGTCAACAACTCGCAGATAGAATTCCTCCGTCATCATTTGACGAGAAACTGCAGTCTCTTCTCGGTTATGCGGCATGCGCTCTGGCCTGCAACTCCATGAAGTTGCCCGACGAGCCCGATGATGTCACGATCACGGCCAGGTTGTAAAAAATATCTCTTCTACGCTTTGTCTTACCCGCCTCTCTGTCAATTTGCCCTCGCCTTTTCTTTGCTTACGGAGCTCATCACCCAGTCCCACCAACATCTGCAGTTCGGCCACAACTTCATATCTTCAGACATCTCACAATGTCAAGCACAGGAACGTTTCTGTTATAGCTATTTTGATCATCGTTCGCCTTATTTCAAACCCGAATTAACACGAGCATATGCCTTGCTATCGCCTAGTATCTGCCGCCAACAGGGAACAAAGGATGGGACTACGCGCGCGGAGGCAATGGGCAGAAAATAATTCTTAACATATCCGTGTAGTCAAATAATCAGTATACAAGCATCATCTTTCGAACTTACTTGCTTCGGTCTGCACAACGACTCCTGCCATAATCGGAAAGTATGAAAGGGTAACGTACAGAGGCCAAGCGTGGGTGGCGTAGGGTATGATTAGTACCAAGCGGGGTGCGCGAATTATTCACGTCCTAGGTAGATTGAGAGCAAAATAGGACTTGACTAACTGCAGAGAAATACAATAGAAATTGGTAAATTTAGCCCGCCGCTCGTTTTGATCACCTTTGTATTCAGATGACCTTGTGCCCCATGATACCTAGATGACCGCTGACGATCGCCAGGGCTAATCGCGGGTGGAAGAGCGTTCTGTTGGCTCAATTTCCATAGGTCAATCCCGAAATTCGAGATATTCCCTCACAATTTAATGGGGAATAAATCCCCGGTATCCTCCAAAACAAATGCGGATGCCTATACCACATATTTAAAAACCCTCTGCTGGTCCATGATTCTGGCTAGAAATTCTAAATCTACCCAAGAAGCGCAACTGATCGGCTGACGTTATGTACGATTCGACCCAGCTTAAAGACGTACTTCTTGCCAGGGATATCTGGGCTACAAAGCACTACGCGATCGCCATGGGTGGAATCATTGGTTGCTTCGTTGTGTGCCACTGGTTGAATATAACATACTTCAAATATGGCCAAAGAAAATCAGGCCCAATCGTTCAAAGTATCTGGCAGTTTCAAAGGTAAGTTTTGAAGAGATTTGTTTAACTAAAAGATATATTAATACAAATCCAGAATGGCACAGCGATTTCTCAACAATGTAATTCTCAGCACACGCTTATACAAATTTTTGATCTACCTTCTCTACTGGACTATTAACTGCATTCTGCTGCTGACAAATCTCACTTGGGAAATTCTTATTGTCGGTATCCTCTCTCAATATGCAAGGAGATACGGTTTGCTGACGTCGAATAGATTGGCAAGCGCTTCGGCTGGTATGAACTAGGATGCGACTGACACGTTAGATTATACTCACAAGTTAACTAGGATAACCGTGGCAAACCTGACACTTGTTGTGTTTCTTTCCCTGAGGAACACACCTCTAGCTCCACTGTCAGGAAATTCCTATGAGAAGGTACGCCCGCTTCACAAGGTCGCCGGCTACACAACCATCTTCTCCGCCCTCATCCATGGTCTTATATCCGTGATAGCATATCATGAACACGGCCACATAGACAAGTTCAAACATCCCGAGAACGTTGCTGGTTTAATTGCCGGCTTCTGTTTGCTGATAATGGGGATATCATCCATGCGATGGTTTGTTCGTCGAAACTATGAAGGTCAATACTCCTAACTACCGTAGGTGCGCTTCAAACTATAAGCTGATGAATCTCTACAGCTTTCTACATGATTCACGTTGGCTTTTTTATGCTAGTTATTATTGCTCTAGGCCTGCACCGCACCGACTTTGCAGAGAGCACAATCAAGATCAACATCTTCATTGCATGCTTATGGTTTACAGACCGGCTTTTCCGCCTTGCCAAAACATGCTGGAACTTCGTCGGTAATTATGCGATTCTCACTCCGATGGCCGATGGGGCCGTAAGAGTCAAACTTCGGCGTTCACTTGCATGTCACCCTGGGTCGCACGCCTTCCTATGGATTCCGTCTATCCGTTTGCTAGAGACCCATCCTTTTACACTTATCTCGAATAGCCCAAGTGAATTTCTAATTCGCGAATACGACGGTTTTACCAGTTCTCTTTTCAAGGCTGCACGGGAAAATCCTGGCAAAGCCTGGCGTTGCTCCGTTGATGGGGGCTACGGGCAGGTCCCGGACTTTAAGAGATTTGACCGGGTTGTCTTAGTTGCTGGTGGTAGTGGTGCTACCTTCACCTTCTCTATCGCAAGCAGTATTGTAAGAGAACGGAAAGCTCGGGGTACTACTGTGCAGATTGATTTCATTTGGGTTGTGAGGTATGCTGGTTAGTTTACTGCAAAAAACTCGCTCGTTACTCACAAGTCATGCTCATCGTGGACTAGATTGCTTGAACTGGTTTGCTGAAGAGCTCAAAGAACTCCGAGAGACCCCCTTTGTCAATTTAATAATTTATGTCACCCGCAATAATGTCATTTCAGAGGACGCCTCAATTCCAGAGATGATTGAGGCCAATGGCTCTGAGAATATCGCATCGTCAGTGATTGGCGACATCGAAAAGGGACAAAAGGAAAATGATAAGGAAGCTTTCCCTGCCCCTGAATTCAGGAAGGGCCGTCCGGATATTCCGTACCTACTCACCGAATGTCTGTCTCGCTGCTCAATAGAAGATCGTGTCGGCGTTGGTGCTTGTGGCCCATCTGATCTTCTGGATTATGTCCGTGAGGGCGTCTCTCGCAAGGCGTATGATCATGGGCCGTCGATTGCATTCCACTATGAGGTGAATCCTTCGTCGTCCAGTCAACATTCTGTTCGGCTCTTTACTGACTCCAGATTAGGACTTCCGTTGGTAAAATGGAAGTTTACGAATCGAGATCAAAACATACCACTAGGATCTTTCAGAGTGTGTGGATTAGTACTGAGAGCGGAGGTCCACGCGACGGTTACCGGAACAGCCAAAAGTTTATAGAATTAGGGTAGACAACAAGTAAAACTGAAGACGTTAGGCGTTGTCCTGTGTGATATAAACATATATCAGTCCACATAGAATTGGGGACAACATGACATCCTTCTCTATCCAAGAAATCAGCATAGAGTGAAGTGAGATACTAATGAACATCGTATTTGATTCGCGCTCACTCATACTGACTGAAACTGTCTATGAATCAACCAATCAATCATCCGGCAGGTGTGAAGGGGCTAAAGTAAGACTTGATTCAATCTAACTAGGCCAACATGCTGTTTTCGACAATCTTGAGAATCAAAAAGGAAAAGAATTAGTCCCGTCTCTTATGTGCCACGGTTCTGTCTCTGACGAATCGTGTAAAATCCTGTCTGCCTATCACGACGTTGTACGGCCATAGGACATGGTTACACTGCCGGGCTTTGGCCCGTTACAGCAGGTTCCCAGGAGCAATCTCTTCTAAGAATTGTAATCCGTGGAGATTGGGGTTTGACCAGGGATGCGTTCCGATCCGTGTGCTCAATGTAGAAAGAAGATGCCCAGAGTAAGACTTGCGGTCTTCCAGTATGTTCATGTGATATCTCTTATTCTTATACTAGCTCCTCTATGGGCCGTGGAAATCAGTAGGCAGGGGTTCCCAGGAGCACACAGATGATTCAATAGGTTGATCTACCATTATGCTTCACCGAGGAGCAATCACTTCAAAAAATGAAACATCATGTTGTTGATGCCAATGTATTTGGATGGGACAGTGGGGCGAATCTGGAGACAAAGAGCTTCACGTGGATGGGGCTAGCGTATTGCGTTTTATTGGGGTGTCCTTATGCTCAGGGTGTGCTCAGTGAGCAAGTCAGAGCGCCCAGGGAGCAGATCAGTGCGAGCTTAAATAATGCTCACTGATCAGGTCTGGGCGCTCAGAGGCGTGTCGGTTCTACTCAGTGAGCAAAAGCGGCATGGGGCTGAGCACTAAAACGGAAAAGGAAAACCAAGAATTGGCATAGGAAATCCGGTACTTAGGGGTATGTCCGCTGACCTTGAAGCACAATGCAAAGTTTATATTCGAAATAGCAATGAACATACTTCATTGACTACCCAAAGTTTAAAACCGCGCTTCGTTGACAGCCCTATATTCTTGCTTAATCCCTGCCCACTGCGCCGACCTCTGCTGACTCCAGCCGAGGAGTGCCCTGTCTGGTGTCAAGAAAAAAGAAGCGGGGCAAACCGGAAATTTCTAAGAATTAAGGGCAAGGCCAAAGGTTCTTACCAGTCATTTGAACTGAAATTCTAGTCCGATTGGACAGCTTGATATGGCTAACATTCTTGATGATGAACTGGATATGTGCGGCGCGTCGCTGGTATGTTGTCCAACATTGAAACCTGGAGAGGGCATATATACCTACTCTCAGTAATTTGTAATAGCTTTTTGGAACTGGAAAAGAAGAAGCAGCAACCATACTCGACCAATTCCAACCGAAACCACCCACGACACATTCAAAATGCGATCTACCGACGACGACTCCGAGAAAGACCTCATCACCAACTCTCCCCCCTTGAACAATCTCTACCCAACAGCAGAAACAAAATCAAATTCGACCGCGGCCATGCTTCGCGTATCCTTATGGGTATCCTTCGCAGCATGGATTGCCAACTTCGACAACGGCTACACAGGCACCATCCTGATCATGCCATCATATCGAAAAGCATTTGGGACTTGTTACGAGCTCATCGATCCAACAACTGCCCAAATAACAGAACTATGCTCAATAACACCACTCCAACAATCCATGATCAGCCTGAACTACATGTTCATCGGAATTGGAGGAGGTCTATCAGCCTTGACGGGCAGATACACCGGCCGCCGTGGTGCGATCCAAATCGGATGTGCCCTTGCTATCGTTGGCGCAGCTGGAATGTTAGGAACTGGCAATGGTACTCCGAAGACCTTCTTACACTACATGGTGTGCAAATGCATTAGTGCTATTGGTATTGGGCAGCTTATCTCTGCTTCCCTAGCCTATGGCTCCGAGTGTATCGTTGCCAGCAAGCGCGGTCTCGCACTGGGACTATACAACGTCGGCCTGGCACTTGGCAACCTTGCCTCGTCTGCCGTGTGTGCAGGATCTGCACGTCTCGAGCCAGATAATAACTGGCAATGGAAAACGCCCATACTTGCACAAATCCCCCTGGGAATCATTCTCGGCGCGGGCATTTTGATGTTCCCCGAGTCGCCACGATGGATTCTCAACAACAATGAAAACAGGGAAGAAGAGGCCCGCAGAGCATTCAGTATCTTATATCGCATTCCCGCCGATTCCTTAGCGATTACCGCTCAAATCGAGGATGTCAAGGCACATATCAAGGCTGACCGTGTCAATGCCGCTGCATCCTCTTGGTATGAAATTTACACGAAACCCCATTTCCGGCGGACGTGGACGTCGGCGTTAATTATGATCGGTCTCTCGATTACTGGTATTCAATTTGTTCAACCCTATGCGACGACCTTCCTCAAGGGCGTGGGTATCAGCGATCCCTATCTTATCAATGTGATCATCGGTCTCTGCATTCTCGGTGGATCAGGTCTTGGTCCCTTCCTGGTGGAATACCGAGGACGACGGTTTACTATTCTCTCCGGGTATAGCGCCATGGCTGTTTCTATGTTGATTCTATCTTCGGTCAGCACTGCACTTGGAGGAGTTGGCGCCTCGAAGATCGTCGTTGTCGTCTTGCTTTGCTTATGGTCCTTCGTCTTTGGTGGAACTATTGCACCGAGTGCAGGCCTTGCCTCTGTAGAAATGCACAGTGTGAGGCTTCGAACGTACGGACAGGCGCACACGACTGTTCTTTACGGCATCTTTTCTTTTGGTGCAACTTTCTGGACTCCATATATGCTGGATGCAGACCATGGTGATATGGGTCCTAACGTGGGATACTTCTACGCGGCTGTGACTGTAGTCATTGGAGTCTTGGTTTGGTTCTTGGTGCCGGAGACTGCTGGTTTGACTCTAGAGCAGATCGATGATGTCTTCGACTCGGGCATTCGGCCCTGGAAGACTTCCATGACAGCAAATAGAGCCATTGTCCGGGCCAAGGCTCAACAATTAGAGATGCAGTAGCCATGGCCATGATAAGGGGAAGCATTAATTAACAATGTCAATGTGATCAAGTTTTGCTATACATACGATTCTCATTCGAGAAAACCTACAACAGATACGAGGGGACCAAAACACATGGTGTGGACAATGAATGGATCTATATACGCTAGTTTGACAGTCGCTCAACATATAAACACCCAGATCGAGCGGATCAGAAAAAAGAAGGGCAAAATTGCACACTAAACGCTCAGACGCTGCCCGGTGGAATAGCAAATGAACATGCAAGGACTTGTTTTCAGGGGAGACTGTACAAAGTAGAACCCGCACAGTAGGTAGAAAAAAAAGAAAAGACCGCTTGCAAAACCACGCAAGGAAATGTTGGCGAAAAGAAACGGCAAGTGTCAGCCGTGATGGACAAAGTAGTTGGGACTCATGTACATGAAGAAAGCTTGGTGGTGCCCTTGAATGGTATCAAGTGCGGGGTTTGAATGAATGACTGTCGATAAGTATTGAGGTGAATGAGAGTGGTGGGAGTCATCAATAGCCAGAGCGCTAGACTTTGCTGCGAATTTCTCCTTGGAAGGAACCAGAAGGATAGACAAAATGAGATAATATGTTCGATAGAGAGTGGTGATTGCGGTCGGGAGGCGTGTAGTATGCGGAGGGGTAGAGATGAGAAATAATTTGGGTAAGAAAGGGTACATTTGATAAGATGGCGAAGAGCTTATAGCTCGCTTCGGACGGGCTCTCAAGCGGGCATTCGCTCAGCCTTGCGGTTGCTCATCATCTGCTCAAGAATGTCAAGCCGCTGACGTGTCGTCCGGATAGCGTGATCCATCTCCCGATCAGAGACCTGCTCTTCACGAAGCCGTGCCATGAGATCACGCTCGTCCGCAGGGCTGACGCGTGTGCTTCGGTGGCTAGCATGGGCCTGGGGTGCGCGATGATGAAGTACTGGGAACGCCATTCCATCCATGCCCACTCGATCCTCCAGCCAGTTCCAAAGTTCACTCTCCTCACGTCGCCACATTTCTTCATATGCAGCGAGCCGTTGAGGAAGGTTGAGTCCGGTGAAGCCAACATCGTGGCCGAGTCTGGAAGTGGATGGGCTTCGGAAGAATGCCAAGTAGAGCAAGAGTCCCACAAACAGGAAAGCAATGTTTCCGCTCCATAGCGGTTTAAGAATGTCGGTCACTGGTTCGAGTAAACCACGAATTGGCTCAAGCAGACCCCAAGACTCGGTCTTGCTCGAGGGAGTATCCACGGCCGCCTTCGAAGAGGTACCCGAGGCATCATCGTTGGATGCAGCATCACCCTTCTTACGACGACCTTTGCCCTTACCAGCACCATTGGTGCGACCGCGAGGGACGACACCGACCTTAAGAGCCTTCACAAGCTCAGTGCCGAAGGTGGTTTGACCGTCGATCGCGCCCTTCTCAATGGGCCCCTTCAGCCAGCTCTTGCCAGTCCACTCGATGTTACAGGTCATCAGGAAGCGTGTTTGGTTACTGGCAGCCCAGGTGAAAAGGTACTTGGTTTTCGTGGCGAAAACATTGCCGCTAGGCACGTCCGGCGTTTGAGTGCTTAGGGTGACGAGCACGGCCTTCTCCAAATCCAAGAAGTCCAGGTTCTCAGTGCTGATGCACTTAGTCTGCTTAGGACCAATAGAGCCGGAGAGGGGTTTGATGTAGGAGTACTTCCTAATCCGGCTTTCATTGGTAAGGCCCTTCGCAGTGCCTTCAAACTGCAGTTCACCCGATTTTTGATTTTCCACAAGGAATTTTGTGATAAATTCTCCAGATGCTGGACCAAAGACAAGAGAGTAAACTTTGCCGAGGGGCGCAGGAATAATCTCATCCTTGATGACCTTTTCGTATTGCCCATCGGTCTCAGTGTACTCTGTGGGAGCGTGCGTGGTCGGGCCAGGGAAGTCAGCTTCTTTAGAGGCACCTGCCTTGTCACCATTCTTCGCCTCGCCATTGCCATTCGCTCCAGCTGCTGGCGCTGCCGCGTTGGCTAGTAGACCCGAGGTTTGTCGGCTCAATCCGGCCCGCCCTGGTAGCGACCTCTCACTTGCATTGGCACTGGCTCCAGCTTCAAAGAAGCTGTCAGCATTGTCGCCTTCTTCGTCCTCATCGTAGATCTCATCCTCGTCGGAGTCCTCGTTCTCCGAGTCATCGCACTCTCCCACCTTCTCAGTCTTGTCACCGGTACCATTGGTGACCCGAGTTCCATTGACCGAGCTCTTGAGAGATGGATGATTGATCTTCCAGATGTTAACCATAAGGTCATAGGTCGACTCACGACTTAGCAAACTTCGGAAAGTGTGGCGAGCATGCAGAGTCTGAATAGCAATTGCGTTGGGGAAGACCATAGCTGTGTTCTCTTTTTCAATAGCTACAACCTCATCGAAGCTGATGACAAGAGTTGTGACCCATCCGAGAATGTTGCTTGAGAAACAAATGTGGCCTTCAGATATGTAGATGCGACCGGCAAGAATAATCTCACGTTGTAATGCGCAGCTGTAGTCTTCAATCAAATAATCATCCTCAGGAACACTCCGGAACAACTGATGAAAGTCTCTATTCCGCTTCTTGCTGGCAACAGCAAAGCCCGTTAACCGAGGGACACTGGCGTTAACACCAGGGGCGCCAAGGGCCAGAGTGCTAGCACCAATGGCGCCAATTGTTGAAGCTGTCGCTCCGGAAGAGCCTCGGTGACGGCGCGCAAGTCGACTTCGTACACTGCCACTTCTCTTGATACCGCCGCTGCCAATATCCCCGTCAAGAATACTGCCACTCGGAGGGGTTTGATCACCAGTTATTGTACCCTCCTTGGGCAAAGACACTGTAGATTGGAGATCCAGGACATCGTCACTAGGAGCACTGATTCTAGCGGATTCGAGCTTTTCGTAGGCCATGTTGACAGCTCGGGCGGCCTGTTGATCTTCAAGCTTCGCTGCCTCTTCATCCCGCTGATACACAGCCGTATTTTTACGCTTTCCTACTGGTGTTGCTGGCTTCGAGACGTCGCCAGAGGAAATCACTTCACCAGGTGCGGCATCGAGACCCAGATGGCTGAAGTTCAAGTCTCCAGTGCCAAGAGTCTCTACAGTAGATGGTTTCTGCTCCTCGCCTTTCTTGGCTGCGTCTGAAGCTTGAGGAGTCTCCTCTACCTGGGAGTCATCAACGCCCGTAGTAGGGGTCTGGGAGATCGTACGGCTCTTTTGTTGAGAGGAATTGAGGCTGTTAGTGAACGAGTTTGCCGCATTCTGGGCCGCGGAAAAAACGGTTGAGAAAAAGCCGCTTTGCTGACTCGATCCAGGCTTTGGCGTCTTGCTTTCCTCCAAAGGGCTCAACGCAGTCACGGATGTAGACAGCTTACTGGGGACGTGAGCCGCGGAGGCAGATCGTACCCTCCGGTGTGAGATCATGTTACCAGAGGGGCTCACGGTAATACCAGCTTCTACTCCCGACATCGAATTCCGGGACGTGATAGATTCGGGTGAATCTGTTACAACATCCGACATGATTTGAGGATTGAGCGGGCGATACTCCGTGGGCGTTGGAGGAGTAACCGTGGTTGCGGGCGCCGGGATCGCAGTATGCGGAGGGGTGTTTGGTAACGGGCTCGCCTCCAATGATTTTTTCGGGGGCTTATCCTCTGTCAGATCTGTGCGAATAGGGACAGGCAAGGGCGGGGGCGCCTCCGGTGTTGCCTGTGCTCGTTTCGCAGATAGACTGCTCCGTCGACTGCTAAACAAGCTTCGCCCGCTTCGGCTGCCAGTCGACTTGGTTGAGGCATCATCGTTCCCGTTGGCATTCTTCTTATCCGACGAGCCAAACGCATCCTTGAGCCGTCGACCAGGTGAAGTACTGCGGCGCTTGCTACCCGTATCTGCCGGAACGTCCAGCGTCATGCTCGACCGGGTTTCTGGCCTCGAAAGGTTATCAAGAGGCTCGCTTGGAGCGAACTCGGACACCGTCGCACTCGGGCCACTGGCCGCAGATTCGGGGTCTGCTTGATCTGCTTCTGTATCCCTAGCGTCGACCGAGGTCGTTTCAATGAGAGGAGAGGAGGAGGTATAAAAACCCGTATGGGAGTTGTGAGAGGTGAGCGGCGGTGTTCTAATGCGGAGAAGAAGGAGTTAGTCTCAGATCCATGAGAACCTATGATCAAGACGCAGTTCGCATACCCCTCCGGCTCTGAATCATCAGTCAAGAGATTGATGACCTCGCCTTCCGGCGTGACCGAGCTAGCATTGGATGACAGGACACCGGAATTGCTGTTGCGAGATTCGTTGGACCGGCTCTGCTGTAGGTCTTGTTCCGTGACTACCCCGGGCACCGGAGGCGCATCGGAAACTATCTCGCTATTGTTGTTTTTCTTTTTCCTTCGTCGGCGCGAGCTGATGAGCTTGGAGAAACCGCTGGAGCCTGCCTTTGCGGAGTTCGGAGCTTCACCTCCTTGAGTTTTCGGTCGCTCATTGGAATCGATCGAAGAGCGACCATTGCTTCGGCCGGAACTGTCCATTGCTTCGGACTCTGTTGATACCGTCCAGGCCCGGCGCGACCTGCTGCCACTGCCTTTCAGGCTGGAAGATTCGGAGTCTGCCATGTGGAAGGCACGGTGTATCTAGCCCTGAGCGGGCACTGTCGAGTGAATGGGGAGTCGCGAGACAGATCACCGCATGAGGTTGAGGTGAGCAGGCAGCGAGATCCCCAGGGAATAATCGTCTAGTAACGAGAGAGGAGCATAAGGAGCGTGAAGAACATTTGAAGTGAAGGACCGACTAAGATCCCCTGGTGCGGGTTCCGGGCAACGAGGGGAGGAGCAGCTCCGGCTGGACTTCCGCGCCGTAAGCCACTTAGTCAGGTGGCATCAGGTGTCGTCAGGTGTCAGATACCGAGGTGTTACGCCCGTACCAAATATACAGCAGCCTAATACATCATCTTTGACACGATTAAGAATTATAATACAGATTCATACTTTGCGTATCTGACTCTGGGTTCCTTGAATCAAAGCTAGTACGTAGCAACAAGCTCGTCATTTAGTTCCATGTGTTTGACGGATGGCTTATGGTCTCCACCGTCCAGAATGCGGATGTGACGCCTGTGGTCGGCCGATGCTGCGTTCAGCAGCCAACATGGCCATTGTGGTACATGGATACTACCTTAGATCTAGATTAAACAGGATATCTGATCAATCTGATCAAAAATTAGCTGCAAAGGGAATATGACAGGTTCCGTGGCAGAAGCTACCCCCGTTGTAACTAGGAGATCCCAGTATATGTGGACACTGGACAGTACTTCTACTTGCGTATTCTAAATACGCTTACTTTACCATGGTTCCTTCGTATTTCGTACTTCAACTTTCTCCGCATCAACTTCTCCCAGTTCCTCCATCACGTCACTATTTCCTTCTTTCCCTCCCCCACCTCTGCATTTGCCCAGCCCTAAATCAAGGAATACCATATGCCTCCGTAGCCCATGCCTATGCACCCCTAATAACTCTCCCACCATGGAGGTTGCACCGCTGACCTTGGTAAGATCGGGTGGACCCCACTCTTTCACTTCCCACCTGCTGGTGTCGGCCTCTGACAAGATCTAGGCCCACACCCACGCACGCAACGCCGTCCTCGAAACTCGCAAGTCCAACCCCGTTGCTGCTAGCGAGGAACATGATCTGGCCGCCGGTGAGTTTGCGACCGCCGCCCAGAGCACTTCCGATCAAGAGGTATGTCGAGGACACCCTGCTCCCGCAAATCGATCGGTTACTGACCTTATCGGCCCAAGGCCCTCCGTACCTTGCGGCTCCTCGAGCATCACCACAAGAAGCTAGCCGAGATATTAAGATTCCAGCATGAGCACCCTAATAGTGCAGCTGTTGGAGCAGCGTCCGCTGCTTCCCCTAGCAACACAACGGCCCAGCCTTCTGTAACCGATGCGCGGGCCGTCAAGGTTGCAAGCCAAGATGCCCAAGGCCAACCTCCGAGACTGCCAGGCAATCCTCGCTTGCCAAGTCGCGAGTCTTCCTCCATCGCTAGTAATCTGGCGTCTGCGAGAGGTATACCTGCTCATCCTCGCCGTGGGTCGCCAGTGTCACCGACCCTTTCCACGCAGCAAGCCGGAGCAAAGATGATCGACGGGCCATCAAAAATCAGAACAGGAGAGTCAAGAACGCGAGACGCCTCAGCAAAGAATCAGAACAGTCGCACAACTAGACAGCCCTGGTCTCCGCCGTTGCCCAGTCCCACCGATGTCATGTCTCAGCAAGTTGTGCCTTCGGAAGCTGCCGAGTCAACTCCTTCAAAAGACCAACCATCCCCTACAGAGGATTCTTTCCAGCGGTTCTACTCTACCTTTGAAGGTTTGATCTCCAGAATTTCTGCACCTCTAGCGTTTGCAGGTCTTCCTTTGGGAGCGGACGATGCTACAAAATCGACATCGGCCAATCGGAAATCTCCCGCAGAGACTAAGCTGGACCGCCATCATGCCACTTCAGACCGCAAATCTACCTTCAAGGAGCCAGACGTGAACCGACTATTTTCGAGAGCAGCTCTGCGTTCTATCCATGACATGCCCGGTACTGGCCCTGGAAACCCGGCCGAGTCTTTCTATGTTGTTCCTACAACTGGAGGAACGATGTCATATGCAGGAATTCTGTCTCGGGCTGAGAAAGAGGCACGTCGAAGTAGCTTCGAGGAAGGCGAGGATGACTTTGTAGATGCGCGAGAAACTCCTTCGTCTCCTGAGTTGCGACATAGTATCAGCAGTGCTTCGCGGGTATCACGCCGTGGTGCCTCTGACAAACTCACGACCCTACAGAATCCGAAGACATTGGAAGAACTGCAGATGGAGAATCAGGCTCTGAAACAACTATCAGATACTCTGTCGAAACGCTTACACATGTGGGAGGTCAATGCACAATCCTCATCCGTGGCGCTACAGCAGTCTCTAAGAGCCATGCACCACCATAATTCTGGAGCTTCGGAGTACTATACACAGGGCTCCCCGGCGGCCATTTCCCCAACGGCAACGCTCACCGCGGCACCGGGTACTTCAGATGCCGATGCCCGGGTCAAAGAGCTGGAGGATCTCGTCCGCCGCGGCGAACAGGAGCTGGACCGGGTAGGCCGTGAAAACGACAAACTCAACAAAGTACTTGGACGGTATCGTGATCGCTGGGAGAAGTTGAAGGAGGGTGCGAAGACAAGACGTGCAGAAGGTCGCTCGGCAGATGGTCCAAGCAACCCAAGCACACCACTTGTGGGTAGCAAGAAAACCGATCTTCCCCCGTCGCCGCAGCTGGGGAATAATGGTCCGTCAGGCAAAGCGGCTACTAGGAGAAGCTCTGGATCAGAGCCAGAAGGCCTTGGGCTCGAAAAGAATGCGGGTAACTAAAATGTACGAAATCGTTACGACTACTTATGTTTCTATTACCGGTTTTAAAACATAAATTCCATCATGTCAGGCCATATCATTGTTCACTTGGGCAGGTAGTTTAATGCCATGATAGGAGTTACAGATTTAAGTTAGCTATCGATTCCCCGTACATTCTATCGTAGGGTTCTTGCCACGCAATGATTCGAAGCCATTTAGCCTTCTATTCGACGAGGAGTAGCGTTAGCCACGAAACATGGAGAGAAGAGAAAGAAGAATCCAGCTTCTTTCAATACCCCTTTCAACCACGGAGCCCAAAAATCCGGAAGTAACCTAGAGCTTGCCCCATGAAACACTCCTGGGAGAACTACAGTGGACACAAAACTGGCCAGACCAGGCTAACGTTCTCCATTGTTGAATATGTACTCCGTCCTAACTCGATATAGATCACCCCGTCCACCGTTCTAAGGTTCATCCAAAAGCTTTAATTCTTGAACTTTGACCTGTTGATGTTCTGTAGCAGATCTTCAGCCAGATGGACTCCAGTGGACTGTGGACCAGCATAGCTGCCGATCGCTGGAGCCCACTGGCATGCCAGATATTTGTTTAGGCAAGCAGTTTTTACATGCCTAGAGAGCTATCCTAACCTGAGTTATTTCGGTTTCTATGCGGGGCAGGTTCCATGGAACGTTTATTATTGTTACTGTAGATATGTATAATTTCAATTGTAAGCTCCGCTCCATCAAATGATTGGGTTTAATGATAGGCACTCAAGTAGTGGTTCTCTTGTTAAATTCATTCATGGTATATTTAAGAAACAACAAAGCAGATATTGAGATTGACTCGTAATAAAGAAAAAGAATGAATCGAGAGACAAGCTGCCAGCCATGAATTCTCTTTTACCGGAGGCTGCCGGAAGGCTGAAAAGCCCCACGAGCAGGGAGAAGCTAAGCTCGCATCTATCTCGGGATGATCGTTGCAGTTTGCCAATTTTCTTCGCGATCAATAGATTGTGGCAACTCCGGCAGCTCTTAGCTCTCCCGCAACTTACGGTGAACGCGGCTACCTCGATTGCGCGTCGTTCGGCTAATGGCTTAATCCGTTAGCTTCTTGGGAGCTACTAGTATCTGTAGAGGCTATGAAGTATGCCAGTACTTATGCATAGCTTGTTATGCTTTTGTGCGAATGCCACGGGCACTCGCCGCCTGCCTAGCTCCCATAGGGCAGTTTCTAAGAAGAACGCGCTTCTGAAGGCCATACATATGGGATGTGGCCCAGTCCCCACGATGCGGAGTCCACGAACTAGTATACGTCATGGGCAAGCCACGTTCTGACTTTCTGACATGGTTGTTTATTTTGCATGCTATTATTGTGTTTTCTTGGAGTCTAAAAGTGAACTGTTTGAAGTTGTCGATCCAAGAAATATTTGTACTTTCAACCGAGGCCTTGTAGATCTCTCATTAATGCGGCTCAAGGCCAGCATAGCCATGAAAGTAGTGCATTTTTTACGCCCCTTCAGCTCGGCTCAGTAGTTTTTCTAGTTGCAGACGCACTAAAAAAAGCCGACCCGCTAACACTACAATTTACGGCACTCTAAGCCGCTGCCGTGCCTGAAACTTTATTTTAGTGCAATGTGGCTTAATGGCTTGGGGAGATTCGCGATTGATACTTAATACGGTTAAGAATTCGAGTCAGCTTAGGGGCTATTCTGATATCCCACGAACAACTCGAACTACAACAGACTTTGCCATGCTCATGTTGAATCAAATTTCTATATCATATTTTTCCTCCCGAGTATTCCTGGTCAGCGCAATTCTACTTTCCTCGGGTCCTTCATGTGGGGCTCGGATACTCTTCCAAGTTGGACCGATTCGGCGCAACCTCTCTCCACTACCATTACGACGCTCCTGATGGTACTCACCCGAACTCTCAGCCCAAATCATGGACCGGTCAAGCTATTCTAGTGGGATCAGAACAAGGAAGTCAAATTGACGATCATCAGGGCCAGACACATTGCCATAGTTTTTCACTGGTCCATGTGGATGAGTGGAGATTTTGTAAGGCTGCTGTATAGGCTAAAATCTCTGCTAAGTTGCTAACCGGTTAACCGATCTTGGTTCACGATGGAACAAAAATTGGATGGACTAAGACAACCCAAAGACCCTGTACCAAAGGAAAATTCTCTTGTTTGCCACCACCGTCGGGTTGACTACTATATTCTCAACCTCCGTTGTGATTTCAGATATTATACTACTAATGCTGGAGGCTAATTCGTACTGTAGAAGCGACCCCCGGCCCCCAGCAGCCTCATGGCTTGGAACTAAGAAACTAAGAACTAGAGCAAGAGGCAACCGTTGATCCACAACCAACAACAAAAAGACAGTAGAAAAAATGTTATTAATGGCTACACTATACAAGCATGAACTGGGCTGTCAATGATCAAGTGTGTTTCATGTTGACCCAATGCCCCCACTTGTCTCCGTTTGGGAAGGTAGAAAAGGTAATGTCACCAATCAACCATATCCATGAGGCTTACCGTTACTTGCATGAACATCTATCTAATTTATGCATAGAAAATTCCGTCATTCTATCCCAGAATGGCCCAAAAACATGACTGGTACAATAATTTGTCGAATTTAGGTAATTCGTTTCGTGGGATTGGAGCTCATGGCCCCAAGCTTGTAGACCCTTTTCAAGGCATATCCGGGACCACCCAAATCGAGGTCTAGGATCAAAATGGGGCATAAACACCGTCTTGAGATCCACATCGCATCACTAGGCTAAGATTTTGCCCGTAGGTATACCGTACAGGTTTTTATAGAATATTCAGGTATCCCATCTCTGGCCCCAACCCCAATTTCACGTTCGTTTTTTCTCTGGCAGCAGCCGTTGCCGTCCGTTCTTTTAATTGATTTGCCTGTCCGGTCCTTTTTCAACTCACTCAACTCTTCATTTTATACATTATACTTTCTAAATGTCGATAAAGAGGAATGCCCGGCATTCCATTGTGGAGGATGTGCCTATCCCGAGGCCACTCCTGGCAACGGCCAAGTTCGACTCGCCTTGGGAACAGACGAAATGGGAGAAGAGTCTTCCTAGAAACGACCGTGTTCCATATAATCATGCTGCTGCAGCAAGCCAGAAGCAACATGGAGGTCTGAATAGATCTTTCAGTCTCTCTACTCGGAGAGTTCAAAGGCCTGCTCCCGTATCGCGGCCTCAAACTAATCCTCCCGAATTACAAGGTAAATATCTACCGAAAACTCATACTCACGCTGTCCAATATGATTGAAAAAACCCTAATTTGATATCTTCAGTATGGGAGGAAATCGGAACACCTACCCTCTTAGCGCCGCGTGTGCAATCTCCTTCAAGACTCTCTGAAAAGGAACCAATTACACCGATCAAAAATGCAGCCCTCAGCCCGACGCAACTCAGCAGGTCTAGCTCACGCACTCAGCATAGTCGCCAGAGTAGTATGCACGAAGCCTACGAAAAAGCCAAAGCAAGAGGTGTAGCTTTGCATCGCAAGTATTGGGTGCGAGTTTTGTTCGAATATGCCATTTACGTTGTTCTCATTCTATTCGTTTACTTTGTCTTGATTGGCATGCCACTTTGGAAAGGTGCCGTTTGGTGGCTATATTGGGTTGTCGCCCATAAGTTTGTTATCCAGGGAGGATATGCCATTACAATTGGTCTTGCCGCACTGTATGCATACCCATATTCTTGTTTTTGAGCACTGGGGAAGCTAACCATCGAGATAGATACGCTTTCCTTCCTCTTTTGATTTTGTTTGAAAAGGACCCTCCGCAGAAAGACGAGATGTCAGAAGTGGATCTCGAGAAAAGTGCGGAAAACGCTAAAACAACTGCTCTACTGATTCCATGCTATAAATCTGCCAATATCATTGGCCCGACTTTGAAGGCTGCATTGGAGATTTTTCCACCGGAGAACATTTTCGTCATCGCAAATGGCAATTCCGAAACACCACTGGACAACACCGAAGAGGTCTGCCAACCTTACGGAGTCAACCACCTCTGGGTGCCTATCGGATCGAAAATCGTTGCTCAATTCGCCGGTTGCTACGCTGCAAAGGGCTTTGAAAACGTCCTTCTTATAGACGACGACTGCGCCTTGCCTCCCAACTTCCCGATCGTCAGCGATCGTCTAAAGGGCCAAGTTAAGTGTATTGGATATACCATCAAGAGTGTCGGGCCCAACTCATCAAAAGGCACATACTGTCAGCAAGCGCAGGATTTGGAGTATAAAATGTCCGGTCTCCAGCGAGCCTTCTTTGGTAAACTTGGAAGTGCAACCTTCCCTCACGGTGCTATTTCAATTTGGAATACGGATTTCTTGAAGCAGACCTTCCACGAGCATCCTGGATTTTCCGTTTCCGAGGATTGGTTCTTTGGCGATAGTTGTCGCCGGCTTGGAGGACGTATCACTATGTGTTCGTCGGTATTTGTGGAGACTGAAACCCCTTCTTCGGTTTTCATCAGTGGCAGTGGCAGTCGTGGGGGCTTTGGTGAGATGACTATCTTCCAGCAGCGATTCAAGCGTTGGAATTTCTTCTTTGTCGTTGGCATGTACTATGACATGAAGTATATCCTGACCAGCTGGAAGCTGGGATGGTGGGAAATTGGAGCAAAGCTTGCCGTTTTCCAAGAGGTAAGACTTCTTCCCACCACAACAAATTAAAATACTACGAGAGCGTCATGCTAACAATACTTTACAGGTCTATGAGACTCTCATCTACCTCCTCGCGCCATTCATGCTTCCCATCTCATTTATCGTCCGCCCCGCATTCAGCGGCATGCTCCTCGGTGTCACCATCGGCATGTACATCATCAACGTCATAATCTTCAACGAAATCCACCTCCGTCTGAAGAAAGAGCGCATCGACTGGATTGTCATGATCTTCTACTACACCTTCTACAAGATCGCCCTCACATTCATCAACGTGTTCAGCTGCTACTGGTCGCTGTACAAGTACGCTCGTTATTTCGCCAAGCGCCACCCCAAGGTCATCGAGGATCAACAGGCGATCGAGGTTGTGCTCAGCTTGGAGCAAGATACCGACTCGGACTTTGAAGAAATGACTTTGCGTGTGGCTGCTCCGGGTGTGGACTCGACGCGTCCGGCATCTAAGCGATTGACATTGACGAGAGTTGAGCCTGAGTATCCACAGCGGAGGTGGCCATTGACTGATGATACGACTACTTCATATCCACGCGACTCGTGGAATAAACGCATGTCTTGGATTTAATTTGGACCTTATCTTTACATCTATTGCATTAAATCGGCGTTTTAATTAAGGGATCATATAGACAGCGTTGAAAATGAATTCTGGATTTCACTTGTAATATTTAATTAAATGCACTCCATAAAAGGTCTCACTCATGGAGCGAGCGGCTGCAAAACTACCGCACAGTAAATGTAGCGTTTCCTCTGATATCCTCCGAGCTACTACCAACTAGAACGGTGAAATTACCCGGCTCGACAACGTACTTCATGCGAGTGTTCCACAGACCAATATCCTTAATCAGGATAGGAATCCTGACAGTCTTGGTCGAGCCAGCCGGAATGACAACCTTCTCGAAGCCCTTCAGAGCGCGGTTGGGAACAACCACAGACGCAATCTCATCAGAGATATATACTTGTACAACCTCCGTAGCCTCACGAGTCTTGTCGGTATTGGTCACAGCAACACTCACGGTAACACTGTTGTCTGACGCAGAGACCGTGGTGCGGTCCACGCTGACTGACCCATACTCGAAAGTGGAGTAACTCTTGCCGTAGCCGAATGGATACCAGGGAAGTGGGTTGCCGAGAACGTATTGGTGCCCAAATACGAGGGTCCCGTTACTATCTTCATGACCCGAGTCGCCAATAGAACGGCCCGAGTTCAGGTAATCGTAGAAGACCGGAAGGTCGCCGACATACCGAGGGAAACTGACAGACAACTTCCCCGAGGGGTTGTAGTCACCGAACAAAACATCAGCAAGGGCATTGCCGCCTTCTTCAGACGGGTAAAACTGTTGAACCAGAGCGGCGGTCGAGTTCGCGATCCAAGTATCGGTAATCGGCTTGCCGCTGGAGAGAACGACGACAGTCGGCACGCCGGTATCAGCAATGGCTTTGATGAGCGGGCCCTGGGCACCGACTAGAGAAAGGTCATCTTCGTCGACATGTTCACCGGTTCTAGTGTGGAGTCAGGGCCTGATTGATGTTTCTAAAGTGGAGTCTTGTGGCTGGCCAAGATAGTGTTTCACTCACGTTGCATTCAAGCCCTGCCAGAGCTGCATTTGATCTCTCGACCATGTTCCAACGACAACGACGGCAACATCGGATTTCTTCGCTGCTTCGACGGCCTCGGCGAATCCTGATTCGTCGTTGCTCCAGCGCTCGCATCCTTGAGCATAGTTGATCTGGGCCTTTGATCCGACTGCTGCCTTGATGCCGTCGAGTGGAGTAACACCTCGATATTGACTTTGGTAAACGACATAGTCTCCGTACTAAGGCAGGGTATTAGGTTACACATAATTTACCGGTGCTAGAGAATGAGGTTCAGACTTACGTTCATGAATCCGTGGGCCATTGGTCCAATGACAGCAATGCTACCAGACTTCTTCAGAGGAAGAGTCTCCTTGTGGTTTTCCAAGAGCACGATTGACTCCTTATCCAGGTCTCTGGCAAGTTTCTTGGCTGCAGCATTGTTAATCAGGCTCGTCCATTTGCCTTCCGGGGCAGCAGGGTACGGGTTCTCAAAAAGACCCATCTCAAACTTGACGCGGAGCAGTCTGGACACAGCGGTGTTGACAGTCGCAATATCCAGCTTACCGGCCTTGACCAGCTCGGGGATCTTTTGGAAATTGCTGTTGGGATGTTAGCTTACTATATCGCCGTCATGTGTTTTCATGCAATGCCTTACAAGGAACCACCTCCCATCTCAACGTCAATTCCGGCAGTCAAGAGCTGCGTGGTCACGGACGCCATATCGAGGGGCTTGCTTTGGCAGAGCTTGAAGTAACTGCAGAGTCGATCACTGCCGCCAGCATCTGTCATCACGAAGTAGTCGTAGCCCCATTCCTCTCGCAGGATCTCGGTGAGAGTGTGGTAGTCTGAAACTGCTGGGATTCCGTCGTATCTACCATGGATCAATTAGTATTTCTTGAGTTAATGATGGTTCACGTGTAAGGTACTCACGAGTGATAAGCAGCCATGATGGACCAGGCACCGGCATCGATGATGGCTCGCTTGAAGGAAGGCATCCAACTAGTATGCGGTTAATATAGTCCATAACGACACGAATTTATATGACTCCTCACGTAGTACGCAATTCTCGCTCACCACCGTGAACGGGACCAGTGTTCAATCCTTGTTCGGGACTGCTGAATCCAACGAAGTGCTTAACCATCGATGAGACGTTCTTGCTCTGCAGGCCCTTCACGTAGCTATAACCGATTTCTCCCGCAAGGTATGGATCTTCCGAGAAGGTTTCCTCGACCTGTAACATAATTATTAGCATGTTTATAGTTATCATAGAGGCCGTGAGTCGATACTTACACGTCCATAGCGAAGCTCACGAGCCAAGTCCACAACGGGCGCGAACAGCTGATTGACACCGAGAGTTTGAGCTTCTTGCGCGATGACCTGTCCCATTTGTTGAACGAGCTGGGATGAATCTGTCAGTATTTGGAATTAGTTCCAAAAGAGCTCCGTCTACACACCTCCTTATTCCAGGAGCATCCGTATGCGATTGGGGAGTTGAAGATGGTTGCATTGCCGACCAGGAATCCATGAATACCTTAACAAAAACAATCAATTAGTTGCAAGTTCCATGCCATAGTTCAAATAGGTTCTATACATACCCTCGGTCTGAACAAGAGCTGGAATTCCAAGGGTGGTATTTTGAAGCAGATAGTCCTGGGCTCGCTTGATATTGTCGGCAATCCAATCCCAAGCAACCGGGTATCCAACTATTGCCTTTTTAGCTTAAGCCACACTAGAATACAGGTTTAGAGAAACATACCATAGAAGGAACCTGCTTTCATCTCCATGTTCGCTACCAGCCCGGTGTAGTTGAATGCCCCTGACGTCTGGTTCATCCAGTTGGTAACATCGCCTGATGAGAGATCCGAGTTAGTATTTCCAACCAAGTCCTCGCGAGCGTTCTCAAAGCTTACCCTGCATCAATTGAGCCATCTTATCCTCAATTGTCATCCGGCCCAACAAATCTTTGACGCGCTTGTCGACCGGCGCAGTGGCATCCTTGTAGAGCGGCGTACTCTTGCCAGAGACACTAGCAACGAGATTTGCAAGCAGCAAGCTGCCAGCAAGACCTTTGACCAACATCTTGGACGGTAAAGGACGGCTTCCAAGCCAATGCTTCTTGAAAACAACAGAACAAGAAGCTATAACCGAGCTTCAATTCCCCAGCGCAATTGAGAAGCTAGAAGTGACGAACAAAAAAGAAAAAGAAAAGAGCGCCGATCTCTTCATAATAAAGACCTGCACCTGCAGCTCATCCTCACCCTCACCCCCTCAACCCCGCGGGGGAAACAACATTCGGGCCCTTGTCGCGTCGGGCTATACCCTCACGCCATTGGAGTAAAGTGGATATTAGATCGACCTACTAGCACGTCTGTCAAGGATGTGTCGGAGATGAAGCGATCACGGATTGCATAGTAGCTGCAGCAGTAAATTGATCGTCTGGTCGACTTCTGGTTTAGTCTTTAGAGACTAAGACTATAAAGAAACGGAGGACAAGCCCGGCGCTGGGGCTGGCGCCCATCCCGTTTGTTGAAGAGGTCCGGTCCTTGTGGAGAATCAGATTCTCGGGGATGGAGGCTCCACCTCTCCTCATAAAGGGCTTGTATGCTTGTGGATTATTGGACTTGAGAGGCGGGGAAACAGGGAAAGACAATCTGCGGCTAAATAATGTAGAGAATCGCCGAGGAATGGGCTTGACATTATTATCCGGGAACCTTGCTGGTATGGAGAGGGTGATTCGACGGGTACATATGTTTCACCCTAGTCTTGTGTCTTTTTCCACCTATGAGCTTCGTGGATTATCGCCGGTGGGCAGGTTTTATGCAAGAATAGAATTTTCCGAATTTCGCGAATAAAGTTCATCGGGAGATTAAGATGACTTGGAAGCAGGTAGGTATCATGGATTGGTCAACGATGGAGAAGAAATAGATTGTACAAGGATGGGAGACAGGAACAATGATAGAATGCATAGAAGCGAGACTCGCAAGGGGAGCCTATTCAAGAGATAGACATTTCGAAAAGAAAATCACAGCGAGAGGGATATTAAATGCCTAAGAGAATGTACCCCGCAGAATGCAATGCCAATTACAACCCAAGTATGCCAACAGAATAGAAAGAGGTCAACCCGCCAAATAGAAGGTATAATAGAAAGAAACAGAAAGGCTGTAAAGATGTATGTATGGTTTGAGTGACTCAGCCACTCTGCATGTACGTCTCAGAGCACAGGGGGTTCGTGAGATGACTCCCTGGGCTCCTTACTGTGCTTATGACCGAGAGTCAGCCTCGGTGTTTCCAGCGTCATTATGGCTGTGAGTATCCGCATCAGTCGGACCCTGGCTGTCCTGCGGACTCGCGGTTCCTTGCGTTACTGCACCACTATCCACAGGCTGATCTTGGTGACTCAATCTTAATGCACCGCCAAGCCATGCAAGCCCACCACTCCAAGAATCGCTGAAGCTGCGAAGGCGACCAACGTCCTCATCGTTTTTCTGTGTTGGAGGGGTATAGATCTCTGTAGCCAGAGCAGGAGTTGACTGTCCAGCCTCTCCAGGCGGTACCCCCAGACCGGTGGCAGATTGTAGTCGTGCCGTGGCAATGTTCAGAGGATGATCGATGCCATCAACTCCAAGGTCACCATCTTGGTGGCGAGCTTGGTCATGCTCAAAGGCACCCTCGAGTTGACGACGGCGTCCTAACTTTCGCCTCGCCCGGTCTTTCAACGGGCTAGCCTCACCACGACGTAGAGATTCCGCAACGACGGCGCTGAAACCGCCAGAGAGAGTAGGAAGGAGCGGCCCAGGAGAAAAGCGATTGGAGATGGAGTTGCGCATGGCCCGTCGTGATGGTGTTTCAAGAGTAGTATGGCTGCTCCCAGTGTTGTGAGCGTGGTCTAGCCCAGTAGGAGTTGATGCCCGCCGAGCGACGGGTGACTTGTTCTGAGAGTCCTCTTCAATGCCAGGCGCAGGGGGGAAGCGCAAAAGCACAGTTGACTCCTGACTACCGTCAACTTCCGGTGCAGGTGGAGTGGTATGACAGTATGTCTCGAGGTCGGACTTAGGGGTTTCAAGAGGCGCATCAATGGAGTCCGCCCAAGGGTTGGACATACGGGAAGGCGGTCGCAGTGGCGATGCGTGATCGAAAGATGGCCCCGAGAGAGGAGACTCGGCGGTCAACGAGCCAGCCGGAGAAGACGGAGCCCCGGAATGAGCTCCCCGGGGCGTAAGCTGGTCATCGTCGATACCATCAATACCGCGGCTTGTAAGTGATCCCGTTGGAGACAGCACAGCGTCTTCTTCCTCGTGATCAACGGCAAAAGTTTTTGGTGCTCGAAATTGTTGGGCTGGTGGAGACAAGTCAATTCTATCGCGATATCGTTCTCCATGCAGCAACCCGATAGCCTCTTCTTCATCGTCCGTGGAAAAGGTAGACTCATCATCAGAACGAACTCGGCCGCTCGTAATGAAGTAGACACCTAGGAATGTCAAGGCGCATCCTCCCACAAACTTTCCTGCTCGACCAGCCGACATCGACTCGAAATCACGGTAGAGCACAGCGCTCCCAACAATCACCGAGAGCGTAAATAGAACGAATTGGGTCGGAATCACCTGAGTCGAGTCAAAGCGCTGCAGGGCTCGATTGATGTACCGGATTTGCATCAAGGCGCTGGAGACAAGAACGAAAACAAGCAGGTAGGTAATGGGGAATGTAATGACATGCCATAATGTTCCTGACAACAATGAGGAAACGCCCTTGGTAGACAAAGCCGTGTATCCACCTGATAAACAGAGTCAGTATGGTCGTTTTATCGTATTTTCTCTCAGGTACAGACTTACCAAATAATGCCACCAGCCCGACATCGATCAAGATCGAGCGTGAGCCGTATGAGAAGCTGGCCCACATGAGACCAATGATCAGGCCAATGGTCAGCCCCAGATAGAGCTCAAACTCCCAACGAGTGATCATCATCCAGATTTCACCAGGGCCGATTTTCTCCTCTGAAGATCTGGCACTGAGCACAACCACGACGGCTCCAGCAATAGCTACCAGCACGCCCCAGAAGTCCCGCTGTCGGAACTTTTCCTTGAGTAAACAGGGTGCGATAACGCAGTTGGATATCAAGGCAACAACGCCCAGTGGAGAGACGATCGAAGCTGGTGCGAAGCCATAGGCGAGGAAGTTTCCCGTCTCACCCAGAACCATCAGAATGATACCAGCCCACCAATATGGGGATCGCAAGTAAGATTTCCGGTCGTCGGAGTCTTCTGGACGAGCGGTACTATCAGATGCGAACGAATCGCGTGCGCTGTCCCGCGAGCCTCGAGTGCCATGTCTTCCCCTGGGAGGCGAATCTTCTTCATCGCGATAAGCTTCAAATTGCCCACGGCCATTGTGTCGATCCTGTTCCCTTGATCTGCTTCGACCATCACCTCCAACGGTCCCGTATGGATTCGTAGACGATGTCCCGGAATGCGCCCGCCTCCGCTCGGCTTCCTTCTTGATCTTGTTCTGCTCCCATTCTCGTGTGATCCGAATATGCGCATAGCGCTGGATATTGAGCGCGACGGATATCAACACATTACCAATCAGAGCAGTCACAATACCGATAAGCGATGACCACCTCTCCATGTTTCCTTCATCGTCACCATCACGACCAGAAGGGACTTGCGAGGTTGAGTTCGAGAAAGCCGAGTAAGTGTGCGTTGAATAGGAGGTCGAATACGGGGTTGCGGCGGAAGGCGCGATAGTCGACGAGACAAAAGAGGTGAGCAAGCCCACTGCCAGGGGATGCTGTGGTAAACCCATCGAGGCGACTAGACAACACCGAAATTAATCAAGCGCGGTGGTAAGCTCGGTGTCCCGCCCGAGATCTCCTCCTGAAGCCGCCTGAAGCCGAACTGAACTCTCCAAGCAGTGATACTTCGTCTTGAATCAGGTCGCGGTTGGGCGAAAGCTCTTCACAACACGATAGGCAGCATCTTGGAGCAGACAGCAGGCGAAGATCCGGTCAACTGTCGTTTCCGAAAGTGCCTCGCAGTCGCGTGTAGAAAGTCGGACTGTTGGCGGCACCGCGCGGAGAGAAAGCGAGCGGAGAGATGCTGTGTCAGCACCAAACGGCCGTTTCTTTCTTGGGCACCTAGCTCCTTGCGCCAAAACTCCGGCAGCAATACACTTTGCAAGGACCCCGCCTATCGCTAGACTTGCGCTAGTCAACTGCGCTCAAGCCAAAATACGCGCGAGGTCAAAGCCCATATTGCTGGTCTCGGTGCGTGTAATTGGTAGTTTGGGCGGGCTCAAAGTGCAATGCAGATCGCCCGGCTCTTGAGGGAGACGTTATCTCAGCAGCGCAATAAAAGAGGGGAACATTCCACAGCAGAATATGCAAGGAGGGATGCCATGCGCAGCTTCTTTCATCAATGGAATTATTTCACGGGATCTTTGGTTTCTTGTGGAAGTGGTCGACATCTACTTGATGGTCTTTCCATAGCGTTAATAGCTACAAGGACTCCGTATACTGGAGCCTAATCATACAACGAACACGATCATGGAATGACCCATGAACCATACATCTGTTAATTTCTATCGTACTTCCGTTGGCCTGTTTGCACCTAGACTAGCTCACTACCTATGACTAGGCAGCTCTTTAGCCAGGACTGTGGCTGCAAGTTTAGGGAGTAGGTACCAGCTACGATATACACAAACCCTCAACGGATATACTTCCGTCGCACTACCCTCGCGGCACCGAGCGGGGGACATCGAACATACTGTTAAGATTGATGGGATCGAAAGGCAACTTCTCTCTCGCTAGAACAGCCCGTCCTTCACTGACAAAGTCGAACCAGCCATACTAATCTACTCAGAAAACGAGGCTCTGTCAACAGCCATTGTCCAAATCGCGGGAACAAGATCATGTAGTTCGCTTCATTTTGGGCCCAGTGCACAAGCACAAATATGAAATCGAGGGATTATTATACATATGTCCAAATTAGATCCATCATCATCGACGTGCCTTTTTCTTCTCTGGCCCCGGCTCATCATCATCACTCAACTCCGCAAAAATCGCATTTGGTTGAGTCTCCTTGTACGCGCGGGTAAAGATAGGATCTTTCTCAGCCTTCTCGGCATATTTCAAAAGTGCCTCTCGCGGATCCTCGTCACGCATAGAGCTGAGAGGAATGTTATCACGAATATACTTCTCATCAGACTGGGACTTGGCGAAAGGCGTCACCTGCGGCATATGTGGGCGGCGCGGGTCCCTGGAGCGACCAGAGGCCGTCAATCCGATCGTTGGGTGACGGGCCGCAAAGGTTGCGGAGCTGTAATGTGGGACACCATTGGAGCCGACGACCACAGAGTCTCCAGAAAGCCCAGAAGATAGGTCTGTCGTGAGAGTTGGGTTGTCGTCGACATGGCGGCGCTTGGGGGCCTTGGACATAACCAGGGCGGCTCCCTTTGTAGACATTGTTGGGTTATAGAGGACGTGGGTTTCGGCATTCGCAGAGCCAGTCAAGATTTGGTTCAGTTTCTCATGCCACAGTACAGTGATCAATGGCGATCCGGGAGTGACAGGAGTGACTAGTTCTGGCTTCAACGTAGCGGGGTTGAGAATGTGCAAGTGACCCGTTTCAGAGCCGACAATAACATTTGCCGAGCTGGGCGAGAATTGAATGTTCGAGGTAGGATACCGGAAAGATGTTGATGGGTGGGTTACGGTTGTAATTGGTGCTTTGAATTTCCGGGTATCCCACAGCTTGATAGTGTCGTCTCCGCCTCGGCTGATAACAAGTCGTCCGTCGGCGCTGATATCCAAGCCACTTGTCCATGTATCCCGAGTATGTGCACCCCGAATTTCACCACTAGGTCGGTTGAAAGGACCATTGCCGCTCCACATGACCAGGCTTCCGTCGAGAGCCGCAGCAACCAGGACATTAGATCCTCCCTGTTTTGGAGAACCCCAAGCCACGGCGGTTACCTTGGTTCGTCCAGCAGATCCAGCAACCCTCGATTTGTGCACAATGACCTCCTTCTGGGAGCGGCCAACATTGACATCCCAAATCCGCACAGTACTATCCGATCCAGCCGTAGCACAGAGGTTCTCGTCTGTGGGACACCAAACGCCACTGGATACCTCCGAGGTATGACCCTTTGTATGGTGCGAATCCCGAAGGTACATGTCACCCTTCACGAACTCCGTCAAAGTCTCGCCATCTCGACTTAGAATTCGCGGCTGGGCTGTGGCAGGGACAACTAGAACATGGCTGGGAGAAAGCGGGTTGAAACCGACATAGTTAACGGCGTGGGTGTCTTGGGCCGCTGATTGCTTCTTCACGGAGGGATCGACAGACTTGAATGCGCGGATGGTTGAGGGCGTCATGGAAGCAAAATCATGGAGCTTGAGTGTGCAATCAGTGGAACCTGTAATTAGTCGCGCCCCCGAGGGGTCCACGGTCATAGTTGTCACGGCGCGCTCATGGGTCTTCAAGACCAGCTCGTGAGACACGGGGAATTCATCCTCATCCTCCTCATCGCTGGAATCTTTTTCGTCATCAGAGTCATCATCACTGTCTTTAGGTTCTTGTGGCCTCTTTTCTGTCGCGACAGGTCCAGCTGTGGCGGGCGCGTTCACTCCGGCATCAGTGAGTGGCTTGGATGCGGAGATCTCCGTTCGTCTGGTCCGATCGATTTGAGATTCAATGTCGACTGATTTCTGTTGCTTCCCAAAGCCGGAAGGGAAGAACTTTTTAAACGCTTCCTCGTCGAATCCGTCCATGTTTAAGGTGTGAGATGATGCGCTGGAGAAGAACTTGCGCCGCCGATAAGGATGTCTTGGGTCCACTATCGAGCTTGTTTGCATAGTTTGCACCTCGGTAGCCCAGTCTTGATACCTCACTGGCCGCCAAGGTAGTTTGATAAGAACAGACAAATACAACGGCGATTCTACTGGTGATGATTAAATGATGAGAGCATTTTACAATCTATGAAACCGATACAAGACAGACTACAAAATGATAGAGGTTTATAGGAGTATCAATGCATGCCTTGCCCACAGATTATGGGTTCCATTAAAATACACACATCAAGCAGAGAAGTTTCCGACGTAGATCAATATCTTCTTTCGCCGAACACTATCTATCGCTTACAAGTACAAGCCCTCCACAGGGGCACCGTCCTGCTTCGTCTTCATGATGCGCTCACGGGCCGATCGGAAGTCGTCCATCTGTACCCGCATGCGACGCTCCCGCAGAGCCATGAGACCAGCCTCAGTACAAATTGCCCGAATATCCGCACCGGAGAGATCGTCCTTCTGGTTGATAAACTCGTCGAGGTCGACATCGTCGCCGAGGGACATCTTCGATGTGTGAAGGGTGAAAATCTTCTTCTTGGTGTTTTCTACAGAAGAAACATGTTAGTCACGGTGATATCCAATCAATGTGAATGAAGTGAAACTTACGGTCGGGGTTCTCAAAGAGAATCTTTCGATCAATACGACCAGGACGAATCAAAGCGGGATCCAGAGTCTCAATCTTGTTAGTGGCCATGATGACCTTGACATCACCACGATCATCGAAACCATCAAGCTGGTTAAGCAGCTCAAGCATGGTACGCTGGATCTCACGCTCACCACCTGATGTGGAGTCGTAACGCTTGGTACCGATGGCATCGATTTCGTCGATGAACACAATAGACGGAGCGTGCTCGGCGGCAACGGTGAAGATCTGGCGAACCAACCGTGGACCATCACCAAGATACTTCTGAATCAGCTCGGAGCCGACAATGCGCAGGAAGGTGGCACTCGTTTGGTTGGCAACAGCCTTGGCCAACAGCGTCTTTCCTGTTCCGGGTGCACCATAGAGGATGACACCCTTGGGTGGCTTGATACCCATCTCCTCATACAACTCAGGATGCAGAAGTGGCAACTCGACGGCTTCTCGGACTTCCTGGATCTGGGATTCCAGTCCACCAATATCTGCGTATGACTCGGTAGGTGCTTTATCCAGCTTCATCACAGACACAAGCGGATCAGACTCCTCTGTCAGCACACCGACGACAGACACGGATTTGTGATGTAGCAGAATGCTGGCACCCGGCTCGAGCAGATCCTTGTCGACGAAGGACATGATTGAGACGTAGTACTCAGGACCAGTCGCGCTGGAGACGATGGCATGGTCATCATCAATCAGCTCCTCCAGGTTACCAACGCCCATCGGGCTGCCTCGCATATCATCAACCCGACTCCGCTCGTCCGCATTGCGGTCTGACACCTCTGGATCTTCAGTTCGAGCAGGGCCTTGGGCGGCCTGGGCCTTGGCCTTGCGAAGCCGCTCCATGTTCTCAACGTACTCCTCCTCTAGCAGCAGGTGGTCGTGAACTCGTTGCATTCGGAGGTATCGCAGCTTACATCTCGACGTAGGGTAGATGTCTGGGAGCTTGGAGGCGGTACTGGGCCCGGCGGCCTTGCGCTTCTTCCGGCCAATACGGGTGGTAGGGGGTGGTGGTGGCTCGTACTTGGGCTTGTCCTTCTGCAGGGCGCGGCGTTAGAGCCGTTCAGTGATTACAGATTCCAAGGGAGATCATACCTTCTTATCCTTATCGTCCCGACCGTCACCTCCAGGGCCACCGCCCATGTTAGACTGTTGGTTACCCTGTCCGATCGCGCGTGTCAGTGAACTTGTTCCGGGTGGACGGACATTGACCGAGGGTTGAGACTGACCATGTTTGTAAGCCAGCGACAGGAGCTCTGTCAGCGGCTAGTGGGTAAATTTGAAGTTGTTGATAAGTTGGAACAAGATCAAAGCTTGATGAGGCTGAATGGGGATGGAGAAAGGCTGTTGGAAGGGATGGGTTGGCAATGCAGTTGGAGAGGTAGGTTGCTGGTGCTCGGGGGTGAGCAAGCTGGAAGCTGTTGCCATCACACCACGTGACTGTCGACGCCTGAGGCTGGAATATGCGGTCATGGTTGCCTTTGTGCCTTATCCCCGAGTCCGCGGTCCCTCTTTTCCATGCAGCTTCCGGGAACAAGCAAGACAATTCGAATCCAGACCGGCAACCGATTGGCCTAATAGGGTCAGTGGCTATATAAGGCTGCTTAAGTCTTTACACTGAAATAGTCTCGACCCCGAAGCTTACTACGGTTTTCCGGAGCTAGTCTTTAGCTAAGCGGCCCTTCATACTTCCCCTCCATTGGTGAGATTCCAGAGCTTCAGCTGGCGATTGATCGTTGCCTATTGCGGTAGTATGCGTTTCCCCTCTCTCTTTCCTAGATATTGTGATTTAAGATTGAAATTCTAAGCAACTATTCACATAGACCTCGAGTTCAATCGTCTCATCCAAGTGCTTTCCGCGGCTAGCAAGCACACGATCAGCTCTCGTGTATAGCGCGGTGCAGCTTAAACATCGCACATCCTCTTGACCGTGAGATTGTTGTATCTGGTCCGAGCTCACAATACACCATGGCTGGCAATCGGACTCGGCGCATCGCCAAGGAATTGGCTGATATCCATGCCGATGCTCACTCGCAAATCACGGCGGAGCCCATCGGCGGGCAGGATGATGTGACACACCTTCAAGGAATCTTCCCAGGACCCCCGGATACTCCCTACGAAGGTGGTACCTATAAGGTTGACATTAAGATCCCCACCGATTATCCTTTCCGGCCTCCATTGATGAAGTTTGAAACCAAAGTCTGGCATCCAAATGTTAGCAGTCAAACTGTGAGTGGTCCTATAACGCAAGGTTGAGATGCATAAGAATGGTTGCTCATTGACATGATATTAGGGTGCTATTTGTCTGGATACTCTCTCCAGTGCTTGGTCCCCGGTTCTCACTATCAAATCCGCGCTCATCTCATTGCAGTCGTTGCTGAGTACCCCAGAGCCAAAGGACCCGCAAGATGCAGAGGTTGCAAATATGATGCTACAAAGACCTGAGGAATTCAAGCGTGTGGCGCGTGAATGGGCTGTCATTTACGCGGGTGCCCCTTCAGATGGGTCGGACGGCCAAGCAGGAACCGCGGAAGCGCCCGTCACGATTGAAGGTGATTCTCTTGCCCTGTAAGTAATACATGCATACTGTGGTTAAGCAAAATATACGCTAACCTCAAGGCCAGGTACAATGGTTATGATAAGGCGCTTGTTGACAACTTTGGTGCTATGGGATTCCAAGTACCGGATGTCGTGAGAATATTTGAAGAGCTTGGGATTAACCAGCGGAGTCACCAGCTGGACGAAGGTCAAGTCGATGATGTTTGTGCACGCCTGCTTGCAGGTGTATGATCTCGCTGAAATTAATTGCATTGCTCTGGTGTCTAGGATGGACATACAATGGCTTGAATCAGAAGAACATTTAGCTTTATCATTTCCTGAAATCTGTTGCAAGAACCTGTGTCTGGGCTGTCTAACTCCGTAGTATAGTCTAGTTTGTATGTTTGCTCCTCTTATCGATAAGCCCACTTAAAACCAACCTTGCTCTGGAACCTCCGCAGTGTAAGTAATCTTCAACATCACTTTTCTAAGCACGACCATGATCGCCGGCTTTTGATCTCACAACTGCCTAATTACTTATTTCCTATTCCCGGAATCAAATCTTGGAAGCACCACTTCCCCCAAGCACTCGTGCAATCACCTACCCCGCGGCGGAAAGCAGGGCTTTCTTAGAACCGTCAACATGATCGAAGACGACATCTACCGCACATCCTCTCAATTCCGACTCTGGTCCTATACCGAGAGCTCACTAAAGAATCTCCGCACCACGACCAACAATATCGCAAGTGAGCGAGTACGTGCCGCGCTGCGTCGAGCTCGAGAACGCCATCTCTCCGCCACACCCTCTGCGACGGGGACACCACAGCCAGGAAGTGACGCCGAAGAGAAACATATTGAGTGCCTGACACCCGAGGAAGAGCTCGTACTGGTTCGATACTATTGTGAGAAGACAGTCGAGCTGGGCGATACATACAGGCCGCCACTTCCTACTAATGTCCGAGTAAGTCGTCTACCTACCATTTTACCCCGGACACCTCACCTCAAAGCTATGGAATCTACCAGCCTAGCTAGAACAGCACAATACTCACATTTATCACTTTCCTTATCAGGCCACCGCAATCCAATACCTCCGCCGCTTCTACCTCACAAACTCCCCAATGACCTACCACCCCAAATCCATCATGGCCTGCGCCCTCTTCGTCGCCACAAAAACAGACAACTACTATATGTCCCTCCGGTCCTTCGCCGAAGGAATCCCCGGCGACACAACACCCGACGATGTCATTGCGCCGGAATTCCTCCTCATGCAGGGCCTTCGCTTCACATTCGACGTCCGCCATCCTTTCCGCGGCCTCGAAGGCGGCGTCATGGAACTTTCAGCTATAGCCCAAGGTCAGGGTAAACCGGCACCACACCTCCCACAGCATACACCCGAAAGTTTGAAGGAAGGAATTCTCAATCTTGCGCCCCCGCCTGTCCCAGTATCTTCAATCACAGACCGTATCGGTCGTGCACACGGTGCCACGCGCGAACTCCTCAAATCCGCTGCGCAAATGACAGACGCGTATTTCCTCTATACACCCTCGCAGATCTGGCTAGCAGCTTTCCTCATCGCGGATAGACCTCTAGCCGAGTTCTACCTCGACACTAAACTAGGCGGTCCCATCGATCCAACCGCCATGGAGACAGACACATCCACCCTCCACAATCCACTCTCCGAGCTCCGCACAAAACTCCTCAAAGTCCTAGGGGATTGCGCCGCACTTCTACAATCGTATACGCCCCTCTCATCAGATCCGGATCAGATGAAAAGCCTCAAACGTATCGCGAAGAAGTTGTATCATTGCCAGAATCCCGAGAAGGTGAATTTGAAGCGTGATACTACGGCGCCGCGGTTGATGCCTGCTGGTGATGCGGGGACGGTTACGTCGGAGAGTGAGACGGAGCGGTTAGCGAAGAAGCGAAAGTTGGAGATGGAGTCGAAACAGCGTGGGGGGCATGATGTGTTTGGGCCGGAGTTGGTTCCGGATCGGACGAGGCATTGATGGGTGGAGTGGTGATGGCTGCTATATAGGATGGAGATAGAATTATGATCTTACGAGCCTAGGTTGGGCACGATCTTCCTGAAAAAATAATCAATTCTTCTTGAACTTCATGATCAACCGGCAGTGTGGCCACTACGGCTCTAAAAAATCCGATACGGGAAGAATATAAGCGCGAACAAGAACTAGTCATTTCGCAACTCTTAAGAGACCACAGCCTCAATCAGAAGCAACTAGACTAGACCCTCTATCAAACACGATGCAACCCGCAAAGCAGGCGAAAATAAACAAAAAAGAGAACCAAGGAAAAGTTTCGACAATCCAGCGGGATATATATCCGCCACGATGTCGAGGGGGAATGAGGTTTCATGACAGCAAGCAAGGAAAACAGAATAAATATAGAAAAAAAGTGAGAAAATGATGAACAAAAAACCATCATCCTGTCTTCCCACCTGGAGGAGGGCTAGGAGCAGGAACGGGAAAGCGGGCAAGAGCCCGGTCTAAAAACCAATCCAACTTTTCATAGCGCGGGGCATTGCAATTCCCTCAATTCACGTCTAGCATTTCGTCGTCATCAGAGATAGGAAAGGGGGGAAAGAGATGTGTGGGACTGAACATGGAAGGTCTGCTGTTTAGACGGCACCGGCGGAGACCATCTTGTCACGCAGGTACTTCTTGTACTGGCCGATGCTGCCATCCCAGCGGCGGACGGTCTTGTTCTCACAGACCAGGATGTCCTTGGCGATCTTGTCCAACAGACGGAAGTCGTGGGAGACGACGACGACACCACCGTTGTAGGCGTTGATGGCATCAGCCAGGGAGTCGATGGTGGGAATGTCGAGACCGTTGGTAGGCTCGTCAAGCAGAATCATGTTGGGGGACTCAATAGCGAGCAGGGCAAAGACGATACGACTCTTCTGGCCCTCGGACAGAGTGCCCATGATGGCGGTCTGGGACTCACCAGATAGACCGTAGCGACCGAGCTGCTGGCGCCAGTACTGGTAATCCTGGGACTTCTCGGGGAACTTGTCGCGGACAAACTCGAGGGAAGACTTGGTCAGGTCGAGCTGCTCAGCAGAGTGCTGGGAGTAGACACCGAGCTTCAAGTGAGTGTGACGGCTGACGGTACCACCGATGGGGCTCAGCTTGCCGGTCATCAGACGCAGCAGAGTGGACTTGCCAACACCGTTGGGGCCCACCAGGGCGGTACGGGAGTCCATGTCGACACCGAGGTCGAGGTGCTCGTAGAGGGTATCCTCCCAGTTACCAGAGTAGGAGAAGCTGACATCGTCGAAGGACATGACGGGAGGGGGCAGCTTCTCAACATCGGCGAAGCGGAAAGTGAAGACACGGTCGGGGACGACGGGCTGGATGAAGCCATCGGCCTCCATCTTGTCGAGAATCTTCTGGCGAGACTTGGCCTGACGGACCAAGTTGGCATAGGTACCGGCGGAGGCAATGAACTTCTTGATGTGGGAAATTTCTTCCTGCTGCTTGGTGTATGCCTTCATCTGGTTGGTCTCCTGCTCGGAGCGAGTCTTGTGGTAAGAATCGTAGTTACCACCGTAGTAGAGGAGCTGCTTCATGCGCATATCGATCATGTTGGTGCAGACACCGTTCAGGAAATCCATGGAGTGAGAGACCAGGATGAAGGTACGGTCCCACTTCTTGAGGTACTCCTCGAGCCACACACAGGCCTCGAGATCCAAGTGAGCAGTGGGGTCATCGAGCAGGAGCAGCGAAGGCTTGACGAACAGGGCCTTGGCGAGGGCCACACGCATACGCCAACCACCAGACATATCCTTAGTCTTCTTGTGAATGGTGACCTTGTTGAAACCGAGACCAGTCAAGATCAGAGAGGCACGAGTGTGGAAGGTGGAGGGGTCCATCTTGTCCATACGCTATTCATAAGTTTGGTCAGCAAATCTTCATATACAATCAAGTTGCACAGATTCAGCCCGGGAGGCTGCAAAGGTTGTACTCACGTCGTACAGATCCTCGAGAATAGGGCTCTCGGGACCATCATGCTCAAGAATCTCCTCGGCCTTCTTCTCCATGGCATCAAGCTGAGCCTGAGCCTCATCCACAACCCACTCCAGGGCACCCTTATCAGTAAGGGGAGCACCCTCATTCAAAAGGTACAGATCGATGTGCTCGGGGAAGGGGAACTCGCGGGTCGCAATAGCCTTGAGGAGGGTGGACTTTCCGCAACCGTTCTCACCAAGCAGACCGTAACGACGGCCGAAGTTGAGCTCGAGGGTGGAATCGGTGAAGAGGACCTTTCCGTGGAATACCAGGGAGGCGGAGGTGATCTTGACGTCGCGGGAGGCGGGCAGAGATGAAAGCACACCGGTAGTGACACGATCGGACAGACCGTGCTTGTCCAACTGTGCGGTGAGCTTCTCGACATCCTTCATCTTAGCATCGGTGGTGGCGGGCTGCTCATCACCGTTGGCATCGACCTCGACGGTGGACTCCTCCTCCTTCTTGGTGCCGGCCTTCTTGGTCTTCTTTTCGCCAGTTTCGGCGCGCTTGGCCATACGGGCGGCCTTTGAGGCAGAAACCATATTGGCGGTTTGTATGTGAAAAAAAGGGAATTGGTTGAGAAAGAGGGCGGGGGAGGGGGAGGAAAAGGAGGGGAGGAGGATGAGAAAAGAGGATCGAGTGAGGGAAAGACCCGTAACTATAGTCGAAGAGATTGAAGGCAAAGAAATGCAAAAAGAGACTGAAGTGGAGCGCCTGGCGGGGCCGAGAGTAGAGGGGCGAAACAACTCGAGTAGAAGTGGCAGTGGGGGTTTTGGGCGAGCCCTTATCGATTAGAAAAGTTGAAATTTCACTTGTTGAAACTGATGATTCAGTTGCCGGGGCTCCTGAAAGATAGAAGATTAATTAGAGAGAAGAAAGATTCGGATAACTAACCCTTTCTTTTTGAAATCTTCGACGGTGAATCGTAAATGCGAGAGAACAAAAATTCAACCTGGTGGGCCGTCAGGGCCTGCACCAAGAGCGCTGATTTGCTGTAGGCCGACGAGGGCTGCTGGGGACGTCACCGCACGGTCGGGCAGAAGTCAGTGGCCTGGGAGCCTGAGGCGCCCAGGGCCTGAGAAGGGTGGCGTTCAGGTGTCAAGGTGTCAGCTTTTTTTTGCCACTCAATTGCGACGAGTCTGGTTGGTTGGAGATAGGGACGTCTCCGGCTTAACCTAGTCGAGTTAGCACCATCTCTCCAGGACGATAATAGTACGAGGTGCTGGGACAGAGGATAGATCGTGGTTGGTCCGTTGACCTAATCATTATCATGAATTAGTTATGTATGTACAAGTTCCTTCTTCCTCTCTCATCCTTTTAAATTCTGTCACTGATCTTCTCCAGCGCCTGTCTCTCTTGAACCGACAAGAACACTCCATCAGGCACCAGAATCTCGCCTCGCTCGATCACGATCCGACGAGGAACGTCGGTCAGGCTTTCCTCATAATGACTGGGCACATCGGAACCAGCCTTGTGATGGAATTTCTCTTCATCTTCGGCCTGTTTCCTCGACAGGGGATGTGACGTCCACCAGTACAATGGATATTGTCGCTGGATATTGTTGACAATCAATGCCACCACCTGCATCAGGACCACCCCCAGCATCATAATGGGGAACAAGAACCAGCCCAGGCTCGCCATCTGCTCATTAGTGACTGCCAGAAGCGCCGTCGCACCCGCCGGCGGGTGTACGGTACCAGTCAACAACATGGCAGCAGTGGTGAGCCCACAGGCTAGAGCCCCGCCAAGCGAAGTGTACTGTTCAGCATGGGGATTCAGAGCGAACAGTTTCGAGATACTAATGCCCATCAGGCAGGCCCACATCTGACTGAAGAAGGCATTACGCGGTTGTGCAAAGGGCGACTCGATCGCACAGAACTCGATGACGGCAGCAGCACCCTATCACACGCTTTCTATTAGCCAGATGGAACACAAAAAGGTCATGACGAGCGCAGAACTTACAAAACTTCCCACGACAGCTGGTGCGTCTCGAACTTCGAAGGACGGAATGCGCGCCGATACTTCGGCGACCAGGGCTACACCGCAGAACGATCCGACCAGCGACCAAAAGGCGATGACTACGTTCCCCAGCGGTCGGGGTGCACTTTCCCGATAACCCAGGAAATGGGAGATTTGCCGGGGTAGTAGGTACAACCTAGGCGCTGGCACCCAAGGGTTGATAAACCGATCAATGTCCACATGCCATGTCCTGACATCGGACAGGGTCATCGGCCCATGCAAAGTGTGCGACATGATGACAGAAAGAAGAAACCGAGTCGTGTGTCGTGGCACGACGTCCGTCAAGCGAATATCAAAAGCCCGTATATATGTATGGACTGAACTAACCAGGTACCCGACGGATAACGGTACCACCTTCAAGGAAACACTTGAAGAAAGTTCAACTTCCCTGGAGGAAACATTGAATAAAGACAAGTCATCCTCTCGCCCGTGTGTCCTTCCCCTCGCGAATTTCTCCTCCTCTCCTCAGTGTGCCGGACTAGCCGTGTCGTCGTTACTCTTCAGTTTCTCCGCGGACTAGGTGCCAGGGCATGCTACCCGTTTCAAAAAGCTCTGCTTTAACGTCGATGGTGGCTTTGTGCTGGTCTGAGTCTTTGCCTACCAGTCATTGCGTTTGCATTTGGTAACAGAAATTCCTCTTTGAGTCTTAGTGGCTTGGCAAAGATGATGTCACTTTCAGATCCCGAAACCACCGTAGGATTACATATGCAGGTTGGTAGTATGTAAGGGATTGCGGAGGATATGTTGTCTTTCAGCCAGTAGAATAAAAGAAATTAGCTGAGAGATCTAAGTGATTACACCTCTACTCCACGTGGGTTTCCCAATCATAGGTTTGATAAGGCAGAATCGAACGCCTCCAAAGCTCGGACGAATCTCGGGCGGTAGGGCTGATGTACATGCTTCCGTGCGGAGTATACTCGGTCACAAGGATATCCTTGTTCGGATACGATCTTACTTCTTGCGGTGGGAATTGCCGAATAAAACGTCCTTCGCATTTAGGGTATCGATCACGAGTTGAATGATAGACTAATAGACAATGCCTGAGCCATCAAGAATGAAGATAGAAACCTCATTGTGAAGGGCCTTCAAAAAGCCAAACTTGAAGTATATCTAAGTTGACCCGTTTCTCTCGTCTCTAGATCCAGACTTTTGAATTGCGACTATACAGTAAATCCTGTTGTAACGCATATGTATATATCATCCCACGAATACCATTACCATTGACCCGGCTGAACTAAAATCATCCATCCTCACCGACGCCTTACCAACGCCTCATCCCCTCAACCACTCCAGTCAAACTCTCGTACATCCCTCCAAGTCTCACCTCACTCTCCCTCTCACTCCTCTAAATCCTCAAACCTCACCAACATTCCTCCAACAACCCCCCTCAACCCCCTGAAACGGTAACCCCACACACCAAGCCCTCGGATACTCCATCCCCCACTTCGCCATCAAACACCTCAAATCCTCCTCACAACCCGGCACAACATTAACAAACACCCGATCCCCATGGGACATCGGTTCCGAGTGCACCGCGCCTTCATCCTCGCCAACGCGGAAGAATACACATTCGCCTTGTTGGGCCTGGATAATGCCTTTCCCGTCTAAATCACCATCACCGCAATGACCAGTTCCATCGCCGTCACCGTTGCATTGATTGCGGTACCCGCCCAGCGCTGCGGCAAGTGTAGCCCGTACAGACTCTGCGGCTGACGCACATCCTACGCAGCGGATGGAGAGGCAGATGTGATCTGGGTTTGCGGAGCGGATGGTCATTTTGGTTGTTCGTTGGAGGGCGCGGGCTTGGGCGTTGAGGTGTGGTGCGATGAAGAGTGTTCCTGGGCCGAGGAGGGTGGTGGTGAGTTTCCAGTTTGTGGGGTTGGGGGTGGAACTGGTTATTTGGACGGAGGGGGGTGTTGGTGTTGGTTGTTTTTCGTTTGTGGTTTCGGTATTCACGCTCGTAGATGAATTGTAGTCTTTGCTTGGTTTGCGGAAGTGGGAGAGATGAGATGTTGTTCGTTTGTGGAATTTGGTCGCGTTGGTGAAGGAGGGGAGTAGAGATCGGCGGTTTTGAGACTTGGATTTGGAGATGGATTTGGACTGGGATTCGGGGGTATTGGATGCCCCCGGTGAAAAGAATAAATCATCCGTGTGCCATCGCGGAACATCGAATTCGTCGGAGCCTTGGCTTGCGCGTATTGTCAGCCAGTAGGTTGATATATCATTTGCTGCGAGGAATTCGTGGACAAATTCCAGAAACGAGAATAATGGGTCCACGATTGAGCCGTTGACGGTAGCCTGGGCCCAGGTATGGAATGAGGAGGGCAGGTTCTTTGCGTTCAGGGGGAGGAGGGGCCCGCAGTATGTCCATGATGAGGTCGCATTGAGGGTGATATCGTCGTCTGTTGTTGACGATTGTTGTTGTTGTTGTTGATCATAGTCGATCCCGTCCCATTTCGTTGGATGGGAGAGGATCTTGAACTCTGGGAGTGAGCTTGCGTCCATGGTTATCGGATCGGAGCTGGTCCTAGCTTTCTTAAGCTCAGCCTTGTTTTCGGAGTTCCGATTGAAGTGGAGATCAACTTGTCAGGAACACGATTATCTTCGTTTGCGGCTGTAGATGCAGGGTTTCTTTTCACTGGACAGTGGTTAGTTCAAGTAAACAGAATCAGCCAGATTCGCACTTGAAAGAAATTCTCAGGCTGCACTCCTGGCTCGGACCTCTCCAGCCATTTGACCTCCTGCATGACGCCCATGTGACTGCGTTATTTCGAGGGCTGCAAGCTAGTGAAAATGTGGCTTGGCCACGCCGCACATTAGCAGTTTCATCGTGGGCCTACCCGCTGGGTGAGACGATAGAGCTATGGGCAGTAATGGCAGTCCTAGAGGCTGGAGCCTCTTATGTGTTGGAAAAGTGGAGTGATTCCGGGTTTGGGCAGCAACTTGGCCAATGAGGGAACCAATAAGAGAGCATTTTGTGGCAGAAGGTGTGGAATTTGAAGATGTTCTAGAATTGACGGAGTTTAGATTTTGACTAGCAGATACCTGACTCGTTAGTCGATGGGGTCTGGATTTAGTTTATTGGTTGTTGACTCGTTCGATGTTTCTTGGATTTGAAGCTTGGGTCAGGAGTGGAACAAGCAATGGCTGCTTTTCGGACCCCATCTCCGTAGACGAAGGGAAGCTAAAGGAGCTTTGCCAAGCTGTCAGCATCATCTCATCTCATCGCCACGGCCAATTGCCGGAAATATTGCATCCCCTGAGCAGTAAGCAGTCATACAAATCAAACAATCCAAATATGAGAACATATATCCAATTTCAATGTCTATCCGCTAATCATCACTGTCGTTTCCAATTTTTAAATACATTTCCATACCTCCCAATCTCAAACATCCAAAGTCTTGCCAGTGGCAGAGCTCTCCCGAGCCAACTCAATCAGACGAATGACCTGAGCCGCCTCGGCGCCGCTGGCGGGGAGATCGCCCTCACCACCAAGAGCCCGGACCAACTTGCGGTAGTACTCGGTGTAGGTGGGGGGCTCCACGGTAGGAATGACCTCCTTGACAGGCTTGCTGTCCCGGATGGTGGTCAGAGTTCCGTAGCGCTCGCGAGGTTCACGGCCGTAGCCGTTATCCTGGGGCTTGACGCCCGCCTTGAGCTGGTCTTCTTGGATGTCAAGGTGGAACTAGGGAGGATGTTAGCATGCGACACTTCTTGTCTATCGTCCAATGATGGCCACTGGTTGAGGAGGGTCTAATCTCACCTTCTTGAAGCTACCCTTGTCACCGCGCACCCAGAAGCGCAGTTGCTCCTCCTCGGGGCTGACCACGGTCGCCTTGGCGGTGACCAGAGTGCCGTTGGCGTAGTGCAGCAGGACGGTGAAAGAGTCCTCAAAGCCCGAGGTGTTGTGCTCCCGCGCCGAGCCGATGAAGCCAGTCACTCGCTTGGGGAGACCCAGCAGGTGAACAGCCTGGTCGAGCAGATGGGTGCCCAGGTCATACACGGCAGAACCACCAGGAATGACCTTGTTCTTCCACTTGTGAGAATCGGCAGAGGGTTCCTCGGGGCGGTGGCGGTCGAAATGGGTTTCGAACTCGGAGATGCGGCCGAGGGAGCCGTTCTTGACCAGCTTGGAGAGGGTGACGAAGTCGGCGTCCCAGCGACGGTCTGGATAGGCGCGCGGCGCAGTTAGTATTGCAATTGACAAGTATAGCAGGGAGGTGAGATAGGTGGAGACGTACTCTGATACACAGCGAGGAGCTTGTTCTGCTTGTTGGCAATGGCGACAAGCTCATCGGCTTCCTTGAAGGTGGGGGTGAACGGCTTCTCGCAGACGACTATAGCACGCGACTTAGTTCAGCTCGTAATCATTGCGAATTATCAATGTGGTACTTACCGTGCTTTCCAGACTCCAGGGCCTGCTTGACAAGGGCAAAGTGCGAGTCGGGGGCGGTGGTAATAATCACCACGTCGACTGCGGGGTCCTGGAACAACTCGTCGGTGGTGCGGTAGGACTTGACACCGGGGTGGTCCTTCTCCGCATCATCTTCGGGCTTGGGGGTACGCTGAACGACCGCATAGAGCTTCAGCTCGGGGATCTGCTCGACGAAGGGGATGTGGAAGATCTTGGCGCTGAAGCCGTAGCCGACGACGCCGACATTGTAGGTCTTGGTGGCCATGATGTCACCGGAAGAGGATATAGAAAGGTAAAAAAGTTGGGAGAAGGGGGAATTGAGGTAGACTTTAAAGTATACCTCAGGGAATACAAGAGGTTGAAGAATGGATTGTAGAGGAGAACTAATTTCAAAAAACATGGGCAGTCATGACAACTTATATTTGGCCATTGCGGATTTTGCACGCCGATGCGGGGAGGTGGAAGGTCCTGGCGACGGCAACGTTTGGGAGAGCCCCGCCCGACCCAAAAACACCAGCCAAAGACCGACGATTTTTGTCAGATGGCGCAACGTGCAACTGTACAGTCTCCAGTCTCCAGTCTCCAATTCCGGACCCTCTCTCGGCCTCCCGAAGTGGCAACATCCGATTCGGCTTCTCTTCTGACATTCTGCTTCGGAGTATGTATTGCTAAATGCACATCATAAATTGGAAATTGTACACCATTTGTCCTTTGCAAATTCTCGGGGACATTCTAAGAATATGGGTAATACCATAGCCGATCACCAAAGGGGCAACGGGTGTACGAGTAGCAATCTAGGGTGTGCATTTCTACTCTGTACAAGTCTACGGGAAAGGATCTCCGGAGCACAGTATTCCCACAATAGTCAGTGGCACTGGCTGCTTGATAATCGAAATCATTGCTTTCATTTCAGAATTGTCTCATCTTCTCATTCTGTCATTCTCAGGCAGCTGGATCCGTCCCAACGTGGTCTCGTCCCCACCAAGCTGCCTGGTCGTCATTTCCTTCTGGCCACCACGATGGCTCTACGCCTCCTCAACCCCCACGCACCGGGTGACTTCGATAGCATCCTATCAATCAGATTAGCAATCACCACCTCCAACAGAAATTTTCAACAAGTCCCAAAGACAAGCGACGATCTCAAATGACTCACCTTTTGTCCCTCCGGCTGTCGCAACACACTCTCATACTGGAGATTCGGATTCCCAATAACCTCAAATGCAGGCGTATCACCCTCGGGCATAAAAGAATTGACAGCGCGCTCACGTATACCCTCAGTATTATACCCCTTCGTAGGCCCTTGCTTCGCAGCCTCCCGCTTCTGCTCAACACTACTCCGCACATACTCCAAGTACGGCGGATTCCCCGGATGAATCACATTATCAGCCGCAAGCACCGAGCCCGGAACAATCATACCCAGGTGCTCGCACAGCTTCAAATCCGTGGTATACGCCGGCTTATAATGGTCAATAAAAATGAGCTCGATCTTGGTCACATCGCCGCTGCGATACAACTTATCTAGCGACACGTCGCTCCGACCAACAATGACCCGGACAAAGTCGCGCAGACCGGCCAGCTCGATGAGCATGTTCGCAATGGCCGCCCATTCCGGGTTCAGCTCTAGACTGAGATAGCGCTGGCCGCCATTGCGTCGTACGGCTTCGCCGAAGAGGATGGCCGAATAGCCCACGTAGCAGCCTAGTTCGATCATGGTCTTGGGCTTGATTTCGTCAATGAGATCGGTTACGATTTTGCCCTTGGGCTCGCCGACGGTCATCATGTCGTAATCTTTTTCGAATTCGTTCATTAGGTCGAGCACCTTCTGCGGGTGGCCTCTGATGTCATCGAGGTTCGGCTGGCCGTAGATGAAATGAAGGAGCTTCATTTCTCGGCCTGCTTCGCGCTGTAGTCGGGGTCATTGTTAGTAAACCTGAAAATAGTTGTAGAGAATGCAAGAGTAACAATATCGACTCACTGAACGCTCTCCGACCCGGGGGTGCGGGGGCGGCGAATTGCTCAACGGCATGTTTAATGCGGGGGAAGATAAACCCGGATGGGAAGTATATAGTGGAGTGGTCTCAGGTTGAAGTCTGCTGGGCGGAAGGAAAAGTGTTGAAACGAGCCTTTTGCGCGAAAGAAAGTATCAAGCGGATCGGATCATTCATTCGCGAAAAGAACCGCTTTTAAGAACCCTCGAATCCCGAGAGTGAGTAGTCAGCGTTGCGTTGCGTTGCGATGAGCAATCCCTCCCCGCATGAACCTCTCCGATTGGCGTTGCGGGCAGCCGAGCCCGTATAGTTGCTATTACAGTAGTATGTGGTCCCGAAGGTGCTGCCTGGCAGTTGCAGTAGTGCCCTCGGGGATAAGATCTTAAGAGGAAGTCTTTCGGGTAATTTACGCCGACTCGCTTGGGAAAGACAGAATTGGAAATTAGTTGGTCGGACTAATGGCTTGAAATAAAGTCCGAGCAGGGTTCGGAATTCGGATCCTACGAGGAGATGGTGGTGCTATGAACTAACATGAATTGGGTCGCTGCTATGGGAGCTGTGGTTCTATAGTATCGCTATGGATATGACACGGGGGCTGGTATATAATTAGATTTTGAGAATCTTTGTGAGAGCGGCATATATATCAAAGCACCGAATCTCTTAGGTTGGGTCCATGAAATGAGTTTTGGTTGTGATTGTGCTTACAAAGTTTTCCTTCGAAAGGAAGCTCCATTTAACATCACCTTTTGCATTCTTGGCCCTGAGTATCATGCAAGCTCGGCTTGAGCTACCCTTATTCCCCGCTGAAGTGATTCTCTGCGTTTCCTGTTCGCTATCTACATTTCCCGATAAATTAAATCTCGCTGCAACCTGTCAAAAACACCCACAGATATTCCATGACAATATCAGCACCATTTACCATTATGTGAACCCAATGGCAATCCCTTGCCGACGCTACGCATGAAAGCTCCTGGCAGACCAAGGTGGCTCACTACCAAACGAGACTCCAACGATTCAAGATTTCCTGCAAATGACCCGAAACTCCATCGCCATGGAGAAATTAGTTGTCCATTTCAATGAGACGGTCGTTGTTAAGATGACCCATAGACGCCGTGCCCGTATGTTTGGCCTAACCTAGCAACTTTCCCTTTTCAACAGCTACCTTTATTCACAGATTACCAGATAACCCCGGTGATAAGAGGTTCTTCAAAGGCAAAGTACTACGTCCTCCGTTCTTGACTAAACGTGAGCGTCCACGATTTATCCGAGCGGCCTATCAACGATGGAGTCTGATTCTCCTTGATCTACAGGAGGGAGCTGAGGATAAGCACACTTGAATACAAAGACATTTACACACTCATGGATTTAGCGCAACTTCAATTTGGGCCTATGGATTGTTGATCCTAGATAGAGAAACCATGGAGATCGAAAAGGCTGACGCTCGACTGGTCGAACATCATGATCTGTACGACCTGGGAGCAGCATGTACGCAAATCGTCCCAAAATTTTATCACAAAGGGAGAAGCCCTTTCCTTTGGGGGAAGGAATATGGGGGTATGGGTTGTATTTCTATCTAGGAGAACTGGATTGAAGAATTTGAAGAATCGGTGATGGATGGATTAAAGGGAGATAGAGGAGAGGACTCAATCTCAGAGGTTTGGTATGCAACTTCCGATGAGGAGTTAATGGGTTAGTTAGTTTAAGTAAACCTACAAGTGTAGGTTTACTTTAGAGTAGTCTATTAGAACTACTTAGAAGCAAAAATGGTGTCAACCGGCTCTCAGGACCAGGTTGAGCTGCCAGGCTTTGTTTAATGGAGTGTAATGCGGGGATCTTCATAAGGATATTATTTCGAGGGGGCTGAGTTATAGGAAACGGGGCCGTTACACTAGCTACGTGAAGTCATCCTGATGGGTGATGCTGATCGCTCACATGAACAATCAACCTAATAAGTGGAGAATGACATCACCGGATATTCTACAAACATCGTCTGGCAACCCATGCCTATCATTTCAGCGGGGCTATTTATTCGAAAAGCAATATTTTGCATACACAGCGTTGTTTGGAACCACCTTAATCAGACATAGCCATGCATACCTCCCACAGATCGCACCCAAACATGGACCTCGATTACCCACGAGGGTATCGCCATCCAATACGACGAGAACTACTCCCAGAAGATCCAGACCATTCTCATCGCCACCAAAACCCGCATGGCCACGGCTATAGGGACCACAAAAACACGCACCACCGAAGTGAAGAACATCGTGATGACAAACACCGTTCACATCATGATCGAAATATCGCTGGCGGAGCGATTGCAGGTGCAGGTCTTGCTGAGCTAGTTCATCAGCATCATAAGAGGAAGGGGGATCATGCGAGTCATGGTGTTGGCCATTTTTTTCGCACTGTTGGTGCTGGTGCTCTAGGTGCTGTGGCTGCCAACGAGATCTCGAAGGCTCATGAGGCTCATCGGGCTAAAGAGTCACACTCGGACTCGCACTCGCATGGTGGTCATGACCATGGACATGGAAATGGGGACGGATATGGGTATTATAAGAGATAGCGTGTTTCTTTCTCATTTTGTGGCTTCTCCCCATTCTTGGTTCGTCCTCATTTGTTGTTTTACAAGTGTCTTTTTTTTTCAGTATTGTTTCCTGCGGCGTGCCTGATGATTGAAATGAACACAATAACGAGATAATGCAAATAAGTCTTCGTGCATTCCCGATACATTCAGAATCCCTCATAATCGATGTCATGCAGTAGACATTGACGGGGTTCACATCCATGAGAAGGGTCTCTCACAGCACTCATCTTGTTTATGTACGCCCCGCAGCCGACCGCATCCATGGTTTCAAGGAAGTTTAATGTAGGGGATCTCAGGGAGAAAGGCAAAATTCCATGGACATGTTGGTATCCTACTCCGTTGATTGACTTTTATAACAAAATCTGATGCACATTAAAGTGGATGGTTGGCCGGAAACCTTTTGGTATATGGAAGCCTAGCTCAACATGTAGGCCGAAACCTGATATTTGAACCACTCCTTGCTTTCAGTAACTTGCAATATTTGAGATATGTAGAACTAGCTCTTCGAAGAGGCCGTGAGCACCAGTATCGTCAAGGTACTTGCTTTGTGCAAGGAAGTATGCCTGCAAGTGAGGCTCGTCTTAGTAGGATGATGTCTCGAGACATACTCGGGAACGTCAGCCAAGTTACCAGCCCATCCGCATTCGTCTTTTGCGATGGAGAAATTACTTACTACTGCATTTCTATCTGATATTACAGTAGACGTCACCACAGCATCAATTACCTGGTTACTCCTGGCAAGCCGCAAGGTGAGCCACTGATTTGAAACTGATGTCATTCGATGCGGGGATATGATTGGTTCGAATTTCGAGACTGGGGGGTCTTGATAAGTATGGAAGCAGCATAAAAGGGACGATGGGAGGTATGATGGAAATGAAAAATCTTACTTTATAGTTCAATGTCAGCACAAATTTCTCAGGTTATTTTTCACAGCTTCTAAAAATGCTGGCTGTTCGGTTCCATGGACGCGGAGATATTCGCGTGGACAAGGTAGAGAATCCACAATGCGGCAAAGGCGAAGTCAAGGTACCCCGAATTTCCCGGTAGATAACGATAAGTGGACACTAAGTGTGGAACATAGTTGAAACCAGCATATGTGGGAATATGTGGCAGTGGTACGTTTCCTATCAATCGGAGCAGTCACAGATGCTAACTCATTTGAAGATCTACACGAATACACCTCTGGGCCAGTTCTCGTTCCAAAGTCAGAGCATCCTATAACCGGAGAGAAATCGCCTGTCACCATGGGCCATGAATTTAGCGGAATTATCGAGGAGGTCGGTGAGGGTGTTACTCAATTCTCTCCTGGTCAACGCGCTGTCGTTCGACCCACGATATACGATGAGACCTGTGCGGCTTGTACTCAAGGATCGCGACACTGTTGCAAGAATATTGGGTTCATTGGCTTGAGTGGTATGTCTACCGATAAGACTGTATTGGGAGGCTCGCTAATACCGCGTAGGATATGGAGGTGGAATGGCAGAGTATATCGTCGCTCCAGCTAGCCACTACTATCTTCTTCCGGATAATATCTCATTCGAAGATGCGTCCCTCGTCGAGCCTCTTGCAGTTGCGTGGCACGCTGTTAAACGAGCGCCATTCAAGTCAGGGAACAATGTGTTAGTGCTAGGCGCCGGGCCGATTGGAATCGGAGCAGTGCAGGTGTTGAAGCTCAAAGGTGCGAACAATATCATAGTCGTTGAGCTCCTGCAAAACCGCAAAGACCTTGCTAGACAATACGGCGCCACACATACCCTGGATCCTAAAGAAACAGACATACCGAAGGCCGTCAACGACTTAACCGGTGGCCGCGGAGTGGAAATAGTTTTCGATACCGCTGGAGTCGAAATTGCTCTGAACGGTATCATCGACGCGACTCAAGTCCAGGGTACAATTGTGAATATTGCCGTGTGGGAGGAACGACCGGCTACCGATGTCAATGATCTCATGTATCGGGAAATCAACTACATGGGAGCAACGCTTTATGATGAGGCGTCGTTTAAAGAAGTTATTGAGAATTTGCATACTGGTAAGTGAGAAAACAAAAGGCAGAGGGTCGGACATTACTGACCATGTGACAGGGAAACTCAAACCCCACGCAATGATCAGTACCAAGATCAAGTTGCAAGATGCAGTGGAGAAGGGTTTCAAGAAGCTTATTGAGTCGCGGGACTCCTACTGCAAAATTCTGGTGGACCCCCAGAGTGCATGATTCAATGATTAGCGTGGCTGTTTGATTTTGTTTCAGATCTTGGTGCCCGTTGCTTTAAGTATCATCGTAATTATAATGTGCCAATTGTGTCATATTATCGCAAGCTACGACGTGGCTTGGTCGTAGATGGCTACATTGACTTACCAACATTTCATTTCCTGTTTAGGATAACCAAGTTCACATACTCATATTTGCTTTTACAGAGCAAATGCCGACGTGAATACACATACATTGATTGCATGAGCACCTATCTTGAGCGCCGCCTTTCTAGATAACCAACAGAACGAACCCCTCCTTGCTTAAATCCCGGGCACAAACTGATCATCAATATAGTACACTTCAACCATATCAACTTTCCTGCGTTCATCGCTGCTCAACACCATTGACAATCCCTCCCTTACGGGCTTCCAAAGTTCCGCTAGTCATGCTATCTTCAGGGTATGGCCTGCTGGTATCCCCTAGACCTTCGCGCTTTTCATGTATGTCGGCCGTTGCAGATTTGTCTTTATCTGCCATCTTAATTAGACAAAAATATGACCAAATCTGGTAATATAACCTTGCTTACCTTGCTCTTGCTGTAGGTCGGGGTGAGTACCATTTTGCCTTGCCTTCTCGGAGTTCTGACGCTGCTTGATAGAGTCGCTGTCATACTGGCTCTCGTGGCCTCCGGCGTTTTGGGACTTGTGTGGTATATAGGGCATGGTGCAGGGTTTCTGAGAAGTTTACTATCGTATGTCGCGATGTATAAGTATTTATGTTCTCTTATCAATTGATCGAGCGATTTAGGACATCTCAATGACGCAGTTGGGAGGCCAAGCCGTACCTTGACCTGACTCATGCTTTAGGTACCGCAATTATCGACGGGACGAATATCATGTCCCTGGACGGATTGTATGTTGTACGTGAAACCGGATGTGTTTCTGGAAGGGCCAATTATGTACATGTATTTGGAGGCAATGCAAACTTAGTTGGAATGAGCCTTTTCAGCATCATTCGCTGAAATGAATATTGACAAGACTGGAGTGACGTCAACCTGAAGTCACGTTCCTGCGATAACTATACTAGTGCGATTTCGGTGGCTTACTTCGTATAGCTTCACGGTGACCTGATATCCTGGATATCGTACTCGGCCTATCACAAGTCAGTAATAGTCGTGCTCGCCGAGAAAACTAGAATAATTGCTCAAAGTCTGTCATAGATTTTCCAACTGGGATATCACAAAATGACTGGTTGGCTGCTCGGCACTTGGGGGCTTACTTTGAAGAAAGTCGTAGTTATTTGACTCTCTGAGTCTAACTCAAACATCCATACACGTCCAAGATAGAGGAAGACACGGTCATTGGCAGGTCCCGATAGGTCAATACCCCTACTGCTGTGCTATGCCGAGGTGAAACAACGATCTTCGATCAGATAAACCTGGCGGGACGCTAATATTTACGCCATGGGAAATCATAAACCTAAAATATTTGGTAACATGGTCAGAGCAAAAGGAAAGAAGCTAATTACAACCACCAAAGCCAAATCTTAGGAATAAATCCAACAATAAGTTGGCAAGACACACTTGTGGAAGGTTGTTGTACAGTAATGAATCATTACGCCTTAGCTTTGCAGGCGGTGGCTGGTGCCGATCATCACCCCTCACTGCGCAGCGCCAGTATTCTCTTCGCACATTCCACCTACCTTCTGGGGGCTGGACGTCTCGCAATCTAGCCATTCAAGATATTCGGAAACCCTCGTAATTAGTGGTTTTTCAAGTCTCCAAGTGGGATAATTCCAGGGCGTCTCTCGAGCTCAATGCTCGGACTGTCTTTCATATGGCGGCCCCCGCAGTGCGACCACAGCGTCCCATCTTCTCCATGAAGACTCCTCAAGCAGCAACTTCAGCCAAAGCCTTATCGCAGGTCTTCTGGCCGTTGCTTCGCATTGTCATATCTTTCTCCTTATTGTTCATTGACAATACCATTCTCGTGGTGGTCGCTGCACTCTCCCGTTTGCGCGCTGCAGCCAACCGGCGCCAGGCAGCAACACGCGATGTTCATTTCTACCCAAAGACAGTCCTTATCACTGGAGTTGGCACGCCACATGGCCTCGCTCTAGCTCGTGCTTGGGATGCACAGGGTCACCGTGTGGTTGGGGCAGATGTCGCCGATTTGAATCTCCCAGTTCGGTCGGGCGGCGGTATGTCCAACACCCTCGTGGCATTCTACCGAGTTCCCAAGGACCACTACATCTCCCGACTTCTGGACATTATACAACGGGAAAAGATCGATATCTGGATCCCGTGCTCGCCCAAGGCTACTGCCATTGAAGATGCGACCGCAAGACAGGTGGTCGAGAGCCGCAGTACTTGCAAATGCATCGCTTTCGACCCCGAATTGACATCACGCTTGATACGACCCGAGTCTTTCAGGCAGTTTCTCGCTGACCGGGACCTTCCAGTACTGGATCGCCATCAGGTGCAATCACGCGACTCAATCCATAAGATTCTGAATCGATCGCCGGCCAAATCTTATTATATGCGACGGGTCAGCTCGAGTGCCAACGAGGCTGCCGTCATCCTGCCAAAGCGTACCCTCAGCAGGACCTATTCCGAAGTCAGCGAGATCACCATCTCTAAGGATGTCCCATGGATCATGCAACAGCAGACTCGACTCGGAGAATTCTACGCAGATCTTTTGCTGGTGCATGGCCACGTTCATGCCATCAAGGTTCGGATGGTGGAAACCCGAGCACCTCATTGGGGCGCCTCGCGGATGGATGAAGCATTAGCGACAGCCATACATCGGCTGATGCAGAGGTTTGCGTTGAAAGGAGGTATTAGGATGACCGGGCATCTATCAGTGAGACTGCTAGTTGATGAGGAATTTGAACATACGTCGGTTCGTCATACAATCCATATTGCCGACTGCGTTCCTGGTGCTAGTGCTATCGAGAACTTACTCCGCGATGCGCGCTGCCCTGTCGATGGCTACGTTGAGGTGCTTTCAGTCGATCCCACGGAACCGGCAGCATGGAAGGTGGCAGCGACACTATCGCCAACACCTCGGCCGTCATCAACTTTTATGGAACTTGTCGAAAACATTCTCGCTGGTTTCCTTCCCCGGTTCTTTCCCCTGGATCTCATCAAAAGCACCCTCGCCGCCCTTGAAGCTGAATTGATCCCTTTCTTGTTCTGGAAAGACCCTCGGTTCTCATCTCACGATCCTCTTCCTTGGTGGTGGCATATCCATGTATATCAACCGATGCGTGAGATTTGGTTATTGGTGAAGCAGATTCGCGAGGCTGGAATGTCTGCTGGTTCCAGGGCCCGGTAATGGGACTTTTTATGAATTATTCACGAGCTCAATGAATGATGAGGACGATTGCATTTTTGTTAGTGTAGGAATACGGTTGACTGTTCTTTCGGGTTCAAATATGGGTAGAGTTAAGTTTTCATGAATGACACAGGTTAGCCATCAGCATAAATTCCCCTAGCACTTCCATACATCTAGAACAGGCTATCGTGAATATTCGGTCGCAACTAGAACTTAAGTGGAGCCTATAACAACGTCATCATCAAACGAACCAACGGTCCAGTTCATAAAACTGTTATCCCACAGTGCAGTATTTTATCAATTTTTCATGGTTTCATGGCGCCTGGACATACGCGGACTCCATGGCCAAGTGTGGCTGAATCGGCCCAAAATAGAACCACACGGCCTGTCGCCTGGGCGATGATCGCCGGGCTGTGAACCGACAACACAGCCAGCACCGCACTTTGCGATTCCATTCTCTGCTTCATATTTCATGCGCACATACTAGCTACGACTTTTACGAATCGTTCTTGACAAACTCAGACTACGAGGTAAACATATCTAGTCGAGTATTGTTGCTTACCCCGAGTGTCAAAGAAGCTGACGTCGACAACCCAAGCCAAGAAAATCACCGCCTGCGCGTCCCTCCAAACTCCAGAGCCTCCGTGCATTCCGCTGTGCCTGTCACCTTTCACGACATTCTTGACCTTTTTACCATTCCTATCGCGACAAATCTCTACGATCTGCCCCCTGTTTGATCGTCCTCCGCTCCACTCCTGAGCTTGTGGTCTATTTCTCCTCCGCTCGGCACCTCCGCGGCCTCGTCGGCATCTCTGAAGGGCTGAAACACCCTTGCAGTTCTGCATCTATTTCTCGGGGCTCCTACATCAACCCACCGTTATCATGCAATTGCGAATGCCCCGAGCGACGGGCGGCAACCTGGGGAGGACTAAAAATATCATTCATTTCGTGCAAGCCTTTGTCATTTTCATTGCATGGGCGATGACGATCGCGATTTGGACAAAGGGCAATGGTATCGATGGGCGGACAGTTTGGTACTGGATTTTGGTGAGTTATATTCTGTCTCCTCTGGAGTTTGTCCCGACGGACCCCTTTCATTCAAGGGTGGCCCAAGGGTTTGATGTACCTTGCAGCTAACCACACGCGGATCACAGTGTTGGATCAGTCTCCCCGCCCTGGTGTATCTCGCCGCCGTGCCTATGTGGCCTCGAGCCCGCCGCTTCGGAAATGTTTACGCCTTTGCGACTGTTGATATCATCTACGCTGTATTCTGGTTCAGTGCCTGGGTTGCCCTAGCCTCATACGTTGCGCAAGGAAAGAGCATCGGAAAGTCGAGCAGCGATGACAAGACTTCCAGCACCAAAACCACCCGTGCCACGGACAGCACCAAATCTGGTTGCGACAACTGGGCCTATGGCAGTGCCAGCAAGTGCAAAATCAGTACGGCGACTACTATCATCGGTGTTTTCGTCTTGTACGTGAATCTCTTCTCCTATCGACTCTACTTGAACCACCCCCAGTGACTAACTTGACAACCTTCTCTCTAGCATCCTCTTTGCCATTACCTCTTGGATGTCCTTCCGCAATGTAATGCATTTCCGTCGCACCGGTACCCTCCCCGACGCCGTCTCCGATCCCACCTTCGCTGCCCAAAGCAAGGCCGCCTTCTCTTCTAACCCAGCCCACGACTTCGAGGAGGACGAGGATGACTTCCGCTCTGGCCGTGCCGGCATGGGCGCCCCATCTGGCAGTGACCGGGATGAGGACTACGCCCTGCTGCAGCAGAGCGAGATGGATGACATTAGCAACGCGCACGGCCGGACCGCAATGCACGGTGCTTACGATCCCACAGGCCCAGCACCCGGCAGTGTTCTCCACGACTATAACAGCACCGGTTACGGCGGTGCCCACGGGCAACACTATGCCCCACCATCGGAGTATGGCTCCTCGATGAGTGGGTATGGCCGGTAAAGAAGGGACACGATGTACAATGAGGGGACGATATAGAGCTGGAAAGTGGAGGCATGGATGCCGGCATATGAATACCCCCAAAATCATTTCAGTGGTTTCTATCTCGTGCTCTTTGTTTGTGTGCTGGACATGACTACGAAGCGGTGTTGGCTGGCGCATGATTTTATTTTCTTATTTTTTGATTCATCGAAGAGGGTTGACCCTCTGGCTGCCTGTCGTCTTTGCGTGTTTTCTCATGGGGTTTGCCCCCGAGTGATGATTGTGTTTTATGGATGAATAGTGATGTAGGCAAATAGATTGCATGTTCGAACAGTGAATTCACTAAGAGAAAGAGATAATACTAAAGTCTCCTTGAAGATAATGTATTAATCCTACTGAATCTCCTCTTGTCAATCTGGCTCATCGAGGCCAGATTCTGCCACCGCCTAGTCGGGGTGCAAGTGGACAGCTTGCGATCTCCCCGGACGGCGATCGCGGGTTATTTTGGAACACAACACGTTGAACTTGAAGTGAAGTTTGTTCTCAAGGATCTTCAATATTTAGCATCCTTCATATTTCTGGTAAGCTCTTATTTCTGCAATCAACATCATCTCAAGATCCCCTGCCCTCCACCTGCCACCTACCACTATATCCAAGTCCGCCGACACAAGCTCACTATTACTAGAATCCAATCCATACCTCCAACTCAGCAATTTCAGGACTACAACAGTCCCTCCAACCCTCGAAATGGCCTCCGAAATCGACATCTTCAACGAATACCCCCTCCACCTAGACCCAACCTCAAAAGCCATCTCCCTCCTCCCCTCAACCTCCCAATCAACCACCCAAAAAGCCGCCATAACCACCGAACTCCAAGAACTCAACGCCCTGCACCGCTCCCTCCTCAGCCTCGACCCACCCAACACACCCCCCGCCCCTCTCCCCGTGAACCCCAAGCGCAGCGCCCAAATTACCAAGCTCCGCGACTCCGGCAACGCCGCCTATCGCAAGTCCAACTACGCCGAGGCCATTCGGCTGTACACGTATGCCATTGAGATGGCGCTTTCGCGTCCGGGCTGGGAACCTGTGACGCTGGCAAGGGAGGAGTTGGCCGGTCTTTATGGCAACCGCGCTCAGGCGCATGTTGGTGTGCAGGCGTGGCCGGAGGGATTGTGCGATGCGAAGGCTAGTGTTGATTCGAAGCCGGTGGGGAATGTTAAGGCTTGGTGGAGGCTGGCGAAGTGCTTGGCGGAGATGAGTCGGTATGCGGAAGCGAAGACGTTCTTGTTGAAGGGGATTGAGATTGAGGGGAGAGTTAGTGATGGGGGGAAGGAGTTGGTGCAGTTGTTGGAGGATGTTGAGGCTGCGTTGCAGCGGATGGGTTAGGAGGATGGATGAGAGAGTTATGGAGTGTTCTTGTCTTTGATTGTCATTGTGCTTTTCTTTGGTGCTGCATGCTGGCTGGCTTCGGCAGCTTTTGCTGTTGTTGGTTCAGGCTTGACGATTCCCTCTTATTGTTTCGGGCGTTTTATTGGCGAATAAATGGTTGTTTCATCCATGAAATGTATTACTATCATCCATCTCTTTTGCTTTGATAGATCCTACGATTGCATCCCTATCGATCTAATCAACCCATGGATTCATACTGTCCACGAAAGACATGCATCCTCGCACTATAGACTCATAAGAGCTTACCTATGTAGCACCTAGAACACTTCCTGGATCTATCTGGTACTAGCATCTCGAAAACTCGATGAAATACTCAGTCTAAACCTCGCGATGTGCTGCAAACAGGGTCCTTCAATCCGCAAACCTTGTTCATGACGTTACGAAATGCAGCCGTGGAAATGCCACTCCCCGCAATAATAAGCCAGCCTCACCACGAATACGAGCGCCGAGACCCCGACCAGCCTCTCGTGGACTGTCCCTGTCAATCTCTTCTGCTAACACGATCCCTCTTCCTCCGTCGCTGATCAGTGCTAGCCGAAAGAAAGCTGTCTAAATGGCACGGAAGGCGGCCACTAAGGTACCCGTTCCTCCTACGCTGGGCGAGGACGCCGCGGAGCGCAAGCGCGTGTTGAACATCTTAGCACAAAGAAGATATCGTAAGTCATTCCCCGCCGGCACCGGGCTACGTGGATCTTTATTAGTGACCATTGTAACAGGGAAGAGGAAGAAGGAGCGCCTGCAAGCGCTAGAGTCTCGGGCTAAAAGCTCCGCGCTTCCTAGTGATACTGTCTTGTCTGATCAGCATGACAGTCAATCCAGTGGGACCTCGTCAAAGACTGGCATGGTTGTGCATGAGACGTCGAAGAATATCGCTGAAGAGAGCGCCTTTACTACCTCTAATAATACCCGTCTTGTGGATCTCACAGACCTCAATTTCAACTATATGGATGCATCCGTCAACGGTGGCTTCAGTAACGCCGAATCGAACAGCGATCAGTACACTACAATATGGCCCAAGTCTCGAGGACTAACCTCTTCTAACTTGCAAACATCAGCGATTTTCGACCCAGACACATCGCTTGCACTTCCAGCCTCGACTGTGGGGGATACCTTCTGGGGTCAATTGGCAGAGAGCTTTGATTGGAACTTGGAGTCTCACGGTCTTGATAATATCGAGAATCACCTTGCAGAGACACTGCCGCTGAATATAGACGGCACATACGATTTATCCGCTGAGCTCCAGGCCGACGATACTTCATTCTTCACATTTCCGGATGATCGAATACTCGAAGTCCCTTCCCTGACTTTACTCAATGCTGCTGTGAAAGTAGCACAGCGCTTGAACATCCACGGCTTGATTTGGGACTTCACTGCTGTCAGTCCATTCTATAACCCCGCCAGCTCAAATAACTCCATCTCGTCGCCTCCCTCTCTGCAATCCGGTCTATCAACCTCGGCAACATCGCCCGCAAGCTCAGTCGATCTGACCGAACTTCCATCCCACTTGCTTCCAACGCGTACTCAGCGCTTGATTCCTCATCATCCGATTATTGACCTTCTTCCTTGGCCGAGTACTCGGGATAAGCTGATCCAAGTGTTCCATCTCCCTGTCAGTCTACGGCCAGAGACCGCTCGGGATCCGATGGGTCTCCTTCGATTGGTGTATGATATGGAAGACGGAGGTGGCGAAGGGATGAGGATTAGCGGTGATGATCCCTTTGAGCCATCTGTTTGGGAGATAGGACAGGTTGTCTTTGAGAGATGGTGGTGGGCATTTGAGATCAGTGTAGTGGAAAGAAGTAATCGGGCTCGAGGGAATCGAGGAGAGAGTATATTATCACTGGAAGGGCACGACTCATGAAAAACGAATTAAATTCTTGAGATTTGCTGCACTTATTACTCTCATTCAAAGGACAAAGTTTGCACTCTTACACTACCGCGCCAAAACCACTAACCTCTATAAGAACATTCAATTTTGTCCCTGAATAGAGTTCGCCGACTTGAGAAGAACCAAAATTGGAACTGAGATACTCCACGCCCAAAGTCCAGTCCGCAAATAGCTTGCAGCTTCAGACTTAACGCCCATGTAAGCCATGGTGTAAAGTACGCGAGCGCAGAGATAGTCAAAGGCAAACCAGTTCAAGTCTTTCGCGGGAAGCTTTGCCAGGTTACCGGCCAGCTGTATTGAAACAGCTCATTAGCTTTATGAAATTTAATATGGATGAGAGTAGATAGACTTGCCATTGCAGCGGCGAACATGGGAACTCCCTCCAGAGCATTGAGATGGGCCCCCGGGCCCTGGCGAGTTTGTCCCAGACTTGACCGGGAATGCGCCCCTTCAGATTGGACAGATTCTCCCGGGGCCTATATTTCTGTTAGTTCAGCAATTAATTAGTAGTTGGGATTAGCGACATACAAAATGTTGCTTGACTGCCCTTTGGCGTTGGCCATCATTTTCACAATGTAGTATCCATGCGGGGTGATGCCGAGGCCGTACGCCGCAATGATGGAATGGATGGAATAGTTGTTGCTAGACATAGTGTCAAATGGAGGTACTTCGGATCAATTGAAGAGATTTGATCGTTGAAAGTAAATGGATGTCGAGCTGGATATTTCGTAAGTATGATGGGAGTGTCTCAGGGCACACTTCATCGCTTTTATACTTTGAGGCGCATAACGTTAACATCTTGCATGTTAACGCATCCTAGATTTATCACAACGTGGACAGAGATAGTCATTATTCCGAGGGAAATACTTACGGTCCGTTTTTCAAATGCATATCGGTAAACGGGATAATACGACATGGTAACTAACTCCTTAGTCTATCTCGTGTTATGCGAGGCGTCGGATTGGCGGGTTCCAAGGTCGGGGGTTGGCGGCTTACAGCCACTGCCCCGTTGATTCTGCACACGAGCATAACGTTATGTTCGTAGCGACTAATTTAGTGACCATAACGCTTGGGCTAGTAGCAAGGAATACGAACTTGGTAAGGCTCAAGGTATATTTGGATGATCTCGAAGGGATTTTCTACATAACGCACTTTTCTAAGTTCATAACGACCGAGGATCGAGTATATATAGATCTCGACAGTCCCTGCACACCTCTGCATCTCATCAACAGTATCTCAACACTTCCGATCAGAAATACAAAGAAGCTTTTCAAATCTGCAAACAGATTTTCCAATTTATTGTTCCGAAAGACAACACAAATGCCTCGCTACACTTCCCCCGTGGACGGTGCACAACTGTACTATCGCGACTACAAACCACTGGAAGCAACAGGCACCAAACCCGCCCTCATCTTTCTTCATGGATGGCCATATTCTTCACTAGCATGGGAAACTCTCACCGTGCAGTTATGTGAGAATCATGGCTTCCGATGCATCGCCCCCGATCGCCGTGGATTCGGCAAAAGTGACTGGGATGGCCCTCAAAGTGATGCTCAGATCACTTATGAGACCTTTGCCCAGGATACCGTGCACTTGCTGGAGAAATTCCTCGATGTTGGGTCTTTCGTGTTTATTACTTCTAGTATGGGTGCTGGAGAGAGTGTGCTGGCGCTTGAAGCGAGTGATTATCTTAGGAAGAATTGCAAGGTATGAACAATATTCTGCTCCTACCTTACTAGTTGTAGAGAGCATTGCTAATTGTTGGCAGGGACTCATTTGGGTGGCCCCAGCACTTCCAGGTAAATTACCAGGAGAAGACAATCGAAGCACCGGGCCGAAGGTAGTCTGGGATGACATCTGCACTGGTTTCCAAAAAGCCCGAGCTGACTTTGTTCATGCTGCCCTCCCTGGAGTCATTGTGGGTACTTCAGGGCTCAGTGTATCTCCTGAGGTATTGAGGCAACATGAGAGAATTGTCGAAGACGCCGATGGGCTGGCAATCCAGCGCTGTGCTCATATTGTCCGCGAAGCTGATTTCAACGAGAAACTCTTGCGACTGGGAGAAGACTCTCAGGTGCCTATTCTTTGTGTCCATGGGGACTCTGATACAGGTGCCCCATATGAGAAGAGCACGAAGGTGGTCAAGGAGATCATCCCGCGAGTTCAGGTGGAACTGTATGAGGAGGCGGCTCATGGTAAGGATCTCCAGTTATTTTCGTCGAATAAACAACTTGCTCATGTTTACTATAGCTCTTAATGTCACCCATGCTGAAAGATTGCTCGGAGATGTTCTGAAGTTTGTTAAGTCTTGAACGGTGACAAGTGGCTGACTTGCGTTCATCTGAGCTTTGAGAAGTTCCTGTTTTGCTTATTTCAACCTGGAGTTACAGCTTTCGCCATATTGTATTTCTTGGTTTGCACATAATTATTCAATTGCTCACAATAAACAACGTTAATATTTCTTCAGTGTTTATTTGTCTCCACGCCCGTGGCTTCAACTTCGGTATAACATGGTTGCACAATTTAGTCTGTCTGCTTGCTTCTTCGCTATGCAAATTGTGTATTAGATAATGATATAGCAGCTAATCAGACTATCTATCCACATTATGGTATTGTTGGCTGAAAAGAAAAGTCATAGCTGAGAATGGAGGATGTAGACGCTATCAAACATTTGGCTTAACTCTGGCTGCATCCGGATCGAATGGAACTTTTGACAACCGAGAGTTTTGAAGACTCGGTTCTCTCTCACACCATATCTGCAAAGATTGTCACGGCACGTCGACTTCTTGAGAAGCTTGGTACCAGGAGATCTACAGCAGGGACTCCTTGGAGTCAAGCGCCTTGGAGGCCTTGTCGAGAGAAGCGTACATGGCAGAGTTGTCAATCTTGATGGTGGAGACGCAGAAGGGCAATGCTTTGCTGGCGACACGATCGAGGAAAGCCTATAGATTGGCAAGGCAAGTTAGATTGCGGCTTAAGTGACTTGAGCTGACAATCAGCTTACAGAAACGTTATCCTTGTTCCGAGCGATGGCATCACGCAGAGTCTTGCGCTGGGTTTTGTTGAAGGACATGGCGTAATCGATGAAGGCGTTGTTGGCTTCAATACTGCTAAGAGCAAACTAGATTCCAGACAAGATTTCTCGTTAGAATAAGAGGAATCTGAAATCAGACCTTCGGGAATGATAATTTGCTCATATTACCCCGTGGAAGGCCTGGCAGAGAACCATCTGAATGGCATCACCTGGCGCCTCGTCGATCTCCATCATGTTCATCATAGCCAAGTCCTCGGCCTCGGTAGTGGCAGTGGCGTTGTAAGAGGATACAACATTCTGTATTGAAGATTAGCCATTCAGTTCATCAGTGTATTAGAGTTTTTCTGGCCTTGGATCGGGAGATTATGTACATCAGCAGTGACACCAGCGGTATGGTGAGCTAGGTGATTCAAGAGCAGAGTGGTCTGCTTCTGGCCGATATCAAGTCCAGCAATGTTGTTTTGCAAGCCAATGGCGAGGTCAGAGGCGCTCGTAGCCGCGAAGACGGAGGTGGTCAGGGTCAAGGCCACAGTCAGGATGACGTTCTTGAGCTGCATTGTGTTTGAGGTAAAGACTGTATAGAGTGCAGCAATGAGTGTACTTCGTAGACCAAGTCTCGAGATGATGGCAACGAGGGTGGAAACGTGTAGGAATGGCCGGCACATGAGGTCCTTTTATTATGAACCATGTCGTTATGACAAATTATCGTAGCTTGACTGTATGTTCAGTCTGCCTTCAAAAGTACCGTTAGCATTCACAAACGCAGCAACGACTCAGGGGTTTGGTAATTTGACTGTGCCGGGCTCCAAGTTGCGATACACTACTGCACCTGGCCAGGAACTAGTGGCCTAAGAATGAGGGGATTTGACCTTTGCTGCTCGTGGAGCCAAGAACCATGCATCAGTGGGACTATGATCTACGCCAATGCAGGTGGAGGCTTGAAGAGGTGCGCGGGCATTGGGATCTCGATGTCAGGCCATAACTATTGAACGACGCGGAGGTCTGAAATTGAGACCGTGTGGACCTTCAAATTTTAGCTGCCGACGAACCCTAAGTGTTAAATCAGGAACGGGCCAGCTGGTGGGCAGCGCAGGCAGATCATTTCTCTTCTGAGATAGTCTAAAATATTAACTCAAATACCCCATCTTAGAGGGCTTCGGCCCCCACAGCCCGAGCAGTGAGCACAGGGCACATAGATTTCCCCTTATGATAGTGAGATTAAATACTCTGTTGTTTGTTGGTCAAGATCCCTTGTACCTTCAAGATGGCATTGTAACATATGAATGAGATGGATGGCGATTCAAGCATTTCAGAGGAGCAATACGAGCGTACTAGCTACTAAGCCATATGTATTCAGGGGTTATGGTGTCTAAGCCTGTCAGAAAAACAAAGACTTCCAAGACATGATAATCATATTTTATGCAGCACAAGGCAACCCTCTATCTGCATTGAGATAGATACGTATAGTGAGTTCTGTCACATAAATATCGTTTTCGCTCAAAAAACTCTATTGATAACAATCTTTGGTCTATATCAGCTTCCGCGTTCATGACGGCGTGAGCTATCATAAGGTACGTTGTTCCCAAAAGAACTTGCCTTTGATTTGGCCAACTCCTCATAACAGACAAAGTACATGATGGATTCGAAAAATCCTGTCCAAAAATTGAAATCTCGGGCTCTTACAGCTCTGCCGGGTAGGATCACCAGTTCCTACAGGCACGACGCCGATCCCCATCTTATCTCGTGTATGGACCATTATGAGGTCTTTTTAGAAATGATCTGCAGGAGGAGTAATCTGTAGAGATGAGCCAATTCAAATCGCGATCGGAGACCCATCTATTTGATCGTGTACTTTTTACAAACTCACCATTTTCCATTTGTGATTGGATCTATAGAGATACAATTTCTATTCATGAATGACGAGTAAGAAAGCCACTCGTCTTCAACAATACAATTATCCCTCCTGATGGTCATTCTGCTCAAGATCGTTCGGCGTCTTATTACCTAGTGAATCGACTTTTCAAATCCCGAAAAACAGTTTGGAAAGCAGAAGATAGTAGGATGGTGTTTTAAACTAGCTGCAAAGCGCTCACTATTTGGAAATCAATCCCCCTTCCGACAACGGCAATAGAGGGTATCCGGCTTCAAGTCTGGTAAACGCTGACCAGATGTGCCTGCACGGCGCATCCCATCTTTGAAACAACCTTTGTCACCCCAGAAAAGGCGACCGTAATCCCAATCATCCACAAGCTGGATCACTCGGTCGAACTCGCCATACGTCGCCGGAAGACTACCCTTTGGCCGTTTCTTCAACATCCATTCCGACCCAATTGCCAAGATAACGAACAAAACCATCAAAGCAATAATCGGTAAAAGCGCAATATTAAACGAAACATCCGCCGTGAGCGCATACCCAAAGACCCACTGTATGATAGCCTTCATCGCCAACATGATCAGCGTCTGTCTGCTAACATTGGATTTCATAGAGGCGTCGGCATCGACGCCGACGGTTTCCAACTCGCGCCATGCTGCTTCGTCACGCGAAAGATTGAATAGTAGCTCCACGCAATGCAATGCAAAAGTGAGAAACGATTGCGCTATGATTTGGATGATTAATCCAAGCCAATAAGGGGGTGATTTGGTGATTCGCTTGTAGTCCCAGTACAGGGCTCCGTAGAATCTCCAGTATCCGTCTGCGCCGCTTGAGAAATCACCGAAGTTCTCCGCCATGTAGCCGTTGGTTGCAACCACGATTCCTTGTGATAGAGACCAAAGAGTGAAAAGCGCGCAGAATCCCCAGATCAGGCCTCGAATGATTTGAGTATGTGGTGCTATATCGAGCATTGGGTCTTGGATCTCCCGGGAAGTGAAGGTAAATTCCGGACATAGATCTTCGGACGGGTCATTGGCTGTCTCTTTGCCATCGACCCAGGCCCTCGCATTGGATAGAAGAGAGTTGTTCCAGATCCGAACTCCGCTACTGTATAATAAACTATAAGTCGACACACTGACCTGTAAGAGAACCCCAATGCCGAGAGCAAATATTGCTAGTCCGTTGATATCGATAATATCCGAGCTTTCCGACGGACCGTATTCCACTTCGCGCGTCTTTTCATCCCACTCTCCGACAATGACCACATCTGTAATGGCAGCCGAGGTAGCCCCGTACGAAATAGCCAGCCCAAGAAGAGAAATCCAGTTCATGTACCAACTATTGGGCCCGTGGGCCTTGGCACTGGTAAAGAGTCGCACATTCGAATTGAACTTGAGGCGACCCTCTCTGAAAAGAGCCCATTTGAGGGTAGTGGCATGTATGTAATTTGTAGTGTCAAGGATAATAGTCACGAGGAGGTTCAACAGTAGCTGTACCAGTATCGAGGTTCCCTGATGCAGCTGTTGGATTCGATGACTAGGAGGATAGGTTTTCCCAGGTCTCATAGTATGCAAGAAGAAATTGACCATGATAACTTTCAAATTCATGTATGATGGGATGGGAAAGTGGTCGGAGCTGAGCATGATCGATCCTGCAATGAGACACAGCGATGCAAAAATCCATCCGAATGCTAGTCCGGCTATGCAAAAGTTGCGTGTTCCCAAGTCTGGGTCCACCTTTCCATGATGCGACTTGCAGACTGCTTTAGTCTCAATACTATCGTCGGTCATGCTCGACAGCGATGAATCAGTTCGAGATGTCCGCATTGACAAGACTCTGAATGGATCCACTTCAAGTTTGAATCCTATAAGCATTCATGTATGTCATGAATTTGTACATAATTTTTGACAACTCACTCAGACGTTTTGAAGGTCAAAAGCGACCTTTGAGTCCTGTAGGCTTCACGGCGTGTAGGATGGCGAAATTCACTTCTAGCGTTGTTCTTTTCCTCCCACCACCCTGATGGAAGACATGGTAGGCTTATATCATGGGCTGTGGCAGTGCCAGTAAGGAGAAAGAGGAGTTGATGAGTTCTTTGCGAGTTAGTGAAGCCAAGATGGGGAAGGAATGTCGGGTTTATCATCTTGACATCCCTTGTATGTAGCCAAGTAAATCTGTTTCCCTTACAAGGCTCACGGGAATTTAAGGCAGCCAGTGTGCCCATGCTTATTTGGCGTTGATAGCGGGAAGTGGAGCCTTAAGTCGCAGAAGAATGCCAGCCCTTCACTACCCCGTGGTGAGCAAATGGTCGAGACATCTTGAAGGTAGAATGGAATATTTCTCGAGACCACAAAGGATCTAAAAATGCATGACGTTGCCAGCAGTGGTAGATGTATAAAGAAGCTTTAAAATCTAGACTCGTCAAGTTGTTTTCTTCAACTAAACACGAATTGGCTGGCATGCATTTAATTCTGATTCTCCTTGCTCTTTTCCCGCTCAGCCATGCACGCGCAGTGAATATCAGTCATCTGCCAGCTGCCCCAGATTCCTCCGATGCTTATAATTCCACAACCGAGTTTGCCTGCAATTGCCTTCCAGCTGAAGACTGCCCGAAACATTGCACGTGTTGCTTACATACTGAGCAATATGATCAATTCCTTTTATATGGAGGTACGTTTGTCAACCTCACTGCTGGTGCAGGGGAAAATCGAAGAAAACGCTAACAACTTCTTAGACTCGCGCATTTTGGGGGATAATTAGTTCGCTCCTGTGAAGGATATGAGACGATATCGATTAGGAGGGAGAAATGATCGGAAGATTGGCACACTGCAGTCAAGTTCAACTTGTTTTCCTTGAAAATATTTCTGCAACCAAGTATAAATTTCAATTAATGCCTGAGAGAATGGCGGGGTTCGAGTGCAGTACGTCGCGAAACCGGTGCAACCACTCCATTCTTCGATTGACTTTTCTGGCCCTTACGCGAAGACACACTAGTCTATTTTTAGAGTTCTTCTGGGAGTTGCGTATGTATTTCTTCGTACGTAGGTTACATAATAATTTCAGGTATATATTCGAGTGTAAATTCAATACAGCGGGCCTCCGCTGACCCACAAACGCGCCATATCAGTAACGCTCCATAATGAGCTGTGTCTTGAGCGAGTCCTCTGCCAGCAGCCAACCCTGGCTCTCCAAATAGGCAGCTAAGTTTGTCTGCTCAACCGAGGCTGTCATACGACTCGTTGTTTTGAAAGAAGCCTCAACGATGTACTCGATTCCTGTGCCTGTGGAGTTCAGGAGGGGCCAGGTCTCGAAGTATAGCTGCATTCCTTTCCACAAGCCAGTGGACCGCCTGACGAGGACTGGCCCAAAAATGCGCGACACCGCTAACGCGCCGGTGCCCCATTTGTTGCTCCCAAAGTTATCAAACTTGTCCGGCGCCTCATCGATCAGCATTTTACGCGAGTTGGGGGTATCCGGTAGGTCAATTCTGTTAACCCCGGTGTCCATCACTGTTTTCTTGCGGCTGATAGAAAGCGTCTGCTTCTGGTAACCCCATTCCACTTGAGCCTTATATTTTGTACTCCTGGCGTTTAAACCATCGTTATTAGCCGCAGTAAGAGCGGTATCAACATCGCAGCCCACGATGGGATACCGCTTCTTATACGTCAACTCGAAGTCGTTCTCGTTTTCGGCCTTGCGGATACGGGCGCTCCAGCCGGCGAGGTAGATCTCCTTGGAGCCTTTGTCAAGGAACTGGACATTTATCCTAGTGACAGTCGGGGCAATATGGAAGGCCGATAGAACAGTACTCGTTAGCTCATGTTCAGGGCCAAGAACCGCTGTCGGATTGAGCAAGAGCCTGACCTCGTAGTCGGGGATTATATTTGGCTCTGACTGGGTTGGGAAGCCCACGATAGCGGCCATGATAAGCGGCACAGGATGGATATTTACTAGCTGAGAGCTCGTGGATGTGAATTAGATGAAGAAGTTTCAACTTTTTATTATACCCTCCATGAAAGATCATATAGCTTGTGCCATTTATATGCCAAGAACAAAATAAAAGTTTAATTTATTGGCTACGCATGACCCGTTTCTCGGCCGCAAACGGCCCTCCTCAGGTCGTTCTATCTGGACAGGGTCTAGACCATAGAACATATAATAGACTCAATATAACCATTTAAACTCGTTTTAAATGCAGACGTCATGAAAATTTACAGAACTGAGGCAGGGAGTATTCGTGCTTGGAACATACTATCACAATCCTGATCGGATGGACTGAACTCACTAAAGAAAGTTCTGCGATTCAATTCATCGCAAAATCATTTTCTTCCTCCTAACAAATGAGAAAAAAAAGAAGGGGAAAAAGCATATACTGATTACCATCATAAACCACTATGTGCACGCTGTACAATTTATTTGAAATAGTTTATTTATCGGCTCAAGTAGCATTGTGTCATCTAGTATTGTATTTAGACATGTTGAATTAGTCCCTTGTCGATTTAATCTAGATTTCACTTCGCTTACGACCAAACTTTACGTAAATCAAGTGACCATGGAAAAGTTTCTTGTGCCATAAATCTAGACTGGCGAGACTCTTCTAGCAGGAGCTCTGGAACTTCCTCCCATCTATAAAATCGCCTTTCTCACCCTGGGCTTCTTTAAAAGAATTATAACCCGGATCATCGAACAACCTTATCCATATTCTTGAGCATCAAAGAGCCTTAGCCTCACCTTGAGTAACCCACAATCGTAATGTCTAGCGACAGAAAAACCTTCGAAGCAGAATTATATGGCGAGCATGAAGGTCGACATCCTTCCATGAGCGACCTCAAGGACCGACTCTCCGTTCAGATCAGAGATACCTTTCCAAACAAAATTGCCGAGCGTCCTGGTACAGCTTGGGTGGATTACCACAGCCATACTAAAAAAGTGGCGGAGCACGGCAAGTCGTATGATGATGCGACGAACGATGAAATCTGGTTTGACCATGATGGTTCCGAGACCAAGCACGGACACTGGAAAGGCTGGACTACGGCTCATATCAAAGCAAGTTTTCATGTTGAGGATGTTTGATCTTGTTTTGATGCTGGTGGTGTGGCGGGACAGCACGGGAAAGTGATTTAGGAAGTACAGTGAATTACATACAATTCAGCTTCAATCTGGTCTCCAGATTCGCTGCATTTCGTAAGAGTAAACTGATATTTTTATAGAAGCGAAGAGTAGTTACTATAATGACTCGTATATGGTAGGACTCTGGGAGCAAACGATAAACATGTTTGATTTTGAATTTGATTCTGCTGAAAAGATAACTGAAACTAGCGTCAAGGGTAGCAGCCGTACTAGGCGTTCGATTTACTATCACTTAGCTTCATAGTGTAGTAAATAGTCTAATAAATGACTAGCTTACAGGAAAGCCATCTAAGTCAACAACACTTAGGGATTAGACCCGTCGGTTAAATCCTAGAGCTTATAAATTAAACTCACTAAAATAATATATATGTATATAAATTCTTATACTTATAAATATAGATAGGATTAGGATTATAAGTATACTTCGTACTAAATATTTAAAGTTTCCCTCCTTCCCTTAGATATGAAAGGGCGACTGACGTCTACGTTTATCATGAGTGTTTAACTACTATATTCCTAGTCTACTATTTTCCTAGTCTACTATATTCCTAGTCTACTATATTCCTAGTCTACTATATTCCTAGTCTACTATATTCCTAGTCTACTATATTCCTAGTCTACTATATTCCTAGTCTACTATAAACGCTATAGTCTCTATAGCCCTGCTGGATAAGATAGTCGCTGTTTGCGGATTTATAACTTAGGGTTAAAGAGGAAGAAGATCCCCGCCACTAAGCATCTTTACCTTATCTTATTCTTAATATCCTTAGCAATCTTCTGTAGTCACGCCTTTCCGTCCTGGTCGGGTATCAGAACCATCAGGACTAAATGTGTTCTCCTCGTTCGACACATTATCGTATATCTTCCCATGATCTGCCACCTTGCGAGTATAGCCGTAATAATCCACAAAAGCAGTTCTAGGGAGATCAGCAATGACTCCCACAAGAGCCTTTTTGACGTCTGCTGTGAGCCGAGTCTTGAGGTCTCTCATCGAGGCATCTCCACGTCTAAGCTCTCCGGACGGCTTGCAGTAAAAGTTTCAATGTGACCAGACATTGTTGGCTTTTTCAAGATTGTGCAGGGTTCTTTGGTGTTCTGAAAGATATTTTGAGGTAAGAATATACTAGTTCGAAACTCAGCAATTATATATGTAGAAGACGTCGCTATTCCTCACCGTCAGATTCTCGACCATGACATCACCAGCCTTGATTAATGGCAACCAACCCTGGCCACGGCTCTGGTAGACATTAAACGACTGAAAGCCAATTGACTGGGTTGTACGACGTGTACTGTACAGTACACAAGTAATGTAAGCCACTATTCTGCTAAGGTCTGGCACCGAGTAAGACTCCCAGCCCGTCACTTGGACACAGGGGTGACGGAGGGACGTGTCAGGTCGCTAGGTTCTCATGCGATTCGGAGCTCTTGACTCCCTAAATCTCCAATAATCAATCATATATACACACAGAACGAAGAAACCAGAGCTAAAAGACAACTCCTCTCAACATGAACCAGCCATCATCTTACACCAAAACACTCGATCCATCACTCTTCTTGCACCCACAAGCTCCCGCCCCAGATGCGACCTGCGTCGGTGTCCGCGAATAGCTAGGCGGGACATCAAGAACAGGGTTACGATCAAAGAAGTTGCGAGGGCGAAGAAGCAACGTCATAGGCTCAGCCGGCATAATGGGATAATCTTCCGGCGAGGGGAAGTGAGTAAGACCGAATGTGTGCCAAAGGACAATGTCGGTGTTGTCAATTGAGCAGTCGGATCCTGCGGACTCAATCCACGCGGGTAGACCCTGTGAGGGTTCGCCGGAAGTTTGGGGAACGTGGCGGCCTGCGGGGTGGATTTCGTCGTCGGAGTCTGGAATGGAATGTTGTTAGAAATTTGGAAAGAAGGAGTAAGGGGGTTGGAAAATACATTTTGTGACGTGGACCGCGTGACGCGCGAATCCGGCTCGCTTCCAGACGAGACCGCCCTCCTTGGGGAGGAGGGGAGGTACGTCGCGGCTGACGAGCTTGTAGGAGACGGGCTTTTTGCTGTATGGGTTTAGCTTGTTGGTATTTGCCATATCCCAGGTGCGGCTGGTGGAACCGTCGTAATCGGACATGGCCTCGCGGGGAGTGTTGAATTTGGTCTTCTTTGCGTAGAAGGCATTGCCGTACTTGTTCTCGGCGCTGCCAACTTCGCCCGGGCCACGGACAGCATCTACCTGGAAGGCTGTGTTGTTGGGACCGTCGATGTTGGGATCCACGCGCAGGCAGAAGAGATGCTGGTGATTGTGCGCGTTGACACCGGGGTAGACCTCAGTGCCCCAGCCCTTGGTGTCCTCGCCGGGGTTCATGGCGTATGTGTTGAGGATACCGGTCAGCTTGATCTCCAGCTGGACGGTACCATCCTGGTGGAAGATCCAGTACACGCAGTACTCGTAGTTCGCAGCGGTGAAGATGTGCGAAATGATGAGCTTGCGACCGCGAGTCACCACGATTGACTCGTCGCGGAAATCAGTGTGCTTAAAGAGAATGCCGGCGTCTTCTTCGTGGATGCAAATAGCGTTCTTGATGACGGTAGAGGCACCGGCTCTGTTGACGAACGAGGCATCCATGTAGTGAATGGCACCCTTGCAATCACAGCCAAGGGACAGACTGTTGGTCATGTAACCACCGCCATATTCACCAAGATCAAAGGCATGCTTTCGCTGGTGAGGGTGCTCGGGATTTCCATAAGGAACAACCATCTCTGCCAGAGAGAGGCGCCAGAAGACTGGTCGAACATTGCCCTTATCATTGAATGTGATGTTGTTCAGGACGATACCTTCACGGTAATTGAAACCAACGTGAATGCTCCAATTCTGCCACTCAATGGTCCGTCCCTTGACCTCGAATGAAACACCCTCGGGTTGAGTGATGTGAATTGGCTTGATGTCCTTGCGGAAGCCACCCTCCTGCTCAATGGACGCCGGGTGGTAGTTGTTTGGGGGAGCCTTGTTGATGGGTCGGCGCACGGGAGGCACATCAATGTGAATGATCTGCTTGGTCTCCGCATTGTAGATGGGGCAGAAGTCGAGGGGATAGGTATATTGCGAATCATCGGGATGAGGTCGGTAGTACATGAGGGCTTGTTGCAGACGCACTCCACTGCCGAAACGCTCATCATATCCAATTGTCCAGGCTGAATGGAAGATTAGCATACTGCGCACTTGATTGTCAAATTATCAATGATTTGCACTCACGATCACAGTAGACCTTATGCATATCCTCTGGAGGAATGCCAATAATCCCACACTGCTCAATAACCTTAGGATCCTTGCGCACAACATGCTCAACCTCCTGCAGATCCTCCATAGTAATCAAAGGCTGCACATCCGGCGTGTGCTTCCATTCCAAGATCTTATTACTCTCAAGATCAACCACACCGTCGTACACCTTGCCACCTGGAGCAATGGCAACGATATCGGCCTTTCGTACTGGACGAGGAGCAGTCTCTGGATTGGCCACCCAGGCCATCATCTCGGCCTTGCGCGGCTCATAGAGAGTCACAGCGTTGTAATGAAGGGCGCCATGTTCCTTTCGGATAATAGCTACGACAGCATCAATCTCTGCTGAGGTGAGGGGATCGAAAGGATGCGGTGGTGCAGCTGTCGCAGTGACGTGGTGAGCCAGCTGCTGGAGCCGGTTGAGAACCATGCTGGTGTGATGTATATCCAGCGGTGATGGGATATAGTTCGACGGGTGTTGTTGTAGTGTATAGAGGGTAGGTCGCAAGGTAGCTCGTTATGTTGAGAAGCCACTAATGTATCAATGATGACCACAGCCAATCCGTGAAATGGACTTGATTCAGACACTCTATGTGGGAAGCTCAAGGTATTTAAATGTAGCACCCCTCCATTGTCGAGCTCCCCAGCTGTATCGATTAGATAAGAGAGGGTTCATTGCGGAGGCCGGATCCCTTTGCCTAATTGGGTTTAGCGTGTATAGTCTATGCATCAAGCACTCGAAAGAGGCAACCCGATGCTTGCGAGCAGATAACACTTGGACCAACTGTCTCCTGTGATGGTTACTCATGGCATTTGTAACGCGGGGCTTGCGGGATCGCATCCTGCCCCTCAATGCGGAAACAGGATACTTAGCGATACAATCCCAGTGCTAATGGATAATAGTAACAGCTTTCCAGTACTCGAGGTTCATACTTCATTCTCTACGCAGTGAGAATATTTGACGCCAATTTGGCAATGAAAAAGTAATTGAAGATTCCGCTGTACATAAGACTCCCCACTCTAACAAGAAGCATAGACAACGCGATGAATACCATAGCAGATAGGCAAAAGAAGGCCCGAAAGCCCAAACGCCTTGAATATGGAATCAGGTACCAGCCAAATCAACACGCAAAGACAAAGATCAATAGAGACTTAAAAATCATAGAAATGTAAAGCATAAAAAGAAAAACACCGTACACCCTCCCGATACCCCGAAAAGAACACCTCCCCCATACGCACAGAAAGATCCCGACTCGAATGGTGGAACCTATGCAAAAGCGACAGGCGAGAGAGGACAATGCCGAAGAGATCGAAGGAAAAACCAGCACAGAGGCCTTGTGCTTATGTACATGCATCAAATCGTATCAAACCATCCTCCCATACCTTCCACGTTGATCCTATCGACCGGGAGTTGGGTAGCCGGAGTGATGTTGAGGTGTGTGGGAGTTATTGGGAGTGCTGGGAGTGCCGGCGGCGGAATAGATGGTGGCACCATTCAGATTCGGTGTTTGCTGAGCCATATGGTAGTTCAATGCCGGCATTTGACCATTCAGACCCCAGATCTGGCCTGAATACTTGCTTTCGTCAATCTTGCCATTGAAGACCACCTGGCGCATCTTCCAGTAGATCTCGCCAGTTACCAAGGAATCCGACCCAGCCTGGTGGGCGATACCCATCCGCTTGACACCTAGCTCGTCCGCAATGTCTTGGAGACCCGATTTTTGGCCGAGATTTGTGAGGATCTGTGCGGCGGTTTGTGTGAGGGGCGAGTCGTTCACTGCTTGGTTGCGACCGGCGTGCTTCATTAGGTACTTGATGTCGTAGAGAGACGGGAAAAAGATGGTAAGAAGTTTGTGGAACTCCTCTTCATTTTCCGGCAAGGGAGAGCAGAGCATGATCTTCATCAAGTAACCAAAGTCGTAGCCGGAGTGGAAAGAAACCCAGTGCACATCGTCAAGCAGCACGAGACCAGAGCTGATCAACAATGACCCAAATTCAAAGGGATCAATGCCGTTCTTTTCATGCAGGTTGAAATCAATGCCGGACTTTGCCAACATCGCCGTTGACTCCTGCGCATACATATCGCCTTCCAATGAGAACCGGAAGTTGAATTGCCATGTGCATGGCGCGGGCATCATTGCGTTGCCGTATGGTTGGCCATTTGAATCTGTAGCGGTGGCTGGCGGAACCTCTCCATCTTCATTGAACAGGGTGATCCCGAGCTGAATCATCTTCAGCAGATCGACGTTGCATCGCAGGGTTTGATAATGGTAGTCCGCCTTGTTCGTGAAAGAGCCGATCGGTCGCGCAACGATGCCTGGAAATTCGGTATCCTTTAATTGGTAAAGCACACAATCAGCATTGGTTTCTATAAAGCCACGGCGGTATCCGCCTCTTCTGCAAGAGATCTCTTTCCCCCGTAGGATTTGAGGTATCGGTGTTCAGCGCCTTACCATGCTGATATATGGGTATTTGTCCACTAGTTGTCTCAAAACGGCCATTTCGTGGGCCAGATTGTGTTTCCATACATCGCGGATCCGAGTCTTGACAGCGCCTCCCTTTGCATCGAGTGCTAGCCGCCCATCATGACCTTGACTTAGTTGCTGTTGTTGCATTTGTGCTCCACGCGCAAACCCCATCTGTGCGGCATGGCTGGCAAGTCCGGTGCCACCACCATCAGCACCAGCACCTCCAAACCCAGCGACTGACATGCCATTTGCTACGCCAGTACTAGGCAGCGTAAACGGGTTCATATTGGTAGTCGGATTTCCGGCGAAACCAGGGTGGCCACCGAGCGAAGGGGGAGGTAGAGCGGTGTTGGCTGGTTGGGCGTGAGCAGGATGTTGAGATTGAAGGTGAGCCTGTTGAAGCGTGTAGGGAGCGCCTAGGCCCTGGGGCCCGAATCTGCCAGGAGGAGGAGGCATTGTGGTGTGAGTTGAAGATTGCGCATGGATGTGAGGGTCAGTTTCGTCCCTCGAAAGGCGGGAGAGCTATCCCACTCCGTATCGGGTATAGCGTCCAGCCATTCTGCCAAGCGCACCGCTCCGGCTTCACGTCCTTCGCTTTCTGTGGCTTCACTCGAGATTCCTTGCGCTTTCCTTCCGCCTCTCGTTCTCCTCTCATCTCCTCGTCACATCCGCAATCATGCCAGCCCGAAACCCCACCGGCTTCGATATCGCCCAATTCAAGGCTGCGGCCTCTCCGTCCTCGGTCTACGCTAAGCGGGATCCCTGGGCTCGCAAGTACGCTCTCGATTACCCGGTCATCTAGGCAGGAATTGAACTTCATACTAACCTCTTTCTTAGCGAGACCTGGCGCTATACTGGTCCCTTCACCCGGTGGAACCGCTTCAAGGGCCTCTTCCCCGGCCTCGGCATTGCGACCGTCGCTTTCACTGCCTACTGCGCATACGAGCACCTCTTCCTGAAGGAGGAGCACCACCACGTCGAGGCCCACCACTAAATGTGGTTGTGTGTGAAGAGGAGTAGATGAGAAATCCGCCAACCGACGAACAATCGAGTGGAAAAAGAATACCCAAACCGACGAGACCGAGTCGTCTTATCCCAGCACGTGTCATAGAATCGGGTCATTGCGATGGCGGCAGTGGTGGCTTCGTCACCCTGAACAGTGTTTGTTGTTTCAAGGCAGACCTGTAACCTCCGTGTCATGGAGAGTGTCTTGCAGACGGCGCTATGGGTTGATTTGTCGAGTGTAAATAGTCTATGTTCAATTACTACAACAAGTCCTTTTTTTTGTTACTACCAACCGTTGGCCTGTTCATGTGATACTCGACAATGAGGTATTTGATTGACTATGCCAAACTATTGACTTTTCAGTTTAGCTGGGGTTCAAGGGCGCCACATTTTGAACCCAGATCCCCTTCTATGACTGGTGTAACATGATATCATAAATCTCCCAAATACACATGGGCAACACACCACTCTATGCAACTATTTCCTCTATTCCTCCTCAAAGATCAATGAGATACCATCGTCACCAGCAGTGACAATGCGCTTCCCATCGAATCCTTGGACGAAACCCATGATACCACCAGCCTGCTCGCCCTCTTCGTTCTCGGAAGCACCCATGTGTCCCCTCCACTCCTTCAGTAGACCCTGAGCAGCGGCGGTGGTACCACCACGGGCATCCCATCGCCGGACCACACCATCGAGTCCGACGGAGGTGAGCAGATATGAGCGTCCATGGCCTGCGGCAGTAGCAGCCGCAAGGGGGCCGGGACGGGGAGCCGCAGTCGGTGCCCGGCTTGATAGGAACTCGACCTTGACCACGGCAGCGCCTTCGTGAGCTTCCCGGATGTGGCGGCGAACAGCGAAGCGATGAGCAGCATCATACAGCGCAATAGAACCATCGACGGAGCCAGCAGCAAGAAGGGTGAGCGGGGGTTGGGAGAAGGAAAGAGTCTCGATGCCGTCTGACTGCGCCTGGAGATCGGCAAGGATAGTACCAGCAGCAGAAGTAGTGGCCGACTGAGCACCCTTGCCCTTCGCAGCCTGAGGACCGCCAGAAAGTCGAGGAAGACCAACGACCTTAATGTGACCCTCGGCACCACCCACTGCGGCGATACCACCGCCAGGCGAAATGGCGATCGAGTAGAGACCTCCCTCCACAGCGAATCGCTGATCTTCTGCAGTCAAAGCAACAACGACGTTGGTACCGGGGGATCCAGAAATACCAGCAGCAGCGGCAGCTCCGAAGACATCGTAAACGTAGAGACTTCCATCTTCAGACACGGTAGCAAGTAAGTTACCATCCGCTGTCCAAGCACCAGCAGTGCAGGACGCGGTGTGCTGGAAGAAACTCTGAACCATTGCGATGGGCTGCGAATCCGTAGCATCAATGCGGAAAACCCAGGCGCTACCATCATTGGCGCCGATAGCAATAACATTGCGCTTCTCCTCGTCACCCTGCTTGTAAGGGCAGACAGCAACCCAGTTAATCTCCTCCACCTCCTGGGCCTCGGCCACAAACTGCCAGGCTTCTCCACGATTCCTGGGCGAGGTATCCCGCCACACGCGAAGCTTGCCATCCAGACCCGCTGTCACGGCATATTCACCCGCAGGCTCGGTGAAAGCCACCGCATTGACGGTATCGCTGTGTCCATCCAATTTGGCCAGAGCGACCTGAGACTCACGCTCGCGCGGCTGGGGGTTTGATTCATAGCTTCGAGGGAGGACGGGCTTCTCGGGAGGCGTAGAGTCGAATATGTAGGCGGTATCGTCACCAGCGCCGGTCAGGACAATATTGTTGTGGACTGGGTGCTGTGCGACACAGAAGATCGAGTCCTCGTGGGCGTCAAAGTGTGCTGCAGAGTCGTTTTGGAAGGTGAGCTCTTCCTCAATGGTCATAGGCTGGTCCTCGTCTTCGCCTTCGGAGTCCATATGGTGGTCCTCATCACGGTCAAAGACCTCCTCGGCTTCGTCAGCGCCAATGTACATGTCCTCTTCACCCTCATGGCGGGGATCTTGTGACGACATGTTAGATGAATGGGTTTGAGCTTTGCAGATGCTCGGAACGATTGGTGAAATATCGAGTGGTCCAATCTAGGGACCTAGGAGGTAAATTTGGAAGACAAAAAAGAGCAGGTTCGTGTCTCCAAAACAAATCGAGGGCTCTATAGCCGGGTATCTCAGATTTTATCGTAAAGGGTGGCGGAATGGACGAGCTAAAGCTGATTCTTTTTTTTTCTGTCTACCTCCCCGCTTAGAAATCCGCATCCCCGCGGTCGGCAAACAGTGCAAACATCTTATCTCTTATCAATGGCTCGTTATCAACGTTATCGACAGCCCGGCCCGAATCAGGTCCATCACATCGAATCAACTATATCCTCAACTCGATCTAAAGTATACCAACACTTTTCACACCTTACCAATACTTGCCCACTTCAGTCATCCCATCTGTCATCCATCCCTCCGCAATCGTTGCATCATTATCAAACCCATGATCACCCTCATACCCCTCAAATCTAACATTGACCTCTGGCTTCTGCGCACCAAGCTCCTCGACAAACCGTTCACTTCCATAAAATGGGACTGCCGTATCTTGCTTTCCATGGAACAACCAAACAAAACCTGGCAACTTGGTCGCTCGGGAGATATTCTCAACTGGAAATACCTCTGACTGTCTACCGAGAAAGTCCAGGAATTTACCATTCTGGACAATTCGCACTGCTAGATCGCTTCTGTTTGTCTCTGCTCCTTTCTCCAGGCGTTTGTCGGCAGTGACAATTAGACCATCTGGTAGTTCACGGAGATGCTGCTCGACTTTGTCGAATGGTAGCTGTGGATTCATGTTCAGCTATGCTCTCGAACTATGTCAGATGCTCACGTACATGGGTTGAACCCCACATTGGCTTCTGATAGCTCTCGTCCCACCACCGATCACGTAAATGGACCATTGGGTATACTAATATAACAGCGGCGATGTTGGCCTCGGGATGGAGTAGCATGCTTTGCGCGGCAAGATATCCGCCGGCACTTTCGCCTGCTACAAGGACCTTGTCCAGGTCCGGCTTGATGGTAGAAGAAGGATAGCCATTCAGAAGGGCTGATTCAAAATCATGTTGTATCCAGGACCAAAAGTCGTTCAGATCGGACAGTATGTCGAGGCCATTGGACTCGGGCAGTAGCCGATAGTCCGGTGTGACCAGAATCGCTTGCCGAGAGATGGCCAATTCAAGGAGCCTGCTGAAGTGTCAATGACAGCTCTAGAAGTAGTTTCTGTCAGAGAGAGACCATAACTACTGACCATTTGGGAAACCAGTCGGTATATGTTCGTGACCCTCCCACCAAGAAGCCCCCATGGAACCGAACAATGACGGGTCTCTTTCCATGGGAGTCGTTCACCTCAGACAGTAAAGTCTTCGGAACAAGAATTGACAATGAAATATCGTGGTCACCCACAGTTTTATAAACAACGTCGTGGATCTCAAAGTCTTTAAAGAAAGTGGGATCGCTCGGGGGATTTCCGGACATGATGCTCGTGTTGAGCCTGCGAGGAGCCTGGATGATTGGATAGTAGGTGGCGCTGGTATAAGTAGCGGCTGAAAGTCTTGGTAAATCGAGCTCTTTGTATGACTACCTATCAGGAATCGAAGCGATGTATTATTGCACGATAAGATGGGGGGTAGATTGATACCCTGCAGGTAATGAGCTATGGGGTGATAGCGGGGTTTGTGCCGTGCCGCGCTCGGCCTAGTTGTCTTAGATATGCCGAACTGCATAATAGGGTATTCGAGGTATGTTATATCTGAATGTAAATACCAACTATCATTGGGGATATCGCCGCATATTTTTGCGAGAACTTTTGAAGGGGAAGACGGGCATTCGTCTCCAATCAAGCCACCAGCAGCTCGGTCTCACACAACAGAACCCAGTGATCAGGTACCTATGATTTGCATGTTAAAAACCTACTAGACGGGCGTCCGACGTTTCTTACGAGAATATCGCTCAAGGTCCTATATATCTGTATTCGTTCTATTGACTATACAACGTTCAAGTGTCCACACACATCCAAAATGTACTCTCGCTTGAACTCGGGACACAAATCGCGCAACAATGAAAAATCGAAAGGCCAACTCTAAATCTTGGCACCAGCCTTTCTCCTAGCCTCCTTCTCCTGATCACGCAACAAACGACGCAAGATCTTCCCACTAGGACTCTTAGGAATCACATCGATAAAGCGAACACCGCCCTTCAACCACTTGTGACGAGCCTTGTGGTCCTGAACGTGTTTCTTGATCGCTTCGGCTGCTTCTTTGTCGGAGCCGGCGGAAGCTGACTTCACGACGATGGCTTTGGGGACTTCTCCGGCTGCGTCGTCGGGAATAGCGATTACGGCACAGTCTGCTACGGCCGGGTGGGTGAGGAGGTGTGCTTCCAGCTCGGCGGGGGCTACTTGTAGACCCTGTTATGGAGGTTAGTTGGGATTTCGGGTTCTGGGGATGTATGTGGGAGAACGAACCTTGACCTTAATCAATTCCTTGATGCGGTCGACGATGAAGACGTGCTCTGTGCCCTTGGGACCCTTGCGGACGACTGCCTCGTCGCCGGTGCGCATCCATCCGTCTTCAAAGGTCTCCTTGGTAGCTTTGTCATTGTTCAGGTATCCCAGTACCACGCTGGGGGAGCGCACAACTAGTTCGCCCGGGGTATCGTAGGCAGTGATCTCCTGACCCTCGGCAGACATGATGCGGGCCTCGAACCCAGGGATCAAACAGCCGGAAGAGCCGAGCACGATATCGTCGGGATGCGTTGAGCTGACAACGGTACATGTTTCGGTGAGACCTGCGCAATAAGTGTCAGAACCTTATTTTAGCTTGAATCCCGATTAGCTCTTACCGTATCCCTGGCGAATGAGAACATTGGGGTAGATCTTTTGGAAATCGGCCGCAGTCTCCATACCCAAGGGAGCAGCTCCCGTGAAAAGAGTCTTCACGGAGCTCAGATCATACTTCGAACAGACGTCCTGGCTGCGGATCATGTTGATGATAATTGGAGGAACCTGCGAGTTGTTAGCTATCGCCCACAATCGGAAACTGGAGAAGACAAACCAGGAAGAGACTTGTGATCTTGAATTTCTGGATCGAAGTGAGGTATGACTTGAGCTCAAACTTAGGCAGGACGATAATTTGATCGCCACGGTAAGCACCCGCGTGACAGATAACGACCAAGGCGTAAATATGACTTTGCGGGAGCAGGCCAAGGCTGACATCGGAGTATACAGATCCATCCTTGGGTTGCTTTGCATCACGATGGCTCTTTTCGAATGCCTGGATCTGAAGTGTGTTTGCAATGACGTTCCGGTGGGAAATCATCACACCTTTCTAGATGGAGTATTAGAACAATGCCTGAGGATCAATCAATACGAATCCGATCGTGCAACGTACTGGCAGTCCAGATGTTCCACTGGAATAGCATAGGAATGCAGTGCGTCGTGCTCCCTCTCCAGGTCCCCACTTCAACGGCTCCAACGCCGGGAGCGACTTGCCAGCTTCGGCCAGCTGGCAAACGGACTTGAATTCAGTTGGGACCTTTGCGCCTCCGAGAATAGCTCCAGGCACATCGATCAAATAGACCTTGCTCTTGGGTAACCCAGCCTGGGCGGCACCGTCCAAAGCGACCGACAGCAGCGGAACACAGGTGAAAAGAGCCTTTGCGCCAGAATCCAAAATCTGGTGCTTCAACTCGGCGGCCGAGTATGCTGCATTAGCGGGCGAGATAACACCGCCTAGTCTGTGTACACCCCAGAAGAAAGGCAACGAGTCAATCTACCGAGCCAGGGGTTAGTTTGTTAACTCCTCCCTTGGTTGTGCCAATACTTTCCACGTACCGTGTTCACACTGAAGACGGCCAGTGTCTTGTCGAATTCCGTTCCCTGGTTGGGGGACCATCCAAATTCCTTCGCAAGACCGCGCGCAATGTGATCAACCCGGTCCACGACCTCGCGCGACGAGTACGTCTGGCCTGTCAAGCCGCATGTGTAGGGGTCTCGTGACTGCGCGTGTGGCACTCGTCCATACTTTTCATTCAGCATGAACTCGCTGATCGGGAGGTCGTCCGGGACATGGCCCAGCGGGCCGAATCGCTGGTCGGGCAGGAAGACCATTGTAACTCGGATGTGATTGTACCTCGGTGATGGCGTCACTCAATTGGAGATTGATGTATAAAGCGAGAACGAGAATGCGCGACTGCGAAGATGATTGCGCCCTGTATGTTCGCAGTGATGATTGGTCCAGACACTGACAATCCGCTCGACTTAACGTATACCGAATAAGGGGTTAGAAGAGAAAGTACCAGCGAAGAGGCAGGGTTGAAGGAATTAAGCAAAGGGGAAGGAATCCGGGGAATTCTCCGTGCGGGGAAGTCGGCAAAGCAGCGAGCTTGGTAAATAAAACAAGTGACCTCGAGCCCTCTCGTTAACTTCGGTTACTGTCCCTCGTTCAAGCCGAAAAGGGGTAGCCGCGGGTCCGATGATTGACCATTTGGAGGCCCGCAGACCCCGGGCCTTTGATAGGCTAGAAATTGGCCTGCTGGTGGTTCTCATCCAGCGTGGACGTCTCGGCAGCCAGTGTGGTGTGGGCGCATGACGCTAATCATGCCAGTTGTGCTAAATTTGAGTGGAGCACAAGCAGTTTTACCTCGGATGTGCAGCGACCGAGGGTGTTAAAGCTTAGAACTTGCTGTATGGCGGCGCCGACAATTATTATCATAGCAGCAGATCTAGAAAATCTGAGATGACGATCCCAGTCTTTGTAGTTCACTTGCCTGAAGCAAACTCACCGGGAATTTTATCATTGTCACCCCGGGTCTTTTGCTAATCACTGTGCTTGGTTAGGTATGCCAGTGTACTACTGTGGAAACGTAGATACCCGATCTACCTACTGTAGATTGAAGTCCACGCCTCCTCCTACTGACCCCGGATAAATAGTAGTAATAATGCTGCGATCTAGACGAACAGCTGATTAAAACATAACAAGCTCCATTCTCTTTACAATCGCCTCTCGCAGTGCGCAATTAAGGTGAGCTTGGCGTGCAGATCGTCCAGCGACTCATTCGACACTGTTACACTCGGCTTTCCTATTTGATCCTCAGCCGACTTCGGTATTCATGGTAGTAGTATCTTTGAGACATTCATAAACATATCATCATTAAGGGCTAAATTCGTAAAGACATTATCATTAAGACATTAAAAGCATTCGGTCAACAAAACATTGTCAACCTTCCATTGCACCCGTCCTCCGCAAAAAAACAGATAAAAAGAAATAAAACAACTCAAGGGTCCCTTGCAGGACTGGACCGTACGTAGAAGATACTCTTAACGTCCGGGAAGTGCTGAAAGAGGTGTCGCAATCTCCATAAAATGCTGACAAGCCCGATTGTCATCACTGCCCGTCGTAAATTTGATTGTCCTGGAGCTTGAACTCGCCCTTCTGGAGGTCCGCTTCATTCTTTGATTCGATGTATCGCGCAGTCAGAGCAAATCGTAGCCCTTTGTCGGGCTCCACCGAATGCTGTTGTTATAGTAAGGTTGTTAGTCAAATGACACCACTTAATGCATAGTTATCCATTGAAGGTGACGAACCTCGTAGTACTTCTGCAACTCTGCTCCATGCATCACGACCAGGTCCCCATGTTTCAGCTCGAGCGTCAGCAATTTCGGAGGCTGTTTAGTATTCGAGCGTTGAAGCATAGCCTTGCGCCGCTTGTTGTAGACATCATTGGTGATTCTGTCCGCTTCAAAATCTTTCTTGAGGGATCGCCGTTGTTCTTCTTTGATGCAACGTGGCAGAACGGGATCACCCGGTGTTGGGATATTGGAGTTGCTGACTCCAAAGTAGTATTTGCCTTTCATCCGGATGTACATTCTTGACCGGGTTCCCAAGGAGAGGGTCGCAATTGTCGGGCCCAGAGCGCTTTCACCGTCATCGTGAAACTATAAGCCGCATGTCAGATCAATGCACACACACTGTTGTTGAGAAAAGTTCGACCCACCCCGATCTTCATGTTTTTAAAATATCCAAGTGCAAGCAGCTCATTGGGAGGCTGATATTGATCACCCGCACGCGTGACGGCATTGTCAGTCGCCCAGGACAGGCGGCCCAAAGCAGTAAGGATTTCTGCAGGGGCATCACTGAAAGCCTTAGAGTCCACCGAGACCACGTACTTGTAGGGAACGCCCTATGTTCAAGTCAGTAATCTATCTCTAAGCTTTGAATTTTCGTGACTTACATAGTTGACCGCAAAGTGACAAGTGAGAGTCCCTTTCACTATGTGGATTGTTAGCATTGTTCTGCCTTGTGTCGCTTGAAAGGAAAAAATCAAAAATACCACGAGTGCAATATTGGCGTTTAGATGATGATGATTCAGCTTTCTTAGCTGTGCCGGCTTGGCCTTCACCAGCTTAGCTCTCACCCGCTTAATATTCACCCGCTTGGGTGTTGCGGGTTTAGCTTTCGCCAGTGTGGCTTTCGCCGGCTCAGCTCTTGCTTTGTCGCTTGCATGCTCACCTTGAGCTGATCCAAGTGGGTAGCGTCTCAAACCAAGATCCAGCTTCTGAAGTTGGCCGAACATATCGTTCGGGCCATCCGTACGCCCATTGATACTGGCGTTTGAAACGAAGTGTGTGATTAAGCCAACGCCTGGGAGCTGGTAGGTGCGTACTTCGTATGGCTTGAGGGAGTCCTTGTCGACAACTGGTTCAAGCTTGCCTTCCATTTGCCTTGAGGTGTACGGCTTAACCCCATCGAGAACCGATTCAAGAGGAATCTCCCGCATCTTTCTCACAACCTTGTAGCAACAGGTCTCTCGAGGGCCCCGAGAGAAATCGTTTGCGCAGTCCCAACTGTCCCAGGTGACACGCTGAATGCACTTTCGGCATTCGGGACACACAATGCCTCGCCATTCCTCACGATCGGCAATTCCTTCCAATGGCTCGGTATTTCGGTCCACGATTTTGGCCAAGGGACCAGGGTTTGGGATATCCGGACCTCTGGGGTGGCGGTAGTCGAGGAAATCAGGGTGAAATTCGAAGTCCTTGGGCTCGGTATCTCTGAACTTCCAGAACTTCGAGCATGATTTCTCGAGACATGTCCACCCAGGTCGGACGTAAATCTGCACGCTTGATTTGCCGCACTGCCCGCACTTCTGGCTTGGAGGAGGTTGATTTGAATGGCGAAGTGGGAGAGACTCATCGGACCCCTGCTTTGTCCACCAGCCTTTGGTCGACAAATTCAGTTTCTCCAAACGGACTCGGTAGCCTGCATACTTTCCCATTTTCTCCATCCATACATCTGTGATGAGGAACCAGTCCATAACACAGTACCGGTGGGGAATTTCGATTCTCAGAAGTGTATTGTTCGAACCTGAATGCATTTGGTATGTTTAGAATCCCCTCAAAGTGCCGAGAAGAATATAATGGCTTACCAATGACAACCCCCACAGGCTTTTGTTCTTGAAAACTAGCCATGATCGATGTGATGATCACACCATTTGGTGATTGGTCCATTTTGAGGTGCAGGCTCCCGGCTTGGTCTTTCTCGCAACCTCCACCCCTACATGAAGTCAGCAATTGCACCTAACAAGAGGAAATATATGTCTCAGACTGACATGCGAGTAATGAAGACTTCGTCATTCATAAAAGAGCGGTCGCCATTATCACCGTCCAACAAGAAGCCAGTGCATTTCTTTTCCTTGTGAGCGGCTCCGCCTTGCATAGAGCGGTACCACTCAAGAGCATCAGTGAGCTGTTGGCGAGTCTGTGACCGTTAGCAAATACACCTCGGTAATATGTGAGATGAATGCAAGAGGCTTAGGGGATGTATACGAACATTGGCCCAAATAGGAGGTTCTCCTCGGCGTTGTTGGACTTCATCGGTACCCTTTTCAACTTCATCGATATCTTGCGCAGAATCCTCTGTAGTGGTTGAATGTTGGGTCTCGGATGGCTCTTTCATTCTCTTTCTGGTTCTCATCGCAATTGGCTCTGTGAGGAATTCAAAGATCAGACAAGACCCGGTAGCACTAATTCGGAAAAGTGAATGTTACCTGTTTCTGGAGCCAGTCGCTTCGATCCCTCCGACAGAGAGACCGGGCCCAACAAAGTGAGCGGCATGCTGTAACTGAAACTGCCTGTCTAGTTAGTGAACAGTGAACGACGTGAGCGATATACTACTTGCCAAGAAGTAGTAACAGGACTGTATGTAATACCTAAAACGAAGGAGAGAGCGATCTCGGATGAAATTGGTATTAAGGTCAGTTGGTGGAAGCGCGTCGGTAGCCAATGAAGGTCCAAGACAACGCGGGAAGTGGGTAGATGGCGCACTCAGCGTGGGCGAAGTCACGTGGTGACCTTTGCCGAAGCCTGGCAGTATACACCGCCTTTCTCTCACTAATCTGTTACTGTCGGCTCACCGTCTTTGCCATCTTGACCGCCTTGGCTGCCTTTCAGTATAATAGAGAGGGTCTACATAATAACAATGTTCAATTGTCTAAACATGCAATTGATTTAGTAATTTGCTATTTTAGCTATTTCAAAGATATATACTATTACCGCGAAACAAAACTCCCTTAGTACAGTCTCTGGTAGATATACTAACTACATCCTAGTGGATCGTAGGGCAATAAGGTACATTCTGTTAGGTATTGACGGCTAGGTAATACAAGTACATACAAAAGATACAATTAGACTATGTATAGTATAGGGGAAGACTTAAGTGCCAAGTGATCAATGGATCCCGATTTAAAGTGATAATATGTTGATTCTAATATGTCTAGGGAGAAATTTAGCTTCCGCTCCTCTTATGAGAGTTTTCTCGGAATAAACTGACCTTAAGAGGATATTTCTAAAGGTATCTACATTTAGTCATTAAGCCCTAAGCAGGTCCTCATCCATGACTCCATTTTGCACCCAGGGTCAGTAATAAGTAAATTGAATCAGTATATATCTATTGCAGTTCCACTTCGCATCTATGTCACCTTAGACTGACCTTCAAGGCAGTCTACTATTCTAATCATTCATCTTAAGTGTGCAAAAAACCCCCTCTATTGTAACATGGCACCAAGTCCCAGGGAATGTCGAGATCCATCAACACTGGTCAACCCTCATCCTACGAAGATATATTTCGTATCCAACCTTAGTTCTTAAACATGCGGGTATGAAGGAGATGGGTGATCTGCCCTTAAGACTACACGTGGTCGATTGATAGCCCTGAGAGATCAAGGATGACAGTACGGAGTACATCTTCTCGAAAGACTGGTCTCTCTATACCCCGGGTTTCCCCATATGGAGTTCAAGAAATCAAGGACCCTTTAGCTGAAGTCAGTGGCTGGCCCCGTGCCGGCGTCCACACGCAAATTCGTTGAAGGGACCGTGACTGGTGGGCCGCAAGAGTGGCTTAGCCTCTCTAGTCTCAGCCTTGCAACGGCGACAGAAATGACGGTGGGGCCAATTGGCTATTGGGAACAGGTCATCGGTGATCCGTCCATTAATGGTCAGTGGTGCAGGGTGTGCGCATGGCAAATACCCTCTCGGCGTATCTAAGACATGATATGAATTTGACCATTGAAAGACAGTAGGAGACTCGAAATTAGGCGAGGGTTTGTGATAAAAAGGGGGGCTTTCGCGGGATATATATTATTACCTAGCGATATTGCTGTTGATGGTCTTTGGTACACATGGATTGTCCCGGAAATTTACCACGGACCCGGAGGTACCTCATGGAAGTACTTGTACCTTGGTCTTTAGTCATAGAAGCTTGGAGGCTCAATAAAACCCCCCATGAAAATAGACCCTAAACAAATCTCCCCATAGGAGCTGGATAGCGTGCTTTACACGTCATCGGCCAGTTGTGCAGTCAGAAACGTCCGCCGCAGGTGTACTACTCTGCCCGTCATCGTCCCTTTAGAATGGAAAGAAGAAGACCAAGACGAAGGAATTGGCAATAGAATGGATGCAGTTGAAAGAATCTTGATCATGAATATTTTGCATGTTATTCGGGATTGATAGTGTAGTGTTGTTAACCCCAGACCCTTAACTAAGTCCAAGTCCCAAAACCACGGTAAACCTCCCAAGCCCAAGGACCCGTGCCCAAGACAGCCCTGGACTTGAACCACCACTCGAATAATATCTCACTTTCCCCCCATATCACTTCTCTCCTCCGCATTCCTCCTCCTACCCTTGGCTCTGTCCACCCTCTTCTTCACTACCGTCCTTCGTTTCGCAGGGGATGCTCACCGCACGCTGCTGCTTTCCGGCAGTTCGTCATTCGTCCGCGTCCCCCTCATTTGGGCGAGTCTGAAATTGCGATTTTACCCTGGGGCTTGCCGACTACGCTTAGGTTGCCGGTCTTGCTCGACACTTGCGCTGGACTTGGAAAGTGTCGCATCGATTCATTCTCGGGCGTGGCCCCTCTGGCCCATCTCAGCGATGGCGGATCCTAATGGTTACCAGCCATACTATGGTCAGCCTGGCAACCCTCCGGCCACATCCCAACCCGCGACCGGTCGCTACGAAACCTACCTCCTTCAGCAGAACCCCGCTCAGAACCAGCAGTTGCCGAGACGTATGCCAAGCTACAATGCCGGTGACGACTCGCAGATTCTCAACACATCACGGGTCCAGAATGCGCGACCGACCGACACAAACGCGAGATACGCGGTACATAGCAGTGGATATGGGGGCGGCGCGGGGCAGGGAGGCTACAATATTGCTCCAGGGGGATACGACGATGATCGCGAATCGTCAGTGTTTTCGCGCACGCCATCTGAGCAGTCGCAAATGTCGCCTACTCGCGCCTCCTCGCACACGAGCGTCTCTAGCTATGGGTACCGATACCCTGCGTCTTCCGGACAGCCTGCATACAACCCTCAACAATATGGCTTGCCGCAATCACAGACCCAACCGAACCTCAGTTATAACCCCTCAACCTATACTGCCCCCAGCAATAATGCGCCTTATACGAATTCCGCCTCGAGTCATCAACCTTATAACCCCGCGGCGTATCAGTCGTCTGCAGTTGCGGGTTTGAGCTCACCAGTTCTCGCGCGACGACCGAGCGAAGCCTCGCCTTATGGACCGACATCTCCCACGCCGCAGTCTTATGGATTTGCCTCGCAACAGCAGCAGCCACCGGTACCACCTCCTCGTGGAGCAGACCACCCGTACGGAAGTCGACCCTCTCCATATGGTGCATCACCCGTGATTTCAGGCCAGCCGAACTCGATCAATGCCTCCACCTCATACCAGCCGATTTCATCGCCGACCGCGAGCAGTTTTGCAACGTCGAACTCCCCATCCAGCGCCTATAACCCGTCGTCTGCGTCCCGTCCTTATTTCCCCGTTGCGGCCGGGTTTGGCTCCGACTCACCATACCCTACTCCCACCATCCCCCCATTGGGCAGCGGCTATGAAGAGCAGCCACCGGAGCCGCCAGCCCATCAACCCCAAGGGAATGGATTTTATGGCCAAAGAATGGGTATACCCCATTCGGCTTCTGCGCGGACCCTTCCCACACCTCCTGTGCAGCACGACCTACCGATTCTGCCTCCTAGGCGAACAGAAACCTTGAACAGACACCCACAAGCCCGGCCTCTGCCTGGCCCACCTGTAGATGCCGAGCCTGATTTGAATGGACCTCCGCGGCCAGGCAACGTACATAATGACGAATTGATGAAGGAACTCGAAACAGCAGTGATGGACACGCAGGCAACGTTCACACGCCGCCACAGCTCTAGGACGTCGCACAATGGCTCGGGATCGCACGTGCGTCTATCACCAGACGAGCAGCATACCCATACCAACGGCAACATCTCTGAGTTCCAGATCAACTACGGCGCCTATAGTGATGACAGTGAGGCAGAAGCAGAAGCAGGGCTTGCGATGTTGCGCATGGCAGAAGAGGAAGAGCAGGCCCGACAGGAGCGGGAGCGCATGCAAGGCCGTTCACGACGGGAGACAAATGCTTCGGTGATGAGCTCTCGCTCACATGGCTCTCAAGCGTCAGCCCGGGGACCGTCGCCGCAACATGCATCCTCAAGACAGCCATCTCCCCCGGGGGCCTTCACCGCACTCGATGCCTCAGGAAGATGGCGAGTTTATTGGCCATGATCTTGCTCTGTATGAGGGAGGCTACCAGGGAAATCTTCATTACGGAGAAGAGCACAGTTCTGAAGAGTACTCGGAAGCCGCGACGGGCGGGGGATTCCAACGCACTCATGATTCTTTCAGAAGCTCCGACTTGTCCCCCGATGAGCGTGGAGAATACTATGATGACTATGAACACCCGCAAATTGCATATGAGTATGCGAATCGTCTGCATCATCTCCCTTCAGACGCCCGCGTGGATGCTGGAGGTACTGGTGGTCTGTCCGCGCCTGGACATTATGGCCGACGAATGAGCTTCGATTATGGCGAAGATGCCGAAAGCCCGTACGAGCAGCCGCAGCAAGAGGGATATCAATCGGGCGACGAAAGCCCCCATGGCGGCGTGCCTGAAGATCTCTTCTTCCACCCCGGAATGCGCCCACTACCGCCCGCGCCAGTCGAGCCTGCCGGTGGTGCCGACCTGTACAGCCACCTGATGCCCGCAGGCACCTACCGACCCCCAGAGCAGGACGAGATGCAGGGTCAAGAACAGTATAGACACCCCTCTTCCATCGCGACGTCCGTGGACCAGTATGGAGAGCAATTGCTCAGTCCATCTCAAGTTCCGCGGTCGTCATCTCTATCGACCCCCATTGGACCTCGTACTGATGCACCTATCAGGTCAAAGACCGATGCGGACCGCGTCAAGTACAAGCAGCAACAGGAATATCTCTGGCAGCTACAGCAGAAGGAGCTGCCCAAAATTGATCCGAGTGAGGCGACTGCTTCTGTGGCTTTGGATCTACCGGCTATTCCCGCTGCGCGGCGCAAGAAGTTCAATCCGACGAAGCTGTCTTCGGAGCAATTCAAGAAGTGCACGGAGCCATGGGCGCTAAGCTCCATTATGGCCTGGATCAAGGATCTTAGTCAGGATGAGACTGATCTCCGCGAGCAGGCTATTGCCGATGCGATCGTGGCGCTGTTCACCCACAAGGTGCCGACGATGAATAGCGCAGATGCTGAAACTCTAGCAGCTCGGGTAGTGAGCAGCATGCTCAAGGAGGAGGCTTTGGTTAAGGAAGAAGAGTGGGTCAAGTTCAGCAGTGGACGTATTTCTGGTGTTTTGTTCCAGATTACGGGAACTGGATGTTATTCGCCTAGGCTGCATGAACAGGAGATGCACATCCAGGATACGGACTCAACGGGACGTTGCTACTCTCATCACTGTATGCGAACGTTGAAGAAGGTCAATCTCAAGGCGCAGATGATGGCACCACAGAAGAAGATAGAGGACTGGGTGACTTTCTACAAGGTGCCTAAAGAAGTATGGGAATCTCATCCGAAGAAGGAGATTGACCGCCAGAACAACCTGCATGAGATTGTGACTACGGAGGACGCCTATATTGGACAACTAGACGTCTTACGAGAGCTCTACCGTGATCAGCTGGCAAACATGAACCCCCTATCATCCCGGCCAAGCGATTGAACAAGTTCTTGACCGATGTCTTTGGCAAGGTCGATGCCGTGAAGAAAGTGAACGAAGATTTCCTCCTGGCACAGCTCAAGTATCGTCAAAAGGAGCAAGGCCCCTTTATTGGCGGATTCAGTGACATTTTCCGCGAATGGATTCGCAAAGCGAAGAATGTCTACATTGACTATGCTGCGACGTTCCCCCACGCCAACCACTACGTGCGACGTGAGTCTGACCGCAACCCGCAGTTCAAGGCTTTCTTGAACCAAGTCCGTGAACATAAGCTGTCCAACCGGTTGAGCTGGGACACTTTCCTTAAGGCTCCGATTACTCGCATTCAGCGGTACACACTTTTACTTGGCACCGTGCAGAAGAATATGGTCAAGGACTCGGAGGAGAAGGCCAATCTGGCGCAAGCCATCGAGGAGATTAAGGTTGTTGCGTTGGAGTGTGACAACAAGGTCGGCGAGCAGAGCAAGAAGACTGATCTGATGGATCTTGCCAGCAAGCTCCAGCTTCGACCAGAGATGAAGAAAGAAGTCGAGCTCAATCTGGACCACATGGGCCGCGAGATCGTCTTCCGAGGCGATCTGCAGCGACCCGGTACACGAACTCGATTCCTTGTCGACACCCATGCTATCCTTTTCGACCACTACTTTGTTCTGGCAAAGTCATTCACTGCACGAGATGCACGAATCGGCAAGTACGAGCGGTATGATGTCTCAAAATTGCCCATCCCCATGGACCTCTTGGCGCTGGAAAGCACAAACGACGACCCTATGGTGAAGTCATCCGTCAGAGGTGTTGCAACCATGACCCCTGCCCAAGGGGCCGTCAGCCCTCTTACCCACACAGGTGGCCCTTCTGCTAATGGCGCTGGGGTGACCCTTGACTCGAAAGACGACAAGATCTTGTATCCCTTCAAAATCAAACATCTCGGCAAGACTGGAACCTACACGCTCTATGCATTCTCTGCGAATAGTCGTATCGAATGGTGCCAGAAGATCATCGAAGCCAAGACCAAGCATGCCGCAGCCTTGTTTTCACAAAACGCCGAGCCTTTCAGATTGCGGGTTCTTGCAGATACCGCGTTTGCACACTCGGATCATACGCATGGATCGAAGAGTGTTATGATCAAGGGCACTCCGCTTCACCGTGCTATCAAGGAAGTTGAGAAGAAGTATGAGGCTGGGTCTAGACCTCCGCCCGTGTGCAAGACTCCTGTGAACTGTGCAACTGTCTTCCAGCAGCCTCCTGGCAGAATGATGTGTGCTATTGGTACCGATTTTGGAGTATACATGTCTGATCTCAGTGACCCGCGTGGTTGGAAAAGGGTACGTGTTTCTTCTCTATTATTTACGGTTACTCGCTAACTATGGCTATCAGGCTATTCCCATCATGCGGGTCACACAGGTGGCCGTCTTCGAGGACTTTAACCTCTTCTTGTTGATTGCTGATCGCTCACTGATCGCTTACCATCTTGACGTGGTGTGCCCTGCTAGTGGCGTTCCATCACAGTCGCAAGACTCTGCGCGTCGAGCTCCGCAGAAGCTCTCTGGCAACCGAGAAGTCGGCTTTTTTGCCGCAGGCCGTATGAAAGACCGCTACTTGGTCCTTTACAAGAAGCGTGACGGCCTGTCCTCGACGTTCAAGGTTCTCGAACCCATCCTCCAAAAATCATCGTCCAACAAGAGTCGCTTCTTCCAATCCCGTCGCTCCCAAACCGAGTTCTTCCGCGAGTACGACGAATTCTACATTCCCGCCGAGTCCTACGGAATCAACATGTTCCACTCCTCCCTTGCCATCTCTACTCAGCGCGGCATTGAAGTCCTCACCCTGGACAAGAAGCAGTCTTGGTCTGTCCCCGACTTCCGCTCCGCAAACGTCGACGCTACAGACACCCTCCACAGCATCGCCCAGCGCATCAAGGATCTTCGCCCGCTGGGTATGTTCCGACTCAGCGAAAGCGAGTTCTTGGTTGCGTACCAGGAATGCGCAGTGTATGTCAACAAGCACGGTGACGTGTCTCGAAGCGTGGTCATGGAGTTTGTGGGTAGTGCGCACACTGCTTGTCTACATGGCAAGTTCCTCATATTGTTCAATGAAGACTTTGTTGAGGTCCGCAATGCCATGAACGGCCGTTTGAGACAGGTCATCCCGGGCCACGGTGTGGTTTGTCTGGACGATGGAAGCAAGTTGCCCGGCTCGTTTGGCCAGGCTGCCGCTGGGAATATGAGTGGCTTCTCGGGTACCGCTAATGGTGCTTCGCCGTCGACTGCCGGGCATACTGTGAAGATCTGCATGCAGCATCCTGCGTATGAGCGTAGTCAGATCGTGCTCGAGTTGGTTGAGAATGAAGGGCAGAAGGAGTAAAGTACCTCTGTCTCATACACCCATCCGTTCAGGGCTCACTATTCTTGGCGCCCTCATGCTCGAAGCCTCTTTACTCCACATCCTCTCTTTTTATTTTACCTAATCTTCCTGTTTCTTCCCTTCCGTCCTCCAAATTCTGACCATCTGTTTCCCACTTACCCCCTCCCTCTTGGTCCGTGTTTCTGAACCAATTTCTTTCAGTGTGGGAGGTATCTCTGCGATGTTTCTAGCATGTATGGGCGCTTGGTCCTCCCTCTCCAATTACTTTCATACTGCGTTGCAAAGCGCTGTTTCGATGCCATGATTGTACATAGAAATTTCAGTGTGCCATCTAACGACTCTAATGATTTGATCACCATATTGCATATAATTTGTTGAACTTGAAACCATTGTTCAATTACTATTCTTTTACGTTTCAATGTCTCATCTAAGCAGTGATCTTAAGGTAATTCGTCTCAAGGTAATTCGTCTCAAGGTGCATTGTGTCGGGACCGCCATCCGTGGACAAAATCTGTTTCTGGATGTCGAGCGTGGGCATGTTGGAACGTTGAACATTATGCTTTGAGACAGGTCTAGTATCTGATCGTTTGACTTCCTCCCTTTGAAATCTCCGGCTTTCTATCGTATTAATATCGCAATCTGTCCTATCTCCAATCTCCCTCTTTATCCTTGTCAATTTTGAATTCATTATTGCCTCTGCAGTTATTTTCGACATCCCTTCGCAGTTAAATTCTGTCTTCTTGCAACCATGTCGCAAAATATGCAATATATTCGCAACCCACTTGATGTCTACATCATCAGCCCAGCTGATGCCTACCTTCTAGTTGTCCATTGACCCAACATTCATGTTATTCAAGCTGGACTGACTCTTTTCTTGGTACAAATGGGACCCTTATTCTGAAGTTGACCCGAACGCTCAGCGAGAAGACATTTTCTCCAATTACCATTTGATGAGCATGGAAGAACGATTGGTGCGTGCATGCGCTTTTAAAATCCTTAACCTAGCTTATCGAGTGATTATCACAGGGTTTTATCGGAAGTTTGAAAGATTATCTTGGGGGGATATTCCAGCAGGATTGCGATCTGATGCAACACTGCTACAAGATCCTGATGACCGTTCGCCAATATCGAATCGCCGTAGCGCACCAACTCCCCCCCCCCAATACAGTGATATTACATCGCACTTGGCTCCACCCAGACTCTGACCGAATATTCGCTATTCGCGGATACCACAGACTCGATTGTATGCCTCCATGGACCTTGGATGGCCTCGGGGTCGCAGGGGGTCAGAAGCGATGGGGGAGATAAAATGGCAATCTATCTTCACATCTTTGCCAGAGCATCTCGATCTTCCTCGGGGGGAGGCGATTAAACATGTTAACCTCCTCGCGGATAGCCGAGGTTGAAGTTGTCGAATTGAAGACGCTCTCGGGAGGGTCTTGGGCGCTAGATGCCTGGAGGCATACGAAGCGGAGGCACTTTGGCTGGAGGGCATGGAGCCCTATCACCGCGCCCTCGTTGTTGGCAACATCGCTGGTTTTGACGAGGAGGCTGCTTCTTCGGGGGAACTGCGGTTTATCTGGTTTGATGAGTGTGGGCTTGTGGTGCACGAGGCGCGCGTCGAAGTTGAGGACGCCCAGAAGCTGGCTGCATTCCAGTATGGTGATTTTTGAAGAATCCTGAATTGATTAAATGGTGGAATGACCCTGGAAATGTGAAGGTTGGGCCGTATCAAGTTTTTGAAGCACAGTGATATGATGTGCAAGAGAGTATCTTCGTCTGACTACATCTCCACCCTGACAGGCTATGTTTAGCCAGCACCTTTCCTTCTGGATAAATTCCATAGATCTCTGTCATTTTCAATACCTTCCTACTCTTTACTGCCCTCGGATCATGGAATTCCAATTCTCTTTATGATCAACGGGATGACCCGTCAGATAACTGCACGTCAGATAACTGCACGTCAGATAACTGCAGGCAGTTGGCACTTACCACCATCGCCTTCTTTGTCTCTTTGTCTTGTTTCCATATAATCCTTTCTCTCGCCCGGCTACATCTCGTCTTCCTCCTCTCCTCATCGAGACTCAGTCCACTAGAATCATCAGCTGTTGCCTCCCTTGCTATCCTTTTCGTTTTTTATACATGCTGTGAAATATAATAGGCCAGTTCTAATACTGATGCCCCCGGTGCAACGAAGCCAGAACCCACCAACATTCGATATACTTCTACGTTCTATCGACTCAGCTCACGCCTAATGGAGTGGTGGCATATCAAATGAGTGCCCGGGCGATTACATGTTCATGAGTCCGCCCAGATGGACTTACTTTGTCGTCGTACGCCTCGACTACGGAATCCGGCGGCTTCATGCTTCCTGTCCCGGCTTCTGGAATTATCAAGCACACAAGTATGAAACCACCTCACCTCCTACCCCCATTGTTTCTCTACTGACTCCCATGTCTCATCAACCAGGTTCAAAACCGTCTTGTTCCAACCAAGTCTCTAACTTGCCAGTATGGCACCAGAACGGCGCGACATCCGGGCGATCCTTCAACCGATTACCTCACTCGAGGCTATTATAGATCTCATTGAGAAGGAAATCTTTGACCAAAAAGGGGACTACCAGGTCCCTTGGAGAATGGGAGCCGTGTGTCCAGTTGATTCGATACCGCTGGATGAAGGGCTGGCCGCAGGAGGTCCACGACGCCTACAACCACTACACCAACATCAAACTGGACCTCGAAGAGCAGCGAGGGTATTTTCAAAATTGCAACCACCTCCGTGGTCTTTCCGGCCTATACACTTTACCAGAGGAGAAAAATCGCTCTTCAAGCGCACTCACAATGGGCAAGCAAGCAATCTAGACATCAGAATGAACCGCTGGATCGGGAGTGCTTCTCAGCTCCCACATGAAGGCTTCTCCCTTCTCCCTCTTGGTCATATACCGAACGAGGTTTCCTATCTACCTCGGTTAACGAACGCAACGAGACCGCTATTGGAGTGAAACAGAAGGGATCGACCAACAAGGGATGAAAGCAGTATATTGCCATATACATCATGATTCTCGACAATGTCTGCCCAATCATTCAAAGGAAGTGCACCGACCTGGAGAATGGTCATCCGAAGCTGCCGTACCACTTGTTTCCACAAAGGGCGTTCAAAGTCCATCGCTCAATAACTGGGAATTCGGGGTCGGTTCTTCCCACCTTGCACAAACGCGCGCGTTCTTTCTGCAAATGTATATCGGAAAGGCAAGATGGAGAGAGGTCTGACACGAATTGACTGTGAAGTGAAGACTAGGAGGGACAATCGGAGGAAGTCTGAGCAAGACTGGGAGAAAGTTTAGGAGGAAAGCAATCGTTTCCAAGAGCTGTCATCGACATCCACGATGATAGATGCCTTGTGAACTGGGGACCCGCAAACCATTACCTCCATACATACCTATCACTCCTGGCTCTCGACGTTTGAGATGGGATATATCCCAGCGATAGGGAGAGCGAAGTCAGCAAAGCAGGACGGTTCGTGATTGACAATGTTCAAGATGCGCATCTGCAGCTCTTCTTTAGATTACATGTATGTAGAATTTGTGGTCAGAGAATCGAAAAACACGTCTCATGAAAATATTCCATTGCCTATCTAGGCTTCGTCTCTAACATGTTCTCCTCGCGACATGGTAAATGCACCAAGCGCACCTGTATAATCGCACATTGACAAGGCAAAGCTAGCGGACAAAAAAAACACAAAACCACACCAGACCACACACAAAATGCCACCGCCAAGAATGAAAAACAGAGAAAAGCGGACGGGATATCATCAGGATTCAAATTCGACAACCTTACTAACGACCTCCGGGTCATGCGCTGATGCGGGCGATCTCGCCCTGGGGCTTGAGGCTCCCTCTTTGGGGGCGCGAATGCTGAGGACTTCGGCTTCGGCGCCTTCTAGAAGGTCACGATCTGCATCGCGCACACTGCGGCGCTCAGGGTCTGCACCGTATGCGCCGGCGCCCCAACTAGAGATTCCACCGGCCATGGCGGCAGCAGATGCGCCTTGACGGGAGGGATAGTCATCATCGTCGTCCTCGTCATCTTCTTCGTCGCGGCCGCCCAGGGCGTTGCGCTCCAGTTCGCGCTGGGCATCGTCCATGCGCTTCTTGACTTCGGCGGCCATGCGAATGCCGTCTGTGACAATGTTGTCGAGGACGCCACGTAGGCCCTTGCCGGGTGGAACAATGCCTCCAGAGGCACCGGCGACGGGCGCACCTGCAACGACCGAAGCGGAAGCACGGGCGCCAATATTGGAGAAAGTGGTCAGGTTGGAAGAGAGTGAGGAAGATGCGGCGAGGGAGGCGGGGTGAGGATGGTCGGAGAGGTGGAAGGATTGCGGGAAGTAAGACTCGAAGAATTGTTCGAGGAGCTCGTCAGCTAGGACGACCATTCGGAAAGTAGGGAGAGTAATATGGAGCGGGTTGTTCGGGTCGAGAGCTGGGTTGGCAGACTCGGATCTGGGTCGGCTCTTCTCGCTTGACTCTGTGGGCTGGGGCGAAGACACTGCTGCCGATGATGTTTGCGGTTTGTCGTCGTTCACATCGATAAGGTCTTCTTCATCATCATCACCGATTGCAAAGGAATCGAGTTTTTCGGTTACTTCGGTGGTACTATCCGAGAAAACACCCCTCTGGTTATCAGGGTGACTGGGATCGGCATACTCGAAGCAGCGGCGAATGAAGGCGCTGACACTACCCAGGAACTTCTCGTCGGTAGTCAGTCTGTTCTGGTCGGCATCACTGCCTCGGGGGTTGTTCAGATCCTCCAGGGACTGAGTGGCAGTAATGGTTCCTTCGAAACCACGCCGGGAGAGGAAAAGCAGCGCCTCAGACATTTTGAGGATACCCTCTCGGTCAACTTGACCGTTGCCACTGTCATCGTAAAGAGTGAAGAAGTAGTTGATGTTGTTCATGATATCGCGAGCTCCCTTGAGACGTGCCAAGCCATTCACCACATTCTGTAGACTCAGACCCTCCTCGGGATCAGTAGCCCACTTGCGGTACAGCCGTTGCATGAACTCATGGTCGGCGGGCTGGCGTCGGTTGGCCCAAAGCAATGACTTGCCATTGCCTCTCAGGCTGCTATAGCCCGGAGCGGACGAATCCTTCCTGGCGGGAGCAGGGGAGTCAGAAACAGCCCACTTGGACGTCGCGGCCAGGAATTCTCGGAAGGCATCGTAGTCCATGTGAGTAGGGCTGGGTCCAAGACCCACCCGACCGACCTGCCTATCTACGGGCGGTCCGAGCACAGATTGGCGCTCTGACTTCTTCTTTTCCATGCGCATTCTCTCTTCCTCGGCGAGTTCTTGATGTTGTTGCCACTGGTACAACACCTCGTAGAAGCGATCATAGATTGTGCCAAGGTCATCCGCACTCAGGCGCTTGCTCTCAGGGCCAAGGTTGCGGATTGAAGTACGCTTAGCAAAGCTCTCAATGTTATCGAGAACGGCGTCCTTGTGTTTCTCGCGTTGCTCGGTGACAGTGCTGTGCGTGATTCCGGAGAACTCCTTGAACGCCACTACCATCAGCTCCTGGAATCGGGTGATGGCACGCAGCTTAGGGTTCTCTGATCTCGGATGAGCCGACTCGTCAAGGCGAGAGAAATATGACTTGAGGACGGAGATGAAGGATCCGTCATCTTGAATATCAAGAAGCTCTTCGCCGTTGATGCGAAGAATAGCAAGGCCAACCTGGAACAAGACCTTCGGGCCCTCTAGGAAGAAAACATCCAACACTCGGAAAGCAAAGACAAGAGGCATGGAGTTGATGTACAGCGAAAGGAACCAGGGAAGAGACACGACGGAAAGCTGTACATCAAATTTGGCGAGGTGCTCCCAGAGAACGGGCATGGTCTTCTCCACTAGGGACTCGAAGACCTTTTGGTCAAGTAGTGTTCCGTACATTGTTGTGGAGTAGTAACCTGGCAGCAGGCGGTCACAGAGAACGGAGAGGAGGAAAAAGGCCTGGGCCTCGGACATATATCTATTCAGGTCAGCGATCAGTGAGTATTGAATTCATAAGGTTCAGACAAACATCAGTAATGCAGCAACGACAATGTTCATGGCTTGACAGTAGCCAACTTCGGCGTTGGTCCAACTATAGGCAGTCAAGACTCGTCGCAGTCGCCCAATGCCCTCATCGCTCTGGAAGCCCGGATACTCGGGTAAACTGCGGTTCAAATCTTTTTCGATTTCATCGATAGCTAGAGATTCCTGGCCATCGAACTTGACCAGTGTCTCTTCGTACAATTTGGGCGACCGAATACGTAAAAACATTGAGCCTGACGTGAGCTCCCAAATCTCTCCTCGCAACCGATTTGGCAAGCCAACTCGGATAAGCTTGTGGAAAGTTGGTTGCCGCACAAGAGTAGAGTTACGGCCATTTTCTATCGCATGAAAATGTTAGTACAAAGTGAGGACGGTGTTGACATTGTGAACAGCTTACCTCGGAAGTATTCGCCCCAAAGTCTCATCTTGCTGCGATCTCGTAGTTTCCGAGCGTCACCGGGATAGCGGAAAAGCATACCCAACCCAGCATCTGGAGGCTGTCGCCCTTCGCCATCATTTGCATCTTTCGCTTTCGTGCCGGAAAGCAAGTACTCAGAGTAGCAGTCGGTCACAATACTCCTCAGATTGTCAACCTCCTTCATACCCTCCCGCAGACCCTTCTTCAGACAATCGCAGAATCTTTCGCAGGCCTGCCTGCTGCCGACAAGCTGGAGAATAAGTCGCTGGGGTGAAAAGTTGGGCTCTTGCTGCTTGTTCAACAATCCGTTCCATGTTGTCAATGCCAAGGAGAACACGTCTCGAGCACTGTGAAGTCGTTCTACACGACGGATGGAGGAAAGTGGCAAGGTGAAGCCATTGCCGGAAGGTCCTGTGCCGTGTGTCTGTCCAGTCCAACTGGTTGAAGCACTCAATGTCGACGAGGGTATGAAGCTGGTTGGCTGTGTTGAGAAGCAGATGAATCGTTCGCTGAGGTGTAGTCGGCCGGTGTAGCGATTACCAGCTCGGTCTACCCGGCGGGAACCATCCGCGGAATCGGAGGAAGAGTTGGGCAGAGGAAGGATAAGTTCAGCTGTAATTTCTTGCAAAGGGTTCTGCGAGTCGGGTAGGCGGAACTGCTGGCGAAATAGCGAAGCCTTGGAAGGGTTGTTGTCGTTGGAGGAGAGGGAAGGAATATTGAAGTTGGCCGGGTCAATCAGCGATGAGGCCTTTTGAACAAAAGAAGATAGAGACATCATGGTGGGCAATAGTTGATCTGAAGCAGTTTCGCGGCACCTGTAGAGGTGCGGTTATCCGATGATGTCGGGGCTGCGGAGCTAGAGCTGCGACGTGGTACGGCGGGCGAATCAGCACCGGAAGTGTACAAGGCAGCCCGTACTTTGTTCAAATGAAAGCTCAACGGTCATTGCATGGCCTTGATCATGACTGGTCCAGCATCGGAACACCTGTAGCTGCAGCTTGGGAACGTGGGGACGGGTGTTGTTGTCGGATCGATAAGAGGGGGGTGGTGAAGCACACATTATCACGTGATGGTCAGCCTTATAGCCTTCATTCATGAAACATACAGGACTCTATTTGATACAGGAATTTAGCCGCCCATGCGTGATTGTATTAAGGAGTTTTAGAGTAGACATTCTACAAGTGACGTTATGCTTCCGAAGTTTTAGGTGTAGTGAATAGTTGTACAATTGAGTAAAAAATGTATTGAAGGAAATTCGCTGTATAAGCTGGACATCAAGGGTAATAACAAAAAGAGAAATGGAGTGGTAAGAGACATGAGTCATGGAAGTGAATCAAGGCTCAGCCAGCAGTATAGCATTTTTGCTTTGCATTCAGAGAAACAGTGTCTCCTTCAATCTTGACTTCGGGTATTGTATGGGCATTGGGATTGATAAATAGGAAAAAAAAGGGGGAAGGGTTGGCAATTTGAATGTTGAATGTTTAGCTCTTATCCAAAGATCCCCGTCGGGAAACAGGATCATTGTACTCAGGAAGGAAATCCTCGGAAGTCTCGGAAGCCTCAGAAGTCTCAGTCATCAGGCCCTGCTTCTCGCAAACATCACCCTGCTCCCAGGCAGCCTTGTGCTCCTGAGGCTTGGTGCCACGGTAGCGCTGCCAGAGGAAGATGACAGCCTGACCAACAAGCATGCCGACGGCGCTGGCGGCCAGACCAGCCAGAACACCAAGGATAGCAGGGATAACAATGAAGCGGAGCAAGCGGGATAAAGTGTGGGCGAAAGCACCGTGAGGAGGAGGCGGGTGGTCGAAGTTACCGTCCTGGTGGTGGTGGTGACCCTTGTGGTGGTGCTCCTTGGCGAAGTCCTCGAATTCCTCGAAGAGTGGCATACCCTCAGAGAAAAACTCGTCGTGGTGCTTGGGAGGACCGTGGTGGCCTCCCATGCCCATCATGCCGTGATGCTTGCCGTGACAGCCCTTACGGCCACCCTTGCCTGCCATGCCCAGGACGCGGGCCTTCGCAGCGGCCAGGAGACCACGCACGCGAGAGACCAGAAGCTCCTGGAGGCACTTGGCCTTTCCATTGCACTTCTTCCAGGAGAGACGCTCGGGGGGAGGAGCGGTCTTCTCGATTTCAGTCTTGGCGATGTACAGCTCGCCAGCGAGGTCCTGAATCAGGGTAATGGCGACTGTGTCAACGGGAACCGGGTGGGTCTCGAGGTCGAGAATGGTGAATCGGACATCGAGCAGGTCGGTTCCGGGGGTATCATCGGGGGATCCCAGCGGCATCACCTCCAGGGCATAGCCGACGGGCATAGGCTCCGAGGCCTCGCCATCTTCAAGTTGTTGGACGGCGCGAATAGGGCTGGGGGGAACGGGAGGGAAGATTTGGCGGCCATTAGCCAGTAGGCGGTTGTCTTCGATGGAGAAGTCCAGCATCTATGAAATAATCTCATTAGTTGATGGTTCGTGGATGATCTTGCGCTTATCGCATCCCCGATGTTTGACATACCAAAGACGACGACTTGCCCTCAGTCCAGCTGACAGCACCCTCCTCGTCAACCTCACGGAAGGGACACTCCCGGCAAGGAACGTCGACCACTGCGTGGCGGATATCCTCCAACAGCAGAGGATGAACGTTCATGAAACCATCCTCAACTGCCTCCACCTGTGGCTCCATTTCGGGGATAACCAGCATAGCGCTGGCGCCCAGGGCGGCGGCGCCACCCAGCAGGATGGAACGCACGAACATAGTTGTGTTTTGGGTGTGTGTAGGTAAAGAGCGGACGTCGGCGACAATGAGACGGAATTCAGAAGAGGGAAAACACAGTCATTTGAGGAAATCTCAGGATGGCAAAGAGTCGTCGTCGCCTTTGTAGAGGGGAAGAAGGGGAGTGGAGATGATCGGAGGTTAGTCCCAGTCTTTCGTCAGTTAGTTGTCTTGTTAGTCCGCATGGGGCCAGCGAGTGGAGGAGGGTGACGCCAGCTTGCTGCGTGGCGCCTATTGCTATTGGCAGAACACTTTACAATACGTGACACTGTCATACCTGCCATTCTACAATTCAAACGCTATCAAGCCTGCTTCAGTCAGCTCTTCATTGACATTGATCAGCTTATCTGCGAAATTCCATTACATACCACCCACACCACGCCTTTCCTCTACGGAGTACACTTTTCCCGCCCGTTGTGCCATCGACAATACTGCAACTAGCGCCACCAACACGATTAGAAACAATGAGAGACACTCCTGATGATTATTATTTTACCCGAACGAGGACCGGTCGAACGCTAGCCACTGGGACAAGCCAAATCCCATCGAGTCCACACAGCCTGCATGCGACGCGTACCGGTTGCGCAATTGCTGTACGAAATATCGCTCGTTGGCACCCTCCCATCGCTTCCACTCCATGTGTTCCTCGTATGCCTGCCACAGCCATAGGACCATTAAGCCCGGGTACACGATGCACTTGGGATGCGCGGGGTTGAGCAAGTGTAATAAGTTGATGCCGACCAGGATGGCGTTCTCGACTGACGCCCTAAACATTTGCAACATTGCATCTGCTATCTCAGATGCAACTATCGGCTTAACGTCGGCGTGGGAAATTGCCTCGCGCGGCCAAGATCCCGGCATGCGCTCGAATAGCGTTGCTCCATCTGCTGCTACTATCCGTGGCAGATCACCGACGGACAATGACCGCAGCTTACCTCTGAGGCTAAGCCGCCCCTTTGGCGCTAGCACCAACTCTTGCAACGACGAGGCAGCTAGATTATCTAGACGCGCCAACAGCGGATCATTGACAGTTTGAATTCCCTTTGGTTGAGATTGCCCGACGACTGAGTTTCCTTGCCGTTGATCCACAGTGAATGAACTCTGGGTCCGGTCGTCACTCAAGGTTCGAGTTTCTGACGCGCCCTGGGGAACCTCACAATCCGTTGCTTCAATGTTGGCCTGCACGTCAACGTCAAAGCTGTCAGTGGACGGGTCGTTGGCTTCGTCGGCATCACCGGTATTCGAATCAGGCGGCGGTGGAGCAAGTCGAATGCGCTTCCTAGATGTATTCAAAGGTGGGATGAACCCGTTTGCAAAATACTCATCGTGGACAGGCGAGGACTCAAGTCGTGCCTTATTGCTTCCTCTGCGCTCATGGACCATTTGGAGCGGCGATTGCTGCTCTCGAACATGATTCCAAGATTCAAAGCTCAGGTTCGATAATCGCGAACCCGAAAGGCTTGACGGATCTGTTGAGCTTGGAATTGACCAGCTTTCAACCAAGGAACTTTCACTATCTGTTTCTTCGGGTGATGAGATTCCATCGGCGAGCATCTGCTCCAAGGATCTCCCCCGGCCCTCGTTGCCATATGGAAGACCATGCAGGCCCTGACTGATAAAGCTGTTTTCTTTCCAATCTTGCACAAAGTGCTCATACATGCTGATTTTGTCATGGTCATGTTTGAAATCCAAGTATGAATTGAGGTCATCGCCGCGAGTCGATCCCGAACTGCGACGCTTTCCTGTGGCATTGAATACTGCGAAGCCGTTTTGAATGTCGTCCGCTAATGGTGCTAGGGAATCCAGAGATTCCGGTTCATCGTTTGCGAACTCTAACTCCGCGTCACTGGATTTCATTGGCTCAAAAGAAACCGTCCCGAAATTTCCAATCTGGCGGGGCGGCATAAGGGGCCAGGATTCAATGCTTTCCTCTGATGATAGACCGGTGTATGTCGAATTCCCTGGATTTGACTCAGAGTCTGGACTTCCTAGAAGCATCAAAGAGTGGTGTAGATTTTCAGACATACCAGACCCAGGTCGCGAGATCTGGCCGTCCCGTTGACCACCTAGCAGTCCGTCTCTCCTTCCTGTTCTGTCGCGACGAAGCCTGTTGCGTGCGATTCTAACTTCTGCAGCTTGAAAGAGCCTGTTGATCTCGTCATGGAAATGATCCATGGAATTGGAGTACTCCATGACCGAACGTTGAAGCTCTTGAATCCTTTCATTATCCTCAGACATGTGGTCGTCCAAGAATCTTCCCAGCTCTGCCCAGTCTTCAGTGTTCTTCTGGAACAAGACACCATACTCTCCCACATCTTTGTAGGCTAGACTGAGTGACTGCTCCAGCTGCCGTGCTCGCTTCTCCATCAACTCGATTTCTTGACTCATCTCACCCTCTCGCACGGCAGTCCTAGCCACCATTCTCGCATTGGCTTCTTCCAATCTCTGATTTTCGTCTGCCATAACCTCTATCCAGATTTCATTGTTTTGTGCCCCCATTCTGAATTTGGAAAGGGACTCTTGTAGCTTGATGAGCTCTTTTTCGTTTTCATAGGCGCGAGTTTCGGCCATAGCCACGGCCGTTTCGGACTCGTCTAGTCGTTTGACCAGGTCGTTATGCTGTAGCCTCAATCTGCTAGCGATGGCTTTTGTGGCATCGTGCTCGGCTCTCTCGTCGCTGTATGCTTGATGGAGCTCCAGTTGAGGGATTCTTCTCAATACCTCGTCCTTTTGCTGCTTCAGTAGAGCGGCTGTTCGTTTGCTGCGCCGGGTCCTGGCCTTTCCTTGCCCAGAGCTGGGCTTGGAACCCCCAGGACGTTGAGAAGAAGCCATGTTGACGTGTCGAGTTTGATCGGGATAATTTCTCGCGAGTAAGCAAAATTAGGGTTGACGGGTTTTTGGAGATGTATAGGTTTCAGTGGGTTTCCTCTGATTTTCGCGGACGTTTGGGCACTTTCCAGGTCTTATAGGGATCTTTAAATATGTGCCTTTCACCTGATATCATTCCCTATCATGCACAATGAACCCCTGAATAGAACAGTCCTAACAATATCGCCATTGTTTTTATTTTTACTTGAAACGGTTTGCCTCGAAGAAACAATGCGCATTGTTTGGATCATTGGGCCAAACTTATCAGCCACCGTACTTTATATAGTCAAAACAGCCAGTTTTAATGACTTGAAATCAACCCGAGAAATGCCAGTCGATTATACCTAACAATAGCAAGATGAAAACACTATAGAAATTCCCAGCAAAAAAAGAGAAAAGAAAAAAAAATTCACAAAAAACAAAATCAACGGCAAAGCCCTGAATAGTGAAGCGAATACCTCCCAGAAATATCACTGATCTAACCAACCCTTCAACTCCCCTATATTTGGGCATTCTATGAAGACCGAACTCTTCACATCCAGGTTGAGCTCCATCTTGAACTTCTCTGATAGCACAAGCGACATGAGAGAGTCAACGCCCAATTCAACAAAAGATGCACTGTCTGTAAGTTCGTTGGGGTCTAGCCCAGTTTCGCGCCCAATGATCTTAAGCTTCCGCCGAGACCCCCGTCACAACATAAGCCCAGGCTTTCGGACTACTGTCTGATTCGCGAGACTCTAGCGACTGAGATACTCTGTCGACGTGGATCCCCATACGGAATGCAATCCGCACACTCTCAACTCCATAATAGGCCAGGTCGGAGAGTGAAGTGGAGGTTGCCACTGCCGCACCAGACAGAAGTCCAACACTCAGGCCAGTGAGGGTTGTCCCTGCATCTCCAAGATCGTATTTCTCGTCGGTCGCTTCATGGTGCCTGCACTTTCAATGAGCTTCAGTTGGATTATAAAAGAACTGCCAGCTATGGGTGACTCACCCAATCAGCACGCTAAGTTGTAGAATTCAAAGAATCGCAGTTTCAACGGCTCCTCCAACAGGAGTGAAGCGACTGGCCTCCCAGCCATCCACAAGACCCAGGATATTCTGAACACTGGTGAGCTCAGATGGAGGGTGTTGTGAAAGCTGATCAATTTCATGATTAAGAGTAGCCACACACTCTTCCATGAACAACGCTAGAATATGGAAGTTCTTGTCCTTGGAGCACCGGTGCAGACGCCAGAAGAGATCCGGGATATTCCCACTGGGAAATTCATCTCCAAAGAACGCCAGCCTACTACTAAAGCGGCTCATGGTATCGGTGGACAGGGAAGAAGGAGTTTCCATGACTTCACGAGCCTCTATACAGTGAAAACGGAGGCAGTGGGCTTGATCATCCTTTTGAAGTAGGCTATGTTCGAGTCCGGAACGAAAGAAAGTGCTTCAATTAAAGTTTTCCCAAAGCTCCAACAATGTCTCACTCATCTCCGATAAAGTTCAATCCTACCCCTTAGTCGGAGGCTTATTGCCAGGCGCGTGGACAGCTGAAGATTTATTCTTCTCGGATGCCGAATCGACAGCATACGGACGTACGCATGCCACAGCACCATCAAGGTGGAGCGCACATCACAAGGGCAGATCTGAGTACCTTTGGCTACGAAGACCAGCTCAGGAATCATGTCGCAGGTGTTGTCCTGTGCGTGCAGCACAAATCGACTAAAAGACGAACGAAATGCCTGTTACCGTGGGCGACTTTATCGTTGATATCTCGATGCAAATGCGGATTCGAGATCAATTGGTGATCGAGGAGATGCGAAGTGTCGAATCGTGATCCACCGGTTTGCTGCCCGTTTGCAAGAAGCACAGTGTCAGAGCTCTATAGCTCAGCGCCAGCAGATCCATGAGATTCTTAACTCAATGCTGAGAGATTAGCTTCAAGTCCAGGCGAACATCATACAGGAGCGAATCAGCTCAGGATAGTTTGTGGCTGTGGACTTCTGCTGAAAGAATAGACAAAGGGCTGAGAAGATTGGTATATACTGATTGAGAAAATAAAGGGCGTCCAGGTATGGAGCCAGTGTTCGAGCACTTCAGAATTTTGACTATTGGGAATTTCAATTTATCGTTGATTCTAATCCTCAACGGCCCCGTGTATCGTGATAAATATATATCAAAACTTCACGTACTAAGTACGATTTACTTCCATATAAGGCAAAGCCTTGCAACTCGATATGACTACCGGACAAAACAGAACAAGAGCGCTCAAATTCCCGTTCTTAAGAAATGACTGTGGCCTATCTAGACTTGCTTAGTTCCAAATCTCGTAGTCTGGGAAGTATTTTGTGTGGATTCTTCTGGCATAATCAAGAAGGGCCGGACAGCTCTTCACTTTGGCCTTCGTTTCTGGGGCACTAGGGAGAAGTTAGTTGAAATTCACCATTTCAAGGGTTTAAGAGCTACTAACGCGTCACAAACGAGGTTAGATGCAATGAAGCCGAAGACGGTGGCATCAGCCTCTGTCGGGGCATTGCCACCAAGAATCCAGAAAGGTTTTTCCTTGTCGTCGGGGTGGCTCATTTCGCTCGCATAGTTGTTGAGTGTATCCCAGGTCTCATCACGAAAACTAGCAATCTCATCTGGGCTGAACTTTAAGGTACCTTGACCCTCCATAGTTCTCACGGTCTTCTTGTAGGCAATGTTTCCGATGATGACTTGGAGGGGCCAGGGTAAGGCCCCAAAAATTTTGGATCGCATTGTGTAGTAGTTCAGCACCCATCGCTCATGACCCTATGACAATTGATTCGTTAGCTTCTGGTAGAATTCATAGACTGTTGTAGCCAAGCTCAAAAATAGTTCCCTGTACCTGGTAGAAGTAGAGCTTATCCTCTAACAAAGCCCGGATCGATAGGTCCCGCAACATCGAAGACGCTGTGAGATTGCTGTTGAGATCCTCCAAATATCCCGATTCAATCAAGGCCCGAGTTATCAGGGCTGAATCGGCCAAAGTCTCATTGCCATTCCCGCGATCGATCGAAATATATGGGACTTTTCCGCGAGGGGCCTGGATGATCGACCCAGATTCCGTTCGATAAGAGATGTTACCGAATCGAAGGCGAGCTTCTAGCTTAGTGACGAATGGCGACCACACGAAGCATCCTTTGTCGGGAAACCCGCGGAACACAGTGAGGCTGATCGGCGATTTGGCGGCGGTCATTCTGGATACGAGAGCGGTTGTGCTGGATAGGAAGATTACAATTTACCTCGGTGCCCGGTCGAATATGCGAGAATTGAAGATGCTGCAAGAATAGAACGAGGTGTGCAGGACTGCAGGTACAAATACAGAAGAAGAAGAAAGTTCTTGTACTACCTGCAGCCGGCTTCGGGCTCTGAGGAACGAGCGAGCGTTCACTGCAGCCGCAAAAAGCGAAGCCTTGGTAGGCACATCCAAATAATCTAATTTACAGCAATTTTCGGGCTGAATTCTCCGGCTCCAGGAATGACTCACGTCATGAGTGCTGTGACTCGTGAGTGTACAAGGATCAAGGGCTAATCGAGTGTGGCCCCAAGGCGATTCAGCATCGGTGTTTGGCGAACGGCCGTCTCAAATACATAGAAAAGGCACCGTAGAAAGGGGCCAAAGTGCGAACGTGGGGCCAAAGCGGGAGATCTCCGTATAGATCGCCGGTCTCTGCGGCTTTTAGCTTTCATTTTACCTTCGTATTGCATTATTATGGTTACTTGAATCCTCCAGCCACCGAATTCCCTAATTGCCTAGTTGTATTCTTGCCCACATTTAACATTCCCAATTGGGCTGCACACACACAGCTTCATAATCTTGACATTTATACAGTAATTATCTACTATTGAGCGTTGGCATACATACAGTTACGGTGCACAAAGAAGTCAATGACTGCACACGCACCATTCTGTGGCGAGTAAATCCTAATTGGCGAGGGAAGATAAGCACAGGCGCGTAGAAAATATACTTTGTACTGAAGTTGAGAGAAATGGGACATATTATTGTTCAGCACTTTTTTTTGCTATCTTAGCTGCTATGTGCTTAAGCTAATAGCTACTGCGATAACCACGGCAGCTAGGAAGCAACAACAATCGCATGTCGCATCATTCACATCATTGGGTAGGAGTCACACATCTCTACTAACTACCTTCAGACCCGCACGTGTTATGACTTTGTACCACTGACTCTCCGCTCGTGAGCGCCTAGGAAAACCAACATTGAACATTGAGGGTCAAGACAGGCCGCCTAACAGGGCGTCTTAGTAGTTATCCATGACGGCCATTTCATTATTTAGAATAAGTGGTTCCAAATTTGTTGCCAGGACCAGCCCTCAAAGAAATCTCGCACGTTCTCTTGTCACACTGGCACGGAGATCATACAGAGGGAGTCCCCAATCTCATCGCCTATGACCCTCGTCTCGCCTCCCATATCTACAAAAACCAACCGAGTCCCGGCCAACAGCCCATAACCAACGGACAAATTGTCCAAACAGAAGGCGCAGTGATCCGCGCTGTATTCACCCCCGGCCACGCAGTGGATCACATGTGCTTTATCCTAGAAGAAGAGAACGCCATGTTCACGGGAGACAACATCCTCGGCCACGGTACAGCGTCGCCGAAGATCTCGGCGAATATATGAAAAGCCTAGATATCATGCGTGCTCAGAACTGCCAATTCGGATACCCGGGGCATGGCATCAAGATTCTCAATCTTCCGCGCACTATCCAGTTTTATATTCGGCATAAGGAGTAGCGCGAGCGTCAGATATACCATGCCTTGACGAAGGTTACTCGCACGGATGGTAATGCTAAGGGTAGCTTGACGGCCCGGGAGCTCGTGCATTCGTTGCATGGAGAGATCCCTGAGGAGCTTTTTAAGGATGCGTTCGAGCCGTTTATAACGGAGTCGCTGTGGAAACTTGCGGAGGAACGGACGGTTACGTTTGAGGTTGTTCGGGGTCAACGGCAGTGGTTTTTGAATAAACGGGCCTGGATTAGCTCGGCTGCTTGAGGCTAATGCTGTGCGAATCGAGGTATCTTTTTTCCAGTGCCATTTTGGACATTCAGTCGATTTTGGAGTAAATTCAATGAAATCCAAAGAACGTGTCACGTTTAAAATGCGGGAATATTTTTGTAATGCATTCAGGCGGTCTCTATTGAACTGCAGTACGGCCACCGAGGATAAGAAAACCGTAGCATCCTTCTGTTCGGACGATTTGCTATTATTTTCCACGCGCTCAAAGCTTCGACTTCTTCTTGCCCGTCACATTGGCAACCTCCTCTCCGGACAAAAGGAAATCGGGGTATTGCAGGTTTCCGTTGGTCGCAAGGCCACCGGACATGCGCCAGTTCGCACCGTCGACTTTAGGTAGGTATGTTAGATTGTATTGCACTCTATTAAATTCGACCACACTGAGCGTATTTGACTTACCAACAAGGGTCTGGCCGGTGACATAGCTACCACCATCAGAGAAAAGATAGACGGTCGCATCCGCAATATCGCGAACGTGCCCGAAGCGACCAAGAGGCTGGGCCTTGGTGTAGGCAGCCTTAGCGTCGGATGGGAGCAGACGTTCCAAGCCCTGGATATCTCGTTAAATTGCAAGCTCATAGAAATGGACTTCTAGTCATCTCACCTCTGTCTGGGCGATAGGGCCAGGGGAAATAATGTTAGAAGTCACACCCCGAGGTCCGTATTCAATGGCCACGGCATTAGACAAAGAGTCGATGCCGGCCTTGGCTACCGAGACATGGGTTTGGAAGGGCATGCCGCGGTAGTGGATAGTTGCGCTAACGAAGATGATTCTACCACCGGTTCCACCAGCGGCTGGCTGGACTGTCTCGGGTGTCAAACAAAATTGCGGGTCAACTAGAAAAGGGGGGGGCTGTCGACTTACGGGTCTCTGAATCCATTCTGTGCTTACCGCCAGACTCGACCAGGTAGGGCAGAGTGGCCTTGAGGGTGTTGTAAGATCCAATCACGTCAATATCCATGACAGACTTGAACGCGTTGACTGAGAGTTGCTCAATAGAGGCGAGGAAGTTACCTGCAGCGCCGGCACTGTTGAGAGAGTTAGTACAAGAGGCATGAATCTAGACGCGTCGTTGGTTAGAGGGAAGACATACATGACATAGTCGATGCCACCGAGCTCCTTGACACAGCGCTCGGCGGCGCTCTTCAAATCGTTGAAGTTTCGAACATCAACGGCGCCAATGCCAATGACCTTGGCTCCAGGGCGGCATGTGGCAATATCCTTAGCGACGCGCTCTGTTTTCTCGACATTGCGACCGATGATACAGGCGTTGGCTCCGAGATGAACCAAGGCGCGAACCTGGGCACTACAGATTGTGCCTGCTCCACCTGTGCAGAAGATGACCTTGTTGGCTGTAAAGAAGAGTCAGTTGTTGCGTGTTCAGTCATGGCCGAGGGGGAGGCTGACCGAAGATTCCCTCCTTCCAGATGTCGCTAATGTACTCAGACTTGGGGAGAGGCATGATGAAGGGTATTGTGAGAGAGGACGTTAATCAGAGTTAGCAAGGGATCATGCAGATAGGACTGAATAGCTAAATAGCTGACGTGAGAGGTGATATATTGGAATTTACGGAGGCCAGCGTGCCTCCGTCGCCTTTTCCCCACACGGCGAAGTTGAGCCTCGGCTCGGTCGGGAGAAGATGACTGGTTTGTGCCGCTCGGTCGAGCATTATTGCAGAACATAAACGATCAAATTAAATGATCAGACATGTTAACTACACATTTACCATGGATATGAATAGGCATAATCTACTTCCCCATCTTTTTTACTTTCCGGGGTAGCTGTGTGTTATGGGGTACCTGATATGGGACTCTCAGAGTCCCAGCGCCTAAGCAGGACAAAAAGCGTACTCAGAGTGAGCCTTGTTCATAGAAAGATGCCTGTAAAGAAACACCTCGATCAGTATTCTTGTCCTATATATGTTATTAGGCTATAAGCTACAGTATTCGACCCATCTTGTCCTTCGACAGTACGGGTAGGCTACGGAGTATTCGGGATGAAGAACGTGCGGTCGCTGATTGGATGGTGCGTGCACGTCACTTCCACCCAAAGACTCTCGAGGCTCCCAAATATCCTCACTCTCGCCATCCATCTCGGGATTTCCATTTCGCTACAAGCTACCCAATTTCGTAGCCTATTGCGCGTCCTTCTTGACTCAATTCTTGCCGGTCGCGCATTTATTCCACCGACGTCATGGCCTGCCCCATCACCATCTCCAAGTTCGTCGGCACGGTATCGCTCGGCCTGCTGACGGTAAGTAGATCACCACTACGAGCTTCAATCGATATGATCTCATACTAATACGTTGCGATCAATCCTCCCAGGGCCTATCATACTCCACCGCTACCATTACCATCCCCTCCCTCCAGCTCCTACCGACCGCTACCACCGCCTCCCGCTGCCTCAATGAAGTGAAGCGCCTCAACCGCAAGCATGCGTTGCGACTCTCCAGCCTTGCCAATACCTGCCTTCTTTTCGCATATTGCGTCTCTCCTCCCCGCCGTCAACATCCATTCCTCGTCTGGATGTGTGTTGCGTCCACAGTCAGCTCCTATGGCCTGGACCTCTGGTTCAACCGACAGATGGGCCTGAAGAATTGGTTCTTCAGCATCATTTACGATACTACATGCGTGTCGCTAGGCAAGCAGTCATCGGCCAAGAAGGATGATGATCTCGTTGTCGTCGAAGCCGAAGAGGATGTAAACGGGGAGAGCGTCCGGCGCGAGATGGACAAGGAGCGCCGCCTACAACGAGCTCGGGCCTGGCTCTCGGGCATTGCCTTGTCCGTGGGAGTTGTCGGTCTGTGGGGAGATAAGAAGTGAAGACGATGATACAGTGTGCGTATCTTCTGTGTTGGTGCAGGTGCCTGGTGGACTGGTTTCCAGCAAGCCATGATCAACGGATCTCATATGTCTCTTCTTTTGTACGTTGGCGCTATGGTGAACAGGGGTGGGGGCTTGTGGGATTTTCCTAACTTCTAAATGTTTGATCGCTATTTTGTACAAATTCATTACACCTTGAGTCCTTTTCTACATTTGACTTCACACAATAATCTGCTCTAGCTCCTAGGCCAATGACCTTGTTCATATCATATCGGGGAGGGAGTATGCATATTCGGACTTCCTTCGCTCCAAGGTTTCGGTTCAATCCAGGCTCAACAAAAATCCATTCTAGACTGGTTTCCCATGACCTTCCTTGATGGCGAAGCCAATGTTATCTTTTTTCCCCCTGGATTTGTGAACGATTCGCAGTTTTGCGTTGACATTTAGTTCTACCTCCGCCATGGATAACAGAGCTGAATGATCCGTCCCATCTGGAGCCACAACAGGCAGGTAGACTACATTCTTACAGCATCCACCCAGACATGCTAAGCATATCAAACCCTCCGACCGATAGCGATCAGGCCTCCGGATTATCCGAGAGACCAATAGTAACTTCAGTAGTGAATAAGTGACGCAGGGCACGCCTGACTGCGAGAAAGTGGTGGTGGGGGTGGGGCGGAGCCTGGGGATTACATTCCCCGCGTGGAAGTATCCCCAAAATCGAGAGTATAAAAACTCATCTTGAGCCTTTCGGATCACATATGAATCAATCAAACCTTTCATCGGATACTGTGCTCTTCAAGATGAATGCACATCTTCTGGTCCTTGTTCCTGCCTTTTTTCTAGCTCTGCAGCTACTCCTATGGCTCAGTCGAGCTCTCTTTTCTCCTCTGAAACACATTCCTGGTCCATTCTGGACTCGGTTTACCTCCTTATGGTACTTTAACCGTGTGCGCCATGGGCGATTTGAGCATGAAAATATCAAGCTGCATCAGCAGTACGGTTCCGTCGTCCGTATAGCACCCAATCAGTACAGTATCAGCGACATTTCTGCCATCAAGACGGTTTATGGAGCCGGCTCGCAGTTCACCAAGTCAGCCTGGTATGATGGATGGAGACATCCAAAGCTATGGACCCTATTTACGGATCGTGATATCAAGCGACACGGTAACCCGGACCCAAGCCCCTTATATTCTGAGATGTATTCGCTCACTATGTTGAAGGCGAGACTCGAAAGCGATTCACCAACTTGTATGCCATGAGCTCGCTTGTTCACTATGAACCACTCGTGGATTACTGTGCGGACTTGTTCGTCAATCGCCTCAACGAATTCGCTGAAAGCAACGAGACCTTCAATCTTGGACATTGGTTTCAATGTTATGCTTTTGATGTAATTGGAAATATCACATTTGGCGAGCGTTTCGGTATTTAATGATCCTCATGACCCAGTTTTACCTTGTTGGTCGCTAATTTTCTCAGGGTTTTTGGACAGGGGTGATGATATAGACGGTGCTATTGATGCCGTCCACAAGGTGACGATGTATAGCAGCCTGGTGGGAATTTATCCTGAATGGCATCCACGTCTGTTTGGCCTGCTCAGCAATTTTAAATGGTCCGGTGCTGGCGGAAGATCCTATATCCTCAAATTCGTACAAGAGAAGATTCGAAAGCACCAAGAAAAGAAGCCCGATACTGAAACAGCGGACACTCTTCGAACACAAGACTTTGTGGAAAAATTGATGTTGGCACGCGAGAAGAACCCCGAGAAAGTCACAGACTATCATCTTCAAATGATGGGTCAGTCCAATGTGGCGGCCGGATCTGACACCACTGCTATTAGCTTGTCAAGCATTATGTGGCATCTTTTACAGAATCCAGATACTTTGCACAAGCTCGTTGCCGAGATTGAGAATTTCACTGCAAGGGGAAACGGGAAGATCAACTTCAAGGAAAGTCAGGATATGCCGTACTTCCAAGCTGTCATGAAAGAAGCACTCCGGATGCACAGTGCTACTGGCTTGCCTATGTGGAGAGTTGTCCCGACCGGAGGTGCTGAGATTGGCGGGCGGTTCTTCCCCGAGGGCGCTATTGTGGGTGTCAATACCTGGGTCGCGCACTATGACGACCGTGTATTTCCCAATGCGAAGGTATTCTGGCCCGAAAGATGGTTGGAAGCAGAAAATGAGCCTGAAAGGTTGAAGGAGATGAACCAGATGTATATGCCGGTAAGTCACAAGCTGGAGCTATCCCAATTCAGAACGCAGTGGCTGACTTACTCCCTCAGTTTGGCCTGGGCTCTAGAACGTGCATTGGCAAGCATATCTCGATTCTTGAAATGTCAAAGCTGATCCCGCGCCTTCTTCGGGATTTCGAGTTCACCCCCTTGAGAAAGAACTGGACTACTCAGAACTTCTGGTTCGTGAAGCCCACGGACTTTGAGGTCCAGGTAAAGAGACGGACCAAAGAGGTGTTGGGGTGAAGACAATGAGTTTTCGTTGTATGAAAAAAATCCTAGCTCATACCAAGATTCATTCTTCGATACTGCATGATAAGCCCATTCACATCACCCATATCTGTGTGATCATATCGAGAGAGAGCTTCGCTCTTCTCTTCCTCTTCATCATTTTCATCATCGCACTCGTTCGTAGTTGACTTAATCTCGTCCACCATAATCCTAGCCAACTGCCAGAACTCAGAAGCTTGGCGAAGAAACCCAACTTGCTTCCATAAATTGTCGGGTGTGTCTGGCAACCCGACATCCTCCGGAACTCTCTCGCACCAGATACGATGCCAGTTCTCAAGCCCTGTTTGCACAGGCGCTAGCGTTGACTTGAAGACGAGGGAGTTGTGGAGATGAAACATCAACGAGTGGATTGCTTAGGGCGAAGTTAGAAGTTTCTTGGAACGGCACCCTCATATCACTAACCTTGAACCATTGTAAATAAGTTGAATGTCCCTAGATAAGAATATTCTTGGACAAGATCATCATCAATTGTCTTTTGACACACTCTTCGGACAACTGAAACCACAGATATCCGGTTCTTCCAAAATCGAGTCTGTGCCCAAGCACGCAATTCTTTGAAGCAATCTTGAGCAGACTCAGCTTGGAAGCATGATTCAGGACATGCGACATCCATTTTTAGTTCGGAAACTACCATTCGAGGAGGTGTATTGTGCAGAATTGTTAGCGCGGCATCGATCAAGAATATGTATGTCATCGTCCTAGATATGTCAGATCCTCTTCCTTGAATTCGAAAGCAGGGAGTGGCCAATTGTTTACCTGACTAGTTCTTCTTTCTCTACAAATTCTCTCCACCAGCCCTCTGAAGTCTGGTCACATTGGAGGTCACGGTGAGAGGCTGTCTTGGGTCCAATACTCCTTGTCAACTATGCGCCCGTTAGTCTCAGTTCAACTCAATCCATTTTCTAGTAGGGTCAGTATCTTACCGCCACCATAGAAGCATGTCGATGGCGCCTGCTTCTCACCTGTGCTTCGGCCGATCCCTCTCGTTTCTGAAGCGAGCAGACTAGATATGATGCCTGCAAATGCTGTAGTTTTTCCTTCATGCTTATGTCGGTAGCTTGATTAGCTGTTGTCTCGTCTTTAAAACACTCGTGGCTGAATATGAGTTCTTCGGTACTATCCATCCACTCCCGAGCAGCTTCTGTATCACGTTCCCGTGGGGAGAGACAAGCACCGATGATGAGCATAACACACAATAGTGGCGACGAGGCTGAAGGAGCGTCGAAGAGTGGTTTATGGACAATAGGACAATGTGGATACCACAACGACCAGAAGTATTCCAAAAAGCGATGGATATTTCCTGGGGAGAAAAAGGTTGAACACCTTGCTGATACGGCCGGTGACCATTTCATAGTAATAGAATCGTCTTTATGTCTGTTGGAGGATATTGATTGGAGACTGTCGACAATTTCACGCGATTTCAAAGCAAGTTCATCTCCGTCGGCGTTGGTAGGGACTCCGGAATTACCCTGATAGAAAGTGGACTGAGTTGGTAGTGCATTCCCCTCCTCGTTTAGCAGCTTTGCATCGTAGGCTTCGGCCACCATGTTTTGCCGTCGAAGAAAGGACGGACGGTCGGTAAAAGTAGATAATCCTCTTGCACTTGTGAAGTATGCCATATATTCCAGTTTCTCAGCTGGGAGAGTATCCGAGGTGATCCGGGGGAACAAAAGGAAGTCCAAGGCTGAGAAATCCAGAGGTGAAGGCTCATTGGCGGAGGGACCGCCGGACAGGCCTATCATATCGTCAAATAGGCCATAATCATAGTCTCGAAGTCCATGCATCTGTGAAGCAGAATCAACTGTCGAGGCCTGTGCCTGACCAAGAGCATATTGAGAACATCGCGGACGTTTAGTGTCTCTGTCATCTAGCTCGTTCTCAAAGCTTGTATCGTGAAGTCGCTCCCGAGATTTGCAGGTTCGCTCATGGCGGCGGAGCACGTCCCTAGTAATGATGGTCAGGCACCGATCTTGTGGAGCATTTTCTTTTCTTCTTCAAAGTTAGAGAGACGATACTTTCTGTTGAACGCATGGCTGCAGAACATGCAGGTGTGTGGCCGGCTGTTGGAATCTATCAGGCTCTTCCAGGTAAGCAAACACCAAGATGCCTGGCGGGAAAGAATAGACATACGTGCAGCCGTATGTCGTTTCAAGTGCTCAGGACGACTGAATGTCGCGAGGCATATGGTACACCGCCATTCTGAATCCATTCACCCAATAGTCTGGCTTGCCTAGAGTAGGAGATATAGTGAGTGAGACGAATACTGGTAATCGTCAACTTCGGTCCGGTAGGAGGAAATAATAGTGCGGAGTGCCTTCATGCGGGGAAGTGGAGCCGATGTCCCGACCTGTCCGTCCATCGGTCGGGGTACAATAGTCGGGGCTACCCACTGATCACTATCTCAGAGCTTCTTCTAAGAGGCAGTTTTACTTATTAGCTTACGCAGTATTTATTACAGACTTTTGACGATCTGCTGGCTCTTCTAGTGCATTGTTATGACATCCGATGAAGGCTCTAGGCATTGCCCCGCATATTGCGTGAAATGAAGACCAATCGGACACGGCAACTAGATTTTTTAAGAATGCTACCCAATCTGTGCTTACCTCTGTCGATGGCAAGGCTGAGAGTAGATCGATTGCGATGAGATCATTCTCCCAAATTTATCAGCAGCTGCTTATAAATATTGTCTTCGGGCTCCTATTTAAGGCCAGACTTGGTCATTTTGAGAATACCAGGCTCTTCAATATAAGCTGACTGATTGGGCAATCATTATTTCGTACTCAAAAACAAGTTCCATCAACAAAATTACCAATCAAGTGTACCCGGTTGACAAAATGACTACACAACAGGGCAAAATCAAGGCCGTCTTCTTCGACTTCATGGGAACATGCCTAGACTGGCACAGCAGTGTAGTGCAAGCTTTTCCCCCTGCGATAGACAACAAAACAGCGTCCGATCTAGCTCTCGAATGGCGGAAGAATTATTTCCTCGCAAACAATCAGCGATATCTCCAAGGTCTCGCTCCCGAAGACATTGATATCACGCTTGCTCGTGTACTTGACGCAGTCCTTGGTCAATTCCAGGATGTCAAGGCCCATCTCGATACAAACACTAAAAAGCGGCTTGTCGAAGCCTGGCATTCGCAGCCAGCTTGGCCCGAGGTGCAGCAGGCGATACAGAGCATCCGCGAGGATCTTGGACTGGAAGTGTTCGTTCATGCCAATGGAACGACCCGGCTTCAACTGGACCTTACTCAGTCTTCTGGGTTGAACTTCAACATGTTGTTTTCCAGCCAGCTTCTGGGTGTGTACAAGCCTAGTCCTGAGGCATACCAGAAGGCATTACAATTGGTCAAGCTTCAGCCAGAGGAAGTGGTGTTGGTTGCGGCACATGCCTACGACCTACGAGGTGCTCAAAACGTTGGTCTGAGGACCATTTACGTACATCGATGGACAGATGATATTGATGAAGATATGGAGAAAGTTAAGACCGAGTTTGATTTTTACTTGGACGATATGAAGAATCTTCCTGCTACGATTGCGAGGCTATAAGTGCAGACATATGCTAAGGTTGTTCATTGCTAAACGCCGCGACCACCCAGCTAGCAGCTCAGACAATTCATATGAATACATCAACCTTACAGTCCATCGTGTCGCCCACTTCCCCTTGTCTTGATCCGAGCATCCTACGCATGTATCCGGTAATCATGCAATGGTCCGCACTCAGGCGCGAGCAGCCCACCTAGAATGGTACACGTGACTATGGTGAATATTTTGGGAGTTTTCACTTGACCGGATACCATTGAGAATAATGACTGCCTGTTTCATTAGTTGTTGATTATTCTGAGCTCCTTCGGACGTCAATTCCCACGCAGGGTCTAGGAACCCTGCGCTAGTGACAGCCGAAATGACCGAATAAATTAAACCAAAAACGCTAAGGAGAACGCGGAGGGTCGGAAATGAGACCCGTGGCGCGCCGTTGTAACATGTTTTGATGAAGCCCAAGAAGGGGCCCCTTAGAGCCGATGATGGTTCTTTTATGAGAGCTCAATACCCTTGAGAGAGCTAGAATTTCCTGTGACTAGTATTTTCTGTATTTTTTTTTTTTTTTGCCAATCTTGACAGTCATGGGCAACTTCACCATCGTCAATGGCCAAGTCTACACGCCAGGCCTGGCCATCATTGACGCCCCACAACCAAACACGCCGCTTGGAGGAGGCAAGCCGACCTGTCAAATGTGCTCAAAGAGACCATTGAGACTAACACGAATGCCCAGAAAACCTTCAGGTTGCGATCGACGTCTCAGGGAATGGCAAGCTCCCCTGGCCACCGTCCACGCAATCCGCTGATTCACCGACCCTCTTTCACAACATCACCCTTTTCTTGACCTCCGAAACCCTATCGCACAATTTCACCATCTCCAATGGCACCGAGCCGGCGAATAATGGCACTGGCTATGTTGGACCCGTGTTGGATCAGGAACCTTCGTCCACAGTGAAGCATGTCAACTGGGTCTGGCCTAAGTGCCTCGTTGGTGATGGTACGAGCAGCGATGGATCGGCCCGCGGCGCGTACAACATTTCCATGCATCAGTCTTTCCGCTGGAATGGCAGCGACTATTATACGGTGTTTGACTTGCCCATTTCGGTGACAAATAGCATCTCGGAGAGCGCCGAGCGGGTAGACTGCGCCTCCCTGGAGAACAAACTCCTCAACATTGCAGAGGTTGAGAGGAGTTCCGACACGCTGCCAGGACAGCCATGGGTTCAGGCGGGAGCGAGCACTGAAACTAGCACTGGGTCGAGCGCATCGTCGACGAAGACGAGTGCCGCGGCGGGTGTGTTGAAGGACAAAAAGAAGTCAATGATGCTTCTTGCGACCGTCGGAACGGCCTTCAGCGTGTTCCTCCACGCGGCGCTGTGATGACGCGGCGAGTCTTTACCCCTTGATTTTTCAACCCCATTTGTGTTAATTGTTGTTTTGAGACCAATATTTCGCATTTCTGTTAGGCCGTTTTATAGAGAATATTAATTATCATCGTGAGCATCAGTTTAAAGCACATGAAGTGACAGGAATCACGGATCGGCAGCCATCAGCTCTGTACCGTAGATCTGATCTCATCACAGGCGATCTCCCTCGATTAGTCGTCGGAAGTATGAAGGGCTTCTTTCAACCTTGGAATTTGCCCCCTTGAATTGCGCTGCCTTTGACACGCCAACCCACTCGAGTCTTGGATGTCTGGGCAAATTCTAGGCACAAAGCATCATCCCTTTCTTCTCCTCATTCTTCTTTCCGGCCATATCCGACCAGAAATCCACTACAATATGCAATTCCACTCCACATCTTGAGCCTCTCGCCGTCCAGCTGTCCACTGACCACGCTGCCGCATTTTGCGACGTCCGCTCCTTATGAAGAATCTCTTAACCACCTATCCGCGATCTTTCCGCCGGACATTGATTCGAAATCGTATCGTCCGCTCGCTACTCATCCTCTTCATAGCCTGGAATCTTGTCGAACTCCACCTGATCCTCCGCCGCATCTCCCAAACGGACATCATCTACCGCGAACAACCCCGCCGCCATGAAAGGATATATATTGCGATGGTCAATTGGAATAATGAATTCATTCTACGAAGCCACCTGAGCAAAGCGATCACAGAGCTTTCATGGAAATTGGGGCCGGAGAACGTATATATCAGCATCTACGAAAGTGGCAGTTATGACAATACTAAAGGCGCGTTGGTCGACCTTGATGCGGAACTGGATCGCCTCAATGTACCACGGAATATCACCATGTCAGACACCACACACGCGGATGAAATAGCCGCCCCTCCGGAGGGCGAGGGTTGGGTTATGACGCCGAGAGGGGAAAAGGAGCTCAGGCGGATTCCATATCTCTCGCGAGTGCGAAATTACAGTCTGGAACCGTTGCATGAGCTAGCGAAGCAAGGAATACATTTTGATAAGATACTGTTTCTCAATGACGTTGTGTTCACAGTAGGTAGGACCCAATCCAAGTGGAGATTCCTGGAAACGATACTAACGAGCTTAACCAAAATCTAGTCAAACGATGTCTTTGAACTCCTTGATACCAATGATGGAGACTATGCTGCGGCATGTTCATTGGATTTCTCGAAACCACCCTACTATTATGACACATTTGCTCTCCGAGATGCCCACGGCCATGAGGCCGTCATGCCTACTTGGCCATTCTTCCGCGCATTTCCATCACATTATGCTATGAAGAACTTGCTGCCCGTACCAGTGAAGAGTTGCTGGAACGGCATGGGTATGTATTTTTAAAATCGACTTGTTTTCCGAGTCATAGCTAATGTTCATGCAGTCGCAATGCCTGCTGCACCTTTCCTGGCGAACCCACCCCTTCGCTTCCGGGGTATTCCTGATTCCCTGGCATCTTCGCACCTCGAAGCCTCTGAATGCTGTCTCATCCATGCAGACAATCCACTCTCAACACAACACGGAGTCTATCTCAACCCTCTTGTGCGTGTTGGCTATAACACTGCTGCCTATGTGGCTGTGAACCCTATATTGAATTGGCTGACTCCCAAAACAATCCTACAAGGATTGTGGTTAAACAGGATACGTCGCTGGACGACGTTTCCTGGCTTCAAAGATAGATCAATCCACAATCAAGTAGCCCGTTGGGCCAACCTGACTCCAGATAACAGAGAGCCCGGGGATTTCTGTGTTATCAACGAGATGCAAGTCCTTGACCCGCGGGGATGGTACCATATATAGCTACAATTTAGCACAAGAAATTTTTAGAATCGTTCAAATTTCTACATCAACTCTATCACATAAATGCTAAGCCGTAGATCCTGCCTAACTTCGCGCGCCTGTCTCACCACCGCGAAACCTCAATTCTGTTCGGCGAACCTGACTTTCTTCTTTGGCCCCTAGTGTTCCCGGATCTTGTCATATTCAGGAATCGCCCATCGCTTCATCCACTCCGATTCCAGAACCTTCTTTGCAGTGGCGCGCTCCTCGGGGCGGTACTTCAGCATCGATCGAATCATCAAGAGGAAAGCTTTCTTCTCCCCATCGGCCATTGCTTCCCACCCCCTAGCTCGTCGAGGCTTTTGCGCCGCTTCATCAAATCGTGTTTCCATATCCGGATATTCCTCCGGATGCTTTGTTTTGCAATCTTTGTCGAATTGTCGACGTCGAATTTCATACTTCCTTCCCCAATAAGACCACCATCCTGGAGGCAATTTTCCCAAAACGGAAACTTGTTCAGCTGTGATATTTTCAGTCTCCTTTGAGAAATAGCTCTCAAACAACGGGAACCAGGCGACTATGTCCCACAGCGAGCATGCTACAGTCCAGATATCTGAAGGGAAACTCAGGAGTGGATCTTTCTCATGAAGAGCTTCCGGGGGCTGATACGCACGCGGGACCATTGAGTTGTGCCGTGCTTCTAAAGAGGGCTGGTAGGACTCTCCAAAGTCGATGAGCATAATTTTGGCATCAGAAAGTCTGATCTCGTCGCTAGTCTTTCCCATCCAGACTGATTCGATGCACTCTGAGGGAACCGCAGGGGTCAATTCTTTGCTATCCTCGCGTACAACAGGTACGCGCATAGGTTTCCCAAATTTCTCGTAGAGGGCGTCGACGGAAAACTTATTGATGTCAAAGGGCAATCGGAGAACGACATTCGACAAGTTCACATCACCATGGACATATTCCTTCTCATGGACATGTGCAACAGCAATCACCAGTTGAGCTGCCATGGCTCGAGCAACATCAAGGCGAAACACTCCCTGATGACACTTCAATTTTGCGAGCGATAGATTTGCTCCCCCGACAGTAGTTACATAGCAGGGATGCTTTCCGTTAGGTCCGTCGATATCGAAGTTGTCCAAGAGCGGAGGAATCACAGATCTGATCGTACTGGTATCAAAGGTGATAGTATGTTGGAGGCCTTTTATCGAAGTCGCTTCGAGTGGGTTCGAGTGTTCAGCGCGACCGACTTTGATTGCGACAAATTGTCTCGAGGTTTGATCAACGGCCAGCCAGATGGTTCCATATGTTCCAAATCCGAGTTTGTGAACGATGCGATATTTTTCATGCAGGATGTCGCCGATTTTGACGGGGTGATATCCGCCTTTTTCGTAGTACTCGAGATCTTCGACTCCTTCTAGAGGAACGTAGTCGATTTTGGGCTGCTTGCCCTTGTCTTTGCCAGGAGGTGGCGCCGAAGCTGCCATATTGATATGACTTCGATGGTGTATGTATTCTGGGAGTTGTAAGTTGAAGAGAAGATGGTGAAAGGAAGAGATTTGAAAGAAAGCACAAATGGGAGAGAGACTAGTATGGTTAAGAGTGTCAACAGCACCTGCTTCGTTTTATCTCTCCAGACTTTCGTAAAATTCGCATAGTTCCATTTATTTCGAGATTCGATACGCTTGAGGCTGAGAAAAGAGCACACAGTAATATCAAGGTCCGTATTCATGACCAAAGTTGACAATCTTTATACGAAATGGAAATATCCAAGCCATGCTGATGATAGAGCCCCTATAAACCAAGAAACGTAGTCAACAGCACTATGGCTGTATTATCTCTTAACTAAGTCTTCGAATCCACGAAGGAGGTCCGGTTTTAGATCATTTACATGCGCAACTCCGATACTCACCCGAATGGATTGATCCCGCAAGAAATTGAACAAACCGAAGGCCTCGTATCCTCGTATCAATCGCTATGTTGAAGTAATGGAACGCAGTACTCAAATAAATCGGCGGGGCGACAGCTGACCCCTGTGGAACATTGTCCGCGTGGAGAGCAAAAGTGGCTAGCTTCTTGTTTGCCATTGTGGTAAGTTGCTTCAAGCATGGCTATAGGAGAATTGAGGCCGATAATGATCCTACTGTTATATCAGTGAACCGGTCAGTCTACATTTGATCGCCATAGTTCGTCAGAATCGATATAAACTCCACTCTGACTCATGCTTAACGGTTATTATCGGTCACTCCACGTTCTAGAAGCGCCAGTGACGAATCGCACCACTTGCAGATTGTACAATACCCCATAAAGAGAGAAATTTTGAAAAAAGCTGATTCTAGTAATTGGTAATTGAAATTTAATCGGTGTAGAGTTACCAGGAGCAATTTGTGGCCAGCTGGTCTGGATGGCGGATAAGTTGAGCGGTACGGCGTTTGCTGTGTATGTTCACGACCTCCCCTATCCGATCGTGATAAATTCGAAGAGAATATTTTAAAATTGGTTTTGATTTTGGTAATTACCCGGAACTATATAGAAGGGAATCGCCGCGATATGACAAGAAAATTATAGAGGTAACCGTGTACCCTGATACGTTATTCGCCAGAAGTAGTGGCCATCGCGGTGGCTATCGCGGTGAACCCGCAGAGATTTACCCCAGTTGATCGAAGCCGCGGCGTACTTTCTCGCGTTTCCCAAAGGTTAATAATCCCACCAACCCAGTTTATTATCTTTCTTCGGTACTTGACCTGTGGTCACAGCCAGAAAAAAAGATAGACTGCTAATTCCAGGGGAGGCCAGGCATGATCTTCCACTTTTAGGATGTTGGATGCATGTAATTGCCGCATCTTCAAACCGTTATACAGAATCCTTAGGCAGCTTCTCGTCTGAGGATGCTGGGTCCACCATCAATGGTGCACCCGGAGCAGGCCCTGGTGGAGGTGCAGGTGCAGACTTTGGCGGCGCAGGCGGCGTAAACCAAAAAACTGGATACCGCCGATGCATATTATTGTTCAATAGCAGAGCACAGCACATGAGCATCGTAGAAGAAAGCAGAACAACCGGTAAATAGTACCATGAGAGGTTCCAAACTTCATCATTGGTGGCTGGGAGCAGCGCGGTAGCACCAGCAGGTGGGTGAGTGGTCCCAGTGAGCTGCATGACAACAATCGCGATGGCGGTCGACAATGAGGCTGCCAGCCAGCGCAGGGACTCAAAACGCTCTTGGTCAGGCATCAAACTGAATAGCTTGGTGACGCAGATACCAATTAAGGCGCTGAAAAAGTGGCCGAAAATTAAAGACCGAGGCTGCGCAAGTGGGCTTTCAATAGCACCGAAGACGAGAACTGCTGATGCGCCCTAAAGATTTTTAATCGAACCAGTCAGCAATCAAGGGTCTAAAGCAGGCGGCGCGGTGAGTCAACCAAGGAGTTTTTTTTTCTTCTAACTCACATAGGATGCGATAATGCCAGGCACATGGCGCGAAGTGAAATAATGCGAGTAGTTAAAGATGCCCTGTACTACGGAAAGACCGCAGAATGCAGTAATGAAGGACCATGCGGCGACCTTCCAAGTTGCGAGTGGTTTCGGAGTTTCGGCACGGTATCCAAGCCAGTGGCTGATCCACGGCGGGAGGCGAGAAAGACGCGACTGTGGCATCAGGACGTAGCTACCGAGCCGGTATATGATAAAAAGTTGAAACCAAAGCTATAGTATTATCGAGCCATCTGACGAGAAAAAAGAAATGAGAAATTGGTTATGACTTCAAACCAGCCCTGCGCTAGCGCCACTACTAACAATGAGGAGAAAAGAAAAGTTCGTGAGGAGGCGCGCGTGCGGAGAAACGCTCATTTTGGGTGTCAAGTGGGTCATAAACCCTTTTCCTTTCACGTAATGGGAACAGCTGCCCTTAGCAATTGCATTCGCCGTCTCCAACTAATGCGGAGTAAGGGGTACATCCAAAACATGAACATGTTTTAAGAGCCATTTTACCTTGATCTTATACCGTGATAGATGTGGCAGAAGGGGCTTCATTGGCTAGCCATAGATTAAACTTATCGACGACTTAAGCGCCTTGAATCCCGGTTCCATACATTAGCCTCATCAGAAGTGGGAACATCTTCAGATTAGCCAATTCGGGACGCATTGGATTTACCCCACACGGTCAACGTGAGCTCTAGGTAATGATCAAATTCAACGTCAACACTAGCGGAAGTTTGATTAAAATATTAGAGTCATACTCGCTTCAAACACGCTACATTTCATAAGTACTGAGTCTGATAGATCGGCTTCGAATGTATTAGGAACTTTGTTGAGATAATCTAGTATCCACTCAATTCATTATTGATCTATTCCTGCGCTGCGGCATCTTCATTCTGAGAGTTAACGACGGCGTCTTCTACGCCTACGCGCAGGAATCAAAAGGGGAAATCAGTTAATCGGCCAATGCAGAGATTTCTAAGGAAGCAGGACGGAAAGGGGAAAGCAGAGGCCTCTGATAGGCCGACAGATCTAGGCGCAGGGCCTGGGCAAACAAGGAATCTGCCGATGGGAGGGTATCTCCATTAGTCAGTTCTTTGCCAACTCTGATCTGATAAGATGAAAGTCTGATAGTACCTTGCTTGACGAGAAAACTCCATGTCAAGCGTTTCTAGGAACTAGCCATTTTCACTCAACATTGACCCCAGGGGGTTTCTTCGGCCGTTGCGTGCTCTTTGCTCTCTTCAAGCTTCCCAGGGAATATACCGTAGTCTAACAGTGACGGGGGAAATTAGCGATCGGCTCGGCAATCAACAAATGGCGAGGAAAGCGCTATGATCAAACAGGGAAGGCTAGTCGACTTTGCCTATCTGGTCTACGTACTGGCCATAGTCACAGACAGGTGGGTCGGTCTGGCTTCTCACGGTCATCAAATTGAAACCCGCCAGCTTCATTCATCCGGGCTTCATAACCCAGTATTATATGCACTCCTGCCATCCGAGTGGGGCTCTTCAATGTCGATCTATCCTCTGACAAGCTTTCCGAGGCTCCACGAGCTCCAGGATTGTGTGCCGTCATTGCGCAATACTTCAAACGAGCACGCAATGATTTTTTATGCTCTCCAGAAAACCAACATCCGAAGGCCACCGGAGATTTAACCGTGATAATCGTTATAAGGCTAATTTAGATTTTCCTTCTCATTGGATATTTTAGTCTTACTAGAATGATGGTGCCATCTATCATGGCGATGATAACATGTTTAGTGCAGCTCGCTTATACAAAATGGCAATTCTTTCGGGAATCAACGCAAGCTTCAGATAACATACTGGTGCATATAAAAGGGCAATATTCCGGGTACCAGTATGTTTGATATGGCTCAAGTCTTCTCTAATAATGCATTACTTCTTATCTACCATTGCTGTTGGGTGGTTTATAGCCCCAGCACCGGCACTTGCTCGCTCGATTGGCATCGGATCGGGTAGCTCGACTCTATGCGCCACAAACGGGCGCCAAGTCACCCACCATGATAGCAACATCTGGCCTTGGCAGACCTATCAGTCTTCCAACATCACGCCACCGTACCTGACAATTAATCGTACCGGCGAGGATCTAGCATCGGGCCTGCTCTTCATTGGTCAGGAAAATGATGGCAGCACAGGTGTGAAGCAAGTATCGCCATTCATTCTGACGCATGACAATGAGCTTGTTTGGGGTGGGCCCGAGGGCGACTCTTCCAATTTCCGACAGCAGTATTGGGGTAATCAGTCTGTGATCACCTTCTGGATTGGCACAGGCAAGGCCGCATATGGTGCCGATGCTGGCCGAGGCTGGGGTAAGGTGCAGATCTATGATGATCAGTACCAACTGATCAAGTCGGTGTGCCCTCGGCTGAACCTGACTATGCCAACTGGCACAACGACCGATTGTGATGCGGATGTGCACGAGTCTTTCATCACCGAAGACAACACTATCTTGGTGACGGCATATAATACAACCCAAGCTGATCTAACCTCCCTTGGCGGTCCGAAAGACGGGTGGGTGTATGACTCTATCGCAGTTGAGATCGATCTGGCTACGAATGAGCCGGTCTTTATTTGGAGCCCCTTGGCTCACTTGGACATCAACTCAACCCATGAAGAATACTCCTCGTCTAGCCAGACTGCGCCCTTCGATTGGTTCCATATCAACTCCGTTCAGAAGTGGAATGATCATTATTTGATCAATTCACGACACCTATGGCGCACTTACCTTGTCAATCGCCAAGGAGAGGTTGTTTGGTACATTGACGGAGAGGACGGTGGGAGCTTTGAGAGCTTGCCAAACGACATCACCTTCGTAAGTACATTTCACAGCGCGATTTTTATGAGACCTCCTCTAACCATCATTGATTTAGTCTTGGCAACATATGGCGCGTCTTCGCAACGTTTCATCTACCCAGGCCCTTATTAGCTGGTTTGCCAACGACCTTGACACAGCGACCAGCACGGTTCCTTCCAAGGGCCTCACGCTACGCCTTACACTTCCTCCAAGCCCAGAGCATCCGCCTGAGTTGGTCACTAATTTCTATGATCATCAATACCCAGTCTCATCTGCTGCAGAGGGCTCGTTCTTCCCATTGCCCAATGGAAATACCTTGATGGGGTACGGCGATGAGCCATATATCAAGGAGTATGGCCCCAAGGGAGATGTGCGGTGGTCAGCTCAATTTGCTGGATATGATCTTGGTCAAAGCTATCGCGTCTATAAGCAACAGTGGCAGGCAACACCGTCAACCAGACCAAGTTTGGTGGTCACTAAAGCTGTTGCAAATGATGATCTGAAACAATGTGCGGGTAAATCATCCTCTCTGCGAGGATATGTCAGCTGGAATGGTGCCACAGCCGTTGAAAAATATAGAGTCTACGCTGGTATTGACTCCAGGTCTCTCCAAATTCTGGGTGATGTCGACAAGAAGGGTTTCGAGACAAAGTTTTCGCTTCCAAGTGGGATCAAGGTTGTGAAGGTTGCAGCAATTCAAGCGGGCAAGATCATTCGCAAGTCAGCAATTGTGCGTGTTTGAGGACAAATACATGCCATCTAGATAAAGCTCGAGCCTACCCTGCTCGGTTCCAAGACCTTTTTTACTTTTATTTTTATTTTTTTTCAAAATGAATTATTTTTCAGATTGTGATTGCGTTGGTCGCCTCACCCAGACCTCCTTGTCTGAATTTGTCGGAACTCCATTCTCATGGGTTGGAGGATCCCTTAGCTCCATGTCCCACAAATTAAGCCTGTGGCTGCCACGATCTCCATTTCCAGTAAATAAATCAAACTTCCATCCATGCCTGAAACACTTAATGCCCGCTCCATTCGGATTTTCAAGGTCCTCGATGTCGAAAACATTGCCTTGCTTCAGTGGGAAGGATGAGTGTGGGCATTGCTAGATAGAGTAAGTAAGTAGTAGAACCAAGCCGGCGTTCGGTTCTCAACACACATTATCAACGGCATGCATGAATCCTCTGTATTTGAATACCAAGACTTGATCACTTAGATCTGATAGCCGGTTCATTTTCGCCTGGTCTGTATTCTCTGACCTGGGAATGCTAAGAGTCTTACAACCTGGTAAGACTTTGCAGCCATTGTTGTCTTGACTGATATCAGGAAATGAAGATACCAGCCCAACCATTTGCCAGGCATTCATCTCAGTAGATTGTTCGGAGAGATTCATCATACCTTGTGGGAGCTCTTGCGCTCAAGCACCCTCGGGAATTTTATTGGTCGGCAAATGCTCTTTATAGCCGTGCCGACGGCAACGGAATTCGAACTCCACGACCCCGGTAAAAAAACATCTAGAAAAGTCAAAATCGGACTCCTCGAAAGACCACACTCAAAACGCGATAATAACTCATTTCATATAGTGTGTTCCATATATTGTGCATCATCTTGACCGTAATAGGTATAGAATGTTGGGTTGGCCTCGCATCTGAGCGGGTACCACCACAAACCCAGCACAAGCATGGGCCAAAGGGTATCTTTGAGGGCCTTAAATGACCTTATAAATGGCTAATAGAGCGTTATAGATGCCAGATAGTGAACATCTTTTTTGTCTTAACCAAGTATGATCAGAAACTAAGACTCTCTCGCTCATTTGCCATGCATGTAAATAGTACCTCGAGAATTCAACATGTAATGACTAACAAGACTTTCCATTTATAGCAATAATATACAGTAGATAAAATGTCTTGGATGTTATTAGGATAGATTGGCGAAGTCTTGTCTGCGATCCTGGATTGAGAAGGTTACAGCTGCGCCAGGAGAGTTGCACATCGCTGCGCCGAGTCCTTGGTGCCCACAAAAGACACGCTGGGGTCATTGTTGAGACCTATTTCGGCAAGTGTCGAGGCTGAAAACTGTTAGAAAATAATCAACTCCTTTAGTTTGCTTGAACTCACCCGCTGGGTTATATGTTGGCCACCCCAGATCTTTTAGCCCGTGTTCTGGATCAGCGACAAACGCCCCCCAAGCTGAGCGCATCTTGTCCTGGAGCTGACACTGCGCATTAGACTCGGCAATACCAGTGATCTCAGCAGACTCTCCAAAGATCATGTTAAATTCAACACCATGATATGCCCCACTGGTGGGGTAAAGACGGGTATTGTCCCAGTCTGCGTTGTATTGGAATCGCCAGGCGGGAGTGCGTCGGCGGCTTCTGTCTGCGGCTTCGAGGTTAGACGGACAGAAGAAAGTTTGCATATTGAAGTCGTCCCATTGCTGATCTGTCAATATAGATCCCTGAGCGTAGGCGGCAATTTTGTAGAATCCAGCCTCGTTTGCATTGTGTCCAACCAAGTAAGGCTGCATAGGGAAGAGAACTGGTTAGCTGCAATACAAACCCGTCGGGGTATAATTGTAGAATAGTCGACTCACAATGCGGGCAAATTTTCCTTGCTGCGAAAGAAGAGTGTAGTTTTCGAAAACAGTAATGCCGTCCACAGTAGGCTGGAAGGCCGGGGCCTTCCTCGCAGGGTTTGTAGTTGGCACTTTCACAGCACTAGCAGCAGCGAGAATGGCACTAGCATTCTGCTTTCTCATGCACGACAGAACATCCCCTGAAGACCCGCAGCCTATCTGGCTAGAGACTGCATACCAATGACTTGCTGCGGTTGTCTTGTTGTTGGTTGGGAAGCTGAGAGCTGTGCCAGAATGCGAGATCAGACCGGCAACAAGAGGCTTCGAAGGGTAAGCATATGCCCAGTAGTCGACGGAAGCACTTCCACAGGACTGGCCAGATATGGTGATGCGGTCTGGGTCGCCGCCGAATGCACGAATATTCTGCTTAACCCATTCAACGGCCAACCGTTGATCCAGAAGGCCCAGGTTAGGAGGGTGTCCCGGTAATCCAGGGAACCCGAAAATGTTCATGCGGTAGTTGACCGTCACGACGATTACATCTTCGGCGTCAGCAAATCCGCCTCCGTAGTAGAAAAGAGTATCAGTCGTGCCACTTGTCCATCCTGTACCAGAAGTCAGAACTATGCTCCGAGATGAAGAAAAAATGATCGATGGCAAGCCAAGCAGCAAAGCGAAACAAAAACATACGGCCCCCGTAGAAATGAACATAGACTGGCTTGAGTCGACTCGAGTCTTGCTTTGACCAAATGTTCAGAGTCAAGCAATCTTCGCTCTGGGTGTTGTTGTTGATAGCTGCGAAGGCCTCAAAAATGCTGTCAAATTGTGGAGTTTTGTCGGGATAGTTGACCAATTTTGACACCGAGTACATGCACTGGCTATATTTCTCTATGAATCATGGACGGATTCAATCAATTACTCGGGACAACACTCACTTTCCCTATAAAAGCTTAATGTCAGATTGTGCGGCTCGCATGCTCGTGAAAATGCGGTGGGGATTGGATTAAGTTCATAGAGATAAAGTATGAACGATAAGGTGAGATCTTACATATTCCGAGGCAACATGTAAACCCCTAGGCGTGTATGCTTGAGGCGGTGCGAATCGCAATTGGCCGACCGGGGGCTGCGCGTAAGGCACCCCCAGCCATTCTGTAACACTGGGGTTCTGTACAGCCTTGTGGCCCTGGATGACTCCTTCTGATCCGAGATGAGCTTGTTGCGCGACAGCAACCGCTGCGATGGCCAACCAAGCTACTTTCATGGTTCCCTGTTGAAAGAGAGTCACAATTAAATACGGGGTTAAAGAAGACGAGGGGGACAGAGTGAACAAAATATCGGGGCATGAGAAATCCATCAATGCATCTAAATTAGCGCGGACAGGGTTCACAAACCAAGTGGGGCCATTGAAGCCGTAGAAGCCATCGACGGCCTGTTATGACAAAATGAAGGTTTATTAATACAGTTTCATGTTCATAACAATTCCATTTGGCCCCCACGGAGTCCGTCCAAAGTCGCATCGAATAACTAAGCAGATACGAGCACGGGAAAATCCTTCAAGAGTTCAATGATCTTGAAAACTCGCAAAAGGGAGAAAATATGGTCTTTCTTACCTCCATCTTCAAGAACTCCACTTGTCCTGACTTGACAACAATGGTATCCAAGAATGGTGTTTTATGGTCAAACAATCGATGGCATCCCCGATCGGGGCTATGGACTATTTATTACCGCGCTGGTAATGGTGCTCATTGCGGCCATTTTTGTTGCCATTCGTCTAGCAACAAGGGTTCACTTGAGACAGTTCGGTTGGGATGATCTTTTTCTTTTGATCGCCCTGGTGGCATCGGTCATGACAACGGTTGCTATCAACTTGGGTAAGTTGAAAGAGTGTCTGGATTTTTGACTACAAAGCGATGAATGATAGCCGACAGGCGCTGACCTTTGCTCTCAGCCGTGGTGAATGGTTATGGCAGGCATAAAAAGGACATGGGAGATAGTATACATACAGCCCTTATGGTATGTGGGTTATGACAATTAACGCTCGTTCGAGTTGCTTATATTTCAGCAGTGGTTCTTTATCGCACAGACACCCTATAAGATCGCACTTGGCTTCACAAAGGCCTCAATCGTCCTTCTCTACCTCCGGATCTTCATTACAGAGACCTTCCAGCGTGTCGGAAAGGTTTATCTGGTCTTTATTGCCGCATGGACAATTGCATCGGTCCTTGTCACAATACTCCAGTGTATCCCGATCGAGGCTTCTTGGAACAAAAATATCACAAACAAACGATGCGTGGATAAAGATAGCTGGTGGTACGCATTTGCGGCAATCAATACGGTTACAGACTTTTTGATCGCCATTCTTCCCATTTCTCCAATTCGCCACCTGAAGCTTTCGAAGCGTGACAGGATTGGATTGCTTTGTGTCTTTGGTGTTGGAGCTTTGTGAGTTTATACTGTTCCATTTTTTGTACGACATGAGCCTGACCGGGGGAATGATGGATAGTGTCTGTATTACTAGTATCCTCCGTACGGTTGCAGTATCTCAAACATCGACTGGGCTAGACCAGAGCTGTAAGTATCTGGGGAGCCTCAGCCTGAAGAAATGATGCTAACAAATACCATATAGGGGACTTCATCCCTCGCTCAGTCTGGACTCTCGTCGAATGCAACATGGGAATAATCTGTGCCTGTCTCCCGATGATGCGCCGGCCGCTGAGCTTTGCATTTCCATGGCTCTTCAAAGGTTCGACTCGGAAGGAGTCAGAAAGACTCAGCTATGTTCCCCTTGAGCTCAAATATACAAATCGCCATCTACGTCCACGGGAAGGTCAAAGTCAAGAAGAGATTTTGCAATCAAATGTGAAACACGGAGAGGGTTTGGCCGAGGAACAAGAGATCCATATATCTGTCACGACGGAGATCCAGCAAAGCGTCGTGACCTTTGGGGAGAGGAGCCTAAAGAGTCACAACTTGTGATATTCTGATTAAGCGACTTCCTTCAACCGATCTCATCCATTCTTGGAAGCGATATGTTCTTCATGTACGATATAGCTTCGTCTCGCCGTCTAGGCACGCAATAATTTTACGAAGTAATTTTGAAATTCAATTAATTAGATAAGATGTCACTCGAGCGTATTTGCCAAGGCCCTGAACGCCTCATTGACTTCTACAGAGAGAAATAGCAACTCCGAAGCCGATCGGATATTTCCTTCGGTCGGCCAACCAAATCGAGTAGTCCTCGGACATATCGGACTCGGCTGCCTAGATGCAATACAAATGAAGTACACAACTCAATCTTAAGAAATAGATATATAAAGCTACTTAAGTCATTGCAAGTCAATAGTTTCAATAAATTCAGAAACAATCTCTTGATAAACTCACCTACTGATTATCATATTCCACATTCCACACCCCCAACCTCAAAGCTAAAAAATGGCTCAACTCAACACCATCGACGCCAAGCTCGAATCATATATCTTTGTTGACAGCAAGGAGAGCGACGGGGCCAAGAAGGCAAAACATCAAGAGTAAGCGTTTCTATATATCTTCGAAGCAAGTCCTTCCGTGTCCAATCGAGCTAATCGTTGGAGACCTGTTAGTACAAGCCCCAAGGCGCCCTGCTTGAGCCATGGACCAAGCAAGACACCATTTCTCGATCGTGGGCTGCAGAAGCCACAGGCACAAGACATATTCCACGCTCTTTCAGCAGGGTTGAATGAGCTTGCGGACGAAAAGCAATGCACCAAATGTGCCGTGGAAGCCCTCTCAACTCTACTTACGGACCACGTCCGCAATTTGAGGGCGGCAAAGCAGAATGGCGAGTGGACTAAGGAAGAGAGAAAAGTGCTCAAGGCAGAAACTAAAGGTCTATTGAAGCCAGTCAAGAAGCAAATTAAAAGCCTCTGGAAAGGGAATTAAGGGGATACAGCTCCGATGTTTTTCGTGGATGTTGTGAAGCTTGGACTTGTTCATTGAAATTCATGTCGAGATAATACTGGCTTCACCTTCAATATGTCATCTAATGATCTTTGTGATAATTATTTCTATTTTGCAAATACAGCTATGTAAGTTCCAAGATCAAGGAAACAGGATATAAAGCACGAATTCTCCATCAATATTATACAGTCAAATCGGGCAACAATTCCCGTCTCACGATATGGGACTCTCCCAATGTGCCCTTCATGACGAGCACCAAGTCATCGACTGCACCCAAGAACTTGAGGTAGGCCGTCACGGCAACACAGAAGCGGCGATAGTTCTCGTCCCTGATCAGGTCCGTGCTAAGCTCCATTTCAACTTGGTGAACTCGCCAAAACTCGTAGCAGCGCTTGAGTAGTGGCGTGGGAAGCACCTCGGGAAGAGGATCACCAGTCTTGAGAGCCTGTTCCACTATACCCAGGACTGCCATGACATCGCCGATATTGCGGTGGTCTAGAAGACCAGCACGGCGCGCAAGGACGCCCTGGAAGTTCTCTGGCAGAGAGGCCGATAGGAACAGGAGCCTCGCAAGGTGCTGATTCAATTCATGGCAAATTGACTTTACTTGAGCGAGAGTATCGCTGTCGAATGGAGAGCCAGAAAATTCTAGACGAAGCAGCGCCACAGGACCATCGAGGGCTGAGAGAGACTCGGCGAGGTCAAGTGCAAGCTGTTCGGCCATGAGACCTTCATCACGATCTGGCTGGCCCCAGCATGATAGGAGGAGTGCATAATGATCAGAGAGCGCTCGGATGGAATTCGACATTGTCTTGCAGACATGCCTTGCCGCAGAAGGAGGCCGGGGGAACAACTGCACGATCAAGGCCGCAGCGGAACCGATCAGTACAAGCAAGAGTCTTCGCCAGAAGACATTGTACCCCCAGCCTGGGTTACCATATGATGGAATGTGCCTGGTAAAGATGTTGTCAGTCTTTGTAACTAGATATAACAACATAGCCGCAAAACTCACGTATCATCATAGCTGTATCCAATCACCAGGATACAGGTTGCACCACCCATGATCGTGGCTTGCAACACAGCCGGAGGCGCGAAAAGACGTCCCCACATGAGAAGCATGAGGACCACGGCCATAATTGCAGCAAGTCCGTACGGGTTTCCAGGGCCACGACCTGAACCGATATACCAAGCCACCAGACCGGCGACGCCACCGACTACGGTTCCCAAAAAGCGAGAGGCGATTGATAGAGTGAAATCCGACATATACACGACAACTGTCGTCTGGCCCATGATCAAGGCCCATAGACCTTTCTCGCGGTAGTAAAAGCCTGCACTGGATGGGATCACTGCTGGTATGGCCAGTGCAATCGTGACAACTACCATGCGCATCGCGTACAACCCATCAGCGTTGATAAGCCAGTGATATGCGCCGAGTATCATGCGTCCCAGGCCGCTGCGTCGTTTGAATTTGTATCCCCGGCTCATGTTGAGGCTCTGCTGGGCGGCTTTCGATTGCTCTTCGACCACATCGGGGTCAACAAATGGGGACTGCGCAGCAAGGACAGGGGCAACAGCCTCTCGGTGGAACACCCAGTCAAACGCATACCGCAGTCCCCGTGGAAGCCAGAGACGGACTCGTTGGCGTTCCTTCATCAGTGCAACAACCTGTTCCAAGATCTTTTCCCAGGCGTCTGTAACGGCAAGAATTTGTTCTTCAAAGACCATGCCGACGGCGATTCCCCTCACTTTATGCATTGTGTGATCATCGACGTTCTTCAACTTCCCACTTTCATCGAAAATCTCCGCATTTGTCTGGATGAGTCGTTCTGTAGTTTCTGAAGCATATGAGACCCGCAGATTTTTGAGGGTTTCTAGAGAAGATTCACTGCGCTGGAGAAGGTCATCCAATCGAGCCTTAGATGGTTTGCCGAACCACCGTGAAGAGTTCACCGCATGGATACAGTCGGCAACTAGCGCACTCGCTTCCTGACAGGCTGGTAGAATCTTTGTACAAGGCTCCCGAATGGCTTCAAGCATCTCCTGTCGAAGGACCTCATGCTCAGGGGTAGTGAATGCTTTCACAAGACTGAGGCTCTCGAGTAGTTGGCGTATGCCCACTTCGCGTGGTTGTCCCTTTCCTTTCTTTTTCTCCGCGTCCTCAATCTCAGAATACTGATTGTGTTTTGCGGTGATTGTACGGAGTTTCTCCAGTTTCGCTTCTCCTCCGACACGGGATATGTGAAATTCTAGCAGCGATAGAGAACTCAGCGCGGCTCGACGGATGGGTTCCTTCAAGCTCTTCACATCGTCCGCATTCCACCGGCTCACCGAGAAATCTAGCTGCAAGAAACCAAGCGCCGGCTCAACTTTCTTGTACGCTCCAAGGGCTTTCATCTTGAGCTTCTGCAAGTCTGCCACTTCCAGGTTCTCTTCATCAATCAAACTTGTCACGGTCGCATCCAAGGGGCCTTTGAGGAGCCGTACAACTCCTTCCATGCCCTCGAGGACGGTGTGGGAAGTCGATGTTGGGAAAAACAAGATATTGCAAGCCAGTCCGATCCCAATTCCAATTGCTGCTGGCTCGATGAGGACCTTGGGCATGGTTCCATTGAATGATGGGAGTAGTGGCCCAATGGTGATGAAAAGATCCATAATGATAGTTCCAAAGATTTGGATCAAAGTGAATTTGGGGTTCTTGGCTCTGATGCGCGCCTATTGAAATGTTAATTATATTCCAAGCGTATTTCTTCCATCGATCAGAAGCCAAACTTACCAAGACATAGACGAGGAAACAGATGAAGCAAAAGTAGACAGCTGACACACGAGTGTCCAGCATCCAGCCTTCGTAGATAAGCTGTTGCTGGACAGCTGCAACGGGTTGTCCAGTCGAGTTAGCCACGCTATAAGCATGTTGGCCCAGGGCTTGTAATTTCGCCTGAGTATCAGCAGCCGGTCGCGCCGCCAGAGCCGCCTTCATCGCGATGACACCCCACCCCCAGCCGAGGCCCATGCCAATGATGAGGGTGAGTGTTCCTAGGATGAAGATGAAAACAATGCCATTGGGAGGCACCATAAACAGCACCAGTCTAATCGTCCAGTCAATGATAAGGTTGATTCCACGAATTACTCGGAATTACTCACGTCGCGAAGAAAGTGGCTGTTCCAATCGTTTGTAAGGCGGGGTTGATGAAGATCAACAATGAAGCGACCCATGCTGCCACCGTGCAGCGAAATAGAATTTTCAAGTCGCGCGCATTGAAGTGATCCAGCCATCCGGGCAACTTTCTGCGAGGTCGTGACGCGAGCACCTCCTTCGGTGGCATGGCGGAGTCCTCCGCGCTTGGTGCTGGTGAGGCGCCGCTAAGGACAGCCTCTGGCCGAGCGGGGTTCGACATTCAGCCTAGGATCTCCTCTCTCGACGGGCTAAGGAAGATAGATCAGGTGAATTCCAAGGCCCTGTGCTGGACGGGTGTGAAAAACGAGTGTCAAGTTACGAGACGAGGTCTCTGCAGCATTCCTCGCGCTAAACACAGGGGAGAGTCAACGTTAAGAGGGAGAAACACGAACTGAGTTAAGTTTTGGAGCTCCGGCCCGATCGAATGGGTGGATCGGCACTATTGATGTAATTATTTGACTTTCCGGACTTGGATTTGAGTCGCATCCTTGAGCAGAAAGCTTTGTTTTTTCAGGATCGACACCCGTCTTGCTGTTGTGGGCTCTTGGCGACCTTCCAAATGGCAAGTTATGCACGAAATTGAGAATTATGCTGGGCGCAGAACCTTATACAGAGGGCGCGAGAAGGTTTATGCCGTTGAGATCCAGATGAACCAGCGTAGAAATCTCTATTATATACTAACTAGTGACTTCTCTAGTAGTCATAAGCACTAGTGAAGGATTATTAGTTAGGTCCATGAAACCACAATTGATCCCACCTGATTATTGTATGTCTTAAGATAGTGGATGCCAGGGGTTTCGGATGTGTCTGCACATCACGAACAATGCAGTTACTACTTCTCTGGCTTGAGATGTGGAAATTTCTGTATAGATGGCCTGGTCAGAAATCATCCTTGTCTCTATTTCGAACAACATTTACATAAACAACAGATAGTCAACCAACATCGACAGTCATAGTGAACAACTACGGAGTACGGAGTACTCTCGCCCCTTATTTCCCTGGGTGGGGGACACTTTCATGCCTTAGGCAAAATGTTGTGATGCCTCAGGCACCAAAATTTAACATTTCACTGGTTCCGGAATGACCAATCAGAAGTAGAGAGTCTAGAACGTCTTGGGAACTTTTTCAAACTTTGTTTCTCGGCTTATCGGCCGCACTAGGGTTCACCCAGGATCATTAGCGATTTTTTACGCTTAAGAAATCAGTTTCCTAGCACCAATCAAGCAAGAGAAAAAGACCTTAATCCTTCGAGCCACATGTCGATGCATAGTTATACTAAGTACAGCAGGATGATCTAAGCAGGTCTAGATTAGATCCACATCTACGACACGTCCCTCGCCCGTTAGACCCCCCGCATGCTTTACCTCGGGGAACTCCAGTATCTTAAAAACCTCTTAAGCGGGTGTCATATCCCCAGGACCAACCAGAATTCCCAGGCCAAGGTTTTTAGGACGTCCTATGACAAATGGGATTGATACCGAACAGTGATTTTTCGCCTCTTGCCTCCAGCGTGCGAAAAATTCACCGATTGCCTCCCGAAAAGTGGAGGTTAAACGGCGGTTGATCCAATAAAACCTCATCCTGTGGAGAATTTTCCGCAACACCAAAGACAACGCCCCGATGTCGTGATTTGACGGCGTACTGAGGTTTTGGGGAGAGACAAAAGCAAGCTCATTCCCACATGAGCTTGACACACTAGACAACTTTTCTTTTTCTCTCATTCTGGGGGATCTTCATCTGGGGAACGTCGACTAAGTGGGAATTCTGTCTGATTCCTATACTTCTTTGGAGATCGGCCACCCCCTAATCCTCACCAGCCTAAAGATGGAGAAGTCCACTTTGGCCTCGGACGATATCCGTCCGGATCCCGTCAAGGTCGATGAGTATGATGCGACTCCCAAGGAGGAGCTTCAGCTCAATGTTGGCGGCCGTGGTGCCACCCAGCGTCGCCTGCGCAATTACCAGGTCACCATGATCGGTTTCTGCAGTGGCATTGGCACAGGTCTGTTCATCGGTACTGGAGCTGCTTACGCCAAGGCCGGTCCTGCGGGTCTGCTGCTCGCGTATATCATCGTTGGTATGGTTTTGTGGTGTGTGATGCAGAGTATCGCCGAGTTGGCGACTCTGTTGCCCACGGCTGGTTCTTTTCCTCACTGGGCAACTCGCTTCATCGATCCTTCTGTCGGTTTCTCTCTCGCCATTTCTTACGGATATTGTTATACAATCGCTATTGCCTCGGAAGTATCAGCAGCCGCAGTTATTGTGTCATATTGGACAGACATAACGCCTGCGGTTGTCATCACCGTTGGTTTGGTTCTAATTTTGGCCATCAACCTGATGAGCGTGCGCTTCTACGGCGAGACGGAAGTTATTGGAGGTGCCGTTAAGGTCCTTTGCTTCATGGGCTTGGTGATCGTCTCTATCGTGATCACAGCTGGTGGCGGTCCCAACCACGAGTCCATTGGCTTCCGTTACTGGAACAACCCTGGCGCTTGGACAAACTATAACGGCATTACTGGCTCCACCGGTCACTTCTTGGGCTTCCTGGCTTCCTTCGTCAATGCCTCTTTCAGTTTCATTGGTGTTGAGACTGTCGTCATCACTGCTGCCGAGTCTGTCGACCCCCACCGTGCTATCCCTAAGGCTGCCCGCCGCGTCACTTATCGTATTGCCTTCTTCTATGTCCTTGGTGCCCTTCTCATTGGCATTATCGTCGACCCACGGAACAAGGCTCTTGTCTCTGGATCCGGTAACGCAAACAGCTCGCCGTTCGTCATTGCGATCAAGGGGGCTGGTATCAGCGCCCTGCCATCTATTGTGAACGCCTGTATTCTTGTTTCCGCCTGGTCTGCCGGTAACTCATACTGCTGGGTTGGATCGCGCATGATCGTGGCTATGACGACCGACCACCAGTTGCCTCAGATCTTCGGTCGTGTGAACAAGAACGGAGTCCCTTATGTTGCCGTCATTGCGGCCTGGTTGTTCGGTCCACTGGCCTATCTGAGTACGTATCTTCTATGTGAACATGCAAGATATTTCGAAGATTCTAAACTAACAATATTCCAGGTCTTGGAAGTGGTGGTCCCGCGCAGGCCTTTACCTGGCTGCTTAACCTTAGCACTGTTGCCGGTTTGATTGCCTGGGCTACTCTCTCGTTCTGCTACATCCGTTTCCATGCCGCTCTGAAGGCACAGGGCGTTTCTCGTGACTCCCTTCCCTGGAAGGGACCTTTCCAGCCATATGCTGCTTGGGTTGGCTTCATTGGTTCTACCATCATCACCCTAGTTTGTGGCTTCCCTGTCTTCTTGAAGGGTAACTGGAACACATCCGACTTTATCGCGTCGTACATTGGTATCCCTATTTTCATTCTGCCAATCATCGCTTGGAAGCTCTGGCACGGCACCAAGGTTCGTCTTTGCCTTAACACTCCCGCTCTGAAAACATTTACTGACTCAATTTGTTATAGTTACAACGCGCTGCTACCATCGATCTCTGGTCGGGCCGTCTCCAAGATGGAGAAATCATGCCTCATCGGAACCCGCGCAACACCCTCTGGGGGCGTTTCATTGACTGGCTTGTTTAGATTTCTCATAATTTTTGTATAATAGCATTTGCATCATGCATATATTAATTCTAGAACGCGATTTTTCTGATGTACAGATTTAATTCAGTCGGTTCCGTAGCCGATCCATCCTTCGTAAACTGGGGATCGCTTAGTCTTGGAATTCCTCACGTAGCTTCTTGATATCCTGATGAGAAGCCTTGCAGCAACCACCCACGAGGAAATTTTGAAACGGGCCCTTGGTGCTAGCATCATTTACCACCTGCGCAAGTTGGACCTCCCAAGAACGCTGGTATTTCGTTAGCACCGGTCAGGAGTAGACAAGTTTGAAATAAGGATAGACTTACGGTGTCTCGATCGCCGTTTGCATTAAAATCGGCGGGTTTCTCCCAGACTTGTGTTGTCGTATTGTAGACCTCTCCATTTGTTCCATCGGGATACAGAACAAAACTCGGCATAGCAGAGATATCGCCAGCAGCGATTGCCGCAGAAACACAATTTCCAAAGCTCTCCAGCAACCCCGAAAGCTTATGAAGCTTCGTGCAGTTGATTCCAATTCCCCACGGCACGCACCCACCATCGACAGGGGCGATGGCAGCATTGACAACCTGTTCAATCGAGCTTCCATCCGGCAGAAGATCGTCCTCACGAGGGAAGACACAAGCAATCCAAAACGGGACCGTAATCCCCGAGTCGTGGATAGCCCTCCTCACAGCGCGAATCTCGTCAAGCCGAGGCAGAGTCTCGAAGGCAACATACTGCATACGCGAAATCAAGTCTCCCTCCGCCTCGAGGAAGAGACGCAGTCGATCAAGGTGCCAGCGATACAGCGCCTCCTCGTTATCATGCTCGGCATCATATGCACCACTGTACTCCTGTCCTGGAATCATGCACGCACCATACGGACCCAGACTCAGTGCGATTTTCGTACTATCACGGACCTTCGCTCGCTCGGCGACGTCCACTGCAGTTTGCAGATATTGCCCAATAGCATTCTTCGGAATACCATTAGGGTACTCTGAGGTCTTTGTACGGGCAAAGCCCTTGGGTGAAACTTGGTATGTAGCTGTGAGAAGCACGTCTACCCCCGCGTTGCCAAAGTCCTTCTGGCAAGCATGCAGCGTGGTGGGATCAGAGACGAGCAAGTGGGTTGACCAAAGGGGTGTCGTGGTGCTGTCAAAGCTCACACCATATTGATCTTGGAGAGAGGTTCCAAGACCACCGTCTAGGATTTGCACCGTTGCCATTGTGATTTTTGGAGCTTGGGATGTTGCTTGTGTAGTGGGGTGTTTCAATTGCGATATTCACACCACTTTATCTGGGCGCCGATTCGGCCTAGTTACGTAATCCATTGCTCTCCAACCAATTTAGACTATGGTTAAAGACATTGAAGCTTGGATCAGCTTGATGGTCAGAATGCAATTTTTGAAGTATAGAGGCTCACTATTTTTTTAGGCGTTCGTTACAAGGATTGCTGAGTTTCAGGTGATGCTCGACAGTCCGCTAGCCCACTAAATGACCAGTGTATATGTTTCCGCACACAGGGGCCAAAGTGCCGATGAAAACGGGATAGAGCTCTGTTTGCAAGTATACATCGCATAAATCTAATTCTAGATTCTGGCTCAACGTATAATCTTTACATAATGATCAAGCGAAAGAAGGATGGATCTTCCCACAAGCTCTCTCGCTCAACCTCTCCCTCATAAGCACATCATACACATGCGACGCCCACGAACAACAAACCTGTCTAGTATCCTTGGGATCAATAATCTCCTCAACGCCGAAAGCATTCGCCGTTCGCACAGGATTCATCAGCCGCAGATACTCCTCCTCCAGCTCCTTATAACGCTCCTCTTTCTTACCAGCCTTCTCTGCCTCATGCAGCTCATGTCGATGTCCGACTTCAATTCCACCATCGAGAGGTAGAGAACCCCATTGTCCGGATGGCCATGCCACTTGCATGACGGGATCACGACTGCCGAGCATAATGCCACCTGCCACACCAAAGACACGGCGAGTCACGACGTTGAAGATTGGGATGGTGGTTGTGTAGTATGTCTTGGCAAGCTCAACGCCCCAGCGCATTGTTGCGGTGCGCTCGGCAACTGTGCCAATGGCGTAGCCAGCTATAGGGGTATCAGAAGATTTTGACAGGGCTATATGGGGGAGAATAATGATACTTACGAACGTCAAGGAATTGCAGGATGGGCAGGTTCATCACATCGCACATTTTCAACAAACGAGTGAGCTTCTGACTGCCCGCAGCATCAAGGGCACCGCCATTCACCTCGCAGTTGAGAGAAATGATACCAACAGGATGACCCCCAGGCGAGCAAGACCACCGATAGCAGTTCGACCCCAGAGAGCACCAATCTCGAACCATGAGCCTTGGTCCACAACCGAGGTAATGATAGTCCGAGCATTGTACATGCGCGCCTGTCGGCGAGGGATGATACTCCGCAAAGCCAGATCTTCCCGATTCTCTGGATCATCGCAGGGAATCACTGGTGGAGCTTCACTACCGGAATTTGGCAGATAGCTCAGCACCGTACGAAGTTGCTCAAAGCACTCTGCTTCATTGGCAGCCAAGTTGTCGATCGTACCATTCGTGCAGTGAACCATGGGGCCGCCCAAGTCTTGGAAGTCCAACCCTTCTTCAAAGGTTGCACCCTCCACGACTTTCGGACCCGCATTGAATAGGGAGCCAATATCAGCTGCCATGACTGAGAAATGACAGGATACGACTCTCGCAGCGCCCAGTCCAATCTGTGAACATGTTAGCATCATGGTATCACCTTTTCCACCCCGAAAGAATGACCAGCATCATGTAAGTACTCACCGCAGGTCCAACCACAGCCCCCAAATTCGGAATACCCATATTCAACTGCTGAATTGTCGGGTTGAAAGGCCTCACATGTGGTAAATAACTCCACCCCTCCTTCTTAATCGTCGTCACACTTCCACCCCCCGAACTCCCATCCACAAGCTTAATAACAGGCACCCGCAACGCAACCGCCAACTTCTCCACATAAACAGTCTTCTCCGAGCTCGCACCGTCTGCATGACCCGATCGAATACTAAAGTCATCCGCCGTAAGCAGGACCTTCCGACCACGCAGTAAGCCCGCGCCCTGGACGTTATTGCTCGGAACGAAGGAGATAGGTGTCTCGCGCATGGGTGCTGTCTTTTTCCATGTCACCGTGCCAGAAATGGAACCGATCTCGGCAAAGGTCCCCGGGTCGAGGAGGGCATCGATGCGCTCGCGTACCCAGAGCTTGCCGGCTTGCTTTTGGCGTACGTAGCCGCGTTGGCTTGGGTCGGGGGTTGCTGCGATTTTGCGAAGGGTGGCGATTTGGGAGAGGACGTCGGAGTGGTCGGCTGGCAGACGAGAGGTTGCATTGTTGGACTTGGCTTTGCTTGTTGCGGGCGTGTCTGCTGGTGGCTGTGTGGAGATGTGCGAGGAGACTTGATTCAGGCGCTGAGCGGCTGTGTCCTGGTCTTTGGACGCGGGCGGCGCGCCATTTTCTTTCCCCATTTTGATCCTTGTTGTTTTGATATGCAGGTAAGATCTCTTCTATCTCATGGTAACAGGGCAAACTTCAATGGCTAGTCAGCAGAGCTGCTCGGCTTTGTTTACTGTGGGGTGAGGGGTCAAGGGTCAGCTAAAGAGACCATCCGAGGGCCGAGGCGCTTTGCTTGAATGCTACAAGTCAGTCATCAATTGTCAAAAGCATTATGAAAGTACCAACTAACTGAAACTGCATCTCGATAAACGCCTCACATCGATCCCTGTCTTCTTTGTGGGCTTATCGACCTAGCTTCAACACTGATTTGTTTGTTACCCAGGATTTGCCTTACCCCATGCCGTCATCCCCGCATTCACCGTCGTTTAAGCGACTGCTGGTCGCCAACAGGTACGACCCTCCCGAACCCTAGTTGGCTCAGAACATGTATTGATTGAAAGGAAATAGAGGTGAAATCGCTGTACGCATACTCCATGCTGCGCGAGAATTACCAAACCCAGCTGAGACCTTTGCTCTTTACACCTCCGATGATCGGTCGCATTGCGATCTGGGGTATCCGCAACACGCTATCCAGATACCCTCCGCATCATCCTATCTAGATATCACTCTACTGGTCGATCTAGCCCGCAAGCACTCCATCGATGCCGTGCATCCAGGCTATGGCTTCCTCAGTGAGAGCGCCGAGTTCGCAAATCGTATGTGGACCGAGGCTGGCGCCGTGGTGATAGGACCCGGCCCAGAGAATCTCGCTCGTACGGGCGACAAGCTGCAGGCAAAGCAACTAGCGCAGGAATGCGGTGTTCCTGTCTTAGAAGCTATGAGTCGACCGACCGCTAATGAAGATGAAGCGCGGGCATTTGCAAGACAAGTTGGGTTTCCTGTTATGATCAAAGCTGTTGATGGTGGAGGTGGCAGAGGCATTCGTCTTGTCCGCGAAAAGTCGGAGTTGGATAATAGTATTCAGCGGGCTATCGGTGAATCACCCTCACGGACGGTCTTTGTGGAAAAGGCTGCCGTTGATGGATTTCACCATGTTGAGATCCAGGTGATGGGCGATGGTACTGGCCAGGTACGCCATCTATGGGAGCGAGACTGCAGCGTGCAGCGGCGATTCCAGAAGGTGGTGGAGTATGCTCCTGCTTTGATTTCTGATCGAGACTTGATTGCTCGAGTCATTGACTCGGCTCTGAAGATGGCGAGTGAAATTCGGTATCGCTCGTTGGGGACGTTCGAGTTCCTAGTCAGTCAGAACAGAGGGGAATTCTACTTTCTGGAAGTCAACCCGCGATTGCAGGTTGAGCATACTATTACAGAGTCTATCAGCGGTATAGACTTGGTTCAGACACAACTTTTGCTAGCACAGGGATGGACCTTTCAAGAGCTGGGTCTAGGATCAGATGTGAATGCCAGTGCTCCGCCTCCAGCAAATACCCATTCCATTCAGCTCCGTCTCTGTGCAGAAGATCCCAGCAACAATTTCACGCTGAGTATCGGCAAAGTGACTGAATTCACCGTCCCCAGTGGCCACGGCATTCGTGTCGATACCAATATCAATGCCTCTGGGGCTTCATCACTGGTCGTCGGATCGAACTTTGACAATCTTCTCGCCAAGATCATCGTCACGGCATCCACTTGGGAGGCCACCGTTCGCAAAGCCCAGCGAGTCTTGGCCGACTCGAGAATCTCCGGCGTCAAGACCAATCTCAGTCTCCTGCGGGGCATCGTTGCGCATGCCGATTTCACGACGGGCCATATCGACACGCAATGGCTTAGCCTCAAGCTGGACGAGGCCTACCAGTTAGGTGAAGGTATCGCCAAGGATCTCCAAAGCCAGAATTTTACCAGCGGTTCATCTCAGCAATCAATCGCACAGAGCGGGCTGCCCTCTTCCAGCCTGCTGTTCCGCAAAGGGGACGCGTGGTCCATTACGCTTCAACCCCTCGAGAACGGGAACCCACAAGCATCAGCCAAGGTAGCGCATCACCTTAAACTATCACGGGTCCTGCGAAATGAGTTCCCCACATCCCTATCCGCCGAGATCGAGTACACGACTCCAACCTCCAAGACCGCCGTTCCGTATCGTATGCAGCTGGATACGACTACGACGGCGGCCTCGGCATTGGTCTCCTCTTCGCACCGGCGGGGCGACCCAAATAACCCGCGTCACATTGTACTCCCGCTGTCAGGTAAGTTGATCGAGATCCTGGTGGCAAGTGGGGATGCCGTGGCGGAGAGTCAGGTCTTGGCTTTCGTGAAGCAGATGAAGATGGAGCTGGAGGTACGTAGTCCTCGTGCGGGGACGGTTCGATGGGTGCATGAGATGGAGGATGAGGATGAGGATGTTGCGGAGGGGATGTTGTTGGTGGAATTAGATGAGGAGAGGAAATCGGAAAGACAGATGAAGGGGAAATTGTAGTTATAGAGATGCAGTCATTGCATGTACTATGAAGAGAATAGCGAGTCAATGACACTAACTGATAGAAGTGTTTTATCGAAGTAAGATGAGAGCATTTTCGTGAAGCATTATTCTTTACATTCTTACATGAACCAGCATCATTGGTCTAGTGGTAGAATTCGTCGTTGCCATCGACGAGGCCCGTGTTCGATTCACGGATGATGCACATCTTTTTGGTTTTTGTGGTCATTCAACCTCTGTCTAGTAATTCTTGGTCATCTCAGTGAGTTTCCACGGTGTTTGTGTATCGGCGCTTATCGCCGAGCTCCACTGATGAACGTGGGCACGTGGTTCATCCCGCACGACGTCACCGCTCTTTAGCTTCCACTTCTCCAAGTTGCAATCAGCACATTATCCTCATATCTCGACATGGAAGAGCTGAACCTTTACATTTTAACCTCAAACTGTGCCCGGAATCTAATCGATGTCGACCTCGTTGCAGCACATCTCTTCGATGTCCTCCCTTCCTCAAGTCCAGCCCCGGAGCTGATCGTGCTTTCATTGCAGGAGCTTGCTCCGATCGCATACTCCTTTCTAGGGGGCTCATATCTACTACCATACTTTAATGCGTTTATCAAGGCTGTCAAGCAAGCGACCGCTAAACAATGGAACGAATCTTACGTCACCCTGGTCAAGGACCACATCGGTATGACAGGGTTGATGGTCTTTGCGCGCGCTGATATCGCGGACAGGATATCATGGATCGATACCGCACATGTCGGAGTCGGGGTACAGGAAACGGGAAACAAGGGTGCGGTCGGAGCTCGGCTGGGATATGTTGTGGACGGACGGTCGTCTCAAACACTGGATTTGACGTTCGTCGCGGCGCATCTGGCGCCCATGGAGGATGGGTTGGCACAGAGGAACCTCGATTGGCAGAGTATCGTCGAGCGGCTGGTGTTTTCGCATGGACAGACCTCACCTCGGGCAGTGGGAGATGCCAGCCAAGACACAGACGAGAGTACCTCGCTCCTCAATGAACGCACTGAGACCTCGTCACATCACGCACAGCAAAACCTCTTCGCTCCTAATTCATACCTCTTCCTCGCCGGAGACCTCAATTACCGCACGTCCGACATCAGCCCACTGAAAGAAGATATCACCCGCTTCCCCAAGCGCAACGCCGATCCCAGCAGCCCATCCCATTATTCCCACCTCCTCCAAAAAGACCAGCTCATCCGCGAGATGCGTGCAGGCAGGACCTTCCACGGCCTTTCCGAAGCCCCCATCAACTTCCCCCCAACATACAAATTCTCCGACGCAGCGCAGCAAGCTGCCCGACAAGCCCTTGAGAACCCCGACTTGGCCACAGAGTGGAAGTGGTCCTCACACCGGTGGCCCAGCTGGTGCGATCGCATCCTATACCTAGATGATGCAGCAGCGTCACGGGGTGCTGGCGAGGGCACTGCACATCGGACGATCAAACCCGTCGTGTACGACGCGCTCCCGCTGTTTCCTCACTCGGATCACCGCCCTGTTGCGCTGGCTGTGAGCGTGCCTCTGAGACCTATTGCTGCGGATCACATGGCTGGCGATGCGAATGATGCGAGCAAGACTGGGGTCGTGGCTTCGTTTGCAATCGATCCTACCTGGCGGTCCCGGCGGGACGCGGCGCGGCGCAAGGAAATAGTCGTCGGTGTTTTGGCGTACCTGGGGTTGACTTGGGAAGGAAATGGGACGGTGCTTGCGTCTGTGGTGGGACTGGTAGGTGCATGGGTGGTCCTGAGGTCGATATGGGGAGTTTAAAGGGGAATGCAGTGCGATGGAGGAGGCACCTTGAGGGTTGAGGGTGGCCTGATTCAACCCGAGTAGGATGAGCAGCAGGGATGACATGTATAGGTGTTTCGGGTTATTTCTTCGGATATGGTTATGCAATTACTGATACTGGGTTATACGACAATCCCTCAACCCTCTCCTTCCTGTCTCATCTGTATCCCCGGGTTGATACCTAAATCCCTCGTCTTCACCAAGTACTCTCGACCGCGCCCTTATTTTTTGACCAACAGCAAAATGCGACAGCCACACGCCTCGTCCATCAGGGTGCCTGTACTATGACGAAACGCCATCAGATTATAAAAAATAAAAAAACAAGAAAGAGTACAAATTGCGGCTGACAGTGCTAATTCATCCGAGCGGGCCGCCCTCAAGCAGGGTTCAGCTAGTGTGGGCCAAATTGGCATTCATACAGTAATTCGGTAAACGAAATGAAAAGAAAAAAACCCCAGTGCAGTGGTCTAGTCCAGTTTATTCCCGTATCCAATTTGGTCACCTGAGCCGCTCCCAGACAGTCTGGCCGCAGAACGTCGTGCGGCGCAAGTTAGTCTGTCTTTTTAGCGAAAAGTTCCAGCCTCCATCCCTAATAAAGTCCATTGGCGGGTCCTGCCGCCGTAAAGATAACCTTTTTCACCTCTTTTCATTCGCATCCAGGGCTTCTTTCTGACATTCCTAATTTCGAGTCATGCTTAGAGATGCATTATTAAGAGGAAAGGTTGGCTGTATTGACAGGGGTGGGCAGATGAAGACCATCTAGCTGCCTTGCGACAGACTCAGCCATGTCGTGTCCAGTCGTCAGGATCGCATCGCATCGTATCGCATCGCCGGATCTTGCTGTTATAGTAAGGTTTTGCGATTTTGCATTCCTAATTTCCATCTTTCTCCACTTTATTGGTCACGCGGTATAAAAAAGGATTGATTGTGTCACGATGGCATGGTGGAGCACTGGAGACCCGGGTTATCCTGAGCATCCAGGCACAGGAAATAATTTCATCATATCATAGCTGATAAACTCCACATATAATTACGGATAGCTATGGAATAATGGTGCTCCCATCTGTATCCGTATGATACTGTACAGAGCATCTGGCCTCGCCCAGACCCTGGGCTGTAATAGTCTCGGTCTAGATCCCGGGGCTCTTTCGGGCTTTCGTGTTGGTACCCGCCTTCCCGTGGCTTTTGGGTGCTTCTAGCGCTTCTAAGGCTTCTACGGTCTTCTAGACTCTTGGTTTGCCGTGGATGTATTGGCAATTTAGAAATTGGACTATTGCACCCGGGTTGGTCAAGGCCATACATACAGTACATATATCATTCTACTATGTATACAGTTATCAGTGAGCTAGCATGTAAAGAATCCACAGATCCCTTTCGAGACTCCAGTCAAGGGTAGCAGATTACCCGATCATGTATATTTTATTTCAATTCTGTTCCTTCATCCTCTGGCAAGTCAGTTAATGGAGTAATGTCTTGGTTCACCGTCCCAACCCCAAGTTGTTCGTTCTTAGGTAAAGACGGCCCGCAGCATACGAGCTGCAGTTGTCCTTGGAACTCAACCTCATCCCGTGTTTTTGTCATTGTTGTGCATTGCATCCTAAAGACAAGAGAAGGCTCTCTTCCTCATACCAACCCCTCTACCTTCTACAGCCAAGCCCTGCGTTGAAGCATCCAAAACAGAGAAAAGGTCTCAGATATGCAGCAGACCACCTGAGCCAGTCAACTGACCGACCAAGGTGTTTCTCTTCGAGTGCTTGTCGCCAACCCTGGGTGCGACACGCGATGCTGACGAAACTGTAATTTGCGACGGGTTGGGCAGTCTAGGCAAGGTGGACAAGGTGGACAAGGTGGAATGCCCAGAGGTGTCAGGTCATTGACTATGACGGGTATGGGGTTTCGGAGCTGGAATTATCATGTTTCGGGAAAGGCCTGTCGAGGTGAATGTATGGAGCAGACCATACCATGCTATGCTACTCTAGAGGCCAAGCTTTTCTAGATCGATTTGCTAGTGAAGAAAGTACCGAGTTCTTGAATTCGATCTAGTTACAAAGCAGACACTCTTTTGTCTGTAAGCCTTTCAACACTCAGCTTATTTTATGGCCCCTTTAAGCAAAGTACACTTACTACACTTCAGAGCCAATCCTTCAAGGACCAATTACTGATTGTCTATACATCCTAAATCGTCAGTAGAATTTTTCCCCTTGACCGGTGGGTGCCAACGACCGGGCTCCACTCCGCCACATGAAGAAAAAGCATCAGCTGCCGCGTCGCTCCATGTGGAAAGCGCACCAATTAATGATTTAGATCAGACACTGAGAAAGACAGGTCAGATTTTTCTTGCTCATTCATTTCCAATGCCACCTTGAATGATTTAGCGAGATGCAATCCAGGGCGCTAGATCAAGAGCTAGGTGCCTAACCAACGGATGTTCGGGAATTGGGCCTCGGGAAACGGTGACAGGGCCAGGGCCAGGCACAGCCGATCCATCCTTTGGCAGTAGCTTTCCTGTCACTTCTAGCTACCATCGGTAACATGCAGGCTATTATTGGCGACGGGAGTGGAACGAGCCTCCAACCTCCAACCCAAGATCTGACCCAGCCAACCACCGAAGCCCTAGAGTGCTTAACTGCTGGAGGCAAACAGACCCGAACGGGTAAATCTTGAAATCCATCGAGCCGTGGGCGGACAAAGTGGGTAGTGGAGAACTTCCAGAACACTACCCAATGCAAAGAATAAATGAAAAATCAAAATTTTGAATATAACCAAAATCAAATCATAACCTAGGGTTGGCTTTGGGGAGGTCTGGTCTGGACTCTGGAAACCTGGGAGCCTCGGATCCTGCTGGACGCCCACGTTACGGAATACGGGCGGTGAGCCCATGAACCCACCGAAGATACACATCAAAGGTCTGCGCGAGGATAAAATAAAAAGGATCGGTTGGGTACTGTACATGCTACAAGGTTGAAAGTATGTTGGGTGTCGGGCAGACATCAAATTGGGACGGGACAAGAATGATTGGTGATGACGAAAAAGAAGAAAGGGGCGGACGGACATTCAGGAAATTAAAATTTAATCAGTACATAGTTTATAGTAAAGAGTATGGAGTCGTCAATGTAGGGCAAGGGGCCTGAGAGAGTTGCGAAGAAGCGTATCGGAATTGAGATTGAGATTGAAGAAGGGATTCGACGGAGAAATGAGAGTTCCGGGCTTCCATACTGAAGACTGAAGTTCAATAATCATCGATACGAAGACTCAGGCCCCTCTCGAGCCCACAATTCAATCAATAAAAAAATCCGCCAAGCCAAGCGATGCCAAACATCCACGACCCAAAATTGTCGGAAGGTTCGCGTCGGAGATCTTTACGATCGCTGCGATCGCTGCCACATTGCCAGGGGTACCCCCGTCGGCACTTTAAATCCAGGGTTGGGATGTATGACTGCAAGACATCATGCTATCTTTTCTCTGTATCTCGAGATCTCAACACTTGAGTAAAACTTCTAGAACTTCTCTCTTCTCGGATGGACGTGCTAAGTTCTAACAAACGAACTGAGGGCCCACATCCACATCAGCCAGGCACTCAATCTGAGTCTCTAGCGACCCCGTTAGGCGCTGTTTCGAAAACCTCCGTGAGCTTCCATTCCACCCGCAACCCGCCAACCTCCACCGTGTCAGGTGCTCCACCCGGCCCTGCAATAAGGCAGGCTGAGACCTGCCACTGCCACACACCCAGGTTTTTGAAGATTTTGGTAATTCCAGCGTGACCCGGGCGGATTGGTCTCTCTACTACACAGTACTGACTACGCCCATACACGGTACTATGTATGTACTGTCAGGTAGGCAACTCTCCTTACTACTAATCCAGCCTATCTACACTGAACCGCTGCGCGCATTCTTCATGTCTATGTTGCATCCCTAATTGACCCGTCCCATTCCACCATGTATCGACGACCAGCATTCTCAGTAGATCCGAAACCCGCATGGCCGAATCGCGGACAGAGGGGGAGAGGGGATGAGATCGACCGATCTGCTCATGCGCGAACGAGAACTGCTAACTGCCAACTGCTAAATGCTAAGTGCTTTTTTGCCTACTGTGGTGGGTTGATGGATGAAAGAGAGACAGCTCAGCCCAGATCGACCATGGATAGGGCTAGAGAGTATCCGAGGTCCAGATCCTTGGAGGCTTCGGGTCGGCACTTGACTCCCTACCTGTCAACTGCCAAAAAAGAAGGGAATAATGGAGACCTCTCGGATGTAAGGATCAAAAAACAAAGAGAGATTTTTGAATGGTCGGGCAGTACCGATGGTAATTAAGAAGGATAGACTTTGAATGGAGATGGAAGTTATAGTAGGGCAATATCCATGCATCCGTACAAAAATTCTATGAGTGACAATGGCAGCGAAATTAAAATCGATCACCCTCGAAAAAGAATGGAGATATTGTGACCCAACCAGAATACGTTAGCAAAAACGATACTACTCATACTAACAATTCCTTTCCTTGCCTACTCTCTGCCTTGGGCCAAAATCCCTTCTGTCTTCGCAGTGAGTCACTAGACTTTGTTTGGCATGGTAGAAAAAGACTAGTAAGCCCCGGGGGCCAGCTAGTCAATCATACTGAAAATGGAAAGGAATGGAAATCAAATGGAAAAATTTTGGAACGAACAACCCCAGGCAGAGTGGATCTCCAAGCAGAGAGAAAGCAACAACAAACGGCGCCCTTTTCTAGTCCCCGTAACAATGAAACCCTAAAAATTCCAGTCCTTTTTTTTGGTTTTACCAGCGTAATGTGGCTAAGCTCCTGCTCTCTCCTTTATTTTTTTTATTACCGATGACGGATGACAGATGATAGATTACAGATTACTGGCTATGACCCCAAAATAAAATAATATACCCTAATATATCCCATAGATTTATTCCTCAAATAAATTATTTCCTTTTTTCTCACAACGTTTTTTTTTTCTTTACGGGCTTGGGATTGTTTTACCTGGGACCCATCATCCTTCTTGTTGAGCCTCTGGATATAAACCCATCCAAGTCCCCCTTTAGTCTTCTCGTCCCTCACGTCCTTCGACCCTTCTCAACCCTTCCAAAATTTCCTATCGCGCCTGGAGAATCCTTGTACCCCTCCCCTTCGACGATATACTCGACCCTTGCAGCACTAAACCCAGTCTACCACCACACTGGGCGCCCACAGCTTGCTAGTGCGCCTCCCCTCCTGCTTGCTGCACGACTTTCTCCAATCCTCCGACGTCATATCGATTCCCTCCCCCTCCCCATACCTCCATTACGTCGATTACGTCTATTGCGACGGCTGTGTTTTTTCCCAACTTCAACGAGGAATTTATCTCCGGACCGTTTTTAAAGTTCAAAGGCGCCGAGCTTCGATTTTCCCGAATTTTCTTTTTTTGGTTTCCTCCTTTCGGCCAAATCGAGTTTCTTTAATTTCGTTTCAGAAATCTAAAAAAGAGGCCCGCGACACTTTTTCTACTGGCACCTTCACCTTTTCCACCTTTCACCTTCGCCTTGACTCTCCTACTGGTGACTCGCCTTTTTTCCTCCTTTCACCACAAACTCACGATTCCGCTCTTGCGCACTCTTTGCCAGCGCCAACCTAAACATTCTCAACTCTCAACTGCGTCATCTCGCTTCCTCCGATCACCCGCGATCTTTGATCTCCTGCACCCCGCGCTTTCTGCATCTCCGCCAACTTTCCACAACTTCCTCCACAATGTACTCTTGCGCAAACTATCCCCGCGGCTGCCGAGGTCGTGTCAACCGCCAGGGCGCCAAGTGCTCTGACTGTGTCGTAAGTACATTCCACTGCTCTTCGCTGACTCCCACAAAAATACCAAGACTATGAGACTCCAAGCCTCTTGCGTAATGGCTCTACGAGAGCTTTTGCGCAGGGTCTTGCGGGAAAGCGCCACAACCTATACTGAAGAAACAAACCACTAACAAACGTCTTGCGACAGACACTCAACCTCCGCCGTCCAGCATCTGCCTCTCCATTCGCACAGCCCCGTGACTACAAACGAGTTTTGCCCTCGGAGCGACTGAGCGACTCCGCCTTCAAGGTGTCAGACCTTGAGCTGTAAGGTGCTAAAGCCCTTATTCCGGAACGGTCCGGCAACGAAACAAGAAACAAAAAAAGTTCCAGAGCTACCAATATGGTGCCGCCTGGATGCCATCTTGACAGGCTGGGCCTGGTTCCCGTGAATATGAACATGATTCTATGATATTCACCGGGTGAAAGGATGGAAGCCGGACCGATTCTCACGTTTTCCTCTCCGTCTCATATGCATCGCCGGGAGTTTGATTATGGATTACACCACGATGGCGGCTATCTCTTTTTCTCGCGTTGGCTTTCTTTCCATTTTTTTCGCGCTTGTCACTGCACCAGCTGCAGAGGTTCTTGACTAGCTTGGCTCTGTTCTGCTGAGTACGGCCCAGGCCCGACTTTACCACCTTTTGGATTTGTTCCTATGGAAACCCTCTTTGACGATGATTCCGTCCGGCATCTACTTGCAGGGATGAGCGCATTCTCGGGTTCCACTCGCTTATATCATTTTATTCTCCGTCTGGGTTCCACACAAGACCCAGGCGGGTCTTTTTCGCATGGAGGATAGAACATTGCATGATACGCATAACCGATACACCAAATACCCCCCAATCCGACACGACACGGATTCGGGACCTGAACTCATGGATCTGCCACTGGCGGGCAGTGGCGCAGATGGGGCTCTGATATCATATCAGTCGATCGGCGATCGACCGCCCTCGTTTTTTGATCGACCGTCTTTCTTTTTTTAAACTGCAGTGCTGTTTTCCTTGCGCATACGTCTTTTCCTATGTCGCTGGTTCGAGATCAGTTTCACTTGCGTTTTCTTTTTTCTTTTTCCATTTTTCTGTCTTCGACTTGTCACTTTCGTGACTGTTTCTGCGATGCCATACCCCCCTGTTGTTACTTGTGTTTTAATGCTTTTTAATCTTCGGGATGACTGGGTAGAAACGGTCTATGATCGTTCTGATTCCCGGTCTTCCTTGGAGTAGCTCTTTACCCTTAGTTAGATACCTCACTGCATTGATATCACGGCTTTATCATTACACCACAAACCTGCTCCATTCACAACTATAACCATAAACAAACGTAATCAAAGTAATACATCTTCTAATCTACTTGACCGGAGACCCCGAAACTCACCCTCGGTGCCCAACAAAAACCCCCAATGCCCAGCCCGTGCCTAAAGGCTAGAACAGCCCATTTCATTACCCGGGATGGCTGACCGTTACTTTCTGGCCCCCTTCCAGAATCGGAGCTATTTTATCAGCCGCAACGGCCCTCTCAGATCGGGGCAGGTGCCAGGTGCCAGGTGCCAGGTGCCACTGTCACGCTGAAACGCAGATCCCCAATAATAAAGCCGGGTCATCCGAAAGGCAACATATAAGGCCCCGTTAACCGCTTACGAAGGTCTAATACCCCGTAATAGCCGTCATCCGTCATCCTGAAAGGTAGTGCCGTTTCGGTCATTGCGCAGGACGGATGGGGTGGGCGGTGCTAGGCACCCCCAAAGCCCCAATACCCCAAGCCCCCAAGTAACCCAGGCGCAGGCACGCAGGCGGCCAGGGCTTAGGCGGGCTGATGGGGCTTGGGGTCCTGTACCCTCACCCTCGGGTTCGACATAGTTCCAGGTTCTGGGTCCGTCGAGGGTCGGGGTGGATTCTGAGCCCGGGCCGAGAGAGGCTGAGGTCCACGTGCAGGGGTGCATGGAGTAAACATTGGAGCCCAGGATTATTATTCGGGGCGGTCGTAAAGGGGAAAGGTAGTTGCTGTGTTTAGATTTTAGATACTTGGTTTCATTTGACTTGGCGAGAAGGAAGGGGCCGTCAGCGTCTTGTGGATTGGTATGGGTTTGGCGATGCCTTATTCTTTGTTTGGCTTGATACGGGCTCGGCATTCGGCATTTGGTTCTCAAAGCTATTTGGTGCTATGTATGCTCAGCCGTTGACTCTTTGTTTACCGCGAGGCTAGCGTGAATGTCAGGTGGTTGGTTCTATGAATGTATAAGACCCGCAGAATCGGAAATAGAATCCGATCGAACATTTCTAAAGGAGGCTGCGCTAGGAGGCAGATAGATACTGTGCTAGAGTGTATTATTACATATAGAGATGTTGTATGTCCCAATAAAGAGTACGGTCCATACAGTCTATGAAACTACAATTTGATCTAGACCTACATCTAATTCTAAATCTGTAACCATCTGAATCGAAATCTCAAGCCCAATCTGGATCTCGATGCAAGTCAGGTCGATCGTGATTTTGGTTTCAGCTCTGAGGGTCCTGGAGAACGAAGGAGTTAGACTTGACTTGATGGAGTATACAGAGTATGTAGATCCATCCCTACTATGAGCTCGAATACGGTACCCTATGTCTCAAAGCGTGGCTTGTAACCATCGCGCCTTCAGGGATCAGGATCGCCAACCTGTCGCTAGTAAAAATAGTAAGCTTCGAAAACAAGACATCCATCGATCCATGACTCTAGTTAACAACACGAGCATGAAGATTAACTGGAGCACTTCTAGCTTCTTTGTTTAGTTCACTTGTCCACGGTCGAGGTACCCCCACATCCTGCTCTCGCCCGTTCTCCAGTGCCCTCGGCCCGTCAATGAAAATACATAGTAGAGCTTGCCACGGCCATCTCTTAAGAATTACAGATTACGTGACCAAGCACAAGAAAAGGGAATACATACAAAGAGACACCATCTACCGACACACATCCCAAGTCCCTCCTACCACCTTCAAATGCCAATAACTAAGATAATGTATTAGACCATCCATCCTACAGGCGGCCCCTTAGCAAAACGGACCCACAACCCTCACGAACACCAACCAACGCATTAGTCAACGCCCAGAACTCCGATCGTCTCGTGAAACGAGACAAGAAAAGACAATAAGCTCCACTTATAGGCACCGACATTTATTGGTACATATGGAGTAGAAGAGTAAATAGTTGCTCTGAATATTTTGGGTTACTGGCCACTAGGGGGGAAGTGGACATCGCAGCATTCGTGGTGAGATTAGGATGTTCGCGATTATTGATTTGGGAAACCTTCTTTTATCGTAGGGCAGATAGGATAGGTTTACTAGTGAGGAGGTTATTCTCGCGTGGCGGTTGGATATGACCCACGAAACCCCGGGGAGAAGGAGAAGTAATAGTTGATGTTGTGGGATCACGGAGTGTATCGTTTTTATGCTATTTTCATTTTCGTAGAGTTCAGAAGGATTGTGAGTATACGGATGCCTGGTACGATGATAAAGTACCATGATAGGGTGAGGAAGTATATGGACGGATAGTCCGAGGGGTAAAAATGCGCTGCCGAATCACAATTCAGTAAATTCTTTTGGATTCTTATGGGGTAATGTACTTCATGCTATCGTATATAGACAGCTTCTATGCTTTAGACTAGAAGTGGCTAGAAGTATCACAGATTCCTTGACTCTACAAAGTATTGCTGCCTGAAGCAACCATGTCTTGGGAGCACCAGCCTTGAAGGGAAAAAAAATCAACTAAAAAACGAGGAAACGAGGAAACGAGGATCCGACGCGCCCCACAGTTCAGAACCCAGCCTCGAGAGGAACGGTTTGAACCACTGATACGAAGTACGGAGTACTGTATATACAAACGGCGCGTTTTTTTCGTTCTTCGGGCATCGGAGATTGATCCAGCTTAACCAGTACGGAATCATGTTCGAAGTAAAACACATGGGTCAAGGCGCTGGCTTCAATGCCATGCCTGAGATTCGCTTGTAATATCCTAGCGTCCCCACGCAAAATCCGCATACAGTACCTCGTGGTGTTTTACAATCGTCTCGTTACAGTACTTGTTCAGCGTTCACCCCTTTTTTTCGACTAGCCCGCTCAGCCACAGTCAGATCATTGTTCGCTGTTTCAGGGTGGGCTGTGGGGAATTTTGTTCTCCACTTCTTCATCTGATGAACTCTATGAGGTAGGTTTCGGGGCTGATCGCGGGCGCCTGGTGGCAGTGTGGGTGGGGTGGTTGGGAGGTCGGTGTGGCTTGACGGCAACTGTTCGGTCTAACGGCCGTATGGGTGTATAGAGGAATACAAATTTTATCCTTCTTCTATACTATATGATACCGCTTGTATATTTCAATGTCCACGGAACTCAGGTCCATGTGGAGTGGGCGTTAGTTTCAATTCTAGTGTCCTTCCAGAATGTCGAGACTTGAGAGTAATATGTCTCAGCCTGCTAGGGCTGATCCTGGCGTTTGGGGTCGTGGCTTGGTGTTGCGCAGCATACAGGAGCAGTTCGGAAAAGATGCCGAGCTGTTACTACTTCTCATTTCGAAATCCTTACTCGAGAGAGGCTTAGCATACGAAGACTGGTAGATACATAATTCATTGTGAGCTAGCTCGGTGATACTCAGTACCTATAGAGTAAGAGTTGAGTAGCCCCTGTGCCGTAAGCTCTTCCGCACTCGGCATTCTCCTGGACGAAATGATCCCAGTCAGAGAGACACGTAATTCGACGTCGGGGACTCTTGATGGTCCGGTCATAGTAAGCCTCGCCGTGCAGGTCCTTGAACGGGCTCGAGCGCCCGGCTACCGAGTGGGGTGTTGTGTCAGGATGATGGGTGTTAAAGTCCGCTGTTAAGAGTTGTGTTGTGCCTATCAGGCCTGCGCCATTTTTCTCTATGTAATCGAACCAACGTATACCCCTGTCGAGTCGTGTGGACTGCATGTCTAATGGGGCATTGCCATACTCCTGTCATCTCGGTTTGCGATGCATCCATCTTGTTGGTTGATGTGTTGGCATGTATGTACTCTACGCTGGAATTCTCGGCCCCGACTTGAGCCTTCTGGGCATGACAGGGGTGGATCTTGGGGCGCTTCGGAGATTTTTGGTGGGGGGGGGGGGTCGATTCATTGAATTGTCTGATCAGCATTTACTGATTGGTGATCTGGAGATTATCACGAATATCTGTATTCAATAGATTAAAAGAACACCAGATTAATTGCTCGGTTACAGGGGTCAAAAGAGAATTTATTGAAGTATGCAGTTTTATTGGAGGGTTGTCATGACTCTCACATGTACTGCAATATCCAATTGTTCTTTCTATGGAGTCATCGTATCAGGGTTTAATTATCGGGAAGGTCTCGCAACATCTTCTGACACACCCATTGGGCCGTCTTCGTATGGAGAGTCCAATATCGCTCATCTTCGAGGGCTGCAGCCGCCTCGCTTGGAGTGATACCCACTTTGTCTCCAAGATATCCAAGAGCCTCAAACACGACGATTTGATCTCTCATGTGGGAATCTAGACAGGACCGTTTCACGGCTCGAGATCCAGTCGATCCACTTTCTTGGTCTGTTTGTGTATCATCCTGCGTATCAGACAACTCTTCCATGAATCCTTCCACACAGTCATCAATCATGTCGGAGACTCGTTGTAGATGTGCTTCCGAGCTACCCTTCTTGGGTCCTGGTCCCTGACCTTTCTTGTACTTTTGGTGCTTTCCAAGTTTCTTCTTTGTGGGCTTAGTTCCCCGGCTATCACCGAGCAAGGCACCATGGCCAATTCGGAATCCCGTAGAGGTATGAGCGACAAGTAGGATGTATACACGGCTGGAATGAGATGTGATCTCCGTCGGAGACATGTCAATTGGTACACGACTGCCATCCTCTGATGGCTCGGCGAGGATTGATGGGTCTAGTGTCTTCAAAGCCTTGCGTAGCCTGCGAAGAGTCTCGTGCTCGGCATAGGAGGCGACAGTCAGAGACTCTCCGTTTTCGCCTGCTTTACTGAGAGTATCTTTTGGCGCAAGGATGGTGATCGTGATGTGAGTGATCTTCCCGCGCTCGTACACCATAAGGTTGATCTGTGGAAAGCGAGAGGTGGACACGGCTTCTATAGGCTGCTGCTCGGGCTCCGGTAAAGGACGAATAAAGAAGCTCACTTCACCCATTCCCACGACGCCGCTCGTCCAGCCACGCTTCTGCAGAGTCATCGAGAATGGAGGAAGACCCAGGCGAGCAAAATTCGGAGCTATGACCTGGGAAACGTAGTCATAGGAAGGAGAACTGGTCCCATTCGTGCCACCGACGATGTTCACTCTGATGCATTCTGTCATTGCGCGCGATCCAACATGCAACAAGTACGGATACAGCGCCTGGAAAATAAGAAAGACGGATCCCGGAGTTGTCAATCGAATGTTGTACACTGGTTTTACAGAGAGAGTATCCAACGACACCAGGGGAACGTCTCGAGACTGTTGGGTCGTGGGTGGTAATTGCTCGTCCTCGTCTGGAATGGCTTGTGGTGGTGTGAATGTCACACATTTTGATCCAACATTGCCATCTGAGACGCTGCTGCCACTGATCTCGGCCAGTAATTTAACTGCCGCTGCATGCGATGCCTTGAGGCCGGTCCTCCCTCCACGATTTCCCCGGACGTCATCGACCGTCACTGCTCGACCTGTCAATGCGGAAAGTCCAAGGGCAATTCGAACGAGCTGACCGCCTCCTTCGAGTGTTCTTCCATCGAGATGAACATGGGAGGAAGATTTTGGTGGAGATTCAGCCCAACTTGAGGCTGAACGGGCGGACTTGCTGGAGGTCGCCATGGGGAAATACCAGATGAACGATCGTGCTGACCGTCGAATTTGCAGAATGGCGGGGGGAACAATCTACTCATGGAGATGTGATAACAAAGAAGTTGCAAGCACAAGTCAGACTCCTTCTTTTTACAACTGGGGGAATTTAGGAATTCTCCATCTTAAATTTTTCTTATACCGATGTCGGTTACCATTTACGGACTCGTATTGCGGCTGGTGCGTTGTGGTTGAGTCAGGCCAAGGCTGAATTGCATGGTGACTCACAGTCTTACAGTAGTTAGTCCTCTTTAGGCGATTCGTCGAACTATTCAAACTAGTGGCGGCGCCTCATTCGCTAGTCCAATGCTTGATTCAAATTTGAATAGCAATTTAGATGGACGAGGTCCTATTGCCCAAATTGGAATTTATCATGTCCTGGTGTATACGGCAGCAACTAGCGAGTACATTGCGGTTGACTTGCACCTTCCACGATGGATCACCACGCACTTTCCACCTGGCAACAATACCAAAACATGAAATGCGCATTGTTTTTCGGAGTCCAATGTTTTGATTCCTTTCAGCATTTCTCTGCATCAATTCCCATTCACGTACCACATAACATACAGAATTTCACAATATGTTTTCCTCAATCAGTACCCGCGATCGACTGCGCACGTCCATGTCCACTCGTTCCATGCGGAGAGCTCGTCCAGTTCGAGAACCAGAGACAGTCAATCCTGAAGTCGCCAAAGCTCAGGCGAAGGCGGCTGCATCACGGGCGATGCGCTCAAGCGCATCCTCGACGGAATCCAAGGCTTATGATCGACTGGGGGGCCTGGCGCAGATAGCAATTCCCAGAAGACGGCCGGGCTCAAGTCTTCAGCATACAGAAGACGATACTTCCGTTTATGCCGCATCCATTGCACCTCCTTTCACGCCCCGTCAATCTACGGAGAAGCCTTGCACAAATCGAGGCCATGCACTCGAAGACTCTGCCGTATTGCCGCCAATCACCGAGCTGCAAGGACTAGATGGACGCGATAGCTCGGTGCCTTCATCGTATCGCCGGCTGCGCAAGGCCAAGTCCATGTTCTCAACCCGAGCCAGGTCTTCTCATGTGCCGTTTGGACCACCGTCGATGTCCCCGAGAAATGCCTGTGAATTGGAGCGCAGCCCGGAAATCGAGTTACCCCGGACCCTGCGGCCCTCCATCTCTTTTATTGGGGGACGTCGCCACGGCAATCGAGCAATTCGACATGCCAAAAGCCATGATGCGGCCATTCAGCTCGCTCGTGACCAGTTCATGGATGAAGCTGAAAGCCCTGTCGCCCAGGTCAGACGCTCGTCATTCTTCGTCCGACGCAAGAGAGACCACAAGCCGTTTCGCAAAACTTTCCGGGTCACCAGCGATACTGGACCGGACTCTACATCGGAGCATGTTTCTCGATGGGCCTCGCGCAGCAGATCCCGAACTTTCTCTTCATCAATCAAGAGTGGTCTCCGGCGCGTCTTCGGATTTTCCAAACCTGCCGAGCGGGAGCAGTCCGAGTTCAGCCTCGGCGATGAGAATATTTCAATCGCCACGCCAGAGACCATGGTTGTCAATCGTCCTGTTGAGTGCACTTTGGGCGGCAACATGGACATGGACCAGTGTTTCGGGTCCAGTCCTTTGCCAGAAGAGTCCCCAGGAGGTGACAGCCTATGTACATCCAAATCCCGCGTGACTAGTTGGGCAGATTCCTCTGTCGCAAATACTTTGATGACACGAAAGACCCAACATCGCCAGTCCCTTTCTCTGATTGAAGAACATGGCGATCTGAACAAGCAATTGCCCCAAGTACCTACTGATCGCACTCGCAGTCAGCTTCCCGTATGCGAGGGTAATATTCACGAATTGGACAAGGAGCTCAATGTCGGTGGATTCAACACTTGGGCTGATTGCAACGGCTTGTATTCGGCATTGATGCAGCAGATTAGACGGCAGGCTGTGCACACTCCTGATGAAGACATCGTCTTTGGAACGGTCCCGGAACATCGCGCCATCCCAGAGCGCACATCTTCGGTATATTCACACCGCAGCAGACGCACTATTCGACACATTCCAAGTGTAGAATCATCAACAGCTGGATCATTTGCAACTGCTCGTGTCGGTAAATCGACGTCTCCAAAGCGGCGCCAACCAGGGCCCGTCGAATACATTTCTGGCAAGACTTCTCAGCGCATGTCTGGCCAAGAGAACCATCCACCAACCGATACCTCCTTCGCGGAGTATTCCCCGCATTCACCCTTCGTTATTTGTGAGGATCCGGATGAGGATTCTGGGAGCGTTGTTATTGCTCGTTCCGAGGCATTGAGAACGGCAACCGAGTCTCCCAGTGTCTACTCACGAACGACTAGTGGCAATACCCCCACGAAAGGATCGTCTAGTTGCGTGGCCAGTTTTATCGATGGTGAGACAGGAACTGCGACCATATTTTCGTCCGAGCGAACCACATACAGCTCGCCAACTCGCACTAACGGCTCGATGACAAGTACACCGGTGCGGCCCAGCGCAGACTGGCAAAAGTGGATGAGCTCCCAGATCGAGAGAATCGAGCAGAGAAGCCCAACCAGAGAGCACATCCGGGAGGATGCACAGTTCGCAGACGACGATGATGAGATCTTCATGGGGATGCTGAAACGGACACCGGTACCACGCTCGGAAATGGCTGTTGGGCCCTACGTTCCAGAAAACGAGAGATGCAATGATTCCTTGCCACAAGCGGAGCCCAGGTCCCTAGTGCAGAACAATTTCTCTCGTCCATTCAGTCGAGCGTCAAGCGTACGAACTATCTTGCCGTCGCAGAAGGTCCAGCCTCTTGAGCCGATGGAAAATATGCCTAGCCCTTCGGAGGCTGATAGCATGTCTAACCCTGCTGTCTTGGATGCTTCGCCGAAACCTGCCCGTGTTCTCAGCGGGTGGATGCGGTCACCAATTCGCGTGAGATCTTCCAACATGCAGGCGCCTCCAGACTCACCAACTCCTCGCAGGGATGGCCCCGAGTCACAGAAGCGAATGTGGACACAGGAACAGTATCGACGATATTCTGCTCGACGCCCAATCGCCAATGGGAAGCCGAATTCATTTCGGTCCACGCGCAGCTACCGTGATTCGCGTGGAATGAACAATGAGAACACCCGCCAGCAGGAGGAGCATGAAGACATGATAAACGACTACCACAAACTCCAGGACATTCATTCAACCATTTCGAGCAAGCGCATGGTGGAGATGTTTTTGGACAGTCGGCGCCAGCAGATGGGGAGGGAAGCTTCTGGGAGCACAGCTGCAGGCGGGGCGTTTATTTGATCTTGTTTGAGGAGGTTTGGTTGGAACAAAGGCTGATGCGTCTTTGTTTTGCTGACGATATATATTCTTTCCGCAGTCGATCTTTTCCACCCACTCAACCCTGTCGTCCACATGGATGACAACTATACACATCTATTATGTTGGCAGTTTTGTAGGTAGCAAGCAGTGTAATGGAATATGCAAGCCTATCATCATAATTGAGCTATTCCATACTTTCAGCCGAAACAAAAATAAAGGGGAAAAAACCCCCAGGAAAAGATCCAAGGGCAAAAAGAACCGAGTGCAAAAAGAAACTCTCCCTCGGGGAATCGAACCCCGGTCTCCCGCGCTTATCGGTGTTAATGACAAGCGGAAATCATGACCACTAGACCAAGGAAGAAGGTATTGTTGGTTGAGTTACTGCTCGACCACTTGGTACTGGTTGATGTACGGAAGGTAAAATTATGTACTAATAAAGCTTCTTCACGACTGCCTTAACTCACTTTGGCCCCGGCTTCATTTCTCCACTTCTGGAGCTGGATATACTGTACCCATCCATGATCAGAGGCTTGACAGGTGCAACATGACGGTTTATTCCCAGAACCCTCATACGTGCCACTAAATGGAGGCATTTAGTGAAGTAAACCTACTAGCTATTGTATCGATCAAGAAATTGACAGAATGACCAAAAATAAACTTCTCTTAGATCAATTAGAAGCATTCTCACTGGACTTTTCAATACGAGCGAAACAATGCAAATCATTAACCGTCGTGACGTATACTAGCTTGGTAGAAGTAGCCATCCTTCTTTTGGACATCACAATTTCCCGTCCGCATATATGGTACCATCCATCCTAATTAATATTTCCCCGACCCCCAATTTCCCCAAGCAAGCTTTTCTTCAACGACCAACTATTTTCATCACTCGACATAATTCGCCGGGAACGCACCCTGCACACCTCGCAACTCGCCCTCCCACCAGTCATCCGTGCTATTCGTCTTCTGAATCACGCGAATCCGATCACCCTCCCGGAAAACAAGATCCCCAGCCCCCTGACCGTCATAGTCATAAAGGGCTGTGACAAAGTTTGTAGGTCGGGGCGGTGGCGGGGGCTTCTTTTTCTTGAGAGCCGCCATGGCAAAGGGCTCAGTCCCCGCGCTGGATGTGGTGTTTGAGGAGCCCTGGCGGTGCAGTTGGAAGTGGTCGATTTTTGGGCCCGCAGGCGAGAACGAGACGCCTGTTGGTGGGGCTGCAGGTTGGATGAATGGACTTGGTGTTGGAGCCACGGGAGGAGGTGGCATGTAGTAGTCACCTCCCGAGGGCAACGGTGGAGTGCTCGATGAGCTGCCGACAGAAATGGGCGGCGTCATCATTGAAGAGCTTGGTGATGGGGACCGCATATCTGCTGCACAGGGCTTTGGTGCAAGCATTGGGAATGGTACCCCGTAACGGGGCACACTATTGCCGCTGCGGATGGACGAAGCTGAGGAGATGGTGCTGATGCTTCGGCCGCCGATGGAGGGACGTTTGTTTTGAGCCTCGTGGGCTTGTGACAGGCGGAGTGCTTTGCCGTGGGAGAGACAGCTTAGACTCTCAACGTCGGCTTGGGCGGTCCTGTGGGCGTTTTCCCAGTCTTGAACGACTTGGTCCATTGAAGGTGGTGGATTGGGGAGTTGTTCATCTTCGCAGTAGCCGGAGAGGACGGTGTAGTAGTGCGCCAGCATACGGTTTTGAATCTCGACTTGGGCCCGGAGTATGTATGGGGCCAAGGAGAAGAGGAGTGAGATTAGCGTGGGTAAGCGCTGGAGCAGATCTTGGTCTGCTTGTTGGTAGACCTAGTTAAACAATTAGTGATTGTTTGAATATTGCGCCAGGTAGTTTATGAATGCCGGCTTACCTCCTTTGCCATAGATAGATCTAATTCTGCCTTGGCGAGATTGACGTTTTCGCGATCGGAGCGCTTTGGTTTATGGATGAGGCCATCGACTTTGCTTTGAAAGCGCTCATAATCCGACTGTTGACAATAGTGATGAGTATGTGATCCTTTCTCATTCTAAGCTCGATGCTCCTCTTTCGTACCTTTTTATCATTCCTCTTCTTGATAGCCTTTTTCATTGGAGCTAGATAGCTCTTTGCTTGCTCCGCAGGCTGGGACATGCGCTGCTCGACGACGTTGAGCTCCTGTACAAGTTCCCCACGCAGATCATCATATTCGCGTCGTAGGTTGTTGGTCCTCGAGAGGAGCGCAGGGGGAGTCTCCTCAGGGATATGGCGCGTTTCGGTCTCGGATGAGCCAACGATGGGTGCATATAGTCCATCGAACTCATCAGCCATGCGACTCTGGAAGGTCGCAATGGATACCCACGCATCGCGCCAGGCTTTGGTTGATTCAATGATCTGGAAGGAGGCAGAAACGATTAGCGACTGAGGAACGCGCGTCACCAGCAACCAGGGGGAAATCGCGAAACAATGCTGCCTACCTTGGTAAAAAGGTTATCAGCGTCTTCGAAATCCTTTAAGAGAACCGCCACTTGACTGTTGTCGGCGGACTTGGTGGTGGTCATTCGACCGAAACGTCTTTGCATGCTCTGCATTTTGGATGAAGCTGCCAGATGCCACTGGACGTTGACAGGAGAATAAATGTGACGAAGCTCCGTTTCAGGTGCAGCTTGGGGAATGTAGCACAACAGAGCGAGCCAACCGGGAAATAATCAGACCACAAGCTTCTCAGTTTACCGAGAGGAACGAGCCAATCTCAGCAGTTTGTAACACGAGAAGTAGGTACAAAGCAGAGAGAAGCGAAGGAGAAAAAAAGGGCGATGACATTGGCAAGGCCGAATCCCCCCCTCCCCGACTTACGACTTGTTTCAGCCTCCTGCGGCTCTCACAAGTGACAAATGTCGCTGGGGCCACGGCCCCCTCCCCTCCTCCAAGTTCCACCCCCTCCACAGAGTCCACACTATTTTTGGGGCTTGGGGTTGACTAACTTGACTGCATGGTTGACTTTCTGGGAAGGCTTAACCGTTCAGGGCACATTGCCGATCGATACCCTCATGGACGGGTTGCTTTTCGTGCCGCTCCACTGTGGACAAATCAGACTTCTGGACCTGACTCGGTGCATATGAACTGAGCGTACATGTCGGCTCACCCTTAGGAAAAAGCTCGGCTCACCCTTCTTGGCACTCGGCCCAAAGCTCAGCTCACCTTTCTCCACTGCCCCACTTTCTAACTTACACCCTTACATACTCATACACCGCACCGAAATTCCTGGATCCTCACATACTACCACACCACGCTTACATTTACCACTCAAATCAACCTCAAAACCAGTTCAGAACCAGTTTCCGGCAGCCAAAATGGCAGGCGACCTGAAAAAGATCGCTGAATGGGTACGCTACTCAGAGCTGCCCAAGGCCGAGCTGAACCTCCCAGACCTTGTTATTACTGATGTAAGAACTAGCTCCCTCCCCTTCAGACCTAGTTACTGACCTCTTACAGGGCAAGGCCTCCCTCTATGTGGGTGAGAGGTACTGCCGTGTCTCTGGCTGTGAGAACTCGGTAAGTACTCTTACCTCTTCTCTCACTTTATATCATTCAGAACTAGTTCTATGGGATCAGAACTAGCTCTAGAATTTCTAAATCAGTCTGACTTGAAAATTCTGGAGCTAGTTCTGATGCCATAGAACTAGTTCTGGAAAATCCCTGCTCAAAATCATAAAACTAGCTACTAACTAGTTTTACAGAACTGCTTCTCCTCTACCAACACCCTCCGCAAGCATTACGGCCGTGATCACCCAGAAATCACCCTTGAGACTAAGGCTAAGGGTGGTCGTTCTACTATCGCGGAAATCTCCCAGGCACAGCGTGAGTAGAACTAGTTCTAAACTCCCAGAACTAGTTCACTAACTTATTATAGTATTCTATAAGGATATCATGGATACATATGATGCCATTCATGCCAGCGATGATAACCGTCCCCCCCTCCCTATCAAGGAAAATGGCATGGTAAGTTTTGACTCTTACTAAACTAGCTCTGAACTAGTTCTCTGACCTCCGAATTCTAGGTCAATATGACGCAGATGAAGAAAATGGTTCGAGAGCTTGGCTACTCGGTTCCTTGTGAGGAGTGCAGAGTTAGAAATAATTCCAAGAGTGAGTTACTCTCTAATCTATTAAAAACTAGCTACTAATTAGTTCTAGTGTGCTGCCATGAGGACTCGAAGCTTACCTGCGAGCATTTCGAACTGTTTGCTAAACCGCGTCAGCAGCCTACTCAACAGGATGACGAGGCATAAACCGAACTAGTCACGAACTAGTTCTTGATTTTCCGGGCAAGGTTGATTTTTTCTGCATAGGCAAGGTTGCATAGTGGTTTTGATTATTCTTAATACCTTAGGGAGTTTGACATAGCGTTCAAAACTGATATCTCAGAACTAGTCACGAACTAGTTCTTATTCGGTCATTAATTTAATTAACTTGCCGGATACCTTCCTTTCATCCTCTGGATTTACTATCTCCATGGTCTAGAATTACGCGTATCCATCAACCACAAAGATCAATACAAGGTTATAAGCCACCGAACTCTCCACGCCTGTTCAAACAAAGAACTGAATCAATGAAAGAAACTAGTCTTCAGCTCCCAAAAACCAGTTCAATAGCTTAATTGGTCAACGTGATGGCTTTCTTTCATCCTCGGGATTCACTATCTCTATAGTCAAGAGTCTTACGCATCCATTAACCACAAAGATTAATGCAAGGTTATAAGCCACCGAACTTTCTACGTCTATTCAAACAAAGAACTGAATCAATGAAGAAAACTAGTCTTCAGCACCTAGAAACCAGTTCTATAGTTTAATTGGTCAACAAGATGGCTTTCTTTCATCCTCAGGATTCACTATCTCTACCGACTAGAACTATACGTAGCTATTAACCACGAAAACTACTAGAGGGTTAATTAATTATAAAGCTGCTTTAGATCCTCTGATAACTTAGAATTCATACAAGAACTATCTCGTTCTAAATCACCTTCTTTCTCTCTCTTATTCATTCAACAGCGCTATGTCTCAGGTAAAGAAGCATTCGGCGTACCAGCGCTACCGGTTGCTTTCAAAAGATGATCTTGAGCTGCCTAACCTGCTACTAAATGTATGGGAAATTTCAGAACTACTTAAGAACCAGTTACTAACTAGTTTCTAGGAAAATGGAAATGGGGAGTTATTCATTGGTGAGGTGTATTGCCGGGTTCAGGGTTGTACAAATGGGGTAAGTCCCTAAAATAAACTAATTTTATAGAGCTCTAAACTAATTCTTACTACTTCTAGCATCAATTTCAAACTACGAACCATCTACGTAAGCATATTGCAAAGATGCATACTCAGATGACCCTTGAAACTTCAGGTCAAAGAGGCGGCCGCCCAACGAAGCCTGAGGAGGCAAAAGCAATTGGTGAGTAATGAGGTCCTAGAACTAGTCTATAACTAGTTCTATAACTAATAAAAAATAGCATTCTATATACAAATAATCGCAGATTACGATATCCGCCATGCAGATGATCATACGAAGTTACTAGACCTTCCGCTTCGTAAGGATGGCAAAGGTGTAAGTCTATACTCTGAATAAGTCTCTGATATATCTAAGCTAGTTCTACATTATACTAAACTAGCTATAGGTTCTTGTGACTATGATGAAAAAGATGGTTAAGGATGAGGGCCTCCCAATTCCTTGTGAACAGTGTATCCTTGATGGAAAGCAGAAGGGTAAGTTAAATGATTTACCTCAAGTATAACTAGTTTTATTCATTTACTAACTAGTTCTAGAATGCTGTCATGAATCGGTTAAGGATACCTGTGAGCATTGGCAGTTATTTGCTGATCCTCGTGATGAGGATGAGATGGATGTTGATAAGGAGATTATTGAGGAGCTTGATGAGGCCTAAACTCTATGCTAAACTAGCTTGAGTACCTAGGGAATTAGTTCTTGTCTTTGATTTTGTCTTTGATTTTGTCTTTGATTTTGTCTTTGATTTTGTCTTTGATTTTATTATTGAATTTAAACGTAAAGAAATTCTGAATTGATATAGTAACTATAAAACAAAACCTTGTCTATAATAACATATTGAATAAATACTCTGATATCACTAAGTCTTCTGTTGAAGAAGGCTTTATAGAAGTAAAAGAACTAGCTCCTAACTAGTTCTTCTAATTCCCTTCGCATCCGTTGCTCAATCTCAGCTGCTTGCAGCTGTGCTTGAGACTGAAGATATCGAGATACCTCGAGTTGTGCAGCGATGATCTCTGGTGGGATCTCTGGTACTGAAGGAACTATAGGTAATAGCGATAAAACTGGAGATAGTGGTTGTGGAGATGGACGAGCTAGGGTTGCCTGATGATTTGCTGTCGCGAGACGTATAAGACTATGCGGTAAAGAACTAGATGCGAACTAGTTAGTAAGTAGTTCTTTAAGTAGAAGCTTGCATTATCAGTCTTACGGTAATGCGATAGAAGGCACTGGTGAACTTGGCGGCTGGATTGTTGAAGTGAATGATTGACTTCGTTGAGATCGTGATAATGGAGAACTAGATAATCTAGTGTAAGTAGAACTAATTCTTATCGCTCCTAAACTAGTTCATACCTTGCTCGCGATGAGATTTGAGATAGCGCACGACGTGGTGAAGCTTGTATAGGTGTCCGAGATCTTGACCTTGTGGTATAAGACCCTCTTCTTCTTCGTACAAAGCCTGAGGAGCTTGATCTCTCAAGAATCTGATGTTGTTGTTCGTTTCTTTCTTCAAGACTAGCTTGCAATTGCTGCTCTTGACGTGCGGTATACCGAACTAGATTGAAAATTACTTAGGGACTAGCTCTCTTATCACATAAACTAGTTTACTTACGTTCATTTGTCATATGGTTTGCGTAACGTGACCTTATATCAGCAGACCGATATCCATGTCGGAGATCATGTCGTTCGCGAGCAGTATACTGATCCATATCCCGTTGATCTAGAATACGAGATCTATAGAAAATTTAGTTATAAGAACTAATTCTAGGTAAATTAGAATTAGTTCACTTACCCTTGAATTGCCCCAAGTAACGTCTCGTACTTTCCCATGGAGTAGGATTTATTATGAGATTGCTCAACCGCATTAGTAGAGTTCTGTACTTCATCCCAGAACTCAGGCCTTATTAGTGAGCAAGCCTTACAAAGACCTGCTGCAATTACCTCATGTGCCTTATGTTCAGCCCAGTCAAAGAAGCGTGGTTCGAGCTCTAAGAGCTAGTTAGCAACTAGTTTGAAACTAGTTTACCTATATTTCCTACCTTTAATGACGTTGATCAACTCAAAATACTCCTCACTTGTTGGGCTTGTGAGGAGACTATTTAGACGTGTTTGACCAGAGGAATGAACACGCCCAAATTCAGAAGGCACCATCTTTCGTACTGTACGTTTAAAGTGGATATGGCAGAAAAGGATAATATTGCGTAACTGCCATGTCCACTCTCGATTTTCTGGATCACGCCTTTGAAGGTAGAGACCAAGACCTAGAACTAGTTCAGAGCTAGCTCCTAGCAAGATTAAGGTATACTCTTTCTTACCAACGAACTGACCTTGGTCCATATCCATCACAATTGCCCTTAAGCCTTCGCCATATAGATAGTAGAAGCGGATTGGAAATCCAGTCACTGTTTCTACACGCTCAAAGAGGACCTCAAAAAGCTTCTTATAGGTATATTTATCCTGCCGGTTTACAAAAGCACGTGCAAGAGTAATAACTAGATATAATAATTAGTTCTAGTTTATAGGGAACTAGTTAAGGATTTTAACTTACCTTTTCCATGCTTCTCGTGAAACATTGCAAAGATCACTTCGTTAAATTCACCCTTCGTACGTTTATACGACATATCAACCTCAAAAGACTTAACAGATGCAAGAAGCTTAATCTGTGAGTCTAGTGCGCATAGAATAATTACTCCATCATTATAGGGAACGTTGTAAATCCCCCGAGTATATTCCTAGATAGAAATTAGTTCGTAGCTAGTTATAAGCTAGTTAAGGAAGTAACTTACGCGCCATTCGGGATCGTTTGTATACTTCCAATAAACTCCTTCAAGATCTCTGCCTTCAGGATAGGCTAGTATCCTTTGCTTTAATATAAGCGCCCTAATACGGTCATAGTTCGCAAAGCTTGCGTGGATCTGAGAGAGAGTTTCTCCACGGTATAACTTGCAGAAGTCGCGAAGTTCAGGACTACGCAGAAAGAGGCCTAGAACGAAGTTAGTGAACTAGTTCCGAGAATGATATAGCTAGTTCTTACTTGTTGTAAGGTCAGGACTTTGCATGCGTTTGATTAGCTCAAGAACCTCCCCTAATATCGATCTTGGCGGCCGGCTCGGCGGTGGTGGAATATGGCAATGTATTTCAGATGAGAGGAAGATAACGAATGGGTTCTCTAAGAGATTGATTGGCTGGAAGATCTTGAAACGAACTTCACATTCAGTCCGGACTAACTGAGCCTCTCCTTGGGGATGAACTTGGCCTTAATAGAATTAGTTATAAACCAGTTCAGAACTAGCTCTGGCTTGCTTACCACATGTTGTTTTTCGCGAGACTTGCTGCTCTACTACTGCGCAGTCCTCATAGGCAAATTCTGCGGTATTCGTGCAAAGCTGACGCATATACTCGAAGTCTACACCTTCCTTCATGATAGGTAAGTAGTAATGATCCCGTACTGCAAATCTTCCGTGGATACACGCAAGAAAATAGGTAATAACCCCATGGATATCCTAAACTAGTTAGTAACTAGTTCCTGAACTTGTTTAGTCTCCTAGACTTACTGGGCGCCCTTCGCGGAACACAAGATGGCATGTTTGTGTATGACTGCGACAGGCTTTCCTTTGGGCAAACCTCTTCTTCGCTGCATCAACAAGTCTAGAAGAAGAATTATAATTAGTTTAGAGAGCTATTAAATTAGTTCTAGTAGAGCAAGGGCTTACGCAATTGCTTGTCTCTGACTATGTGTAAGAGTTCTTGCGTCCTCGATAGAAGCTCGGGTCTCCTGGATACTATCCCATAGCTCTTCATTCACATGGCTATGTTGGAAATCACGTAGCTGAGACCCAAGATATTGGCAAACCTTAGCCCCAGTACACCTAAGGTCTGTGCGAAGAGTCTGGCAGTTGAGATAAGACGAATAGACAACCTGCGAAGTACCAACAACCTTTTTGCAGTATTGAATCTATAATTCTTATAAGTAAAGTTATTAAGGAGCTAGTTCATAACTAGTTCTGGCTATACTTACATCTCTCATTCGGTCATGAACCTCCTTTGTTCGAAGTTTCTCTGGATCAGAAGTATCTAGATGGACAATATAGGCATACCCATCACTATCCGTGCGCGGATACTCAGGAAGAAAGTCAACATGTTCAATATAACGCGCAGACGAAGAAATTCGTCCGGATTTAGTTAATATTGTTAGTGGTGGGTGCTAGAACTAGTTTAGAAGTAGTTCAAAAGTAGTTGCGGTGGTAACATATATATCTTACTTCTTCATGCGCACCAACACGAGTAGCCCTCCGCTCAAGCATCAACTCATCGTAAGCACGTATGTGAGGGGCCTGGATTTCTCTAGAACTTTCAGAGTGATCATAAAGATCAAGATCAACAAGATCCTCAATCCTCAACTCGCTCGTAGCGAGCCAGGAAGTATCTTCGTTATGGTCGGCCATCGTGGAACTGGTTTTGGGGGATGTAGAACTAGTTCAAATCTTTCAAAAACATTGTGCGAACGAAATAATTTACGGCGCGCTAAACTACTTTAGAATTAATGAAATCTTGGGTGGGCTGAGCCCCGTTTTTCATCACGTGGGGGTGAGCTGAGGTAGGCACCGAAGGGTGAGCCCGTCTGTAACCTGATATGAACTGACCTCTCATGAGCTCCCAAGAGGGCGCTGCCGTGTGGGGGCTGGGGGCCATTTAAACAGGATGAAATGAGTCAATAGTTTGATATGAGAGCTCGAAGTGTTGGATATTGTATTCCGTGACAGGAGTGGCAATAAACGGAGAGAAATGTGAAAAGTTCTAGACTCAAGAGGATGAAGGAAGTTGTTTACTCTGGATCATTTGGTGTCCGTATACTTGGGACGGATGGCCTGAGGCAGTCAGTCGTGTTGATTATCCTTATCGCGACTCTCATCACCTTGATCACTTTCATTCACTTCGACTCCACTCTATCACATCTGGTTTCGTACATTTGCTTGACCTTTTTCTAGCCTACATGGCCTCGCCACTCTACTCTTCCAATGAGTGATTTCAGGCTTGGTCTTCCTCCGATCTACAATGGCTGCGCCGGCAACCTCCACACCTCGAGGCACAGCCCCGACCTCGTCCGTGTCTGCGCCCGCGTCCTCGTCTCCCATCACCGCGTCCGTGATCAAGTTCCGCTGTCTTTACACACATGATCTGCGTCGAAAGTCTAAACGCTGGCAAGATGGCTATCTCAGATACCACGCGTTCAACAAACGCGTCATGGTCTACGATGAAACTGGGAACTACATTGGCGATCATCACTGGCGGTCCAACGATGAGGTACAGGACGGTGACGAGATGGAGCTGGATAAGGGGGCGTTGATTCAAGTTGGCGAGCGTATGGGAACGACTCAGACGGATCTTTCCAATTTGTTTGAGAAGCGGAAGTCCAGTCAGAGTTCCCCGCAGGCAAATGATCACACATCCCAGACAGTATCCCAGACACCGCGGGCCTCGGTGCCTATTCGGTCCTCAGGCTCATCACAGCCATTCCGCTCGCTGAACGAACTGTTGGGGATTAAGAAGACACCAGTTGGACATTTGGTATCACCGTACGAGGAACGACATCCCCCGAAGCCTGCTTCAAATATCCCCAAATCGTCCGAACGGCCAACGAAACGGCAGAAGGTTTCCTCGCAAGGGGTTTCTTCGATAGAGAAGGCGCCTGTCAATAAACGGAACACCCAGTCACAGGTGGTAGATTTGACTGAACAAGAAGATGAGCCTTTGGTCACTAGAGCGCCGAGCGTTGCCCAAGGGCAGAAACCACGACGTGAAAAGCACCGGGAAACAGCGCCGCCCAAGAAAGACCTGGGACAAAAGGACCAACCATCATCAGTGATTCGATCCCAGAATGTGCCCGGACCACCAAATGCAACAGGTTCTGACACCCCGACGTATGCTAAACCTGTTGTTCCAATACCGAACTCATCAAAAAGCAATCCCCCAATGCCCGTGCCGCCAGCTGCACCTAGTACCCTGCTAAATGAACAGCTGGAAGCCCGGAGAACCGCGACTATCGCGGCCAAACCAAAATCGCGCCAAGCCCCACGAGAAACACCACTAGAAGCGGCCCAGCCTCGGCAGGACCTTGGACAGAAATCGCCGACTCTGCTCGTGGAAACACGGCGAAAGGCTCCAGAACCAACGAACGTAACACTGCCTGATCCCCCGAAATTTTTTAGACCAGCATTGCCATCCTCGTCGGAATCATATAAAAGCCGACCTCCACGGGCAAATCCGCCTGGAGCACCCAAAGATGGGTGGAGTGAACAATCCGAAGCTCGCAAACCTGCGAGTGACACTGTTCCATCGAAGGATAGGCCAACGACAGACTATTTCAGGGCCCGGCCTAATACTTTGCGTATGGCAACTGAAAAACCACGTCGAAAATTGATGTACAGCGCTCTTCTACCTGGCGATGCATCGCAGAAATCAGGGCCAGAGCTGTCTTCATCCTCGCCTGCGAGTCGCAGTCAACCCATAACCAAACCCGAGGACATCCAGTCAGTACGTACTCGGAAAATACTTGCAATTAGCTTGCTAATGTCTTCCTCCAGAACAGCTTTGGATCCACTTCAGGGGATTGAGTCTACGAACGCAGAGTTTATGCCTTCCGACTCTACCCAATTCATCCTGGAGGAGGTGGTAGACGTGTCGAACCCGGAAACTGGTCCGGCTCGAAATTCAACCAACTCGACGAGTGATCAACATTCTTCTTCGCTACGAAAAGCACCGGCGAAGAGAGCTCTTGACGCCCCATTCCGAAAATCAATCTCAGACCCCACTGCCCTGAGAACCGTTCAGAAGCGACCGACACCGACCCGGAGCGCATTGAGTGCAGTCCCCGAGCAACCTCTGCCTATTGAAGAAGGCCCTTGGACATCCGAGGCATTGGATTTGTTTGACTTCTGGCCACCTGGACGGCCAAAACCCGCCTCTGGGGATTAAGGCCGGATTGACCCTTTTACGTCTTGACTTATGTTAGATTATACCCCATTACGTGAAGAGAAGATGCTCTTCGATGTACATTGTGATGCCACGACTTTGAAGTCCCCATGGAAGCGATGATACCCATTTAATCATGAAATACGAAACAATATACAATATTCTAACAAGTTTGAAGTAATCGATGCATAGAGCAGAGATTATTCCACCATGACATATACTTTCCTTCTTATCAACCTCAAATGACTAAATAGAGACTACCTCAACCAAACATGGCACATCTTGCCCAACCTTAAAAAAACATCACCATACCTCCCTAGTTACTCTTCTTCACCAGCACACCCGAGATATACGGCAAAGGCGACCACCCAAACGACCTCTCAATCTCAACACTCTCCCACCCCCCATCCACATCAGCAGCCTTCCTCAACGCCCCCTCCGTATCCCGATCCATACAACAATCCCCAATAAAAAAGCTCCACCCAAGCAACTGATAAACCCCCTGCGCAACCCGCGCAAGAACCGACCCCTTCGCCGTCCGCCACGGATTAACCACATGCTCCGTAACAAGCACGCGGCCACCAGGCTTCAACAGCGCATAAAGCTCACGAATCGTCTTCTCCATCTGCGGAACAGAGCACAACACACGAACGCAGATGATCGTATCAAAGATCCCGCTCCCATTTACCTTGTGGGCATCAACGACGCCTGTACTGGTAGCTTCGAGTGCGGGGATGAGTTCGGCTGATGCAGCACCGCATTTGAGAATGTGGTACTTTGATTCGAGGCCCTCGGCTACGGCTTTGGAGTGGAGGTCTCCGTGTAGCCCGACGCAGGGCTCTGGGCCGTAGATGGCCGTTATAGCCGGGGAGCGAAGGAGGTGCATTTGACTGCCTGTGCCGGGACCGATGTCGAGGACAATGCCTGAGGCGGTTTTGAGGAGTGGTGGGATTAGAGCTGAGGAGCCCTTGAGTTCTGGCTCGACGCCGGGAACTGGGGGCGGAGCATTCTTTTCTAGGAAATCTGGGATGTAGTTAGAAACGGGATATATCTCGAGTGGATGGGGGTATGCAATTCCCTGATGCTCTTTGGTTTTTTTTTTTTTCTCGGGGAATGGGCTGGGCTTACTAGAGAATGCAATCCAGAACCGAGCAAAGGCTTCGTCGCGGAGTCTAGTGGTCTGCGTGATGGGAGCGAGAACCTCGCCACGCTTGATAGCTTCGATGCAGACATGAATGTAATCTGTGTTTTTGGTCAGCTTGCGTGCTTCAATCCATACAGTGAGTCTTATATAGACGGAGAGGGCGAAGAAATGTTATAAGCATCAGGCTTCTTTGTGCGGGGTATATTGGTTTCCCGATGCCACAACACCACAACAGTTCATACACCATCATGTGTGGAAGCCAAACTGTATGCAAGTGATGAAGAAAAACAAACAAAACATAGGAGAAGAAGAGTGTCGAAGAAAAAACATCAAGTTATAAAACCCAACTCTATGATAGAAGAGCATGATGAAAGAAAAGAAGCATTGAAGCAATTTAGAGGCAGCAATATCATCTTCTCCAGTTCTGATATCACAGAACGTCAATGTATAAGTATCACTTACGAGGTATAGCCATAGCCATCAAACCACTCGGATCAAGTAAGCCGAGCATACGCTCACGCAGTGGGGGTGGAGCCTCAGAAGACATATTGAAAAATGGTTCTTGCAGAGAAATTGGTGTGTGGTGATATTTACTCTGACGCTGAAGTAGAAAAGGGAACATGGGGGATCCACAACAGGCGAATGTTATGGCCCCCAATGGTACAGATAAGGTCACATGATGTTTGGGGTTATGGTACAGGCACTACGATCGAATGTGGCTAGTGAAGGTGTGGCATTTAGATAGAGCACCTCATATGACCCTATGATGACCAATCTAGGAAGATGTTGCTGAATCACTAATAGTAGAGTCTGATCTGATTATCTGATTCCCCATCTTCTATAGTATTTCACCCAGGCCATGTCTGCAAAAGGAAATGACGTCTATCGGTTCAAAGCCAGATCACACAATACTAGTCTGGATGCTACGATAGACTGGGTAAACTTGAAGATAATATAGTCTGATTTTTTTAAATGCAATATTCCGACACATTAGAGCTGTGATACAAGTCAACCCACCAGTCAAAAAATGCCCTGGTAGGAGAGATGGTCAAACCGCCTCTCGAACCGTTTTTAACGGCATTTATGGGCATCCCTTTCTCGAGCCTCACCCCCCCCCCCCCGGTCTCACGGTACCAGAATTCATCAAGATTTACGAGCTTCTGCTCGCCATCAATGAGCGTAATCTGTATTGATTTAGGCTTGGAAGGACCCTCGATCGGTTGGCAATATAGTTTACGGTTTGAATGATCATGAGCGTCAAAAGATTGGGGTAGGCAATCCTCAATCATGCAGCAAACATGTACCTCTCTTAATCCACGGAAACGATGCCACGTCGTATTGGCAGGGGTTATATGCACGTCTGATCATGAGATCCTAAGTACTAAAAACAGCTGGGAACATTGAATTGTGTACTAGGTAGCTGATTGGGAGCTTCCAACTTCTACCGCCGATATACAGTGTCAAAAATGCACTCCATGAGCTATTGGAAAAACCTGCTAGTGTAGATCTAATCTTGGAAGGCGTGGCTCACACAATGTCACGATGTGGCTGGGTCACTCAACCCATACATACACTTTTACAGCTGTTTTCTTTCTACTCTACCTTCTATTTGGCGGGTGGACTCCTTTAATTCTATTAGCATACTTAGGTTCAATTGGCATTGCATTCTGTGGGGTACATTCTCTTAGGCATTTATATTATCCCCAAATTTAGTTCTAAAAGAATTATTCGATTATAGCAAACAAAGGTTATGACCATCTTCCAGGTCAAACAATCACTCCCCCCCCCTCCGATGGCCTAGTTGGTATCCACCATAAATTGGTGAACCATTTTTGTGCCTTGGAGGACTGTGCAAACAAAAGAAGAAGAAAAAGTACTGGGCCAGTGTTGACGCTTTAAGCTCCACGGACGGCCGGGCACACCTCTAAGCGGGGGAAGTTCAAATTTTTTGAGATGTTTTTGGTAATATCGTTTGCCAATAGAGATATATCCTAAATCCTTCTATTCTATTAATTCTAGCTTTTTCATACTGCCTTTTCAACATTGTTAGAGGGCGAAAAGGGGACGCTATAATTTAGGTGCATCACTAGGGTGGGATGGCGATTTTCTCCGCTGTCCTTGATGACGATGCAGCAACAAGGCGAAGTATATAGGGAACTCCAAGGTTGGCGGTTCGATTCATGGAGGTGGAGAATCTTATTTAGGTTAACTTTTGGCGACATGGATTTTTACGTGTGGTCAGTTGGATATAGGATGGCTCGATGCTAGATACGCGCAATGAAGCAGGCACAATGGCTACCTAGTCACCAAAAGACAGACGTACTAATAACCAGAAAGATGATCAGATTAAATCATACAAGGAGCGAAAGCTATCAACAGATAAGAAAAAGAAATATATTGTAAATGACTAGTCGGGTCAGACTGGATGGATAGAGCGTGGCTGAAACTGAAATAAAACGAAAGATCGAAATGACAGCACTGAGAATGGACAAAGGAAGGACGGTGATAGGAGAATGTATGAGTTTAGAAGTTATTGACGCGAGTTGGATTGGAAACGAAAGAGGGTGGTCCAGGTTGTAGTAGGCATTTGTGTGTAGAGAAAGAGTGGGAAGGGGGTGGGAAGGTAGATAGAGAGAGCTAGTAGCCCCGTGGGTAAGCTTCCGAGACCAGCATTCCCAAGTCATCCAAAGTGGTGTGTCAAGAAAGAGAAAAGGGCCAGAATTACGGCACCTTTCTATTAGGGCGCATCGATACAATGCAGAACGAAGCAGGTGACAGACGTGAAGATGCGTGTCCGGCAAAGGAGGAAGAAAATGAAACTCGTGGGCAATTATACGAGTTACTGCAAGCCATCGCCGTTTGAGGGCCTGCCCGCAAACTCGATCGAAACGATTCCAATGCAACATGCAACGCTTTTAATGGTGGGAGTGGATGCGGTCGACTCTCGGGCTATACCGACTGTTGCGCGAGAGCGAACCCACGTCGTGCTTGCCGTCGCAGCAGGCGCGAACATTCTCGAGCCGATCTTCGTCATCGTGATGGTGATGCGAGAGGTTCTCCATGCTAGGCTGGTCGCGGATACTCTCGTCATGAAGGCTAGCTGCTTGGCCATGGCGTCCCTTCAGACTGGCGATCGATCCGCGGATCGAGCTATTTAGGATTGTGCTGAGACGGGACGAGGAGCGCTGCGGAGGGTCCTCGGGGACTTGTAACGAGGAGTTCTGCCCCGAGTTGCTCAAGGCAGGGGATGCACGTCCGGGCGTGCCGCCAGTCGAGCGCATAGACATGGCCGAGGCCGCACGCTGTGCCTTGGGTGCTTGGCGAACGGTGCGGCTGTTGTATGAGGACAACGACATACGGGCAGTCTGGCGCGAGGAAGACCGGAAGCCAGGGTTGAACTCATCAATGTCATCCAGAGTCACGGCATCAGCATCGTCACAGGCTTCATTGCTCTCTCGGAGGAGTAGATACGACAATGCATTGAACCAGGTCTCGTGACGTTGACTTGTCGTGGCAGTGAAGCGGACCTTGCGACCAGGGCTTACGACCTCCAGGCTTCGGCAGTGAAGACCCGGGGGATAAGGGTTATCGTCTGGAATTACTCGCACAGCCTCGATTGGCACACTCTTAGTGCGGAGCTGAGACTTGCCTGCAGTCTGGGGGTCATGTTCACTCCAGTATAGCGTGCGTGTATACGGATGAACCCAGAAGTAGCGTCGGTGACGTGTAGACGACATATCGGAAGAACCAGTCTTGCGAGTATACTTCCACAAGAACTCACCAATCATGGTCTGGGTGATGGCTTGAATCATGCGGGGGTCGGTATTAGCACCATAGCCGTGAGGCATGGGTCCAGCGTAGGGGTTCATGTTGAAACGCTCCTCGAGTTCAGAGGCGAACGAGGACACCGATGACCGCCTTGACATTTGGCTCTGGCTTTCCCGTCTCATGCGAGCCTGTGTAGAAACAGTTCGTGCGGATCCAGGCCCTGTGCTTTGGTCGTTGGGCGTGCGCGGGGCAGCATGTACGTTCACGCGATAGGCCGAGGCTGGTGCCAGAGGTGGTCCCATTGTGCCGGGCGAGGGAGTAGGGGGAGGGATGTCAATTGACCTCTTCTCGGCGGCCGCAATGGCTTCGCGGTGGTCAGCTGGCAAGGGAGGATGGACACTGAATGAAGAGTTTTGGCTAGTAGCAGTGTCAGGACGCATTTGGCTTGATGCTCCAGATCTGGCTGATTGTTGAGGTTGGAGGCGAGGTCTAAGCTTAGGAGTGGCGAAGGGAGATACGGCAGCAGCGGCTCCAACGGCTCCAACGGCTCCAACGGCTCCAACGGCCCCAAGTGCAGCCATCTCCATTGTGTGCCTGCCGTCGGCAGAAGAGACAGGCCGAACAGAGTCCCGGTCCATGAGAATCTGGTCGATTTGTTTCGAAGAGAGAATTGTCTGAGATCCCTGGTCCGAGCTGACGAAGCTGGGAAGCTGTCTGTCGGACTGAGGCAGCAACGCGTTGCCGGAAATGTCATTCAAGGCCAGGCCAGTGCTTGTTCGCCGCTCGCTAATGCTGGTGCCAGAAAGCTCACGAGCTGATTCATTAGGTTCATCTTGCTCATCTTCGTGGATGACCACTGCAGCGGCAGCAGCCTTCGGCTCCTCAATGGGATCTGTTTGGATTGCAAAGTCACTCATAGAAGGAATAGCGCGTACCACAGATCGCACTGGCTGTGTTTCGACGAAACGCAGGGTGGAAATGGAGGGTACTGGCCGGGGAGGGAGCACAGCCACTTTAGGCGTGACGGGCTCAGTGAACGCTGGATCCAGCAGAGAGATTGACAGATCGGGGATGACCGGCTCTGGTACAGGCGCGGGAATCACAATTGGCTCTGGTGCAGGAGCAGGCAGCGCCTTTACTGGCACTGTGAATGCTGGATCTAGCAGAGAGATCGAAAGATCAGGGAGGACAGGCTCCGGCACAGGTGCAGGAATGATAATCGGCTCCGGTGCGGGAGCTGGCTCAGCCTTGACCGGCTCCGTAATAGCTGGTTCAAGCAGAGAAATCGACAGCTCTGGAACAATTGGCTCTGGTGCAGGCGCAGTGATCACGATGGGTTCCGGTGCTGGGGCAGGCACCGCCTTCACAGGTACTGTAAATGCTGGATCCAGCAAGGCGACAGAAAGGTCGGGGATGACTGGCTCCGGGATAGGCGCAGGAATCATGATAGGTTCTGGTGCGGGAGCAGGCTTAGCCTTCACTGGCTCTGTAAGCTGCGAGGAAATAGTCGACACCGCCAGTTCGGGCATATAGACCTCTTCAACAACAGGCTCAGGAAGTTGGGCCAGGACAGGCTCGGTGTGATGAATGAAATGGGAAGACAAGGACAGCTTGGGCAGCTCCCGGACAGGCTCGATATGAACCACAGGCTCAGTTTTCTGCGAGGCAATCGAGGAGAAGCTCATTTCTGGGATCTCTGGAGTAGGAAGCTCGTGTTTCACAGGTTCAGTGAAACTGCCAGGGAGGTATGAGATGGCCAGCGCTGGCCAGATAGGCGCGGTGGGGCGAGTTTCTTGAGAAGAGATAGCGGCAATTCCCATCTCTGCTGGCTCGGCCTGCGTACTAGCCTCAACCAGTTGAGACTCCACCGCACGCTCGTCCCATGCCATCTTTGGTGGCGTGGGAACATTGGCCAGGTGATCATTATCTCCCATCCCGGGCTTGAGTGGTGTCCACTGGGTACCTGAGCTAACCTGCTTGGGAGTCTCTTCGGCTTCCGCAGCGATTTCACGGTCTACACTTCTCTTCGGCGTAGTTGGGCCATCGGACAAGGCAGAGACTGCAGCACCCGCGGCACCAGCAACGGCCGCTCCCGCAACAGCAGCTCCTGCAATGGCAGCAACCGGAGTGCTGGGCTCCCAAGGCTCAGTCATCATACCAGAATCGACCATGACAGGCCTGGGCAATGAGTCAAGCGTGATCTCGGAGGGCCTGCGAGAGTCCGATGAAGGGCCCATGCGCGGCGTCGAAGCCTGGGAAGTAACAACTCCACCATCTTCCTCTTCATCGCCACCGTCCAGCTCAGCAAGTTCCGCAAAGAGGCTCTGGCCCTCCCGGGCCACAGGCTGCTCTTCGAAGCTTGGCGCGGGGGAATTGCGAGCACTAGAAGGACGACTGCTAGACGCCATTGGGGCCTCACCAGATGGGCGAATCCGGCGGAGAACGCTTCGCTTCGACCTCACCCGACGGCCAGAGATATGGGACTGGCTGGGCGATGGGAAGCCTCCGTCTGTCTCATCCTCGTCAGATGTGGCAGACGCCGTGCTGTGGTAGGGGTTACGGTCACGGGCCTTAGCCATCATAAGTGATGGGACACGGCGAGTGGGGGGGTTGTCTGGACATTGTTCTCGGTCTCGGTCAGATCAGCAGAGTCGTCACTGCTGTCATCGGCCATGCTTTCAACACCGGTCTGGAAGGCCTCGCTCTCGGTTGCCGTTGCGCGCTCGTTTGCTGTCTCAAATCCATCTTCGGCTTCAGTGGCAGTCTGATAGACATCACTGGGCTCATCGGGAGGCGAAACGGCACCAGAACGGCTTCTAGTAGCTGGAGCAGCCATGATGGAGCGAGTGGGACTGCCTTGGCCAGCATTGTCTTCCCAATCAGTGTCGTGAATCTCCATCTCAACCGAAGACTTCTCCTTACGGCCAGCACCCAGAAGATCTGGGCGAGCAGGCTTACGGAAAGAGTTGTCCTTGGTCTTCAAGCGCTTGGTGGACTCTTTGGGAGCATTGTTCTCACGGCGGCGCTGCTCAACCTCATCTCGGGCTTCTTGCAGCATGCGCTTGAGCTCAATCTTCTCCGTCTTCTCGCGATGGATGGTGCTCTTGAGATTCTGGATCATACGGTGCGCATGGCCGAGTGAGCTCTTGAGAGTCTCCGACTCCAAATGGTTGTGCCGAGGGGTGAACTTGTTGGGAGACGGAGGAGGAGAGCTTTCGGGCGTAATTTGCTCTGCCTCCTCGTCGTCATTATCGTCGGGCAGATCTCGAGAACCTTGCGATTCATATTGTCGGATTCGCATGGCAACCGCCTTCGCCAACTCTTGGTTCTGGCCCGTCAGTTCTTCAAGCTTTTTGTGAAGCGCCATTTTCTCTGCATCACCGGCAGTCAAGTTCCGACGTAGCAGATGAATTTCAGAGTCATTCGCCTTCTGTGCGATTGCTTGGTCCTCCAGTATCTTCGCATTAGCTTGCCTCAGCTCCTCCAATTCCCTCTCAATAGCGTTCTTCTCTGAGTTCGCCGTGCTCAGGCTACTGTTGAGTCTCTTCTCACGCTCCACCGCGTCTCTGACAGCTGACATGAGCTCGTGGGTCTGCGTCTCGAGAGCCCAGTTCTCATCCTTGTAGCGTTGCTCGCTGTCATCGAGTACACGGATACGCTGGGAGTAGCCTTCCGCTTCGATCTCTAACCGCGACTTTTCTAGGTTGACAGACTTAAGGGTTTCCTCTCGTTCGGCCAGAAGCGCCTGTAGTTGACGGACTTGGGCAAGTAGTGAGGTCGAAATCTCAGTCGCGAACTCGATATCGTGGACACGGCTGGAGGGTTGGTTACGCTGCTTGCGAGAGGGGACGCTGACTTTGCTGGGAGAATTGGTGGCTTGGCTTGCAAAAAGAGCGGAACTGAGGGGAGACTGATGACAGTAGATTAGATAGATTAGCATAAAGAGAGAGCAATCATGATTATACAATGCTTTGCAGTACCTTTTGATCGAACCCTGGAGTGCCCGGCTGGGGGTCCTCTAAACCACCTGCCTGTCGCTTCGGAGCCAAAAAGGCACGAGCAGTCTCGCGACCAATTTCATTATACTCCTGTTCCAGGTCGGCAAGTCGCTGTCGCAGCTCCGGTCCCATCTCACCCTCATCTTGCTGCTGCTCTACTTCCTTCAGCTGCTCCGTCAGTTCCCGCTGCTGCTCGATAAGCGCCGTTCCCAATTTGGACGCTTCCTCCAATCGACGCTCGGTCTCCGCCAGATGGGCCTCGAGGGCCCGCTTGGCTTGTGCAGGCGAAGACGCATTGAGACTGAAGAGTTGCGTGTCGAACGACGAGTATCGGTGGGATTCACGTGGGACGGCGGGTTGGCCCGAGGTCGAGACGAACGGATCCTCCATCATGGTAGCGAGAGAGCTGTTCCCGCGGGCGTGGGGTGCTGTCATTCTCCGAGGGTGCGGTTACCTCAGTCGGCGTCCGGATCCCCTGATGCGTGAGGACACCGTTGCCGATGAGACCTGAATGAGACTCGCGCGCGCGTCAATTTTTCTTGTTTTAGTAATGACCCGTGTTCGGTTCACGCGAGCATCGTTCAAGTCACCGTGCCTGGGAAAATGAATTCGCACAGGGTCCTCTCCGTCCCTAAGTGGATGATACAGCCGGCCAGCGACCACGGATCGGCGATATTACCACGTGCGAAAATTGGATGCGACAGGAGAGAAGGGCGAGAAAGATCGCGGGCGTCGCGAGGAACAAAGATGGATGAAGAGGGAAGTGAGCACAACAAACACGATCGCTCGAGAATGAGCGAATCAGTGAGATCCCGAGCCGGCGAGATCCTTGACCAGGTACACGCGTGTTGTTGAGTGTGTGATGCAGCCAACCATAACACTCGGCGATCGGCAACGAATTATCACCCAACCGAATGCAAGTCTCGACTCGGCTGGGGGCCCTAGTGAATCAACAAAAGAAAAAGAAAAAAGAAAACGAATTCAAGATGAAGAAAAGGGAAAAAAATTAAGGATAAGAGAGGGTAGAGAACGTGGGTGTAGTTGATGATGATTGGGGAGGGGAGGGCAATGGGCGACTCGGGCGGGGAGAAAAGGGAAGAGAGTCGAGAGTCGAGCGGGAGCGGCTGCTATTCTTGCGCACTGCCAATTGGCACCAGTGTTTGAGATGATCGTGGGGAGATCAAGGAGGAGGGGCCCTACTATTAGGAATTTCCGAAAGGATAGGTTACGGAAGTAGGGTGGAAGATGATTATTGAATGGTATCTGCACATCTGAGACGTTTCTATCTCTCCCTACTGTCCCTAGTTTATCTTTCCCCCTGCAGTTCCACGACAATTGCATATGGCATCTATCATAAATACGATGAATCGATAGTCTCGTCTGTTGTTGTTTTCTTCTGCCAACGCGTCGGGCATGAAGTTTGCACTGTTTGCATGCCTATTTGACCGGGTTGGCTTAGTCATGATAGCTTAGTCAGTCTCCGCGGGTTTCGAGCAGCTTCCGGTGACGATGATTAACAAGAAATAAGTTCAAGACCTTTAGGGACACCCTCTCTCTTCATACCCCTTGAATATCCCCTCAAGGATCCTCCGGACTTTCCAACATGGCAGACGATGCCCAAGTCACAGAAGCTGTACCTCAGTTTGGCTTCAAGAAGCGCGCCAAAGGCAAGGCCAACTTCCGCAAGAAGCCCGCAACACCGCCACCGGCCTCAGACTCGGGGTCTGATTTCACCTCATCCGACGATGAAGAAGGCCGGCGCATCAAGAGGCGACGCAAGAATGCAGCAGTGACAGCTTCATCCGCCGCAAACGCCACCAGGAGAGACCCTGCCGCCGATCAACCTACGAGCACCGGTCCAGTGCCGCTATCAACGAGCAACGATGCCACAAAATCAGCCAACTGGTACGACGAGGAGGATTTGAGCGCTAAGAACCTTCTGGGATCTACTCGGGCTCAGTCCTCTGCGGCCACTGGTCCCGATGGGACTTACAAGGGTGCGGCCAATTACTCAAACTTCATTCAGAAGAACCCCGATGCGCCGAACAAGCAGTTTGGTCCGATTAAGGCGCCCACGAACGTGCGAACTGTGACAGTGATGGATTTTGCCCCCGATGTTTGCAAGGACTGGAAACAGACTGGGTGGTGTGGATTCGGTATGTCTTTGGATACTTACTAAAAGAAAATGAAGATCGAGGGCTAACATGACTATAATAGGTGATTCCTGCAAATTCTTACACGCCCGCGAGGACTATAAACAAGGCTGGGAACTGGATCGTGATTGGGAAATTGGTACCAACGGCAAGAAATTGAGTGGCCGTGTGGTATCGCAAAGAAAAGGCGCCGGGAAGACGGCAGAAAACGACGAGGACGATGACGATGACGAGCTGCTGGACAGCATTCCCTTTGCCTGCATTATCTGTCGGAAACCATATCAGAACCCGATCATCACCAAGTGTGGCCACTACTTTTGCGAGTCCTGTGCGCTGCAACGTTATCGAAAGAATCCATCATGTGCAGCGTGCGGGGCAGGTACCGGTGGCGTGTTTAATACTGCGAAGAAGTTGAATGCTTTGCTGGAGAAGAAGCGGGAGAAGGCCCGGAAGGAGCGAGAGAAGGCTATTGAGGAGGGGGAGGAGGTTAGTGAGGAAGAGGAGAATGAGGGCAGTGATTAAGATTGTTGGTGGTCCGAGGCATGCTACAGCTGGACTGCGCAACACAGCCTCGAAGTGTCTTATGTATATGTATAAAAGAAGAATCAAACGAGAACGATATTTTGAATCCCTTTTATCGTCAAGTAGATATTTCTTGGAATAGTGAAACCTTGACTGGAAACCCCCGAAAGTGGTATGCCCATTGGTTTACTAGGTATGGAGAGCAATATATATCCGGCACAAGTTCTGTGTCGCCTCTAATATGTAAATTGCTCGGTCAAATTCTCACATCTGTACGTTGCAATCAAAGGATTTGAACTCGAAATACCCAAAAAGAAAAGAATTCAAATTCGTATATTCGTTAGGTACTTTGAGATCTCCGCCGCCTTAATGTTGGTGGTGGTCATAGGTGGCTGCAGGTGATCAGGCTGCTGGCTCGGCCCTCCTCCGCCTCCAACATCATCACCATCATTAGCACCAGCACTGATCAAAGTTTACCGTTCAATGATTAAACCCCGCATTGATCTTATCTCTCGAGCCCCCCAGAACTCAAAAAACCTGCGAATCGTCACTCTTCCAGCCAAGAATGACACGCGGCCAGTGCGAAATCGAGGTGGCTCGGCCGTGGTTGGGACCGCCAATGGTATTGATGATTCCGGCCTTGTGCTCCGATGTCAACTTTTTACAGCAGAAGACCACTGCTCTCTTCGACCCTAATGTGGAATAAGACTAAGGCATTCAAATCATTTGTATGTACTTGATGTCTCTTTATCTGCGGAGAACGGCACAAGAGCGAGGGCTGACGCAATGTTGGTGATCGGCATTCAAGCCACGGAACTCATTTGTATACACATCTCGAATGACATAGAACTGATCTGGAGGCGCTCACACACAATCAAGAAGGGTTCGGCTCGATAACCCAAATTATCCCCCCTCCTGTGGCGTTTCTAATATCCTCTTGTCCTTGGCACCTGACAAGTTTGGACAAGCGTCTGCGCACAAACACCATAACCATTGCGATGCTGATCGGTCCTTGGTTAGTGGGTCTATTCTGTCATTACCTCACTGCAATTCCGCGGTCAGAATCTGGAGGCCGACGAGAGCCCGATTCTCATGGTTCATGTTGCATGATGACCAGCTTGGATCGGAAAAAGGATAATTCCGATGAGGCTCGCCAACTGTCTCACCCTCGTTCAAATTGTGTCTGCCTATTTTCCATGAGATGCTGCTAATATTAAACGGGCAGAGACAGCCGACGGGAATTTGACTTTAGGGGTAATCCAGCAGCCCCCACATGGATACGAGACGAGCCAATAATTCAGTGGAGAACGGACGTACCTTCGCGTGTCCCTGCACGTCGGCTGCACCTTTTTCCAGACGGTCTTTTTTGACTCTTTTTGTCCCTGGATTCTCCAGAAAGACGGTTAAACGCCACGTGCGAGCCATGGTACTCATCACACGCTCATTGCCACATTGCGTTGCCTCTCAATCAGATGGAGTCTGATCCAGAGCATTCCAAGAGGGTCTGATTATATGCAAAATGGCTGCAATTCTTGTGCATCCTTGCAGTCTCACCTATGGCCCCATTCATTCTCTTTTGTTCAACTGCTCAATCCAAGAATATACTTCGGCCGACACGATTAGGGGTCGCGGGAGGCGCGAAACAGGCCCTAAGCCAAGCTTTTGTCAAGCCGCCGCAAAGCGACCCTCTTAGGTTCTCTAAGGTTCCCTTTGCCCCAGCTTCGGTACCCTGCGCCCCTCTTGTCCCCTGAAACCCGCCTCCTGAGTGGCCAATGACCGGCCCATAGAATGACATTCTAAGTTAAACGCGGCTTAGGCTTTCAGCTGGTACCAATGGCGAAAAAAGGTGTGGGCAGCATTGGCCCCTCTCTCCCCTTAGTTTCTTGTAGTTTCGAAACCGTCTCTTTCTCTTTTCACTCGACAGGATTCATGGGCGGAGTGGACTAGACCGAGCGCATACTGGAAAGATACTTAGAGTATCTTGGCTAACTATCGCGGTCCATTCCCTTTTGTAACTCTCTCTTTTCTTTCGGTTAAACATTTCCCTGAATGGTTCTCCACTAATAACCTTACTCTCTGACTCTCTCTCGTGTGCCTGGTCCCGCGTGGCTATTGCGGCGATTAATACGCCGCCGACTCTCCTTTCCCTCCAACGTGACTCTCTTCCCTTTTCTCTCCTTTCTCGTTCCTGAATACGAAGATCACACCTTATTCACTCTTCTTCAATCCTTTCCTACATACACACTCCCTACACTGTCCAGTTCAGATCGTCAATCAATGGCTCAGTCCCTTCAACGGTGAAATTGGCACGTACGGAGGGTCCACTCAAGGGTCTTGCCTTGAACATCTCGGATTATTTCTCGTGATCACGATGAAGGGTGGATTGCGTTTCGCTCTTTGCGCCTCACTACTCCTGTTCTTCTCCCTGTACTTGTTGGAGGCACATCTCAAAGATATTTGCTCCCAGTATCGCGCCGGCGCATACCTGATTGATTGGTTAGACCGGAATGGAGCCTCTCAACGTCCGACAGTCGGCAATGTGCCCGTGCCCGGAGACAAGGTGATTGTCATGGCCAAGCTGCAAGAAGAGCCTACCGAATGGGTCCAAGAGGAGCTTCCAGAGTGCGTCTTAACTTTTCAATTACTCTCTCAATTTGAAACGTTTATTGATCGCTAATTTAAATTCCCCTCACCAACAGCTGGCAGCGCGCAATCTACATAGTCAATCCCTCGGAAGAAGCCCGATCCAATCCTCAAATTCTCACGACCCCTCTTAACAAAGGACACGAATCTATGGCCTACCTGACCTACGTAATTGACCACTATGACACCCTCCCATCAACAATCGCCTTTCTCCACGCCCACCGCGCAGGATTCCTCATGGCATGGCACAACGATGCCCCGCTCCACGATAACGTCAACGCAATGCGCATGCTCCAAACCAACTTCGTCCAGGAAAACGGCTACGCCAATCTTCGCTGCAATTGGAACCCCGGCTGCAAGGATAGTCACCGCTTCAACATACATGTCACCGAGCAGGTCTGGTGGGATGTCTTTGAGGGCACGAGTACGCCGCCATTGAATGCTTCGTCGCCCTATGAGCAGGAATTTTCGGGCCACAAGTACATGCGCAAGCCCGAGCAGATTGGTGCGGCGTGTTGTGCGCAGTTTGCGGTCTCGAGAAGCCAGGTGCTGCAGCGACCGCGAGAGGATTATGTCAAGTTCCGGCAATGGATTATCGATACTGAATTGAATGATGCTATGTCGGGACGGGTGATGGAATTCTTGTGGCATGTCATTTTTGGTATGGATGCTGTTTATTGTCCTGATGAGGAACTCTGCTATTGTCAAGTCTATGGCAAATGCTAGTACCTGGGAGCATGGTCCATTATCTCCCGAGACAGCTTCCCGTTTCGCCCACGCCAACTCCTCCATGTCTCGCACCTTCATTTCTCGCCACTGTCCATATTCCCCGACATATTCGATACCCCCTCGTTTGCCTCGAGCTGAGCTCTTCTTCTGTCATTTGCCTCATGCGCTGCCCCAAGCCGCTGAGAGCCCGGCGTTTGAGATGAATTACTTGTGTGATTAGACCTCATTGCAATCTGGCACTGGCAAGAGCGATCTTTCGCTTTTTTACATTTTCATTGCAACATGTCGTTGCAGATTCTTGGACTTGAAGTCCTTTGAATGTTAATAGAACCTTACTCATTTGTCAATAACTAATACAAGATAAGTCGATTGCATTATGCTTTTCGATTCTAGAAACTAGTTGATGTATACATGAGGGGCTTCCACTCCACTATTCAACATACACCACTCAACTCACGACTATTATTTCCGAGAAACCGTTCTGATGCATCGCTTGAGATACTCCTCCACCCTAGCAGCATCACCAAGACGCGCAACAACCCCGACATATCCATCAGGCCTAATCACAGCCAAAGCACCACCTGCAGGATCCACGCCGTAAATCGCATAGGCATCATCCAAAGCCGACCCATCATGGAAGCGCATCTCCGCTCGCTGCTTAATACAAGCGGAGACATCCTCCCACTCAAACTGCCGGTGGAGCTTGGGATGTAACACAATCAACTCAATAACTGATGCAGGGAATTCGGCCATCAGACGATCGAGTGAATCCAGTGCCAGCGCAGAAACACTTTGCCGATCCAAAAGGTCAGTTGACGCCAGACACAGAATGCGGAATCTACCCGTTGAAGGAATATCTATTATCTCATCAGTCGATATCGTCCAATCGAATTGAATCCATTCTTACCGTCATGGATATGCCGCTGTGCACCATCAGCGTGTCGCAAAACCCGAACATCCAATAATCTCCGACCTGGCCGAAGAATTCCAGATAGATAATCCGTGCCCTTTACAGGACTCGTCGAATCTTCCAAATCATCACGGAGAACGACCGTACTCTCGGGATATTCCACACCACAGCCACTGGTGAACCCATTACCTAGCTTAAAGGCCTGCTGGAACTCTTCCTGGGTAAGGCCCTCAGTGGCACCCATTTTGCCGGAGAACATGGTTGAGAACTTCCGGTCAAAGTCGATTAATTGCTGGGCGATTTGGTGTCTCTCGGTTTGGTAGGAGTCAAGGAGGGGTGTTGGTGTTCCTGTTGCTGTTGGCTCTGGTGCGAGACCGTTGAGATGGTACATGAGCTTCCATGCGAGATTGTAGGAGTCCATCATGGAGACGTTCATTCCTTGGCCGGCCTGTGAGGTTGGAAAGATCAGTTATGTAGTTGCGAGAGTGGGTATAGCGGGCATGCTTACTTTAGGGCTATGAGTATGGCAGGCTAAATTTCAGAGAGTCAGCCAAAATTTCAGCTCCAAACTTCAACAAAAATGAAACTTACCATCACCGACGATGAATACCCTTGCAACACTCATGGAGTCATTCACAATAAACTGCGGCGAGACACGTTGACCGATCTGATAAGCAGCCCACCAATCAACCACCCCATCTTTCGGGCGAATATAATAAGGCTTCATCGCGTTTGCCGCCTGTTGCAAAATACCCTCCTGCGTAATTTTGCTTCTCCGCTGTCGCGCATCATCAGCTTTGACATCATCATTCCCATCCAAAACCTGATCACTATCTGGAACCACGGTCTCGGGGACATGAACATAGAGCCGAGTGAGATACGCGCCCGTAGAAATCCTCTCTCGCGGGATAACCATCACCGAGCCAGCAGGAGAATGAATCGCACAGCGACGGCGAATATCCGGGAAATCGGTATCAGCCACCAAATCGATCACGCCCCAGATATGATCGAGAGATTCTCCATCGAGACGTAGACCCATACACTGACGGACAATAGAATGCGCACCATCTGCGCCGACAAGGTGCTTAGTACGAATGACTTTCTCCTCGCCGTTTGTGTTCATGGTTACAACCACCGGAAATTCTGGATCAGACTCTTCGTCAATGCGTACATCGACCAGTCGCGTATTGCGCAGGACACCTCTCTCCGAGTACCGCAATAGATCAGTTTCCATGATCCGCTCGATACGCCCCTGGTGAATGGTGGCTTCGTAGCCGAATCTGGAGGGCGCAAGGACTTCCGGTACGACTGCTGTCCGCTCGATGATTTTGTCTTTGTCCTCTGAGGGATTCCAGAATGCGAATTGCCACATGTGACATGCTTCATTCTCGATTTCGTCAGAGATGCCGAGCATCTTGAATACTTCCAATGTTCGTGGCTGGACACCGTCTGCCTGGCCGGATTTGAGAGTGCTGGGCTTGCGATCAATGCAAAGGAGGGAGGTGTCGCTGAGTCCGTAGCGAGATAAGAGGAGATTTAGCATCAATCCTGCTGGTCCGGCCTGCGGATGCTGGTGAGAATCTAGTCTTGGTATAGATAGGCGTGGTTCAACCTACTCCGACAATTACTACTTCATATTTCTCGTCAACGCCATTATGAGGCTTAAATTGAGGGGAGAGACGAGGTAAGGGCGGAGCAAAGGATGGCAAGACTCTCAAATTCCGAGATGAAGAAGAATGGTCCGTGAAGACAGGCATTATGACAATAAGCCGGCTAAGTAACAGGGAAAGAAGTCGAGGGCCCCGGTGGTTAGTAGAGCCATGGAGACTACTTATACCTTACCTTGTCTGGGGTATCTTCATATTTTTCTCAGCTAGTCGAATTTACAGATTTATGGGGTAGGTCTTCATCCCCACGAATCTGAGTTGCGGGGGGTTTGCAGATGCCCGAATACGGATATACAAGAGGTCGGTAATTCCCTTCGGCTTTGAGAACATGTAAGGAGACCTGGCTTCTTGCCTAGCAGATAGAATTTCGACTCTCGTTAGGCCAATAGACTTGATGAGACGATGTACTGCAGTATCAATACTCTTTCTTAGCTTGATAGACACCAATGAAATGGACAATGTAGGAAACCCTGAGTATCAAGAATACTTCACAATTTCGATTGAACGTCCCAAAATATAGCATAATCATTACTAAAGAATAGTAGGGCCGTCTTCAATGCATCGAAATGTTGGGGATGCCTCTTGAAGACCTCATATCCCACATGTGTGGACCCTCACCCCGCCGTCCCACCTACCACGCGTGCGGGGTGAGCGGAAATCAGGATAGAGCCCCGGCATTCACCATTGGTTTAGTAGACAACTGCCGTTTATAACAATATAGGAATCTTCGATTATTAAATGGTCAAATCTGGAATCACTGGAGCAGATCTGGATATTCCAAATGCTCTCTGACCATCAGCATTAACAGCATCTAACTAAACTACAGACAGGACAGCATCGAAGCGCGTTCGGAGAGTAATGGTCAACTTGAGTGGAATATCATATGTGGATACACCTATAAAGAAGAACTACCACCCTTCCCCTCCTCCAACGCCGTAGAAAGCACATTTGCAAAAGACTGGGATATCCCCCATCTACCACCCCGCTGCAACAAATCAATCAACCGATACAAATGATCCAAGTCTGCAACCATGGCTTGCCCACCGCTGCTAGCAAGCTCTGGAAAAAAAACACCACTAGAAGCCTCTTCACCTAAAAGTTTGATCTCTGGAGACGCGAAAGCCTCGACACTCACGACATGCTTGGGCGCGTATTGCGCAACACATAAATAAGATAGGGCTGCTGAAAATACTGCGCGGGGAACATGTATAGCTGCCTCGGCAGAGATGCTCATGTTATCGAGGTGGCGTGCAATTAGAGATGCATGTACAAGACAGCGGCTGGCGTTGAGAGAGCATGCCCACTCACTGACGGGTGTTGAAGCTTCCAAACTAGGGCCTTGGCCGTCCCGGCCAATCGCTTGCTCTAGGAGATCGAGGTCTGCGTAGAGGGAGATAAAGATCGAGTGCCATAGTACAGGTAAACAGAATGGGTCTCGATTCGATGTATAGTATGTTTGCCACCATTCTATTAGGAGATTTGAGATTTCATGGCAGATGATATGGTCAAATTCTTGGGATTGTTTGGCGTCCACGAGACGAGCGTTAATACTTTCGAGGATACCATATGCGGTAAAGCGAGATTTCAGCCCTGTGCTCGGGAATGGATCTGATGAGCGAGATAGTCGAGTGTAAACGGGATTTTCCGGTTCCGTTTCTGCAGACTGCCGATAAAGTACCGCCCATTTTGAAGCTGTTGGTGCGGCAAACAAAGCGTCGGATGCCAAGCGAGGATACTGGCGGAATCGATGACTGCGAATGGGCTGATGATGAAGCAGCGTCACAAGTTCAGCGTCGTGAATATTTAACGCTACTTGGACTCTAGCTCGTTGTTCACTGTCAATCCACAGATGCCAGCTTCTCTCAAGATCAGTCTCACTCGACAGATTCCGAGATTGTTGACAGTGGGATCCAAGTCTATTCGCCTCACGAGCCCATGCGGCGACGGTCCCGTGCAGCACATCTGCCAAGACAAGATACTTCGGCTTCCCTGATAGGATAGCATAAGTCTGTCCTAAAATAGCCGCCTGGACCATCGATAATGCATCAGGCTTGCTTTGCGATAAGAACGACTCCCAGGAAGCCAAGATGGCCTTGTTGAGCCGTTCAAAGATTCTTGCTCCCTGAGATACTGCTCGCGATGATCCCACAAACAGACTACCAACGGAACAGAGCGATAGGAACAGCAAAGAGTTTTCAGCAGTGGGCCGAAACGAGGGGGCATGGATCACTGGTAAGAGTGGATGAAACCGATGGAAGTAAAGTTTGGCAAACAGATTGAGCTGTTCAGAAGTTGGAAGTGCCTCATCCTCCATGCGCGGACGAAGTTTCTGAGAAAGACCAACTCGATACGACTCGTTTGCATTTGTTTGATCTTGCCAGGATTGACCAGTCGCTGGAAAGTCCTGACTGGGCTGTTTTTGCATCGATGGTAATAGGTGCGTAAACCATTTCCGCTTTACTGTGTCTTCATCGGCATGCGCGTGGTCAATTTCTGGCACGGAGCTTTGCATAGGGGTAAATAAGCCTTGGTCGGTAGATGGCAGACTAGAATTTGTGGAGAAATTTGGGAGCTGTGCCCATTCTGATATCGTCGATGTGATCGAGAAATCAAGAGCGCTGACATCGAAATCATCTTCAAGAAACCACGTCCCGGACTCGGACAGAGAGCGTGCTTCTGGTGATGTATCAATACCCATCGGCTGTACGAAGCCAATTGTATTGTTTTGGACAAGTTCTGCTGTCACAGTATTCGTTGATAGATGGGCAGTTGGGCTTACTGCGGAAATAGAAGTCATTCCCGGCACTGGCTGTAGCGATTCTGCAGCCGAAGCGGGCGTGAGTATCGTTGGCTCATCGGTGAAATTCCCAGAGGATGGCGCCTCTGATACTGAGTTTTGTGAACCGAGCTGGTCACCATGACTTCTCTCATGGCGTCGAAGGACATCGCTATGAACCAGTTGTGAGTCTGGACAGACAATACTGCATCGGTTTGATTTTATACCTTCGGGAGTATACTTTGCCGCAAATAGAGCACTCAAAAGGCCTCTCCTTTGTATGACCTCGAATATGTCTCGTCAAATGTTCTTTCTTGGAGAAGGTCTTGTTGCATGCATAGCATTTGCGATCCTCTCGTGTTCGAATCCCACTCATCATGTAGGCGTTGGTAGGAAAAGTGGGCTTCCGGGATCTGGCGGGGTCAACGAACCGGAGCGGTACCCCCGTCAAGACATTCAAGAGGACCCAAGTGCAAATGATAAGGTCAATGGCAGAAATAGATAAACAGAACTATTCTCTTGCAACCTTTTGCTCGAACTTGCCCCGGAAATTTAGACACTTTACCCCCGAGGGAGACGGATGGAAGAAGAAAGAAGTCTGGTGACCGCCCCCCGCATTCCCCACATTCGCACCCACTGCTGACATGAACTATACTGAATCCCGCCTAATGGACAGAGACGGAATGGCATAGGGTATGCAGTCATAATTCATTATTCAAAAAGAATACTAGCTAGAAAGCCGGAACAATGTCCCTTCAAGGATTTTTACTTGTTTTCAAAGAATTGCTCCACTCGGTCAACCAGGTCGGCCTTCCTCCCGGCCGACGACCGGCCCTGAGCAGTCAGGAACTCTTTGAGAACAGCCACAGTGAGCTTCGATACCGTCCCCTTCTCATAGCATCGTTTGACTTCCTCGTCGATGCCCCCAGCACCACCTTCGGTCTTCACTCGCTTTGCTGGGGGTCCGCCTGCGCTGTCTGCGCTGTCCTTTGGACCCCTCTTGACCAACGTCGATGTTGTAGCGGCGGTGCCCCCAAACATCTTGTCGAAAGCGGCATCAAGTTGATCCGACCATGCAAGAACATAATCACCAGCACGCTGGGAATCAATTAGAATCACTGTACAGGAAGTGCTTGTGTCTTTCTCACTGGAACCCACCTTGTCGATTTGCCGGTACTTCGGCTTCGTCTTGTCTTCCGGCTCTCCCGGATGGTCTTCGTCGAGAGCTAGGGCCTGTAAGATGCGGTAATGCCATTGAAGCGCTACAGTTTTGTTAGTGAATGAGAGACGACCAGACGAGAGCAAGCATAGTCTCACCTGGATTTGGATACTTTTGAGGCTCGTAAGCACCCTTTGGAAGCTGCAATTGTCCAATGATTTCGCGCATTGCATCGGTTAGAGGGTCCGGGGACACGGCCAAAGTGGACTCTGGGTTCTGTCGCACATCATCTGCGAATGGAAGAGGAATTATCCACATGCCCGGTGGAACCTTCTGAACACCATTCTCATCAATTCTCTCCTCTCCAGCAATCATTGCCGCTACCACCGGTGCAGCATTCTTGCGGGGGATGAACCAGACCAGGGCCATTTTCTTGTCCTTGAGAAGCTTTTGCTGCAATGCCGAAAAGACGCGCGTGGAGCCGACGTAATCTTCTTCGGAGGGATAGATGAACGATGGATGCTTGACATTGGCCCAAATAGGCAGGGCAGACAAGGGCTTGAACCCGATGACGCGGATCACGGGGTCCCCAAAGTGTCTCAATGCTTGCAATTCTTCGGGGGTAAACGTGACCTGTTCACCTCCGAATTTATAAGCTTTGCGGATTTCCGACTTTTCCACCCTTTGGGCTGTGTCATCGGCCATCAAGGTAGTGATGCCCTTAGCAATCTGGGGGGTCTCTCCACCGAGCCAGACATAGCAACTCCGTGCCGGCTCCTGTCGCTTGAGCAATAGATAGCCATTGACAGATATCTTAAAGTTGGGTCCAATTTCCAAAGGAACATTTGAGAAGAGCGAGCGTCTCGGCACGGATCTGGAATTGATGCTCGACAGAAGAGAGTTGAGCAATGAGATACCGTCTCCTTTGGCCGTTGCAGTGTTTGTGTCTGGTTGCAGATAGGCAGGGGCTTCCCCGTTACTGGGAGAGGTTTTGTAGATGATATCCTGGAATGAGTTAGCTTTGTGGAGTCGCTATTAATTAGACCAGCGACATACATCGTAAAATTTGGAGGTGTCAAATTCGTGGTCGGGACGAGAAATTGGGAATAGTTCAATGTTCACACCCAGATCGTACAAATCTCTTGCGCGAACAGTGGCCGCAGATCTCAAAGACTTATTGTCTCCGTGAGGGTTATCATCATCAGTGACGATGAAAAGGCGTCTTGAGAGGAAGTTTGGTGCTTTGGAAGTGAAGATCTGATTGGCACAAAATAGCACATTCGCCATTGAAACTCGCTCCTCCGATGGGATCAGGATCTTCTGAGCCTCCTCCTCATCCTCTGCCAAGGCTCGCAGCTCCTTGACTTCCTCAGCCGATGGGATGTCGAGATCGGTAAAGAGGTGACAATGCGGGTATGAAACATCGCTCCCACGATCTCCATCTTCGTCATAGAACTTGGAAGATTCGGTGCCATAGAGCAAGACTCCGATCATGTCACGGGGATTTGATATGATACGCTGCTGCATCAAATGGTACGCGCATTTGAGGGCGGCAGATGTAGGTGATTCCTGGCCGGGTTTCTTGGTATCCCCGGAGAGACGGGGCTCAAGCATCGAGCTGCTGACATCAATCGCAAAGAGCACCGCATCCTTGACAGCTCGAAAGCTCTATATCACGATTGGGTCAGAACACGCATCTTTATCTCCGATTATGGTTACATGGTATAGTTGATAGACACTCACCGTCTCGTCAACCTCTTCCTCCTCAAAATTCTCCTCGTCTCGCGCGTAGCTGTCGTCGGCCATCTTGTTCTTTCTCACTCTAGAGGACTTGAAGAGTGAAAAAGAGAAAATGGAAACACCAGCCTTTGCGTCATCGGGAGCTGCTGCCTGAGACGCGATTTACGCGGGGGCATCGCGAAGGTCATGTGACCGCTGCCTTGAACTGCTTACTCCCAGCAGGCCGGTGATTGGCTGATTCCATGACTGGTGACCCGCTTAAAGCTTCCCGAGGCCGACTTGTCAGTGGCTTTTGGTGGATTTGCATCTGGCATCTGGCATCCTGTACTCATTCCCAGCTCACACCCCAAGCCCGCGATCTTCAATCGACTCTGGGAACTGACTGAGCTCGACAAATTTGACCATCTTCAGTGTTGATTCCAGCCTTCCCAACCCAGCCATGTCATTCCGCAGTCCTTTCGCAATTCCCCGGCGGGTATGGAGCAGTGCCGGAACCTCCGCCATGCGGCCAATGCCTCGCAGTTGTCTGGCTTTCGGCAGCAACCAAAGATACGGCATGGCGACGGCTGTACCTCCAGTCACACAGGATGCGACAGGGTCGAAAGGTCCCACTGCGATGGTTTTCCTGAACATGGGTGGTCCTTCGACAACGGCCGAGGTGGAGGATTTCCTCGGCAGGCTATTTGTACGTTCGAAGGAATCGCGTTCGAGCTATGACATTTCCGGTGAAGATGAAATTTGACTGACATAATACTTTACTATCGCTACAGGCCGATGCCGATCTCATCCCACTGGGACGATTCCAGACATACCTCGGACCTCTCATTGCGCGCCGACGGACCCCGAAGATCCAGAAGCAGTATGCAGAGATCGGTGGTGGCTCACCAATCCGCAAGTGGTCCGAGTACCAATGTGAGGAGATGTGCAAGCTGTTAGATAAGATGTCCCCGGAGACCGCTCCTCACAAGCCCTACGTCGCTTTCCGTTACGCCGCTCCCTTGACCGAGACCATGTATAACCAGATGTTGGCCGATGGCTTTGGAAACGGCAAGGGAGGTCGCGCGGTGGCGTTCACGCAGTACCCTCAGTACTCTTGCTCCACAACTGGAAGCTCGCTCAATGAACTATGGAAGTGGCGTAACCGTCTGGAAGGAAAGCGTGCTGATAATGAGGTCGAGCCTGCTGGTACCATCGAGTGGAGCGTCATCGACCGGTGGCCCACCCACTCGGGCCTTGTTGAAGCATTTGCACAGAATATTGAGGCGCAATTGAAGACCTACCCTGAGGAGAAGCGAAAGGAGGTTGTGCTGCTGTTCTCTGCTCACAGCTTGCCCATGGATGTCGTCAACCGCGGTAAGTTTTTGAACCTCTCTGGACTTTAATAATTGCAACGCTAATTATACTGTCTACTTCAGGTGACCCCTACCCAGCTGAAGTTGCTGCCACTGTCCACGCCGTTATGCAGCGCCTGAAGTTCAGCAACCCCTACCGCCTCTGCTGGCAATCTCAGGTTGGCCCTAAGGCATGGCTCGGAGCCCAGACTCAGGATACCGTGATGGAATACGTTAAGCGTGGCCAGACCGATCTGATTCTCGTGCCGATTGCGTTCACTAGCGATCACATCGAGACTCTGTATGAGTTGGACTTGGAGGTCATGCACGAAGCCAACAGCCCTGGAGTCAAGCGCGCTGAAAGCTTGAACGGCAACCCAGTCTTCATACAGGCCTTGGCCGATATTGCCCATGCACACTTGAAGAAGGGCGAACCTTGCTCCGCCCAGATGACTCTGCGCTGCCAAGGTTGCAAGAGCGAGCGATGCTTGGAGTCGAAGAAGTTCTTTGCCGGCAAGCAGCATGGTTCGCTGGTCAGGTGAAAACTGAATACTCCCCTCATTTAATACTGTCTCTCCACATCAATTTTCGGGTTATGTACATAGTTTCTGGGGAAATGGGTCAAGGAGTTTTAAGGTCATAATCTGGGCTCATGTACATTACAGCGGATCTTATGGTTCTCCCTGGGAAAATCATAAAACCCAAAGTAAATAAAGGTTCAAACCACTACGATGGATCGATGACTGCATCACTTCCGCAGAGGAAAAGCGGAGTCCGGAGATTCCGGAGTAAAGCGCTTATCAAGAGGCAAGTGGAGTTTGAAGCTCCGGGACCCGAAAGCCTGCTTTTGCTTGATAAGCTCACATTCTCCCCCTCATCCCGAAGTTCCCTGTTGTGGACGTGTGGGCGGGTAATATTGACCGAACCATTGCGTTTTTGCGTTTTCAAACTCTCCATTCCCAACCATGCACTGGTAGCCTCGTGCGATCCCTCAAGGTGTCACATCACCGCCATGGAGAACGAGGAGCTTTTCGCGGGCGAGCCCGCCCTTGATGCACAACAGGAAGCCACAGGTGCCCAACGCTCTGCAGCTGCATCTAAACAGGCCCCCCTGCAAATACACACCGAGCCCCTGCTAGCAGATGACGATGACTGGCAGCAGGATCAGCAACACGAGGAACACATTCGCACTATAGACGAACGACCGCGATGGAGACAGCCACACGTGAGTGTTTTTGGCGGTAAATGATGCTTGAGTATGCTTATCTGATGGCGATGAGGGTAGATCTGGTGGCTCCTGCCGTTCGGGCTTCTTTTCACCTTAGGCTTCGGTGGTCTCGCTGTCCCTAGAATTAATTTAATCATGTCTCTTATTTGCCGTGACTATTTTGCCGAGAAGACATCGCAGGATCCCAACTTCACCTACCTCCCCGTCGTCTTCGGCGAAGATAACTTCCAGTGTCGACTACCGGAGATTCAGTCCCTAGTCGCCAAATTCCAGCTCTATATCAACCTTGTCACCGGTATCATCTCGGCTCTGGTTAGCCCGCGTCTGGGCCACCTATCCGATCGCTATGGAAGGACCACATTGATTGCGCTGTGCGCAATGGGTGCTGTGTTCAATGAAGCCATTACCGCGATTGTCGCTTCCTGGCCGGAAACTATGTCGGTCAATATACTCTTGGTTGGAGCGGTGGCGGACGGTCTAGGCGGATCTTTCACGACCGCACAGGCTTTAATCCATTCCTATGCCTCAGACTGCACGCCGCCCGATCGAAGGAGCGTGGCCTTTGGCATGTTCCACGGCGCTCTATTCCTTGGAATCGCAGTCGGCCCAACCGGCGCTGCATACTTGATCAGCAAGACGGGGGACTCCTTGGTAGTCTTCTACATTGGTCTTGCGCTCCATTCGTTCTTCTGTCTTTCGGTCTACTTTATCGTCCCCGAGTCTCTTTCCAAAGAACGGCAGCTAGAAGCTCGTGAGCGCCATCGCGTGAAACAAGCTGATGCCCCCGACAGCAGTTGGTATTCATTGAGGGCCATCAACCCCTTGAATCTTATTACGCCGCTGAAGATTCTTATGCCTGCTGTAGGTAAACCGAGTGTCTTGTTCCCGAATCGCCGTGGAGCCAGCCCAGCCTTGCGCAGGAACATTGTCCTGCTTGCTGCGATGGATACTGCAGTCTTCGGTGTTGCCATGGGCACCGTCCAGGTCATCATTATATACGCGGAGTACATGTTCAAATGGGGAAATGTGGAATCAAGCCTTTTCGTTTCCATCATCAACGTGGTCCGTGTGGTGAATCTGTTCGTGGTTCTTCCTATTGTCGCCCGCCTATTCCGTACGCCATCTGAAGATGACGGTGTCATACGCGGATCGGACATGCTGGACATTGTCCTTATCCGTTTGTCGGTTGTTTTTGACGTCCTCGGATATGTTGGCTACGCGTTGTCCAAGCACCCATCAGTAATGATTCTCTCCGGTGCTGTAGCGTCGCTTGGTGGGATGGGCTCGCCTACTTTGCAGTCATCTCTTACCAAGCATGTTCCTCACGAGCGCGTGGGGCAGATGCTCGGTGCAACAGGTCTTTTGCATGCACTCGCTAGAGTGGTTGCACCCACTATCTTCAATCTGATCTATAGTATGACTGTTGCGACGTACCCACAGACCGTCTTCGTTGCTCTTGCGGCTGTATTTGGAGTTGTGTTCTTTATGAGTTTACTTATTCGACCACATGGTATGTCTTCCTGTTTCTCTTTTTTTGATTCTTGGAATGCCCCAACTAATTATTCAATAGTCACTCTTGAAGATGAGCCGATATCGGATGCTACTGTTGAGGCCAACGAAGTGGGAGAGAGCGAAGAAGATCGTCTACTCATGTAATCAATCTATGATAGTGGTAATTATAAATATATATGCATCTTTCTGTGTTCTCCATGCAATATACGACTCTGGAATGATATTTCCATACTTATCCAATAACAATGGGTGGGCCCATACTCCGAGCAAGACAAACAGAGATCAGCTGATCTGGCCGAAATGAATCCGGCGGGCGGCAGAGGCCCAACGCGCAATTTGGTGAATTTCCGAAAAAGTAGTCCGCCCGACCTTCTCCTGTACGCCGAAGCTCCAAGTGCCGTCTGCTCCGATCCTTTCATCTTTGTACCAATGGCTCGGCAGGGCAATTAATCGATCTAATTTCCTACCTCCTACTCTCCTCCCTTAAACTCAGGTCGCTGATGGACGACTGGTGATCCCAGCGCGTGATCAGCGACCACGCTTTAACCATGTTCGCCAATGCCGCAAACTCGACACCGGCCGTGCCATCGCGCAATGCTCTTCGAGTCCTCCGTCAATTAGCCTTTGCCGGATCGACAGTTGGCAGCTTTTGCGGCGTTGCAGTCATAACCTACGATGTTCACCGTCGGGTCCGCGTGGCCGAGCAAATCATCGAGAACAAACGGACCTTGCACACCTCCGCGCCGAATTACGATGCGACCGCTTCCGCCCAACGACTGGCGGTGATGATGGAGGCTGCGGAAGCCGGGGAATTCATGGGTTTGGCATCTTTGAAGAATAAAAAGGCAGTCCCGACTGAAGACAAGGTGGAAGCTCTCAATGAACAGACCCTTGTCAAACCATCACCACCGCCAGCAGCCCGTCCAACCCCAAGATGGTTCCAGCCTGGGCAAAGCAACACAAGTATGCCGCCTGTCTCAGATAGCGCTACAGAAATGCGCTTGCGGGCGGAAAACCGATTGGCCTTGGCTCGAGAGGCCCGAGAGGCCGACATTGCACGTGCAGCTGGCGAACCTCCGCTGGAGGATCGCATCCGGGACTTGATTCAGGAAGACCGTGAGATTGAAGCTGCACAATTCTTCATGGATAATGTCCCGGCAGGCGAGGGAGTCACGATATCCATGGACAGGCGAGACCTCCTGCGTCGCTTGTTCGCTGCCAATTGCATGAAGGGAAACATCTTCATTGCACGATCTCTGTTCAGGCATATGGAGAAATTGTCTGAGCTGGATTCAGAGATCTGGTCAACCATGATGCATCTTCTGGCCAAGGAAGGCCACGTCGAATCTGTCGGCGCCATCTTTGAGAAACATCATACCAGACTGACAGTTCCGCCTCACTTGTTGGAAGTTATTATTCGAAGTCTTCTTGAATCAAGGAGGTTGACGTTAGCGAAATCCCTCTTTTATGCACGCATCAAGCATGATGATAATGGGGGCCTGTGTGGTGCATACCTCGATGGATTGTGGAGGAAAACTCGGAAATTGGAACTGCTCAAGACCGAGTTCAACAAGATCCTAACAGCACTTGCTGAATTGAACCGAGGGCCAACTGAGAAGGTCTTCAATCCGATGGTGAAGGCCTACATTGAAGCGGGCGCCTTTGAAGAAGCCGAGGCATTGGTTACGGCCATGCCTTCAGAGTTCAATGTTAAACCTGGATGCCGTACTCTAGGGTTGGTCCTGTACGGCAAAGCCCTTCAGTGCAATTGGGAGGGTGTGATGAATGGGCTGCGTGAAATGCATGAGCTTGGATTCACTCAGGACAAGAAGAGCTTCGCGGTGGTCTTTGATCGCGTGTTCTTGGAGTACTATCCTACACAGCCCGGACCTCAGATTTTCGACTTCCTCATGACGTGTATCAACGAGTTCAAAATTCGACCTGACAAAATCCTCCATCGGCATATACTCGAGGCGGTTGTTGAAAGATGCGATTCAAGCTGCGTGAGAGCTATAAATGAGATGGCCGACGAGCGAAACTGGAACTCGGGTGTGGATCAGTATGAGCTTGTCAGGATCCTGGAAGCCCGTCGTGTGTCTATGCAAGACACACCGGTGGGGATTTGGCGTATGTTGCAGGCCGCCAAACAGCAATACGGATCAGTCGCGACCAACCGGCGCCTGATGGGTACCGACGCCGACAAGTTTTCTTTGCGGGATCATGTTCTGCAGCCTATTCATTCCGACGCCGACAAGACTTTCCCAGAGAGCATGAAAAACCTTGTGAATTCAAGATCCATGAACACCTACATGTCACTAGCAAAGCGACAAGAGCACCATATTCACGCCGGCAATTTTACAAAAGCGATCTCGGCCTTCCGGCAGGCAAGCAAATCTGGACACCCTATTAAACCAATCCACCTTCAATTGGCTGTCACCTCGATACTCTTGGATGGTGGCATGTCAGGCTTGAAAGATGCTCAGAAGCTTATCAAGTCAGAGTGGCCGTACTGGTCCAGAGTCCCGAAAACTCAATTTACCCCACGATTCCCTCGCTTTGTCCCGATTTTCTTCCAACAGATCCTGCAGGTTGAACGAGCTCAGACCCCCGAGTCAACTCTTTTCCAGATGGCTTTGTTTGAATTCTACAAGATCTGCGAGCATACGCCCATGTTCAATGTCAAGCATCACCTATCCGTGTCTATAGCCCGACGCCTAATCAGGGAAGGTCAGAGTGAGACCGCAATCGGAGTACTCACAGCTGTCTACATGTCCAAGTGGCGCAGGTCTCATGGGTTTGACCAAGTGCAACTCAAGATTCTGATGCGTGCTTATGCGATGACTGGCCACATCAGGGGCGTGTGGTGGTGCATGATGACATCCCTCTCTCGCCAAGAGCCAGTGCTTGACGATTTCCTAGTTGAGGTCAAGCGCTTGATGCCCCTGCTGAACAAGCGATACTCGGAACAAGAACCAGAGTCGCTGGAAAGACGCAATATGGCGAAGCTGGAGTTTATCAAGGACAAGCTTGAAGACAAGGCCGCCGGTCGGCCATACTGGAAGGGACAGATAGTCTCTGTCTGTCCCGAGAAGAAACAGAAGAGACGAGCTCTAATTCATACCGAGACTGGGAGGTTGTATGACCGGCTGCCATCCGCCCCCATTTCAAAGATGGTCGAGACGTTCGACGAGGAAATGGAAATGGACTATCTTCAAAAGCGTACGCAAGTTGGCTTTTACAAACTGCAGACTTCTTGGGATGAAAATCGGATGGTCACCCAAAGTCTTGTGCAACCCGAAGAGGCTGATTACCCTTCAAGTTTGCCGAAGAGGAATGCTGCCGTGGCGTGAAATCTCCTTTGTATATAAAAGATAGCTAGATTATGTACAACATGTATATTATGTCCAAATAGATAAGATCTGAAGACTTCGAAGCCTCTTCCAAATCAATGGCAATGATTCTCGTCGTAACTCAATAGGTTGTCTTTCTATAATTTATGTAGTGACTTCAACAAGGGCCGGGATAGAACGTGGTCGACATTCTTCGAAACGAATATTGACGAACGACTCGAAAATAATATCACTATGAATGTTTCCTTCTGATGCGAAGCCACCGACCTAGATTAGAAGGCAGGGATCAAATTTCAAGTTCCTGTATTCTTCCCAGAATGGGGAAGGTAACCTTGCGGACAACCTGAATCATGGGCCTAATTTTCGGGCATGGCGAATCTCATCCATTCGCAAAGAATACCACTCAGGTGCAAGAGAGAGACGAAAGGTTGCCTGATCAATTATACAGCATTATAGGGTTTGCACGGGGTGGCTTAGAATCCCCGCGCGAATAATTTGTGGGGTTTCATATGGATAGTTCACTCAATTTTGTGAATATGGTGGATGCGATCCAACAATGGAAGGTTTACCCCATCGCGCAGTCGATTCAAGTTCGAGTCAATTGATCTTCAAGAACGTGAATTGCTCATTCTTCCAGATATTTCACATCTTCGATATGATATGCGGCCCAATATTTGGGTTCATCCTGCATGCATCTCCTGATCGTTGCATGAGCCCTCGGATATTTAAACAGCCATCTCGCCCCGGGATGGCTTCCTTCCAAATAGATTCATCAATCATCTTGACTAGTTCGGAAAATTCTACACATATACCTTTCTATCCAGACCTTTCATCTCCAGAGACTTTCACACAACGAAAATGGTTGCCGGACGATTACTCTTTGCCAGCATCCTCGCGCTGAGTCAGGGCACCCTCGGCCTGGCTGCAAGCGCTGGTGCAACTGGTATTCTATAAAGTATCAACACCATTTCCGACGAGTGTGAAGCTCAACTCCACGCTTAACGGGTTTATCGACAATGCCCAGATCACGGGGACTGCTCTCAAGCTCCAGGGTGAAGCCTCGGACCTTCTGAAAGACATCAAGAACGGAGCCTTCGAAGCCGGCAAAGTTTCCAGCATCGACCCGGCTGACCAGGAAAAGATCGCCGATGCAATTGTCCCTCTTTCGGAGAATGTTGTCTCTTTGATCAACGGTTTTGTTGCCAAGAAGCCTGTCTTCCAGAAGGCTGTTTTAGGGGGCTCCGCCGACGGTCTGGTCGAGAAGGACCTGCGGGATCTGAAGGAGGCCACGGACAGCTTGGGCCAGACAGCTCTCAAGTCTTTTTCGGGGACTCCAAAAGACAAGGCAACTTCTGTTCTGAAGGAGTTTGATGAGCATTTTGCCAACGCCATCAAGACTTTCTCTATTTAAAGCGCCCGCAAGGGGCTTGCAAGCCCAATAACGAGGTTAACCAAGAGATGTTTGTATCAGGCCGACTTGTGCTCAGGTCTACCAATGCCCCAGAGTATGGAAGTCCGAACTACTGAAGTTTGATACCGTGGTGGTGAGAGAAGACGGAAGGGGTATATTGCCTTGGCGAGATCGTTCGTTTTGTTCCTACAATCCAGTCATTTCCATCCGTTCGCTCAGCTGGTCTTCAAGATCCAGTAATTCATCTCCATGAATTCATATGCAACATGCCAGGTTATTAGGCGCTTGAGAAACCTACTTTGAATAGATACAACACCTAATGACCCTACAACGCAACTGAGAACCGCCCTGGAGACTTGATGTACAAAGTTAAGTCAGGGGTCAGGGTACCCACCCCTTCGCTCTGTTGATGAATGCTATTATCACTTCTGAGTTCACAATAATGTCCTCTACAAATACACCTTGAAGCTCATGGTATGTTATGACAGGGAGGAATCCTATTCATTGATGAGTTTAAGAGCCACCGTTAGCCTCTAACCAAATTGTGGGTAATCTGCAAAATATATTTTCTGATCTCCTTATGGCCCACCATCAACCTTCTCAAGTCAGAAACTCCTTTGGCTGAATATTCCTGGTATCTTAGTAGTGTTTAGTAAATAGACCATCAGATAGATCGGGAATCAAGACGAAACTCACAGGTGGAACGCTATGCGGTAAAGGCGCAAGGCAGCTTGCCACAGCAGTACCCGTGATGAGCATCAAGTGCACCATCAAAGTCGATGTTGTGGCATCCATCATTCGTGCGCCACATGTGAGCATTGAAGCTGTAACTTCCATCGGTACCAGTCTCCCTGAAACTTGGAGAATGTTAGATACGTCCACCTGGTAGTTTGCGGGAATAAACCAACTAGATAGGGCACTTAGTGTTGACGCAAGCATTAAATCCACCTGGCAATGTGCCTGAATAGGACTCCCCAGTGGTGTAATCAGTGAGGTAAATATCTTGGCCATTGCTATAGTATCCACTAGCGTTCATCTCGCCATTGAAGGCGGTTACACGACTAGCAAGGGCAGCAACAGCGCCAAGGAGCAAGGTGAACTTCATTTTGACTGAGGTGAATGGATGACTTAGATCAATCAAACATTATGACAACAAGTGTTCAGAGAGGTCTATTTATATGTCCCCCTATAGGGCAATGTTAATCGAATGAACATATTCTCTTTCTCTTTCGGGACTCCTAATTACAAGTAGACCATTTACTAATGTCTCACCTCATCACTTGCTAAAGTGGCGAGCCATATGAATTACAGGACCAGTCTATTAACTATAAGTAGAGATAACATTTTGCAGCTAAGCTTCGCCCGGGGTTAACTGTTAACAGTCTCTATATGTTGAATCAGTGTTCAATATCTAGACTATTCATTTTTAAGAAATAAAACTATTAAAATTGTGTATAGCGCTACTCAATAATTACAAAGGAGAAACAAGCATTGCTGATTATCGCTGGTGTTGACTGAAGTTAGAACCTCATGCTATGCTAAGCACTGCCTGAACCCTCTAGAAAGCCACACGCCTACTGCCTTGTAATAGCTGCATTTCTCCGCACGTATTGGATGTATTTTCTATGCGCTTATGGAGAGCTGGTGCAGTTCACCTACCGCAAATGGAAAGTGTCTTTTTCCCGCCTCAGCCTTTTAACATGCCACCCCGATCGCTCTATTAGTCCAACGTATGGGGACGCTTAAGAAATTTTTTCTTAATTTAGACGCTTATACAGGTAAGCAAATATTGATGTAACGCCAGATCTTAAATTCCTCCAAACTAGTCAAGATAGGCATAGTACTCCATCCGTAACAAGACCACTATATCGTTTTGCCTAAGCCTTGCGCCTTGTTCTGTTGGCCTATGTATAAGAGGCCTCTGCTTTCCCATAATACTTCTGCTTCCTTAGAGAGATATCTAGATTGACCGATTGACTCGGTTTCCCCTTCTCTGCGTGTTTCCTATGGCTTCCTGTGCGTAGACAGGCGTAGATACGCCATCAGCTGTCATTTTCATATATCAAACCAAATGGATTTACAGAATTGTTGGAATCGAGACACATGGAGACTGCGTTGGCTGCAATGAACATACTGGCTGGCCTGACTGAGTTTCGGCCGGGGTTTCCGGCTTTGGGAATCACTGGAGAATAAGTGCTTGGGGTTACTCTGCTAATAGCGAAATCGTACCGAACTCTTTTTATGGAATCCTACATATTGATAGACCTTTGCTAAGTAACTCTTTTTATAAATCCATAGATGTCGAAAGGCATGTCCGATCGCTTTCTTCATTGCCCGCTGGTCGCTCGGATATCCCGGTCGGGTCATTTTAGCCCGATCCCCACGGGGTCCATGGGTCTGTCGGCAATGTTGACCTACCCACAGAAGGCGACTGGAGGGTCAGGATAACCTTGTCATTTCACTGCGGGGCCGTAAAGGATCGTTTCTTAATAATTGAAAATCAGACAACCCCAGACTTTAAAGTGACTCGGCTTATGTCCACCTTGGCCGTCAATATTGTCCACTTTCATGTTCACGAGCCTCTAGATGCCTCGCGCTAACCCAACACTAGGCGCAGCCACTCGGTTTCGGTGTGCAGCCTGCCCAAAAGAATTCTCCCGCCGGGAAAACTTGATACGACATGCTCGAATTCGTCAGTCTCTCCTAATGGCACGATTATACATGTGATATAGTGCTAAAGTTCATCGCCGGTTCTAGATAACCCTAAAAAACTACACTACTGCTCTGTATGTGGCAAGGAATTCACGAGAAGTGATGTCCGTCGACGCCATGAGGAGATCCACAAGTCTAGGCAGACCCCTCCGACAGGCTCGTCACCGCAGTTGGCAGCGATGGCTCCGGACGGGCTCAGCACGAGGACTAGCGGCACTCTGGACGAATTCGATGGGAGTGAGAGAGCTGGCTCCGCATCCCACAGCATTCACAGGGCTGACATCCCTTTTGGAAGTCCAGGCGAAGACAATGCCTTTCAAGATCCGCTGTCTAGCTGGATGAATCATTCAGGAAATCCGGAGCATGTGTGGTTCGACGATGACCTTGCTTCAGCACTCATGGAGCCGATCATGATGCCAGGCATTCACAACCAATCAATGGATACAACAATGACAGCAAATAATATTGGAAAACAATACGACTTGAACGAAAACATGCAACCGGAAAATGAGCCACAATCACCACCAAACGAAGCATCCGAGGAAGATCGATGGCCATACAGCTGGGATCCAGGCTCTCGGGCTATCACTGCATGCAAGCCTATTCAAATGGATAAAACACATCCGTCAAGGCAAAACCACAACACGCAATTCGATATCTCCACCGAGAGATACAAGGCCCTGAAATCATTTCTCCAGCGACCAGCCCACAAAGGCTTTGACTTTCACTCTTTGCCTTTGCCGGAATTAGGAATAGCGAACGTGTTCATTCGACTCTTCTTTACGCACTTTGAGTACCAGGCCGCTGTCATCCATCATCCATCTTTAAAGTCATCGGATGAATTGCCAGATCCACTGTTAGCGATCATGATTGCCATAGGAGCGACATATAGCCGGGAACGGCATTCCTGTCGCTTTTCAATAGTCTTGATCGACGTGGCGAGACTGAGCACGCAATTAGCGATTGAATTAGACAACAGAATGATGCGAGATCCGATGGTTTTATATGCACTGGCGCTTATTTGCTATTCCGGTATTTGGTGTGGAAACAAAAGACTCTTTGAGCTTTGTGAGAGTCTCAGGGGAACGGTCATCACTTACTGCCGTCATATGCAGCAAATGAGGTTTAGTCCAAATGCGACCGGACCTGAGAGTTCAGTCAATGGCTCAGATGAACAGTGGTACAGATGGATACAGATGGAGACTAAAAAGAGACTCTCATGGGTCATATACGGTCTCGATTGTGTTTTTCCATGCTTGCTCTATCTTCCAGCCTCGTTTGCTCTGGCAGAGTTTATGAGTATCGAATGCCCGTGTGATGAAGAGTTTTGGCAAGCCACGACTGCTCAACGCTGGAAAAATCTACTTGGATCAGCCTCAATACCCCCCACGAGAACTTTCGCTTCAGCCGTCAGCCCGTTCCTTGGGCCCCTTAACTTGGGGCGTGCTTCTGGGACCAATGTTCATACGACTCCATCATCAACCTCATATTCAAACTCTATCGGACTCAACTCCTGGACCCGTTACCTTGTACTGGCCACAATTCAAGTTCAGGTATTCGAGCTTTCCCAGCAGATCACCATGGTCTCTGATGCAACCCTAGACATCGAAATCTGGCAACCAGCAGATGAGAGTTTGGCCAAAGCACACTCCTCAGACAATTCTCGCCACGAAGTCATGATGAGTCCTAGAGTCAGAGATCACTATGCCGAATTGGTCACAAGATGCTCGGCTTCAAGTCCTTCGGGTCCCGTACGAGAGGTACTGGGCTCTCTCGCCATACGCAGGGCCCATCTAGAAAGTATGTTGAAAAATGCATGGAAATCTAAGCCTTGGTTACTAACAGTGAATAAGGTATGTTGTTGGCATGGGAGCAGGCTTATGCCCTGTCGCCAGCAGCCGACGTTTCAGTTTATCAGACATCGAAACACTTTCAAACGATTGCTGCAACCCACCTTCAGATCAGTCGCTTGATGCTTCATGTTCCCATCCTGGATATACAAGATGCGTTAGGGAAGTCGGGGCCGGGTAAGGTGATCCCAGCTATGGCCCTCATGCGTCGCTCCCTCGCAGAACATCCAGATATAGTTGCATCAATACTCAAGCAATGTCTTTCAACAGTGAGCGACTTGCAGTCCAAGCTAGTCAACCACAACGACAGCTCCACGAGGAGTATTATGGAACCTTCAAGTATCATCAGCTGTTTTCTTCACGGTGTCTATGTATGGGCTGTGATTCGTTCATCTGACCATGACCAAGTCATGTATCTGCATGAGCAGATTGAGAGTGTGAAAACCTCGGACACGTTTTCTGCGACTATGAAAGAAGCCATATTATGGCAAACCAATTTGGAATTGCCTCCGGATCATCTTGGAGCCAGGGCAAACCTCATCTTACATTCCGTGGCAGAAGTGCTTGGAAGAATGGCTCCATGGAGTGCTTCGCTCAACATGGCGCTACTCTTGTGTCATCGTGCCAAGGAGCTTATGATTTATTGAAATAGAATTAAATTATAATTATCTTCAAAAAATATCTCCTTCTGCCTGACGAGCGAGATAATCGAGATTTATCTAACTAGAAAATATGGGTTCGGTTTATCCGAATCAACAGGGTTTCAACTACTTTCTTCAAGCTGGGTACCCGATCAAGACTGCATCGCCGCCTTGTGAGTCGCAAACTTACGCACTGGTACCTTTGCCTCATAGAAGTTGTCAAGATCTTCAGTCGACAAGCCAGTAGTATCAGGAACGAGCGCATAGACACCCCAAATGAGCAGGACCGAGCTGCCGGCAAATACAAATCCAGTTCGAGCTCCCAAGTTACCCGAGTCCACGTTATACATATACGGAACGACGAATGTGATGATCCAAGTTGTGAAAGTTTGGGCCATCATTCCGAGCGCCATGGACTTGGCGCGGAGTCGATAGCTGGAAACCTCTGCTGCAATTGACCATCCCGAAGCTTGCATGAAGGCCGCCTGCAAGGAGATCAAAAGGTTCCTGGTATGGAGTTAGCAACAGATTCCTCATTTTCGTAACGGGAGGCTGCCTTACATGAGAATCGCGATAGCCCACTTAGGTCCATCACCATGTTCGTAATATAGAGCCCCAATCACCAAGTTGAACACAAGATTGATAACAGTGCCCCAGAATAGGATGTGACTGCGTCTGAAGTTTTTGAGGAGAATTCCACTGGCAATAATGATAATGATTGCCAGGCCGAAACCGCCGACGGAAATATCGAAGACGTGAATGGCAGGCAAACCGACGGAAATCAGGAAATAGATCGACTGAGACAGGAAAGGCGCACCGCCAAGATTCACAATGCCGAAGAGAAACATGATAGTCAGAGTTCGCTTGAAGTTTGTGCCTTGGAAGCATTCCACATATCGCGCTTTGTTGGCTTGTTGTTGCGAGTTCTCCTCTTCGATAGTCTTGGTCAAGTAGTTGAAGCGTTCCTCTCGATCAGCGCTATCGCTGTACATCCATTCGAACAGTTTCTTGGCACTTTCCTGCTTGTTGTTCACAATAGAGTAGATGGGAGACCTAGTAAAAATTGTTAGCGACTTGGATATGATTCAGCATGTATAGGGATCGTCCTTACTCGGGCGCCAAAGCAAAAGCGATGGTGACGAGTGCACCAACTCCCCACTGGATGGCGAAAACAGTTCGGAAAGAGTGCTCCGAGATATCAGGAACAAAAATTCGAATGACACCCATGGCCAAGGCCTGCATGATGAGAATAAAGATGACTAGTGCCTGTTGAACAGGGGAGACGAGACGAGGAGAAACGATTTCCGAGGCGTATGTTGTGCCAGCGGCCATGGCCATGCCGATTCCCAGACCAGACACAATCTTCCCACCAAGAAGGGCGCTTCTGGTGTGAGCAGTGTATTGAACAGTTGCACCCGCCAAGGAGATGACTCCTGCAATGCAACCTGACCACTTCCGACCGATGCGATCGGCTAGAAATCCAGTGCCAGTAGCTGCAAGGGCTTGCGCCAAAGCCGACATGGAGGTCCATAGTGAGGTCCAGAGTGATGGAAGATATAATCCGGAAGAGTTTTTCTCTCCGAAGTACATAATGAACGCAGGCATCGAAATGGCCGCTCCGTTCACGATCGTGTCATATCCGAACAGGACAGCCGCAGTGAATGGGATGCAACCTAGAAGATTTATTAGACTTTGGTGTTCGGTCTTGACTCTTCTCTTGCTTTGGTCACTAACAAAGTAAAAGCGCCTTCCCATGTCGCTGTATAGTCTCACGGAGGGTCAATTTCTGATCCGACTGGAGGAAGGCCGGTTCGTCCCACTCATGGTGAGAAGAAGATGACTTGACGAAATCATCGGACATATTGATCAAATTCTTGGCGAATGAGTAGATCTGCTCCCATTCAATTGATCGATGGGGAGCCTGTCACCCTTTATGCATTCTCATCTCAAAAACAACCAGCAGAATCTGGGGAAGTCCGGGGTGTGGCTAGACCGGGGTCTTGGGGAAAGTGGACAGTGGACAGTGGACGGTGGACATCTCGGAAAACCCGAAACTGGACATTGCCAGAAGCGGATGTGGATAGTTTAGGAAAACCTTGTATAAAAAACGTGGAATGAGATATCGTGGAAGCATGTGTGCAAGATAAGAAACAAAAATATGTCACCGGAACAGCTAATCCAATCCCTTTCCCTCGATGAAAAGGTCTCACTTCTAGCAGGCAAATCATACTGGAGAACGGCCGGATTGTCGAAGTATGACATCAAACCTATCAAGGTACAAGTCCCCAAAATGTGATGTGATCAGTATACTAAAGCTATAGGCAGTACAGTGACGGGCCTAATGGTGTCCGTGGAGAATCAATTCATGCGTCAACTAAAGCTACCTGCTTTCCCTGTGCAGCGTTGGTGGGGTCGACCTTCAACACTGATTTGGCCCTTAAAATGGGTCAAACCATAGGCAAAGAATGCAATACCAAGGGAGTTGGTCTTCTTTTGGGACCAACTGTGAATCTGCATCGTTCTCCACTAGGTATGCCCAGGCAATTCAGCGAATCAAAACCATCACTAATCACCATCAGGCGGGAGAAACTTTGAGGCATATTCCGAGGATCCAACCCTATCTGGTTTACTCGGGGCTGCGTTTGTCAATGGTGTCCAGTCAGAAGGCGTGTCTGCCTGCCCCAAGCATTTTGTGGGCAATGAATGCGAGACCAACCGCAAGACATCGAATACTATTGTTGATGAGAAGACGCTTCGGGAGTTATACGCATATGCCTTTCAGGTGCTACTCAAGAATTCTACCCCGTGGGCTATTATGACATCGTAAGTGGATCTCAAAGTGACAAGTCTAGCTCACAATACTGAGACTCACAATAGATACAACCTTGTGAATGGTGTGTTCATGTCGGAGAATGAAGAGTTACTTCAGGGTCTCCTCCGCAAGGAGTGGGGATTCCAGGGCGCCATCGTTTCCGACTTTGAAGGAGTTTACTCAACCGTTCCCTCTGTCATGGCAGGCGTTGCACTTGAGCTGCCAGGTTCTGCCCGTTTCAGAGGAGAGCTTCTTCTCAAGGCCGTCCAAATGCGACAGATTCCAGAATCACACATTGACGACCTAGTCAAAGATGTGATCATGCTATCAGACAAGGTTGGGATGAGAGATGAGACAGTCACAGAGCAAGACATTCTCAAAGACGAGGGCACAGCAACACTAGTGAGAGACATTGCCGCAGAGGGTATTGTCTTGTTGAAGAATGATGGGCATCTTCTTCCATTATCATCCTCCAAGAAATTCCAGATTGCTGTCTTTGGCTCTCCGGCTGCCAATCCCGTCATTCATGGAGGTGGCAGTGCGTCTCTTACTTCGTCCTATGTCATTTCACCTCTCGATGCGCTCAAAGCGAAGTTCGGGGAAGAGAACATTCATTATCATCCCGGAGTTCCAATCTTCAAGAAAATTCCGTCTGCTCCAACCTCGATGATGGTAGCACCAACTACCGGACAGCCTGGAGTCGACTGCTTCTGGTACAATGGCTGGGTGGTGGGTGAAAATCTAGTGCATCACGAAATTTTAGAGACAACACGAACGCTAGTCATCGACGCTCGAATCTCAGAGCTTCAACCGAAACACTGCAATCGCATGAGCCTCCTTCTTCGCCCTGAAATGACCGGTCTACATACATTCGGAGTGACTTCCTGCGGAAAGAGTGTTCTCCGGGTGGATGACAAAGTTCTCCTAGAGCACTCAGGATTCGAAGATTGCCGAGTGGAATATGTCATGCAACCTGGAGACTTCGAAGAGCGAGCCGATATTTACATGAATGCGGGATGCGCGTACGAAGTGATCATCGACACCTTATCAACCACTGCGCCCAGTCCATCGCCAATCTTCGACATTACGCCGCAGGCTACGTCGGTGGGATTTTACGAGAACCTAAATACCCCTATCGATCAGAAGTTGCAGCAGCTGGCATCGGAAAGCGATATCGCTATTATCTTCACAGCAAACAACAAGGAGTACGAGTCTGAATCATTCGACCGCTCTTCGTTGTCCTTGTCTCCATTGCAGGATGAATTGATTCGCGCCGTGGCTAGCACAGCTCCCAGATCTATCTTGGTGAATCAAACGGGATCGCCCATCTCTATGCCGTGGATTGATGATGTCGATTCTATTCTCCAATGCTGGTACGCCGGTCAAGAGGTGGGGAATGCACTGGCAGACATTATTAGCGGTGATATCAATCCATCTGGCAAACTTCCCATCACATTCCCTTTGCACATTGAAGATACCCCATCCCATGGCAACTTTCCAACGGACCAAAACATGAGAGTACTGTACGAGGAGGGATTGGAAATGGGTTATCGCGCACGAAGCAAGCCAGCTCCTCTTTTTCCCTTCGGTTACGGGCTATCATACACCGATTTCAGTTCGCAAGGTCTTACTATCAAAACCACTGCTGGTTTGTCTGCCGTGAACCTGACAGTGGCAACGACAGTCAAAAATACCGGTCTCGTGGCTGGTCGGGAAGTTGTTCAAGTCTATGTTGATGGTATCTTGAAAGGCTTCCAGAAGATGTTTCTCACTCCCGGAGAAAGCCGTGTCGTGGAAGTCACCTTGGACAAGTATGCCTTTAGTGAATGGTCCCCCAAGCAAGGATCATGGATTATAGAGCCTCGGAAGTATAGCATTGAGCTTCGTCAAGACGCAAATACTGTGGTCGCTTCAACTACATACAGCGTCGAATCAAGCTTGTCTTGGAATGGGGTTTGAGCCTAGGTTGGCAGATTGCAGTCAGCTGGAACTTTGATATGTGCTTTCATTTTGCCTTAGATTTTTGAACATATGTCAGTGTTTATTTCAGGATGTTGAGCTCTTATTCTTTCTTCTCCCTGTATGTAAATGGCCGCTTGTTAGTATCATTGTAACCTTGTCAGTGTTCGAAGAGTGGATTAGGTGCTTTAAGTACCTACAACCCTTTTCAAACCTCTTTCCAAACCTCTTTCTAAACCTTTTTTGAAATCCCTTTTGAATCCCTTGATAGCCTTAAATTTCTTGAACGACATGATAGGCATCACTTATTTATTGTCCTGCCCATATCTTTATCCAGAAATAAGGGTATGCCTGCCATTCTAGGAAAGAGTTGCGCCGACCTATCCAACGTTGTCTGCTAACCCCACTTGCTTCCTTATTCTTACCCCACCTTCCAATTAACACCCTTGGTTTTATTTAAAGGGGTGTTCAGGGACTGTGATCTTGCAGACAGCTAAATCAATTGCACTTAATCATGACAGATACGTGGGTTATCGTCGGCGCCTCTCGAGGTATTGGCCTCGAGTTTGTCCGTCAATTACTACAGAATGGCCACCACGTCATCGCAGGGGTCAGGAATGTATCGAAGGCTGATCGGCTTCTCGAGTTGAAATCGCATTGCACAACGCCAGAGCGATGCATCATTGAAGAGTGTGATATCACGAATGAAGAAAGTATTCAGGTGAGTCTGTTCAGACCCAATTGGCTGACCAGAAGGATACCAATTATGATAGAAATTTGCCAACAGGGTTGGAGACGCTGCCAAGGAAGGGCTAAAAGTCAAGAATATTGTTCTCAATGCAGGCATACTCCAGTATCCTAACCGTGCAACTGAGCTGTGAGTTCATACCGAGTATCAACCTAGATGAGTTGGAGATGCTGAATATTTGTCAAGTTCTTTTCCCGAGTTTGCTCTCCATTTGCACACCAATACTATCGGGCCTATTATATGTGCCCAGAAACTCGTTAATCTCGACCCAGAATCGCCACCTTCCAAGATTGTATTCATTTCCTCAGACTCTGGATCAACTACTCTTTTCCGAGACGATGAAGATGGATTTGGAGCGTACGGCGCGAGCAAGGCCGCACTTAATCAAATGCTTAGACATATGGCGGCCGAACTAACGCGAAGGGGTGGCAAGTGGAGCGATACCTGCGTTCTAGCCATGCATCCTGGTGAGGTGCAAACGTATGTTGAAGATCCACAGAAAATTCAAAGCACGTGTACTGACGGTATTACAGGGACATGGCCAATATTGATCTTGGTTGGGAAGTGAAAGGCTCTATCCAACCCGATGAAAGCGTCACGGGAATGCTCAAAGTCATCGAGGAAAAGGATGAAACTGGCAGTTTCTGGTGCTGGGATGGAAGAGTAAGTGTTTCACCTATTATATGGGCCTTCGACTCAATACGATCATATCTGACAGTGCATGTTTAGCGACACCCCTGGTGATGAAACTGTAGAAATACTATTTCAGGGAATGGGATGGTTCCTGGAAAGATGGGTCATTAGTTGCAATACGACTAAGATCTTTATACCTCGCTCATCCGTCCCCTTTCCTCTAAATATCCACTGAGTATAAATCGACCGTAGACTTATCTGCATGGGGCAGCGCACAGCGGGACGTTTCCCCACATTCTTCGTTCTCAGGGGAATAGCTGCCCGCTTGGTTACATTGAGCCTGCGGGACCTATTCTCGGATAGTATTACATCTCTCTTTCTTTCCCAACTCTTCCGTATCATGAACCAATTGAAAAATTTGGTGCTTTGACTTGTCTTCCAATTTCTCATTCTCTAACCCATGTCTGCGCAAGATACCACAGGAGCTAGGCGGAAATGCCTTCTCGAAAACGTCCGCGTATTTGACGGGACTAGTTTTAGTGACTGCCAATCAGTTTTCATAGACGGAGAAACCATCGGCAACAACCCAGACGGAGCAGACGAAACAACTGATGGAAAGGGTGGTTTTCTAATACCCGGTCTGATTGATGCTCATGTCCATCTCCACCATGAGGGGCATCTACATGCCCTCGCGAGCTATGGAATCACGACGGCCCTAGATATGGCGATGTGGCCCGCGAATAAGATGAATGGGCTCCGAGGCAAGGCTGGTTTGCCAGATATCAGGAGTGCTGGGTTACCCGTGACAGCTTCCGGTAGCATTCACAGCTGCATGCTGCCCCTTCCTGAAGAAGCATTACTGTCAGGCCCCGAGCAGGCTGACAGCTTTGTACAAAAGAGAATCGACGAGGGATCGGATTATATCAAGCTCATAGCAGACGTGCCAGGGCCCGGACAGGAAACGCTCAATGCCGTGTCTGCAGCTGCCCATGACAAAGGCAAAATGGTTGTGGCTCACGCCTCGTCTTTCACTCCGTTTAATATGGCATTGGTAGCCAAGGCAGATATTATCACCCATGCACCACGGGATAAGTCTGTGACTGAAGAAACTGCGAGGATCATGGCGGGGAAGAAAGTGATCTCCGTTCCGACCTTGACCATGATGAAAGCAGTATCTGCGAAGCCTCCCTGGGTGCTGCCTTGGGAATGATGGTCTCCAAGCCTTCGCTTTTCATGGCCATCTTGAAATCTAAAAGAAGTGGTCAAGGAGAACAGACTTATGAGAATGCAAGGGACTCAGTTACCGCGATGTATCGTGCCGGCGTGCCAATTCTAGCAGGGACTGATTGCCACGATGAGCCGAATTCATTCTTTGAAGTCAAGCACGGAGAATCTTTGCATCGGGAGCTCGAACTTCTCGTCGAAGCGGGTGTGTCTGTACTAGATGCTTTGCGTGCAGCAACAGTTCTCCCAGCAGAGCATTTCCAGTTGAATGATCGAGGTGTTATTGCCGTAGGGAAACGAGCTGATCTTGTGCTACTTCGTGAAGATCCCACTAAGGATATACGAGCGACTCGGAGTATCGAACGAGTATGGTGTGGTGGTATTGAGAATCAGAGTGTTGCATAGTTGATGCCTGATTGGTATAAGATCTACCCGTGTATTTTGTATACTTCAACTATGAATGGTCAACTCTTTTACAAGCCTCCAAGCCAAGTTCAGCTCAGGAAATAGACCATGCATAGAGCTTTGCCTACCATCAAATATATGATAATTAAAGAAACGCATAATACTGTAAATTAAAGTTATGTAAAGATTCAGGAATATCTAAATCGATCATTCTGATCGGATCGGAGGAGATCAACTGGCGGATTGAACCTTTTTCACATGTCACGCCACCGCCCCTTTCCCTTTTCCACGATCGATCGATCAGCCCATACTTCTTCCTTAGTTTTTCCCAACTGCCTCACTCAATCGTTCGACGTCCAATTACCTCCCAGTTTCCACCTTTATAAAGCTTCAAGAATGCCCCTGCGGCCACGGCCGCCTTGTTAATCATAGATCTATTCCCCTTCACTCCTCGAAACCCTCCACCTCCTCCTCCCACTATGACCTCCGCACTCAACGGCCATGCGCCGAAGTCTCGATTGTCCGTCCAACGCCGCATTGAACACCATGAAGCCGACGTTGTCATTGTCGGCGCCGGAATTCTGGGCTGCGCACTGGCTGTTGCGCTGGGACGACAAGGCCGCAGCGTGATCTTGCTAGAGCAGTCTATGAAGGAACCCGATCGCATTGTCGGCGAACTGCTCCAACCCGGAGGAGTGAATGCGCTGGAACGTTTGGGCCTGCGGGACTGCCTTGACGGTATCGACGCGATCGACGTGGACAGCTACTATATCACATACTTTGGCGAACCCGTCAAGCTGTACTACCCCAAGGAGAACCCCTCCTCCCCTCGACCGATTGGAAAATCCTTCCACCATGGCCGCTTCGTCATGAAGCTGCGCGAGGCGGTGTTGGCTTGTCCCAACGTGAAGGTGATAGAGACCAAGGCTACGGGTCTGGTGACGTCGTCGCAAGTACAGGGACAGGTGCTTGGTGTGGAGTGCGTGACGCAGGATTTGAAGGATTGCTACTTCGGCCAGCTCACCGTCGTCGCGGACGGCTATGCCTCGAAATTCCGCAAGGCACACCACCCTCACACACCCAAGGTCCGCTCAAAATTCTGGGGCCTTGAACTCATCGACGCGAACCTTCCCTCCCCGAACTCCGGCCACGTCCTCCTCAGCGATAAGCCTCCTGTCCTCATTTACCAGATTGGTACCCACGAGACCCGAATCCTCATCGATGTCCCCGATAACCTCCCCTCGGCTTCGGTGAAGAATGGTGGTGTCAAGAGCCACCTACGGAACGTCGTCCTGCCCTCCCTGCCTGAGGGAGTCAGGCCGTCGTTTGAGGCAGCACTTGATAAGGGTCAATTACGCTCCATGCCAAATTCCTTCCTACCCGCATCCACCAACAAGACCCCTGGGTTGTTAATCCTGGGCGATGCGTTGAATATGCGGCATCCGTTGACTGGTGGTGGGATGACCGTGGCCTTGAATGACGTCTGCTACATCCGCGAGCTGCTAAGCCCAGAGGCTGTGCCAGATCTGGGAAACACCGCGGTGGTGCTGAAACAACTCTCCCGCTTCCACTGGATGCGCAAGAACTCCTCCTCTGTCATCAACATTCTCGCACAGGCGCTTTATCAGCTTTTCGCCGCGAATGGTATGTCTCTTTACGCTTGACTTATATCTTCCCCACTAACCATTAATCAGATTCCAATCTCCTCGCTCTCCAACGAGGTTGCTTCCGCTATTTCCAGATCGGTGTCGTGGACGGCCCGATCGGCCTCCTTGCAGGTCTGATTCAGCAACCCTTCGTGCTCTTCCGCCACTTCTTTTCCGTTGCCTTCCTCTCTATATGGGTTCTTTTCCGAGAAACACCCATCACACAACTAATCTTGTTCCCATTGCGGTCCTTCATGGTGTTCTGGACAGCATGTGTCGTGATTTTCCCATTCATTTTTGCCGAAATCTGGAGCTGAGGTGTCTACCAGCCCAGCGGGATCTCTCGAAATCAAAGAGAAATCCAAGACATGGCCAACCCCCATCATTATTGTCTCACTACCCCTCATGAACTGAACATATTGCGTTTTGATTTTCTGCAGCGGGCTTTACTGTCTTAATCTTGCATTCTCGCCCTTGTTACCTTTTGGAACTGGGTCATGTTTGTACCCCGTTTATGTGGTTTAATTTCCCTCGCCCGCTTTGCCATGCGCAAAACTAAAAGCGATTTCCCGGTCCTCTCGATAGATGTCCTCTCTAGAGCTGTGAGAGGTTGGGGGGTTCTATTATTGGGCCGATTCATGTCGCCATGTACTATACCAATATCAACTTTGCCACACAAATCTCAAACTTGTATCAATACTTTTCAAACTTGTACATCATAAACATGTATTAGGGACTAAAAATGATCAAGCACACCAGCAAAGCACAAAGGTCACTTATCTAAGGATAGAGTGAAAAGTCATCCTCTCGCGACTCAGTTATCTCGAAGCCTAGAATCTAAGATCCACATACCCCAGAATTGACATGCCTTTGGTAGCTAGAGCTGACCACCCACCTATGACGGCAACCCTAATATCGATGGCGTAATGGGGCTGCTGCAAGGTATAAAGATACGGTATATATGCATCGATTGCGCGTTCAGCCGTGTAACTTTCTCTTTCCCCTCCCCCTTGACTCACTGGAATCTTTTCAGATATTTGACGAGTACTCTGGCTACATCTACATTTGATAAGAGGCAGGCCGATTCAAGGAAAGAGCTTGCCATAGAGCGAACTACCGATCATGGAGGGCTTTGCGCATCAGGCTGCGTTACATGCGCAGATCATTCTTTGTTCACTGACGTCCCTACTAGTAAAGGCAAGGTGCAACTACACACAAAAATCCCAAGTCATCAACTTCCAATTACATTTACAGTCTAGTCTACACAGAAAAAGCAGAGCCTTTTTGATTTTTTTTTTCATTCTCATTGAAAATCCAGGCCAATATCCTCTTTTTGTACAGAACCGAAAAAAGAAAAGATGATGGGGGAAACACCATAACAATGTCGAGCTCATTCCCATTTCCATTCCCACAAAAGCCAAATCCCAAGGGTCACAAGAAAAACCACAAAACGCGGTGTCTAACATTCATCCAGAATGCGCAATGAAAGGGAGAAAGAAGAAGGAGAAGAAGAAAGGAGAAGAAGGAACAGCCCGAAGCTTATCACGCGATAAGAAACTCCAATAAACTTGCAACAGGGCCCGAGGACAAAGTATTCGTGCAGTTGATTCGATTCGATCCTTATCAGTCGCAACTTTGCTTTCGTTGATCATGGAAACGAGAATGAAGAAAGAGAACAAGGAAGAAGACAGATGCCGGACCGGCCAAACTTGGAGTTTTGAGGAATTTTTCCAAGACACAAAATACAATGACAATGTAAGGCAAGGCAAGGCAAAGTTGAATGATGAATATTGCTGTTGATTGATGATTGATGATGAATGATGCTGCGCATATGCCCTAACCGACCTGTTTCCCCATAACACCGGGTAAGACAAAGTGACAAGACAAGTTGGAAATCACAAGAGAAAAAAGACACAGAAAACATTCAAAATGGCCGTTGAATTCTTAGGACAGTCGTTGATAAAGTCGACATTTGCTTCGACAAGGTTGCTGGGTTGCAAGGACTTCAATGATTCCTCCCGTTCGTTCTTTTTTTATTCATTTAATATTGTTGAGACGCCGGTTCTTGAGGCGGTTATTTTTATTTTTAGACGTCGACATAGCCGTGATTGATGATAAGACAGATCAAGACATGACAAGGTTTTATGCTCAGCCGCCTTTTCGCAGAGACTCGTCTGCAGGCAATGGCTCCGCGCTGCCGTTCACGCCATTGCGAGACTCAGCAGCAGAAGATTTAGCACTCCTGCGATGCTTCTTCTTTCCGGTGGTCTGCCACCCGCTGTGGTTGACGTCGTTGGTGCCATTGACCGCGCTACCCGGCTTTCGTGGGGCGTGGTCATGATTTCGGTCCGCCGATGGGTTGGAAGAGTTGTTCGTTCCATCTTGTCGCCCCCTTGCCTTGGGTTTATGACTGTGGTGGCCATGAGCGTGTCCGTTACTGTGACCATGACCGTTACCATTTCCGTGGTTGACACCGTTGGCCTTCTCAGACGCATCCACCCCGTTAGGTCGCCCACGCTTCGAATTAGATGTCTGCTGACGTGGTTCGTGGACTTGATTCAACCCGGAAGCCTTATCACCCGAAGATACCGAGTTCTTCGTCTGTGCAACATCCTTCCCCGATCCGGGGTGCATGGAGCCGTTCTTCTGTCGATCTGGATTCGCTTTAGAGGTTGTCTGCGACTGGGCCAGCTTTTCGGCATTCGACAGGTGAAGGTTCTGCAGACGACTGGCAAGGAGCTCCGGCTGTCCATTCGTCTTCTCCGAGGGAACATCATGACCATTGACGTTGCCTGTCTTTGGCGCTTCGAATGGCATCCGTGTGAAGACCGGCGGCTGCTCCATCTCGAACGGGCCTGGGTCTTGAAAATCTTGCGACAGAGAATCAGAGAAACTGGCAGGGGTGTTGATGCTGTGGTCATCCGAAGTCGACGTATAATGCGTGACGGCGTTATACGGATCGATCAAGTCCATCGGATACTGTGGGCGGGGCTCACTCGGTGGCACTGAGCCATCCACAATCAAAGGACCCCGATCTATAGCTGGCGCGGGTCGCGAGGTTGAGCGCTGCTGTCCTGATCCGGAGGCCCTAAGCACAGGCGTGGGCGTTTGGTCAGCTCGCGCACTCATCCCTTCCGATGAGAACGACCCAGAACGATAATCCTGCTGCATGGGGAGGTAAGACGTATAGCCATTTGGCAAGGCGAGACCCATAGGCGTGGACAACGGGGGCAACATTGCGCTCTGCTGGTATAGCTGCATTTGCTGCGGAGTTATATAATAACCCATCATCTCCCGAGCCCGGCTTTCGTCCACGGAATCGGAGCGTGAGTCGTTGCTGGGAAGGCTGTTCGGTGGCATTGCATTCTCGTCTCCGCTACCCTCGCCACCTTCCGATGGCTCGGGGATCGATTGCTGTTTAGAGGCAAACGAAGTGTCCAATGGCTGCGGGATCGAATACAGAGGAGTGAAAGTTGGGAGGGAGGTTGAATTTTGAGGTCGTGCAGGCTGAGACTGGGCTCTGAGATTTGCCTTTGGTGAACCGTTCACAACTGAGGATCGTCGAGGATTCCGGCGGAGATCGGGGTGAGCATTGGTGGCGGACGGGGATGGCGGGTTTGTGGTGCTGCCCTGAGTCCCGGCGGCACTGACAGAAGCATAGGTAGGACTGGGATAGAAATTCTGTTGTCGGCCTGACGGTGTGAGAGGTGGCTGGTTCACGGTTCCTGACCTTGACCTCGAAGTCTCTTCACTCGTGTATTCTTGCTGCTGTGGCATGGGGAACTGGATGAACGGCTGGCGAAGGAACACCGGTGGCGGCCGTCCGGTAATCAAAGCCTGGTTGTGGAGCTGCATGCGCAGCTCTTGTTCCTGTGCCTGGAGGAGCTGAATCTGTTGAAAGAGCTGATCATGCAGCAGAAACTGAGCTTGTTGCTGCGCCTGCAGAGACAGATCGGTGGCGTTCGCACCATTTGGTTGGCGGAAAGCGGATTTATTCCCAGTGTTGGAAGTTCGACGACCGCCATTGGCAAATCCTCCCCTGGAGTACTGATTGCCATATCGTCCACCACGGCCACCACGACCACCTCTGGAAGGAAGGGAAGGGGTGATAATTGGCCTGGGTTGTGGAGGTGGTCGCTCCCACGTCCGCTCCTCTTCCGGCGGGAATTCAAACTGAGCGCAGCAGCCTGTCAAATCACCATCTGAGGCGTACTTGAACGCTCTCCGTAGCTCCATGTGCAACCCGCGGAAAGACGTATCATCCGCCGTATTGCCCAGATTCCTCGAAGTGTTGAATGGCTCCTCAACACATAGCCGATTATTCACCGACAGGTGCCAGCCCTTGCCCTCCTTGGACACCAATTTTCCCTCGCGTACCGAGATGACATTCTTCTCGTAATCGATTTCGTGCCCATAATACCGAAAGAATTCAAAAAACAACTCGCCAACGGTCTGCTTGTTCTTGCGACCAAATTGACTCAAAGTCTCAAGATCGTCATCGAACGAGTACACCAATCCGTCCGGAGTGGCCCTCTTCTTATGCGGGCGAGCTTGGAGACTCGGCAAGACTGGCGGATTCCGTGTTTGCAAGAAATTGATGATGAGGCAAATCCACGTATATGAACTCAACGTTCCCCCAAGGGCCGCATCATTGAGAATTCGTCGCTTCGTCCAGTACTTGACACACATGGCCAATGGCCGCACTCGTTCATCGACTTCGACATAAGTCCGGATCATACGGGTGTTTTCCAATGCGAGAGTGTTATTGACATTCATGTCACAGGCCAGTTTCAGCTCCGGGTCCCAAATTTTCACAATTGGGACTTTCGCATGGGAGACGCAGACAACTCGTTCCATCCCGTCTGTGAAATTCAAAGATCAATATCAGTTAAGCGCAACTTCTTTGGCAACTTCCGAAAAAAAGACTCACGCTTTGCTAAAACCTCAGCCAATAGGCACACATGTTCCAAGTCTTTGAAGTCTGTCGTGATGCAAATGTCCACTGCATGCAAGTCAGCCCCGAACGTCTCGTATTTTTCCTCACCGCGGCACCCAAAGCCTTTGTTCCTTTGTTCACGTACCATCTGAGTCGCTCGAACAGAGCTTATTCCCCGACGAGCCAAAGACATTCGCCTTGATCTCGTGCCCCGGCCATTGCTCATTAAATAATTTCTCCAATTTTCGGACCAGTTGCCGCCGTCGATCATCGCTTTCAGCCGAGGGTAACAACCGATCATAGAGTTCCATGATATCCGTGGTCAGCCTACGCTCCTCCTCGGAATCAAGGCTCTCTTTCAATCCGTCCTTTTCCTCCGGCAGTAAATCCACTCCGAGGCTGTAAGGTATTCGTCTTCGAAAATATGCCATGGCGGTCTCATATTTACATCCGCCGAGCGGTTTCCGCGCCGACGGAGGCAAGTGCGTGGACTCGGAATGTGTGGAGCGAGGCGAGGTGCTTCCGCGGGCGGGGGACGGCGACCGGGAGTGAAAGGAGAGGTTGCGCGCATGTTGATATGGGGTCGAGGGAAGTGAATTGGACTGCTGAGAGGTCAATGGAGGCCGAGAAGGAATCTCGGACGCGTCGGGCTGCGGCATCCATGCCATGGTGAGTGAAGGCTGGTCCGACGCTATCGGTGAGAGGTCACCAAGGTGGCGGGAACAGTTCGCATTCCCATCGATGTTGGGGACCATATAGCAATGTGTAGCAACGCCAGTGGCCTCGTGTGTCGGACTCGGCGACTCGGTAGAGAGGATTCGATTTTCCACACACCCACACCAACGACTCAAGACAGCCCCTCCGGGTTCCACTTCCAACCGTAGAAAAAGACCAAACGAAATCCTCAACCACACACCAAACAGACGAATCGAAGAAGTTCGAGGGGGAGCAAGGTAGTTGTAGGGGTACAAGTTCTAAATATCGTGGGGTGCAGTCTTTCGTGGGATGTGCAGGTGGAGCAAGAGAGTTGAGGAGGAACTCGGCGAGTGGAGGAATCAATCACCCTCACACGGGAGCGCAAAATTGGGTCCGCAAGACGAGCCACGAAATTGCCCTCGAGGAGACGGAATGAAAGAAAGCGTAAAAGAAGAAAAGACGAATAAATAGTTGCAACCAAAATAAGAATCTCAACCAGGAGCTTGTGAGGAAAGAAACACGGGGCGGCGACTTGGGAGAAGGAGGTCTCGCGGGAGGCGAAGCGTGTAAGTCGTGTGAAGCGTACACCTCGCACGGCCCGATCTTCAGAAAGCCGTTGCCAAAAGGGGAGAACGTGGAGGTGTGTATAGAGTAGAAAGAGGAACCGGCCGGCGTTCCAAAGAGAGGAGAGGAGGAGGACGTTCGAGTTCGAGTCGAGGGTTGTGAGGATCGGGGGTTGAGGGGGGGAGAGTTCGAGGGGATCGTCGAGGGTGCAGGTTGGAGGTTTGGGGAGTTTGGCGGGTTTGGAGGTGCAGAGTAGTTAACAGAGTGACCAGTGTCCGGGCCCCTGTTTGGCTTCTGCTTGGGCGGTAAATCCACACTGCCGACCGTCTGCTGCTACACACTTCCTCTGACCTGCCAATTATTGAATAAATTGGTCACCCACGAGGAGAGAAATATGATGACAGATCTCAATGAGAATACACAATCATCAGCTGAAATTGAATCTTGTAAGATTCCATACGAAAGGGCGCCTAAACTTGGTCTGTCAACCTTTCTACCTGCGACAATCCCGCAGGGACAAACAATATACCGCGGACTCCGAAGTATGCGACGAGACCAACTCAAAGGCTGAAAGCCCAAGAGATGAGAAGACTAGAAGATCAAACGACTAGAGTAATTGGAGACTATTGTCTATGGGACCATTGACTATGGACATAACTCTCCTATAGACTTTATGGAACTTTCTACACACCTCCTTTTCCCCTAATCTCAATCGATCATTCAGACTCGCCGAGTCTTATTCCCGGCCAAACTGAGACCTGACTATTGATGGATCACCCCCTAATGGCTGAATGATTTTTTCCTAAAAAAGGTATCCCCCCTCCTCGAGTCCTCCTCCGACCTTCATTGTTACTCGACCCCGGACCTATCATACTCCCTCTCTCTTACCTATTTTGGCGCCCCTCTTTGAGTTCCCCCTTTCACCACTCCTCAGGAGACGACAGATAGTGCCGGGCTATCCAAAAAGAGCTATGCATGCAGGTACCATTTCATTGATTGAAGATTAGCCCCCGCGGAGAAATTCTTTGCTGGTTTCAATGACCAATAGTTCAATTGGAAATCTCAGAGAAATCGGTTTCTTTCTGATTCGATTGATTTGTCCAGCCCGTAATCGAGTTCGTCTCCAGGGAATTGACAGACATGATATGTATCGAATATCAATTCACCCCCTTTCGGATCGTCATCCTGCAACCCCCCGCGATCCTGCGCGTTCTGCACGTGCTGGACGCGATAACCTAATTCACTTATCGCTCTGCCTATCAGGAAAGTCCAAGTCCTTGGGAGTATGTAGACAAACAAGGTATCCGGCTCTCGTTCTCTCTTAGATTCCCATTCAAGTAAACATCGTAATGACTATAATTACGGTCAATGCCCCCAATCAACGTAACCCCCCCAATGACTCCTTTGTTCAACGCAACCCTAGGGCCCACCTCAATACTTTGGACCCGCCATACATATCTCCTAGCCCGTCGGAAGTCCTATGCGACGCCGAAGAACGTCCATGAAAGAAAACATGCAGCCATTGAAAAGCCTCCTCTACCGCCATGGTCCTCCTCAATCAAAACGCTCTTTGTCACGCTGCTGACCTCATCATTGGCCCAGTTGCGCTTGGGCACCCAGTTTGCTTTACCAACGAGCCTCTTGTCATCTACGGATTTCCACAAGCCATGGATGAAGCATATACGAGTCTCTCATGTCTTCAGCTCGTGACGGAGATGTCCCTCAATGAAAGTTCCATTCATTGTTAAGAACATTATATACTATCACCGCCCTATCAACATCGATCAATGGCGAAGCGAGCCTTGATCCCAGTCCCGGCCAATAGGGGTTTCTTAACGGGAGGAGCGATCTAGCCCCTCTTCCTCCGCGTTGACGAACGGTATGACATGACAGGTTGATCCAGACTCGTGCTCAACTCGAGGTCATGCCAAGCAAATCAGGCTCACGGCGCGGTGATACAGCCCGGAGGGTTTGGAAGCAATAGGCAAGAATGAGGGAAGCACGCTGGACGGATGAATGAGAGGATAATTAGAGTTTCTGGGGAAAGCTGGGCCTCGGGTTTTCCATGGGAGTGGAGATGTGCCGTTGAAGCAAGTCCATCTTTAAGGGTTGGAAGATATGTTCCTGATTATGAAGCCTCTATCTCATTACTAGATTCTATCTCGTCCGGTCGAGTTGTGCGCTTCTTTGTACGGAGGATATGGAAGTCTAAAACAGCTCCTGCGCGCATTGCCACTAGCGGCTTACGCGATCATTCTTCAGTCTGGAAGCACACTAGAAGCATAACTAGAACAGTACAAAAGTATATCCAGGGCGTTCGTCGATCGGCAAAATCAGTTCCTCTTCGGTTCAATGCTTTATGGTGGAGAGGCCAAAGTTGAATCCACTTGCCATTGGTCCCTAGAGAAAAATCTCGTCTTTTTTAAACGCGTCCTGTCAATGGAGGAATTCTCAATCTACCATTCCGCCCAGGTGGTACTCGTGCTCTTTTTGCTTGTCAAATCAAACACGGAGTGCAGAGTACAATTTCCATTACTGCAATCCCGTCCGACAAGAGGGGCCTGCGGACCTTGCGGAAGAATACTGTACTGTATACAATAATGTTGGCCTCGACGAAAGAGCCCCACATCGAAACTCCTGAATTGACCGAGTGATGCGCTGGTCTCAGCACGGGCCAAGGTGGATGGAGATGGGAGGGCCCGGCGGAAGACAAGTCCTGCAGCAGCTTGCTACATTCGGAGTGCGTGGGAGTGGTCAATGGTCCATGGCTGTGCGTGGGGTGCTGCTTCGTTCCGAAGCCCGTTTGGAGGAGCATTGGAAGTACTGTAGTAAGAGTAGTAGACTTAGTAGTAGTAGTAGTAGTAGTAGTAGTAGTAGTAGTAGTAGTAGTAGTAGTAGTAGTAGTAGTAGTAGTAGTAGTAGTAGTAGTAGTAGTAGTAGTAGTAGTAGTAGTAGTAGTAGTAGTAGTAGTAGTAGTACTGTACAGGCAGCCCCTCATGAGGAGGGGTGGAAATTTCTTTTTTTCGATCCTGGACTCCGTACAAAGTACTCACGCACTCAAGACCGAGTCGAGTCACCTTTGATTCCTTGTTCATTATATTTCACTAGCTCCCCTCTGTGTACTTCATTCGATTAGGTGTATTTGTTTTATTTGTTCGATCCTACCTACTATTGCAAATTATGCATCGCATCGCATCGCATCGAGTTCCTAGGTACTATGGGAGTAATCTTGACACTTGACAGGCTAGACGCAAGTGTAGAGTCGCCGCCTTGTACATTGCAGGTTCACCATCGTCATCGTACAGGACAGACACGGCGCAATTGGTGGTGCCGGTCATGCGGAGGAGGGAAAGGATGACTGGGGTCGGTAATTGCTTATGTAGAATTCCGCAAAGTACCTCAGGCTCTAGGTTCCAGGCATCTTCTCTTTTTGTCAGCAATTGATTGTCGATGTGACTGGCGGGAATAAGGCGTAAAATGCGGCTTAGGCGGTTCTTGTTAACGCAGTCATTTCCCGGGTAGATTGACGATGTCCCTTAGCATCGAGCTGTAGCTTTGTATGTATTCCATACTGTTTATCCAGAAAGCAGGTGTTTTGTCGAGGAGAAGCATAGCTAAGTACAGTCATGAGCCATGCTCCAAAGGTGATCAGGATTGATATATGTAACTATCGTCGGTTGTCTAGGGCCGAACCAGGGACAATGACAATGTTCGTATCCATCGGCACAGTGGGGAACACCCAGCAAGAAAAAAAAATCACCCACGACACCCACAGCCTCGCATAGCCCTAGTGATATACTTTCCGTCCTGGGGAGGCTATTATCTCATTATGCACAAGCAGGAAAGTGTAAGGGGCAAAAAGGGATGATAGTATGTACAGTACTCCCATCTGGAGTATGACATCGAGGTTTAAGCCAGTCCGGAACTAAGATTGGAGTTGCACAAGCTGGATGGATACTCGGACGAATCAGACTCGAGCTGAGGGTCGGACACCAGAACGAGGAAAGACACGAAAGACACCAGAGAGCAGGAAAAGACGCTTAGGCACGCGCCCCGTGCCCACATTGCCTAGGTGTGCCCACATTATTACTCCCCCTGGTCTGTCCCATCTCCAATCTCCGGTGACCGGCCCCGGTCGAGGGCGAATGGGGACTGTTAGGTTGCCGGGAATTGCCGTAGAGGGCGACGTGGAAGGAAAGGAGGAGGGGGAGGCTGTTTTGATGTACTACTCTGTCCTTGGGGAGGTAGGAGTACTTGAAGATGTACCTCATAGATGGTATAGGATGGAAATGATGTAGTTTCAGTAGGTCAAACAGAATAGTTGAAATAGCTCAATAGAATAAATACTGTGCGGAATGGTTTTCAGACAAGATCCACCCAGTCCGTCTGTTCTGTTCTTGTGCGACTTGATCGCAACAAAGGCATAGTTACTACACTGCAACTATACTTGATGTAGGGTAATTCAGGTCCTCTTAGGAGCATCTGTCATTTCCAAGTGGTTGTTAAATATGAGTATTTCTACTTTGTGGTCTGATCACTACTCTTCTTGTTGAATTAAGGCCTATAGTTCTTGGCCTATCCATGAGAGTAATTAATAATTCAAAGGTTATAGTTAGTTAATCTATACTCTTGCAGTACATTAGGTACCAAAGTAGGTTATTCTCGAGTATTATACATCGGATGACTACCACCTTCTTCTTCTTTCCTCTTCCCCTCCTCGTCCTCCTCTTCCCCATCCCATCTGCCTCGTTAACTCGTGGTAGTTTTATTATCCCTCAAGGCCCTGTTTCTGTAAGTACCTTAACAACTTTCCTATTTTATCCTCTCTTGTATATTATTTCTGGTTTCTCCGGGCTGCTCCCCTAAACCTCAAAAAAAACCCGCCCCGAACCGCCGAGACGAAAAAAGAAGAAGTGCGGCACACCAACGCCCGAACGAGAGAGAAGACCCACGGCTATTTTCCATTCCCCCCAATTTACCAATTTAACTCCATTTCCCAAGCCCTCCCTCTTTACTCTGTGTCCTTGTTGTCGTGGGCATTTCAATTTACATCCTTGTCCCTGATTTCTGTTTCTCTTCAGAAGGACCATCCAATCTTACTTTTTTTTCTTCTCTGCCTACCAACAGGTCGCTTCTACCCGGACGGATCAACTTCTTCGCCGCCCCCTGAACGTCCCGGCCCTCCGCGAAGACCCTCGCTCTCCTCCACGACTCTTCCTTGAACGGCCATGTCTTCGTCCTACTACGAGCCGCAGGGCTGGCAAGCTCCTGCTGCGCGCCAGGTCTCTTGGGAACAGCCCGTGCCGCCCTCCCGGTCAGGTATGCACATATTCATCGCCAATTCGGCCCGCACCGCAAAGGCGCCAAAAAAAAACCTCGCTGACTCTCCGGCTTGACAGGCTCGAGCTCCGTTTCCCAGCGCGATGATAGCCCGGCTTTCTCCTCCCAATTTGACGGTATGCTCGGCCTATTTTATTCCCTCCTATTCTTCCACCCCGCGATTGTGCGTTGGTTTCCTCGGCCGAAAAAAAGAAAGCGGTTGTGTTGGGATACATCGGGCGGCTGCCGAGGATGAACGTGGCCAGATTTGCGACGAAATAAACCAACTTGGGTCGAATTGATGAATTTATGCAATCAATTCACAAATGGTTCGGATGATGAATTTCGGGCAATTCTGTGCGGTTCCTGGGAACACTAGGAAACCAGGAATTACCCATTGCGAGAATTGTGTGTGAAACAAGATGCTGACGGTGTTTTTATTTCTAGAGGTCGACCGTGCGATCGACAATCTTGTCAAGAGCGGCAAGCTGTGGAATGCTCCTCGCCGGGACTCTATGCCCATGATGATGGGCCGTCCCTATCCTGAGTACGGTAGGTGGCCGACTGCCCCCAACCGTCGAAGGTATTAAAAGCCAAAAAAACCTCCTGTGCTCATTACGTCGCCCGACAGACCCGCGCATGGGTGGTGGCCCCCAGCGACACCATTCAATCAGCGAGTTCGACAATACCCGGTTACACCCATCAGGCAACGTGCAGGGCTTCTATGCCTCCCAGCGGTACCAGGGCCGTCCCAATGAGGTAGAGCAGATGATGCAGGCAAAGCGTCGGATGGCGGCACAGCGTGAACGGGAGCTCCGCAACTACCACCAGGAGCAGCAGTACAACCGAAGTACGTGGTAGCTTATCAACTTTTTTTCCCTTCATCATGATTCCCCCCGTCATCATCATCCTTTTCCTTTCTCTCTTCACTGCATCTATTATCATGTATTGGTCGGTCCTGTATAATATGACTTTTTTGGTGGTTCTTCTCTTCCTTTTCTATGCATCGGGTTTTCCACCCTTTGAAAAGTGTGGCCACTCTTTTTTAATACGTTCGTTTCTTTCTCCATAGGCCTCCTCGCCGAAATGTCCGCAAACAAATCCGATCGTTCCAACAGCCCGGCGGCTATGAGTGAAGACAGCCGCCGTGACCTTATTGCTCGCCAGCACCGCGCCTTGTACGGCAACGAGAGTCCCGCTTTCCTACCCCCAGGACCCCTGTCTGATGACCACAACAGGGCCGACAGCCAAGCCACCGGCACTCCTTCCTCGGCCGCTCGAGGCTCCTCTCCCCGTGGAGTTGATCCATTCGGTCTGACTCAGGCCGGTGGTGCTCCTGTTGAGGGGCAGTCTCCATCCCGTGCCAACAGCACCTCCTCACCGAGCTCCGCCATCAACGCTGGCTTCCCCGAACAGCCCGGTACATCTGCATCCTCGCCCGGAGCTGCGGACTCGCCTTCGTCTCGCCAGGGTGCCTCCAAGCAGTCCATTGGCTCCGTCGGTCCCATCGGCTCGCGTCCGGTCCCTGGCCAGGCTTCTGCCGCCCCAGTCTCTAACCCAGCCCTGAACAAGCAGCGCTCGACGACACCTCTGCCATCCCCACTGGGCTTCGGTTTCACCCCCAGTGAGGCTGCCGCCGCCGCCGCAGGAGACCGTTCTACTTCTGCTTCCTCCAACCCAGCTGTGACCGCGACCACTAACGCCCAGGGTCCCAAGGACTCGTCGGCCGGTGTCGGTCTCGGCTGGAGCAACAACGGCGGTGTCTGGGGCTCGAAGAGCGGACTTGGCGTACAGGCCTCTGTGTGGGGCTAAGCGTCCATCTTCTCTTCCTCTCCCCTTGTCATGACAACCTATCTGATCCTGCTTCTTGCTTCTACTTTACACATTCACCTTTTTTGGGCTTGGCGTGTTTTTTGTGGCATGCATTTGCGAACTTGGGGGTTATTTTCTGCTCTTGTTTTCTTCCATCTTTCTGGCTCTTGATGTTCCTCCTGCGGCGTTGTGCGAGGGAAACGGGCTTGTCCATTTTGCTTCGGGGTGCAATACGGGGACTTGTTTTGTCTGTTTTCTGGTGCTCCTCGGTACATTTTTTTGGCTTGGAGCGAGTGAACGGTTTTGCGTTGAGGTTTGGGTTTGGATTTTGGTTCGGTGGGCGCAATATCCTGACTGGACTTGGACCGGCTCTTGGGGGTCTGTTGGCTTTTTTCTGGCTTTCTGGTCCTTTTTGACTCTCTCTGCCTCTCCTCACTTTTTACTTCCTTCGGATTTGTTTGAACTTTGCGTGATTTTCGGTTTGGGTATATACCGAGTTGGCTTGGGCGGAAGTGGAATTGGTGCTGGTGCTGGGCTGCTACTTACCGCGTATCTGTCTGGGTGATGAGGGGGTATTTTCTCTTTTATTTCTTTTCTTTCCATCTCTTTACTGGAGTCTGTTCGGATCTATGTTGACTCTTCGGTGTCTTGTGGTGGGATTGGATCTGGATGCAAAAAAACTTTATCAACAGCAACAAAACGGGGCCGGCGAATTCGTTCCTTCCATACCTTACCCCCTTTGGACCTTATCCTTTTGGGGGGTTTTCGTGTCATCTATCGTTCTGTTTTGTGTCTTGATTTGTTTATTGTCTTCTTCTTGGTGATTTACTTTCTCTCATCTGGTGCCCGTGTTGAAATGGTCGGATAATGGATGGCGCTTCTCCTGAATCTCGAATCTCGTCTCATTTCCCGGTGTTCTTTCTTATTTTCAGTTTTTTTCTAATGTAAATGGATTGGATATGGATTTTTTTTCTTTTATTTGAACTTGTTAATCGTTAATATTCTTCATTCTAATCTGTCTGTATTTTGATGGGATTGTTCGAGTTCTCTCAATATTCTGAGGCATATAGACACGATTCCACTTTACAGTTAGTTCTTCAGTCTTTGCCCAGGTGGTGATTAAAATCAAATTCATTCCCACCTCGAGGTAGGTACTCAAGAAGGCAGATACAAAGGCAAGGTTACGTAGCGGCAGAGAATCACGAATAGATCAATTCATTCCATCTCATGACTGTTCGTATATTTCAGATCAATCGTCGAGTATATTAAGCAATTACACAATTAAGCATTAAACACGCACAAGCCATTATAGCCATCAAATCAACTTCCGGAACACATCAGCCGAGCTAGTCATACAGACCCAGTGTAAGCCCGAAAGCCTGCAAAAGGCCTAGTAAACGAGCCTCTTGTACCGGGGTTGACCTCTGCCCATCTCGAAAGTATGTACTCCTACCTGCGACTCGGGGCAGACAGACATCAAAGCAAGCTATGAACAACGAATCTCCGATCCATCAACCACTAAGGAGCTTAGACAGAGCTGGTGTTCTGCGCGGGCGGGCGCTCGGGATTGTGGTCCTGAGGGTCTGCACCAGCAGGTGTGGCATGTTCGATGCGCTGCTTGGCCGTGAACAACCCAGCAACACCATTCTCCTGGTTAGCACCCAGCCAGGGCTTCCGGGCCTCAGCCAGAGCCTTACGACCCAGGTAGTAGATCAACTGGCCGATGATGATCAGAACAAAGGCGATGGGGTACATCCAGTGGATGTGGTAGTGGAAGACCTTGATGCCGATGCAGACACCCCAGAAGTTCATGGTAAGCAGAGAAATGTTGAAGAACGCAGCAGATGACAGGCGGAACATCAGCGGGGCCAGACAGTAGAAGAGCGACAGGCACAGCGTGAAACCGGTCAGGTAACCACCCACTTTACCGTCCCAGACGGAAGTGTGGTAGTTGCTGCGCTCAAAGATGGCGCTCTGTACACCGTCGATGATGCATCCGTAGAGCGACAGCTGGCCCAAGACCTCGTACACGGGCTTCTTGCTAACAAAGTACTCCTCCGCGGTGTTGGTCAGGCCGTAGAAAGAAGCACCAAGCAGCGCGAACAGGTCACCCTTCAACTGGTGACCGCTGGAGATATCGCCACCGTTGGTACCGGTAATGTGATCCGAGGCGATGAGAACACCCATGCCACCAATGCAAATGACGATACCCGCGATCTGAGTGATATGGTAGCGGACCTTGAGGAACAAGAATGAGATAACGACGACGACCACAATAGCCCAGAAGTTGATCAGCTGGGCGCTGAGCATGGTGGTGTACTGATAGGCCAGCACGACAAAGTAGTTGCCCTCGACATCGCAGAAAGCGAGAATAATATATTTCCAGCCGTCAGTGTAGATCACACGGAGCCAGCCCTTGAATCCGTAACGGTATATCGTGTAAGGCGTGAAAATGCAGGTCAGCACAATGTAGTTCAGCAGCGTCTGGAACGTGGGGATGGCCCAGCCTTCCTCGCCCAGAAGCGTGGTGAAGGTGCTAGTGGAGGTGTTGGCGATGGCGAGCAGTTGTCTGATCAAGAGCAAGTTAGTCTAAACGTCTCAGTTTGATCGCACGCACTTCTGCTGCTGGTTTGTAGTACTCACCCAAGAGCCAAGACAATGTAGAACTCCTTGGTCTTGAAATACGCCAAGAAACCCTTCTTCTCCTCGTCAACCTTATCCGCCAGCACGACGGGAGTCTCTTCCGCCGTGGCGGAGGAGACTACCGCGACCGAGGCATTCTTCGGCTGCGACGAGGACGACACACAGTCGATCGAGTCGGCCGTCTGAACGGTGACCGGATTCTTGGAATCGGACATGGTCACAGAAGGTGGAATACGAAGAAGAACAAAAAAGCGGGGGGTTCCTGCAGGGCTCGAGAGCTCAAGACGCCGAATCACCGAATGCGGTAAGAAAAAACCAAAAGGGGAGCTTTATAGCCAAGGACGAGCGCAAAACTCCCAGAAGTCGCTCGTTACAGGCAAACACCGGTTCGAAGGTGGTGGGAATAGAAGGAAGAAGAGAAAAAGCGAAGAGGCGCGCAAAACTCGTAAAAAAAAGCCGAGCATGGCGCCAGTCTGGAACCTTTCCCGATTGGGGAATTGTCGATAAGAACCTGCCACGCCGGGCTGAGAAGTGACGGTAACCAATGATAATACACATTAAAGTGGGGCTAACCACAGACACAGACTCAGTTTGGTCCGTGCTGATGAGCGGGAAGGTCCGACTTGGTAAAGTTGGTTTGGGCTGGGGAGGGGCGCAACTCAATAACTCAATAGCAGGGGAGAATGTTGGAGGACCTCGGTAGAAACTTGGTTCAAGGTTGAGAAGATGAATGTTTCTCCTGACTCGTAGTTTGGAACCCACTACGAGGTGGTCATGTCGTGGTAGGACGGCGGAAGTCACAGAAGAGGAATGGAAGCTCTGCCGAAGGTTAATTGCCCACACCCCGGCTTCTCCGATGCTGTGGTTTGCATTATTATGCTAGATTATCTATATCGATTTTACATCTCTGTAGGGTTTTATGACTCATTCTAAAACGAATGATGAATCAATACTGATCCCTCGGTGGAGATGCATGTAAATATCTAGCTATCGAAGTGCTCTTTCTACGTGAGTAGAGCTATGTCAACGTAGCCAAGCATATAGGGATGTTGCGATAGTGCATAGCTGGGTAGAACATACAAACTTTGTATGCGGTTCCTTGCGGTCCGCCCGGTCGATCATAGTAGAAAAGAAGGTTCTTCGAAGGTGTCAATCCATATCTGTCATCTGTATATACCTCGGGTGCTAAGAATAGGCATAGTTTAACATAGCTTATATGTGACATTCCTTCCTAGCATTGACGCCGCCCTTCTAGCGTTATGCGCAAACAACAACGTGGTGGCCCCTGCAGGGATTCTGGAAGCCCTGATGATATTTCCTTCGATGCTCTTGTATACTATAATATAGGGCCTTTACTCTGATAGCGTATGCGATAGACTAATTACAACTATACGTGGCACTGCTATATGGTTGATTTATTGTTCTTGCTGTTATCCCGCCGGTCGCGTGTTGTTGCTGCCACTTTCGTGGGGCATCATCCTGCTCCCTAACAAGCTCCTCGAGAGAATAACATCAACTAAATCACTTGTAATCGAGAGAGAAGAACAAGTGCAATTGTGTAGAAATATCCTCATTCAATGCTATTAGCCTTACCAATCTTCAAGTCTCGGAGAACCTGCCGATAATAAACATCCACCCGAACTGCCCTGGCCGAGGCCCCCCCCATTTTCTAAAGGTGGGCCCTCCTGCCCTTCCAGATCATCCCATTCTCTCTTTACCTTAGCCTTTTTCCCTTCGATCGTCATCCCCTCCGCAGACTCTTTCATCATCTCCACCCTTCCCCTTCACAACCACCTCACCCTCCACCCCCCTCCCCCATCAACCACCACCACCTATCGACCCTTTCTTTTTATCATCTGTCTACGCTATCACCCCTCCCCGGCGCACGCTCATTCTGGAGACGCCCGGAGTGACGTGCAGTCCCCTTTTCCCTGCCCGATGATGGCGCTGGAGCTACAGCCGCCCGACGGTCGCAAACGGGTCAAAGTCTACGAGCTGAGGGAAAATGACTGGTTCGATCGGGGTACCGGTTTCTGTACCGGTCACATCTCTGGGGTAAGTCTGAAATTGTCCTTCATCCCATCGCCTTCGCGACGAGCGCATTCATTGCCTGTTGCGCCCGCCGTTCGCTCGCGCGACTCGTTTTCACCCGGGCGCGCAATGAGTCGAATCAGCCGCAAACCCGCGAATCCTGCAACCCGACACTCCCGACTCGTCGGCAACTGGGCTAATCATTTCTATGTGCTTTTCTTCGGCCTAAACAGGAGATACCGCGAATATATGTCGAATCCGAAGATGAACCGAATCGCGTCCTGCTCGAGACCAAGATCACCAAGGACGATGGCTATCAAAAACAGCAAGGTTTCTGTCCCACTGTACCCGCCGGGTGGTTTCACCAACGAGAAAAGGCATTTGGACTAACTGTATCACGCGATCAGAGACGTTGATCGTCTGGACCGAACAAAATGGCACGGATATGGCACTGAGTTTTCAAGAGGCCGAGGGTTGCGCCGTGATCTGGTGAGGAAGAGAGACACGTTGGAACTTTTCCCGCGCGGAGAGTTGAAGGCTGACTGCGAGGCGATTTTCACCAACCATCTAGGGAGTTTGTCAATTCCGTACAGCAACATTTACTCAGCTTAGCTGCCGCCGACGATGCTCTTTCCGATGACCTCGAAAGCTACCAATCCATCGTTCTCCCCGCCCCGGAATTGGGTAACCTCCCCGATATTGAGCAGATTGTCCGAGCTGCCAGCATGACACAAGCCGGTCGCGACGCGCTATCGAAATTCATCATCCGCGACGAGTACATTGGTAAACTGGTGCCCTTAGTAACGATGGCCGAAGACTTGGAGAGTCTGGTGGATCTGCATCGCCTTTGCAATATCATGAAATCGCTGATTCTGCTGAACGACAACACCATCATCGAGACCGTGGTTGCCGATCAGATTATATTGGGTGTAGTCGGAGCTCTGGAATGTAAGCACACCTCGTCTTCCACGGATCTTAAAAGGATCTCATTGAGGACCCATGGCTAAGCCGGACCCTTTTCACAGATGACCCCGAATTCCCAACACACAAGGCGAATCACCGGCAATACCTCGCAGACCAATCCCGCTACAAAGAAGTCGTGCCAATCAAGGACCCGCTGATTCGAAGGAAGATTCGGAGTACCTGGCGATTACAGTACCTCAAAGATGTGGTTCTGGCTCGCATTCTCGACGACCCGACCTTCTCCGTTCTCAACTCCCTAATCTTCTTTAACCAGATGGAAATCGTCAACCACATCCAATCAAATGCCCCTTTCCTCCGAGAACTATTTTCCGTCTTCGATCCGAGATACACCGATACTAAGCGCAAGGACGACGCCGTCCAATTCCTACATCAATGCGCCGCGATTGCAAAGAACCTGCAGGCCCCGTCCAGGGCCCAGCTATTTGCCAACTTCATTAGCCATGGTCTGTTTGCAGTCATTGCCTTTGCCGTCAAACACCCAAACCCGGCGATGCGCACGACGGGAATCGACATCCTGGTGGCACTGCTCGATCATGACCCTGTGATGATGCGCGGATATATGCTCAAGGCTGTCAACGAGAAGAAGACGCCCCTCACCGACACTCTGATTGATCTGCTCCACGCAGAGACCGATCTGGGCGTCAAAAACCAACTTGCCGACGCAATCAAGATTTTGCTCGATCCTCAGATACCCCTGCAGGAACCGCTGGCTCGGGCTGGTCCCGATTACTTCAAAGTCCGCTCGTCCAATATTCTCTCCGACGCCTTTGTCCAGCAACATTTCGACGAATCTTCCAAGCGGCTGTTTCAGCCGCTCAAGCAGATAGCTAATCGCGCCTCCCGTAAGTTTTGGTGTTCTGTCCAGACACGCAGAACCGGTGGACTAATTTCTTGCCAGTTAATGACTTGACGTTCCAAGAGGTCACACTCTATTCGCACCTTGTTGATATCCTCACCTTTTTCGTCCGTCAGCACCTTTTCCGCACACGCAATGCGATTCATAGCGAATCGCTCGCTCCTCGGGTGGCTCAGCTTCTCACAGCTCCTCAAAAACACTTGAAGCTGGGTGAGTACTATCCAAGGCTGACCGCCCCCTGATCCCTAAACATCCACTGACCCATTATGCTTTGTTTAGTTGCCCTCAAATTCTTCCGTACATTGATCAGCCTCCAAGACACCTTCTACCAAGCCCTCATGACGCATAACAATACCTTCGGCCTGATCTTGGATATCGTATATGAAACCATGCCCCGCGACAACCTACTCAATTCTGCCTGCCTCGAACTTTTCGAGTTTATCAAACGGGAAAATATCAAGCCATTCATCCTGCATGTGGTGGAGAAGTACCGTGAGAAACTGGAACATATCACCTACGTCGACACCTTCCAGAACCTGATTCTGCGCTTCGATCAGATGCAGGGTTACGGTGCGGAGGCCGACTCGACGTTGTTCAGCCAGGATGACAATACGCCGCGACGGATGCCATTGAATGGCCAGCGTTGGCAGGGCGTGAAGGAATTGGACGCTGCTGAAGAGGAATACTTCAACACGTCCGATGACGAGGATGAGGTAAGCTTCGCCGCCATGTTCTATTCTGGGAGACGTGTTGACATTCATTATAGTGGACCCAAGAGAATCGTGCAACTCTGGCTGTTGGCGTGGCTAATGGGTCGGCGTCTCCAGTGGTCAAGCCGCTGGTTGATTATCCTGACGATGACGATGATGATGCCATGGACACCAAACCCGAAGAGCTTGCAGACCAACCTGCAGAAGCTCAGCCATTGACTGTGGGAGATATTCAGGTTGAGCCTTCTCCAGAACCCACAACATCCGAGGCTGGATCACCTACAGCGCAGGCACCACCTGTTCCGGAGCGACTGGCTGAGAAGCGCCGACGTGAGGAAGAGGATGAAGACGAGTTGGTCAAGCTTGCTGCAGGGCCCAAGCGCAGAAGCTCGACGAGCAGTAATTCTGGAGCTGGCTTCCTCAACCGAAAGAAGAATCTTTCCATTGGATCAATAGGCTCTGTTGAAAAGGGTGGAACTCAAGGCGTGCTGGGCACTGTCACCAGCAGCGCACCGCCCAAGCGCATTGCCATCAACATTGGTGCAGTGAAGTCTTCTATTCCAGACACTGCCACTTGCGGGGAAACCATCTCCAGCGAAAGCAACGAGAAGGAGAACCGAGACGACAGACAAGGCGATGAGAGTGGCTGATCACGACGCCTCTTTCGTACTTTGCCTGTGCAGTCAGGCGATACGATGCTATTCGATGATATGATCCCCTAGGGCTCAGCAGTCCCGTTTGACCTGTCTCGTTCCCTCAACCCTTTTCACCTGCATTTGTTTTTACGAGCTAGATACCAGATACAGCGCGGGATATTCAAATCCCAGTGTCCTTTCTTGAGCCTTCTACTCCTTCTTGCCGTACCGTGCTGCTCTTTTGGCGATGCTTTTTATTTCCCCTCCCAACATTCGCCTTCAATCCCTCCTTTCTCCTCTCGATCTTCCTCTCTCTTCACGCCTTCATATTCATATCTTCAGCCGTGCAGCGTGATGGCTTTTCATACCTATGGTGTTGTATTTCTTATTTTCGGACGGTGTGATCATGGGATGATCGAGTGATGTACATTGTGTTTCGCTCTGCCGGCGTCTTTCTGGGCAAATGGATGCATTGGATCCGGCTGAGGCCGTGATACCAATTTGTTTTTTCTTGTTATTTGGTTTTCTTTCTTCTCGACTTCCTTATTTTCCACCGAGCCTTTTTGTGCTGCTTTGCGGGGTTAGAATTTGGGCCTGGTTGATGGGATGGGATGGGATGGAATAGGATGGAGCTTAGGTCCACGTTATCCTCTGGATTGGGGCTGGAGTCGGGGACTGATGCAATTCATGTGCATTCTTCATGGTGACTGATGTTTTGTTGTAGAGGTGTATGTACTTGGGTTCATCCGTGGTGGTATTTGAAGGCTATAATGGCGTAAGGTGGTGGGTTATAAGCTTATAAGCATGTAGGCTTACTTGAAAGCTTTGCCCTGCCATGCAGCTTACAGCAAGCTTATTTGCCAATGCCTAGATCTTGGCTCAGGCACGGATAAAGTACGGCTCAGGTTGAACGCTCTACTATGTTGTAATAAAGAGGCAGTCCGGCAGGACACCTTGCCTAACGAAACTTCCGCTACAGCTTTTCGGACAATGGGGAATGAGGGCCACCTTGGAGATATCCATAGTATTATTTTTGCCACTGTATTGCTCTTACACCTTCGAGGTATGCAAAACAGGGAAAATCAATTGGAAACCAGACTACGAATCATGTGATTCGGGTTCCGATACTTGTCAAATAGAGCCTAGTGGATCCATCCTCCTTTAATGGTTCAAATTCACATGCCCCGTATAATCAACTGCAGGATCCCGTGGAGAATTACATACACGAATCCTTCGACACAACATCTCGAATATGGAAGCTCAAATCACACCAAATACGTTCTGCACATATACCGCGCTCCCGAAAGATGCAACGACAACGGTGTTTTTCATATCCGGAAACCCGGGGCTAATTGGCTATTACCACCCATTCCTGTCTTTGTTGGGGAAGTATCTGGCGAAGACAGGCGATCAGTCTAGCATTGAGTCGTCTATCCAGATTTATGGATGTAGTCTCGGTGGATTCGAGGTTGATTGTGAGAACACGACAAGTGAGAATGAGCCTCAAGATAGGAGGTCCAAGTTATACGATCTGGAAGATCAGATCGTCTTGGTTCATGATAAACTCAATGCGCTCATGAGTGTAAATGCTTCTTCCACAAAGAATACATCTGGATCTTCGGCTAAGCGGAAGGTCATTCTCATGGGCCATTCTGTGGGTGCATATATCGCGATGGAAGTTCTACGACGACACCGCGAGGCAAATCCTCAATCTGAAACTGCATCTCCAAGTTCATATACAGTGGACTTTGACATTATCGGTGGCGTGATGCTATTCCCAACAGTGAAAGATATTGCGCATTCTCCGTCGGGCCAGAAATTGACGGTTCGTTTTACAACCATGGATGGATTGTCCCTGCCAAGATTGTCGTTGACATTGGTATTAATTTTCATTCTAGACTCTACTATCATTCGTACCCCATCTAGCACTAATAGTGAGCTTTTTCGCTCGGATACTCACCACCCTCCTCCCAACTTCAGCCCTAAAATCCCTGGTCAAACTGGTCATGCACAATCCACCAAGCCACGCCCTCGACACGACAACCTCGTTCTTGAAAAGTACTGGTGGTGTACGACAAGCACTGTAAGAACAATGTCCTCATTCATCCTCATAACCCTATCCTACTGTAACATCCAATCTCTGATGGTAAAACAGACACATGGCCGCCGACGAAATGCGCACAATTACATCCGACAAATGGACAGACGATGTCTGGGGCGTTGCTCATGCGCGTGAGCCCCTTACCAAGCTGTTTTTCTACTTTGGTCGGAATGACCATTGGGTTGCGGAGAAGACGAGGGATGAGATTGTTGCGGTGAAGGGGTGTAAGCATGGGGATGGAGATGGGGGGTTGGGACCGAGGATGTTTGTTTGTGAAAAGGGGCTGCCGCATGCTTTTTGCTTGAGTAAGTGTTTTTATTTGGCGATGAGAGTTGGTTTGAATACGGTGTGGCTAATTGTGGGATAGAGCATAGTGATCTTATGGCTCGGAAGGTTGCAGATATGATTCGGGATATTGGGACGGCCTAAGGGCGGTTTAGTGTGTCCTGGATTGATTGATATTGGGAGGAGTGTGCGAATGCGAATTGGGAAGAATAAAAGTAGAACTAGAACTAGAAGTAGAGCTGAAAAATGGAGTTCCAGCTCTTGCAATGGGTATCTCAAGCGACCTTGCATCTCCCCATACATCATCCTTTCCACCAGACAGAATGTAAGAAAAAGCAATATGTGATGCAGAAAACCAAAACCAAGTCATGCGCCTGTCGTGCTGGATTCTGTGCTGAACGGCCCAGAAGGCCGATATTGAGACTGAAATCGTGGATCAACGTCAAATGAAAACTGGCTCTTACTGTCCCTGTCCATTACCCTGGTAGGCAAATCCCGCTCGGCGGAAAAGGTCGCCGAGGACATCTGATTGCGGCTGAGGTGGAGGTGGTGGTTGCTGATGGTGTTGAGGCATCATCGAATACCCCTGCGGTTGTTGATAGTGCTGGGGCGGGTACTGCGGTGGGTACTGCTGAGGCAGAGGCTGTTGATATTGTTGCTGCGGAGGCTGTTGGTACTGCTGCTGCTGTGGTGGGGGTTGCTGATATCGCTCCTGCTGAGCTTGTTCCTGCTGCTGCTGCTGCTGCTGCTGCTCCACTGGACCCATATGATGCGCACGTACGCTCCACCCATCATCTTGGGCACGTTGCTGCCCAAATAGATCCTTCAACGATATTTGACGCCCCATGGGCACACTCGCCTGGACCTCTTGCAAGGGAGCTACATGAGTCTCAGCTGCAGCTGCGGCCGCGTGTAGTCCATTCTGGCGAATAGCTTCCTGATGCTCGCGCGCCATCTTCAAGCTCTGTCCTGCGTGCGCCGCGCACTCGCGAATCTTCTCCGCGTTGATGGTTCGAGCTTGGGCTGTTGAGTTTGGCGGTGGCTCCGAGTAGATCCAAATACCGTAGATGCGTAACCCGGGGGCGCCCGTACCATTTGTTTGGCTAGCCTGTGGGTTCGAGGGGTCTGCGACGCCGTTCGTGTCGGTCTCGTCCGCCTTAAGAATCACGTATTCCTCCGTCAACTCCACATTGTCGCCGTCCGTCAGCTGCAGGTCGAAATTGTTGAGCCCTCGTCGGTTCAACACAAATGCAGTGTATCGCTCCTCGCCGAGGCTGCCCTGGGTCAACTGGCAGACAAATAGCGTGCCTTCCACGCCGTTCTTTTCCCATTGCCGCGTCGTGGGGCTGAAGATGTACACGACGGCATATTGAGCGAGGGAGAGGATCGAGGTGATGTCGGGGTTATGGCGACGCAAGACGGAGAGGCTTATCTCCTCATTGGTACGGGAGGGTGGTGCTGGCTGCTGGTGTTGTTGCTGCATGTCGGAGAAGTAGGCGGCGTCGGATTCATAGTCGGTGACCTGATTGTGATTGGGGTAGTTATTATTGCTGGGATGGTTGTGGTTGTTATTTCGCCGAGGTTTGCGAGAGTTCATGATGGAGGAAAGGGCGGTGGAGGATGTGGGAATGAGAGGTCTGGACAGTTGTGGGTTGGTGTGTTTTCCCTTTGACAGGCTGAAGATTTGGAGGTGGGCAGTACTGAAAGGTGGTGAAGGAGGAAAGACTGGGACCGATTGCGGGCATATCGTCATCGGTCTAGTCCCATCGAGCTCCCCTCCGCCTCCCCTCCGTTTCTCTTCTACCTCGGACACCATTCTCGACAACTGTCGCTACCTCGATCGCATTTTGTTCTTTGATCCCTTGGATATAACCTGGCTTGATCTTACACTCCTCCAAGCCTTTTCAATCAATTTGTCCAAGAACCTACGTGATGGCGCTACATGCGCTCCGGATCCTGCCGCACTAAGCTCCGCCGAGAGATGACCCCTCGTACACGAACACCTCCACCAGTGCACCTCTTTCCTCCGATTACCCCATTTTCTGCTCAGCTTAGGCGTCTTTATATCTGCAACGGGGGCTCGGAATAGCGCCTTGCATCTTCCCGGATTTGAGAACCGCAGGCGACTACCCGCTTGGCCTTCTCTATATATCTCGAACACATATACCCTGTCGCATACACATTTCCAGCGCGTACAAATTATGCGACGTAGCCGAGCTACTGACTGACACGCCAATCAACTATCTTCTCATCACCAATGTCAGCCCAAGAGCAGCAGACGGCACCCCCTCCCGGGGCCTACCCGCGGGAACATGCGGCCGAGGACGTCGAGGACATTGACAACCCAGGTCTCGATTTACAGTCCTTGTCGCGTGCGGTCAAAGCAAGAAAGGCGGATTATACTCGCCGGCAAACCCTTCGAGTGAAGATTGGTACGTGGAATGTAGCCGCTATCAACGGTACCGAGAAGGACATTGGAAAGTGGTTCGTGCAGGGACAAGGTGTCTGCGAAGAGCTTTCGGGCTTGAAGGGCTCAGATTTCCGCCGGAATATTACTACGGGTGGAACATCTTCCCCGAGCGACGAGGATGATCAGAAGAAGGATGGTAGCGCTGCAGCACCCTTCCAGTGCAGTCCGGAAGAAGTTGATCTCTACGTTTTGGGTCTACAGGAGATCGTCGATGTTTCCTCTCCAGCCGAAGCTCTTCGACCCTACACGGACCCTGGACCGGCAAACAGATGGAAAGAGGCCGTTCACCAAGCTCTTCCTCCTGGATACCAACTCGTTTCTGAGGTCCAGCTTGTGGGCCTTTTCCTGACCATCTATGCATCACCTGCAATCCGCGATAGCATCTCTTCAATTAGCAGCACAAGCGTGGGTACAGGGCTGATGGGATACATGGGAAACAAGGGTGCCGTTGCGACTCGCATAGTGATAGGTGAGACCACACGCCTGGTCTTTGTGAATTGCCACCTAGCAGCCGGATCAGATAAAGGGAGTTTGGAACGGCGTAACTGGGACGCAAGCCAAATCACTCAGCGTGCCAAATTCGAGCCAGTGGATTCGGAAGACCGATCTCCGGAAGACCAAGGGGACAGTATTGGTGATGAGGACTTTACTTTCTGGTTCGGCGACCTCAACTATAGGCTCGAAGATATCCCGGGAGACGATGTGCGACAAGTTCTTGCTCGGCACACGGCCAACTCGTACGATGTTGCGTTGCAGGGGAAACAAGCCAAGCCTGGCAGCCGTCGAAACTCCAACGTCTCTGATTCTTCATCTGAAAATCAACCGCCATCGCCCTCGCGGCCCGAGGCAGAAGAATCGCTAGAACAAGTAACCGAAGAGGGGATTGACCCCCACAATGATCCCGCATCTCTACAAACCACCATCTCATCTCTCATATCTCATGACCAACTGCGAATCCAACAGAAAAAAGGCACTGCCTTCCACAGAGGGTGGCGAGAAGGCCAAATCTCCCTTTTTGCCGACGTATAAATACGATGTCGGAAGCGTGGCGTTGTTTGATACCAGCGAGAAACGCCGTGGTCCTAGCTGGTGCGATCGAATTCTTTATCGCACGCGACGCGACAAGCTCAAGCATGAACAATTGGATCGGGAGGCCGAGGAAGCCCGAAAACGAGACAAGGAGATGCAGGCTCGTGGATTGGACAAGGCAGTTGCTGATGACAATGTGCTATTTGATTACGACCCCGAAGTTGATGGTCAAGATGGTTCCGTGGAAGGGGAGGGATACGACTCGGATGCGGACGGAGAAGATTACCCCCCGATTGCATCTGAAGATGGACCGCCAGAGTCAGTCCATCAGCATCATTATTTATCTCACCAGGGTATTCTTTCCTCGGATCATAAGCCGCTGGACGCTATCTTCACCCTGACCTTTGATGCTGTCAACCCCAGCCTCAAAGCAAAGGTACATCAAGAGGTAGTGCGTGAGTTGGACAAGGCCGAGAATGAGGCCCGGCCTGGTCTCACGGTCGTTGTGGATACCCATGTCGATGAAGATCGGTCAGAGCGAGACCCCAATACTATCAACTTTGGGGATGTCAGGTACGATGTTCCGGTTCATAGAAGTCTAACCGTTGCCAACACAAGCGGTGCCCCTGCGACCTTTTCGTTTCCTGAACGGTCTAGCCTGGGTGATGATACACCAAATATGCCCCCTTGGCTGGATGTCCACGTTCAACACATCTCCGACCATGAGCCAGCTTCAGGAGAGTCATCTAAATCTGAAACCACTCATACATTGCATCCAGGAGAAGTGGCCAATATCGACATCTCGGCCCATGTTCGCAGCATTGAACATGTCCGTCTGCTCAACTTGAAGAAAGCCAAGCTCGAGGAGATTCTGGTCCTCCATGTGGATAGTGGCCGTGATCATTTCATCTCTGCATGTGGAAAGTGGCTGCCAACTTGCTTTGGGTGCAGCGTCGATGAATTGACTCGTGTGCCCGAGGAAGGCGCTCGCTATCTCAATGGCGAAGGTGTATCAAAGCGGGAGAAGGATGCCAATGAAGTGCGACTGTCAGCTCCTCGCGAACTCTTCCGGCTGACCGAATCTATCTCCGAGCTGACGGAACGCGCCGTGGCGGAATGGGGTATGACGAAAGGTGAGTCTGAAAAGGAACAGGCGCCATGGACGAAAGAGCCAAGTGGTGCTGCATGGCCATTCCAGCCGGATACATGGACTCTCACGGATCGACATGAGCGTGCAAACATGTTGGCTTCTGTTCGAGAATCTCTCGATACCAACGGTTCTCTGTCGAGCATCTTTGCACCAGAAACTCCTTCTCTACATAGACTAGAGATCCTGTCCGAAACCCTCCTTAGCTTCCTCAACTCGCTAAGCGATGGAATCGTCACGGCGACTATCTGGCAGCAAATGGAGCAACATTTGATCACCCGCGAGAAATCAAAAGGCCCGCCTCTATCATGGGAAGAAACCCAAGCATGGGTCCTCGAGAGTCTCGCCTATTCGCCAGCACATAGCGTCTCCTTCACCTTTGTCACTTTTATGCTCGCCCGTATCGCAAACGAGGTAGCCCCTGTCCCCTCCACCGCACAATCGATCTCTACTGCCTCAAACACCAAGAACCAAAACACCTCCTCCCAAAGCTCTACGGAGTCCACAAACAACCAAGACAAAAACCAACCTTCAGACTCTATATTCCCAACACCGCCCACCCCGGCCTCAGCCGCAGCGTTTGTCTCTGCAGGAAGCTTCCGCCGCAAGGCCCGTTCGTCAGAGTCTGATGTCGCGTCGAGTAGTACGGCCAATGCGGCCGCACGTCGACAGGCCGTCGAGGCGGCGTTGGCTAATATCTTCTCTCGCGTCTTGATCTCAGCGGCTGTTCCTACCCCGGCGAAGGATAAGGAGCGACGTGCATCGGATGAACGGAAGAAGAGTATCATTGAGCCGTTTTTGAAGATGATTGGTGTTGATGAGCGGGGTCCTTCTGGGGGTCGTTGATCCTCATTTGATGTTATCGTTTTGGTTTGTTGTATATTGTTTGTATACTTGGCGGTAACCTGATGGATTGATGGACTGGAGAGGTTGGGGCCTGCGGGTTGTCAACTGGCGGCTTTTTTGGTAATATTCAGCCAGGACAGGCTTATAGAATTGATGTTTTTGCAATGTGTTTCATGAGAATATAAGTTGAATTTCCAGATATTATGTATAATCCCGGTATGCTGTATCCGGTACCTGTCCTACCTATCCATGTTGGGCCTATACCGTTCCCTCCTGACCAGGGCCATAACCCCATAATAATGATGGAACGCCAACAATAGATATCCAATGAGCCCAAAAATTATCCGCAAAACAAAAGGAAAAAGAAAAAGACCCGAAAAGAACGATCATTTCAATGAAAGAAACTTCTATAGCTGCCAGACTCGACCAACACGACCTACCGCGCAGCACCCCATATAGATTCAAATGACTGTTGCTGTTGTTGTTGTTGTTGCTGCTGCGGGTTTCTCATCGGAGAAGCGGCCGGTGCTTTAGGGGGTAGGCCTTGCGATGCATACTTTGATCCAGTCACCGCTCTAGACTTTCCTTTACTATTTTTCGACCGCGGTTGGGGACTCGGTCGTTTCAGACCAAGTATCCGCTGCGCAGCGAGTAAACAACGACTAACAATACGACCGGGGAGGTTGAAGATAGACAGGGCGATCTGAGCAGGGACGACAATACAAGCGCAAGCCCAATCAATGAGAGTGAAAACATAGCTCTGGCGACGATTCAAGCTAGCGCGCTGCGCAGCCGCCGCGAGGGCAATTGCGTCGCGAGTTTGCGCCTCCAGTTGTTGGAAGCGGATATCCGTTTGGAGGGATGTGAGCGCGGTGCGCTTCTCGTAGCGGCGCACTGCGCGATTAAGAGCTTCGATGTCTGGGTTGAGGGCTCGCCGGGATTCTACCACGGCCTGCGTGATAAGGTCCGGACTATCCTTTGGATCCTGGGAAGATGACGAGGCGAGACGGGATGCAGCGGCTTCGGCGACGTGCGCTTCTAGTTCTTCTAGGCGCTTGCTGAGATCGCGGACTTTCTCAGCGTTGACTTCTTCTTCGTGGCTTGATGATACGACGCGTTGGAGGTGGAGAGTACGTGCTTGCCCGAGCTTGAGGAGGTGGGCGAATGGGCGTATCTCGGATGCAAGGAGGAATATGGTGAGGTTATAGTTTGAGACAAGACCTTCCGAGGGTCGGGATAGGCTAGATCGGATGGCGTGTAGGAGCCAGGTGCCAATGACTGGAAAGACGAAGCAGGATCCGAGGGCTATTAGCTCGTGGATCTGGAGTTCTTTGATGGCTTTTGCTTCTGCTGCTGCTCGTAGGTGCTTCTCGCGTTTTTGGTTGTCGTGATGCGAGTCTATGGCTTCTTCGTTCTCATCAACCTCGGCGAGTTCTTCTGCGACAGGATCAAAGCTATCACTCTCTCGTTGAACCGCCTGTGCTGAGCGATACCAGTCCCTGCATACTTCGTATTAGCTACTAGTCTCGAATTGTGTGGATGGAGATTTAATGTTTGGACATACCATGGCAATCGAACGGACCAATTGAGAAAAATAGCGGCCAGCACTAATAAGGTCACATCCGTCACAAAAGAGCTTCCATCTCGAAAGAAAATTCCCGCGATAGCAGGTAAAAGCGCCAACACTAGCGGTGCAGAATGCCAATGCGATTCCTCCGAGGCAATGGGGTCATCTTGATCCCTAGTGACTCGCGGGAGAAACAAGTCATCAGTGGACGATCGAATAGAGTTGCGCGCCTCAGATATCGAGTCAGACAAGGTTGAATTGCGGCGCTGCGCCCAGTCAGTCGAGTGGCCTTCTATAAAAGTGGCGGCGCGCGCAGGGAGGCCCCGGCGGCGGAGCGAGCTGGCGGCTGGGGTATTGCGGGGCGGAGGTGCGGAGGGTGGAGGTGACGATGAAGAAGGCGAATCGGCCATCATCAGGGAGGGAGAGACGGTAGCATTCAAGGATTAAACACAGGAGGAAATGAATCAGGGAGACTGTACCAACGCAGGGGGAAGCAGTAGTTCCTCCGAGAGTGTGGAGGAGTTCGTCGCGCCAGTTGGGCAACTCCGAGAGTGACGTCGCCTTGAGGGCTCTAAAGTATCGAAATTATGGTATTAGCAATACAAGCTGGATGAGTCAGCAGAGTTGATGCAGCAGTTCAGATACACCATGTCAGCCTATCTTGAGATTAAACATGAACCTTGTGTCTGAGAATTATCATTCCAAATAAAGTTATGTTGTAATATTGCTACAGTCCTGTTCGGAAGCTGTAATTGAAGTCTTAGTGCTCTACGAGAGCACTGCTAGGTGGTACATTTGTACCTCGGTAGAATAGAATACGTAAAATACAGTATCCCCAGGCCATCAGGCCCCAAGGCCATCCAAATCAACTCATCCTCATCAACCTTCCTCTTCTCTTCATCGACGTCGGACCCCCTGCCAACAAGTCTAGACTTTCTAGCCATGTCTAGTCAACCAATTGTGGAACCCAGGCAAACAAGCCATGATTTTTCCCACCTGACAACTAAGTGGTCGATCCATGGAGATCTGGGCGAATCCGTGGCCCTGACTGGCCGGATGGGTGGGCCCCCACAGCTCTATACAACCCCCAAAAGGGTAACGCTTCGTCTGACTCCCCCCAAAGCAGCCAAAATAAAACTCTTTCCTGCATGGACATTTCTTTGATCTCAAGCTGCCTGCTAATTGAGCCAGCCAGCTATGCCTACTTCAATGGCCAGGTTCCGCCGCTGTCGCGGATTCGCATTGCGAAGACTACCGCTGTTCCTAGCACTGCTGCCAACTTACTATCTATCTGTACTGTGCCATCGCATATACTCCCCTTTTGTGCGAAGATGTCTTGAGCCAGGCTACTATCCAGCTCTATTCAGCCCCCAAACAGGAAGCTCCCTGTCTCTCAGAGTTCGTCACAGGCTGCTCCTCTGAGTAACCTTGGCCCCCTGGGTAGCCTGATACACTTCTTAAGTGCCAGCAGATGGGTTTCCCCCGAGCAACTATTTAGTTCTCAACTTTCTTCCAAAACCTCTGCTTTTAATTACAGGGACCATTGCTTCGTTGCTTCAAAAATTTGTGCGCTCTTCCATCTTATTCCCACCTGGAACCCGAATATCAAATTTCAAATCCACCCAAGTTCAGATCCCTGCCGTGATTCGTCATGGATGATATCAACAAGCCCTACCCAATGGCCACGGTCGTTCCGGTGCTGTCATTCTTCTCCATCGCGGTCTGCATCACGCCGCTTATTCTGCATGCAAAGAACCGCAATCTACCCGCCACGAGTCTCATCTGCTGGACGATTCTGCTGAATCTGTTCAACATCATCAATGCCTTTATATGGCCCACAGACAATGTCGACTTGTGGTGGGATGGCGCTGGCCTTTGTGATGTCGAGGTCAAGCTCATGGTTGGTAGCTATGTTGCTTTCCCTGGTGCCTTGGTTGGCATCTTCCGCGGCCTAGCAATTGTCCTTGACACTGCGAGTGCCACACTAGTCCCGAGCAAGGCCCAACGCTGGCGTAAACGGGCTGTGGAATTGCTCTTCTGCGTGGTGGTTCCTGTCATTGCGATGATCACGCATATTGTGTGGCAGAAGAGTCGGTATCTACTCTTTTCCATTTCGGGCTGTGTGAACAATTTCGACGAGAGCTGGGTGAGCCTAGTGCTGGCATACATGTGGCCACCCATTATCTGCTTGATTGCCGCCTACTATTGCTGTGAGTGGTCTTATCCCTTCTGGAATATTACTTGAAGCTAACAATTTTATTATGCTCCAGGCTTGGTGCTCATTCGCATGCGCAAATACCGCAGTGACTTCAGTCTCATCCTGCGTTCCGCTAACAGCCGCATGAGCAAGTCCGGCTTCCTGCGACTCTTCTTTCTTGCTTCTACCATGCTTCTGGCTATCTTGCCCTGTGAGGGGTATGTTGTCTACTATGACTTGATCCTCTCTCTCCCCTGGCACCCATACTCATGGAGTCGAATCCACGGACTGGAGTGGTACCAAATTGCAAAGTATCCTACCCAGGGAGTAGTCTTCTTTGACCGTTGGACTCCAATTGCCGCTGGGTTTATGCTTTTCATCTTCTTCGGCTTTGGCCGTGATGCCACACGTATCTACCGGATGTTCTTCTGGCGCATTGGCTTGGGATACTGCTTCCCCATCTTTGCTCGTCCCGCCGACTCCCAGGCTTCTGCCTCTCACACAGATGGCTCTCATTCAACCACTCTGGTTGGTTCTACCATCAGTCGAGCCAAGCTACTGTTCAGCTGGCGCAAGGGTTCAGCTTCATGGTATGATGTCTCACCCTCGTCTTGTTAATGCATTTGACTAACATTCTGATAGCAGCGGAAATGACAACACTCAATCCTCCCACCCCGATATCTACAGCCAACTCGAGAAGGGCTCCCGCTCGCGATCCCGCTCCCAGCATAATCGTCACCGTGGCATTCCCAAGCGTCAGTGGTTTCGCTTCCCACGGTCTATCTCTAAGAACAAAGACCACCGCGACGAGGACACCCTACTGGATGACCTGTCTGGTGCCTCGCAAACAGTCTGCACTAGTGCCTGGGCTGGTAACAGTCAGAGACGCGCGAGCAGCGAGATTGATGTTCCCGCTTCGTCTGGCAGCAAGGAAGGCATCAAAGTCAAGCAGGTCATCACCCAACAGAGTCAGCTGGAGATTTAATCGGCCCATTGAATGGGTCTCTGCGAGTCGCTTTCTGAATTTGGACATTTTCGTGCCTAGTGCCATTTCACGGTGTACTTTTAGATTTTTAATCTTTGTTATTTAAATCCTTTTTCTGGGCATGATTCCTCCTCTAGTAATGTACAGATAGGGCTCATAATCACATCTCTTAGAAATCTTCGCAGAATTTCTAAGCTAGATTTTGTTACATTACCAAGCCACCGCCACTTACTGTGTTCATGACAATGCACATAGGAACGGAGTGTATTCAGGGTATACTAGTACAGTAAAATCACAGAGCGAGATAGACAAGAGATCCGACCATATCAGGAAATGGTCTGTACTGGACACACAGAAACATTGTCCAATCAGATCGAATCCTAGATATCCAGTTATTTAGATCCACAGATGCTCTCAAAAGAACGCCAGAAATTATAGCCGTATCGATGTACGCCGATATTAGGAGAACTAGGGGCCCAATGGGTAGCCCATCTAGTGCTCCTCGGAGTTGTTCGCGGGGCGGCTGAGAACCTCGAGGGAGCCTATAGAGAGATGCGAGTTAGCTGTTGGGATTCCCCTTGCACATGGCCATTTTCACTTGGAATGGTAGCTGCCGAGATAAGGAGTCGTGGGACATACGCTGGACAATGTTCAGATTGGAGTGTTTCTTGCCATCGGCATCCTCGTAGCTGCGCATGCTGGCATCACCCTCAAGGTAAACAAGGGTACTATAAACCACACCAAAGTCATCAGCAATCCATATAGCAAGATATCACACCTCTAAGCTCCTCCAGCACCAAAGAAGCTTTTATCCACAAGATGCCAATACATACCCCTTGGGCAGACCCAGAATGAAATCCCGCTGAGAACCCTCAGGCAAGAAGCTCGCAACGCGGAACCAGCTGGTCTGGCGGTTCTCCTTAGAACCATAAGAAGTGCCAATGGCGTACTTGATGACGTCCTGGCCGGAGGAAGTAGCCTGCAACTCGGGCTCGGCGGCCAGACGGCCGGTGATAATCATGCGGGCAACGGAGCGCGAGGCGGAGGAGCTGAAGCCGCGCGAGGCCTGGGCGGCGGTGCGGGCAAGGCCCAGGGAGGGGCGGAGAGGAGTGAAGGCGGACATTGTGATTATTTGAAATGGATTGTCGGGTGATGGACGGTGAACGAGTGATGAGGTGTCTATTGAGTTATGGGATTCGCGGAGTTCGGGTCGGTCTCGATGGTCGACGCGGAACACGCGCGCGGAGTGTCATGTGATCGCGGCTGCATTGGGAGTTATTGGGGAAGTATATAGTCTATTGCTTGGCCTTCTTGTACAGCATATCTTTTCCTTGAATTTTGTACTTGAATATATGGCAGTAATTCTCTAACGCTAATTATGTGTGAGGAAAAATGGCTTGATCAGTTCGCAATATTTTCCTTGCAAGAGATGCATTCCCCAGCCTATTTCAGTCGTTATTTATCTCTTTAGTTGGGTCAAAATAAACTTGGAAAGTAAATGTCCTCGTGTACTCCGTAATTATTCTGTTTCTTAGGAATTGTCTTTGAATGGCAGCACTGTTAAAGGTGGTGCCTCTGCTGTCTCTGACATATAGCCAACTGGAATATTATAAGTTTGATATTCTTGAGGGCTTCTCTAATCAAAAGCTTCGTGCTGCACCTATTAAACTTCATGAAGAGGAAAGCTATAGCACTCATTCCACCAACCGCAACGACCCTCTCCATGCCACGCTGGCTTTTTTCACTTCCCGGTGGCCATTTTATTCATCATGCTGCGTTTATCCTTCTTCTCCTGCAAACCATCTTCTCCCGGCCAGATACGCTGGAAGCTTTCATCCAGCTCTGGGCCTAGGTATGCCCTACGCTTCTGGAGAGTGTGTTCCGGTATCCAATGATTCACCTCCTCCACTATTATTTCTCCCCGATGTCTCTCACGGGTATCCCGGCGAATAATCCACGAGGAAGAAAAGAGGTCTACTAATTCGGTCAGACGAGATCCTGCGTCACCATTTCCTTTGACAGAGGTCTTGTTCGCTTCTAGTGGCTGCGCACTTTGATCCTTAGCGCAGGAAATGACACGATAAATAGCGGAGGCAAGAACTATATCCACAACGGAATTGATCATGACATCTCGAATGTGGCCCTTGCGGAGCTTGTAGAAACCTCCCGAGTATAGATTCGTGTGTTGGTTGTCGAATTCTTCGAATGATGGATCCGTAGGTGACTTGATCGCTGGGAATAATTGCTCTTGAGGAGGGACATCTAGGCAGTCCTCCTCTCAGTAAAGTGCGGTGGGTGATACATCTAACCACAAATCAAGATATTTGAGACTTTTTAGAGAGCCCAACGCTCTGTACAAGGCTACCTCTTGGCTGTCACCCTTTGAGCGCTGGATAGGAATTGAAAGATCCTCCAAAAGCGGACAGTATCTTCCAAGTTGATCAAACCCCTGGTCGAACGTTGGGTACTCTGTCAAAGTCTCAATTGCTGCTTGATGTAATGCGGGGCGAAGTCCAAGACGTTCCAATCTAGCGAAATTGACATACTGCCGCCATTCAGTCAAAACGGTACTTTTCATAAGCATCAAATGGCCTGCGTCTTGTAAAGATAGGCTTTTCAGCGAAGCGAGTGGCACGCCGGGCGAATTATCGCCTTCCAGAGCAAATCTCTTGAGCTCAAGAGGGGCTACGGGGTTTCTGTGACGAGTCCTTTGAAGCTTGACTTCTTTCAAATTTGGGGCGAGTTCCAACGCTCGAAGCATACCCTCCTCTTGCAGCTGCCCGATGGTGTCGTCATGGTTATCAGAAGTTCCACAACATAAATGAACACTGTAGAGGAGATGGTGACGTGATCAGAGCAAAATCGTGAGGACTTATATCCACGACCCCCGCGTCTGCCCGATCCATCCAGAAAGAGTGCAGGTGAAGCCTACATCCAGGCCGAAGTACCTCTACTAAGCTGAGAGGAAATTTATCCGATCGACGGTATATGACATCTGTCAATGCAGGTAATCGCTTATCAAATCTGCTATACGTTTCCATGCCTTTTCGGAGACATTCCTGCAAGCTGTGATGGCCAAACCAAAGGTATTTACCTTCAAATAGGAATACTGCGTCGAATATGTATTGGCAAGCCCAACACGCCGAAGCGCAAAGAACATCGGTGGTTCCCACTCCCACGAGAAATATGCGAGTCGTTCTTCATGGCAATAATAAGTCGCCGGACCTGTCTGAAGCTATCTGCGTCCTCAAGTTTTTTCTTGAGAGACTCGACAACTTTGCCTACACCTTTCCAATCAATGGACATTTAGATATCGCGAAAGAACGTCGACTTGATAGCCGGGCGACACCGCGCGTGCAGGGACTTATTTGCCAGTGAAAGGTTCCGAAGCGTTGGAGGGTGCTCATAAGCTAGCCGTTCTGCAACTAGCTCAAAAACTTCTGGTGGGAGAGCTTGGAGAGACATGGTGGTGCCTAATGTAAGTGACAATTATGTCTGGGTTGACATTTGACAGGTATCAGAGGGGTAAGTTCGGCCTTGTTAGCGTCACCTAAGAGCCTCCTGACAGCTTCGGAACCTTAGTCAATGCTACAGCTAAGCACCAAGGGAATGTGCCAATAAACATTGACACACGAATGAAATCCGAATTTCATAATCTGTATCATATCATCTGATTTTCATTTCACAAGGCCCGTCATTCGTGCATGACAACCCGTAAGGTTGCCAGCTGGCGTTTTCAGCCATTCGCCGACTAGCGCGGATGTTGAAGCGATATCTCCCCCTCTGCACCGCCTCAGCCTCCTTTTTTTTCTAGGAGACTTCCGTAATACTAAATGACAACATCGCACATTCCAGGCGGTAACTGGTAAGATGACTATCGAAATGCCTGAGCTGGAGCAGTTGACGGTCGATGAATTTGCTGGCGAAATCATCAAACAACCCTCGGCGGGTCACGATGGTGATATTTCGCGTGCTAGGTGCATCCTCACACTCCCAGATGAGCTCTTAAGCAAGATTTTAGACTATTCTATCCTTTTTCAACCGATGAACAGCTGGAGCGAGAGCCCACTACGATCCGGCTATGACCCGGCGAGGATCATGACTGTCGCTCTTACTTGCCGGCGCTTCAGTCAAATTGTCGTGCCTTTCTACTACCGTAAAACATTCTCAGACTATGTCATGAAGCTTATTCCACCGGATTCACGACTAGAACTGTTACTTTGCACGTTGCAGGCTAATCCTTCGCTTGGCTTGCATTGTCGCGTGTTGAACTCGTTTCTACCCGACAAGGGAAATCACGAGGAGCCAGGCGGAGGATGCGGGCTAGCCGAACAGCTTCCAGCCCTTGTGCCCAATATTAAAAGAGTATACCTTCGTGGCTGCTTTGGCAAAGCCAGGAACAAACAGGCCTGGACGTTCTTGACGGCGTGTGTGCGACATATGCATCAGCTTGAGGATGTAGCCTTACAGCGTCAAGCCCGTGAAGGTCTTGAAGTGGCCGATTTTCTTGCAGCGTTCCAAGGCTCCTCGCTGAAAGAGTTGCGAGTTGGGGGCTTTGCCAAATCAAGGTCTCGGCTTGAAGACTTGAAGGTAGGTCGCATTGATAGACTCCCCAATTGAGTAACATACCTCTAACAAGCCTAAATCAATAGGTCCAGAAAACTTCAAGCCTTAAGATAATGGAGCTTGAAGGCTTTTCGGATAATGCTGAGGCATTGAGAATACTGCTCAGCTGGCCAGAAGCCCTTTCCTCATTTAGACTATCCGGGAGCTTCAGCGATGGCCTTTACATAGATCTCCCGATGGTGAAAGACATGCTTTTCCAGCATAGAAACAGCCTTGTGAGCCTCGATATTGGAAATCTTCCCCGAGAGGGCAAAGCCAAGCTTTGTGACTTCTCAGAATTTTCCGTTCTGGAAAAGCTGTCTCTATCACGATGGCACTTTGGAGAATCCAGAGAAAAGTTACCAGATTCTCAGCAAATATTCGAGAATTGCCTTTCGCCACCACGGCTTAGAAAATTTACGTGGACCTTCTCGATGATGGACTTAGCATGGCCGCAATGGTATGACTTTGAACACGAAGAGGAATCGTGGGTTCGAAATCTTGCGCAAACCGCAATTGCAAGGAAATCTCTACTTCGAAAGATTCGCATTTCTTATTACCCATTGACTCTTGGCAATCCAGAGTTGGATTATGATTATCCCTGGGATCGAATGGATGCTTTGAATGAGGAGTTTCAGCCTCATGGTATAGCGATCACCTACACGAAGCCGCCAACGACAAGGGAAAAGTGGGCTTGGGATCGTGCTAATGCCGATGCTATACGTCATATTAATAGACTCAGTCTTATAGGCTAGAATAATTGACTAGTCTATATGGTTAGGTTATATGGATTGAGTGACGGGTTCAAATTGAACGTGGAGGTGTGTCCTAGAGACTTCAACTCGGAGACTCGGGTTTAGGACATTTGCTCACACTGGGTGACCGTTTAAGTCAATAGTCTCTCCTAAGATCAAGCTTTTCGAATCATACTTCAGGCTGTTTCTCCAAGAAGTCTATTTCTTATATGGCGTGTACTCGGTTATCATTACCCTTTCTCGTAGTCATACTCGAGCAAGCCGAATGGCTTCCTTAAGATCGTATACAACAGCTCGCCCCCTTATCCACACACAGTCTCAACATCGACAGTTATTTCCGCCCACCATCAACCAAATCAGCAAGTCGTGGCGAGCCTTTCCATACATTGCCCCAGAATACGGGGTATAGGGATCTGATCGCAACAGGCGTCTACCTGAGCGACTCCGTCCAGTCTAGCGCGCGTAAAACACCCAAATCTAGCAGGGCCAATACGCTAACCTGCAACTTAGCGCAAATCTTCCTCACCCAAAACCATGGTTCACAGCATCGATCGGGGCGGCAAGCGCAACAATTGGCAATCTCCTTAAACCATCGTCGCCAAAACTTACCAGTAAGCGGTCGTCAAGAACGCCAGTTAGGGCAACCAGCGTGCCGCTCGCGAGAGTTCCGGAGAATAAAGTTGGAGAAAAGCCGCCCCCTCGGCACCCCAAGACTCTCATAGGGTGATGTTAGTGGCCCTGGATTTCATGGCGAGGCGAGGAAGGTTGATGTTTGGCCGGGATCCAACGATGATACGAGGCCGGACACAAATAGCATGAATGCTTTCCATGGAAGAATGATCACTGAGTGGAGTTGCCGTGGCGGTTGTCCCCGTCGCGATGTTTGGGTCCGACGAACCGTGCGGTCTCGCCGGCAAATAGGGACACAGGCATTGGCAGGAGTTGTATGGAGCTCGTAAACAAACATTTCAGGTCCTGATTTTCATTTCTTTGGAGACTGGACACATTGATTTCTTCGAAGTGATAGCAACTGTGGCCCAGATGCTCTTAATCTGACGTAGTAGCCTCAAAAGCAGTAGGCAGAGACGTTAGCTTGATGGGTCTGTGGCTGGCGAAAGTACAGCCACCAGCCGCCGTGACCTGGCCAACTAAGTGACGGTGAGAGAGCTGTCTTTGGCCGCGTTGATCTGTCTTGGTATGCCCGGATCAGTAAGTTGGTCGTGCATTGGCAGCGATTTGATCCTTAATATACAGGGCTGGCTTATCACCAACTCCTTCTGTTTCGAGTATTGGATGACTGGGGAGTTTATAGAGTATCCTTGTTCCCGTCAAGCCAATAGCATTCCTATATTTGAATCTTCTTGCCATACTACAAGACTGGACGCTCAATATGTTGACCCTTTCAAGCACAACAGAGAATGCTTTCACGGCCCTGGGCGGGAAGAAAGAGAAGGAAAACTTAATACTCCGCTTTGAAAAACGATAGCGGAGTCCTCGGGGAGAGGAGCCGCGCGGCAACGAATGGGAAACTCGATTCAACCTGGTGGACCTTTCGCATTTGCGGCGCTGCCGACATTGTTGCCCCTGGCAAAGTGACGATGGGCGGACCCTCTTCTTACGCCAGTTCTAGCAATGATAAATTGATTTATACACTAAAAAAAATGGAGGTATATTCTTGGTAGCAACGAGAACGTCGAAACTCTGTGTCCTCAAGGCCAAGACATCTAAACCAAACACCTAACACTCTTAGCCACACCACCGGGACTTCGGAGGTGGAAATGACAGGTTCAACATCCCTGAAGGTTAACGGGGGTTAACGTGAAACGTGAAACCTTTGACCCAACAGTGTGGCCGGGCCCGTGCTTCCCGCCTTAGTTGCAGTGGTTGTCCTCTTGCTTCGGTGCGAATGGACGGGGGAGAATGCGATGTGGGCTTGTGCCCGCAACGGCGGAGATTAGACTGACCGTCTTGATGTCGGGTATGCTATCATAAAAATTTCTTGCTGACCTTTCCTGTTCTCGAATAGTCATGTCTTGGACTCTTTGTTTTGTAGGAGAAACGTGTTGATCACTTGCAGACATAGCTCGATTCCTTTCGGCGAATTTTCCGCACTGTTCACTATTCTAACGAGCCTTGTCTGGAGCCTGGCGTGCGATCTAGGCCCATTTAATTTATTATTTAGCAAAGAGAGCTCAGTCACCGTCAAGGACAGGAAATCAAGACCCTCGGGTAAATCTACATGCGACGCGATCGCGGTAGCTCGGTAAAGCTGTAGTTGCAACTATATGAAGCTCCGACATGCTTTCGCTATGAAACATCCGAGGCATGGCCGGATTTGACAAGCAAAAACCGACTCTTTGACTGATGACACAACGGTTCGCGCACTGAATGGAAAGTTCGCAGGGCGCGCGAATTGACGCCCGTTCCTTGCAGTTACATCACCGATGCTAGTGCTGACTCGGGAATACCTCCGCCACGACAGGGGCAGCACGGTGCACACTAGATCGGACGATTGACCAGTTTTTCGACCGTGCTCTACGTCAATTCCCTGCATATGATGATTAGTACTGATCGTCTTCGTGTTCTAGATCATTGGAAGGAAGACCTTTGAAAGTCGAATTGATTGTCTTGCAGATTACTGTCTTCTGGCCTCCATACCTCTCCTTCCGAAGTCTCCCCCTAGTCGTACTACTTACTGTACACGTGGTAGTTTGCGTTCAACAAGAGGCGCTAGGAGGCGCCTGGGAAATAATTCGCATAGGCTTGTCTCAAGTCAATGCGGAGCACACAGTTGTTCAATTCATAAAGTTGAAATGGTAGCTCCAAGTATGTAGCCAGTCAAGGGAGGACGAATCCTCTATCTCGCGCGCAGATGCATGTGAATCTTGCGAAATCCACGACCCAAAAGAATGCCATTGTTTTGGCTTCGCACCTCTAGCCCTCCCGTGGTGAACCATAATCACTAATCAGAAACATGACCACCCGGTTTCCCTGGTTCAGCGCGGGGCGCGTATATCGCCACGATCTAGATCCATACGAGCCGAGGAACATGGGCTGATTCGAAAACCATCAAAGATTAACTACAAATGCACAGTACGCACTTAGTACATATGTAGTCAAATTTTCCCTAGTCACCCTTTGCTTGTCCAGCCTTTGAGCCCCAAGGTGACCTATGACCTAGCCAAAATTAATAATGATCGAGGATAGCGGGTTGTCGGAGGGGCGTTTGCCCATACATTGTTTGCATCGTGGGCGCGCGGTCCACCGTATTTCCGTTGTCGTTGGTCCGTCCGTGCACGGCGGGCGGCATACATTGTGCATCGAGGCTTCTTCCGGCACCTAGTACGGAGTACATAGCGGTGTTCACTAATCTGATCCTGCTATGTACTATGCCCCGAATGAGGTCTTTGTCCTGGCCCTGGTCTGGGCTATCGACGGAGGATGAGGGGGATGAGGGGTGGTCCCCTTTTCGGGGAAGGGGTGATCGATATCCGCGCGATCTAACTATACTATACACGTACCCTTCCTCCGTTTCTCTCCCCTTCTAGGTTTCTTCTACGGATCCTGGAGGAGCTAGTCATAAATCAGTCAATTATCAGTTCTGGCTCTGACCTTGTCCACTCACGATTCCTTCATCATTCTAGGCATATACCATAGATAGCCTACCGGTGTCTGATTAAGTAGAAAGCTACTCCTTGATTCTTTTCGTGGAAAGTGATCGAATTGGAAGAAGCTTTCAGACAGAAACGATAAGAAATTGAAAACGAAAACCCAAACATGAAAAACCAGGCTTCTTAGTGTCTTCCGCAGAAGTCTGTTCAGGGTTGTGTAAACCGTAAATCGTCCGTCTGAAGCAGTCAGGAGTTAGTTACTCTAGTTAGTTTCGCGGTCGTACCTGGTACCTGATACCTGTTACCCCCCAGTCCTCCTTAGTATGTATTTATCGAGATGCTTCTCGGCAGCGTGTACCGGGTACTTTGGTTCGATGTTCTCCTCTCTGTAGTCCATACGTGTTTCCTCCCCCACTTCCCAGGGTCGCAATTCCGCAATTCTGTGCCTCGCTATGGCTAACCTTTTTTTTGACTTCTTAACTTTTCTCTCCAGGGGTAATCGATCTCATTTCCACGGCCAATTCTCCTTCATAGAACTCCGTCTTTCCACGTTATTATCACTCAATGCCTAGCACAACTGCTCTTCAATCCATGATGCGCCGCTATTGACCATAGCGCAACGGCTCCGCCTTTGTTATACTAAAATTATTTCAATCTTGCCCTCTTTCTTGCTCCCCCCCACTTAATGAAGGCTGGACGGGGCGAACAGAGCTAAGAGACTAGAGGATCCCTAAACCGTGGAGATTGTCCAGAGTCCGGCCACCGACCGCCCCGCCCGAGTCTTTCAGAGCTTAGGGAAAAAAAATTATTGCACTATTTATTGGATTTTATCCATTTATTATTATTGTTGGTTTATTGGGTTTTATTATTATTATTATTACTCTTATTATTACTGTCTTAATTCCATTATACCCAGACATCATCTCCTCTCTTCGACAAAAAGACAACACCTCCAACAGCCAACAGGCTATTAATTCAACCGATTGCTGAAATCCCCCGCTATCGACGCCGAATGCTGTCAATTGATCCGACTACTTCACGTCTCCTGGTCACCATCACCACGTCTCCACTTTGAAATTCCGGGCATAGGGGGGAAAAGAAGCAAAACGCAAAGATAATCCAAGAGTCAAGACAAACGGACAGGGTACCACGGACGACAAACAACAAGCACGGAACCGTCCGCCGCCATGGGCCTCTTCAAGCGCAACTCCAAAAACTCGGTGCAGAGCGATAGGGACGAGCAGGAGTCATTTGTCTCGGTCAACAGTGCCCGAACTTCCAACACGTCTCTTCGATCCCCTGGATACAAGGGCAGTGGTTTACCGGCCTCCATCCCCGAGATGCCCATTGCGAAACCGCCCGACCCGGCATTGGACCCCGCCGCCTATCTCCGCAGCATTCACGCCGTGCGCGAGCGCGCTAATATCGTCCTCCACGCGGCCAAGCGCAACCAGTTGAACCATTTCGATGTTGATATGAGCAAATTCAAGGCGACGGCGCAATACGTTGTGTCTATTATCAAGGTAAACAAATTGAAATTGGCTCACGGGGAATATCACTGATATCCGTTCGCGCATGTGACTAATTCTGGTCCTCGTAGCGAGACTATGCTCCCGACTATCAGAATATCCCTCCACACGGCCGCTGGCAACACTTCGACGTCGGTGGTAGACCACGAGTTAACCAACTCCTCCAATCTTGGCCTAGTAGCATTGACTCGCAAGAACGAACTCGCCGTCTGATTGATCTGTTTGTGGTTTCCGTGTTGCTCGATGCCGGCGCCGGCACCAAGTGGTCATATAAGTCCAAGGAATCTGGCAAGGTGTACTCGCGCAGTGAGGGTCTGGCCGTTGCCAGTCTGGAGATGTTCAAGTCTGGTCTTTTCAGCAGCGACCCCACGGAACCTTGTCAAGTGGATGGGGCGGGACTCAAGAAAGTCACCGTCGAGAAGTTGGCAAAGGGAATGCAACATTCAGAGCAGAATCCGCTGGCCGGTATTGAGGGGCGCGCTGGGCTATTGGTGCGATTGTCGGAAGCGCTTAATCACCAGGACTTTTTCGGCGTGGATGCACGACCTGGTAACATGCTAGGTAAGAGAAATCTGGTCGTGTTCGATCTGAACCCAGGCACTGATAATCATGATGAACAGACTATTTGCTTGGCCACCCATCAACACTTGCTTCCTCCGTACCTATCGTCCCTATCACTACGCTCTGGTCTGTTCTAATGGACGGCTTCTCTTCCATCTGGCCACCCTCACGGACACAGATCGACGGTGTGGCCATCGGCGATGCCTGGCAGTCCTCACTCCTCCCGCAATCCCCTCCCGCTCCAGCCTGGGAGAGCATCATCCCATTCCACAAGCTGACGCAATGGCTTTGCTATTCAATCATGGTACCAATGTCAAAGTTGATGGCAATCCACTTCGCCGGCAGCGATCTTTTGACCGGTCTGCCCGAGTATCGTAATGGTGGTCTCCTGATCGACATGGGCCTTTTGAGCCTCAAGGAAGCTGATATGGAGCGCGGCCTCCGATCATTCAAGGAGAATGCGCAAATCAAAGGCCAGCCTAACATGGAAGTTGTGCCTCTATTCTCGACAGATGACGATGTCATTGTAGAGTGGAGAGCTGCCACCGTCGGCTTTTTGGATGAGTTGCTGGATGAAGTCAACACTCAGCTGGGACTGACTGGCTCGGAAGAACAACTCACGTTGGCACAGATGCTAGAGGCTGGAACATGGAAGGTTTGTTCTACTCCATCATGAGCAGAAGTTTTTAAAAATTGTTCTAACTGGTGTTTTTAGGGTGGTCGTGAAATCGCCGAAGTCTCCAGGCCGAACACCAAGGAACCGCCCATCATGATCCGTTCCGATGGAACAGTCTTCTAATGCACTATACGTATGAGTTAATGGATGATTGGATACCTGGCGGAGCACCAACCCTACTCTTTGCTTCACTTCGTATTAGGGATAGGTGTTCTGTTTTAAGTTTACGAACTGTTGATGACCTTACCTTTTGTTTGTTTTCTCTTTCCGCTTCATCAGACCATTTTTGATCATTCTTCCTTCATGAACGGCCTCTTTGCTTGTGTTTTTTGAGCTTCTCAGTTCTCGGGAGGTTTTTTGTTCAATTCTTCTTTCTCCGATAGAGGCTTTTGCATGCATAGTGCTACTGGTTCAGCAGCACGCGGTTGCGTTTCTTTTCGGATACCACCTTCTGATCATTTTTCTCCTTTTCACTTCTTGCGCTTGCTTTCCGCAGCTATTCTTCGTTTTATTTTGAACACTTTACATAGCTGGCCTTTTTCATGAGAATACTGTTTAAACATCATTGACTGCATTCCAAATGCGTCTGCAATACAGACTTCCTAATCTGTCAAACTACTTTCCAGTCGTCATCCCGTTACCTCGTTTATGCGTCATATTCGTTATTGTCGCAGGTACAATGGTACAAGAATCTGACCCCTCTGAAAAGATTGAACAATAAGCTTTCAGCAATTTCTGAAACACTCGTAAAGCTACATTTAAGGTTCACCGACCTCCTCGAAGCTCCCCTGTCCACTATCACATCGAGTCACGTGACCATTCACCGGGGCGAGGTTGATCCGTCACTCCGCATTTGAAGGCTGGAGCTACTCTACCTTCCTTCCTCTCACCAGTCACCCCCAATTCCTTGGATAAGCCCTGGTCATGCGCTATTATTACTGAGAACACCACTCCGGTCTACCTTGACCCCCTCCAGCTCTATCGCCTACCTCAGTCGTCTCCAATAAGTACCCGGACCCGCCCCCGCTCTTGCGGGGCAATCATCCGAGCTCAGCGCCGCGCCAGCAGATCGCAAGCATGGACGCCCGCAAGAAGAAGAGAAAGGTGTTACTTATGGGCAAGAGTGGCTCGGGCAAGTCGTCTATGCGCTCGATCATTTTCAGCAACTATGTCGCCAAAGATGTGCGCCGACTCGGTGCGACGATTGACGTCGAGCATAGTCATGTCAAGTTCATGGGCAACCTAACGCTGAACCTATGGGACTGCGGAGGGTGAGTGGCCGTGTCGCATAACAAGGACAACATCAGACAGGATATCAGCTAATCGGGGTTGATCTCCTATCTCTCTCCAGACAAGATGCCTTCATGGAAACGTATCTCGCCTCCCAGCGCGGCAACATCTTCTCCGACGTTGCCGTCATGATCTACGTTTTCGACATTGAATCGCGCGAAGTGGACCGTGACCTCGACACATACAATGCGATTATCGAAGCCTTGGGCGAATTCAGTCCGAACGCCTACGTCTTCTGCCTCGTTCACAAGATGGACTTGATTCAGGCCGAACATCGTCAGCGCATCTACGAAGAACGCTCGGCATTGATCCGTTCCCGCTCCGAACACTTCCGCGTCGATACCTTTGGCAGTAGTATTTGGGACCAATCGCTTTACAAAGCCTGGGCAGGCATCGTGCACAAGCTCATCCCTAATCTAACCGTGATCGAGCGGTTCCTCAGCGCCTTTGCAAAGAAGATCGATGCCGAGGAGGTTATTCTCTTCGAGCGTTCAACTTTCCTTACTGTTACATCCGTCTCCTCCGAAGTAGGCGATCTCAACCCAATTTACGATCGTCACGAGCGCCTTTCCAATATAATGAAGGCATTCAAGCACTGCGCCGCCCGGAATACCCTCACAACACCCGCCTCTGCCGGCTTCGTCGTCATGCACACCAAAACTCCCCAATTCAACATCTTCCTCGGCCGGTTCACCGATAACACCTACATCTTCCTGGTTGTACCACCCGGTGAGGCAGCATATAACTGTGCCGTACTGAATACCATGCTTGCCCGAGAGGGCTTCTCAAAAGCAGCCGCCTCCGGCCGTTCAGATGGGTTCCCACTACCACCACCGGAGACACCCGAGGATGCGGTGCCAAACGGAGTGGCTGCCCACGGTTGAGCCGTGTGGTGGTCACTTGGACTTTTTGGTTTTCTAGCGTTCTGTTGTGTCATGTACAGCCGGCATATTTTGGGCCCATTTTGTGATACTCTTTTTTTGTTAGCAGAAAAGTCGGGGGTTATTTTTACGGGCGCTGTTACCTATGATATGGCGTTGCGGTATGATCAAATGCATGATTTGTTACCTTTGTCGTTCTTGTTTTCTTAAATCGGGTCAGCTGTGCCTGTTGCAATGTACAGCATGTCAGTTCTGTCATCTTTCTCTGTGTAGTTCGAGATGGAGATGGAGTATACTGCCGGGCGTTACACAACGAGACATTCGCCGGAGAATGTCACCCATGTAGGCAAAAGAGTTGTCCTTATAGACATTATGCGTTGCTGGTTAAGCTCCGGCATCTCCCAAGTCCTGGGGATTGCCCTAGGCATAAAATCCATTTCTTTGAACTTGACAGACGCACAACGCCAGGCTCGCCCTTTTTCTCTCCACGGCATTTTCCTCGGGGTTTCTGCTTGCTGCTTAACAAGCCAGGCCACCCTTGCAAACTCCCCTCCTTTTTAGTTTCTTTCTGCTTCTGCTTCGACTCAGCACTTATAATAGTCAACATGGCACATGTCCTTGGGAAATTTATATTTGACATTCTTCACTTCCATTTCCATATACCCCACCGGATTAGTCGACTAATGCAGCATAGTCTGGCCTTGGCTTATCCACAAGCTGTATCGACAATCCTTGCATTTATATCCATCTATTGAAACAATGCTATTCCTTCACTCAGGAATAGGATCTACATATTTTAAGATCTAGAAGCGGAAACTATGGTTCCTGCGGTCCGATATTGAAATTATAACGACGAGCAACCCCAGAGGCTCCACGAAAAGCAAACTAGTACACGGCATTTCATGGGCCTTGGTTCTGAGAACAGCTTGAGGGTATTATCCTTCCTTGCTCGTGTTTTGGGCTATGGTCATTCTATGTCATGCTCTGAGTGTTTGTTCGTCTGTGACACTGCCTTTGAGCCTCACGCTGCTTCTGAGGCCGAGCGTGCTCTTCCTCTCGATGTTCCCTTCACACATAACAAACATTCATTCGTTGAAATTTACCGATATAGCTGGTCCTCCTACCCCTGAGCCAGCTATATAGTTCATATAAGGTTGCAGTCTGCCTGATAAATTACCTTTCAGCCGGAGGATTGATTTGAAGCGGGTTGCGTTCGGCGAAGAAATCGGGAGATGACCCTATCCGAACCTGGACATTATTCGTTTCTGACCCTCGAACAGAAATTGGATATCGACTCTGTGCTACAGGATTTTCAGGACTTGATCCGGCAATCTTCTCGCTGACCTTGGTGGGATAACCTTTCTACTTGTTTATCGCCCTGTCGTCTCTGACCCAGAACTGACCTTCGTTGGGGCCAGCTGTAGGTCCAAACCGAGGCTGCCTTCGTGAGTCCCTGATTATTCAATACTGGCTGGGCATTCAAATTACTAGTCAAAAACATACCCGAACCTTCAAGCTTGCGTTTGTTTGCCCTCGAACTTCTATCTAGCTTCCTGTGTTCCGTGCGCCTTCTGCCTTGGATCCGGGGAACTTATTTAGTACCATCTGGATTTTTTTTAATGATGATATCACCCAATATCGCAAACGAGTTGGATCGCTCATATGGTTCATGGTCAACACGCGGCCTGATGTCCCTTGTTCTGTGGCAACGATGGCGCGATATGGACATAATCCAGCACAAAAGCATTTCACCAATGTCAAGAAGATCTTCCGCTATCTTAGCGGTAGTACCGATCTCTGTGTGCGCTACTCTTTTAGCCCCGACTCACTTTTCGGTTTCGTCGACGCTGACTGGGCTGGTAAACATGCTAACAACTGCATGTCGAGATCTGGCTTTGTCTTCACGGTTGCCAATACACCCATCAGCTGGGTTTCTAAGAAACAGTCATGCGTTTCTGTCATCGACGGAAAGCGAGCATATTGCCGCTGCCCTAGCCGTCCAGGGAGTGGTCTAGCTGCAATTGTTCATCATGGAAATTTGTCTGGCAGAGCACCTGCTGAATCTCCCGACTGCATTATACCAGGATAACAATGGAGCGACCTGCCTCACTGAAAGCCAGGATTTCCACGCGCGCACCAAGCACGTTAACGTGCGCTGTCACCACCTTCGTCACCAGGTGGCCAAAGGGGTCTGCAAGTTTATCAAGATCCCCACTGCTGAACAAGCAGTAGATGGGCTGACAAAGCCTTTGGAAAGGGTGAAGTTCGAACGCTTGGTGGAGCTGCTGGGCATGCGGCGATTGTCGAGTTTAGGCATTGGGGGCTGTTTGGATTTCTGCGTAATCGGCGGATATACCCTTCACGGCGGTTTTACGCCAATTTTCAATTTGATCAGAGGATAGCTGGGCTCAGTGCTCAGGGGGTTCTAGATTAAGATTGTGCAAACGATTCCGATGTTGCCCGCGGACAATATTATCGGTACTGATGAATTTTCGAATGCAAAGAATTAATAAACCATTTAGGCTATATAAATCGTTGAGCGTGTCATCAAACCCAGTGCTCCCGATTCTTCTCAAAAAACTCTCTCATAGTCACTGGCTTCTCGGACAACAACTGCAGACTTCCAGTCAAATCAGCCCCGGCATAATAACCAGGGCCCTCAAGCAAGACAAGATTCTCATATATCTCGTCAACCATATCCGGTGGCAGGGACGCGGCGAGCGCAGCTTTGAACATGTCCCCAGGAAGACTGAACACCTTGAGTGGTATACCAGTCACACACTCAAAGTCAGCCGCAATTTGCTCGAAGCTATAGTAGTCACTAGAAGCATAAATCACATTCGCCTTGTCCGTAGGAGGTTGCTGAAGCGCAACTCGAACAAAGTTTCCTTTTCACGTCAGTTTCAAAACTCAGAATGCAGACTTGTCAGATTGCTCACCTGTATCAGTGCTGGGATCAACGAATGGGGCAACAACCTCAGGAGAAACCGGTATGGGCAAGATAAACGAGCCATCCTCTTGCTTCCGAATCATCGAGAATAATTCACTCATGAATATCCCGAGCATGACAAAGCTAGCAGGCACACCACTTTCACGAATGTACTCCTCCACCTCGGCTTTTCCATCAAAATGAGTGATATTGGCCAGCCGCCCCTCAGATGCCTTGGACGCATTGATCAAGGACGAGAATATCAGATGCTTCACATCGGCCTCTTTACAGGCATCTGTGACAATTTTTCCTTGCAGGATTTCTGGCTTCGCAGACATTGTCTCCCAGAAGTTTGTCACTAGATACACGGTATGAGCTCCTTCAACCGCCTTCGCGACATCTTCATGCGACGACATATCTCCCTATATGAACAGGTCAGAGGGTGCTATATTGAATTGATCTGAGATGTCATTTTGCCGTACTTGGAACAGCTCAATTCCTTGATCTGCCAGGGCTTGGGCCTTTGGCTTGCTCAGATCGCGTGTCACAGCTCTAACCCGAAACTCTTTAGATAGCTGCGGGTCGCCGATGATGGTACGGATCACAGAGCCACCTTGATTCCCCGTAGCTCCGAAGACGGTGATTAATTTTGACATGGTGATTGAAAATGAGAAGCTTAGAAGATGAGTGTTTGATTTGGAGATGTAAATTACTGTTGCTTGATCATAGCTTGAAACTTTTATACTTCATTTCATTTTGATACTGCTTCGGGAGAATCTCAACTATTAGACCGAGACGGGGAGTTAATTGTCCCGAGATAGAAGCTAGTGCCGCAACGTTATCACGGGTTTTATCCTGGAACTGTTATACCTAATCATATCCTCGAGTATTCTCAGAAGTTGAATCATCCTGAATAGGGAATCAATACGCAAAGACCGATTGACTCACAGTTTTGATTTCTTGAGAGTTCTCGCTGCGACATTACAATCCTTCAGGATCAGGCATGCGTCAGCTCTTCCTGAGTCATGGACTTCCAAGCTAAGGCCAAGATACGAAAAGTACCATAGTAAAGACACTTGGTTGGTCGAATTTCGGCCCTATTTGGGGGCTAGGAATGTCTTACGATATCCTGACTCATTATGTGCATCTCCCTAGTTAGTGCAATATCAACACCGGATGCTTATGATAAATCGAGCTTGGATGCATTGCTCGTTTCCCATAGTGTCTTTCTGAATGTGCTTGGTCTAGCCTTCTACATCAAGTCCCTTCCTTGGCAATGGCCAGATATAGACGTGCATCACAGGCAAAGGCTAAGGAAATTAAACAAAAGCCATCACACTACATGAAGCATACCTGAGGAATGGAGACGCAACAGGAAGTGAATGTGGCTGTTAACCGCCTATCTATGCTCATCTAGCGATGTTCCATTCGCACCTATGCAAATACAGAGAGAACAATAGAACAGGAAGAACGTCGGGATTGAATTATCTATCGGACCGGCCGGCCTCAACGGAGTACAAAATATAGCCTTGATGATGTAGAAAGGTGTGAAAAAAATTCGAAGTCGGAGATAAGAAAGGGCTGTACAGATCACTCATGCAGAAATCAAGACGCGCATTGCTTTATTGAACGTCCGGCATGCGGACCGCAATGTCGCCTGATTGTGTGATGTAGCGGACCCAGGGGAGGGAGGGGTATTGCAGCTAGAAGGGCATAAGTTAGCGATGATGGTTTGGGAATACTACTGTGTATGAGGGCGGGACATACCTTTGGCTCGGTGATCTTCAAGTACCGCACCTGGATACCCGAAGTGGTGAAGTAGGGGATCTCGAACTTGACGTTGATGGGCCGCTTCGCCTTTCCCATCGCACCAGCTCCGCCCATGCTTCCACCAAAGCCACCTGTCATACCACCGCCGTGCTCGTCATCTCCCTTCACGGAGGGAAGACCCAGCTCCGCCCGCATGAGGAACTCCTTGCCACCACCGAACTGCTTGATCTTCCAGATAATAGCTGACTTCTCGGGAGCGTAGTGAACGGTTCCAATGTTGGTGCGGAACCGGGGCGAGTCTGCATCTTCCGGGACTGGGACAAGGATTTCGACATTGTTTGCGGTACTGCGGCGTTTGAACTGGGCCTTGGCCTATATTGGGGAAATTTGATTAGTCTTGGCCTTTCGAAAAAACAAGCCTTCCGCGGCCAGCATACCTTAAGCATATACTCAATACGCGATCCCGAGTGCGACTCCACCAGACACTCCACCCATATCAATGGCTTGACCTGAGTGTTCAATCGGTAGCTCATAAGCTCGAATTCACCATCCGGGGGAATGAAACTGATCGTCCGGTCATTCTCGAAACGTGACAACCGCACACACTGGTGGAATTTGACGTCCTCCATCTCAACCGCCTTGCCCCGCGTGGCCCGACCCGTCGTCTCGAACATGGCCTTGTCGTTCAAACCCAATCGCAACTCAGGCATACCGCTCAGGTAGCACTTCATTTTAATGGCGCCCAGAATCTCAGAGCGCAGGACGTTTCCGTTGGCCGAGACCAGCAGGTTTAGAGATTCGACCACATCCAGGAAGACCTCGTTTTTGCGGTAGCGAATACCTTCGCTTCGCCAGGAGACGGCATTCGTGACTGCAATGGGTGGTCGCGCTTGGACCTCGAGCTTGTGTGATTCTTGAGTGATGTATCTGTAGTGGGCGAAGTTCGCGCATGTTAGCCAACGGAGCCCGCCACCTCCCCACGTGCCACTTGATCCCGAGCTCTAAATTCCACTTACTCTTGCAGGATCTTGCTCTCTGTTGTCTGCGGGTATCCAAAGTCCATCATCTCATCCAGCAGTTCGTAAATGATGACAAAGTTATCCCGAATACTCTCCTCCTCGAGGACCTTGAAGTATTCGGTGAAGACCTCCACAAGCTTGTGGAGGAAGAGGAGGATCTCGGTGGCATTTGTGTTTCGTTTGGTCAAAGCGAGAATGTACAGGTTGCTATGGCGGATATAAAGATACTATGATTCGAAAGATCAGTCCGGGTTAGTTTCATGTAAAAGTGCACAAACACGGTCAGGAGACAATAAGGAGAGCGGGATAGATGGACATGCGCGAGGCAGAGCGGGCGGCGGAACGTACATTGACACCCTCGTGGGAGAAGCAGGGAGGCACAGCCGAGGATTCTTCTTCGGCTTCACTGAGGAGGATGGGGAACTTCTCTACCGCGGACATAGGGATATCCCCGCGATAGTTACGGGCCAGAAGGGTCTGTTTGAGCTGTTAGCGCCATGTCCGACCGGAATTGACCAACAATTGCAGGAAATTTAGCTTCCAGAGCCAAGCTACCAGCATAATCCACGCACCTTGCCCTTCAGGTCCAGAAAGAAGAGAGCCGACGCCATGACGTGTCAATGGGGAGGGGAAGGAGACAGAGGTGTAAAGAGTTGGGTATCGAGGCGATTATCTGGTCTTGGGGTCGGAGGTGGGGGAACAACAAATGCGCATGCTGCACCCTACTGCGACATGATCAAGGCGAAGGTCAACTGAGGGGAGGAAATTCGAAGGACAAGAGAGCTGGATGATGAAGCCGAGATGGGAACCAGAACATCAGCCAGTTCGGTCGACAGCCAAAAGGGCCAGTCGCCCGCAGTTTTGGTGGAGCCGCACCACCCAGCCCAAACAGGACTAGCGTGAGTATTGCGGCCACATAAAAATCGGTTCGCTGCATTCTTCTTCTCTTCTTTTTTCTTTCTTCTTCAACGCTCTCAATAGACAGTGCAAGCCAGTACAAAGTCCTTTGTGATTTTCTGTCGGTCCCCGGCATTCTGTCGGAATGGCTGTCAGTTTTAAATTGCTGAATACTTGCGATACAGAGATGCGGAGACAAGCTTCGTAAAGAGGGTTCCATAAGAACTGGCCGTGTACTTTGCTCACTGTTACGCGGGCGGTGTCAGAGGAACCGTACATTCATTTCTGGGGGATTTAATATCATTGATAGGTCGGTGATAACTTATTATTATCGTCGTTGTCATTATGAGCATTACTATAGTTTCATATAAAAAAACAATTTCCAAGTGATCAAGTGTGGTATTGTGCAATATAGCCAATGAACAGAATAATAGAAGGGATAGTTATAGTACATGTACAACCGGCCGTGTAGATGAAAAAGGTGTGCCCAGTCCAATACAGCCTCCAGTCGCCCTGCCCCAAGCAGAAAACATCAAGAAAAACGCCGTGAAAATGCTGCGGAGGGTTCAATGGTACATCCAATTCCCCAACCCCGGCAGGCCCGTCCCATTTATGAGACTGTCTTGAGGCCGAGTGGCTCGAGTATCCGCTCCTGGGCCACCTTGTTGGCAATGTGTCCACCCTTCTCCAACGAGACTGCTCCAATCACGGCGTACATGGTGTGCGCCAAAACGAGTTCGAGACCGGAAGACTTGAGATCATCGGGCTAAGAGACAGAGAAGGTTAGCTACGGAACTCGGAAAGATGTGAACCACGGGTAGTATCGAACCTTGCGAGGAGTCCACCGGAGGACATTCTGCATTTCATATTTTTGCGCCAGCTCGGCAAGCTTGGACCGATCGGTCAGGAAGCTCTTGGTCTCCGGAGAGAGGCTTCGGAGGCCATCCAGGGCCGGGTGGGAGAAGGGCGTGCGGCCGTGGGAGTCCGTCTTCACGGCGACATTGGCAGCCTCGGGGTTCTGTACCAGGGCGAGCGAAGCCTGCAATTGCACAATGCGCTTGCCTATCCATTCAGTTAGCAAACAATACCCTAAACCACCGGGAAATACATGGTTCTCCCATACCGAGGAAGGCCAATCGGTCGTTGAAGCCTCGACGTCCTTGATCAAAACTCTTGTGTGTCACGGCCAACCACTTCAGCTCGTCGGAAAGAACCCGGTCACCACCATTGCCCAGCATGCGAATATAGAACTGATCCAACAATGCAGGATCCGAGTTCACGTGGAAGAATGGCCGCTTAGAGTGCAGCCGGAGGCTGAATAGCGCCTTTGCGCGCGGCGGCGTGTAGGACCATCGGGGCTGCTCTGCCTCGCCGGTCGAAGATTCGGGGTCCGTAGCGAAGGTGCGGCGGGGGATGAGCGTCGCAAGGGGACGAGGAGCCGCCTTGGAGGCGGAGCATGCGGTCCTAACCGCTCGTGTGGACAAATTCGAAGCCATGGGGGTCGGGTTGATCTGCGGAAGTTGATAGTCGAGTCGGAGGTGTGGAAAGATTTCAGCCTCGGCGGTGTGATACTGCCGCTCCGTTCCAGTTGGTGTTTATGGGCCAATGTTGATCTCCAACAGAACACCCGTCATCCATGGACATTCTAGAGTAGATGAAATTTCCCAGGGGTGATTTTTCTTCAGGATAACAATCTGCCTTGATTGCCCTGTGGATCAATCTGCAAATTGAAGACAAATGCATCCCGAGGCGCCCTTCACCGCTGCTACATTCAAATACTGTTTCAATGTGTGGCTGAAATCGAATCGACCCTGGAGCAACTAATGCACTTCTCTGACGGTGACAGCACGCCCGGATCTGTCGAAGAATCATCATTGGCTGTTAGAGATCCTAAGAAGGTCTCGATCTTGCCGTGCATCGAAATCGTGTGCGATTGTTCCACCACAATAACCATTCCACTTTATCCGCCATGACTCGCAGCAGTGTATGTCTCCTGGCGGTCAAGTACACAAAAATAGCAATGCATGAGAATCAACTGACTCTCTATACCGCTGTTTGAAAACAGAGCGACTTGGGTCGCTCATTTGTCGTTGCACTTGTGGAGGCAAGCCATTCATACACTAACTGCAGTAACCCTGTGCAAATTCTCCCAAGGGTCAAAGGTCTCAGGTTGTTAATTATTGAATTCAATGTTGCATGCTCCCATCGAAACTGACACGCAGCATCTGACGCTTTCCGGGGGTCAAGGTAGCTGTGGATCCCACACCTTCCCCATCATATGTCCAGCAGTATCCCACTCTGAATGATATTACTCCACGACAAGCCTAGTCAGGCAGCTTCTATCTTTCTTCAACCCCACATACCAAAAGGCAAGGCCCGAGAACACTGCCAGGTAACCCTATCTAGCTATCCGACTGGGCAACGGGCAGGACGAGCAACCTCCCAAGGTGGCGCAACCATGTCTAAGCGCGGGCCCAACCACTAGGCGCTCAGATCCCTATCTGCCTCGGGGAATAAATCATAAAAATTACAAAAGCAGTAGGGTTCTAGACGGACCCGAAGACCAAAGCAGAGTATAGGAGAGTATTCGACAGCATTCTCTGGACTGGACAAGCCAGGTCTGTCCCCTCAGTGCCTAGTCAATTCCCTGCACAGAAGCCGGACACGGTTCTCCCCAGACCTTCGGCCGAGCTACGACGTGCTGTCGAGCAAGATCGGGTCATGCACAGTGTGGTCGGTTTTGAGACTGCTTGATGTCGCGGGTCCGGATGTTGCCAGCCGCCAAAACTGGTCGAGAGCCTGTGGCTGGCCCCCGGGATCACCTCCCATGTCTCCCGTTGCAGGAAAACGGCTCTGTTGTGGGCCGTCGTACCCGCAGAGCTCTCTTTACATTCCTCCTACAGGTCTGACTTCCCCTGGTTAAGTTAGGAGACTTTACTTTTGTGGCACAGCGGGAGCCACAGAGGGATCCACGTTTGTTGATAGCCATACTTTGTTTGCCCTGGAGGGAAGCCTATGCATTCGTATGCCGCTTTCAGTAGGGACATGACAGATTTGAATCACCTGCAGTGTATGATTTTTCTTGAAATCAAGCCAAAACGATAATTGCTTTGTTCAGCGTGTTTCTAGTCAAACAAAGGCACCCCTAGAAAAGACACATCATAACCCCGTTGAACTATCAGACAAGCATAAACCTAAGCAAACCATATCTACACCCTTTCGGCAATAACCGATATTGAGCAAATTAGCCACATAAGAAAGCTCTCCAACCGGAACGCCTCTCAACACTGATATACGACGATCAAGCGGCTAGTAGCAACCGCGGACGGTACTCTTAGGGTTAGTGGAGGCAACAAAAAAAGAAAGAAAAATGAAGCCACCGAGCCTCTTCCGCCGAGACAAAGATGATCGCTGCAAGAAGCCGTCCACTGACTGCTCAGACCGCCAGTGTCATTCCACTAGAATCTGCAGTCTCTCGGGAAGGCGTCAAGGATCTGGGGAAGAATTTCTAGCGAGAATTCGGCCCAGAAACTGTTTCCAGTCTAGCTTAGGTCGGTCGCGACCTCATTGGCTAGGAGAGAGATATTTTGCTCGTTAATTGCTTGTTTCAAACGCGGAACAGGTTAACTATAGCTTCGATCTAGAAGCATGTCTGTGCGGGACAGTCATGAATAACGGATGCATACCCAGTACTGTACAGCATGGGGTACTAAACAGGCGCGGGGACGGCTCCGTCCAACGGTTTATACATCAAGTCCTCTTCCTTTCCGTCGGGCCCTTGCAGCCTCGTCTACCGAGAAGAAGAAAATCTAAGCCGTTGACGGCTCGACAGCCACACCCGGCTTGCCTTAGAGCAGACGTAGCGGAAGTCTCACGTCGTCTTCCAGATAGCTTCTGCTCTTGTCGTGCTTGATTGGGATGTCCGACAGGATGGCGGTGTACGACGGTGTGGGAGGGCCCCGGCTGTTCTGGAGAATTTTTGGAAGTTGTTTAAATAGAGTTGGTTTATCGGGGTAGAACGTTTCAGTTTCATCTTTTCTTTCTTTCTTCATCAAGCTGGTGAATATCTTCTTTTCTGCATCTTGAGTTTGAAATTTGTATACTGCTGTTTTGGTCAACATATCCCGACATTCACTTCTGATACTATCGTCCACACACTTCTCCACGAGCTTCAAGGCATTCGACAGCATTTTTGATCGATCTTTTACATTTATAATGGCTTCTTCTGCAGTCTCAATTTCTGGCTCTCTGGCTATTTGTTCGTGCTCTGTTCAGACATCCTATATTCTCGCCGGGGGAATGCCTACTAGCGATCACTCAGTCCAAGATCCTCCCTCACCACGCCCATTCCCCCTAACCCACCACCAAGCCCTGCTTAGGTGATTGACTATGTGTTGGTATGTTTTTGATTGGCATTGGAAAGAGCAAACTATGGAAATAGGTAAGCTTTTTCCTGTCGACATTGTGTATATCGGCCCATGATAGCCCATGATATATAATGGGACCCTTCCACTCACTGTCGCCCTGCAGATCATATTCTAAAGCATTCGATTGCCGACATACTAGGGTCATGCTGTTTAGGGAAGGCTGGAAGCTGCAGCCATAATTTGATACCCCTGACGGTCCTCGTGAAGACCTCTTATCTCCTTCTTTTCTTTGGGTGACGGGAAGCATGGGAATTTGATACTTACGAAGGGACTTGAAACCTTTGGATGGGAACATGAAATCTCGAGTCATAGCTTTCGTACGGGGTTACCCTAGAATGTGAGCCCTCAATGGCATATACGGAGTATTGGTACAATCAGATATCCTTTTTTTCAAATGTGCATTTTGGTCTGTGACAAGTGTTGATGGAGCCAACATGCCCAATCAACAAATCCCACCTTCATAGATATCTAGACAGAAAAGAACCAAGTAATGGGTAGAAGATAAACAAAGAAATCTGCGCCTTGAGAGCTCACGCCACGGGACCGGATTTCATGTATAAATTGCTCGACCAAATTGATTTTACTAACACAAGGAAAAATAACTCAAGCAGGTATGTGAATGAACTTAAAGGAAAGCAAGAGCCAGAGCGCTGGTGACGCTGAGGCCAACGACGGTCCAACCAGACTTGATGATAACGTTGTTGGACAGACCACGGCCAAGATCCCACATCAAGTGGCGGAGGCCGTTGAAGGAGTGGTAGGTGAAGGGGAGGGCCAAGGTAGCCTTGAGGAAGACCTTAGCGGCGAGGGGGAGAGCACCCATGGCGGCAACCATGGAAGCGGACTCGAGGTGCCAGCCGAGAGCGGGCGAGGCGAGGTATGCGGTGGCCCACAGGTAGAGAGAGCCGGAGAGGGCGACACCGCTGATACGGTGCAGGGAGGAGCCGATCCAGCCGATCTGGGGGCGGTAGATGGTCAAGTGAGGAGAGACGGGGCGGTTGAGACGCTGCTTGACCAGGATCTGGGCGGGGTCCTCAGCGTTGGAGGTGACGGGCCTGTATATCAAATGAATATCGGTTAATCTTTATGAATTTCGGACACGCGGATGACGTATGGCTGCCGTGGGGGTTGCCAATGCTGCCGTATATCTCAAGAATCTGGGTGACGAGTCTGCCACAGGTGATAACTGACCTCTTCTGCATGGTCTGTCCAAGGGCAACGGCGGCCGGAGAGGCGCGCATCATGGACTGCATGGCGAGCGGCTGCTGGACGGCAACTGTGAATCGAGACGAATTGTTAGCGGCAGTCGGATTTGCAGGTCGAACAAGAATTCAAAGGAATGAGACATACGCCGTCGCAGCGATTGCTGAGCAAGCTTCTGAGAGAACATGATGGTCGTCGTCGTCGTCGAGTTCTCGATGTTGAAGAGGAAGAACCCCGTCGCGAGCAATCGGAACGGACTACCTCGGGTTTGGAGCCGTCACGGGATTGCCGACCGGGAGCCAATGACGGCGTCTGCAATTACCTGCCATTACTCGTTCGGAAGATCTTTCTACCCGGGGTAGTCACGTGCACAGTCACCACAAAGGCTTAGACAGAGATCACATGACCGTTCTCGCTTGTGCCCACAGTCGGGACACGACCTTTTCTCTCTCTCGGTCCGTTTTGCTTTCCTCTTCTTCTTTCCTTCTTCACGAGTCTCCGCTCACGTTAATGTACCGACCTTGGTCGGGATGAAGTTGATGTGTTTAGCACCCTCTGGTTTCGGCATTCTGTCGCGACTGTCGGGGGACCTTCGAGACTCGCAGAAGGAGCTGTCCCGTCGTTAATCGCCCATTTGGCTCTTCCCATGAGTTCGATGGGTTTCATATCAGGGTTACATATCGTACTATTTAACGTAGATTGGGTTAGAGGTTATGTGCAGATCAGGAGCTATTATGGACAAACCTCTGCTATGGTTTGCTGTAATAAACTACAGGTGTATTGTTACCTCATAGACCACGCTGTACGCGCACCAAACATTTGGTCTTGATGCCTACCAATGAGATCCAAGGTTTTCCTGCCTTGACAGTTGGGGTCAAGCTATCGATCTGTGCGCTCGGATCTCTGGATGCCTATGAAACATAATATGGTATTACAGTACTATATATCATTTCAAAGTCATTGGCCTAGTCCATGTTTAATAATCGGGTTGCCGAGTTGCTCAGCGCCTGTTCCTGAACCCGAACCTGAACCTGAATCAGAACACGGGATTCTGTCACATGCGCGTGGTTCCCCTGAGAAAGTCATAAAAGAGCCGTTAAAGACCACGAAGGGAAGGCATAACGTCCACAATATTCACCAACGTAATCAACATAACTCTTTCTACTCCAGACTCTCCAGGATTATCAATCTGTTCCCCCGCAGCGTGCACTGGCAGCCGCTGGCCGAACTGTGCTGATTCGCCCATCCCCGAGTAATCCGTTTAATCCTCAGGCCACCGGCCACCGAACCTCGGCAACTTCGTCCACCCCACAGCAGAGGTCCGCGGCTACCTGGGGTTGCCCTCTGGGGCGTTTTTAATCACCTTTGTCCAGACCTCGGACTTTTCTTTTGATTCTGTTACCTACTTCGATTCATATACTTTGCATTTCTGTCTTGCTCAGACCCTTTTACTTCTGAAAGACTGTTCGTGTTAGCATTTCAGCTATAGAAACCTGCCGATCCTCTTCCTGCCCGATTAGATACCAGACTCCGTGACCTTACATCTTCAAGATGCCTTTCAACACAGCCCTGACCCGCAAGCTGGGCATTCGCGGTATGCGCTTGATCGCGACTTAACGTGTTTTATCATCTTCTGACAAGAGACAGTCCCCGTCGTGCAGGGTGGTATGCAGTGGGTGGGATATGCCGAGCTGGCCTCGGCTGTCAGCAACGCCGGTGGTCTGGGTCTGGTACGTCGCAACTGTCCTACAGCACGTTATTTGAATGACTTGAGATCCTAACGTCTTGTCTCTAGCTCACTGCCCTCACCCAACCCACCCCCGAAGACCTGCGCAAGGAAATTCGACGATGCCGCGAAATGACCAAGTACCCCTTCGGTGTCAACCTGACCCTTCTCCCCGCCATGGTTCCCCCCGACTACGGTGCCTACGCCCAGGTCATCATCGACGAGGGCATCAAGATCGTCGAGACCGCCGGTAACAACCCAGGTCCCGTCATCAAGCAGCTCAAGAAGGCCGGCATCACCATCCTCCACAAGTGCACCACTATCCGTCACGCCAAGTCTGCCGTGAAGCTGGGTGTTGATTTCCTGTCTATCGATGGATTCGAGTGCGCCGGTCACGTCGGCGAGCACGATATTACCAACTTCATTCTCCTGAGCCGCGCCCGTCAGGATCTGGGTGTTCCGTTCATTGCTTCTGGTGGTTTCGCTGATGGTCACGGTCTGGCTGCTGCGCTGGCTCTCGGTGCCGAGGGTATTAACATGGGTACTCGCTTCATGAGTACTGTCGAGGCTCCTATTCACCAAAATATCAAGGAGACTATCGTCAAGGCGCAGGAGACTGATACCGCTCTTGTGCTGCGTCGGTGGAAGAACACCTCCCGCCTGTTCGCCAACAAGGTGACCCAGGACGCTCTCAAGATTGAGAAGGAGAGCACGACTGGTGACTTTGCTGAGATTGGTCCCTATGTGAGCGGCAAGCGTGGTCGTCAGGTCTTCCTGAACGGTGACCCTGACTATGGTGTAAGTTGTTACTTGTTTTGTGCTGTCGTTTTTGTTCTGTTCAAACTGACAATTCCCTTAGGTTTGGACCGCTGGCCAGGTTATTGGCCTGATCCATGATATTCCTACCTGCGAGGTCCTCCTCCGCCGTATTGAGAAGGAGGCCTTAGAGTCTATGACCCGGGCCCGGAGCCTGTACAGCGACGCCCCGGCTGCCAAGCTGTAATTTGGGACGATTCTTTGCTATTTTCATTTATATCTTCATGTGACTTGAATTTGGATTCGGTGATGCAATAGAGCATGTGTAGGAATTATACCGCAATCTGCAAGCTTTTTTGATTCATATTCTTGTTCCTTTGCATAATCTCGTCGCCCAAGACAGATTGTGATTCAAGTCACCACCTGATGTTCAGCTGCAAGACAACGTGAAGATCTCTAGAGAAAGACACCGCTTTTCTCTCGGGAATGACTCGAGAATCACCGTCGTGGCTGGGTGGCCCATGCAACGCATTCCTAAGCGCAGCTGCATTCTCGAGCTTTGAGTTTGGTGATGATCGGGCAACGCGGTCTATGTTTACTCGGACATTCTCATGTCCACACAATTATTATCATTGTTCCCGACACATAGTCCACTGTCAATTAAAATAGCTTAGTCTATGATTCGATCACTGAATCGCTAATTCTAGCAGAGGATACATAGGATGAAGTGTGATGGTGTCATCGCTCGTGGATGTCCAAGGGGTGGACGTCTGCAGGCTTCCTTGCATCCGCCCTTGAGGGATCGCTCGAGAATGCATGCAGCCCTGCCTGCAATTGGGCTGGTCTTGAGCTTTGTCTGCCTCTCAGCTTTGTAGCGGGATCTTTCCAAGTTGCGATCTGTATTGCATTATGACGTCCGTAGCAACCGGTACTATGGCCGCGTACGCTGTGGTGAATCTCTGCAGGAACTCCTTCGTCGAAGCCACCTATGTAATTCACAGGCTATCTGTTTACTGAGTACTGGCCTAGATTTGAATCTGAAATAGCCTGGAAGACCGCGGTAGCTCAATTCAATGCATGCAAACTAACTCCGGTCTTCTCCAAGTTAGATGATCGACGGTAGCACCGCAGCCACTAGCTTATCATCAACAGAGCTTCATCTTGGTAATAGCTGTACTCCGCACAATTATCCAAAGTCAGCTTGCTCAAGTACTTATGCAAGAGCTTACAATGCAGTCCAGTCAACCAAGCTAGGTCCACCCCCTTGCCCCATATCTGCCACAGCTGTAGTTTATCAACTCTCCACCCCCCACCTGATCAAACCACCACGAGCACTCAATTCAACCTACACAACGTTATATCATCGATAATCATGGGCTTCATTACATCCGTAGCTCGCTGTGTGCGAGAAAACAGACTCTCGCTCAGACTTTCAAATGCAAAGCCGCAACGACTCGACGATGACTCGAACGATCTGATCAAAACAATCTCCCATACTGCCTCCGTCGCCCCCGCCGAGAGCATTGCGTCTGCATCTACCATGGTCCAGCATTCATCTCAAGAGCCGGTCATCCCGACTGAGTCCCCCGCGCATATGAAGCAGCCGGCTCCATGGGATTTGGACATTCGGACAATGTTTGACGAAGTGGATTCGCTGGATCCGGCTACGAGTCGTGCTATCAGGGCGTTGTCGATGCCCGAATATCCTGTTCTTAGGATGGATACTATTCAGTCACCATTCGATACGCCGACGAAGAAACTAGACGACGCGATTGATCCGGGAGAGAAAGATGTCCAAAATGGAGGCAAGACAGAAAAGTCTAAGAAATCTCGAAAAAGCCGGGAAGAAAAGCGCTCGAGGGATACTCAAACAGAAGAATCTGGCAGAGCCTCAAGAATAAAACGATCGATGACTGGATTGCTCAAGAGACGCTCGCTCAAGGTCCCGCAAACACCCACATCGCTGAAGACGTTGCGGAATTCCAATTCGCCAAAGTTGATTGATTCTTCAAGTATTGTGGAGGAGGATGTTGTGGGTGAGAAGGACGATCTCAAGTGGCTCGAGGCGAATGGATTACGGAGGTTTGACAAGAGAAGTAGTGGGTTCTGGACTGGAGAGGGAATGGGAAGACTGTGGTGATTTGAAGATGTACATACCGAATGAAAGAGTATATACACGATGTCAATGTCTATTCTACCAATGAGACATGAGATGGGTCTTTGAATGTCCCGGCTGTTATCTTTCATCTGTTCCGAGAGTTATTGGGTCCACGTTGTTGAAACCGAGACAGATAATGCTCCCAACCGCCTGCACTGCCACTATAGCCTATCAGCATTTGTTGGGGAATAACCTGGAACGGGAGGAGGGTCATGAATACTTGATTCGCTAACACTGGAGCTACGCACCAAACACCTTGCCGCCATCACGGTTGGGCGCTACTTCAATCTTTGTTATCGATCCTAGAACAGAATTTGTCAATACTACCAAGTTCATAAAGATTCATTCTTTAGGAGCGACTTGTAGAGATAAGTGCCACTAAGGTTCGGCCGGGGCGCATTTGAGAGATGAGGCTGAGAAAGACGAACCGTACTACTGGAGCGCGATCATCGAACTGACCCCTCGGCCCTTGGGCTGAAACAGAATGTCCATGGCCATCGGTGGCTATGCTCGTTTGGAAGACGCCGCTTGCGCTCTACTCAATAAATATCAGCATAGACTCTATCATGGCCTCAGAACGCCTCACTACATACCTGCTATAGTCTTGCTGAATCCACCATGGCCGATCCATTTTCAGTGACTGGGAGTGCGGTAGGCGTTATCTCGCTTGGCCTTTCCCTCTGTCAGGGCTTGCTGGCTTACTACGGGCCATTCAAAGCGTATGATGAGCAAATTCATGATGTCTCACGCCGCATAACAAGCTTCAATAGCACTTTGAAGGCGTTACAAGATTTGCTCGCTAACGCGCAAGTCTTTTCTTCTCCCCTGACCGCTCAATCCGCAAACAGTGGCACTCGATTCCATTTTTAGTTGTCAGGAAGGTTTGGACAGATTGGGGAAGATGCTGGACATATGCAGAAGCACCAAAAACATATTAGGCTCAAAAATCCAGATCAATAGGATACTGTATCCTTTCAAACGTGATACACTGATGGTGCTCTTGGAAAGAGTGAGCTGGCTGCAAGCTCAACTCAATACCTCACTACAAATACTAAACATGTTAGTCCACTGTGAAAGAAAAAGACGTTTCTCGCTAACTAATAGAAATCTCTAAGGGCCATGATGGTGATCGCCCAGAAGCAAGTTGACATGGTCCTCACGTATTCAGCATCGAGCGCCCTCGATACCAGCCAGATGGTACTCGTAGCTCAAAAGTCTGATCAGCGCGGCATGAGCATTGAGAACAGACTAGAAACGCTTGAACATTATCTGGAACAGATGGTACAGCTATTATCCAAGATTCCAGAAAGTTTCTTCCTTGAGCTGCTACTTACGATTCCGCTTAGCAATACGACCACTCCCACAACAAAGTTCAACCAGCTTTCACCCCAGGTCTTCTACAATCGGCGTTACAGCACCAGAGATTTCTGGATGAGGAATCGGATGATCAGGCGACAATTATTATATCTCAGCATACTCGGCGCCGAAAGAAATGCTCATGTAGTCGTCCAAGTCGGTCTACATACTCAGGGAGAGCCCATGCCAAAGTTCAGCTAATCACACCGGATGTGAGCTTCACACAGAAAGCAAAATGGTGATGACTTTGCTTCATCGCCGAATATTATGTAGATGGGCTTTACGGATCTCCCTCGAGGCATCTTTCTCAAGCATCAATGGGGCGGGGGGCTTCTCTATCAGTCCCAAATTTGAATTTCGTGCTATTGTGCCCATCCATTCTGAGGTATCCTCCGCACTTTCCGGTGCAGAGAAGAGTTTGAAGTCTCGGGATGTCTCTGCTGTCATTAAGGATGCCCAGAGGGCTTTGTTTGAAGCATTTCGTGGAGGCAAGGCATCGAAATCGGATGCTCTTGGAAACGGCGATACTATTCTGCATGTGAGTATTAGTTTGACATGAATGTCTAATTTCCCCACCGATAAAAGTACTTTGAGGATAGTTAGCCCCTTGGACGAATGTCTCTCACTAACTATAATAATAGGTCGTAACAAGATGGCAAGGTCACAGCTATCGGTGGGATCCACGTTCACGGCTTACCTGGCGTTCGGTCATCAACAGCCTCTTGCAAGCAAGCCTCTCTCCGAACCGTCCCAATGATCGCGATCAGACCCCTGCTGACAGCATGATCGATTATATTGGTCATGAAGGCGGCGACATGAACAAGCAACAGTTAACAATTGATATATGTTCAGACCTGCTGAAAGCTGGAGGATATATGACCCGGGAAGCCCTTAATTGGAGACATTCAAGAGAATACCTTTAACCCGGCTTACTATTGTTTCAGAGTGGATGGGCGTAGGAACGATCATTTGTTCGAAGACTTCAGCTTCCGTCTTATTTGGAAAATTGCCGATGAAAAGGGACTTCAAGGTAAGTGCACTATGATGTGAATTAGAAAGAGAACAAACCTAAGTTCAACTCAGACATTGATCTCCCAGAAGAGATGCAGCCTCTCGTGTACAAATCAGGGAAGCTTCTGGCTGCACAACTAAGAAAAGGAACTGATATCCATCGATGGATCGAAAGTTACACTCGTTGGGGGCCTGGCTTGGCCTTGATTCTCCAGTCTGGCTACACACCACCTGTGGGCGCCGTGAGAGCAGCATGCGAAGCCAACTGTGAGCAAAGCGTCAAGATAGTGGTCGATGATTATAACTGCTTTATTGGAAGGGAGGAGCTTGCAATCGCCAGTCTTCATCCAAACCAGGCCATTGTTGATATGATAATCAACGCATTCAGTGATCGCAGGAGGCGTTTACAGGATTAGCAGAGGCGCACTTACCGAGGGGAGTTACAGACCAACTATGCATCGGAATCGATACACTTCAGAATGTCAATGCGTATGAAGCATACACACTACTTGCCGCGACTTCTGCAAATTTGGAAGGTCTCTCAGAGCGTCCTCGGTGGTCCGTCTTCGACTGTGTCGGTGTCAATCTTGATCTGGCAGATCAGCTATGGGACTCGGGTTTCCGAGACGTGAATGCAATAGATAAGAAGAACGAGACATGTCTCACCAAGTTGTGGGAGAACACCCCGCCATGTGACTTGGATGTCTTTCTACAGAAGGCTCACTGGTTAATCAGCAAAGGTGCTGATATTCGTACCACAACTCCTCTGGATCAGCTTTGCATGCCTTGGGAAACAGTGTAGGAACAATTGTGTATTGGATGAATCAAGGAGAAGACGGTTCTTTGCAGAGTCCCCCGTCGAAGATTGACTCTCTAAGTGAAGCTTCAAAGAAATTGCTGATCACAATTATCTCCGACACTACTCGAGACGATTGCGAATGTGCCTGCTCTCTAAATGAATGCTCTCCACTCACGACCCTTTTGAGCGGACTCTTCCCTGCACGGAGCCAGAATGAAACAGCAGAACGAGTGCAAGTTCTTGTGGAATCATTGAAATTTGCACCTTTGCGATCTGACTCCGAGCTTCACAAACCTCTCAAGAGCCATTTGGCTACTGGTATACTTCGTTTCATCAATTTTCAGAGCTTGGAGATTACTCATACTTGCTTGCATGAGTATAGAAAGATCGAGCCGGAGGAAATAAAGGAGATTCAAGATGAAGAAAAACCCATGATATTGGACCTCGAGATGCTACTGACACAATATCTCGATGAACTCGAAGGGCAAGGCTTACAACTTCCGACATACATAACAAGATCGTGGCGGACCGACATGGCTACATGTCTATCATCACCTAGAGCGTACACTACAAGGGAGTTTGACAAATTACTTGAAACAGGCATCGTTTTGCTGGAAGATATACAATGATGATTAGAAATCTGCGAGAGGCGTCAATTGTGAATGGGATTTACGAAGGCCAGTGTAGGTGTAGCAGAATCTAATCGATTAAAGATATATATGCGAGAGAAGAATGGTCAGACAGCAGCTAAACCACAATTCAGGTGCACCAAAATCAGAGAAGCAAGGATGGACCAAGCCAAAACATCAACATAAACCAAAACAGTCTTCTTTCTCCGAGGGGGTGCCACACGACACAATTAATGATACACGGGCAACGAGAATAACAGATCATCTAACTATTGAAACAAATGCCAGCAGGGCCTGCTTTCCATCCCCGAGAATCGATAACAGTCCGTGTTTGCGTTCATATCCGAACCCGTCTGGACCCGAAGGCCCAGAGAGTCGACGCGGCCACCAATGCTTCTCGCATAATGGTAGAATGCAAAGTAGAGCACTTAGATGATGGAGCCAAGGGCAACGCAGGGCAGGCCAAGACCAATGAGATCGGAGTTCTGACGAAGCATTAGCATGATATATGAATGTAATATGAAGGATGATACTCACGGCGCTGGAGGGGGAGTTCTGGCAGCAGGCAATGTTCTGCTTGCACTTCTGGTTGACCAGATCCTGGATGGGGATGGCAATGAGGATGGGGATCTGGAGATCCAGCTTGGAGCACTGGTCGAAGAGACCCAGGCCGTCGGCACCGGAGCCGGCACCGATCAGGTTGCTGAGGGTACCGCCGAGCATGCCAGAGTTGACATCGGTGGTATCGCCGGCGTAGGTGGCCTTGTTGCAGCAAGAGAGCTGTGCCTGGTCACCACACTTGGCCTGAGCCTGCTTAACAGTCATGTTATCGGGGACAGGGAAGCGGATCTGGGTGTTGCCCTTGTTGGCGACACCGTTGGCGTTGCCAACACCACCGGCAGAGGGGCCGACGGGGGGCAGAGCAGCAACGGTGGCAGCGAGGCCGAGGAGAGCGGACAGAGCGAACTGCATTGTGACTGTGGGGTTGGAATTGAACGAGAGAGTCTCGGAGAGAGTAGATAAAAGAAGACTGGACTTCGAAAGAAGGGAAGGCTTTAAAGAGAGTGATGCGTGATGAAGAAAAGAGGCAGACTGGCGATGAATGACCACTCTTTTATACACCTCGAGGAGTGGTCTGTGAGTCGTCCTTGATCAACTATTTCCTTCTGATTCAGTTGTTTGTTTCGTCTCATCACTGTGTAATTCTTCCCTCCCTCTCCCCGGAATGCTACACGCAGGGAAACCAAAGGGGTGGATCACTTGAATCACTCCACTCCTTAGGGCTTCATCGGCCAAAGAACGCTCCCCTTCGAGCCTCCTGGTATGGATCTACCAGGTCCAATTACCGCGGGTTTCACGCGACTGCATTGCCTGCCCTGGCATTCCTAATATCCAACGAGGCCTTGTTGACAGTTTGGCCAGGCTCCTCTGGCCCTGACCTCATTCTCCGAACGCAAAGTCTTACTGCTGATCTTTATTTTGTTCTGTCTAATTTTGGTAATCATATTTTGGGCAAACCACAACAAGCACTTAGTTACTCTCTAGCTTACTCGTACTTTTTAACATCATAACAATGTAATTAGTATAGTAGCATGATTTGACTGGTATAGGTCAACCCCAAACAAAGCTTAAAGCCCGTTAGTTCCTAGCTAGTGGGTCTCTCGGGGCCTTCCTTGTTCCTGACCCAGCCACTCACTAATTTCTCCACGGTCCACCCAGGGGCTTAACACCTACGGGGTGTCTTAGGCATGACCCTGCGGTAAACTCGGGCACTAAGGCATGTAACCGCGGTGGCACTCATCTGCCGCTATGAAATAATCTTAACTGTGTACGTGCCTTGCTAAAGGGCTTTCACCCTGGGATTTAGACACTGCAAGGGATTGCACGGGTTGACCACTCACCCCCAGCCAACCATAGGGAGGCTTTCCCGACCCTCCCTTCATTGCTTCGTGCCCCTGGACCACGAAGAAGAATTGGAGATCACAATGCTGCCAATTCGCCGTGTTTTCTCCACATGAAAAGCCCGATCGTGTTATGTGAGTCGTACCTGAACGCTGAAGCAATGCTATTGTGGGGTTCTTAGAGGGCCTTCCATGACCTATTCCCCGACTTGCGGCGCTTGGTCTTCCTCCCTGCTGGTCAAAAATCACCGTTAATCTCCCGATAGTCTCCCCTTGTCTTACTGGCCAAGCAATCCTCAGCCCCTTAGTCTACCCATCCTTCCCCTTGGTACTCGGTGCCTGCTTGTAGTTCTGCCTTGGTCTTTTGGCAGACGGAGTACGCCGTGAAATCCTGTTCTAGTTATTTTCCAATGCTGTGATGGAATGCATGAAATTTGATTTCGTCTAATTCATGTATATCACAATCTTTCTCACTGTCATGAGTCATTGATGGGAGATGAGTTGGTTGTCTGGGGACCCGGCCAAGCGAAGGAAACAAAAACAAACGCCAAAACAGAAGAGATTACTTGTAGTACGTAGTAGTCATGTAGTAGGTACCATCAGAAATCCCATTCTCAAAAAAGCTCCCTTGGGTTAGGTCAGCATCCAAGTGCAATAGGTAGTTTTAGTAGACAAGATATGCATGAAGTAAAACCTACGGATAGTACTGTTGGAAAGATCTTTCTACCTGTATGAAGCCAGAGTACCTCTATTCTGAGCTGAAGGTAGCTTGTAACGAAGTATAGGTGGAACATCGATTGGAAGTAAATCAAAATTCAGGGCCATTGCTGCTCTGTAGGTGGCCCTTCCAAACACTATGAATCTCCATCGCCTAGATCTCATGGGTGTATATTGATTCAATATTGGCCATTCCAAAAGATTGTAATTTACTTTCTAACGTCTAGTCTATTACATCTTTTAAGAGACTTAATCTCATGAGTTACGTGGTGGTTAATGGATTGATGTTGGGATGGATAGGTATCCGGCGTCGTTCGTGGATATATATCTTGCCAGTGGCACCTCTATGTAGAGCACCCTACATTCACCAACGAACCAGGCCTATAACCCGATCTAGTTATTCAAACGGGCAAGTCATAAGCCTAGAGGCAATTCCCAATTTCTTTTAAAAATAAATGCTGAAGTCTTTTCTTCCCCCAAGAAAACTTGGCAGTATCCAGAGATGGACATTGGAGGCCATGACTTATACCCCCCGGGCCGATTCTTCACCACGCCAAGCACCTACATTCGGTGGCCTAACTCTGAAACCCGCTGAACCTCGGGAAAAGTTTGCATTGTTTTGCTCAAGGTGATCAATTGCCATTCTTGTACATTCCTCGACAGATTAGCGGGGTTTAAATTCCAGCACGTCTCATGCGAGCCACGCGCTGGTCCTCGCACACGCGCACGCCATTATCGTTCAGACTCTAGGTTACGTCCGGAGCCAATCCAGTCTTGCAATTGCAATTGTTTGACCAGCCACCGAGTCATGATTAAGGTTGCCATTAAGGTTGATTATCTACAAGTCTGGTCATTTGACATCGCTGCAACCTAGGGTGACCTCGTAGAGACAGAAATGATGTCAATGATATCCATGTCATCTGATAGAACACTCCGAGGGTGGGAATGTAAAGGTCTTCCGGGAATTAGCTTAAGCTTGAAGAAGATGCATAGAAGTCGTCCGAATTTTTATCAATCAAGGGTCTAAAACTATGCATTCTACAACGCGTTCTGGAGTCTCTTGTCTCTCGATTGTCCACTCCCCAGTCTCAGGATTATACTCCAGTAAATAGAGTACTTCCTCGTTGCCATTATACGAGTGCACGAGCTCAAGGTTGGGCTCATTGTAGTGACCCATAAACTCGAGGTCAAATTTCATCTCTGCACCTGTCTTCACCGCGTCGCGAACATGAATGATGTATGGTTCCGCACGAGCAATACGTCGGCTTCCTTCCAGCCTAACAGACTGAAGGAAAGTAACGGGAGTGACATCGCTATCAACCCCAGTGACTTCCACTTTACGCCTATCTTCTTCCTGCGTCTCAACTTTGACTATAAGACGTCGTCGCAGGATGAATGGCGGTATGGGCAGATCTAACTTCTCCATGAGCTTGGCCATCAAAATGTCCGTTTCGGTGAAGATGCGATAATCGGTGATACCATCTACTGGCGTCTTTTGTAGATTGCAAACGGCGAGTTTCGCGCCTTTGCGCTCCCCGACTATCGTGGGGATAGTGCAGGCTGGGGTGATGCAGGCTGGGGTGATTGTCACGGAGGACCCCAGCACGAGACAGAGATCGGCCAGCTCCGCATGTTGGTAAGCTAGATCTAAGTCTCGTTTTGGGAGGTTCTCGCCAAAATTGATAATGCTGTCAACAAGGGTTCCGCCACAACGTGCGCACTTGCGACCCGTTCGATGGTCGTGGATGCCATTCTTGTAGGTTGAGACAGCACGGAAGTCTGAAAGCACAATACATTAGAAACATTTTGAAGATATCGAAGACCAAGTTTGGTTACCTCGCATATACTCTTTGTTACAATCCTTGCAAGCTTCACGGTTGCTGTTCCCATGGAGTTCGGCGATTCTCTCCTTCGGAAGGGTTAACGCCAGGGGCTTGCTCCTGATTAACGGGGGAAAACACGCACGGGCAGGATATCGCTTCGCCTATGAAGGCCATCACAATTTTGGCTTACAAGAAGCTTTAGAATACCACGGTTTTGCAGTTCTACGAGTGCCATATGAGATAATGTTGGGATGGCTTGTAGGGCGTTTGCGTGCTTAGTGCGTGGCTTGCCTTGGGCGCGCAAAGTCCAGTTGCCACCAGGGCCACGAAAGTCAGGAATTCCTGTACACTTTTATAAATAATTGATCAACAGTTTATCTCAAGAATAGCCCACCAGCGGATGTAGAGACGCCTGCACCAGTGAAAACGATAAAGTGCTTGCTTTTTTGATTTGTTTTGCCAGGGCATCTGCTTCCCGATCGACGGCAGCGAGGGACTCGCGACGCTCCTCTGCAGCGACTTTTGGGGCAGTTTCGGCCATCTTTAATCGTCTATCTGATTGTTGAATGCTCAAGACTTTGTGAGTCTTGATTGGCGACAAGTGGTGACTTTGATGAGGCTCTTAGGTTCTTGTGGGTTCCAACGTCATGGCGGAGATGGAATAAGCAGCACAGGCCCCGATGTCAATAAACAAGATCGAGCTTCGGCTTTCGGCTGGTTGGTCAGGATCATGTTAGCGGATGTGAATCAATCTCTTGTTCCGTATAAGTTGGGCATAGTGTTCAGAAAAATAGTACAGTAGGACGGGTGTATTCCAAAGCTTCATCTATACTTGTGATACCCAAGATATTGAGAACATCCGCGGTGACATATAGTTGTCCCCATATGTAAGACGAGTACATAGTCTAGATGGAAATCTTGAACATTTTGATTGGTGTCTTGAGCCCACTATCATTGCCTCAAGAATTCATCAACTTATTGTAGAAAGAAGCCAATAAGAGGTTCTGAGTAGCAGATGATTATCATTATGTCCATGGTACGGAGTACCTCACACCTCTAAAACTGCTCAGTGGTGCGAGTGCAACTGCTCGCATCCATTTGGATGGTTGAGAGGCTTCAGAGCGCAGATTAGACCTAGCTGATTTGGAACTGGCATCAATAAAGCCTCAAAGTGGCAATTGAGGTATGATATATCCGAAAATTAATCTGGATGCGATTTCTATTTCTCTTCGTCCTATTTGGGGATCTGAAGACTACGATGATATCACCAAATCCACGCTAGACCTCTTCGGGCACGGGCGGTGAAACAATCATCGCGAGCTTCGTCAAGTTCCTGATGCTCTTCCCACTCGACTCTTATGCGCCGATGGTTAAGCGCATTATCATCGACTCTCAATTTGTCACAGGGGAGGCAGTGCTAATTGACAGAATGTCTGATCAACCACACGCCTCGGCGTCTCCCAAGGAGGACCGCCCAGGCACTCCACCTGCGCCAGGCACACCTCTGGCCGATCCAGAGGAGAAGCTTGAGACCAGAGAAGAGTCGGAAGAGCAAGAACAGGAAGACACACAACCGGGAGAGCAGCAAGAAGAGAAGGATCCGGAGCTAGAGAGCAAAGAAGACGATGAGAAGCCCGACGAGTCCAACTCCGCGCCGCCACTGCCCGACGAAGTCCCTCCGCCACTCCCCGATGAAGCACCGCCTGGCCCAGCGGAGGATGATGGATGGGAGCCCGTGTGGGATGCCAACGCCCGGGCGTTCTATTTCTACAACCGGATCACTCTTGTCTCTCAGTGGGAGAATCCCCGAGTACCCGAAGCAACAGCCCCGGGCACAGAAAGCGCCAGCGCAGCCGTCATCCCAGAACCTCCGAAGAAAAACGAAGCTGTACTTGGAGGCTACAATCCGGCGATCCATGGCGACTACGACCCGACCGCTCCCTATGCGCAACAGTATGAGGAACAACCGCAAGAGACTGGTGGACCTGCGCTCGATCCATCCGCCGCATATGCCTCCACTGGCACATTCAACCGGTTTACCGGCCGCTGGCAGGCAGATTCGATCAACCCAGAGAACTTCAATGACGAAAACAAGTCGCGGCGACAGATGAATGCCTTCTTTGACGTTGACGCCGCAGCCAACAGCCACGACGGCCGGAGTCTCAAGGCTGAGCGGAGCGGAAAGAAGCTCAGCAAGAAGGAGCTGAAGATGTTCAAGGAGAAGCGCCGGGAAAAGAAAGAGGAGAAGCGGAGGGCGTGGCTGCGGGATTAATAGGTGAGATCGGAGCTGGAAATTGAGAGGGATATGAGCTGCTGTGATCTACGCACTGGTTCAATTTCTACAGATGTTGTCGCATATCAGGATGCCATTTGCATATTGGGAATTTTGTGATACCACCCACACATCGGGCGTGGGAATTTGGGGCGTTTTATGGTTCTTCTATTTGCTGGGCTGTTTCATGTGCATAGAAGCGGGCAGCTTTTGCTTTGCTGGACTTGACAAGTGTGGTGTTCAACTGCATGTATGATTAAACAGGAGATTAACTGGATAATTGAGCTTGTGTATCAACAGATTTATCTGAACTATTGGAGCATACACTCCATACTCCACGCATGGAAAAAGGAGCCTTCTGGTTCCATCAAACCCCACCATAAGTCATGTGACCGTAGATATCAAAGTTTCTTTCGGATCAGTCAATCTTTACTGGCGGATTCTAAGCGATTAAAGATTAACACAGAGGTAAGAAACATCCTATGTCATGGTATAAGCTGTATCTGGACATGCTTGACTACCCCAAAGCTTGAACTTGATTCTTTCTTGGTGGGCTGAAAAGACCCCTCATTGATCCATGCCCTTATCAACCCACCATGCAAATCCTGTGATGCTAAGGTCACTTGAATCATCAAGATCGACCTGTTTTCCAAGGATCCCATGATCATTTGCTTCCAGCATCATTGGTTGACTCACCCAGGACTGTGAAGAATCCACTTACTAACATCCCCTCCAGGACATATCAAATTCTCTGCTAGCCAGAGAAAAATTTCTCCACCTGGATACTATCAAAGTCCACCCTTGACAGTGGGAGTTGCATAAAACCCCCCATAACACATTTGAGACACTTTTTACGAGGTCTCCTTCAATTTACACAAAATGTCTGCCTCCACACCAAAGCCTAAGCCGACAGTACCTGTCGCGCTTTCATTCGAGGCCATCGACGACCTCATCTACGATGCCCGCGCTGGCGACCTCGAGGCTCTGAACGCCGACATTGCCACTCTCGCCTCGCAGCACAACTGCCCAGAGTCGTACATTGTCGCCTCTGCTATTGATATGGAAGATGAGAGCGAAGGCGGGACAGGGTCCTGCGTGCTGCACTTCCCCGCCGCCAACGGCAACAGCGGTATGTCCCCATCTCCCACATGTGTGCTTAGATGTGATGAATTTTTATACTGATGAAACTAGAAATCCTCAACACACTCCTCCAAAAACTCTCCACTCTGGATGTCGCCCAGCGCACGGCATTCGTCAACCACCGCAACCACTCTGGTAACACGCCCCTGCACTGGGCTGCGCTGAACACGCACCTGGAGTGCGTTAAGGGTCTCGTTGAGGCTGGTGCCGACGTCGCTATCAAGAACGACGCTGGCCACGATGCTGTGTTCCTGGCTGAGCGTGCGGCTTGGTCTGCTGCTGCCGAGGAAGAGGGTGAGATTGATGAGAATGCCGAGGAGCCGCAGGAGATTGAGATGACTATTGGTGAGGAGCAGGGTGAGGGTGAGGGTGAGAAGCAGGCTGATGCTGGGGAGATGTCTGCTGGCAGACAGGTTGTTGAGTGGTTGTTGAGCTCGGAGAAGGCAGCGGGTTTGGAGAGTAGTGCTACTGAAGGGGAGAAGTCTGCGTGATTTTAAGTGATGATCTTTGTTATGTTGATGTTGGTTATGGATATGAAAAGCATTAAAAGTTTGGTTAGATAGACGCAAGGCATGTCTGTTCTTATGTTATGACGAGTTTGAAGGGTCTAGTCTTCTCATTAACCTGGGCGAAGCACGGGAGATATCGTAACATTGTAATGTGAGTCTCATTCGAAGAGGATGGATGAAGAAAAATATCTATAGCTTCACTATAATATACAGTACGCAGATGAATACTTTTGTACAGATGTAGATGCAAATCATCAGTCACGGCGGACTTTCCCCGTCACACCACCATTGGCCTGCGGCGAGACAGGAAACCAGTCTACAACCGACCCGGTCGAGTATGAGCCCTCCGATGGTACGCCACGGTCCGAGTCAATCTCGCGGACTTTAGCGTCAAATCCAACCTTGAAACGCCGGTCTCGCCAGACAACTGTGACGCCACCATAGACGGCTATAATCCAGATAGGCAGAGCCAAAAGTTCACGGCCGAGCCAGGCGGCAAACCACTGCAGGAAAGGTCGGCGAGTGGCTTGGGAGGGGCGGCGATTAGGCCGCGCAAAGACGGGGGTGTCCTCGTCGACTTCAATGGCCTTTGCAGAATGCAGTTTGATATAGAGAGTCCAATCGACCAGAATCCAAAATGCGATGCTCAGTGCGAAAATTGCAAAGAACGAGGTCCAAGTCGCGAGGCCGGCGGCAAAAGAATATCCCTTCTGCTCAAGGTATGGGGCTAACGCGGTTGTGATGCCCCAGGCGCCGTAAATCGAGCATACGAAAGACTCGGTACCTGGTTCGACGAGGGTTGCCAGGAGCACCGTGAATTTGCGGACACGCAGCCACCGCACTCGTCGAGCGATGTACCCTCTTATACTCATGTTGGCCACGGGCTGGATCGCCAGGTCTCCAAACACCATGCCATGTTTGCCCCAACGCTCGCCGAGCTCCTTTTCTTCCCGGATCTTCTTGCGCCAAAGCAAGTCACCAATCAAGTGGTCCTCGCAAATGTTGTCCGAGAAATAGTCAACACCAGGGTGCCGAGCGTTACGATCTCCTGGGGTCGGGGCCGTGAGGTAGTCCAAATGTGAGCGACGGAACATGTTCGACTTGCCTACGATGCATGGCGCAATGAGAACCGTGTTGATAGCGGTGTACATCTTGGCGTGCGATGAAGACAGGAAGAGCTCCTCCAGACGACCACCGCCCGTTTCAATGGTGCTGGTAAACCCATCTTCTGGACGCCTGGACATCAAGGAGATATCTGCGGCCCTAGGCACGGTAGCGTTTGGACGAGCATCTAGTAGCGCCTGTCGCTCTCCACTCAAGTTATTCTCGCCCGTAACATCCACCGCGACGGGCAGATGATGTACGAACTTGAATTTCTTGCCTGAAGTAGCTCCCGTTCCACAAAGTCTGTCCACCATGCGACCACAGACGCCCTTTCCAACCCAGACGTTACAGTCGATGATCCAAATTATATTACCCTTCGCTTCACGGTACGCACGGCTCATGTTCCGAATCTTGGGGTTCGGCCCAAGCGCGTACGCACCCGGTCCAATACCCTGCAACAATGGGTCCTCCTCCTCGACATATACACGCGCATCGACATCGGGGAAATCGACAAGGAGTTTGCAAAGGGTCGGATAGGCCGGGTCGTCGCGCGTGGCCACACAGAGACAGACGGTGAGCTTGTCACGGGGGTAGTCCTGGCGAAAGGTGGCCGCAAGGCAGTCGTACAGATGGGGCTCGAGGCCCTTCACCGGTCGAATCGCCGTGACATGAGGAGCGTCCGGGTTGGTGGTCAGAGTCGAGGGCCGGGGTCGTCGCAAGAAATATCGCCAACTGGATACCAAGAAATCCACTTGTTAGTCACAGCCACAAACCCCATCATTTCAACACTAGTGTGTCCCCGCGTGCTCGTAATCGCGGGGCAAGAAGAGAACAAGGGGACAAATGCAGCCACAGCTCTCGTTTAATGTCTTACATCTGAGAATATCCCAAGGCACATACAGCTAGCACGACAATGTACCAGATCAGACCGACCCAGCCCGCCGCAACAGACACCGGCATTGCGCCATTGCCAATGGGCACTTCCAGGAGGTATGAGGTCGGCTCTAGCATGAGACTCGGGGGGAGAGACAAGGGATGTCGACAGGCGAAGAGGACATTCTAGGACGGGAGGAGTCCCCGGGGTAAGAGGAGAAAGTGAGTGAGTGGTGGGTGGAGGGAAGTGAGGGTGAGGGTGAGGGTGAGAGGATGGGGCAGAATAATTAAGAGTGGAGTCCCATCGCCAGTTCACACTGCAGTTCGGAACTCACGGCTTGTCCTGTTAGAGATGCACCGCCCCTGACTGGAAGAATCCTCATTTTCCACATTTTCTTTGAATTCTGCTGCCTATTTCATATGAGAATTCATGACCAATTTATGCGGCATTATCTATAGATCAGATGCTATTATGCAGATTGGTATTTGGTAGTATACTTCGGGTTCTATAGCTGGTCTGCTTGATTATCCATCCATCTACGAACTTTATAAGTATAAGAATCATGTACAAAATACCACTCAATTCCCCGATTATCGAGAATTAATTGGTATTCTCTTGCTCCTCAGCTGGATTCAGCATCCGACTTCACCTCTGCGTCGCCCGGCTCGTTTCCAGACAAGTCATCCTCCACTTCATCGAAAATCACTCCTAGCTCACGCACTCGACTGATTTCCTCTTGGCTTGGAGGGTCATCATTCTGAGATCTTTTTAACATTTCTTCCTGCCAAATAGTGCCAAGGAATTCACACAGGGGCAGGTCCGATGTTTCATACATGATCTGGAATCTGGCCACCAATTCTTCATGCACGGAGATCAGCTCTCGCCATTCATCCTGCATTTCGTCAATTTCTTCCCAGTCCCTTGGTTCCCAGTGATAACATGGTTCAAGGTGAGGAGAGTAATCGCAATCGCCATCTTCGGTTGACAAGCATTGCACTGGATGACGACACGTGTGTGGGAGTTGAAGCGCTTCAAAGTTGAAGAAACGGATGATCTCAAAAGCGGCGTGAGGAGAAGGGTCTTCCTCTAAAAGGGAGATCAGTTCTGATAGAAGGCGTATCATATCAAAAATGTCCCTCGGTCCTGTCCGGTAGTCCCGGGTAAGGGCGTTGTGCAGGAACCGGGTAATAGCAAGACAACCAGCCGAAGAACAGGGACATTCACAATGGTCCTGAGCTTTATCCTGCAGAAGGAGCTGGAAGGTTGGAAGAATCCCTTTGTCGGAGCTGCAGACTGGCCAAATATTCAAGTGAACATTGTCTGTCATGAGGTGTAATGCTGGTATGCCGCACACTCTGCGATGAATATCCGCACCATGCGAAATCAGCCAGTCAGTAAATCCGAGTGTTTGTGAAAACATGAGGCTGGTGCAGCCCTCGGAGTCCATCTCATCAACGTCTCTGTAGCCCCCGTGCCAAAGAAAGTCCGCCATGGCGCAATTGTCTCGAATAGAAACATAAGCTAAGTAGCCCTTGTTCTCATTCCCCCAGTCAGGGAGAGTGAGTCCACTCGCCTGCAATAATTCATAAGCTCTGTGGGCCTGGAAGTCAAGGAGGTTGTGTGACTTCAGCTGGAGGCTTGCGACTTCCTCACTGGTAAGATGATTTTCTGCCAGGGACTGCAGTTCTCTCCTTTCTTCCACGAATGCATCAACTATCAGGCTCATAGTTTCAATACTCTGCCCCAGACTCGCTGCCCCCATATGCCTTGACCCAAGATAGAACGATCTAGCCGATAAGAGAAGGCCCACACTTTCTGGGATATTCACATAGCACGCATACAACAGGGCTTCTCGACTTGGCAACTTCCCGGATTGCAACAAGACTTGAAGCCCTTCTGGCCAATAGTTGTAACTATACGGAATTTCCGAACATGCGAGAAAACTTGGGGCGATAAGAAGTGAGTGTAAAAGGTTCTTGTCATAAACCATGAGAGGCTCGAGAAGTTCCGGAACATGAAAATCTACGTATTGTATGGTTAGATGGACCAATCCCTGACAGAAGGTGTACATACTCCAGTTGTCTGTTGACTCCATCATTCGTTGAGCTAGGTTAAACCGAAAGGCATCACCAATAGCGCCGTTTGCGTAATTAATGTAATGTATATCTTGTAGGATGCCGTGGGTTTGGGAGACGCCCCCTCCATGATGCCAGAGAAGATTACGATCAGGTACCCGGATATTTGTATCTCACTCCTTACACGTTGTTGGATGATAGTGTCTATAGAAAGCTCGTATAATAACTTGTCAGCGATAGTTCTTCCAAAACTGTCGACGTTGGTGGGCAGAGTGCTCGACGAAGACAATTCTATAAGTAGTTGATGGGCGGCTGGAAGACACGCCGCATTTGTCGAAAAAAGTGTGGAGGCGATGAGGTCCATCAGAAGCTGTGTTGAATTTTAGACATGATCAACGTGTTACCTGAGGTAAATACTCACATGGAAAATAGTGTCGCCATATTGATCTGTATCTGTCGGGGATGCTTTGCCTTCCTGAAAAAGGCGGAAAAGCTTTACTCGCAGATCTTTGAGCAGTTCAAGCCCACCTCCTGAGTATCGGAAAGATTCAATGGCATCGGTCATCAGTTCGAATGCAGGCGAGTCCCTAACGATTGCCCGGAAGGCTAGATTTGGGCTGATCGCGAAGCCGCCTGCTCCCGTTGTAATACTCAGTGAGACGTCAAGTGCGCATGATAAAAACCTGTTGCAAAATTTGTACTGAGACCGCAAGACCTTTACTCGCTGACTTGCAACAAAATGCGGACATCCTCGCCTATGTGTGATAGCAGAGGTAAAGCCGTTGGGTGTACTGCAGAAGCAACGTCTCACTTGTCGATGCTTCTTAGATTGTACACTCGTCACAAAAGTGTCGATGTCGCGCTCTACTTCCTGCTGGGTATCAAAGATTGAGCGAAGAGTTGCGGGCTCAGGTAGATTCCTCATAGAGTAATGGGTAATTGTTGATTGCTATCATGAGTAACAAGTCAGCTCAGGTTGGACAAGAAGAGTCGCCATACCTACCATTTGCTCCATTCGCCGGTCTAACCTTGAGAGTATCTGGTCCATATCCTCATGTCTCTGTTCAAAACCTTGGGCCAGAGCTAATGTCTGACTAGTATTTGCGACAATATCAATCGTTGATTGTTGCACAGAAACAATCCGGCTTTTGTAGTCAAGGCTCAAAGCACTATCTGTTGTTTAGTGCAGGACATTTTAGAAACAAACAAGTTCAACATACACATGCGACAAAGCCAATGCAGTATCGAGGTTCTCCTGTAGCCCCTCAAGAACAGTCAATAGGTCCACCAAAGCGTCGCGTCGGAATGGGTACAGTGCCCGCTTGGAGGCAGTTTTAATATTTGGAAAGACTGCCTGTGAAGGCTCTGAAGAGTAACTTTGAATCTTCGAAAGAGTGATCTTCACATCCTCGATGCCGCTTTCACAATCTGTGATCATACGGAGAGCGACTTTGAACTTGCCCGACAGCGACGGATCGGTCCCGTCAACGCCTTTCAGTAGATCGTCAAGCTCTTGTAGTATCAAATTCAGGCCTTCAACCTTGCATTTTATATTTTTGACCTCCTTATCCGCAGATTTGTATTTGTTAATGTATGATACCAGACCCTGGCAGACTTGAAGACCGAGGGATACCACCCCAACGGCACTTCCTGCCACCGAAAAAGGGTCACCCATAATGGACCATATATCGTATAGGGTCGGGATTGACGAAAACTGTAGATGGTGAAAAAGGCAGCCTTGGTAGAGTGATTAAGTGCACGAGGATGAGAAAGCCGCCCCTAACAAGGCTGAGCTTGGTGTTAGCGCCCGGAGATGAGTGGTCCCGAATTCATGCATGCTGCAGTTCTCATTGGATCACATCCACACAGCCACTGAAACTATTACCTGTACATATACCTCACATGATCATGTCAATTGAAAACATCTACACGGAGGTTGGACTGACGAATAAAATGCTATATTCCTGATAAATTCTCCACCTATCTTGCCTTTGATATTTGAATTGATAACTTCTCCCCGAAACTCCAATCCCCTAGAACAATGAAGAAGGGCCTCAAGAGTATATGCCTCATGTCTTCTTCTTCTTCCGAACCAAACCTGCACTGAGCATATTAACGGCAGCTGGCTGCGCAGTAGTGGACTCAGAGGTAGCTGTCCCACTAGGCTGTGCTATAATTGCCTCATTGGCATCCTTCTTTTCTTCATCACCTTCAAGCTTCTTCCGTTTGCGAACCAGTCCGCTGTCTAGGAGATTATTCGTTGACACAGCTTGGTTGGCCGTATCCTGTGGACTGCAGGTACCCGAGACCCGTTTGCCCCAAGTCAATTGATCTGCCAGGGAGGCGACCTGATTGATATAAGACTTGGTGCTGGTCACAATTTCATCTGCGTCGTAGAAATGATCGAGCACTCCATCCATCATCTTCTTGTAGTCTGCTTCACTTAGCACGACGTTTCCGCGCCCAGTTTCCGGCCAGTAAAATGGAACAGCGTTTGTTGATTGGAGCTCCGCAGACGATGCATGTGGTTGGTGTTCCACGGAAGCCACCGGCTCAGCGTGAGACTCAGTAGATGAATCGGTGGCTTCAGCGCTCGCCTTTGTCGCACCCGCAATCTCTTTTGTTTCCGACTTGCTAGCATCTTGCCGTGATTGGGTCTCAGCAGGCAAGGAACTCTGTTCAACTGAAGATGCTGTGCCTGAGCCGGACACGTTGCCAGCCCGGCTAGCCATGGTGGTAGAATTCATGAGACCCGGCGGATTGATAACAAGCCACAGGAACCCGACCAGCCGACCAGCAGAACACTCCTGACGGAACGACATCATCTCCCAAAACTGATCGAGAGATTTGACACTCTTCCACTGGCCGGTACTAGGAGGTGCATTCTCCGCTTCGACAGGCTCGGGGAGCTCATCGTCAAGGTCAATCAGGAATCGTGTCTTGGGGTCATCCGGAAGCCGGGGAACAAGACAGCGCGGCGGCGCTGATGGGTCGCGACACAATTGCTGAAGAGGATAGCTGGCAAGCCATCGCGGCTGACCTTGAGGATCGGATTTTGCAGATGCAGGGAAAAAGTTGCGTGTCTCGAAACGGTCGCATCCGGGGACAATCAGGTACGCAGTGGCGGATGCCTTGGCTGCTTCAATCGTCGCGTGCGATTTTGAGTCTTTTGAGACTGACTCGGGCTCCTTTTCGCGGAGAATGGGATCCAATGCTCGACACCACCACTTGATTAGGCCTCGGTCATCTAGGACGTGCTTCTCGGCATTTTCGATGCTGCCCGGAAATAGGTATTGATCCTGAGCACGAGCGAACAAGGACACTACCAGGCGAACTCCTGGACGTTGGTGAGATCGTGCCAAATATGAAAGAAAAGTATTTGAGACGAGTCTCAGAACAGAAACTTTCTGTGGTAGTTTCAATAGATGTATGAATCCGGTGGAGTCCGCCTTTGAAACAAAGATGGTAGTGAGGTGGGTCGAGTTGTAGACCAATACCTCCATTCCGAATACGATGATCTCTGCTCCATCATGCTCAGAGGACTCAATTGAGACCGACAAGAAATGATTTTCGCAGAATGTTGACTCGGCGTCCTGACCGGGCGCAGCCGCAAAGAGAGCAGCCGAAGGGGCTGGAGTTGAGGAAACATGGCGGACAGTCAGCACGGCGCCGGTGGGGAGCACTTTGGCCAAGAGATCTGCCAGATCGCCATCCGGTGCCATTGTGAGCCTGTATCCAATAAGATTTGGCTAGGGGCGAGGTTGGAGGAAAGTGAGCGTGGATCTTTGACGGCGATGCGATTTTGCCCTGTCATCGCGGGTCACGTGCCTGTTACCATAACAATGGCCCTTGAAGCAGTATATCCGATAGCCCTGTGCCTCACATCATGGTTAATTCCCAAACACAAGGGCCCAAGGTTGGAACTCGATAAAGCTCAATACACTAGATGAATGTTGGCCAGTGTGGAAATCTCCGGCTAGCGGTTTCCTCCTCACAGAGATGGACCGTGAACTACAAAGCCACCGACATGCGAAGTCTGATAATCAGAAATTATGGCAGATGATGTGTACATATTCGGTGTTGAGAGTACACTGAAAGTAATTGCTTGAAGGCTCCAAGTGAGAGAAGTATCTCTTATCGGCTTACGGTGTGCCCCCGTAAGCCTCTTCCTTGTACAGACTTGGAAGGTGCGAGATGGAGATGGAGATATAGCTTCCTCCACGTCCTCACCAGCTCTCACTTCCAACTTCACCTACCGTCCTTCATTATCTCACCCCGTATCTATGATACGTGACTCCTTCAAAACCGAGTAAGAACACTCAAATGGTGATTCCAGGGTATCAAGATACTGACGAGGACACCTTAGTACCACCCTTTCCCCCCAGATTTGACAAACTCGAGGTGACCGATAAACTCTCAAAATGACCTACGACAAATATGTCAGGTACGAGAAGTACTATGGCAAATACGACAAGTGGGATGAGTCGCGGTTCCGATGGGATGGTGAGTAGCCTAAACACACGGAGAAGACATAGCCTGCAAACTCAAGACCAAGTAACTGATGTACGAGACGCCTTATTTCAGAGAACAATATGCCAAGCAAATGCACACAGCTGCAGGTTCGTTACTGCTGCGGCCATACCCTAGGCGGCGAGTTTATCAAGTGTGCCCGTCACATCGACAGCGAGGACGAACGTTGTTCAAACCGGTACATTCATTTCATCGAGGCGAAGCAGTCGACGCACAAATGCCGCACCTGCTTGAGATCTGGATGAGAAGTTTCGGTGAATTTGTAGGTCGGGCCGAGGCGCTTAGGGATATTTCTTTCTTAGCGCAGGCGCTGGAGCATCTTTAGGCAAGTAGTGGAATCTGACATATTCATTTGGGCTCTGACTCTTGTAGTACTTGTAGGTGGTGCATAATGTGCAGTTACGGGTTGTCCTAGAATTCCGCAATCACAGCATCAAGATCATCGGCATTCAAGAGGGCCACCCCTTCGCGGAAAAGTGTCCTCCAAACAAGATTTCGCTGGCGAACCGGCCAAGACGGTGTGTTCCAATACCTCGCACCGATTCCCCGCTTCTTCGCGGTAGCAATCTGATCCCGAAGAGCCTTGAGCTGATCATCGTTCAGGATTGGGTCTGTATCCCTGGTGATCTTGCCAACGGCTTCTTCGAAATTGGTCGACGCGATGGGAGACACCAGACCGGTGATATCAGAGTACTTAGCATCATTGAGATGTGCTAGGGGTGCATCAAAGAAATAGTCCCGGTTCGCAACGGGGGCGACCATATCTAGTGGGGTATCCCCAGTACCGATGATAGTAACTGGTCCGTTGGTCAAGGTCTTACCACCCTGCAGGGTAGTTAGATACCCCTTTATACGGAGAGGTTCTAAGGCCTCGATGACGGCTTGGAATGTCTCATGGCCGGACGTTTTGACGTCGATGAAGAAGTACAGTGTCTGGTCTGGCGTTGTATCCCAAACCCCACTAAAAGCCATAGAGTTAGTACTCAGTGAGAATTATTCGAGAAAAAAAACTTACTTCCTGGTAGGTGATGTGACAAATGGGCTCTTTGGGTTCTGTCGTTCTAGGATGTCGAGAATCGGGTTGATATAGAGGGATTCGAGTGTCCGCTCATGGGTCAAGGCAGATTGATCGTGCCCGACCTTCTATCATCAGCGATAGCCCGGAAGAGCCGGATAGACCAATTGCGGGATAACGAACAAATAGGGTTCCGTTGTAAAGCCAGACATCAGCTTCAGTTGAAGTGCAGCCTTTTGATAGACCTAGGAGTGGATAATAGTGTCAATAGCCATCCCCATGGGCGAGATGTTGCGAGACTTACCGGTATAGAAAGGCCTCTCCCTCCAATAGTCACTTTTATGAGATAAGTAAGACCGTACAAGACAACCAAACTCAGCCAACAAGTTCGAGGGCGTTCTTACTTATGAGAATGAACCGGAATCTAGGAGTGACGTTAGTTTAGAGTTCTTGGCGAAAAGACCGACCGTGGGTAACACGAGTCAGAAAATCTCTTGAATATAACCACGGAGATTCATAACTTACTGGCAGTAGATCCCTCGTAATATCAGTCGGATACCCGTATTCCTTGCTGTGATGTGTGTTCTTCAGAATGCTCTGCAGACCCGAGGTGATCTGGCCGATGACAGGGTCTGGGCCCCCAAAAAGCACCGCAACCACTGTCAATATTAATACCAATGGAGACATCATATCTCCAAAATAGGTGAGTTCAAAAGCACAGAACCATGAGAATGTAATTCAAGAAAGATGTCAGCTCTGTCTCATTCCTCAATGAAATGTGCGAGGAGAAATAGAGGTGCTGAACACAAAGAACGCGATTAAGGCGGAACGCGCCAAGCGCACGTGGTCGATGCAATTATTGGGCCACTGCAGTCAACTTTGAGACACACCAGGGAGTTCATATTGGCCGTGAAGTTTGGGCCAACTCATTTTTACAAATGCTACTACTGGAAATAAATTGAGTGGGTCATCGAGAGCGGTTCATCACTTAGGTATCAATACAAAGAAACAGGAAAAATGGAAGAAGCACCGGGAAACAGTTGATATCGTGCAAGCGATTCTATGTACGCCAAGAATCCGTCACCTCACATTGCCTCAAACTTCCCTTACGCTTGGAGAAGCACCACTCGGAGACTCCTGGGACACTGAGTTGCGGCCCCGGAGACTGAGATTTCCAATGCGTTGGACCAAGTTGCTGCCAACAGCATCTACGGCGCCCTTCGGGGCAAGCAAGGTAGGGCCTTGAGCGGCCGCTTCTTGAACTCGGAAGAGTCGAATAGCAGTACCATTCCATACACCAACAGTGCCCGGGGTAGCGCCCGCGGCAGAACCAACGACCATTTCGCTGGAGAAGATGAAGCTCCAGAGGAGCGATTCGTACCAGCCCATGGATAGGGCTGACCACTCGAAAGATTGTGCACGTACAGGCGTAGGCTCCGCAATGATGCTGGTGACTTGGGGCTCCTCGGCGAAGGATGGCAGATTGTGGATCAGGGTACGGGCCTCTGGGCTAGATGTAGCTTGAAGTGCTGCGTCGGGGATGTGAGGCGCAATAGCGGAGATGAGAGTTAAAATAGTATGTAGAGGGAGCTCCGGCAACCACGACTCAAGCTAGAGGTGTTTGTTAGAATTCATACTGCGCTCAGATATCCGTCATAACTTACCCAAGCCACGGTCGGTGTGAAACCACAAGATGTTGCGGAGAACAAAGCAGACATACTGGTCTGGCTGGTCATGCTGTTCTGTCGCGAGAAAGACGGCCGCCCGGCTGGTAGTTTACCGCGTGCCTTCTCGGAGATGCCCCTGATCTGAGAGAAAGTATCGTCAACTGTCGACGCAAACGAGGGTCTGCGTGATGTCTGAGCGGACGGCGAAGACTGAGAGGGTGTACGTTGACCTCCTTCTTCCGCCTCATCATCAGAATCGTCATCTCCAATAGCAAACGCGCTATTCTCTTCGGGGATGCGTGTCAGAGGTGATCTGGTGCCAGAGGGAGCATGAAGATCTTCCTCGGAGTGAGAAAGCGTGGGACTGGCAATAAAGTCACCAGGAGCATCTCCAGCTTTGCGCTTCTCTCTTTGGCGCTCGATTTCCTGCTGCCCACTTTCGAGGGTGAATGCTCGGACGGCTTCGAATCGATCCTTGTATTTCAGGACTGCGTAGACAAGGTATGGATTTTCTGCATTAATTAGCACTAGCACAGTGACAAAGAGCGAAGGCAAGATTTTGTTTCTCCAAAACTTACCTGTGAAGCCATGCTCAAGGACCGCATTGATGACATCGAGCAAGGATGCGAGAAGAGTGTGGTTTGTCTCATTGGCCAGTAGGAAGCTCGGCGCCGACATTGAGGAGAAAAGTTGAATGACCTTGGAACAGGCGCTCGGGGAGATATGTTTGATATGAGGGGCAACATTGGTGAGGATAATGAGGAGCGCAGGGTAGACTGTATCCAGGTTTCCTTTGCTAGTAGTCATGAGGGTTTGAATTGACTGCAAAGATTAGCGTCTTGGCCGCATACCTAGGGTGTTTTGACCATACCATGATGAGATAGTCGGCATAACTGCCACGGAATTTGAGAAGCCGGATTGACTGCGGCAGAGTTTCCTGTGCCTCAAACTTCATATTCAGGCTCTTTCCGAAATTCGGCTCGGCACTCATCGTCTGAAGAATGAAGATGCAGAGTCGCACGATTCCTTGTTTAGATGGCTCGGTCCTGTATTCCATAGCATAGAAGATGCACAGAATCAAAAAGTCATGTGAGCGATTGGAGTCGATGATGAATGATCGGAACCGCTTGTTGCATTGAAGGGTCTCCCAGAACAGGATCAACATCTCTGGGGCCCATTTCACGGATCTCTGGCTTCCGGGGAGATATGAAGTCGTGACTTGCATCTATATCACGGTCAATATCAGGTACGAAAGGGTCTCGATGGCTGTCACATACAGGCTGGTTCAGAATCCTCGTCATACCATCCACAAGGAATTGGAAGTCCTGGGGTCTGTGCAACCTTCCGAAGTAATGCCGATAGTAATTCTTTGGTGGCGCCCCGCGCCCATCCTCTGGAATAGGATACAGGAGCAGAACAAGGAGGAGCTGCAAGCAGTAAATCACCAGGATTTGCTTGGGATCTTTCCATACGACATGGTCGTAGGGGACGCGCCATGCTGCAGGGTTATATTTCATGGCCTAGCGGTAAATCAGCATTTGTCAGATAGTCCCAAGTCAAATTGAACATACCGTGTTCAGAAGAGAACACAATAGCGTCAGCACAGATTGCTTATCTTGGCAAGTGGTGATATAGGTGATTGCCTTGACACCTTGTACAGGGAGTGTGTCTAGAAGAGTCAGCGAATCGTCACCGGCAACCTTTCCCAAGACCAAACTCACTCGATGGAAGGTACATTGCCTTGCCCGTCATCGTCAATAGTAGTCGTAGAACCTCACACCGGTTATGCTCCAGGGTCTTGCTGGATCCCATTGCAGTGTTACAACCAACACCGCTCTGCCAGATCGAGTATGAAATCTTGCTCTTCGCAGTCGGGAGAACCGGGATAGTAAAGTCGGCAAAGAAGAGAAGGTCAAGCAGTGTATCGATCAGCTCCTCCGCAAGAGGCTTCACATCCTCATATTCTTCGGCGCGCGGGGACTGCCCATCCCGCGGGTCCGACTGTGCTTCATCGAACAGAACTTCCCCAGCAATCTGTGCCTGTCTAGTCTTCTTCTTGCGACGCGCCCAGAAGAACTTCTCTTCCCAGTCCTCCAGGTGTTCGGCTTCGTAGACAAAGGGGAGCAGCCGAGTGAGGATTCGGACACAGTTGAGCACATCGCGCTCGGGTGCAAGGTCTGGGTCCGGAAACGAGGGATGGTTCTTGAGGACTATCAGTCTAGATGAGACTGATAATAATAGTGTTTCGAAGTTGGATAAGGCATGATCGCGCGTGCGGCGGATGTCAGCCGGCGTAAACAAGCTGAAGACGTCTTCTGTAGATTCGGGAAGTTCCCAGAACTTGAGCAGTGTCAGTATCGGCGATCCAAAACGTCCATGGTTGAGTCCGCCATCCTCCAACAACTTACTCGTGTCCAGTAGGGGTCATCTGCGGGGATCTCCTTCTCCTCCGACAGGCGGAAGATGCCTTGTTTGAAGACAAGCTTCGACTCCGAGGCCCCCATCGCTGAAGAGACCAGTCGCTCAAAGCGAGAGCTTCATGTAGAAGATCAGCAGAAAGGCTGAGATTATCGAGAGTTCGCGTTGCCTGTTGTTGTCGTGGACTGTTAGTGGTTACGTGGGTTCCTGGTGCGGAGTCTTGGCCAGAACCACCTTGGCCTACCGAGCCGCCTAAACAAAGTTGAACGGTGAATGATGTCGCCGCGATCCCCACACACCCCTTGGCCGTTCCCGACAATTTGATATGCTTCATTCGAGATTAATCTCGGTCCTTGTATTCAATCGCCTTTTTTAATTACTCCCTGCTTCTATTTTCATCTACATCGTGGTGACGCGGCTTTCTCGAGCTTGTCAAGTTCTATGTCCGGCAGGCAAATCGCCATCTAGGGTGATATGGGCAAAATAAGGGCGTAATTAATTCAATAATCATTTCAGTACTAAAAGTTCGCTCAAAACCGTAATTCAACATGCAACTCCTAATCACGCCACCGATGATAAATGACCAGCTATCACATAGCTCCATTGCTGGCTGATAGCCTCCGGCTTCTCTCGTAAAGCCACTTGTTGCTCACACCCAGGCTACGACGTTTTCCACTAAGCGGAGAAGGCGTGCTGGGTCCGATGCTGGACATGCCAGACATGCCAGACATAGTGGATTCCCCGAACGAGTTGCTTCGGGCCAGAGGGGATGAGGACCCGATGCTCAGTCTCCGAGCTGATTCCCGACCTCCATTAGCCACAGCCTTGTTAAACAGTGGACTAGAAACGGGCGAGAATGGTGTCCCCGAGGAGACACGGCGATCTGTATAGGTAGGGGTCGAGGACAATGGAGAGGTGGGTTTGGCGGCTCGCACTGACGGGGCTTGCCTTGCGCGAAGTGGACAAGCGGTAGCGGGGTGGAGTCACGTAGGTAGTTCCGGGGGTAGTAGGAGGCACCACCACGCCGGGGTCCAGCCCCAGAAGTGCACGTTGAGTAGGGGTGAGAGGAATATCGGCAAGGTCATCCTTTGGCTTGAAGAGGGGGTACAGCGCGAGGAGAATATTGAAGAGCAGAAGCGCCTGCAGAAGGAGCAAAGGCAGGTGCTGGTAGACAGGGTCACTGTCGAATACGCGGCGAGCGCTGTTGCGAACCCAGTCAGGACTGAATCATCCAAGCGCTCAAGGGTGAGTACAGCCAGGACTTACTAAGACTTCAAGATGCCCCCGAAAAGCCATGTCGAGACCAGTGTAGCTCCATTCCAGACCACACTCCGGAGATTCTTATCATTGAATGTTGAAGCATTCTGGCGTCGTACGACCTCACTGAGTTGAGGATGGCGCCATTTGCCTGGAGTTCCTGGGCCCTCCGAGGCAGGAGTTGAGATGGGCGCGGCGGCAGGCGCGACTTTGGGTGTGGACGGAAGCGATTGTGTAGCCATGGACCGCAGTATTGCACGGAAATGCAGGGGTCGTGGGAACGCAATGAAAAGCAACAAATAGAGGGGCTGTAGGTTGTGATCAGTACATGGCCATCTTGAGCACTTGAGCAGGACGCGGGAGCAGCTTACCTTTTAGACGAAAATTGGGGGTGGGACTTACCTGGTTTGAGGGAAAGAAGAAGGGTTGTTCAGATTCACACTGGCATTGGAATTGCCTTGGGCGAAAAGTGTCGTTCAAAAGCTCATCCCTCAGGAGATGTTTTGATGGTCGCAAAGTGGCTAGGATCAGCGAAGAAACAGACGCCGCCGCGCGCGTCAAGATTAAACGCCGGTTTTTTGGTTGACCCGACCCGCCGCCTCTTCCGCCTTCCGCGGAACCCCTCAAACGTCATCGTGGTATCTGGGGCTGATTAACTTATTGTTGACACTCTGACAGCTGTTTGTCATCATCCGACAGTCGACAAATTTGACTGTGGGAATTCTCGGGTTTATTCTTCAGCTTCACACTTCGCAGATCTTCGGCTCTGCCATTTGATTATCCAAGTTTTGACAGTTCCAGACGGCCGAGCTACCGTCAATTAGCCGATATGGCCGACCAGGCTCCGATTCTGGAGAAGCTAGATGCAGCAGTGTCGGAAGTTCTAGCAGACTGGAACATCTATACCACACTTTTTGCTGGAATTCTTGCTGCATTTGCCATTTACTCGGTTGTTTCGAACAAGGACCCTGATGTCCATCCGTTCCTTCTTGCTCGTCAATCTACAGCATCTCCCATCCGACAAGCGGGCGAGTCGGCAACCTACCGCAGCCTTGAGACACCATATGGGTTCCCTCTGCGGTCAGGGTTGAATGTGAAAGATCCAGGAGCTCCCAAGTGGACTGCCGGTCGACGGGGTGATCTACGTGATATTTGGAAGACTGCTGTCCGTGGAGCTCTGAACGAGGATGGTACCACCTCTGGGAAGCAGGGCAAAATCTACACTGTCCTCGGCAAGAATGCCATTGAACACTCTCTGTCTCAGGTCACGCAGGAGATCAATGTGATTGGCCGTCATCTCCAAAAAGCCGAGGTGAAGACCGTTGCCGTTTGCCTGACGGACTCTATCGAATTGCTGGCATCTATTTTCGGTAGGACTGACCTCATTCAATCTACCTCTATGACGAACTAATGCATGGCTTTATAGCTGGATCCTTCTACGGATTCAAAATTGTCCTGATCCCCCACAACCTTCCCGCCGCGAGCCTGTCAAGCCATCTGCAAAACGCCAAAGCCGATGCTCTAATTGCCGAAGTTGGCTCGGTTGATTTGTCTCTTGTCACAAAGGCCAACAAGCAAATTTCCAATGTGATCTGGGTCGCCAAGTATGGCAACCGTCACATGGATTGGCATGAGGTACCCAAGGATGCCAAGGAGACTCTCGATGTCACTGTCTGGCATGAATTGGCAGAGGAAGGCAAAGACCTTGCTGGCTTCGACGTTCCCGAATATGACCCTACGACCCCTGCCCCTGCTGTCAATACCGTTTGGCCTTCTGAGTCTCAGTATGGCGAGTTTATTGATTTCAAGCAAGAGGTAAGAGAAACTATTGCCCGAAGATCCACATGGATTTGGCTATGGCGCAACAGTCATGCATGCGGCCTGAGCCTGTATTGAAATGGCTGGCCGTTTTCAATGACGGCTTGTTCAGAGTTGCCGAATCCTGTGGCCTAAAGCCCTCAGCCCACGCTATAGATATACCTCTAACATTTGTTACAGAACCTCGTGGCCGCCATCAGCGCTCTCGGCTCAGCGCTCCCTCGCACTCAGCGTTTCAACTCTTCTGATCTCGTCCTCTCAATTGATTCGCTGTCCCGATCATACCCTCTCTGCCAAATCTTCAATGCCCTGTTCTCGAACGCCTCGATTGCCTTGAACTCGGTTGCTGGTGAGAATGTCGACTTCGCCCTCGCCACCAAAGGCATTTCCCCGACAGTCATCATTGCGTCTTCACGTACCATGTCTGAATACCATGACCGTGTCATGAAACCCCACACCGGCTTGATCTCTTCTTTGGGCCGGTGGGTGCAGGCCCGGACTCTGGATGCAGGCAACATGCCATCCAAAAACTTCTTCAGCCAGCTTGCACAGGTCGGACCGACTGCAGAGCTTTCGCTGGAAAAACTGCGTCTCCTTTGTATCTCTCATCGTGTTGATGCCGATGCCTCAGTCCGTATGACCTCGGAGCAGCTGACGGACCTCCGAGTTTACATGGGTACTCGCATCGTTTCTGCTTTGACTGGGCCTGGCATTGCCGGCGCTATCAGCCAGACCAATGTGTTTGATTACCGTGATGCCAGTGGCCCAAGCCACTTTGGTGCTCCTCTTAGCAGCACTGAGGTCACCCTGACTGGCGTCCCCGAGAGCCAATCTGATGATTACCCCGAAGGACAGGTAAGACCTATTTGAACCTCTCTGTCTCTTCAGAACATCCAGCTAATACGTGGTTTTCCCTAGATTTTGGTGGCTGGTCCCGCGGTTGTGGGCGGCAAAACTACTCTATCTGCACGAGGACGCATCGGCACGGACAACACCCTTGAATTGAGTGCCTAGATCTAGCACCCATGGAAGCATAAAACAGTCCCTGCTGTTCAAGCGTTATCGTTCCTTTTCGGTTCTTCTAAAGACCATAAAATTCCATATGAATGACTGTCAAGCCCCTTGATGTTGAGAATCCAAATCTAATTAAGTACTTGTCGCATCATTTTTATCGAGTAATTCAATGTTCATTTAGTGAAGTACAAGGTTGGCTCCAATGTCGAAATAAAACTAATATACACATGCAAGTAGGCCCTGCCACTATCCTCGACCGGGGCGATTATGCGTTAAGAATAGTGCGCACAGACTCCTGAACGTGGGTCTGCTCCACGGTGTCAACAAGACTCTCCAGCTCGGTTTTTGCCTCAGTCAGGCACGCCGTCACAGAGTCGTGGAGAGTGTTGTCGAGGGCTAGTCCGTGGATGGAGAGGCTCAGCCGCAATCCATTGTAGACAGCAATGATCTGCTGGGCCCGCTCCGAAGCAGAGCTAACTCCACCCGCCAGCTCGCCTTGCTCCTTGACGATTGGCCAGGAGACGACCAACTTGCGCGCATAGCTCAAAACCTCGTTGGCCTGGTCCTTACCACCAAACTCGTTGATCGCACGGGCAGCACTGAGCTCAAGAAGCGTGCCGATAACGAAGGGCTGGTGCTTGGGGTTCTCGGCCCTGGCGAGGGAGGTGTGCGTCTCAACATCTTGATCCATCAAATCCACCGCCTGCTTCGCCATGTTCAGTGCCTTGGTAACGGCAGGCCCCTTGAAGTCGGCGCTTTGTGCAAGAATGTGGATGTCGTAGAAGAGGCGTTGCACGACTGTCAAGTCGCGAAGGTGGAAACCGGTGCGATGTCCCTGGCGGATACATTCCATGATGACGGGGAGCTTGCCGGCCTCGCTGGCCTTGCGAACGATCTGTGCAAAACGGTTGGTGTTGAGCCTTAGGTTTGACATGTACATGCCACTCAAGAAGGGCACGAGGGCCTTCCATTCGTTTGTGGCAGCAATGAGCCGCAGAACCTCGTAGGCGTCCTTTTTCGTCGGCAACTCATTGATTCTCATGGGTCGCAATGTGAAGTCTTCCGTCTCACTAATTGCCACGGTAATCGGCTCGTCCTCCAGTCGCTGCCTGTGCTTCTCCTTGAACATATTTCGGCGTTGCTGGTTCGGCAGGCCTGATGGGATGAAGCGGTCTTCACGGAATCGGTAGAGGAGCTGATCAAGTTCGGGGGAAGAGGTCGAGGAGAATTTTGGGATTGCTGTAGTAGCAAATCGTCATAAGCATATTGTACTTGAAGTAATTGAGCTCATGGGGTAGTATTTTACCTGATTTTGAGGCATAACTGCGAGTTTGAGTGGCCACCGACAGGCGCATGCTGCTCGACCAGCGGGCAAAGCTACCCATAGTGAATTGCGCCATATCGAGAAATGACAAAAACTGCACTTGAAGTCGCCCAGGAAAACAACGACTCAATGCACCAGGGCGCTTTTCAAGGAGCAAAGGCAGAACGCGAGAAGAAAGTCGAGGCGGAGAAGAACATCGCTGAACAAAATCGGGGCTTGGCGGAAATTCTGCCGGTCCGTTCCATCCAAAACTCGACTCCGACTTTCTTGTCTTTATCCTCAACCTATCACAACCATGGCAGCTCTACCAACAATGCGGCCACTGGGCAGCTTGAGGTCTTTGTTTAAGACCCAGGAGGTCATTCAGCCTCAACTGGGTCGCCGATTCCTCTCAACCGCCTACTCCCAGCGCCCCCAGCGCGTTCCTCTCCCTCAGAGTCTCCCCGAGCAATTCCTATCACAAGTACCAGTTCGCATGCGCCCCGAGAACGGTATGTGCTACAAGCAGAAACCATTCAGATACCTATCAATTGACTGATAAACTGTTCAATCGCAGCCCCCAAGCCTATCAAGGTCTACACTCCTCCCCCCTCCGCCCGCAAAGCATGCAAAGACCCCGTCGCAAAGGTCACGGAGACCCAATTGGAAACCCTCGACCCCAAGGGTGAACGCAAGGCTCTGTTCGACTACCGTCGGAATCCCCGCAGTATCAAGCCTGGTGATATTGTTCGTGTTACATTCAAGAACGGCGACCCATTCAACGGCGTCGTTTTGAGCATCAAGCTGCGCGGAATCGACACTTCCTTCCTGCTCCGCAATGAGCTTACTCGTGTCGCCGTTGAGTTGTCGGTGAAGGTTTTCAACCCCAATGTGCAGAGCGTGGAGATTGTCCAGCGTGCGCAGCGCAAGATTCGTCGCGCGAGATTGTACTACATGCGGTTCGTCAATTACCTCAAGACCCCCGAGAGTACCAACTTTGTAAACATCTAACTGACTGCTTTCTGCTTCACAGGTCCCGCAAGCACGACCGCCGCAGTGTGGAGAACGTTGTCAACGCCTATATTCGCCAGAAGAAGGCCTTCATGGGTGGCGGCAAGCGGTGATTGTAGGAGTGTCAGAAGCGATCAATTTAGCATATTCAGGATGTATTATTACTTGTTCATATCCAATCTGTTTCAATTATACAGTCTCTTTTCATAAACGTGCTTCGATGGATCGACACTAAGCGGGCAGCAGACAGCCCATCAAATCGATTTACGCGTAGCTTGATCTCGTACCGAGGATTGTTGGGATAGTCCGCTATGAATGGGGGAAGCTTGTTCCACATGATCGAAGCTACCAGGTATATAACCGGTTGAGAAAATAGGAACTGGCACATAGTATCATAAAATCGTAATTGGGTCTGCTGAGAAGAGCTTGCATACACCCCTAACTGTACTATTGAAGCTCATAAGTGCCAACCGCTGGTTATATCCAAAAGACCTGCCTATGCAACCGTCAATCCATAATATGTTATATATCCCACTTTGTAAAAACTCATGGCAGCAGGCATGGCCCGTATCTGCTGCCTCATATCCTTCATTGCTTAGGCTGTGAGGCGTCGGGCCTTCAGGTACTCGTAATCTGGCATTGAGTCCCAGACGGCCTTCTCGATGAGTCCAGCGACCTCCTCACCAAACTCGGCCTTCCACTTCACAGCTTCCGCCGCGATATCGACATGGTCCGGTGCCTTGTCAAGGACAATGCCGTTGGAAGCTTCCAGGGTGGACAGCATGATAGAGGCGGCCCGCCTATGCATGGCCAGCTCCTTCTCATTGGCGACCTCATTGGGCGCAGCCCAGTTCTGTGACTTTTTGTGATCGTTGCCGCACCATTCAAATTGTAGAGACTCCTTGTCGAGCCCAGTCTGGTCACAGAGCTTGAGGACAATCTCCGGACTATGTATGAGATCGTGGGCGTCCACAACCGGAGGTGGAGTCGGGACATCGGGTTGCTCCAAGCACCAGTCATACATCAGACGACTCCAGCGGAAGCTCATGTTGGTCAATGAGGAGCCCTTTACGCCATCCTCGTCCATGAATCCTTCTGCCGCGATTTTTTGCATGGCGCGGTACATGGAAGGCCAAGCAAGGGCTGGGTGGCGGATGATGAAGGCCATCTGCCAACTACGAAGGTACTCGTCGGAGAAGAAAGTCTCGTTGGACTTGGAGTATGTTTGTGTCGGACCATACTTGTCGGCGATGTCGACTCGCATTTCTTCGAAAAATTCAGGATACTCTTGGCCGGTCATCAACTTGTGTTGGGCGGCTGGGTTGAAGAACCAGAATGCATGCTCCTTGACGAACATGGCCTTTTTCTCTTCCTCCGCCCGTGTCGAATAATCCTCCAATGCATTTAGACATGCCTGGTTACTAGCCTTGTATCGTTGTTTCTCGTCAGAGCTCCAATTGCCCGGCTCCTTGCCCAAGATACCATCCTGGGCAGCAGCAGAGAAGGCTGGGTAGAAGAAATAGCCGCTTCTTTGGTTGGTGAGCAGCTGTGGCTGTTTGGAGATATTCAAAACCTTCAAGAGCAGATTGGACGCAGTGCGGGGCACGCTGACGAGCAAAAGCCGCTTGGGCACAGGTGACGCGGGGGAGCCATTGGCCTGAAGAGCATCGTTGATAGCCATAGCGCGAATTCAAAGGTAAACAATGGGATTTTAGGGCCTTGGGGCGAATAAGCTTAACTGGATATAGAGCAATGAGAACGCTGGGAGAAGGCTACATTCTGGGGGCAGATGGCGTGATTAAATACCAACTTCACTCATAAATGCTAGCCTTACCACCACCAAAGTCGGAGGAATCGGACGTCTCTGACACCTCGATACGCACGGCTACCCACAGCCTCGTTTAATTTCTTTCATGCAACAACACAAAAGCTCCATTTCGGACTTGGGCGTCGCTTATCGCCGCCGAAGGAGTGGAGCTCCAGGCCCGCTGCTTGGCTTTTGAGTGGACTTGTCTTTTGAGATCTGCATTGTTGCGAGCCTTCTAGGATAACACTGGCTAAACTATTGCATCCCTTGTGTGCCTCTATACTTTCGGGGCGTCGGACGCTCGGACAGCCGAATAGTGGGATGTTTCATTATCAATCAATGATAAACCCTGCTCAACCTAGGGTTACATGCAGATATCGCTTCATGCAATGTTGTCTCTTGATCTTCTTCCCACGCGAGACCTATTTGCGCTGACACAGCAACTATTCGGGGAAATTGAACGGCAAATTGGGAAATCCGAACGCGAGGTGGAGGTTTTTGGATTTCCACCGAGCAGGTTTCAAAAAAATGCAGGCAAACGCCCCCATTCAAGACAAGGCCAAGGAGACCGTCGGGCAGCCTTCTGGCCCACAAATAGAACCTGTTGTAGTGGTTCAGCTAAGGCTTAGCGACAGCATGAGTTATTTAGTTAAGTTAGTTAGTACTCCGTCACTAGTCACTCTTAAATCATTGAATCAAGCCTCTCATGCAGCTTAGTCTTCGCTTAAGCAGTCATCCGTTGTACATTAGCTGGATTCTTCCACAGGCAGATATCGTGCTGCACAGTTATGTTCCTATAGGAAGATCAATGACCGCACCATTAAAGTCTATTATATACTGCGTACTGAAGCTCGTATCAGGTTACCTTATCTGTCAACTTCTACCAGTATGACCCTAGGTCTGCTATTAAGTAGCACGCCTAAGAATAAGCGTTAACAAAGGCATATTAAGCCGAGGACTGGCCAACGCTGTAGACTTCGCCTTTTGTTGTTACCGTGGGAGGCATCTAACCACGAATTTCTTCAACACTTTCTTCGCTCATAGGACGTTCGGCTGTCATTTGACACAGCGGATATTTCACAGATAGTGAATGCTTTGCGACTGAAACTAGAGCACAGATTTGAAAGAAGCAAAAGTGTGTCGTATTTCTATCGACTCCAACCTTGGCAGGCAACTGCCTGAACATACCGGGCGGGTGAAATATTAGGCCCCCATTCACAGCAAAGGTATCGTAGAATGGATATATATTCAAGCCATCATCCATATCAGCTACGTATTTGTCTACAATACTGAACTAGGCCGAATCGATAATTCGTCGCCATCGGATATTCCCGACTATGAAAGTATATACCTAGGCGCACACACTAAAAATCCAAAAAAAATATATAGAGGAGACAGGTATTCTTTTCATGTCATGCTTCTGTTCGATAGGTGCACAGTTCCCATAGCGTTAGGAAGAGACATCACTCGTACACCTGGTCCCTCCTGGGGCCCCTGGCGGTTATGCATAAACTACGCGACGGTAGTTCGGATGAATACAATCACTAAAAAACAAGACGGAAGTAATATGCGTAGTGATTCACAATACATAGCAGTGGCTTAGCGGCAATGGTGATCCTGCTCACGCTTTCGTACGTGACTCTCTCACTACGCATGGTGATAGGCAAGAATCTATATGGCCTCTGATAGCCCTTCCCATCGAAGCCCTATCCATAAGAATTTGCTAAATACCACTAGACAATGGAATGCAAGATTTACGTTGGATCATGGCTTATCTTATTCTAGTGTAATTCATATCGCCTAACAGGATTATCTTGAAATTCGTATCGCTCGACGAAACGCTCATGCAGCTCCGTTCGGGTGTTTGTCTTTGTACGCAGCTCTGACCATTTGACACTATCCTCTAGTTCGCCGATTTTCGTCCGCGGAGGGATCTTCAGGTCCTCGCTTTCAACTCGCTTCTTCCTAGCATGTTGCCGTGCATAATAAATCAGGGCCATTATCAGCGCAAGGCCAACCAACCCCCCAACAACACCACCAGCGATAGCGCGTTTGTTGCTCGTGTGCGAGTTATTGATCTTACTGGCTGTAGAGTTCGTCGAGCTGGTGGAGTTTTGGTCCACTAAAAAAAGGTTTCCGAGGCCTGGGTCAGCCCAGGAGGAGGGATAAGGTGACTTTTAGAAGGAAGCGAATAGGTCGTATTTGTGGGCTAAGATTCTGTTAAAATTTCCCTCCAAACACCTCTCGGCACAGATTTCCTTGTATTACTTACGTCAAATTCAGCCTTGACTGTTTGAGACTGAGCATCATAAATGAAGGCGGGCATATCATAGCAGCCTGCCCCACTGTCATCGGCCCAGGCAAGTCTTCCGCCAACTCCGAAGATCTGAGAGCCGTACGCAGCACAATCCAAGGTAATTCGTCCAGTATTCAATGAGGAAGCCTTGTACCGCTTGAATGACAAAATTGATAAGTATGACCTGGAAATACGAAGAGTCAGCTAAGTAGCCTCTAAGAAGACATAAATGTATGGGCTTACACGTCTTTCACTACATCACGAGACTTGAACTCGGCGCCATCCAGGATAAAACTTCATACGTCGGGGAGGCTTCATCGCGTTGGACAACAGCGCAGAATTGGGTTCGAGAAGGAGCTGTTCCCGTGGTGGACTGGTTATACCATTTACCCCCAGCGATATCGTATATTTGGACATAATTCCACGCGTTCTAGAAGTAATTGTCAGGTTCTGAGCAATCTGTTGCGGGACTCTTCGAGAACACACCGGAGTCAATGTCGCAACGTACAGAGAAAACCCATTTCACCCACGGGAATGTACGTCAGGGCACCTTCTTGGACTGGCGTGAATGGTGCAGACAGTGCCACATATTCTCCCGTCGTTGTATTTAGCTGGATCATGCCGCTCACATAATTTTTCGTCGAGTCTGTGATCGATACTGTCGTATCAGACGCCTGGTACCCGCCAACCCAATAAGCAGCCTGAATTTTGGGCGCATTGGCCTTCCTGTGTTATCAACTCTTCTCAATTCCTGTCAAGCGAGAAATTCTTGTTGGGGGAATGCTCACCTCCGTGGACTAGACGTTGAGGCGTAAGGGTCTGCTGTTGCATTTGCCATGTTTGACTCCCGGGGGAATATTGCCATATGCAATCATTTGTGGAGACCCCGTCCGACGTACTGTTACCCACAAAAAGGCCACCATACATCCACAAAGTGCTATTATCCCGACTTTCCCAGAGCGCTTGATATTTGACGGCGGGGACAGTATTATTCACCCAGTGCATTTTATAGTTCGAGCCATCCTTGACGGATAAAGAGGAAGGCAGATCAAGCGTTACAAGATAGTGGTCTGGTGAAAACAATGATAATTAGCAAGGAAAGGTGAATATCAGTTGCGGCTCATCGAGCTTGAAGAATCTTCATCATCCGGGATGAGTCCACCATCCAACCCGGCCATGTAGAGAACGTAATTGGTGATGGTCACTAGGAACTGACGTGCCAGCACGTGTGGATAGTGACTGAAAAGTATTTCAGAGCTGTACCCCCAAACCTATAGTTTCGACACCAGCCACCGGATAGATCGGAAAGAACTTTTCTTTTGGTAAGATGTGCCATGCAGGGAAAACAAAATTCAAATTTGCTCAGAAAGTAACGAACAACGTCTTCGTTATTTAAACGGTTATGTTGCAGATAAAAAAGGCTTGAAATGGCGAGCATGATCGAAGTTCTCCGCGGGGCATAGAAAAAGACTTATATCTGCGGATCTGCAGGGGTACTAGTTGAGGGTCGCATAACAGGGCGCCTGCTACGCCAATCACTCCCAGCACTGGGAAATATAGCTCCGAGAGGTTACACTATTCATTATTCTCTGTAGGGGTCTGAAATTAGTCACACTTTTTTTCTGGCCCGTCTCCGCTGTGATAACTTAGAGAGGGGTTAGAAACCTGAGAATAACAAGCTAAGACCTTGGTCTGCAAGTTAAGTCTTTTTAGCTGGCCCTTTTGAAATTAACATGAAATGTAGTGACGTTCAAGGGGATTTCAAAGAGTCTATATACGCTGTATATCTTATGCCAGCCGCATAAGCGGTACTTGGGGCAAAGGGAAAGAGCATGAAAGGGGCGATGAACGCCAGGGAGGATAAATAAGAAGTTTGGCACTACAGGAATTATATACAATAGAACATGGCGCGGAGCAGCATTTCCGCACCCAGCGACTCGGACAGAGCCCCGTTAGGAGCTATACTTGAGCATAATGCATCTCTCCCCCTTCCTCTCTCTCAAACCCCACAGACACATGAATCAAACCTCCTCTGTCATACGGCGCTTCTTGGCATCCCAGTAGTACAACGGAAGGGCAAAGATCAGGATCAGAACATTCAACATGAACATAATCATGTAGACTTGAATGAAACCGTTCCTGTTGGCCCAAGTAACCGCTTCATACAGGAAAAGAAATGCGACCAAGTTTTTGAAGATATTGATCAAGACAAGACATTCAGCCGCTTCCCTTTGGTGGCGATGAACGATGTACGTGATGGCGATGTTGGGCGTATAAACAGATCCAAAGGATACAAGTCCAAATCCAACGGCGATCAAAGCCCAGTGAAGATGCTTGCCGCAAGCAAAAGCAAGAAGAACACACCCCGCAGGCCCGAATAACATCCCAGGAACGAGGGCAATCAATCGCTGCTCTGGCCAGATATTGTGACCAGAGGACCGGCGGACAATAAACGCGTTGATGACATCGGATAGCTTACCCCCAGCAAAGCAAGCAATAAGGAATCCGATAACTGCCGCAATCTGCATCAAGCCAACCTCATCTGTTGTGAAAGAATATGGAGGAGCCATGAGAAAAGATGACATATTGAAACTAAACGCCCGCAAATCGTTAGAAAGGATGTAGCTCAGATTGACGGGTAAGGGTATCTCACATCAAAATCACCTGTGGGCTCAACGTGACAGCGTAGCTCAGAATGCCCCACAACACAGATGGATGAACCAAAAGCTTGACAGGCTCAATGAAAGCCTTCAAGAAATTCACATTGACGTTGTATGAGATTGGTTGCATAATTTCAATTATGGAGGGCGTAGAGATAGTATAATCTGCAGGTATCGAGGACGCTTCCGGCACATCCTCAAGGCGCTCTTCACTCGATGTCTGATCAGCTTCTTTGCTGGCATGCTGGTGGTGAAGTGTTCTCAATTGATCAACAGTTAAGTCGAACTCGGGCCGGTCGAAGTTAGACTCGGGAAAGAGGAAAAGAATCAGGACCAGATTGAAAATCGCGACTCCGCAGCATAACCATGAGAAGGAGCGCCAGGTCTCCGCTGTCGATGAAGTCATGAAACCAGCGATGAGCGGACCAACTGCGCTACCCCCTGAGATGAGTACAACGTATCTAGAAAATCAGACAAGCGGGTTAGAGCTCTGCAAAATGGATACAGATATTTTCGGTACTTACATCGACATCATGGCTCCTCGCTGATGCACAAAGGTGGTGTCCGCCACAATTTCTGGAACGATGCTCTATTGAGGGTTCAAGAATTAGCAAACTGGGCCTTGGTGTGGAGTTGAGAGAATGAAGTCTGATGTACCTCGCCAGCTGCGGCCGCAAATCCCTGCAAGCATCTGGCAGCGAGTAGACCGTTGAACGAGGGTGTTGCGGCAGTCCAGGCTAGCATGCCTGCTTGCATAGCCATTGATGAAAGCAAAGAGAACCGCTTGCCGAACTTCATTGCAACTGGAACCCAGAATATATTTCCAATGCTGAGAAAGAGGAAGTTTAACTAGGATACCATCTGTTAGATTTCGCAATCTCCCTGGGATTACTTGATTCTCCTGGAAAGAATGATCATACCGTTAGAACCTGCGTTGCATCTGTTTCAGATTTCTGGAATTGTGCCATCAGAAGGGGAATTGCGACGGAAATTCCAGCGCCACCCATGTTGGAAACGAAATTTGCCAACGAAGTCACCACAATTGCCGCAATTTTGAGGCCGAATGGCCATCGGAGAGGATCTTTCGGATCATTGGTCGGGAAGGGAATGAGTGGAAAATTCTCGCGGCCCATTTTTACGCACACGATTCCTAAGAGCGCAATAAATTCACTTTCGAGGATCGATATGAGAGATTTGCAAAGAATAAATATCAACAAGGTCGAAAAATCGGTAAATTCGACCGATAAGTATGGGGAACCTAATCTGGGGTTTAGCCGCGCAATCCGGGGAAGATCCGGGGAACGCTCGGTGATGGTATGCGGGTTTGGCAGGATCGATATAAAGTTAGATAACCAAATGATTGACCAAAGTTTACTTACACCTTGATCATATATAAGTCAAAAGTACCCCTATTCCTCGGCAAATTGCCCCAAGTAGGTGAGTAACGCCACGCAACTACACCGTATATGGCTTTGACACGGATCACTCTCGTCCATCCTGGCGGTCTCGTTCTCATCTCTGCTTCCTACTTTAATTGGCTTAACTCAATTTCAACATCTTTGGACCTAGATAGCGAATATTCCTGGAGCTTACGGTCTTGCTAACGAGTCAACTAGCCGTTCCTGTCATGTCTACTACTCCAGGTCCTCAACTTGAGCATGTGCTCACCCTGCATGTCGATCTGGCCCCTCCCCTCGATTATGGATCCACGGCAACTGGTGATAAACGTTTCATTCCCATAACCGGCGGAAAGGTCAGTGGACCCAAGTTCGGAGGAAAGATCTTGCCCAACACCAGTGGAGACTGAAATTCAGTACGCGCAGACGGAGTTGCGCATCTTTACGCACGTTATACTATTCAAGCAGAAGATGGAACACTCGTCGGAATTTGCAATGAAGGATATGGACGAGCCAGTCAAATGAAAGTTGTTTTCGAGGATGTGGGGTCCGGCAAGGGCATCAATGGAGAATGGTGGCACTGATTGGTACACGCGTACTTCCCCACGGTTCGAGGTGGATGTTGGAAACGAAAAGTATGGATGGCTAGCCAAGTCCATGTTTCTCGGCAACTTGAAGCCTCCAAAACGCCCTGGATACGTTGAGATTGACGTTTATGAGGTTTTGTAAGGCTATAGAATATGCGACTTCCTTGCTCGAAATACAGTCCCCAGGTCATTCGTCCCAGGAGCCCATCTCTCTTCAAGGCTAGGGCTCAATCTGGATATCGCTCTCGACAATATTAATCTGCAATTGGTCTCTCCATCCCCGTAAGAGAATGCACCCTATTGGATTTCTGACCGTGTGGCCCATGAAGATTAGGTCAGCGGTGTTAAAATTTCCCTGTAAAGGTTAGCGCAAGCCGCAACAGCCCCAACCAGTTAAAAAAAGCCAGCCGGGTCAGCCAAAGTATACTTCATTTCACTTTTGCTACCTAGTAAATCCACTTGGGCAATAATGGGCTCAAACCTGAGCTCAGCTGATCCTCTTCAACGCCCCAATACGCTTAGTAAATAGCAGCCCCGAATATCAGATCCATAATTTCAAATTTTAGCGTACCGCGGGCACCCAGTTACCTTGAACTACATGTATTCCAAATTTGGATGCCGGGGAAAGACCGGGAAGCCAGTCCGGCCGCCCCACTGAATTTGTATACAATCATGGGGTCCCTAAATAGCTATGCCAAAAGCCTGGAAAATTGAAAGTTAAAACCATCGAGTCATGTCCTTCCACCTGGAGCTCGCGTAGGTAAATTCTCTTTCATAAATCCTTCCGTACCTGCAGTCACGATTGCGAGTGTACTTTCTAGTGTGGGAGGTCCCCGAGTACAAGGTCCTATAACAGACACCGAGAAAGTGCATCAGTTGTACACAATCTTATTGGCAGGAATCATTAAGAGTTTTTTATGAATAAGATATTTTCGCTCCATCAACACTAGCAACTTTACTTGAGACTAAGAGAATTGGTACGATTTAGTGGAAACTTATCCAATCAATAGAATTCAGCGAAATAACCCCAGGCGCGTGTAGAAAGACGTGCTTGTATCCGATCCAGGTAACCCTGCATGTGTGAATAAACAGGCATTCAATGGATAAAGTCTGTAAGCCTTGCGTATTCTGTGTTTTCTTGATGCCGGCCATCGCCTTCTTATTCAATAGATGTACCGGAAACTATTTGAACAAACAATCGTTAGCTTCTTATCCACAACAAAGGATTGGAAACCACGTACTTCAGGTTCTCACGGTCAGTTAAGTCAAGGAATGCAGTTGAGTCTAGATCGCGACCCTCGAGGCCCCCTGGCATTTGAGATTGGATTCGGTCACGTTTTTTATTCTCCCACCGCAGAAGGAGTCCGAGAATGGTAATAAGCACCGCTTCGATTAAATGTGAGACAATCATAGACCAAATGCCAAGAGGATATGTCGGTCTAAGACAGTTGTCAGCGAGTCTGCCGAATTATATGTACTCAAGTCCCTTACGATTGATCAGTCTTATAGAAAAATGGACCAGCAATGTTTCCAGTGCAGTAACCCAGGAACAGAACCGCGTTGGTGACTACCTTCTTTGTGTGCCCTGAATCAAACATTAGTATAGGTTAATCGAGTATTTAGTATCTAGAGAGTAGGAAAGTAACATACCTGCAGTGTTTGCGATCTGCATACTGAGAATTAGGACGAAAGCAGCATTGTAAGGGCCTGTCAGGTAATAGCAAATAAGTCGACCAACGCCGTGATGAGTGGGGAAGAAGCGAAGACCAAAGGCGCCGACGAGATTCGGGATCAGGAAAATTAGAACGAATACGCATCGGCGATTCTCGAAGCGATCATTGAGGTAGACACATGTCAGAATTGAAAGTGCAATCAAAACACCGTACGGGATCTAGAGGGTATTAGCACTGGCTTTCAAAGGGCGGAGACTCTAAGGGAGATGCGCTAATACCTGCATAAGACTTGTCACTAGTGTAGAGAAACCGAAACCCTTGATAATAATGGTTCCGAAATTCGAAATACCGCCATTTGGGACGTTGCCTGTTATATGGTTAGCGGGTACACAACGAAGTATACACTGTGAAGTATCCAACGTACACACTACACCCAAAATAAAGAACATGTAGAGTTTGTAGTCCTTGAAGGCCTCAATAATTTGATATGGCTTCAGATGCTTGTTTTCCACACCCGTCTGGTTCTCTCTGATACGATCGACCGCAATACGGCGCTCCCTCTTCGTGAGACCAGGGGCGTTGACTGGCGAATCAGGGAGGAAGATAAACATGATAATTCCCCAAGTTGCGCATAGTGCTCCACTAAAATTTTATTAGTATTCAAACATAGCGAAGGAAAGGAAGTCTCCTACATGACGATGAATTCGTATTTCCAGGAAGGCAAGGCACCTCGAATGTGACCTATGCCGTACCCCAGAAGTCCGCCAAGAGCAATACCAATCCCATTGGCAGTATACCACAACCCGATACGGACGGGTTGTTCGCGCCGAGTGTACCACATGCTTGTGATGAGCATGAAAGCTGGATCGGAGCAAGCTTCGGCGGCTCCACCAAGGGCTCGGAGGACTGCGAGTGTCTCGAAACTGTTGCATGCTGCTTGGATCATAAGAAAGACACCCCTTTATGCGATAAGGTTTAGCAAGAACTCGCGAGGTCCGGTAAAGAGGAAATTCGCTTACCACATGAAGATGTTGGCCCCCAAGTATTTGCCTGCAACTACGATTAGATAGCTGTTTGGATGATGGTTACAAGGAACAGAGAAAATACCAATTGGAAGCCGTTGCATCAGAAAGTTAGTGGGGAATGCCCAAGCCAAGAAACCGAAATAGAAAATACTACTCAGCCAGTTGTACTGAGTTCCATGCAAATGCAAGTCATCGCGGATGCCGAAGATAGCGGCATAGCTCAACGTTGTTTTATCGATGTAGAAAAAGGCGTAACAGACAGCGAGGTAAGGAAGAATCATAAAGTCAATCTTCCACAGCAGCTTTCTTGCCTCGACGGGATCGATTTCTTCATGAAGTTCGTCGGGGTCATCAAACAGCGTCATGGCTGTGTCGCCATCGGCGACCTTGGCAGACTTCCATTTGGAGTGTACTTGGCTGCTCTCGGCATGGGATATGGTAGGCACATCCGCGATGTCAGCTTTAGAGGTAGGCGACGGGTCTGTTGGGGCGTTGTTTGCCATTCTACTTGATGTCTGCGGAACGTCAGCACCAAGAAAAGAGGACTATGTGTGTCAAATGAAGGGAGAGTAAATAGACTAGAAGCGGCGCGACAGCAGATTCTTGAGCCTTTGAACAAATAACTGCACGGGCATGCAAGTCCAAAGCTCGGATCAAAACATCCCAGGCGTGGGGGCCCTTGATTATCTACTTGTAAAGTAACATTGTCCGTGCTTTGTCTGGGTTTGATGCATCTCTCGTGCGAAACCCCGGATATTCAACACCGCAAATGCAAAAGCTTCCTCGGATCCACAAGGACTGGAAAAACGTTGTATAAATGCGGGGAAGGTCCAATGATATTCTTATGCGAAACCAGAAGTGTCATCGCTTCAAGAATCTGGGGGTTGATTCAGTCTTGGCTGATGTCCAAGACAGTCGGAGGTTCACCGCGACCTCTGCAAAGTCTCCAAAAAGGGCAGTTCTCGCGCGACTGGAGTCGTGGCCAAAGCTTCTCGTCCTTAGCAACGCAGCCAAACCTCGAGCAGGAGGTGCGATCAGCAGGCTAGACTCATCAACGATTCTCGGAGGAAGTCCGATGGCCGGTGAGCTCACCGATGTATGGCTGCATATGGACGAGTATCTGGCGCACAACTCATCGTTTCGCTCCTATCACCGATTGATGATAGGTGGAAAGTGCCTCGGGGCCTCGGGTTAGACTGAATGAATTGGCTGAGTGTCGATCGTGTTCTGAGCAAAGATAACCTGTTCTGCCTGCCTTTTTTGGTAAAGCGGCGTGGGGGTGATGAGAATCTGGGGTGACCATGGAATTTGAGGGGATCACTCCACCAAAATCGAATTGCCCCAGATTATGTTGCAAGCCAATCATGACGACAAAAAGCGGGATTTGGATTACAACTACAATTGTGGAGTATAGGTGGGACAAAAACTTTTATTTCTCATCGCAAAATATCGCAGCTTTTTTCTCCCTGGCTTGAAACCTTTTCTTGCACCTCAAATTATGAAATACGCACTTTGTCTTTCTTAGTAATTCCCGAAATGTATAGTTAGTTCCTGAATCATTGCATTCTCAAACGTCACCCCATAAACACCTATCTTCGATTAAAGTTCAAGAACCGAGACTGTTGCAGGAAGTTAGTAAAGGCACCTCGGCCATCAGGAAAGGCATTTTCTTACCGCAAAGAACAAGATAACCAGATTTGACACCACAAACGCTATAAAAATGCCCAGGTCACGCCACCGGTTGTTAAAGTCCATGCTGAATGCCGAATAAAATTCATCTCCAATCTTATACGCACAATACCTGCACCACTGCGTCGCATTGTTCTGCAGGTACCCAATACCTCCACGCTCAAAGAATGGCTTCATATATTCGCCACAGTTTTGGCCAGCGGGTGCCGGGAAGTAGTTCCATTCATATGCCGTGCATTTGACCGGACGACCGTGAAGCTCCGTAACAACCATACCGCCGATCAAGCGCGTGAAGGGGTCGAGCTGGTAGAGCCAGGAGCGCCAGAATTTGGGCATCTGCGGCTTGGGAATGGCGACACCACAGAAGAGTGAGAAAATGATCACGATTGGGGGATTGAGCTGGGATGCGATGAAACTGTTCGGAGTCAGGGCCGAGATCATTTGGCCCAGTGTTACGGCGAAGATTTCAGTGATGAGGACCATGAGGAATTGGTATCCCGCACGATCGCTGGTTGACTGGAAGCCCGGGATGTAGTACAGAGGCAAGAAGAAACAGACAGCACACAGGATGCTGTATGGAAGCTCGGCTAGAACCATGGAGAACGCAAACGCGAATTGGCTGTATGTCTTGGATGCCGACTCGCGGTAGAAGATCAGTCGTGACATGTCGTACTTAGGTTGGACTTGTTGAAGAATGATGGCAGGAAGCACCGTCACGTTGAAGATGACGAAGATTCGATACTGAAGCGAGGAGCGTGAGTCGTCGAGTTGCAGGAAAGCTAGACCAGTGACAACAGCGATAACGACGTGGGTGAACAGTCGAGTGAAACCGTAGTTTCGAGAACGCCAGAAGGAGAGATGGGTTCGTCGTCCGACAACCTTGACCTGATGCCACAGAGGCGAGGCATATTCCTTTTCGACCGCAGTTTGACCTTGATCAGTCGTCTGGACGACGACTTGAGCTCGATCCGACTTGATTTGAATAATTTCTTTCTTAACCGCCTCCAGCTCTGGCGAGGTACGCCAGACATCACCCCAGTCACGGTCACCGATACGTCGTGTTTGGCCTGCACCGATGGCGTCCAGCATCCATTCGGCCGGGTTCGCATCAGGAGGACAATCAGCGCCGTTACGACGGAAGTAGTCCAGCAAGACGTGAGAATCAGCCCCAATGTCTCCAAAGTAAACGCACTCGCCACCCTTTTGAAGGAGCAACAAGCGATCGAAGTTCTCGAACAGGGCAGAGTTAGGCTGGTGAATGGTGCAAAGAATAGCCTGACCAGCTGCTGCGAGTTTCTTCAAGAATCGGACAATGTTGAAAGCAGACTGACTGTCCAAGCCCGAGGTAGGCTCATCCAGGAAGAGCAGCAGCTCCGGCTTGGCTGCCAGCTCAACACCGATGGTAACACGCTTCCTTTCTTCGACCGAGAGACCAGTCTCGGGGGTTCCAATAATCGCGTCAGCCAAGTTTTCCAGTTCCAGTAGGCTGATGATCTCCTCGACGTATTCGTACTTTTCCGACCGTGGCGTTTCGAATGGCTGACGGAGATCCGCAGAGAAGCGTAGAGCCTCTCGGACTGTCGCCATTGCCTCATGGGTATCCAGCTGCTCGGCATAGGATGTACCTCGCTGGAAGGCCGTTCCTGGGGCTCGGCCATCAACCAGGATATCTCCCGATACCACACCAATGTTCTTTCTAGCGGCTAAAACGTCCAGCAAAGTTGTCTTCCCGGCACCGGATGCACCCATGAGAGCAGTCAATTTTCCAGGCTGAACATATCCGTAGACAGAATTCAGCAACTGTCGCGTTCCAGATGGCACTGGTACCTCATAGCGGACGTCTTCCCAGGTGAAGACTGAGGTCGAGCTGATTTTAAGATTGGCCCCAGTGTCTACTGTCTTTGCTTGCCGGTTGGCCTTCTTGGTTTCCAAGACTTTGTTGAGTTCCTCGCGTTCACTGTTCTCCTTCTGGAAGAAAGTGATCGTCTTACCACCAGCTTCAAATTGAACGTTTTCGCCCAGATACAAGTTGGAACCCAGGAAGGCAATAATCAAAGCAATCATAATTCCAAAATTTCGCCAGAGATCACCATTTGCATAGGCGAAGGTTGTCATCAAGTAGTTGGTTCCTGGGATAAGTGCCGATCCCCGTTCACCACCCGCAAGAGTGCAAGCTTGGTGAGCGATATCCGTATAGCCGGGCCCATTCGGAATCAGGGAATCTTTTGTGCAAGTCATCGTCAGACGACTAAACTCATTGACCATAAGTGATGCAAAGCCGAGACCGAATGGATTGAGATAATAGATCCACCGCAGCCAGAGCTGTTGATTAGCCCATTGAATGAGATAGCCGGAGGTCAAGACGAAAAGTGTGATGATCACCGCAGCAAATTTCATGGCGTAGTCAAAATCGGGACATAGACAGCCGATTGTTCTGAATACCACAGTCATGCAGACGTACCCAGTGAGAATGATCAAGACGAACGTGAAGAATGCACTTGCGTCGAGGGCAAGACCACACATGAAGTAAACGATTATGGCAAATATCAGGATTCTTGCGATGGCAAACGTCGTGTCAACAATGATTTGAGCAATGAAGAGTGCCGTTGGTCTGTAGAAAGTGAAGGATCGATGTTTATTGACGATGGATCGACCGATCATAGTACCCGCAAGCTCTGAGAAAGCCTGAAAACCATTGAACAGCAGACTGATGAACAGTAGACCACCACGGGTAAAGGCACCAGCGCTGGTCTCAGGCTGCTTCAGCCATACAGTGCCAAGAATAATCGCAATACCAGTAGAGGTAAGCCAGGAAACGGTCAAAGCGAACTTGTCTTGCCATTTGAGCAGGAATTGTCGCTGCATCAGAGCCCAGATTTGGAGATGGAGGGGGATCGAGTAGACGGAGGATTTGGGGGTGTACTTGCGTTTGGCCTCTAGGTTGGCGATTTCGAAATCATCATAAACCTGCTTCTCCTGTTCGACCTGGGCGCGGTACCGCCGCATCTCTGCGTCAAGCTGCTCGCTGAACGTGGACTTGTCGAAGGCTTCCACCAGTACCTGAGGGGTTGAAGGCACATTCTCAGAACTTCGCCCTTCTTGAAACTCTCGTTCAAAGGGGTCGGTGCAGCCAGTCAGGTAGTCGGGAGTAGTTTGGCGAGGCTTTTTCCGGAAGCCGAGTCCTTCGAAATATGCGCGGGCTTTATCGGTGGGGCCAAAGAACACCTGGCGGCCGCTGTCAATGACCAGAACTTTGTCAAATTGCTTATAGATATTCTCGGATGCTTGATAGAGCGAAACGAATGTGGTTGTTTTGTAAATGTTAGTTAAAATGCGCAATGACTTGGCGAAATCTAGTGCAGTGGAAGCATCAAGGCCTCTCGTGCTGTTGTCCCATGCCAAAACAGTGGAAGACGTTGTCTAATAAAAACATCAGCAAGGGTACCGTTGGCGATGACGAGCTAGTACAGGAGACTACCTACCATCATTTCTGCGATGCTCACGCGGCGTCTCTCACCACCACTAACGCCGCGAATAAACTGGTTTCCAATCACAGTATTGGCAGTGTGCTCGATATTGAACATGCGCAACAACATGTTGGTGACCCTCTCTTTGAACTCGGCTTTGGAGACACCCATAGGTCGCTTCCCTGGGGTTTTCGTATCGAGCGCGAACTCAAGGGTCTGCTTGACTGTCAAAGTGGGCTGGTGGATATCGTCTTCTTGGTTGTATACGGCCTCGCCACGAAATCTCTCTGAGAATGTCTCAGCCGTAAAAGGGCCGTACAGAACTTCTCCGTCGACACCAGTATACCCGAATCTTTGGTTGGCAATGACTTTGAGGAATGTAGTGCATCCAGAACCTGGCCGTCCCAGCACCAGCACCATCTCTCCGGGCTTTATGAGGCCTCGGAAACCCTCCAGAATGTTATACTCCGTGCCTTTATCTCCGTATCCCAGCATGTGCATGATGGTCTCGGGGAAGTTGAAAAAATCAATGATGGCATCAGGGAAGGTCTTGATAAAGGTTTTCACGCCACCGATGCCGCGAACCGTGAGGTTGTCCCAGATAACACCTGTTGTAACTGTTAATATAAACACGAAACTTGAAGTACGGGGCCAACGATACCAATGTGCTTGTCTTTGATGCCTGCTTCTTCCTCCGCGGCTCGTTTACCCCTCAGAGTGGTTTCCAGATCCCATGGCTCATCAGAGTCGGCTGAACTTCCAGCTTTCTCGACGTCTTCACCGGTAGCCGTTGGCTTAGACGCCCGCGATGCTTGTTTGGACAGACGGCGAGCTTGATGTGAAATACTGGAAAATTGTCTGTTGAGCTCCGAAAATTCATACTGGGCTTTTTCGACATCAACACCAGTTTGAGCCATTGTCATGCCCTGTGGGTTAGAAATACGAATCTCTTCCCGGCCTTGCTCATAGTTGCTTGAGCGGCGGGAATCAGTGTCCGAGTTGGTACTCGCATCGCCGACTGGCGATTTGTCGTCCATGGTGCTGTTCATTTACAGCGGGAAGTATGGAGGCTCCAAAGGATACGGATGTTGATTTGAATTATTCAGTCACTCTGTTATGCTTCAAATAACTCAGCCCCCAGCACCAGTAGATCTCGAAGGGCTGCACGTTTTGACAGTCAAATCGAGTCAGGCAAACTGGGTGGGAGAGTTTGGGGGAAATGAGTCAAATCCAAAGATGAGAAAGAACAAGGAAAGGGACTACTGAAAAAAAAAAAAAAAGTAACATGAAGCCTCAAGCCAAGCCCACCAGGCTAAAACGGTGCGTAGTCCATAGCGTAACCCCTAAATCCGAGTTAATTCTCCAAAACCACCGGCCTCCAGGCTCCATGCCTAGATGTGCCCGCATCGGCCCCGCCTCGACAGGGTTCCGGGGTTTTGGTGGGGGAGGTCAGAGTATAACTTCTAGGCAACTCCCACCGCGAGGAACTGGCGGTGGATGGGCAAACGCTCAAGATAGCAAGCTCGTGTGTTGATCGTGACTTTGATGCATTGACTCAACAAGTCGGGGAACCGGACGTGACCACCCACTATGCATGATGCAGGCCAGTTGAAAACACTGGCCACCACGCGGTAAAACCCCGGGATGCAGGGAACGTGGGCCTCTGCCCGAAGTCAAATGCTGGCTGTTGGCTCCGTGACTGGCTGTGTGAGGTGGGGATGTGATATCCTCAAACGGCAAGACGGCAACTTCCGGTGGCGGATCGAGTCCGCGTTGCTTTGGAATCAGCCATGAGTCTTGCCCAGACTCGGAGAGTAACACTAACCCACATGGCGGGCTCCTATTGTGGATTCAAGGCTGTATATCACTTCTGGCTCATCGTGACTCTTGTGATCAATCCAAACTGCATTGCATAGTCGAAGCCGGAACCGTGCAATAATATTGCAATCTTGCAGGTTGAGTGAACTGACAATCTGGAAATTAGCAATTGACAACTTGGGGACGTGCGACAACGTTGTGTGTAAAGAAGAAAAAGAGACCCACTAGGGGATTTCCAGGATTGTGGGGAGGAGCCGAGACTCGACGGACTGCGCGGGCTCCGTTTGCTTTACCGGTTAAGACTACTAAGAGAGGCGAGAATGGGGGCAGAATTTATCACCTTTTCTCGACGGAGACTAGCGTTAGCGAGCGAGCCTCTTAACCACCGCTCGGCAGATTCAATAATCCGCAGTCATTCCGCTCTCTCGCTTGCCAGGGGTAAAGACCGGGGTCGTCGCCGGAAATCACCAGTGAAATAATAGGACTCTGTTTGAGCTAAGACCCGAGGTCATTAATAGGTAAACCTCACTCTGAGCTGATTCAATCACCATGCTAAATCAAACCTAATATCGGACACTGTCACTCAAGATTCACGAAAACTCTTAGGCTAGAAACTGGATATACTTTTTGATATTTCAGGATGGGTAAAGAGTAGCCTCTTCGCTCTGAATAATACATACTTAAACGAGGTATATCTGCTAGAACTTCATGAATGGGTATTTCCCTAGTGGGGGTGTTTTCCGGACAATGTATACACATAGAAGTAGTGAGCCTTTGCTCAGTTTTCACCACTTACATACAGCCTTGGATAGCGCAGCTTCCATCGGCTTCACTATCTGGGCAACATTATGATTAAAAATGCAGCGATGTGGTATGTATCATTTTAAAAATTCCTCCCTGACCTAGGTCTAACCTTCCAAAGCAGCCTCATTCTTGCGACTTTCGCCTCCAGGCGCAAGAGCAAGAGTCGCTGGTAGACAGGTTGCAGCTCGTCGTCTCAACTTCAAGTAAGCTTCATAGACTATTTAAGATATCATTGATATGACGAAGCCAATATGCTAACATACTGATCTTAAAGAACCCATTGGAGCACCAATTCCACCCGAAGCATCACAGCTGAATCACCTCATGACCGCCTCGTTGCATCACGCCGAAACCGCCCTGTCGCTCTAGCGATGAATATATACAAATGGCAATATGTGCCTTCAGTCTCGGCACTCCAGCGTATCACCGGTATCCTGCTATCTGGAAATTTATACGGTTTTGCGATGCTATACCTGTTGACACCTCTAACAGATATATTTCTTGATTCAAGCACACTAGCTACTTCCTTTGGGTCTCTGCCATTCGCTATGAAGACAGCGGTAAAGTTTGGACTATCTATGCCATTGACATATCATGGTTTCAATGGGATAGAACATCTGATAAGGGATACTGGTCGTCTATTGGGGAAAAAGGATAGCGGCCGAGCATCGTGGGTGGTCTTGGGCTGAAGCCTGAGTACATCTTTGGTACTTTCTTTAATCCATTTTAAAACTTTCACGGCGATCAATTGATTACGTCGCGATAAAACATTTCGGTTGGGATACAGGAAGCCGGTTATTACTCCTTGAAACCGTTCATGTCGACGGTCGGCTTAATAATTCGTGTACATGAGTCATGGACTCCCTTGCAATTCTTCCAGTATCCGATAAACATTTCCAGGATGTTGATCACTCGTCACTGAGTAATTGAGTAAAAACGGAAGCGACATTTTGTCTGTGCCACGTCGGTTTGTATCATGATCACACTGTCGAGCTCGGTTGCTCGCTAGCATTTTCGAGCTACCGATTACTTGTTGACCGAACTCCCGGTCATGGGTTCCAAGACGCCGATAGGAACAAGTCCTGTCACTCTGCAGACATGCACCACATGGCGTGTGGCCATCGCAGATAGTTCCACTGCATCGGCGACCGGGTTTACTTGGTAATGGCTTATCCTGACCTCGAAGCTGAGAACAGCTCTGATAGTGTCGTCGGAGGGCATCACTAATTGAATGAGCTTGCCATGTAAAAATTAAGTGCCGAGATGGCTTACTTTCTGGAATATTGACGACCGCAAAATTGGCAGGATACATGAGATTCCTGAATGGTCTGCGAAAACATTTGAGTCTCTGGATAAGATGTGTAATTGCACGGAGAGTCCATGTACTTACGCGACGTCTCGTGGCGACGCAGGTGGTTCCTGCTCGAGAACCTCCGCTGACAGACTCGGCAAGTGTTCGCTGAGTCTGCCATGGTACTCTCAACGGCGGATCATGCTACCATACATAAACCTCTAGGCACGGGGAATACCAAGCGATGTAAATGGAAGACAATGAAGGGTGCATGGCTTAAATCTCGGCGGTGAGATCTGACTTGGTGGTTCCGTGGGATTCAGCCGACCCTTTCGAACGAAGTTGCCCGTCCATGGACAGATCAAATCGGGCAGAACCTCCAGCCATGTCGGTGTGCTTTTGAAAAACTCTGCATAGTTCGCACCCTTTACCACCGGGTATACCGCAATTGCTGGCATCAAGAGGGGGATGGAATGAGACTCTGAGTCAAGGAACCCCTCACAGGCAATAGTGTGGGGCAGCGAGGTCAATATATATCTCTTTGGACCTGCCGAACACACTGATGTTTCTACTATACACGACTTCTCCGCCTCCAGTTGGGTCGTGAAAGATCATTAACATTCATCAAAATAGGCAAAGGCTTCGTAGTATTTCCCGCTAAGTTCACAGGTTATGCGGTGCGAGGAATTCCCCCGGGTCCATGAAAGCCTCATTGACCTCATTACAGTAATTAGGCCATGCATCTAAATTGATCAAATCCGTCCAGGGTCCAAGCAAGTCCAAATTCAAGTCAGGAGGTGCATAGCCATCATTTGGACTGGTCGGGCACAATGTATCACTCGCATGATTCTGGAGGACATGAGTCTCGGTTGTTGGAGCGGAAGATGACGATGTGGCAGGAGTGAGTTGACTGAAGTTTAAAACTTGCACCAGGCTGTCGACTTTGGTGCACAAGTGCCGGGTCAGAGTAGCTGCTCTCGTTGCTGTGAAATTCTCCTTGCCAGCAGAGTCGAAGATTTCAAGGGCCAGGTGGAGATATTCTCTTGCTGCCGGACACCGGTGACAGTATGGATACGCGAGCATGAACCCAATTATTGTTATGACTGCGTTCCACAGATACTGATATAACTCAGACAGACCGTGAAGAATATCTTGAGTGGCCATTGCATTGTGTGAGACTTTGATCATAGTCAAAGCATGGTTGAGTGCTGTTGCGGCGTGGGCGTCTGCTAACGGGCTGGATTTTGGAATGAGTGGGTGATTGGGGAACTGTATGAATACGCGGTGAAGGCCAACCATCACATCGTGATATTGCAGCAATAATGAAGTGCTCAGTAAAGTGATCATTGGAGACTGTTCTGTATCTTTTTCTTCAACGCTGACTGCCTCTGTCGGAGCGGATGGCAGGTCAGGTACGTCAAAATGCATGTTCGCAAAGTCTTTTGCCTGGGGTAGCTCGTCGCGCCATCTCCTCAATTTATACAACAAATCTGACAAGCACTTTGCTCGTGATTCAATTTGTGTGGTTCCAGCTGCTCCATTGAACAGAGAAGAAGACCGGCGCTCCATGGAGTCATTCACTACCAGTGCCTCGGCCGTGAGTCGAATAGATTCGGTATGAAACAGCAAGCCATTTGAAAGGTGAATATCTTCTGCCTCCTTGCTAGGTATCAGGCACATCAAATCATCGATATTGACACTGACAGGTTTGCCCACGTGTTTTGAGCAGCGAAAATCAAGATGAATTAATGTCCACCAGACGCGTCGAAAAAGCTGGCATTCCCGGTATCCGCCATGTCGCGCGTCCATGTAGTTGAGCGACTGGGCAATGCGAAGTCCTAGTCCGACCATATTATATGCTGCTTTGTGATATCCTACCTCAAGAAGGAATAGGGTCAGATAGCAGTAGCATTGCATATCGGATAAAGACGGGACAGCGAATGTGGCGAATTGAGTGACAGCCGAAAGACAACGCTGAAAGTAAGGCATTCCAATTGTTGACTTCTGTCGATCAAATTGTGGCCAATTAAGACCAACAATTCTAGTATGAAGACTAGAGCAGTATATAGAGTGTAAAGAGTATGCCTTGATGGCATCTCGCAGAGGCGAGGACGCGCCAGGAACCTCCTCGCTGGAGAGATTTAGGTCCTCCCATTGTACGATTGGCATTCTTGGCCGAAGGCGAGTCCAGAAAATTTTCAGGAGATGTTTCGTCTGGTGAGGTGACAAGTCGCATTCTGCCTGATGTGAATCCTCTAGAATACTAGGTGGGAAAGGCGAGGTTTGATCTAAATGTGGACCATCTCCAGATGGAATTGTATTGAGAGAAGTTGGCGCCGCGCTTGAACAGAACTCATTGATACGGGCAATAAACCCTAAGATTGAGTCCGTTTTATGCGAGGTCCATGCCAGGTTCGCTGATGGTGACGGTGTTGGAACTAAGGCTTCCTCGGGCTGAGAGGCAGTCATTGAAGTATTTTCTTTGAGGGGCCGTTCGGCGGCTTGCCGATCCGCTCCGCCATGCCTTCGCACCAAACTACTCCTTCGAGAAGTACTTGATTTACGCGAGCGGTGACAGGTAACGCCGTTAGCCACACATTGGGGACACGGCGTGACGGCTTCGCATCGGACACGGTGCTCACGGCAGAAGTCGCAGGCCTTGGCGATCTTGCGCCGCCGGGCGGCTAGTCCGATCCGCGGGAGTGTAGGTAGTGTATATTCGGGCATTTCAAAAATTCCAGCTAGTAAGAAGCACCGGGGAGAATTGACTAGGCCAACGATGCGCAAAGCCAAATTTCAAGGCGGAGTGAAGCAAAGTGAAGCAAAGTGTCTGATACTCTAGCGAGGAAGAGTGTAATACTCCGGATGCTCCGATTGGTTGTTTTTGGTCGTCCCGCCCAAATAACCCGATTTGATTGGGTGATGTCCACGGCGACATCGATGGTTTCTTCACTGTGTGGAGAAGCTTGCGTTACATAGTTTGGAATAGTAGAATGAATCGGATTAATCACTCAACGTGGCAACTGTTTGTATCCTGTTGGTCATCGCTCTGTTGCTTTGAAATGTAGGAAACCCAGCCTATCGGGACCACAGGAGTGTATATTCCACTCAAAGCAAGTTCCAACAGAATACTCCGGAGAGGATTTCAAATACTTGTTGTCGTTCATGTTGATAGAAAAATAAGACAGCCTTCCTAGCAATAAATAGAATCAATCTTCCACTCCAAATCCAGAATACTCAACACCAATTCCCGACCATTCGGACTCGACCATTTGAAGTCTTTTAGAATGTCTCAACACACTGTTTTCCGATTCCCCGCCAGAAACACCTTTGAAGACTTGACTTGCCATCAAGAAGAGATCCCAAAGCCCCTCAACCATGAAGTCCTGATCAGGGTTCGTGCTGTAGCACTCAATGCGAGAGATTGCCAGATTGCCACTTCGAAATATCCCTTCGCCATCAAAGACAATGTGGTTCCAGGATCCGATGCTGCCGGTGACATCGTGGAAGTGGGTGATTTGGTGACCAATTTTACCAAAGGAGACCGGGTTGTTGTATGCTTTGACCAAACCAGGCCATATGGGCCGTCCAAGCACCCCGTTGCCGGTCAGTCTGGCGGTGGGGTGGATGGCGTGATGGCTCAGTATATCACCCGCCCAGCATCTGCAGTCGTCAAGATCCCACCTGAAGCTCCTCAAACATACAGTGAGCTTGCTACACTTGTATGTACTGGAGTGACATCCTGGAACGCCCTCTATGGAAACAACCCTTTGGTTCCCGGCCAAGTCGTCCTCGTTCAAGGTATGTTTGATACATCATCCCTAGACACTTGAAGACTCATACTCATTAAATGATAAATGTAGGTACCGGTGGTACCTCTATGACTGCCCTAGTTCTAGCCCAGGCAGCTGGAGCTAAGACTATTGTCACCTCTTCCAGCGATGAAAAGCTGAAATTCGTCAAAGAGAGATTCAATCCCGACTGGTGCATCAACTACTCCAAGACTCCAGACTGGGCCGCTGAAGCTATGAAACTCACTGGAGATAAAGGGGTGGACCATATCGTTGAGATTGGTGGCGCTGGAACCATTAGACAAAGTTTGTCTGCAATTACGCGAGGGGGTGTGATCAGCATTATCGGATATCTTGCCCAAGCCGACCCCAAGTCCACGACCGACATCCTGATACTCGCGCTCGGCAAGGAGGCGGTTTTACGTGGCCTTATTGTTGGTCCTAAGTGTATGCTGGATGACCTGGTGACATTCACTTCTCGCAAGCAATTGAGATTTCACATTGCCAAGGAGTATGGCTTCACTCGAGATGAGATTTTGGCTGCTTATCATGCGGTTGATTCTGGAAAGCACATCGGGAAGATTTGCATTGCGGTTGAGTGATTGGTTTTCATTCAATTGGAGATGATCGATTGTATTTAGTATGCGAGATGAGCTTGTTCTGTAAATGGCTGTGCCTTGCGATCCGAGTCCTTCACACATCCAGGGGTATTTCGGCCCGTCTCAATCACGAGCAAAGGTTAATACTCTTTCATTTGATACAGGGCTTATTGGGAACAGGGTCACCTTCCTCGGTTTCTTCCTCAAATTCTATTGGGTGAGGTTGTTTGAGAGATTTCAATGCAATGATTCCTGCAACCAAACCTTTTAGACGCTCGTTACAGACCATTCTCTAGGCAATGATCTTCATTTAGTATATCTTGCGTGACATTGTAGAAATAGACATTTGACATGACTTATTCAGTACCATGCGCTGTAAGGTAAAGCCTGAATCCTTTCAATTCAGTTCGAATACTCGTCTGACTTCATTTGGAGGAGCCTCGACTACACTTGATGGGCTTTTCCCAACCGTGAAAGCTCCTTGAGATACGACAGGAAATTCATCTTTCGACTGCGCGTCCTGCGATCTTTTGCGACGGTGCAGCCAAAAGAGCACAAATGCAATGGCTAATGCGCAAGCAAGCCCTACACCCACACCCACCCCGGCCTTTGCCGCACCTGACAGACCATGTGTTTCCTCGGTTTGTAGACTCGGACTTGTCGTCGTGGTGAGAGCGGACTGGGGTGCACTAGAGGAGGTGCTCAATGGAGGAGTGGACGTTTCTGTTTGGGGAGTCAACTTTGTCGATGTCGTTGTTGTCGGGACCGCGGTAGTTGTCGACGAGCTGCCCTTGGTAATGTTGAAGTAATGGCTCGAAAAAGCTGATCTGTATTGGCGAGGTTCGATGCATTTCGTATTTGAAAGAAAAAAACTTCTCCGTCACTAAGGTTCCGGTTCGTCGACACGATCCAATCGTAAGATGTGATGCCGTGAATGTCCGCTGGCCCAGGAGAAAGGTTAGCATGGTGTTTGCTGGGCAAGCATAGAAGGCCTTTTTATGACCTACTCTGAATCCATTCGTAATCTGGATTATCATTCTGCCATAGCATTATTGAGAATGATTCCAAAGTTGTTGCCCAGCGCATTTGCACTGTCTGTCCAACAGTATAGACCGGATCATCTTGATATTGGTGAATGGGACCTCCGGTCGGTGGATTATAAAATATCCCGGGTGCTGCTACAGCATAGGTGAAGCATAAAGCAAATATCAAACGTAGCCTCATTGGTTTGAGCCAGGATGAAGCAACAATTTGGAAGCAAAATAGCAAGTCAAAGACTAGGAGATGTCAGGCGAAAAGGACTACTTGGTCGTCTGACAGAAAAAGAGAAATTGCCTGTTGTATGGGGCCAAATGCTTGGCACCTTTTCGGCCCCCAACGTTTGTTTTGCAAAGCCTCGAGACCCTGGCCAAGGGCAAAATTGCCAAGCCGGAGCCGCTCGTCTCATTATTGACTAGTAAAGGGATTTGCTGTCTTGATTTGGGATAGGCTTCGAAAGCCTGACAGGCATTGGACGTTTGGTTCGACCTTCAATATCAGACGCTCCACAGGTTCCCGGCATCTCCGAGATACTCCCGTAAGCACTACTGCCGTGTGGCACAGGTGTGTGGGCGAGAGTTGTCCCCCTTTGGGGGCCAGCAAAACAAGTAAATCCCCGCTCGGGTCATCATCGAATAATGTGTGTATTCTCTTGCTCGTACAGCCGGATATGAGATGAAAGACCTTTCGTCTGAACAACCAAAATCCTACTCTCGTTCCGAAACTGCCTGCCAGTTCTATTTTTGATTTTTACAGTGGCTTGTTGGCTTGCATTCCGATCGCGTTCCTATTTTTCAGCCACAAATGAGACCCTATCTACTCCCAGCCCCCAATCGCCATTGTTGTATCCAATAGAAGATGCGGCCAATGAAACATTAGGGTATGTGAACAGCTTCGGTGATGCATTTTTCTTTTCTCAATGCTTATAATATGTAGTTCCAGAAGATCTTGGGCCTATCCCATGGTGCATCATGGCGCACAAGGGGTCTTGCTGCTGCTGCAAGTCTCACTGGGCTTCAGATTACCATTCCTCCACAGCCCCCAATTCATCCGGACGTGATCAATGCGTTTTCGCTGATAGGATCTCATGGCCAGAAAAGGGATCATCCAACTCCTGGACGTAGCAGCGCCTGGCTTCCACATCTCGATCTCATTAAGCATATCTATCAATTGAATCTTGAAACAGCTCTTGTCATTGAGGATGACGTTGACTGGGACATCAACCTCAAATTACAGATGAATTCAATCGCCTCCGCGGTGAGAGCATTGACCAAAACACCCGACAGTGTATCTGCGCCATATGGACAGAACTGGGATGTACTCTGGATCGGCCATTGTGGCGAATATTGGGAAGTGGGGTTTGAGACTGTGGCCTTCGATGATGTCGCGGTTTGTCCACATACAAGCTACAATGGCTGGGCGAAGCAAATATAATTCTAGACTCCCTGATGGCCGAAGGAGTGTATACTGGTCGAACAACCCGGCCTGCTCATTTGCATATGCCTTGACACATGTTGGTGCGCGAAAGGTTCTGGAGCTAACGGGCTCTGCTCAGGACAAAGCCTTTGACGTGAAGATGATGGGAGAGTGCAAAGTCGGGAATCTGAAATGTATTTCGGTCGTCCCGGAAGTAATTCATCAATACTTCCCGGCCGAGGAATATGGTGTGAAGAGCCTGGTTGATATTGGTAATGGTGAGGTTGCGGGGCCTTCAGATGCGATTTTTGAATCCACCAAAGGCTCCACAGAAAACATTCTTTACAGTGCTCGGTGTCAGTCTCTATGGGGAGAGACCTGCCTTCGACAATAATAACTCGAGAGTAGCTTTCCAAAGATACCAGCATCAGTGAGCCTAAATTGATGTAGAGAGGAAGCAGGTTATATACTTAGGCATGGATCCAGTTGTTTCCTCTCTGACGCAATCACTATAGTTCGTCATCTAGCGAATGCCTAACTAGGTTACCTAAAGGCAGGATTCGAATCTACCACAGGAATCCAAACCTAGTATGAGTCCAGCCCCCTCTCGCTAGGTGCTGTTGGCTTACACTGCGCAATTTCAGGGAGTATCGCATGCAGTTTCGTCCATCGTTATTGCGGTAGAATCTTTAGTTACAGTGTTAGTGCACCCCACGAAGGTTGACTATGGACCGAACCAATCGGAAAGAGTTTTTCAGATATTGGCGTTTTCCGCTCATTCCCATTTGTTAGTCTGTGTTACAAGACCCGCTAAATTATAGTAAGCAGGCTAATAGGAAACCTAGGGTCCTGGGACAAGAGGGCATTAAACCCATCTGATTTAACAAGCAAACGACATGAGCGAAACTTGGACTCAATTATCTAATAGGACCGTCGAAGACATTGATCTGGAAGACTCGTAGCCGCCATCGTGTGGATGAGTTTGGGAGGATGGTCTGTGCGGTTGAGAAGAGTCAGAAATTCACTCCGCTGCCAGTTATCTCGCGCTTGCAGTGATAGCCCATTCCGATCAAATCAAAACATTCGCGCTCTCATTTGGTAGTCCGACTTCATTAGTTTCAAAAATAAACTACTAGCAATTTAAAGTTAAGAACCATTTAGTTACTACGAATGTTACCAAATAACTAACCACTTTGTTACCAAGGTGACATCAGCTTATGTTTTGGTCGTAAGCGAAAGGGGGCCTAAAACACATATATTAGAGGGGTCTTTTTCGTATGTCAGTTTGTGTCCTGATTGTCACTTCACCGTCACAGGTGATTCCCTACATATATCGTGAGGGTTTTCCCTTAATTCTACTAAAATCCCGTTTTCTGCCCATTCCAAGTTCTTCAAAGGGCAGCTAACCACTACAAGATCAATCAATCAATCAATCAATCAACACTCTATTAACCTGTTGCAGCCTAACTAGTGGCGTAATGGCTATGCAGGCGCTCCCTCCGGCGGAAGCAAGAGTGATCCGAACGCCAGACCCGCGCATGAAACAGTAAATACATAGGAAAACGGCGTCATGCCATATAAAATCAGCCCAAAAACCGTACCAAAACGCCCTCCGAGCCCTCAGTCCCACGATATATCTCTCAATCTGCCCTCACATTGGCCTGCTGTCTTCCCCGTATCTCCATCCCCGGTATCTCTCCTGCTTCGTTCTCGATTGGTGGCGTTCGTTGGTGATGCTGGATGTATTCTTCCACGGCCTCTCGGTCAGCCGCGGTTTTGGCGTTCCTCCTACCCAGCGTCTTCACCCCCTGTGCCTGCCAGTCTATCCTGGCGGATCGTTTCCTTCGCCCTGCGGAGGCTCCGGCTCGATTTCGACGTGCCGGAACTGTCCCAGGAGGCCTGTTTGAAGCATGAATTCGGCCACGTAGCGGGTGGCCTGCGAGTGTGATACGATTGCATCATAATCCGTCGAATCCCCAAGATCGGTCATCCGGATCTTGTCAAGGAAGGTCTGCCTCAAATCAGCGTACAACGGGCACTGCATCAAGATATGTCTCGGTGTTTGAGACCCCTCACTGCAATAACACTCATCTAATTCGACCGCCTTGATTTTGAACAGGAAATGATTCAGTGCAATGCGCATTGATCGCATCTGAATCAACACTGAGGTGTACGGCTTCGAAAGTGATTCGAACAGGCGAAGCACCCTCTTGTCTGGAGCTTTGACTAACCGCTGGTTCGGTTTGCCAGTTCGCTCCTTTGCCCACTCTTGTGCCCATCTCTCTTTAATGCGCCGCCGCACTCGACGCTTTGCGGTCGCTGCTAGAAGGACTCGACCGGCGGACCCCTCGGGGTGGGGTTGTTCCGCTCCGTTCTCCACACCTCCCGTTGCCGCCAACTTTGCTTCAACGTCGGCAGTCTCGTTGCCAGGAACGCCCACGTGTGCGGGGATCCAACGGATCTCGATGGGAATCTGATCGAACGTGGGCGTCAGCGATCGAAGGGCCCGTACGTGATCGTATATTGTGGTGAGCACGAACTGGCCCGACGATCGCTTTGGGTTTTGCACCGCCTGGATAGCGGCCTGGCAATCGGAGAAAATAACAAGCTTTGTGGGCCTGTTGTTATTGTTTTGCTGTTGTTCGACGAATTTGGCGATCGCCATTTCAATGCCGTTGAGCTCGGCAACGTACACTGTGGATTCGTCGGTTGTTCCAAGGTGCCTTCGGTTAAAGATGCCTTCACGCGGGGCAACAGCCGAGGCACCCACCATACCCTCATATCCACTTCCATCTGTGAAGAATAAGACCGTCGGGGTTCGGTCTAGTGCGGCTTGCTGGAACAGAGATTCTATCTCAATCTTGTCATACGAGGCTCGCGCAGCCTCTGCATTCTTGTCGATGACGCATAGGATCCGTGCCTCCCATAGCGCTAGAACGAGCGCTTTACGTGATTCCCACACGCTTCCTTTAGGGTCCAAAATGCTATCTTTCTTCCATCTAAGGGCTTCGAGAGGGCTCCATCCACCTTTCTTACGCTCCTGTGAGGATCAGGGGGCACAGCGAAGGGAGTCTGGCTAGGCCCACGCGGCTCCTGTTTGGATTCGTATTGCCGTTTCCTGGATGATTTGGTCCATAAGTAGGTGTATTGGTGTGATGAAGAGCTCCACGTTGAGTACTGCCGCACTAGTGGATTTGAAGGCACCGCTGATAAGAATCGCCGCACGTCGTTAAACTTTGGTAAATTCGTTAACCGTACGTTTCATCTCCCATACAGGCAATGATCTAGCCGCAGGGCAGTACCATACAGATATTCCGTAGAGCATCTGTAGCACCACTACTGCTTAGTAGACCTTTCGCATTGCCGCCAGTGAGGCACCCCAAACCGATCCTGTCATCGCCCGGAGGGCTTCCAGGCTACCGTTGGCCTTGTCGAGTAACTTTCGGCGGTATATATCGAAATCGAGGTGTTTATCGAGCCAAACCCCTAGGTATTTAGCAGACTGTGTCGGTTGTATTGATAGTTCGTCGTACTAGACAGGCATCTAGTCGTTACCCTCGGGGTGCTGTGTCGCGTAGTCGAAGATGTCGGATCCAATATAGGTTGTATTGTTAGCCGCCGGCCCCTAGGCTGTCTCGTTCTCATTCAGGTTGGTGAAATAAATTAATTCGAACTTATCGGGTGCGAATCTTGCTGCATAGCGTCTGGCCCATCGATTCGCCTTACCGAGTATTTTCTCCAGTGTTATAGTGTTGTTGTAGTATAACTCCGACTCCACTAGGACAGCCACGTCGTCTACCCAGCCAAAGCCAGCAGACTATACAATACCTGTTCTGAGGCCGCACGCGGTAATCAGAGGGGTATTGAATAGTAAGAACAGGATTGGCGAGATTAGCGATCCTTGTGGGATACCGGTGGGCGTAGGGAAGCTGTCCGAGAGATATCCTGGTAGCTTAATGCGTGTGCTTCTATTGCGAAGGAACGATGCAATCCATAGCGCGAACTGGCCTAGCCGGAGCTGCTTGATGTTATTTAGTAGCCGTTCGTGTGAGACGTTATCATAGGCACCCGCTACGTCGAGTAGTAGCATCGACACCTTCTTGCCTCGCCCCCATGCGCGGTGCACGCGGTCGAGGATCAAATGGATCGCATGATCTACTGATATCCCCTTTCGGCCGCCGAGGTGGGTTTTTGGCAGTAACCCGTACTCTTCAACGGCCCATACGATACGCATAGCGATGATAGATTCGAGGATCTTGCCAAGGGTGTTCAACAGGGCAACTAGCCGGTACGACTTCGGCTGCCGAAAATCGCGTGGGCCGCCCTTGCGAAGCGTCACCGTAATAGAGGCCTGGAAGTGACGAGGATTGTAGCCCGTTCGCATACACGCATCGAAGATAGCCGTCAAAACTGCCACGAAGTCGTGGCAGTTATCTGCCAGTATCTTCCACACGCGGTTAGGGATACCATCCTCGCCAGGCGCTTTATCAGGCGGCGCACGCTTGATCGCGTCGATGACCTCTTGTTGTGACATTGCTGGGAAGGTAAGTTGATTCGGAAGGTGAGACGAGTCTATATCAGAGAGATCAGCAGCCGGCGGCGAGGGAAAGAAGACCTGCCGAAGCAGGTCAACCTTCTGTTGACTTGTCACCGCCGGTGTATTTCCCTCTTGCGAATGCAGCGTAGGAATGTTGCTGCTTGTCGCCTGATCTCTCATTCGGGCCCATTTCGACACTTTCCAAAGGCCGCGGGGGCCTTTATCAACCGTGTCTCGCACCCACTGGCGAAAGCCCTGTTTCAACGCTTTTCCAATCACCCTTCCCTTTGCGTTCCTCACTGTTTTGTATTCACCCCAGTCTTCCTCGCTGTGTGTGCTCATGTACTGCCGGTATTGCCTGCGCGACGCCGAGATTGCTTCTGTGCATTCAGGTGTCCAGCCCTGGCGAGCCCACACTGATGGTTTCGCCCAAGGTGTTGATGCTTGGGCCGCCTGCTGTACGATATCCAGGAGATGATCGACAGCGTAGTCGATCTCGTGCGGCTTGGGTTCTTTCGGTAGCTGCATCGCGCTAATGTTGGCTAAAGCGAAGGTAAGGAACTTCTCTATGTCCATTGCTTTCCAGTTCCGCCGTTTGACGGGATCTGCTGCTTCTGGCACGTTGATTTCGAGCAAGGTGAGTATTGGAAGGTGATCTGAGTCAGTGTGAACGCTATAGTCGACCTCGCATGCTATCATCTGCTCGCGCAGGGAGTATGAAGCCAGAACAAGGTCAATCGTAGACTGCGAGCCAGCCTGGTTGCGTGTAACGCTACCAGGTGCTAACCAGTTGTCTAGCCCTGCAGCGTCCATCAAATCCAAGAGATCCTCCGCCTTTGCATCACGTGGGGCATCTTCGCCGCCCCAGGCCGGGTGATGCAGGTTGAAATCCCCTAGCACAAGGTAGGAAACCCCCTTCTGTTCACGGATAGGCGGTAGCTTATCCTGCAGTAGGCCGAGGGCTGCTCCCTGCTGCTGATCGTTGTATATGTTGACGATTCGAAGCTCTCCGGACGACTCGGTTTTAATGCGAATCTCCTGGCAGTCACGGGAGTGAGCAAGGTAAGTGTGTTCACCGATCTTCTTCGAAATAAACATGCACACCCTCGCCCTGCCACCTGTGTCGTCGGCCGCGGGATATAGTATCTCGTGCGTCTGTTTCAACGGGTGGTGGGTGTTGTCTTGGAAGGGATTCTCCCAGGGCTCCTGGATAGCGATGATATCGGCGCTGATGACCTCCTCTTCACGCAGGAATTGCGCCATGACCACATCCTTCGATCTGTGGACGTTGTATTGATATATTTTGAGCTCGCGGCTTATTGATTCCCTCGGTATGTGTTGTTGACAGATGTGATAATTCATTGACGGCTGGATGTGGGAGATTTCCTGTTGTGTAATATTCTGCGCCTCCCAGCCGACCTGATGTTAAGAGAGAGGTCCTCGCTGTGAGGCTGTTTCCTCTTCTGCAACCTTTCCGGTGATGGTTGAAAATCCTCGTCGCTTTCGCCGCTCCGGTGGCCCGACGAACCGGTGAGGGCTCTCTGAGCTTCAAGCTGACGTTCCAGATCTCTCATGTTGACCTCATCTAGCTCGGAGCTAAGTTCTGATTCGATCCGTTCCTGGCTCGCCGTTTCCGCTAGTTCCGTCCTGCGTGCTGACTTGTTGCTAGCGTCGCTGCTGCTAGTCTTCCTTTCGGCGATATTCCTAGCTCTGGCCTCGCGTGCCTTAGCAGTGCGGGCCCTAGCCCTTTCCGCTCTCGACTGGGCGCTGCTAGTAGCCTGGGAGGCTTCTGGTTGGAAGTTGATCGTATCGGTTGGTAGTGGGGCGAAGGTGCTTCCTGCAGAGAATTGAAACGCGCTCGGTTCGGTCGAAAATTGGAATGTCGGTTGGTCGAGGACGATCGGTTGCTTCTGGGAGCGGCCCTCTATCGGTGAGGCTTTATCCTCGCTAGTCTCCATCGGCTGAGGCTTGGGCCTCTGTGCCTTTCGTGGTCTCCCTCTCTTCCTACCGGATGACGCTGTTGTCACCGATTTATCGCTCTCGTTGGTTGCATACTGACTAGCCTGAAGGCCAGTGTCTGTTCTGCTTGCTGGTGTAGGGCCGGTGCCCTCGCCCCCGTTGCTAGGCCGTGCGGCCGGCGCGAGACCGCTACTCTCAACGCCGCTGGTGAGCTCCTCGCTCGATGAATCCCTCGGTGTTCCCCAAGAGCTGGCGGAGGAGGAATGTAGTGTAGCCGGCGGTTAGTCGATACTGTACGGAGCCGGAACATAGTGATATCTTCCACGGTATTTCGACAGCTCCGCAACTCGCTCAACCTCTCGCTGACGCGTTTCACACTCCTTGCTCCACGCAGCATGTGCACCATCGCAATTAGCGCACTTGTTCTCCTGTGTATCCTTCGAAGGGCAATCCCGAGACTGATGGCCTTCCGCACAGTATACACACTTAGCGGTGTTGGCACAGGTGGTTCCTATGTGGCCATATTGTTAACAGTTAAAACACTGCCGCACACGAGCTGATCGGTCGTAAACCTTAGCCGTCAAATTATCACAATCCCAGAGGACCCCCTTATCAATCGCCACATTCGCCGGTACTGGAGAGGTAAACTCAACGACTAGTGAGCCACTCTTCTTTGACGGGATGCGTAGCCAGCTGACTTTCGCGATATCAGCCTTATCCCCCCAGTACTGCACGTTGCTCGCTAACAGATCCTTGATCACTCTCTCCTGCGGTATCTCCTCCGACGCCCTGTTGATCCCGAGCGAGCGTACATTGACGTCGTCTACAATGATTCCCCATGTCGGTATGTGGACGAACGCCGTTTTACAGAGGCCCTTCGCCCATTTTTCTCGGTGGATTCGCATGATCTCGGCTTCCTTCGCATCGCACACGGTGAATCGGAGATCGCCTGATTTCAGCTGGCGCGATGCGAGGATCTTCACCGATGCGAGGGCCGGCGTATCTGTGGTTCTGGCCGCCTTTGCCCGGGCCTGGTTCGCACGCTTGGTGAGCTCGGCGCTCGTCAGACGGCGGAATGCGCTGATCTGCGAGCGATCGCCCAGACACACCACGACCTCGCGGTCACGTGCTACCTCCGCCGGGCGCGTTGGGGAGCTGCTCGATGAGCTGTGGGAGGATTGAAAGTGCGCTGGCGCTGGCGCGCGCGCAGCTACCTCGGCGAATGATCGAATCGTCTGTCTAGCTGGAGGCTCGACAGCCGCTTTGACGGCCGTAGTGATCTCCTGCTTGAGGTCTCTGCGCAGTGCTTCGAGCTCCTGCTGCCAGTCGGTCAGGGGCGTCGACAGGAGGTCCTTCGTCAGGTCTTCCACCTGGCGGAGGAAGTTGACGACCTTTGGAGCTGGTCTAGTTGCATTCTGACCCCTTCCAATCTCTTTCAGAAGGTCGTGTGCAGCGTGGTTGGCGTTCAATACGCGCTCTCTGTTCGATGGCAGATTTTTCAATGGGCCTCCGGAAGCCCCTGGCGGGACCGGCCCAACGCCCTTTGACGCGCGCAACATCGCAATATCGGTCGAGGAAGCTCGAGACCGATATCAAAATGTAGCGCAGGGAGTTAGATTGAATTTGCCGTTTACGAGAAGTTGCCAACTGGCGTGGTTCCTGAGATATTTCAAAAGTTCAATTCGGCGCTGAAGTTGTTGTTTTTCACCACTACAAGATGGCCGCTGTCAATGCAAACCCGCCTGCGCAATATTTTACCTCGCTCTCCCGCAACTATGGTCGTCAGACCGGTAACTCAACTCGCGCAATATTTGCTTCGATTTTAGGGCGCATTTCCCCGTCTATCGCCTCGTCCTCAGCGATTCACGACAATGCAGGTGGTGTCGGGACTGCCACTTCGGTCATTCTCGAAGATCTCGCCCCCACGTCTCCAGATGACATCCCAGAGGTTCTGATTACCGACAATAACCCTGGTATGATTGCCGCAGCGAAAGAGGCCTTCAGAGATATAAGTTCCAGAATCACTGCGACCGAGGCAGATTCTCAGGATTTGAGCAACATCTCTGATGCGGTGTTCACCCATTCCATTGTAAATTTCTCGGTATTTCTCTTTTCCGATGCGCTTCAAGCACTTCGCGAGATCCATCGCACCCTCCAGCCCCATGGGGTCGCAGTGCTTCTAACATGGAAGCGATTTGGATTTGGCTCAACTGTCCACGTTGCGCAGAGTCTTGTTCGTCCTGATCTGCCGCCGATGCCAATCCCTGGTTCCCACTTCATGCACGAAGGTGTGTTGCGTGATTTCGTGATCAAGGCCGGATTCAACGAAGAAAAGGTGCAAGTGCATCACGATGAAACTATAAGGAAAGATGAAGACCTTGAAGGAATGAGAGACTTCATGCTGGGGGATATCTCGAAGATGGCGACAAAAGACTGGACTGATGAAGAGAAAGGTAGATGGCCCTCAGCTGTTGATGAAGCCATCCAAAAAGAAGTTGAACAATATGGCGGGATTCAATTTGAAGCCTGGACCGTCATTGCACACAAGTAGGAAAGAAAAGTCTGGACTCGCTCAATTTCATGGAATCAAGTTGCAGGATTGCGTATCTAACAATTGGAATGTGCTCTTCTTTCATAATGTGGCAACTTTAACACCCGTCTGTTCATGGAATTTGCTTTTCGGCCTTTGATTATATTCCAACATGGGATCGCGGTTCTATAACTAGTCAAGACGCCAATTAGCAAGGCAGCATTGATTGTATCGAATAAATATTGTCAACAATCTCTTTTTGCTATTCCGTTACAGGAAGGCAAGTCGAGTCAAGCTCAGGTTTGTTATTGGCTAAACATATCAAGCCCTCATTGGGGGACTTTCGACGCCAATTTAATCACTATTAGCACTTGAGATCTTCGTAAGCTGCAATCCTTCAAAAGTGGAAGCGACCAAGCTGACAGCCCAGCATACCCAAATCCAGCAAGCCAAAAAATGCAAGAGTATGCACCCATAACTCACCATCACACAGCTGACCAATGGTATAGCGCCATTCGACCGCACCAACTGCCCTCACAAACTAGCTGCAAACACCCCGGAAAAGCAAACAGATCGGACAAATAAAAATTCTCCATTAAGCCATCCGAGGTTTTTCGGGGCTTGGAGGTTCGTGGCTACCTGCATGATGATGGGTAGCTACCCGCTGGTGCGTGCAGCTGGAAGCCTGAAGTGTTCCTCGTTTAAGATGGCTATTCCCTCGACATTTTTGTAGCGATTTTTGGAAGCTTGACTTGAGCTTCTCTCATAAATTGCCCCAGGGATTCAACGTCAATTATGGGTTTAAAACAGCCTTTTTCATTTTGGCTTCGGCAACAGCGACCATGGCTGTTATCACTGCGATCGTCGCAGGGTTTCATTGTTGCGACAGTGTCTTTGTCAATGTTCACTGTGAGTTCTGAATGATCTCGTAGTGGAAAATGACATCTGACTTAATTTATATCCAACAGGATCTATTCCTATATGCAATGGTATGACCCCTCCACGAGATGAATTGACTCCATCTGACACTATCAAGATTGTTCCAGTGATGCCCACGACCCTAGTATCCCGGGCAAATGTCAAACAAGAAGACCGTATGTCCAACTCCCTCTCCAACAATTATACCCTACCGACTAAGTTGAATCATTCAGTGGAATACTGGAACAGCGTTCTCCTCATCACCATGGCCGGATCAGCGCTAATCTGGAGCCCTACCTTCGGATACTTGGTTGACGTTTCTGGGACGCGCCAGGTCCCGTACCTATTCGGACTCACGCTTCTCTTTGCCTCGATGACTATATTTACAGCCGCGCATTCAGTGCCATGGTACATGGCCGCCCGCGCCCTTCAAGGTGCCGCAACCGCTATGGTAACCGTGGCAGGTCTAGCGATCGTGACTGATGCCGTGGACAAGCGCAAACTTGGACAGATGATCGGCTATGTTGGTACGGCGATGACATTGGGTTTTGTGTCTGGGCCACTTTTGGGAGGAATTGTTTTTGAGATTGGAGGGTTTTATGCTGTTTGTGGAATGGCATTTATGATCATCACTCTTGATTTGCTTCTACGACTGGCTGTTGTTGAAAAGAGAGTTGCGGCGAAATGGTTGACTGAGACTGAGAGAGCGTTCATCGCCGAGTCGAACAATAGCAGCGAACTACCATATGGAACAGAAGTTCATGGTAATGGAACAATTAAGGTCATCAAGCAGGATGGGACATTCGCTCTTTTCAATCTACTGAAACAGCGGCGAATCCTTATCAGCTTATGGGCTATCATCGTCAGCAATGTGGTAGTATCCGCATTTGATGCTGTGAGATACACTAACCAGACCACAAATTGATGCTTGCTAATTTAATCTAGACTCTTACCATCTTCGTTCAGAAGTTGTTCCACTGGGACGTCCTTGGAGCAGGTCTGATCTTCCTGCCAGGAGCCTCTGCAGCTATCTTCCAGCCTTTCTTCGGTAGGTTCAATTTAAACACTCTTTAATCACTTGAACACAATAAAAATGCTGACCATTATTTTCTATCTAGGATACCTCTCCGACCGCCTCGGCTCCAGAATAATCGCATTCACCGGCTTCACCCTCCTATCCATCCCCCTAATATCCCTCCGCCTCGTCAACCAAAACACCGCTCTCCACATAACAATCCTCTGCATCATCCTAGGCAGCGTCGGATTATGCGTTGACCTAAGCGAACCCGCCCTTATGGTTGAAATCCAGCGAGTCCTGGATGACATGGAGACCAAGGATCCTGGCGTTTTTGGCGAGAAGGGTGCTATCGCACAGGCCTTTAGTCTGCACAGTATGGCACATTTTGGGGGACTGGCATTAGGGCCGATTGTAGGGGGGTTTTGTCTCGTTTCATTTTGGGTGGGATGCGATGACGCTTGCTCTTGGGATACTTGCGTTGGTTACGGCTGTGCCTATGCTTTGGCTAAGTGGCGCGAAGGGGGAGGAGGGTAGTGGAGATGCTGAGAGACGGCCTTTGCTTGCAGATTAGCTTTAGTTTTAGATTGTAGCCTTTTTTATTTAGTTTATGCGAAGGAGAGATAATGTATGGTCTGCGTCGCGCTGAAAATTGGGGACTATCAAGTGCGAGGCACCACATCGCGAACTACTATCACGCTCAGCATCACGGAATCCCATCGAGGTAAACTGATTGGCCCCTCAATCCCTCTATTCAAACAAACTGATCCGAGACTCGCCTAGCCATCATGCAAATCGGCCCGATGGCTATTAAGTACCTGGGATCTATTGGAGCAAACATGCCACCACAATCAGCCCTCCAGCCAGCCACCACCTGCGTCGGCACTACGGGCCGCTTTTGTCACGCTGCATGTCAGCCAGTGCCTGGCATGCCAGTGGTTGCTTTCAGTCTTACGACTGGCATTTTCATAGCTCAGAGACATGGCTATTTTTGCATGAAGTTGCCTGCGATCCGTAAGACTGTCCACACTAATCTGCGGCCCCACATAGTCAAGAATGGTTCGCACTATCAATCAATCAATCAATCAACACTCTATTAACCTGTTGCAGCCTAACTAGTGGCGTAATGGCTATGCAGGCGCTCCCTCCGGCGGAAGCAAGAGTGATCCGAACGCCAGACCCGCGCATAAAACAGTAAATACAAAGGAAAACGGCGTCATGCCATATAAATCAGCCCAAAAACAGCCCAAAAACAGTACCGAAACGCCCTCCAAGCCCTCAATCCCACGATATATCTCTCAATCCGCCCTCACATTCGTCTGCTGCTTCCTCTGCATCCCCATCCCTGCTTTCCCTCTCCGGTGTCCGCATCATCCTCCTGCTTCGTTCTCGATTGGTGGCGTTCGTTGTTGATGTTGGATGTATTCTTCCACGACCTCTCGGTCGGCCGTGGTTTTGGCGTTCCTCCTACCCAGCGTCTTCACCCCCTGTGCCGTTACCAGATCATCCTGGTAGATCGTTTTCGTTGCCTCCATTCGGCGGCTCTGGCTCGACTTCGACGTGCCGGAACTGCCCCAAGAGGCCTGTTTGTAACATGAATTCGGCCACGTAGCGGGTGGCCTGCGAGTGCGATACAATTGCATCGTAATCCGTCGAATCCCCAAGATCGGTCATCCGGATCTTGTCAAGGAAGGTCTGCCTCAAATCAGCGTACAACGGGCACTGCATTAAGATATGTCTCGGGGTTTGAGACCCTTCTCCGCAGTAACACTCATCTGATTCGACCGCCTTGATTTTGAATAAGAAATGGTTCAGTGCAATGCGCATCGATCGCATCTGAATCAAGATCGAAGTGTAAGGCTTCGACAGGGAATCGAATAGCCGAAGCACCTTCTTGTCTGGAACCTTCATCAATCGCTGATTTGGCTTGCCAGTTCGCTCTTTTGCCCACTCTTGTGCCCATCTCTCTTTAATACGCCGCCGCACTCGACGCTTTGCGGTCGCTGCTAGAAGGACGCGACCGCTGGGGGATCCACTGCCCGCCGAATCACCGGCGTGAGGTTGATCCGACCCGTGCCCCACCGCACCTCCGGTTGCCGCTAACTTTGCTTCAACGTCGGCAGTCTCGTTGCCAGGAACGCCCACGTGTGCGGGGATCCAACGGATCTCGACGGGAATCTGGTCGAACGTAGGCGTTTGCTGCAGCGATCGAAGGGCCCGAACGTGGTTGTAAATAGAAGTAAGCACGAACTAGCCCGACGATCGCTTTGGGTTTTGCACCGCCTGGATAGCGGCCTGGCAGTCAGAGAAAATCACTGTCTTCGTGGGTCTTCGGCCTTCTGGCCGGTTGGAGAGGTTGGCAATAGCCATTTCAATGCCGTTGAGCTCGGCAACGTACACTGTGGATTCCTCACTGGTTCCAAGATATCGCCGTTGGAAGACGCCCTCACGCGGGGCAACGGCTAAAGCGCCGACCTGGCCTTCATACCCACTTCCATCTGTGAAGAATAAGACCGTCGGGGTTCGGTCTAGTGCGGCTTACTAGAGAGATTCTTTCTCGATTTTATCATACAAGGCCCGCGCAGCCTCTGCGTCGTGCTCGATGATGCATAGGATCCGTGCCTCCCATAGCGCTAGGACGAACGCTTTGCGTGATTCCCACCCGCTTCCTTTGGGGTCCAAAATACCATCTTTCTTCCATCTGAGGGCTTCGAGAGGGCTCTATCCGCCTTTCTTACGCTCCTGTAAGGATCGGGGGGCACAGCAAAGGGAGTCTGGCTGAGCCCATACGGCTCCTGTTTGGATTCGTATTGCCGTTTCCTGGATGATTTGGTCCATAAGTAGGTGCATTGGTGTGATAAAGAGCTCCACATTAAGTGCTGCTGCACTGGTGGATTTGAAGGCACCGCTGATGAGAATCGCCGCACGTCGTTGAACTTTGGTAAATTCGCTGATCGTACGCTTCATCTCCCACGCGGGCAAAGATCTGGCCGCAGGGCAATACTATACAGACACACCGTAGAGCATCTGCGGCACCACCACTGCCTAGTAGACCTTGCGCATTGCCGACAGTGAGGCTCCCCACACTAATCCTGTCATCGCCCGGAGGGCTTCAAGGCTTCCGTTAGCCTTATCGAGTAACTTTCGGCGGTGTGTGTCGAAATCGAGGTGTTTGTCGAGCCAAACCCCTAGGTACTTGGCAGACTGTGTCGGTTGTATTGATAATTCGTTGTACTGGACGGGCATCTAGTCGTTACCCTCGGGGTGCTATATCGCGTAGTCGAAGATGTCGGATCCAATATGGGTTGTATTGTTAGCCGCCGGCCCCTGGGCTGTCTCGTTCTCATTCAGGTTAGTGAAGTGAATTAATTCGAACTTATCGGGTGCGAATCTTGCTGCATAGCGTCTGGCCCATCGATTCGCCTTACCGAGTATTTTCTCCAGTGTTATAGTGTTGTTGTAGTATAACTCCGACTCGACTAGGACAGCCACGTCGTCTACCCAGCCAAAGCCAGCAGACTGTGCAATACCTGTTCTGAGGCCGCACGCGGTAATCAGAGGGGCATTGAATAGTAAGAACAGGATTGGCGAGATTGGCGATCCTTATAGGATACCGGTGGGCGTGGGGAAGCTGTCCGAGAGATATCCTAGTAGCTTAATGCGTGTGCTTCTATTGCGAAGGAACGATGCAATCCATAGCGCGAACTAGCCTAGCCGGAGCTGCTTGATGTTATTTAGTAGCCGTTCGTGTGAGACGTTATCATAGGCACCCGCTACGTCGAGTAGTAGCATCGACACCTTCTTACCTCGCCCCTATACGCGGTGCACGCGGTCGAGAATCAACTGGATCGCATAATCTACTAATATCCCCTTTCGGCCGCCGAGGTGGGTTTTTGGCAGTAACCCGTACTCTTCAACGGCCCATACGATGCGCGTGGCGGTAATAGATTCAAGGATCTTGCCAAGGGTGTTCAGTAGGGCAACTGGCCTGTACGACTTCGGCTGCCGAAAATCGCGTGGGCCGCCCTTGCGAAGCGTCACCGTGATAGAGGCCTGGAAGTGACGAGGATTGTAGCCCGTTCGCATACACGCATCGAAGATAGCCGTCAAAACTGCCACGAAGTCGTGGCAGTTATCTGCCAGTATCTTCCACACGCGGTTAGGGATACCATCCTCGCCAGGCGCTTTATCAGGTGGCGCACGCTTGATCGCATCGGTAACCTCTTGCTGTGAGATCGCTAGGAAGGTGAGTTGATTCGGAGGTAAGGTTGATTCGATATCCGAGAGGTCGGCTTGCGGGGGCTGTAGGAAGAAGACTCGACGGAGCAGGTCGACCTTCTGCTGGTTCGTTTCTGCTAGGCCTTCCTGTGCGTGTAAGGCAGGGATATTGCTGCTAGTTGACTGATCCCTTATTCGGGCCCATTTTGACACTTTCCAAAGGCCACGGGGGCCTTTATCAATCGTATCACGCACCCACTGGCGGAAGCCCTGCTTCATCGCCTTCCCGATCACCCTGCCCTTCGCGTTTCTCACTAACTTATATTCATCCCAGTCTTCCTCGCTGTGCGTTCGCATATAATGCCGATATTGCCTGCGTGACGCCCCGATTGCCTCTGTGCACTCGGGGGTCCAGCCTTGGCGGGCCCACGCTGACGGCTTTGCCCAGGGTGTTGATGCCTGGGCGGCCTGTTGAATGATATCGAGAAGGTGGTCGACAGCACGATCAATATCATGAGGGGATATTGTTTGACGCATCCAGCCTTTGTTCTGGAGGTTCGCTGACACGAGGGCAAGGAATTTCTCCACGTCTATGGCCTTCCAATTCCTCCGTTTGACAGGGTCTGCGGCCGGTGGCACGTTGATTTCAAGCAAGGTGAGTATTGGAAGGTGATCGGAATCAGCGTGTACGCTATCATCAACCTCGCACGCTATCATCTGCTCTCGCATCGAGTATGACGCCAGAACGAGGTCGATCGTTGATTGATGGCCTGCTTGGTCGCGTGTGACAGTGCCGGGTGTTAACCAGTTGTCTAGACCGGCTGTCTCCATAAGATCTAGAAGATCCTCCGCCCTCACATCGCGTGGTGCATCATCGCCGCCCCAGGCTGGATGATGTAGGTTGAAATCGCCAAGAACTAGGTAAGAAACCCCCTTTTGCTCGCGTGTGGGTGGTAGCGTCTCCTGTAGCAGGCGGAGAGCTGCTCCTTGCTGCTGATCGTTGTAGACGTTGACGATTCGGAGCTCCCCGGATGGCTCGGTCTTGATACGGATCTCCTAGCAGTCTCGAGAGTGTGCCAAGTGAGTGTGTTCGCCCATCTTCTTCGAAATAAACATGCACACCCTCGCCCTGCCGCCCATTTCGGCAGCCGCCGGATACAATAGCTCATGCGTCTGTTTCAGCGGGTGGTGGGTGTTGTCCTGGAAGGGATTTTCCCAGGGCTCCTGGATAGCGATGATATCGGCGCTGATGACCTCCTCTTCACGCAGGAATTGCGCCATGACCACGTCCTTCGACCTGTGTACGTTATACTGGTATATCTTGAGCTCGCGGCTCGTCGGTTTCCTCAGTATGTGTTGGCGGTGGTCGTGGTAATTCATTGGCGGTTCGATCTAGAAGATTTCCTGCTGTGCACCCTGCGTCTTCCGCCGGCGCGAATATTGAGAGATAGATTCTCACTGTGAGGCTGCTTGCGCTTCCTATCCCCTGCCCGCGCTGGCGGTGACGATGGCTGGTAGTCTTGATCGTTTTTGTGAGTTTCTAGCTGGCGTTCAAGGTCTCGCATGTTGACCTCATCTAGCTCGGAGCTAAGTTCTGATTCGATCCGTTCCTGGCTCGCTGTTTCCGCTAGTTCCGTTATGCGTGCTGACTTATTGCTAGTGTCACTGCTGCTAGTCTTTCTTTCGGCGATATTCCTAGCTCTGGCCTCGCGTGCCTTAGCAGTGCGGGCCCTAGCCCTTTCCGCTCTCGACTGGGTGCTGCTGCTGGTAGCCTGGGAGCCTTCTGGTTGGAAGTTGATCGTATCGGTTGGTGGTGGGGCGAAGGTGCTTCCTGCAGAGAATTGAAACGCGCTCGGTTCGGTCGAAAATTGGAATGTCGGTTGATCTTCCCTTGTCGGTTGGTCGAGGACGATCGGTTGCTTCTAGGAGCGGCCCTCTATCGGTGAGGCTTTATCCTCGCTAGTCTCCATCGGCTGAGGCTTGGACCTCTGTGCCTTTCGTGGTCTCCCTCTCTTCCTACCGGATGACGCTGTTGTCACCGATTTATCGCTCTCGTTAGTTGTATGCTGGCTAGTCTGCATGCTAGTCCTAGTTCTTTTTGTGGTAGGGCCGGTGCCCTTGCCCCTGTTGCTAGGGCGTGCGGCCGGCGTGAGACCGCTACTCTCGACGCCGCTGGTGAGCTCCTCGCTCGATGAATCCCTCGGTGTTCCCCACGAGCTGGCAGACGAGGAATGCAAGGACGGCTGCAGTTAGTCGATACTGTATAGGGCCGGGATATGATGATATCTTCCACGGTACTTCGATAGTTCCCTCACACGCTCTACCTCTCGCTGACGAGCCTTACACTCTGTGCTCTAAGCAGCGTGTGCGCCCCCGCAATTGGCACACTTGTTCTCCGACGTATCTTTGCGAGGGCAATCCCGAGACTGATAGCCCTCGGCGCAGTACACGCATTTGACGGTGTTAGCACAGGTGGTTCCTATATGTCTATATTGTTGACAGTTAAAGCACTGCCGCACACGAGCTAATCGGTCGTAGACCTTAACCGCCAAGTTATCACAGTCCCAGAGGACCCCCTTATCAATCGCCACGTTCGCTGGTACTAGAGAAGTGAATTCGATAACTAGTGAGCCACTCTTCCCGGACGGAATACGCAGCTAGCTGACTTTCGCGATATCGGCCTTATCTCCCTAGGACTGCACGTTGTTCGCCAAGAGGTCCTTGATGACTCTCTCCTGTGGTATCTCCTCCGAGGCCTTATTAATACCGAGCGATCTCACATTGATATCGTGTACGATATCACCCCAGGTCGGTATTCGGACGAACGCTGTTTTGCAGAGACCCTTCGCCTATTTCTCTCGATAGATTCGTATAATCTCGGCTTCCTTCGTATCGCACACGGTGAATCGGAGATCGCCTGATTTCAGCTGGCGCGATGCGAGGATCTTCACCGATGCGAGGGCCGGCGTATCTGTGGTTCTGGCCGCCTTCGCCCGGGCCTGGTTCGTACGCTTGGTGAGCTCGGCGCTCGTTAGACGGCGGAATACGCTGATCTGCGAGCGATCGCCAAGACACACTACGACCTCGCGGTCACGTGCTACCTCCGCCGGGCGCGTTGGGGAGCTGCTCGATGAGCTGTGGGAGGATTGAAAGTGCGCTAGCGCTGGCGCGCGCGCAGCTACCTCGGCGAATGATCGAATCGTCTGTCTAGCTGGAGGCTCGACAGCCGCTTTGACGGCAGTAGTGATCTCCTGCTTGAGGTCTCTGCGTAGAGCCTCGAGCTCCTGCTGCCAATCCGTCAATGGCGTCGACAGGAGGTCCTTCGTCAGATCTTCCACCTGCCGGAGGAAGTTGACGACCTTTGCGGCTGGTCTAGTTGCATTCTGACCCCTTCCAAGCTCTTTCAGAAGGTCGTGTGCAGCGTGGTTGGCGTTCAATACGCGCTCTCTGTTCGATGGCAGATTTTTCAATGGGCCTCCGGAAGCCCCTGGCGGGACCGGCCCAACGCCCTTTGACGCGCGCAACATCGCAATATCGGTCGAGGAAGCTCGAGACCGGTATCAAACGATAGCGCAGGGAGTTAAATTGAATTTGCCGTTTACGAGAAGTTGCCAACTGGCGTGGTTCCTGAGATATTTCAAAAATTCAATTCGGCGCTTAAGTTGTTGTTTTCAATGGTTCGCACTATGTATGTATTTAACCTTACTTGGGAGCTTAAAACTATGGAAACGTCACTTTTGGAAGATCGACTCTATCACTGTAGATTGTTCAACGTAGACTGAGAGTAAATCAGATGAAATTATACTCCCAAAGCACCTCGCAATCCAGCTAAGTTGCAAATAGGTCAAAATACAGAAAGAAATATAGAAGTATATGAAGATGTAAGGAGAGAAAAGAGACCGCAGTGTATCAAGTGTCGAGTCTCCAACCAAAATGATGAATGGAAAGAGTGACAATGGCAAGGAACAAGTAAGGGATATCAATCATAAAGAAACATCAAGGAAACCATAAGCTCGAAGGCAAGGCAAAGAAGTGGGCAAAAGTATAGAAGAAAATTGGAAACAAATCAATGAAAGTGTGAGGCACTTCAATCACCTCAATCTCAGATCCAAATTATGTTTTTTCGGTTCCAGTCATCTGCACATCCTCCTGTGGCGCTGACTGGGTAACAATGGGTTCTTTGATATCCGCGCCGTACATCTGGGCGTCTGGCGGGGAAGGAAGGTGGTTTTGTTTCTCCGCATCCGGTGCGGCTTTGTTGTCGGGGCGCTTGCGTCCTAAGCGTTCACACCAGTGCTCTGCACTGACGAGGGTGTCGTTGACGACACCGCTGACCTGGCCCAGGATATCCAGACCTTCGTTGGCAAGGACCAGGATACGGTGGGCACCAACAGTCGCGTCCGAGGAAGCGGCGGGCGAGTCGGGGGGCGGCTGAGATGTGCTTGCCATCTGGAACCGGTGGGGAAGGGAGGTGAGGTGTCGGCGGACAAGGTGTCGCGCATTCTCTGGCAAGGCACCTCCGGCGTACTTGGACACGACGTCGACAACCTGCTTCAATGTTGAGAGGACGTCGGCCCTGACTGCTTGAATGCGCTGGGTCAAGAGGGAAGCGCTTTCTGCACTTTCTGCGCGGTCCCCGCTCTCCAGATCATCTTGCGATTGTTTCTTGTGGTTCTCCCATTCCGTCATAGCATTCTGAAGCGCTACAATGGCTCGACCTAGACGTCCATTCGCCCAGCGAAGCCATGTTAAACAGTACTGCAAACTGCGCAGGGATTCCTCGCTCATTGCAACTCCCAACCCCGACGTTGAGATAACAAGTCGACTCTGCCATGTCGGCGGGTTCTGTCGACCCGGTTTTTCTTCATAGCGAGGTGATCGCATCTCGTCGTATGGCGGCAGAGTCTCCGCCATAGACAGATCCGAGGAACTGCGAGTGCGCGCAGGTGTCATCGTGTTCTCCGGTGATACTTTTTCGTCGTCCACTGTCTGCGGCGCAGCTTCACCGCTCACCTTACGACGCTTACTGGAGGGCTTCGACTCGGACCCAGATTCTCGCCTTTGCAATGCCCAGCGCAGACCACTCTCAACACCTGTCTTACGACCGACTGTTCCAACAGTATTTGCGACTGGTGAACCAATATTGCGCTCGATGAACTCAGCTCCAGACTTGAAGCGGGCCGAATACGACTTGGACGTGGTATATGCGGAAACAGATCCGTTGATAGCGGAAGAGATTAACGGGTGAGAAGAGGTGAGTAGCGACAGGAGCGGCTCTGGCTGCGGCGGGTCTGGCGATGTCGCTGGCAGTGTCTGTCGCGATGCTCGTGGGGATTGACCAAAATCTGGAGGATGAAGGATTAGCCGAGATGTCTTGTCTAGCGCCGAGGCTATTCCAGTGCCCGCAGCGACGGCAGCTACGGCATCGCAGCTCTCTAGCATTTATCGCCAAGTCGCAGAAACTGAGGATAGGCGGTGACCATACCAGACCGAAGACCTTCCAGGGCTTGAGCAGCCTCGAGGTCATCCATAGAAATCACGCTAGTGGCTCGACGAGAACGATCGTCTGCAGTATTAGTATCGAGATCCATCACGGCGGGATGGGCATTATGTAGGGCCGATGGGTGTGGTGGATGTAGTGGAGGAGGAGCAGCAGCAGCAGCAGCAGTTGCTCCAGTGGTGGTGACCAGATAAGTAGAGGAAGCGGGCGGTTTATTCAGATTGGAGGCAGCCGGTGAGTCTGTGGCGATGGGGCCAGAAGGTTTGTCGGCCTCCATGGCGGAGTCGCGGGTGTTTTTCCGGACTTCAGCCAGTGTACCAGAGTACCAGTTACCAGTTATCCAGTGATTGTCGTAGTTCAGTGCCAAACTGCCCAATCTGCGAAGCGAAAGCGGCTGCGGATTGCGCTTTCACGTGAAAGAGCCACGATTAGGTAATCAGTGGCACCATCACATGTCGTCCCAACAAAAATGAACAAACTTCAACCCAGGCCGAATGCTGCTCGTTTCATTCGATCTATCGCCGCTTCTCCGACTCTTTCGGTGGTTTGAATTACAAGTATTGGATGTATCCTCAGACTAAGAGTGCCTTTTCCCCGCCTCACTGATTCTGATCCCGCCTATCCCTACTCGTCCGAGTATGCCGGACGTCGCCGCACTGCATTCTGCATACATACGATACAGGAACAAGGCTATTCCCCAGTCTGGGGTCTTATGCATGATTTTCCCCTCCTGATACCCCGTACCTGGGTATGCTTCATATCATTATGATTTGGTTGAATAACTATCTCTTTTTCCGTGGAGAATAAAATAATGAAGAAGATCGCATCTGAATATTCCCCACGGCGGTTAGACCACGGACGAGTCTGCCCCGTTGCGTCACATGCCAGTGAAATAGGATGGGTTATCCGACGGAACAATAATAACTGGAACTATCAGTAGTTTTATTACAGTAGAGAAGAACTATCTGCCGGACTCCATTCCCGAGAATTATCTACCTCCCTATTCAAGATAGATATTCACCAAAAGGGCCTGAAATCTATTACTCCGTACAGTATTAAGTACCAGTACTCCGTATACCCAACCAACCTCAATACTACTGCCAAGCGGGAACACCCCCAGATCGGGATTCGCATTCGTAAACCTGTCAGCATTTCAACGCAGCTCTATATACGTATCCGATAGGCGCTGTGTACGCCACACGTTGGGGTGACAGTGATCCATTGCCTCAAGAGCGTGACTATCACAGAGTACGGACGCTAGGTTCATTCGACAGCCTCTCCCGACCGGCATGTGAAGTGGGGGTTTCGCATTTAGCAATGAGCAGTGACCTTTTAGGGCCTAGTTGCTGGTCTGTTCCACAGCTATTCCTTTTTTCGATGGAGGTACTTGCCGAGTATCGCGCAGGGATAGGATTCATTATTGTAGAGACCTCTTATCGGGGTAAGCTATTGGAGTAGGGGAATTAGTAGTATGTTACCTATTATTATCGTCCATTTAGCCAAAAGAGGGCTTTAGTCTTTCTCAACATGAGACTCTGTCCCTACTGCCATCATTGGTGGATCAATACGATCATATGCGGTTCCAAGGTTTATGACTTATGTCTCGTTCGCTTCAACCTTCAGGCACATGCGATACTCGATATTCGCCACGATGCCGATCCCAAATCCTCCGCAGATCAATGGCTAGGGCTGAGATGCTAACCTTTCAAATGAGGGAGGTACTAACTGGCACAACCTATTTCCAGTATCTTCCATTCATGTGCATCGCTTCCACTATGTTTCTATTTGCTCGTCGATAGCACAAGCCACCACTCAACATCCCTACTACCGTCAGGCCCAACCGCAAAAAGAACACAAAAATAGTGCATGGGTATCATTTACAGGCATAAGCCATTGACAAAAGACAAACACTAATCTTCACATCATCACTAATCACTCCACCGACATCCCATCATCTAATTCATCGTAGTATTTCGCATCCTGGCTCATCAACACTGCTTCCAGAATAGCGTCCTCGCCTTCATACTGAGTATCCTCGGCCTCGGCATTATGCACAAGTAATTCACCCGCCACAAGGCGAGATGCCATCTTCTGATTAACCCGCAAACAGGCCATAATTTCATTGGAAATAGTCCGTGATGGAACCGTAGACGCCTTCAATTGACACAATGCATCCCCAAAAGCGTGGAACGGGAAGAACGAGTTTCGGTGTCTTCGGTACGCACATGAAGCAAGGAGACAACGCCATTCATAGGGGCTGTTGCGCCATGTATGCGTGAGAGGATGAGATCCTACTTCTGGGGGAGATAGTGCCCGCGCGCTCTCAGCGATTTGTCGAATTCGAATGGAATAGGGTAACTCGTTGCTTTTCATAGTAATCCAATCTTTGTGCAGCTTTTCGATGGTTTGGCTGACTTGACCCAGAACAAGGCTGAGATCGCCGCCGGAGTCGTGGTCTATTTTTGCCGCTTCCGATGCCACGATCCACGGACGAACGAGATCGTCGTCGACCCGATCACGAGATTCGGTTTCGGGGAATCGGTCCGCGAGTTCGGCGAGGATTTTGTATCGCTCTTTTGAGACCACTGAGAACTTGAGGTAATCGATGATGTTGTTCAACTTGGGCTTTTTGTCTGGATCTCGGTACGCTGGAGGTGACCGTCCGCATGGGCTGATCTTCTTGCGGAATGTCTGCCAGGCTTGCTCCGAGAGATGGACGCCGCCCTTCCGGCCGTCGACCAGATGACTGAGCAGGCATGCAAGCTCTTTAGCCTGCGGACAATCGAGTGATTGGTGATAAGTAATTCTCTCATGCTCAACGGTACATCGACCAAGATTCGACACAGTAAGGTTAAACTCGAAGGCACTTTGCAAAAACTCCTCGGTAGAATGCACCTGGGACATAGGAATCGAGTACTTGGTGAGACCAAAATGATCAAACGGGAACGTATCCGTAGGCATACTAGAATTGCGGAAACTCTGCACAATCTTCGGATCCCAGCAGACCCACGGCGTGTCACCGTCGTAGTCACCGCCAGAAAGCATATCAGCCAGAGGTTGGTCTCCTTTCGTCGGAAAGACAATCACATCTTTGAAATGGCGAAGCTCGCTCTTCCAGACTGCCCGGCGACGCTGGATATCGGACGGAACATGAGCCGGAAGTCGGCCGACGAGAACATCCATACCCTCTAACAGGTTATCTTCAAACTGTTCATCGGGGTTCTTCCAATTCTTGGAGAATCCAAAATGGATTTCATCTGGCTCGAGGACTTCGTATGGATCAGCAATGCAGAATGCATACGTCGAAAGCGGTACCTGGATATGAAGGTCTTCCGTATAGCGATCAAGAAGATCACTCAGGAAATAGCTGATTCGCTTGCGAAGAGGGTGGAACGTCCGTGGAGCAAATCCTGCCTCACATAAGTGCATAATGAACTCAGTATCATTAGCTACCCACTGATCTAACTGTCGGGCCTTGCTGGCTCCGTTTTCACCAGAAGGCCTGAGTTCCTGAAGCAAAGCCCGACAAGCAACATTGCTATTGAGATCAAGTACATTCGCAAGTCTTTCAAATGGATCTCGAATGCTCTTTCGAGTCAGCTCGGCAACGTAATTTCGACAATTGCTGCCATGTGCGAGAATAGTCAGAAGCTGAATGTTCAGATCGACGGGATTCAATGGTTTAGACCACTTGACGACCTCGAAAGTCAATTGCTCAGAATCAAACGGTTCACTCCAATCTTGGGGGTGAGGGTGAATCTTCAATTGGGTATCAGAAATTTGGATCCAGACATCATTGCCAGCGCCTTCGCCAAAGCTGCGAAGAGAAGACTCGTGTCTGTCTACCATCCAAAGACCCTTTGCGCCCGCAATGCGGCCCTGAAAGGCGCTGGGGGTGGCGCCGGTGATACCCAGCTTGGCGCAGATGGCATTTGCCATGCCGCGGGACATCAATGCACAACCATCATTCATTTGAAGTTTTCGCGAGGGGTCATCCCTCAAGCGGACAACCTGGTGCGGTCTAAGTGTCACAGAAGCAAATGTTTTGGACAGACCCAGGGAGATACGTTGGAACAGTTTACAGTTGCTCTGGCCACCATTTTCTGCAGAAGACATGTGCCACTCAAGCAAATCATCCACGCTCATCGGAGTATGCATATTACTCTTCTGATGCGGAGGTGCAATGGGGACCATCTGAAGGGGATTGTGATTATAATCGACGCCATCCACAGCGAAAAAGTCGATACGGAAATGAGGATCCTTCCTCTCCTTGCCCTTGGATTTTCCCTGCTCCACAAAAAACGGTCGCCATGTTCTTCCCAGACACTTGTGATCATGGCGCGTCAGCCAGTAAGCAATACTCTCTCGAAGAACGCTTGGGTGATCAAGGAATTGCAGATACTTGGGCGGCCGAGCTGGGGCTGGTATGGTAAGTGTCATGAATCTATCCGACCCAAATCTGCGATGAAATCGACATGTCTTGTCTGTCTTTAAGGGACCGAAATTCAATTTCAGAATACCGGGTTCGGATTCAGTACACCACTCAAGATTGCCTGACATGATGACTACCTCGGAAGCTCTCTCTATCTTGAAATCGTCCACGGCCGAATCCCAAGCTTTGGCTGGTGATCGCTCTGGGACTGGCCGTGCACAGCGCTGTGTATGACTGAGTGTAATCCATTCCCAAAAGGAATCCTGGCTTGCAAATGGAGCTTTGTCCCCCTTCAGCATGTTCTTGAGAGGAACATTCCATGATCGTCCAACCCGCTCCAATTCGTAGCGAAAACGCAGAGGAATCTTCTCGCTGAGCGTTTGCTCAAACGAGAACGGCCCGTGTCGAAGGAGATTATCGACTATTTTATCCCGTATGGCGCCCTTTTCGTCCGGCTCTTCCACGTCAGTCATGGTTTGATCTTCCATGCTCGCATCCAGGGTTCGCTCCATCCAGCCTACCACGGAATCCGTGTAGCTTGTCTGCGTGGCTAGTGGTTCCGTAATATCCGTGTCAAAAGACCGATTCAACCGAGATGTAAACACCGATGATACCGAGGTCGTGGTCATAAAACTTGTATTCATTGCGTCCCCAGCGGATGGCACTGCATCGTAACGCTTGATAGGGTCCCTGCGGGGCGCAGGCTGGGATGCAGTCAACCTCTCAACAAAGCTGGAGGGTGGTCTCATCCTCTCCGACCTCCAATTCGGGGTAACAAAGTCAGGAACAGAGTCATTCGCTCCATCCTGAATTGCCAATTCGAGCTTTGCCAAGTCAAGTCCGGGCGATTGAACAGGCCAGGCATGTTTCGTGGGTGAATTTGGCGCAGTATGGAATTCATCGTCCTCTTCCTCCGCTTCAAACAAGGGTCGCTTCTTGGGTGAACCGGACTGAGCGGACTGATCCGTAGAACTTTCAGAGACGCGCTTTGCTCTCAACGTTCCACCATCTGCTTCCCAGATCTCATCTTCCACCAGTTTCTGCAAGTATTCGAGTCGTTTGTTTCTCTCCTGGTCACTCAATATCGTAGGGTCTTCGCTGCGCTTGCGTCTATTCCTGGTCGCGTGGACGGTGGCTGCACGAGGCAGATTTTGTGCGTCCACCCATTCGCCGAATCCATGGATCAAACGATCGAGACCAGGCCTGCGCTGGTAGTACAGTCTTTTAATCCCCTTGTAGACCCTCCAGCGCAGCGAAATATGAGTTTCAAGAGCTGACGGAGAAGAAATCTTCGGATTGGGGATTTCTAGGCCATACAGACGATTCAAATTGTCGATAAATGGGCCAACATTCTGACGGGCATGCTGTGGAGTGATAGGCATCTTCACGGTCGGGCGAGCGGAATACCGAAGGGACCCAGAGTCAAGGTCAGGTCAAACCTTAGCACTCTAAATCTCAAGAATCATAGTGCGAGTATGCAATAAGGAGAAACATCCCAGTCGAAAAGCAACTCGGTCTCCGCGCTGGATCCATTATCAGTCCCAATTTGCGTCGCAAACAAAGCCAGCGCGGGGTGTAAACAAACCACACCAAACTGAACTTCTCTGGGGGCCCTGCGCCTTCCCAATTTAGGGGGCGTACAATCGTGTCCGGAAATGCAGAGCGAATAGTTCCGACTGCAGAAAAAGCAAATATGACAGCCACTGCGTGCTGTGTCAATTTCCCCGCCCGCAGGGGCACAGGGCTGGTCAAAGATATCGAAATTGATAGCAGTGACACTGAGCATGGCTGCACTGCCCGTGGGACGGGGTTGCTTAGCGCCCGCAGACCCACTGGGCTGCAAGTTGATCACTGGCGAATGCGGGCGACTGAGGGGCACAAACAATGATCAATGAAATAAGGGAATGAGATACAGTATGTGGGAAGAGCTAGAATAATTCAAGAGGCTCTTCAATTGGGGCTAATAATTATCCACGGACTGGACATTGAACGGTAACAAATGGAATCAGTGCTGGAGACATGTACATAAACGAGTCCCAACTCTAAGCAATGTACCCCAAATACCTCCTCTTCCAGCAAAGTTCTTACGACGTAATCACCGATCCACTATCAGGTGTCTTATCAGACCAGAAATCAGCATCCCTGGGATCAATATGCTTGCTTTTCTGAATGATCTTATGCCCAAAATATAAACTGATGTAGGCGGGAACTCCAACAAACGCAGCCATGAATTTGGCAGGATCGACCGCAATCTTCGAGCCCTGGACGTAAAGAGAGCTGAAGACCATAGTCCAAGAGATGAACACACAGAGTACCAGGGCCAGCCAAGTTCCGGGAAGCCCAAAACGTGCTTTGAATGCCAGCATGTCGTCAGAGATACCTTGTGCCTTGCGTGCTCGCACGAAGCAAATGTGAGTGACGAGGATGGATATCCAAGTCAAAAGGCCGAGCATTGTAACAAGGTTCAACAAGTAACCAAATACCATCTTTGAGTCTTGCGACACGTTCAGGTAGGCCAAGGTGGCCATGCATGTGGACGCCGCCAGGGCGTAGACAGGGACTCCGTTGCTGTTCACCTTCGACAGGAACTTGGGCGCTCGGTTTCTGAGGGCTAAGTCGGACAGCGCTTTTGTAGCTAGAAATAGATCATATGTTGCAATGGACAGAATGAAGAATAATATACACACGTTTAACAGGTGAGGCAGAACCGCGATCCCAGCCTCCATCAATGCTGCCACAAACGGAGAGATAGCTTTTTTCTTCGCCGTGGAGCCCGGATGAAAGGCCGACCTGAGCGAGTCGTACGGTATGGTCATACCGAGAAGAGTGATGCCGAGAAGGTGAAAAACCATGATTCGATAGAAGGTATGCTTGATGGCACGATTCATAGCCTTGGGCACATTTGGTGACCGAGCCAGGACACCAGATCTTTCACTGCCAATATACGCAAAGGTAGCGGAGGACATGGCCCCACAGGTAGCGAAAAGAGCTTCCGGCATGTGTTCTTTAGACATTGCGAAGGCGCCTGGGTTTTGCCAGTATCGAAATCCCTTTGCGTCATGATCTGGCCCGCCTCCGAGCGCGAGCACAAGAGACACGATCATGAGACCGCTCATAACGAGAAGTTTGACCGTCGAAACGTAGTACTCAATCTGACTTGGCAGACTGTGGCGGATATAGTTGAGAGCGGTGATGATGATGATGAATACGGTGATCCATACTCCGGGGTTGATACGTTCATGGTCGAGCCATAGGTCTACCACAAGGGCAGCGGCTGTCAACTGATTCGGGGTGATCATGGCATACTTAAGCCAGTATCTGGTTGAAAACCTGTCAGCAGCCCCCATGAGTACTGACACCTGCGGGTTGTACTCACATCCATCCAAGTGTGAAGCCCAGCGCCGGATCACAGAAGCGAAGCGCCTGGTCCGCCACCGTGGATGGCTTCGGCAGCCATCCAGCGACTTCTCCCAATGCCGACAGGACAAGGAAGACCGTGAATCCGACGAGGGTGTATGATATCATCATGGCCGCCGGCTATACACTGTTGGGTCAAATCCAGATTCAATGGGAGGGAAAGTTCACACTCACGCCACCCCTAGGTCCAGAGTCAGCATACTGGTATACGACAGCAATGGAGAAGAACGCACAAGCTCAAACTTCTCCCACTACCGACCATCAATCCGGTGCCGATGGCTGACCCGACACCTGTCGATCAAACTTAGCGGAACACTTGTGTGAAACAAACTGACTGGAGACGAACTGATGAGTCCTGCTTTTCGTGGTGACAAAGCTCCATAAATATCCGTGAACCCTGTTGCGACCCCCTTGGTCTTCTCCGACGGAGTTTCTGGGGGCGCCGTCGAACGTGGGCTCGTGACAGGCTCTTGGGAATTGTTTGAGGAACGGTTTCGACGCCGAGGGTGCTGTGAGTTCTCCATTCTGAGGAACTATCGAGCATGGGATAACAATTATGTCGAGAGCAAGTATGTCGAGAGATGGATCGTCCTAGAAGGGTTAGAAGACCGCGCCGTTGCGGCAGCCGTTGGCAGTGGAAACGGAAAGAGCGAGTGCGTGGAAGGTACCAGCCCAAAGGCACCAAAGCGGAAGCGTAGGTAAGTCAAGAATCTTCATAAATAAGTTTTTCTTTCTTTCTTCTATATGCAAGGACAATCCGCTCCGTAGAGGCGAATCAAAACTCAAAAGTGCGTATGAAACAGTGCAACCCAAAAAGCACAAAAACAAAAACCCGTTGAATGCCAGCAACTCTTATCATAGCCACGCAAAGCATATGATCCCCAATAGATCGACGCTCCGTGGCCAACATCTATGATTGAATTCACCTTGATTCCGTGGAAACCGCATGATCACAAACGCCCAAAGCCGTCAGGTCAGATAAAAAAAAAGAAATTCAAGACGCCCAAAATGAAAACCAGTAGGGAGCCAGCCCCCGTTCCGTTCTGTTTCGGAACCCGTAGGTAGGTTCAATGGGTAGAGGGGAGTATATCATAAAAAAAGACAGCTTCTCGCAAGAACATGAGAAAAAAATCGTCCTAAGAGGAGAAGTGGCCGAGAGCGGTCGATGGTAGTCCCCTGGATCAGTCCAAACCAGAACCCGGTGTTAAAGAGGACGCGAAGGTGGTGCATCGTCAATTCATCGCGACATAAGCGAATCGCTCGACTCCGTGCGAGGGAAGATGCGGGTATAGAGCGAGTCGCTGGATTCGGTGCGCGGGAAGTGGCGCTGGTGCTTGCGCGAGATGACTCGGTCCTGGTAGACACCCTTGGCGCTTCCGCGCACCACCGACTCGAGGTACTCGCGGAAGTCGGTGGGCTTGAAGTTCGGGTACAACTCGGGGGTCAGATGGTAACCGAGATACCTGGCGTACTCGGGGTTGTTGTCGCCACGAATGCCCCATGAGTATTGATACTCGGCGAGGTACCGTGGGATAAACTTGATCGGGTCGAAGGGATAGGTTTCGCTGGCTTGCCTGGCGGCAAGGACCCGGCTGCAGATAGTCTCTTCGGAAACCTGTAAGAAAAATCAAAGATGAGCATACGTAAAATCCGGGGTACGGGAATTCAGTGCAAAACATACGTAGTTTCGGTCGACCTTCTCCTCACTGATCTCCTCCATCAAACTGTAGATCTGATTTTGCGTTGAGACCAGGTTGTATGCGAGAATCTTCTTGTTAAGGGTACGCTCATCGTTGATGATCAGAGCCATATAGCGACCGATATCGCGCAGGTCGGTGAGTGCGGTGGGCATGTTTCCATCGCCGATAATCTCGTCATTGCCAGAGGTCATCGCATAGTCGACACGGCCGGAGACAAGACGAGGGTAGGAAAGCTGGTACCACCAGCCAACATCGACGATAGTGTAGGGGAGCCAGAGCTGGCGGATCTGGTTGTAGACAATCTCTTTCTAGATCGACAGAAGAGACATGGTTAGCTAGAGCCCAGAACGGCCATATCGCACCACACCAAAGGGTATTCATACCTCGTCACGCAGCCACATCACACCACCAGGCGGGGCCACGGTGATGAAACCACAGGGAATGAATCGCTTGACACCGCATTTCTTCGCGGCCTTGGCGAGAGGAATCTGGTCTTGCTGCTCTGCAGGGCCGACACAGCTGATGACGACATCGATCTCAGCCAGAACTTCAATGAGCTGCTCCTCGGACGCCTTCAAGTCGCCTTTGCGGATTTGGATTCCTCGCTCCTGGAGCTTCTGGATGGCAGGCTTGTGTACGGAAATGGGGCGGACGAGGGCGTGAACATCCTATATGACGAGGAATCAATGCATGGTTAGTGATTTGCTCGCTTGTCGTGGAGCGACTTCAAGGATAGAATCATACAAAGGAGCCATCTTCAATGAGACCGTTGGCAATGGAACCTCCGGTTTCACCCGCTGCGCCGACCAAGAGAACCTGGGTCTTCGCCATGTTGGGTAGGCGTTATCGGTCGGACAGATATCAAGAGAGGTCGTGGACGGTCGCGGAGGTTGTCTTTTGTTGAGTGGGATGGTAAGATGTCAGGTTGATCGACGAGACTTGGGAAGTCGAAATGAGTTCGAAAGGAAAGAGAAGGAACGGGACGGCAGAACAGGAAATCAGGCGCTGGCGACGTTATAAATTGTCCACCCAGCGAGTCCACCGCAGTCCACCCAAGGATGGGTTGTGCTACCCACTTTGTCTCCCATCCGGACGGTGGGTCGAAGTGGATGTGAGTTCCCCTCGTTTTGAGGGGGAGAATTTTTTTCAGTCGGGCGGCAAAGGACGTCATGGTTCTGTCTACTCGGTACTGATGGCTTTGCCTATCGTTTGATCTTATATAGGATGATTATAAGTAGTCCATTGTAGCTGTAATTCACTCTGAATCTACATTTTTTCCGATTGTTTCAGCCCTTTCGGCAGGTCGGTCAATTTCCCATCCAATTTGACCTCTCTTTTACGGGCCGGTGGCTCGGGAGCAGAATCCTAACCAAAGTCGGGGGCCCTTACGTCATACGGCTTCCCGGCTTGATAAGTAATGATGATGATGTTGGTAACCCATACAAGACAATGGTCTTGGAGACAGAGAGGATACGGCCCTCTTCTAATGAAACTATTGAACGGGCATGGGGTTCTCCAGTCGACACGAGACCACAATCACAATCACAATCAACCCTTACCTTGGGCCGGCGAGAGTTCTAGCTGCAACGATGGTCGATCCAGAATGGGGCCTCGGGCTCGTCTCACACCTGCGGCTTTTAAGTGGCAGCACCCGTTCATCTTCCCCCTCTCGTGACCTGTGAACATGCAGTCTTCTTCATCAGTCACAATTCTCGACCATCACCCCCACGTCAGCGATCTTCAGATCAGCAAAAGCGGCCTTGGAAACGAAGCCAAGTTCTACCCAGTGGCACATGGTGGACTGTGACGAAATTGCGGCCAACCACGATTAGTCAACGGACAGGCCCCGAGCGCTCATTGGCGGATCGCGCCTCGAAAAACGGAGATGCCCGTCCACGGTCGACCGCGCTCCGGTCACCATCGGCTGCCCATGGGAGATTTGAGGAGCATTCAAGGGGCAGATGCGAAGTTAACCAGTCAGCCCTGATAACTGGATCGGTGAGGGTCCGAAGGGTCTGAGCATATGGTGAGGTCCAATATGATTCTATGCCAGTACCATACCAGCATGGGAAGGACCAACGTAAGGATTGCCCAGCCACAACCGCCGCGGGCGCGGGAGATCGGTGCCTGGGCGTTGGAACGGTCATTTCTTAGCTGAATTCCCCCTTCATGCTCTCATAGATATGTCTGCTGTAACTCATCTGTGTCTGCACCTGCACTGCGAGGTGACCCCGTTCATTTCTGTCCCGGATTTTCACAAGCGTGCCTCCCCCATATTGAGGGGTGGGTGGGGTTTCGCTGTGGTCACTGGGCAGCGAAAGCTGGAATGGCTCCTCCATCGAGTAATCAGTGGTGACGATCACGGAAAATCGACCCAGGAATTGTAGTGAAGAAAGGCACGAGTCCTCAGCGTGAAATCTGCAGCTGCCCGCCGATTATTTTCAAGGCTTGTGAATGACAGGTTGGAGTTGTCCCCAGTATATGTTCTCCACAGATCCGTGCCCCGAGGGGTTTCTTTCAAGTTGAAGATGAATTGGCGATCCTCCAGTAGATGTGCAGCAGGTTTAACCGACAGTCGTTGCCAAGATCGACAGAATCTGGATATCTCTGACAAAATATTGACGACAGCCAGTTCTCACATTGATCATTGGAAATGTGATGGGATCAGGAGGATGTCACGAGCTCTGAGGGAGAGGCACGTTGCGATGTTGGAGGGGATTTTGTCACAAACGTGACAAGGTTGAGGAGGTGACTCGGCAGCCAGGAATTCTCCTTCCAGTACCACACGACCCACCATTCTTATGAGCATCTACTAAATTGCTGTGTCTGGATGTCAAAAGAAACACCCTTACCTGAAATACTAATTACTTGCGTTTTAAGATTCCTACCAAAGACCAAAATTCATGTATAGCACACCGGTAACTAGCAAATGATCCATCCAATGATTTGTATTGAAACTTAACAGTAATGGCTGCTATAGATAATCGATCACCACCTCAAGACTTTCAGACTCTCACTTATGGAAACTCCAATTGCCCTTTCCGGAAAGAGGTTGCCCGGCAGTCCTTTGAAGTTACTAGCGCCTGGCGAGGATCGGAAAATCATTTCAACGATCACAGTATATTAAGTAACATTCCTTCTTGGCGTCAACAATCAGCTCATCCAGTTACAGAGTCAATTAAGAAAGAAAAAAGGACTCACATATCGGCATTCTCGACCCAGATGGCGTTCCACGCATCTCTGGGGAGATGGATTAGTTTGGTACCCTTACCAGCGCGAGCCAGAAGTTCTCATACAGCGACGCATCTATCATATCCACGTCTGCAACGGTCTGCGTTCATCGGAACAACAGGCTCATTCGACTCGTTATTCCCGACCGGGGAAGCAATGGCCAATGCGGCGAAGAAAAGAGCGAGGGCTGCCAAGGGACGCATTTTGGATAGTTGATGATGTTGATACTACTGAATATGGTCAAAGGTGCAAATGGCAAAACTGATTCCTTTTGGTTGTTCGTAGAAGGACTGGGTTTTTGGGGCAATTTATATCTGGCAATCCAGTGGAAGACATAATAACATTGGACAAGCACACGAGGGAGCAGGAAAGATTTCCTTGTTCCACAAATCGGCCAGTGAGTCGCGGGGACGGCTTGTATTGAGTGATATTCGGAGGTTTCACAAAGCAGTTTACTCCATGGGGATTGTGCAGGGTAGCCGGAGTTCTGCAGCTTGTCCGAGCTTCCTACCAAACGAGTGTACCCGTTATGATCTAGTTCCGGTGTGCCACTTGGCTTGATATTGTGTTAAACACATGTTGTGACCATCTTGAACTATAGATTCGAGTACAGAAGGCAGATATCTCTGAAATGAAAGAGATAGCTTTCCTTGACCTTTTACATTCAGCTCATAGAGCAGATACAGTGGTTAAGCGTTTCAGGAACTTATGCTCTGCGCGCCTGAACATCAGAGCTCTAGTCAGAGATGGTCATCTGACTACAAGAGGATCTTCAAGTCTCACATATCCTCCGGCCTGTCCAGCTGGATCAAGGACAAAGAAGTCAACCCCGAGAGGACCTTAGGCCGGGTTGAACGAAATCCTGGGGTACATCTTGTACAACATTAACTTGCCAAAAGCAATACAATGTAACAAATTGAATGCTTACAATTTCTCGATATTTCATTCCGAACCACTTTAGTATGCATGTCAGATTCAAAACCCACCTCCCCACGGGGAAACTCGATCCTAACTGCGCGTTCCACATCCCATACCAGCTGAGTGTACGGAGTAGTTCACAAAAAAAAACAATACGCTCAACCCAGTTCCCAAATGTCACGCAACACAAAATACAAATGGATATCATAACGTAAAACAATCCGATCCCACCAACGCCTCCCAAATGCAACACCCCCTTAAAACCCAGAACTCTTCAAAATCCTCCCCGGTCGGAGAGTCGGTTCGGAATGCGTAGTTCTCTTGAGCTCCCTCACATCCATAAGTTCGCCCCGACAGTAAAGTCGCACGGTAATCGTAGCCCTCTTCTTAAGCAACAGTAATTCCCGCTGTTTCCGTCGCTCTTCCATGATAATCGCCCATCGAGCTCGGACTTCGGCCACACGCTTTCGTCGCGCGGGCCATGCACGCTTCCACATCAGTGTTTGGTGCATCATTTCGAGGTTCTTGTCATCTGGCCATGCGGTGTGCTTGCACCCGTGTGGCCAGACGTTGTCTAAGTTGATCGGTCTTCGATGATCGATGTCATGCATCTTCCATTGCCAATGGCGGAGTTGTTGCATGTCGTCTGCGTTGCGGCAGAATGTAAGCACCCCTCGGTGTGAGAGGTAATGCTGGCGGATGTGAAAGTCGATTTGATAGTGGGCGAAGAGGATGGCAACTTCGGGGTCGATGTCTTTTGTCTGATCGAGGATGTGGTTCAGAGCTTGCTCGACTAGTTCGTAGTACCGCTCGCGCTGGGAGACGGACATGTGTTTCCAGAAGGATGGTTCTCCGGTGGGTGATGTGGTGTTGAGAGGGGAGATGTTGTCGTCTCTGGTGTTGTTGTTTAGGAAGAAGGGTGGGTAGTGGGAGGTAATGTATGCGCCTTTATGGATATCATCTGCCATGCTGGCTTGTGTGGCGGCGATCTGGCAGGTCGTGCAGTGCAGTGCTTCTTCTAGGCCTTGGAGCTATAAAGTAGAGAGAGTGAGTAGGGATTCCTCGTCCGGGAGATGAGATAGTGACGTACCAGCTCCATATCTGCATTGTTCTCGTCTTGAGCTTCGATGTTCTGCATATTCGCGAAGTTGAATGTGATTCGAGTTGCACTTGAGTGTAGTATCTTCAATGCGTTGACTTTCCAATGTATTGAGAAGTTTGTACGTGGTGAACGAGAGGATTCGCAACATTCTCCTTATATCGTGTACAGGTGGAATCTCGTGGGACTAGAAGACTGAGCCACAAAGACAATAAACTTCATTGGGACTATGTTATGAAAGAACTGAATGGGATGCAAATAAGGTTCTGTTGGCCGTTGGAAGGATCGCGTTCCAGACTCCGTTCCAGACTCCGGGGCAAACAAAGATTCTTTGAAGTTCGAACCGGAGTATAGATGAGAGGTAACAAAGCACTCAGAAAAGGATATGGCTAACAAAGACCACTCGTGGAATGAGGCAGAAATCAGACTCCAGCTTGGAGTAATCCGTCCTGCCCCGCCATTATAAACAAATCTCACGGTCGCATTGCTATTTCCGGCTGTCCGCGATCAAATGACGAGTTGGTCTTCCGATCTGAGCGCGCCGCGGTCATCTGTTGATAAACGCGGTGAAGATGCGGGGGGCGTGACGGGGTCACTGGGTTTCATTCGGCCCTCGCGGGGTCCTTCACCGCGACTTGATACTTGTTCCTCTCCCCTGCACACACGTCCAGCCGATATATTCCGATGACAACACTGGAGAGGCTAAATCAAGGAGGATATTTCTTACTATGAGGGCCGGGAGACCAATAGTACTGGTGCTATAGCTGACTGCCACCGAGCGGTGAGCTGTAAACCTGCTTAGGAGCAAAATATAGATCATTTGCCTTGATCGACAGAGCAGATGAGCTTGTCAAAGGGTTTGCTTAACACAGTTAGTGCTTAGGCAATTACTGTTTCTCATGTTTATGCTATAAGAAGGGTCCTGCCATGACATTCCATTCATTGCGCAAACCTCGCTAGCTATTGTTTGCGGACGGGCTGTGGTGACCCCACATCAGTACTCAGTATAGCTTCATGTCTGAAGAGTCTAGGATCGGTATCTTCCACAATTCCCGACCTGCCTCTATGGTACCGAGCCCTATCCTACGCTGTGATGAACTTGCAGTCAGAGATCGTCTTAAACAAAGGGTTTAACGCAGACCATCTTACGAATGTCGACAATTTGCCATTCCTCCCCTTGATTGTCCTGGCTACCCATGGTGAGACCCATTCTCGTGCGGGGCAGTCTAAAGTCATATTTGAGGGCTGAAGGCTTGCCATGATCAAACTCCTGCTTGATAACGGGCCCGATGTGACCGCAACGAATGGTCAAGGCTATACCGCACTTTCTGTGGCCGTTAAGCAGCAGGAAAATATAATTGTCAACGAACTTCTTCTGCGTGGAGCTTATCCTTTGGTTGGAAAAAGGTCAGCAGTACACGCCGCTATCAAGTCGGAGGATCTGGATATCCTCAAGGAACTTTTAAAGAATTTGAGTGCTCGGGGCAAATGTGACAATAAACTTGAACTTTCCGCGGCATGGATCAAAGAAGGCTATTCATACCTTGCCTGTCATGTCCCGAGGAAGCCAAGCTCGGGAATTTTCCTGATCTTGAAGGAGCTGGTGGCCCACCACAGGCGCCACAAGTATCCTGTCCCGTCATGATTGCCTTCTTAGCAGTGATATTAGTTCTTGTGGTTTGTGGAAAAAGTGAATAGCTGCTGATAGATATATGGTTTTGTTTTTATTTGGTTGATTGGTTACCTTCATCTCTCTGGTGTGATCCGATTCTTGCTGTTAGGTCACTTTGTTTAAGGTCGTTTTGATGATTTGGAGGATGGCCATGGAAAGCCTCGTGTAGAAATGAGACATCATCGCCATGAGGAGCACACTTGATATGTTTTCTTCGACAGTCTTTACCATTGCCAATTCAATCCACTACTTTCCACATCTGTATTCGTATGGTCCCTGTTCCATTTCGTCGATAGCAATCATTGGGTGCTGATGGGTGATCTCAGACCTTCCTCCATCACCGGAAACAACAACACAGCTCCCACCTGAATCAACATACCCATCGCGAGTCACCATGAGCGAAAAAGAAAAGGCCTCCCTCGCCTTCCCGGTTACATGCATGCTCATCTCCTTCGCATTTACCACCTACCTCCACCGCACCTGGATCTCACAGCAAATCCGAGCATGCAAGCGCTTCACCCGACACGCTTCACGCAAAACCAAGCGTCTGGTCAGCTACTGGACGCGATGGCTACACCATATCACAAACAACTGGCTCGGTGAGATCGCAGCGAGAACCTACAATATCCTCAAGCCACCGTGGGACTCTGATACCAGCTCAAACTCACCTACGAACCTGGACGTTGCTTTCAACTCCGATACCAGCACCGCCACCAGCGCAAATCCATCTCCTCCCTTCTCGCCTTCCCTCACATCCCGACCAACCTGGATCCTCGATTCCAACGGCCAGTACATACTCAACCAAACCCCCGAACCACTGCCCCGTGCACAATGGGAAATTGAACTCGAGGAGCGCATCCGCAATGGTCGTGGACCGGGTGCTTGGCTGGATAGAACTGTTGACTGGGTTGTTCGTCAAGTCGTTGCGGATCTCGATGCTGATATGCGTGCTGAAATTGATCGGTTTCGTGGTGACCGCCGAGGAATGGTGCAGATGTAAGGTTTCGTCAGATCACGCAGCCTGACGTATGTTAGAGGTTGGTGGGCTATACGTGGGGTTTAAGACCGGGTTGCTTATCGTGGAGATCCCCCGGGGTCCGGAGGTCTGGGTACATGGGGTACTATTAGCTCGGAAATCGGGATGGTCGCACCTTATTTGTGTGGACAATGGATAGGAGTATCTCCTTCCTTGTTGATCAGTCAGGTGTTATTGAATGATTGTACGTGGAAAACAGGAAACTGGCTTGAGGATTGCAGAATGATCTAGCAGAAGCTGTAGATCTATGAGCCGGTCAACTGCATATGCCACGATTCAATCCAATTATTTTTTATCAGTCCAATATTTTGTCCCGTGTACACATCAATCGCAATTCTGTAAGTGGAAAAGACACGCTCAATTCAAAATAATAACAAAATCCCAATGCACTTTCTATGGCGCGCAGTAGCCGCCATCAACGATCAGATCTGCGCCGGTGGTATAGGTGGACGCATCCGAGGCCAGGTATAGGTAAGCACCCTTCAGCTCGTGAGCCTCACCCTCGCGGCCCATAGGAATCTTGTCCCGCCAGATATTCTTAGTCTCCTCAGGCACAAAGTTGGAGATTTCCGTGGCGATGTAACCGGGGGAGACGGTGTTGGCGCGGGCGAAGCGCACCCATTCAACAGAGAGGGACTTGCCTGTATCACTATTAGTGGAAAGGTCATATAGAGCATCTTTTTCGACAAGAACGTACAGAGGTGAACTACACCACTCTTAGCAGCATTATAAGCAGCCTGCATCTGGGGGAAATTGACAATGTGACCGCTCATGGAAGCAGTAGCAACGAAGCTGCCGTAGGTGAAGTTAGTAAGCTTGTTGCCGTTAATGTCAGTGCCTTCATCCTTCTGACGGCGCCAGTGAGAAGCGGCAGCCCTGGCGCAGTAGAATGTGCCGTCCAAGTCAATGTTCACGACGTCGCGGTAGTGCTCAATGGGTCCATCCACCATAGGACCCTGGGTCCAGGGGATACCGGCGTTGGCAATGAAAACATCCAAGCGGCCATTGAAATCCTTGACCACGGTATCGGTGGCCTCTTGGACGGCCTTGGGATCGGTGACCTGGACCTGGTAGGCCTTGGCTGTGGAAAGAAGATCAATTGTTAGTCTCTCATCATGACCATGCATTGCGCGGAACAGATCATGCTGTAGCTACTTACCTTGGACACCGTATTTCTGGGCAATCTCCTCCGCGCGCTCGGCAGCCTTTGCGTTGGAATTGTACCACAGAGCAACGTTGGCACCAGCTTCGGCCAGGCCGTGAGCGACGGCGAGTCCAATACCGGCCCCAGCACCCGTCACGATAGCAGTCTTGCCCTTGAGGGAGAACATGCTCATCAAGCTGGGGTGCTCAGGAGCAACGGTATTGTTGTGGACGAAGAGTCCACCTTGAATCGGACTGGCAGCCATGTTTGATCAATGAAAGACTGTTGATGATGTGCAATAGTATGCGAGGTGAAAGGCTACATCTAGACGGGAGATGCCTTTAAATATAGCCCATTGGAGGGGCAATTGCCCTCCGGGTTAAAAGCAACAGCCCCCATAGGACGCGACAAGACGGTGAACATTGCGTGGGCCTTTACCTCCGCAGTGGAGAGAGGACTGTACAGTTGCTGTGGGGGGTGTACTGTACAGTTGCTCGGCCCACCAAGCACAGAGTCATCCATTGACAGCTCGTTGTTCCTGTGGGTATGACGCTATGCGCCCTCCTAAACAGGCAAGGAGCGGGTCCTCGAGGGAGAAATGGTGGGATGGACACCGATCACATCGGGATTGGATAGCAACAGAGTTGGTTTAGGTGTGACGGTAGGGAAAGACATGTGAATGATACCAACCTAGATCCCGATAGACTTGTACGGTGTCAAGTTTTTGTGATTTGTGTAGTTGGAGATTGATATTTGGTCTTCGATTGGTTCCAAAACGCCTCCGAATGCGCCCCCGCGGAAGGGGAGGGCGCCATCACTGCCTCAACCGTAAGGTGTCGATACTGTCCTTCCAGCTTCTGGTAAGTGTCACTTTCCATGGATACGCTTATGAAGACTGATCAATGCATCAGATATTTTGACCTATTGTTTTTTCCTATTCTATCTCCATCGATCAACCATCGTCGATTGAGAATACATTTTCCTCCAGAAAGGGGTTGAGAGGGAGGGAGAAGCGGACGCGAACCTTCGCCCTGCCCTGGGAACGTCTCGAATCCCAACTCCAGCACAGGCCCTTCATTGATTCATTCATGACATTGGCCTTTTTAGTGGCTTGCTTCGTGGCTTGATGCTTCTGTTGACTCGGGACATGATTGATTGTCGAGCAGTGGCTGCAGAAGCAGCTGCCATGTACTGACTGACCTTGCCGCTTGCGACATCTGATCAGCTTCTTGCTATCACGATCATGACAGCCAGCCATCCTCCAGAGTCAATACTGACCTAGCAGTTTAGTCAAGAATAATGACTCGCTACAGACTCCACGAAAGCCGCCTGGTCATTCTTCGCCGAGGTCACCTTGTGAGGTTCATCATTACTCTACACGGAGCATGTACAGCCAAGCAGGCTATCGGATTCTATCTCCATTCCAAACAATTCCAAGGTTCTCTCATGAAGGTGCCATTTCAGCACTGAGATTTTCCACTAAATACTATTCTCCACGAAATGCCATTGGTGAGTGGCAGGGGTGGGAATAGAGTGTGGCCGCCAACATTCTTCGCGGCGTCTTGGTGATGTGTTCACATTCCAGGAGACTGGTCAAAATGTTCACATAACAAACCAGCAGCCCTAAGCGGGAATGCTCGCGCGGTTGCACCGGTTTGCGTCTCTTCGTTTCCTCCAGTTTGTCGTGTCTCTGGTGGTTGCAAACTTCGTTGGGTTTCTGCAGGTTCTCTTGACCAGGCCTTGGTTAAGCATATCGCATTGTGAGGATCTCCAAGTATACCACGTCTCAAACGTCGCGACTCAAGACCGTCAACGGATGAACGACTGACAAACGCCATCCCCGCGGATCACGCGTGCTCTGATCCAATTTCAACTCGAAAGTGTACATCGTCCACCGTCACCATGCTGAGCCTGAGCGCCGTGGTCGCCATCGCCGCGTCCGCCGCAGCCTTTTTCGTCGTCTTGGGAGTCGTCGTGATCGTAGTCTGGGTTCGAGTCCGCAAAGAACGACATGCAATGCGAATGCTTGGTCTAAAGGAGGGAGATAACCCCCGTCGTGTCAAAGCTTACAACCCGGATACGTTGACCGAGCTTTCTCACCAGGAAGGAAGTGTGTTGAGGGCTCATGGCAATCTGCCGTACGGCAAACCGGGTGAATGGGGTCAATTGGAATCACGCGAAACTCTGCTACGGTCAGAGAGCGAACCCGAATCCTCCTGGCCTCTCATGGAACGCGCACGATCTCTTCGCAATTCGATTCGCAGAGCCAGCTCGAAGCGATTTACAAAATCTGGGCTTCGGCGCATGGGCTCCATGGCTACGGTTAGCGAGATGCTACCCAGCCCAACTGGGACTTCCAAGGATGATATTCCTCTATCAGCTGTGGAAGGGGTCTTGGAGCTACCAGCCGAGCGGACACCACGACAAACGCCAGAAATCCCTGGAGAGGAGGAAGGTTTCCATCTAGGGATGCGCCCAATGTCTCCTGCATCAGCCTGGCCTCCTCCAGGTCAACAACAGCGAGCGTTCCCTGTGTTGGACAACATTCTATCGCAAAACCTATTTGACCCTCCTCTCATGATCTATGAAGAATCACCCACTCGAATTCGAGGTGGGAGTATCGTCAGTCAAACAGCAGGACATGCTCCCGACCAGTCAATTCCTCCTCCGCCACCTCCTGCTGCATTCCCTCAAGAGCGGTTCAGCTACTTGCGAAACGACTCGGTCATGCGTCTTTCTTCAATGAGCCTTGACACGACCAACAGCTCAATCTTGGAGGACGGTCGAAATGGTCCACGCTCTGCGGACACAGATCTTACCTCGCCTATTTTCCCGTCAGGCGGCTCTTTTGTGCCTTTCAGTGCCAATGATGTTGGGGTCAAGAACGGCCGTCGGAGCTTCATCGCTGCTAATACATCAGTACCGCCGAATTTCCTCGTTCGCTCCTCGTCCACCGCTGACGGCCCCAGAAAGACCTCAGAAGAAGCCATGTCGCCCCGTCGGAGCATGACTACAGCATCTCGAAACCCAAGCAATGCCAGCAACCAATCCACTGCTCTGCCTCGTCGCAGTGAATCTCTATCTTCAACTGCTCCGCAAAGAAACTCATCTCTTCGCGTTGGCACCCCGGGGTCAATGGCTGCTTATCAGAATGACAATAGGTCATCCTGGCGATCACCTACTTCGAATTTGGCGCATGCACCGTATGTCAGCCAGTACCCTCAACAACCCCCGCCAGTCTACGAGAGTGAGCAGTTTGAAAACGATCCGTTCTATGGCGGCTCTCCAGCTTCCACTGGCACATTGTTCTCTGTTGGCTCCCCGAGTCAGCCTAACGGTTACATGCCGCAAAGTCCGCTGCAGCGTTCCAGTCTCTCCATCAAGGGGCCTCTCCCATCCGCGCTCAAGGGTTCCAATTCTCAGCGGAAGAGCAAAGGCCACAGACGACAGAACTGTGTTCGTATCTCCATCCATCCGCCCATGACTTTCGGTGGCCCTGCCTTCTCTCCCACAGTCGAGGAAGAACCTGAAGATCTGGACGCCATGGAGGAAGTAGATTTGCGGGAGAGTACCATCAACGGGACATCGAACTCACAGCCTTCCATGCCTGCCAACACACCATCTCCTCTACCACTTTCAAAGCGTGGAAGTGGCAGTCGTCGTACTAAACCTGTGATATCAGCACCAAGCTCGCTCGGTCCTCTGGCTGAAGAACCACAACCTACATTGCATACTCGAACTCCATCTAAGAAGCGAAAGAAGGCACCCACTGACAACCCAGATGACACGCCCGTCATGGCCAAGGGCCATACTTTACCCGGTCTCTTCACAGCATTGCCACCTGTTCGCGAAGTAGTTCTTTCGCATACGCCTTCGCCTGAGCGAGAACCACCCGCCTGGGCAGTCAGTGATAATCCATCTCCAACGACCCGTGAAAACGCGTCTGGTATTAGCACTGGCAGCCCTCGACGCCCACCTCTCAAAGGACCACGCACTCAACCGGGCAAGCCAGGCCGAAGGAATTCGACACATGCTCCACAACCCAAGCCCACGGAGCCCTTGATGGGCCTTACCTCGCCTACTGGTCTACCAGTCATCACCGGCACCCAGGGCAGTGACTGGCGCAAGTCAACGGACTCACCACAACGGGGAAGAACCGACACAAGCACCGACTCTTTCCGGAAGAACCGCGACTCCCAAGGCTCCTTGGTGAATGGCCTCGATTCATCAATGCGTCCCATGTCGCCTGTGTACGGCTCCCAAGTCTCAACTGTACGAGACAAGGTCACCATCTGGGAAGATGCTAATCGCAGCGCATCTCCGCCCAAGCTAGCTGCGACGCAATTCGGAGCAGGGTATACCTTCCAACTTGATACCAATCTCTCGCCTACATATGCGAAAAATAGTATCCCGCGGACGCTCTCCAAAAGCGGGAATCAATCCCCTATCCGCATGCATAGTCATCGCGCACCGCCAACGCCGACGTCTGTTCGGCGGGGTATGACAACGCCTACTAGTAAGGGACTTGGTATTGGAGTTACGTGTGCGACGCCAGTCAGCTTGTATGATGGCGAAGGGTTCTTGAAGGAGTAGTTTGTTTGCACGGTGGTTGTTTGGTACTGTTTTGGCGCAAGGGCGTCTTTGGATTCTATGATTCTTGCGTTCAAAAGCCTTATACCTTCCTTTTCTATTCTCACTCGCCTGGAGCATTTGTTCTCATTCTCTTTTCTTTTGTCTAATGCATTCATCTTTGCAGCTATTCGTGTGTCACGTTCTACGTTGATATCCACCATCTAGGTAGTAATTAGAAATCAATATCTAATTTGACGTCTGATGTTCTCATCATAGATTATATGAATTGTATCTTGAGTCTTCTCTTTTCACCCTAACTGTCACCAACAATCCATAGTCCCATATCCTGTCATACAAATTAATCCGTCCTCCGCCATTTAGTCTCATCACCCTCACCCTCACCCTCCTCCCCATCCTGACCCTCCCCATCCCCATTCTCCTCCTCCCGAGCCCTCACAGTCCCAGCACCAGGTCCCAACCCAGGGAACGAAGCAGGCTCACCCTCCGCAATCCAATTCCCCTCCTCATCAAAAAACTCATGCATATTATCCGCCGTAATCCACCCAGAACTCCCATCAACAGGCGGCGGCAACGAATCCCCATTCAACGAGCCCATCCCCTCCTGCCCAAACTGGAAGAACGAATGCTTCGACTCCTCGTCATCCTCATCCTCATCGCCCGGTTCAACGGGGTCGGGGTGCAGGTTTGAGCACGCGGATACGGCATTGTAGAGCATCTGCGTTGGGGTTTCGGCGGTCTCGTCGCTAGTCTCTTCTTGGGCTGTGCGCTGCTCGGGGGTGAGTTCGGGCGGGACAACTGTCATTGTGATACATTGCTCTTCGTCGTCTTCGGAGGTGGGTGCGGTGGGGATGGCGATTTGCATGTATAGGCCTTGGACTTCGGTGTCTGTTGCGCCGGGGATGCGGAGGCGCTGGATTGCGTGGAGCGAGATTGATGGGTAGGGGATTGAGACGCCGGTTGAGGTCGAGGGGGAGTATAGGATGAATTTCCTAGGAAGGGATATGTTAGCTTCATCCTAGATATGGAGCGATAAAGGACGGCGAGTATTCAAGCTATACTGGGTAGAGCTTTGCTCGCAGAAGGATGGTAAAACTTACTCAGACGTCACCCAGGTATGCAAGCCCTCAATGGCAACCTCAGGACCCTCGTCGTCATCGTCTTCTTGCGCCGCAGCCGCAGCGCTAGTCCCACTGGTAGAGGCGCTTTCTCCGCGCAGCGCATTCAGAGCTGGCGTGGCCAGTAGGTCACGCTCGAGGATGACGACCTTGCATCGCTCGCTGTGGTAGTAGAGAACAGGCGGTCCGTTGTGGAAGGAGCTTGGTGTCCGCGACTGGTGCTCAGCGATGGTAACGAAGCTGGATGCTTCGGGCGATGAGTGGAGGACTTCCATTGTGATGTCCTTGCAATTATCCTTCTAGTTCGATATAATTGATGAGGGTGTGTGAGCTCTCGAAGGGCTGGGCGCGGTGCAGTGGTAGGTAAGATGCGAAAAAAGCTTGCGGGAGCTTTCGGCGGAGGGGCGCTTTGCTTCCGTGGTTCGTTGGTGACAGTACCTCCCAGCTCGGTGGGCTTTGGAGTAGAAGTAGTTCAACTCGAGCTTCTTCTTAATTAATAAACTGCCTAGATTTATTTTAATGTAATAAGCTTCAGTATGTGCCGCTTTTCTATGTGTGAACTAATTCTTCCTATTGCCATACTAGCTGGTTGCGCGAAAATATATCTGGAGGTAGCAGAAGGCTATGGTCCTGGAAAGGATCAAGACGGGCAAAATTCCAAAAATTCAGCAGCGAGATCCGGATAAAAGCTAAGATTGTGATACTAAATGTAGGAAAGATATACAAAAGAGAATGGAAAGGTAGCCTAAATGCAATTTGTTGCTACTAAGTTATCTAACAAATGTAATCGCTCTAACTAGCAGGAGGCGCGACAAGAGGCTGGAATGTAGGAGTCGCGGATTCTTTGAAGCTCCCAACGAGTCCTGCCGAACACGACAAATGCGGACCAAGTCAAACCAGATGCTAACTCGAATGCACAGACTGTAGTGGGGTCAATGGCCATGAAATGACCACCATCTATTGACCAAGTAGCTCGGTTCCTTGCATGCATGAGTTGAGATAGCACGTGACCGTATACTTCAAGTCGACTGATGACCAAATATGGCCGTGCCAGGTATGGAGTATGTTCTCACATGTGTTCAAGTGAAACCTCGGAAATGGTATTGAAGTGATGTCGTGTGTTGAGGAAGATATGCTGCCCAGCATTATCTCAGGGTTCATTTCACACCCAGTCCACCAAATGCCCGGTCCAACTCCTCACCTTCATCTCGAGGAACCATCGCTGGCAGATTCGATGAGCCCTGATCAGCAGAAGTGCTGTCCAATAGGCTTCCACCCTCATCAGCCTTAAATGCAGAGGATCCTCCAGCGTTGCTCGGCTGAAGTAATTTCTCGTCGCTGTCCAGCCACCCAGGTGCGACACGGCGCTTTTCAGCGAGCTCACGCTGTCGAATAGATTCCTCCCAAGCTTTAATAGCACCTTCTGCCTCAGATCGGGTCTTCTTCAAGTGTTGTTCGAGAGACTGAGTGGCAGCCAGGATCTCGTCTGGGTGGGCTGCATGTTCGCCGCTGGAGGAGAAGACGTATCGGGGTTTGGCATCTGGGTTGCTTGGATCTACCAGGACTGATTGTGGGAGAGTTGAAGGGACTGATTTGTAGGTATAGGGTAGGGTGACGGAGGCGGGGAGGTTGATGAATGGCGAAACGGTTAGAGGCACCTGGGCCAGGAGGAGGTGGGGGCCTGTAAGAATTGGCGATGAGTATGGAGCAAGCAGGCAGATATCAGTAGGGGGCAATGAAGGATCACTGACGGTATGAGTCGTACATGACTGAAGAGTTGAACGGCTGGCCCTGCAGCGAGTGTGATCAGTTGAGTGTTGACATGCGGAGAGGGCTACGGCGATGACGCCGGTCACCGCCCCACGTCTCCTCCTCTGATGCTCCGACCTCCAGCCCCCGTTTACTCTAAAAGGAAATTAACCAACTCCGGAGTAAGACCTGGCCAGCGCTTCAGCCATGCCAATCACATTGTATGCAGCTGATCTTGCTGCCGCCCAAGTGGATATGACATGACTCGATGCCAACGTGATTTTGAATGCTTGCACGAGGCACACGGGTTGTAGTTGCTGTCCCTGGACTCAACGTGCAAGGATATGCCTACACCTTCCACCAATGTGATAGCAGCTCATCCCAGCGACATCCGATCGGCCCCGTTAGCCATTTGGGATATTACACAAATTCCGTCCTCGCTGGCTGTTTTTCCAAAGGGATCTTCGAAGCTGTGGTTACCTTTCCAAGCATCTCACAGCGAATTCAAGGCCACTTCATGGTCTTGGCTCTCTCACTATGATGTGGAGCAGTGAAAGATCTTGTTCCAACGTTGTCACAATAGCGAGCTAAGCTCAGAGCTGACTAGGGTCCAACGCACTCAGACTCCTGTCTATTCGAGTTTAGTTGGATTCAGAGTCCCACAGTACTCCCATTCGTCTCTTTCAATGCGTCAATCCCTGCTCAAGGGCGCCTCACCCTCCGAATGTGAACTCGAACTGGTCCTTGCGTGGGCGGACTTGCGAGTTTGCCAGGTCCTGTGAACTCCTTGCAAGTAGGTGACGCTGAAATTTTAAGGTGACTTTCAATAGATGGGGTTCCTAGCCCCGCATAGCAGGCCCCTGTTGGCTAAGCCTCGAACCAAGGATGCGGTCTTTATATAGTCCGTAGTCGTACTTTCCTTTGTCCATTTTTTGGACACGGTATTTTGTCATCCTTGCTTCGATTATTTCCACCTTCTTCGACTCGGCAGTTGCCCTCTATGTCTGAGGATATAATCGCTCCTGTTAGTAGGGCCTTGGTAAAAAATCTAGGGAAGTTTGTTAACAATCCGCTTTTCTCCTCTCTGAGTAGGACACGGATCTGCATTTTATCAAAGATAATCATGATCCCCAGGATTGGCAATCGTATGAAGATCCACCAGATTAGGCCTTTATCACATTTCCTAACTAAAGGGGATAGGGAAACGACGTCTATTGCATCGTCTATCTATAAAGGGCTGGTGGAGAATGGCCGAAAGTAAGGCGACCGCATGTCAGATAGTATGGGCTAAAATGCTGAGCAAAAGCACAGATATCAGACCCTGAGGGAACAGGGCTCACAGTAAGTGAAAAATCTTCATCTGGTCGATTGCCGTGGCAACTCACTAATCTCTCAAATTTGCAGTGTGCCATCCGACGAACAGATGTTCGAGACTTATGAAGCTTCGTATGCCTCTCTCAAGGGATAGGTCACGGTGCCGATAAGCTAATCTCAACAGGCATCTTCTTGCTTTCATAATAGATTCTGACAAGGGCAATGCCCTGTTTCAGGCACCAGTGGAAAAGCCCAAGGTTTGTTTAGCAATGTTTCGGCCTGCCGGGTCCTTGCATGGAAATTGAAACTGACCATACAACTAGCACATTCTGGATATTGGAACGGGAAATGGCACGTGGGCTATGTCAGTATACTTACTGTCTGCAGATACGAATCATTGTGACTGATAAAAAACTAGAGATGTTGCCGATCTGTTTCCTGACGGTACTTTTTCGATCTTGACAGATATTGTTCCGTATCTAAACAAACCTGCCTCAAATAGCAACTGTACGCGGCGTCGACTTGTTCCCGCCCCCTGTGACATGGCTGCCGCCGAATTGTATACTCGAGGTCGATGATATTCTTCAGCAGTGGACGTGGCGTGATCCATTCGATTTGGTGCATCTGAGACTATTAGACGCCGCGTTTACCCCGGAAGAAACTGATCATCTTTACCAACAATGCTACGAGTGAGTCCCCATGTGACTGAACTGAAAGATGTTCCACAAATACTCATCCATGCCCGCAATAGTCACCTCCAGCCGGGTGGATGGATCGAACAACTCGAAATGAGTTCCTTCATCGAGTGCGACGACGGCAGTGCCCCCAACAACAGCATACTATTCGACTGGGGACACCGGCTCACAACAGCAGCCAATAAAGCAGGCCGACCCCTCGGAATCATGCGAACCTTCCAAGGGTCGATAGAAAAAGCCGGATTCGTTGACATCCAAACAAAAGACTATAAATGGCCCATCGGCCCCTGGCCGAGAGACAAGATTCTGAAAGAAGTCGGCTCTGTTAATTACCAGCACTGGCTTATTGGTATGGAAGGGTATGGAATGTGGTTGTTGACTAAGTATGGGGATCCGGTGCCGTGGACGAAAGAGGGGGTGCAGGTTTATGTGGCGAAGATGCGGAAGGAGCTGTCTAATCCTCGGATTCATGTTTATCACAGGGCGTAAGTTTTGTTTGTCGGCTTTTGGCTGAGCTCTTATCCGAGACTAATGATTTGATAGGAGGAGAATTTGGGCGAGAAAGCCGGTGGATGAGGACTGGGTGAAAGTGGAGTTTAGCCCTTGATACTATAAGCTCGATTTCTCCTATATAATGCTACGAATGAGTAGTGTTTCACAGCCAGAGGTGCAAAGTAGTGCCTCAAATAATTGAGCTACTTAATTGGTTCAATGTATTGCATACAGCCAAGCATAATGCAAGTGATTGGATGTGTCCGATCGAGGTTACGAGATGCATCAACTAAAGAGATTCTTACCTTGTTGGGCTTTAACGAGCACTTGTCAGCCGAGTCTGCCTCAATCGACGGGATACTTTAGGCGATATTCCACCCCTCAACACTAGTAGCAAAATACCGAGCATCCCAAAAATTAGCTATTAAACGTGTAGTATTCATTAGCGCTGGAGACTTCCGACAAGCGCCGATTTCGAGTATTGCGTCTAGCACCGATCGGGCCTAGTTCCCCAAAAGCCACAGGAGGCAGAGTAGATTCGGTGAAATGACACAAATGCTCATATTTTTGGAGATGCAATAATTTCAAAGTTTAGCTGGTTCATTTCTACAAAAATATGGCCAGTGGAGTGGTTTAAAGTGGCTGACGGAGCTCCTCGATGATTGACTGGTTCGTTTCTGGGGAAAGCTGAAAGCTTCCCTGTTATTTGCCCTCAGGGACCAACTTCTGCCTGAGGCCATCAACACTATTCTTGCGTGATGGCCGATCAGCTTCAGTCTTCCCATAAGGATCAAGTACAATGCAAGCTAGGCAACAGGGTGAAGGTGATGCCCGACTTGTTCTGAATCGATCGTCTTGTTGATCTCTCGCCTCGCTGATCCAGTTTCAAGGGTTATCAACCGAGGCCGGGGTTGATCGGATCGTGGCCCACTCTGCCCACAGTTTGGCCGCCAGTTCGCCAGTCGACAAATCCACTCAACTTTGGTGGGAGTTGCTCACTTGCTAAGTTGCTCACCACTCCCAAGCGGCTGAGCCCAGCCCGCTTATCCAATTTGTTTCTCTTTTTCCCATTTCTTAACTTCACCTTCCCCATCCCACGCGACTCTTCTCCAAACCCCGACTTGGCCTATCTTTGGGACAGTTTCACTCCTCATAAAAACTCTCTGTCTTCCATTGATCTCATCTTTTTCTTCCCTCACTGGGACGTCCATCCCGCCCAGTGTCTAAACCCCGCCACATCTCCCGCGCCGTCCTATCCCCCCCTCCTCCGTTAACCTTCCCCCCTCCTTCAGCCCCCCTTACCTCCGATTCTCGAGATTCTGAAGGCCCTGAATTCTATCAACCGCCCAAGATGGATCGGAACCTGGCGCGCGCGGTGACCGAAAAGAAGCCGGTCCCCGAGATCGATTTCACATTGCATACCATGGAGGATGGCACGCAGGTCTCCACGATGGAGCGGGTGGTCAAAGGTAAAGGCTTCATATCTCTCGGTTGATTCCGCCGCATCGCAACTCGATCGCTAACGCGGAGTTTGAGAAATTAGAGGTCCAAGCGCCGGCCCTGAGCACTCCCCCGGATGACATGTTTTGGTCCACCGAAGACCCGTCCAAGCCCAATCTCCAGTACCTGAAGCAGCATTTCTATCGCGAAGGCCGTTTGACCGAGGATCAGGCACTATGGATTATCCACGCCGGTACCGAGGTTCTACGGGCGGAGCCCAATCTTTTGGAGATGGATGCCCCGATTACTGTTTGTGGTGATGTGCACGGCCAATACTACGATCTGATGAAGCTGTTTGAGGTTGGCGGCGACCCCTCGGAGACGCGCTATCTATTCTTGGGTGATTACGTTGATCGCGGTTACTTCAGCATTGAGGTATGTTTCTTCACTAAGTCGGGGCGTTCTGGAGATCGCGTGGTGTCCAAGGCTAACCGTTGATGGTTGATTGCAGTGTGTTCTGTATCTTTGGGCTTTGAAGATCTGGTATCCCGACTCGCTTTGGCTGCTGCGGGGTAACCATGAATGTCGCCACTTGACGGACTACTTCACGTTCAAGCTGGAGTGTAAACACAAGTATAGCGAGCGGATCTACGAGGCGTGCATCGAATCCTTCTGTTCTCTGCCGCTGGCGGCGGTCATGAACAAGCAATTCCTCTGTATCCACGGTGGTCTCAGCCCGGAGCTGCACACTCTCGAGGACATTAAGGCCGTATGTGATCGATGGTGGCTCAGTTGATATAGTCGTGATTGGTGTCAGCTAACATGCAATGAATAGATCGATCGTTTCCGCGAACCCCCAACCCACGGTTTGATGTGTGATATTCTCTGGGCCGATCCTCTGGAAGAATTCGGCCAGGAAAAGACCGGCGATTTCTTCATTCACAACAGTGTTCGTGGCTGCTCTTATTTCTTCTCCTATCCCGCCGCATGCGCCTTCCTCGAGAAAAACAATCTGCTTTCGATCATTCGAGCCCATGAGGCTCAGGATGCCGGTTACCGTATGTACAGAAAGACACGGACAACCGGCTTCCCGAGTGTTATGACTATTTTCAGTGCTCCCAACTACCTCGATGTGTACAACAACAAGGCGGCTGTCCTGAAATACGAGAACAATGTTATGAACATCCGGCAATTCAACTGCACCCCGCACCCCTACTGGCTGCCGAACTTTATGGATGTCTTCACCTGGTCTCTGCCCTTCGTCGGTGAGAAGATTACCGATATGCTGATCGCCATTCTCAACACTTGCTCCAAGGAAGAGCTGGAGGAGGAGGACACCCCTGTGACCCTTTCCCCGAGTGGCCCTGCCTCTCCTCCCATGCCCATTGACACCGAGTCCACCGAGTTCAAGCGCCGGGCCATCAAGAACAAGATTCTTGCTATTGGCCGTCTGTCGCGTGTCTTCCAGGTTCTTCGTGAGCAGTCCGAGAGTGTCAGTGAATTGAAAACGGCAGCCGGTGGCCGTCTTCCGGCCGGTACCCTCATGCTGGGTGCCGAGGGTATCAAGCAGGCCATTCACAACTTTGAGGATGCCCGCAAGGTCGATTTGCAGAACGAGCGTCTGCCTCCTAGCCACGAGGAGGTTTACCAGAAGAGCGAGGCGGAGCACAAGGCAGCCATGCAGCGCGCTCAGCAGGAGGCTGACAATGATGCCGGGCTAGCGACCATTGCCAGGCGGATTTCCATGTAAGGAATCCCAGATCGTTACTGACTGCCACTGACGCAAAGACTAATCAATTTATCTCTTAGGTCCGCCGGCGCCGGTCGTAGTCGCCGCCAGCGCGATTCACGCGATTCCAACAAGGAGGCCTAGGAAACTGGCCGTGGGTTTAGTTTGAACTGATATAACGACACGATCTATGCATTTCCCTTCCCTCTTACCCCTCTCCAGCGCATGCCCTTTCTCCCTTCCTTCTGCCACGACATGATCGAGACGATACCCTGATCTATCTGCTTGATCCTACCACTTCGCCAGGCTATTCCGACATGTGTATGTGTGCCATAATACACGGTGCCTTCAGCATAGCTCCCGAACAATCTGTGCGATTAACCTGTCTTGGATTTTTTCAATGGACCGAGTAGATTTCCTTTCTGTAGCCAGGCTCAATGCAGGTCTCGGATCCAAGGCGCGAAAAAACAATATCATGTAATGATGGCCTAATTTTACCACACTTTGTTCCCTTCGTACATATCCGGTCCAAATATTCTATGTTGTACATACAGATGTAACTCATTGTAGATCCGCAATTAAACAGGGCTGTGGTGGCCGGTGGAGCACTGCCAAGCCCGAATACCTGCCTTCACTTCCCGACCTCATCCTCCCCATCCGCCCGCCAGGCCAGGCCAATCTCGCTGCGGACGCGCCCACAACCCTCAAATAGCGTCGCAATGCCCGCCAAACTGCGCAATGTGCTCCAACAGAGCCTATCGCGCTCTCTAGACAACACGAGTGTCTTCTACTGCCCGTCCTGTTCAACCTGGCGCCGAACGCTCTCGACACGTACAACCGGCAGCCCCAAAATCGAGACTGCGCGCCGAAATGCTCACCGTTTAGAGACAGTGCCGACGACTCGCACTCGACCTTTCACAACTTCCCCTGCGATCTCGGCGGGTAAAACGGTTCCGCCGCGGTTCAAGGAGCTGTATGATGCTTTGAGTGGAGTTAAGGATGCGGCTATTGAGCAGGTTAGCGTTAGTCGGTTGTCGCTTGCGCTGCGTGGATTGGAGTCGGAGGAGCCTTTGATTCGGGTTGCTGGTGAGTTGTTATGCTTTTGAGGAGTTCTGAGTCGGATTGGCTTTTTCATTGAGCTGAGTGGCTGATCCTTGCTTGTGTGTTTTAGTACTCGGATTGGATAATGCAGATGCTGCTCGCAAATTGGTTCGGTTGCTTTTTGCTGACCCCCTTGGGCCGCGTGAGAGTTGGGAGGATATACTGGAAGGCTACGACTCTGACCCTTCGAGGGGCCTGCTTATTCGGTATGTAGCAGCTTGTTGATCAGAATTATGCGGTCTACTAACCACCCGCCTGGATTTCTAGGTACGGCGAAGTCTCCGAGTCTATCCCAAATGATCTCCTCCCTACCATCACCATCCGCTCGCCTATCTTGAAAAAGGGCAATCTCGAAATCCTCGTCAGTTCTATCGGCTCCGAGCCAGACACATCCGGTGCGACATTATCTGCCGAGTCCTTCCTCGTGCCGAATGTTACTATTCAAACATCACACTCTGGGCGGCAAAATTTTGTGCGATATCCCGTGCACCGCAGTATTATCTGTGGCTCGGGAGTGGATGGCCTGCTTGCTTTCAGTACTTTGATGGGTCGGTCGAACCTCCAAAATGAGGTGGCATCAGTACGCGGCGCCATTGAGCTTTCCGTGGCAGATCAGAAACGTGACAGTGATCGCCTGTCATTTGTTGATATTGAGCGCGCAACTACGGCCTTGGATAAGATTCGCGAGTCCGTTCAAAACGCCTCTGAATATGAGCGTGGATGGAATGGTAGCGGTGTTCAGCCTGTTATTGATTGGCTGTCAACGACTTCTCAAGCAGTGAATGAAGAGGCTTTGAATCCTGCTCTAGCTCCACTCATCGAGTCGTTGCTTGATGCAGCAGAGAAGGGCGTCGTGATTCGAGATGCCGAGGCGATTCAGAACCAGACAGGGAGTGTGACCCCTCCAGAGGTCCGCTCTCAACTTGAGAATGGAATCAGTACATGGGCCGAGCAAGCACACTCTGAGCTACGCAGCTCTCTAGAAGCGGGCTTTGCTAGTCCACGCTGGCGAGGCCTAGCATGGTGGAAGCTCTTCTGGCGCGTTGACGACGTGAGCATGATCACATCCGAGATTCTGAGTCAACGATTCCTCCGCCGCGCAGAGCGCGAAGTCATCTGGACGTCCGGGAAATACCAGCAGGCTGGCCTGCTGGAGGATGCTACCCCTTCTACCGCTCCCGAATCCACGTTCGACACGGCCCCTGCCAAGTCGACTCCGCCTCCCTGGCCTACCCAGATCCCCGACATGCGCAACAAGCTACTCGCCACGACCGTTCCCTCCCTTCAGGCTCTCGCGCAGAGCCTCGTCCTCTTCAGCGTTTCCACCACCACGCTGACCTCCGCTCTCTCCGCTCTCACATACGTCTCCGTACCCTCGGCTTCGGTCTATGAATCATGTACCCTGGCTGCAGTTGGTCTCATCTACTCGCTGCGCCGCCAGCAGAAGAAGTGGGATGTTGCAAGAGACTTCTGGGAGGAAGAAGTTCGCGATGAGGGCCGCACAGCACTGCTGGAGACTGAGGCGCTCCTGCGTAAGATTGTGCGCGATGGTGGAAAGGAGCTGGAAGACTTGTCTGATCACCGGACGCGTGAGATGATCACCCGTGCCCGAAAAGCTCTTGAGAGTGCCCGGGCTTGAATATGTCGCGGGATATGTGCAATGATCCCAGGCTATGTATATTTATCTGTGATTTTAGGTTAGACGTCGCCCTAGATGTACAATCTACTACTCTGCTATGTGCCATGCCGTGACTTGGGTTCTAGCTTGCGCAATGATTTTTATCCTTGTCTACTCGTAATGGACGCTTAGAGGGATTGTACTAACGGAGAACAAGGTCTGGACGGTCGATTCTATTTTCCACTATCAACAAATTTCGTACTTGCGGTGATCATACTTTCTCTTCCCCTTCATCCACATCTCTTGTCTGACTTTTCCTTATATCCAACTGCGAGTAATGAATAACGCCAGCACTAGCAATCATAAACCCAACAAACTGCACCAAATTAATCGTCTCCCCCCAAAAATGCGTCGACACAACCATAGTAAGTACAGCCTTCGGAATCCCACAAACCGTCAACGTAAGGGAAGACGTGTGCCTAATAAGAAAAATAGCAGAGGCATTCAACATAAACGCAACACTGCAATTCCAAAACAAGATCCACCCTCCCCATACTTCAATACTCTCGAAGATAGTCCTCGGACCTTCAACAGCCGCTGCAGCCATAAGACAGAAAATCATGCACACAGGTGCGAAGTGGTAAAGTGCTGTCAGGGGATCCATCTTTATCCCCGATGGACTAAGGAGAACCTCGGAGAGAGCGAGTCGGATTGCTTCGCAGACGATGCCGGCACATTGGATTATTATTCCGAGGATGTTGAATTGCATTTCTCCGTATGAGGAGACGAAGACGCCGGCACATATGACGCAGATCGTGGCGAAGATGGAGAGATTGATTCGGTAGAGTCTGAAGGCGCCGCCTACGAGGAGCATGATGACGGGACCAATTGACTGTTCTCCCGTTGAAGTTAGCTATCTGACTCTTCCACGGAATTGAGAAGCGTTCGCAACACGGACCTTGAACATTTGAATAAACGAAACGCTTAAGAAAGTATAAGCTGCATTATTGAGAACGAGATTTAAACTGAAGCTCAGCCCGATAGGTAATATTGAATAAACGAAGAGGCGACCATCTATAGCGGCTGATTTGTTGAGGTCGATTAATTTCGTCGTGTATGCGAGGATTTGGGTGACGACTGTTGAGAAGAAAAGATGCCAGAAGGTGAGAACTGTGGGGAAGGCTCCTTGGATCAAAAGAGCTTTATTGAATATGATCACAGCTGAACTGAGAGAGATCCATAATCTAGGAAACTTTGAGTTAGAGAGGACAAGTTCATTTGTTGTGGGAGATACGTACATGCAGTAGAAGGCAGTGGTAGCGCCTTCTTTCATAGATGTCATTGTGTTTCAAGATTGACGATTATTCATATGTAAGTCCGATATGAAACCAACGATTATAAAATATCCATGAGGAATAAGAACGGATCTAACCGGGTATTTGAGCGCTGGGGTGTGATTAATAAAAAGAAAAACAAATGTCTCACTCGAGGAGGTTCTGACGGCCCCCAGGCTAAGCCTCAACTCTTCAGAACGGTATGTCATAACATCCATGGACGTGTCAAGAAGCATGTAAGCGCCAAGAAACGTTCAAACTCCAGAGTCTATGGATGTACTGCCTTTCACCGATTAATACACCGAGATTGACGTGCAACGCTCCGCTCATCGTATACACGTGGAAACTTGGCAAACCCTTTTTTGGTTCATAGTTGTTCCCCACACTTGCTATTTAGAGCGTAACCTAATTTTGTTCAAGACATTCAAGATGTTCTGAGACATTTGTGTGCTTTACTCGCGCTAGTAACTAAATGACTCGATAAATACCGGTATTTCATTTGAATGGATGTTATCATCTATAAGATCAAAATTTCGATATGACTGTGGATAGTGCGATGGGGATGCCCCATTGGCAGGGGGAAGAAGAGCGAGATGTGAAGGTGAAGCTAGTGGAGAAGTTGACGGAAACTCTTCTAGCTAGATCACAATACGGTCTGCAAATGATATACATGGTATTTCCAGCCAAGACGGAGTAAGTATACCAGCAGCTACTGTACGTTAGGCTACCAACGAGTCTTATGTCGGCCACGAAAGTGTCCGGTACACCGATCGATCACTTGCTTTGGCCCCATTTGGCCCTCTTGTTTAGCCCCAATAAGTCCCAATTCGATCTGTTACCACCCCCTCGGAAATAATCTGCGCGTAATTCCGGAAGAGAAACCTGTAATATTAATATTTCCGTTGTAATACGCTGATCGCAGCGTATGTACAATCAAAGACTGAGTTCCTTGCCGTTCAATAGCACTCAAAGATTTGAGAGGATATTGGGCCCGAAATTGACGAGGAGAAATGTGAAACATGTGGGGTGACGATCGTGGTCAAGATACATGCCGTTCTTGCTTGCATTTACTTGATAACTGATGAGTCCCCAGCTACCCTCTTCACCCACTTTAGCCAAGTGCCCAGATCAAAGGTGCCGTCACTCAAGTCTCTGATATTGCCGACAAATTTGAAAACCAAAGTCATCAACAGGCTCATTCTTGTCGGTATATTTAACGAGACACGGATCGGCCCCATAGTTGTTCGTTTCATATCTGGCCAGCCTTGCCCCATGCTCTTCTGTCTCGTCATGATAGACAGCCCCATGAACAACCTTTCCTGGGGCGTCTAGGAGAGCTGGATACTGGCCCCATAGCTTGCATTCGTAGCCTGTAATGGTGGCAGGTCGATGCTTTGACTCGGTGTTCAAGCCAAGGACATCGCGGAGCATGGCGGGATCAGATAGAGTGCCGTAGAAGAAGTAAGGACCGGTGGGCGCAGCAAATGGATCTCCATAAGGCGGTGCCCTTTCAGGCTGGAAGAAATACCCAGGGGGAGCAGACCTCAGCTTCACGACAACCGGGGACTTTCGAGGTTGGATCTGCGGGCGAGGGAGGTGGAGGAAGAGGGGGAGGAGCAGAGCCAGCGGCTCCTTCGTCTCCTTGATTGACAGGCATTTCTTCAGCTAACAGCGAACAAGATGTCTACACGGCGAAAGTGACAACAGATTGAAGAATGAAACTTCGATAGAAGTTAGGCTCTTCGAACAAGAGGGTTTAGTGTTATTTGATTCTCAATAATGAGCCTCGCGGTTCGGGATAACAAGAATCGAGGGATTATGATTGGGGAAGACAATACTGGCCCTCTGTTTTGGTGCTTATCTTTGACATTATTTTCACCCTCGTGCAACTACCAGCAATGGAAGACCATGCGGCTTCGTTTTGCTTTTAAAAATGTCCATTGGGCTTTGTTATAGCTCAACTCAAGGAAAAAAGGCATCTACTTCCAAGTGTTGCCAGCGTTGCTTGGGAGGAGCCGACCTGCAACTGCGAACTCTTCACCAGTCTTCTGTGATCCCTACAGAGTATACAAAAATCCTGGCACATCGGCAATGATCCTATTGCCTGCCTTAACCTGCCTGTTAACTAGCCAGAAATACAGTGTCAAGCTCACTGTAACGACCATGAGCAGCACGTTAGACCTATGCTACATTAGCATCAAGTTCAATGGACAAGGACAACAACGAAACCTGTACTTACACGATAGCGGCATATATTCCGGGTAAATACTTGGGGGCATCCTGCGAGCGAAACACCAAGGATCCAATGATGCCTCCCAGTCCACCCATTGCCACTAGCACTGCACTGCAGAATGTTCGCACCCAATGGCCGCGAATGTTGTTGGCTTGCCAAGACATGACAGCCGGAATATTCGCATTACAGCCAGACGTAACGAGGAATACTCCAAAGAGCCGCACTCCGGATATGTGCGTCCATGACAAAAGGCAGAGTCCCAAAATAGTTTGCATAGCGTTGTAAAGCAGAGCAGGACTTCGTGCTTGCAACTTGTCACATACCCAGCCTTCGATGCACATGAGAATGCCGGCAAATACATATGGCGGAGTGGTTAGAAGCTGTGAGACACCAACGCTGTAACCAAGCTCGCGGTTTAGGATTTCGGGTAAAAAATAGGCCACGGCGTAGGCAGTGGTTGTTGAAAACCTTCCAGTCCAGCTCATTAGCCAAAATATCCCCCCTCTAGACAATGAGGAACGGGAGGAGCTCACGTATAAAGAAGGCCGTATGACCAGACAGTCAAATCCAGGGCTGGCTTGATAAAGTTGGACCATTGAAATTTCTGATCTACCTCTGTATCCTGTCGATCCTTTTCGACCCGGTCAAGGACAATAGATATCTGGCGCTCTGTCAGGAAACCTGAACCATCCTTCAGGTCTTGCGGATAGCCAATTAAGAAGAAGATCGAAAGAGCACCGATAACAACTGTGAGAATGCCTTCCATTATGAAGATCCACCTCCACGCAGCGAGGCCTCCCAGGCCTGCCATCTGCATGAACGCAAATGCGAGGATGCCGCCGAGGGCTGATCCAACGAGGCCGATAAAGTAAAAAGCGGAATATCGCTTGTGGATTTCATCTGTAAAGTGTAAGAGGAGTTCTTTCCACAAGATACTGAAAACTTACACCGGGTGTACCACAACGACATGAGGTAGATTAAACCTGGGAAGAGGGCTGCCTCGAGTATTCCCAGCAGGATACGCAACGCCACGAGCACTGTCCAGTGATGGGCAAACCCGAACCCCTTTCTGAGAGTAAGAAGACATCGGCAAAGTTTCAGTGTAGAGACATACCAGGACTACAAGGCCCCAAGCAAGTGTTACAGCCGGTAACGTTCGTCGGGGACCGAGGATACGTACTCCAGCTGCTGCCGGAATCTCTGCTAGGACATATGGTGCAAAGAATATGAGAACAATAAGAGACTATCCAAGAGCTGTTAGATAATATCAAGCCTTTCGGCATGAGCCGGTAGTCAACTTACATATCGCGTTCCAATCCCCAAGTGTAACTCCTTCGACATTCTGTGGTATGTTAGTCATGCCTCATGTAATAGTCAACTCTTCATCCACACACCCAGCAATGTTTGCATTGGACAGGTTTGCCCTGTCCAGGAGACAAATTGCAACCAATAATCCGCTCATGGGGATCAGTCGTCTATCAACCTTGCGGATGATCTTGCGAATCTCATTCTCGCTGAACTGTTCTTCATCTGGCCGCTCTTGCTCGATGGCCTCAGCCTTCTCTGCAAAGCTAACATCATCCCTGTGAGAATTAACGTGTTTGACAGAAGAAGACATGATGCAAAAAGCTGCTAAACTTGACACGATGAGGATCAGGTTTGGGAAACTCTGAGGTGGCCAGCGATCTGATTATATGCCCCGCGCCTGGGTAACCTTCAAGGGATGGCGAATGCGGAGGTTGTACGCCACATCCCCATGATCAATCTCCACCGAGTCTTGGTCATTCGTTTAACGAAAACCCGGGCAGAAATAGCTCTATCTCCCCCGCACTACCGTTAAAGAGGCGGGAGTCACTGACTTACCAAAGGGAAGGTAGACTGCCGAGCACTACCGAGCACTACCGAATGCCGGCCGCACCAAATTCTACCAGCAGAACTGTGATTATCTGACATGTTGTTCCGAGAGGTTTCCATGGATACAAAGCCACTAAGATGTCAAAATTCACATCAAACTATCCTGTACTCGGTCAAAGCTACTCTTCTTGTGGTGAAATTGCATTCTTAAAACTAGTGCCGCATCATGACAACATGCTGGGCCAACCCGTAAATGTAGATATATCGGCAAACTCTTCCAATATCCAGCCCAGATCCTCATTTATATCAGGTGGAGGACTTGCGACCGACCGCATATCACCCAATTGGTCAAGCAGCTCCAATCTGGGAGACAGCGACAGCGGAAATGGAAATAGGTCGCGAAAAGCCAGCACACTGTGCAATTCCCCATTAAGGTTATGCTTCCTCCATTCTCGAGATGTGGATGCCGGGTGTACCGGATGATCCTGAGCGCGTAGTCTATTGATGGTGTTTAACATTGTTTCGGCACCGGGTATCTTGATCATGAATTGCCCGAGAGCGGAAACCAGTTTGTCTAGAGCATCCGAGCACGCTCGACGATCAGCTTCTGACAGCCCCTCGGCAGCATTGTACAGAAGCTGTGGCATGGCGGCCAACATGAACAGCCACATGTGCACGGTGAGCAGATAGTTGACATCATCACGGATGTCTAGCTCGTGATACAGCCTGACCATGCAAGATGATGCGACGAGGGATATTATATTCGGAACTGAGTTAATGTCCGAGTCATTGAAAGAATATAAGAAGGTGATGATGGTGGCAAAGTAGAGTATATATAGTTCGTGGATGCCATGGTGGTAAGGTCGTTGCTTGTCACCGTCGAACAAGCGGGCCTCCAGTGGCAGAGTGTCAACCCAATTCCTGAGTGAATAATAAATGTCTTTCTGCTGTGGCCAGAAGGTCAGAAAACTTTCAAGTCTAGGTTTTTGGGCAAGAATACGTACTTGATTGTCAGCCAGATCAGACGGGCGACTTCGTAGGTCTAAGATCCGACCAAGAATGAGTGCGAGTTTTGTACGTTCTATAAAGAGTAATGCCTGGATATTCGCGATTTCGAAATCCTCAAGAGTCACAGGTTGCACATCAAACTCATTTTCTTTAAGAGCAGTTGGACGGCCAAGACTGGCCGAGGCGAGCTTGTCTAGGGTCTATTTGGTAACATGTAAGCATTTGACCTCGCATCTTCATTGGGGCAACTCACAAAGAAGCACCATGCAATGCGTCGTGCGGTGCCGGGCTTCAGAATTTTTGCACACACAGCCTCTTTATGTAGACCTATTTGCTGCAGTGTGCGTATAGCAATGCCAAGCCAATACCATGAACAATCTGAATGGCAGACTACCGGTCCGACCACGTTGCGGGTGGATAATAGTGCCAGCACTTTCAGGTTTGTAATCGGATCTTGTGCAAAGCTATTGTGCATAAGTGTCTTGGTCTTGAAGTAATACATGTCGTTGTCTTCAAGTATATTTGGTCCCTTTGGGTATCGCATCATGGCCCCTATCATGCAAATAGCTTGCTGGATGGCTATGTGCGGTGTCTCGACATCCACATCCGCGCGATCGAAGACAGGTATCCGATAGAAGACGTGATCAAAGTAGAGATCAGCTGAAGCATTGAATAGGATCCTTGGTGGCGCTTCGGCAGCACCGGTCATTCTGATGATCTCCTGCGCCATATTGGTTGAAAAGGCAGAGGTTCTGGCGAGGCCAGAGGGCAGCGACGGCGGGCCACTTATGACGCTGACGATGCCCCCTATATACTGTCTATGCAGTTGGCTGTGGCTCACAGCAGATACGACATGATTATCAATCTGTTGATTCTCTGCATTTTCACCTGGTGTCGGCGGCAGGCAAGGGTTCTGTGGCGGAGATTCATTGGACTCTGGAGGTGTTGCGGCCTGCCCCTTAGTGTACTTTTCGCCAACGTTGACCCTCCTACTAGTACGAAGTCTGCAAAATATTGTCAGATATATCAGCGGAGGTTCAGTGAGGCCGCTTACTCGCAGGTAAGCCCATATTTTTGACAGTTTGAGCACGTCCCCTTCACCCGGCTCTGCAGGTCACACTTGACCTTGCGAGCATGACAGTGGCGACAGACTACCTTTGCACGGCCTCGAACACCACTCCTGAACCTATGATTGATTTCCATGGTGTACAGTAATATCACCCTCTATCGTTGTCATAAATTGGATTGTAACCAACAAAGATTGAGCTTTGGCGTGTCTCAAACTTAACAGTGAGAGGGGGAGTAGTGGAGACTGTAGTGGAGATCTTACCGAGGCAGCGTGAGGCTGGTACGTATTGATTGGTCCACACTGACACCATTGTCTCAACAACGGTCTCTGCATTTTTCGTAGAAGTCACTCGATATGGCAGTCAATGCTTAAATATTTGAATGGATTCCATGGGACGTTGCTCTTTGGTTACAATCGAGGGGACTACTGATGCATCAGTTGGAGGCCTATTTGGCGCTTGCAGTTGAAGACTTAAAGGTTATTGTAGGGCTAAGTACTTTTATCTGGTGGTGAAGGCTGGCATGATTTGGAACTCTAGGTAATCATTGGAATACTCTGTTGCGCTAGGCTGACTTTGATATCATAGGCGTGTGCTCATGCGACGTTCTGGTGTAATGGCGTCAATAACTGTGACCTCGGGATACTGATAAGTTCCATCCACCATTTCAACAGCCGGCGCAAACACACGAAGGTTAAAGCTGATGAGACCACCTCCAGCAGGTGCGGGAAGCCAGTTGTTTATATACTTGGCAGGCGGCACGACATCATCAGGCTGCACCAAGATCTCAAATTTGCCGTCTGCGCGATCCCTAAGCGATGTTCCATCGGGATAATCAAGGTTACTACGATCGCCCAGGGAGTATCTGTCGAGCTGATTTGCAACGAGCAATTGAGCGCTGTTGTAGATTGTCAGGCTCCAAAACCCAGAGTGATTCGTTCTGGGTTTTCCCGAGAAGCTGAACAAGATGGCTTGTTTCGGACCGATATGGCAGGCCGAGCCGATACCGTCCGGGCTTTGTGACTTTGGATACCATGATGGATAAATAGACTGATCTGCTGTTGGCTGGAGGTAGCCTCGCATAGCCACAAGATGTCTTGCTGAATAGAAGGAGTGAAAGTCTCCGCTGATCAGGGAAGAGCTGAAAGTCCAGCCGTTACCCAAGGGCTTCATCATCCCAGCACTGAGTACTGTTGCCTGGACTGATTTGTTTGCAGCCGCAACGGCGTCCTCGAGTGAGGTGCCGGGTGGCTGGTTGAACTTTCCGTTCTTGATGCCAGCCTTTTCGAGAGTTGTGGCAATCCATGATCGATCCTGGACGACTTCGGACGGGTTGATTTGCGCCAATGCTGCCGTCAGCCGGAGGACCTGTTCGGCTTCGGAGACGGGGCCGTCTGTGGACTGAGCGACCTCCACGAAAATGTTCCTGTCAAAGACTGGAGCGAGAGCACCAGAACTGCGCTTCGCGGTGATAACTTTCATGGCATCCTGGAACCCATTCACCATTTTCTTGTCCTCGTCATCGAAGACAACGAGTCTAGCGAGGAAAATGCCATACGGGGTTGGGGAGTTGATGGTACCCAGATACTCGCTATTGGCACCGTCTTTACGAACCCCATATTGCAGATTTTCAGGGTCATAGCTTAGCAGATACTTTCCAGGCTTGTCAAAGGTCTGACTGCCGACATTGGCAAAGTTATTCGCGTACCTAAATGCTATGTAAGCGGCATTCGTGTGTATTTAGACAGTGACACTTACATGTCATAGTAGGAGAAAGCCCAGTAGCGATCGACAATCTCAGGAACATGGAAGCAGAGATCTGACTGCGACAAGTCATAAAAGATGAAAGAGTACAAGGTGTCGTTGTTGGGGCGGACTACTTTGGTGAAGTCGGCCTTGATTAGATCACGCTGGTGGTAAAAGGCGTTGTTTGGCGTGTCAATGTGCGCCTTGGTGAAACGGCCATAGGCGTAGAGTGGAAATCCATACTTTATTTGTGCAATTAGAGAACTGATAGTTCAGCGGCGATTGAAGGGAGATTTACCTGGTAGGCAAAAGCGAGGGCATCCTGACGCTCAGCGTTGACAGAGGGGAAGTTGTTGGACGTGCTGGTATCCATTTCTGTGATTCAAAGTAATGAATGATTTATGATGATATTGTTTATTCTCGAAAAATTAATTGACTTTGGGAGCTAAGGGAAATGGTCTATTATATTTGACTTGTACGATACTGATATTGGAATTCCCAAAGAAGCAATGCCGAGTGCCGAATGCCGACGGAAGCTATTCTCCCTGGGTCTGATGGCGTAAACGGAACATAACCCACCGAGGCTCCATGAGCATGTAACAATGTTGCCATCTCCTCTCATGATTACGGATAAACCACTTTCAATTGCGGGGTCACGACAACTGTAGACTTCGGTTCGTTGAACGTGGCTGCAGGTCGATGCACTACCGAAAGATATGACCTCGGCCCCTAGGGTTCATTTAACGCGGTGCAAACTATGCTCCGTCTATCACCATTTGGTCGATGGAAATAAAGATATTCAACATCTTCTTCATTTTTTTCTTTCTGGCGAGGATAAAGCTTGCACTACGCTATGTATTGACTAGGGCACGCTGGAAGCTTTGGGAATCAATTCACAATCTCCCGATTTCACACCTTGAAAAACTTCAATATCATTGCTTTTTTTCTCGAAGGCTTCTCTCTGTCTGTGTTTGATGAGCGATTCCGCATAAGTAGCAATATACCATAAAACAGTAAAAAACATATGGTTTTTATTTGCCGACAGCTAGCGAAGATTCACCCATAATACCAAAATATTTGCCTATATCGATTGTCTTGCGGTTGGCTCTTCTAAAAACTTCTTAAGTAGTTCCCTGGGTGTTCCTCCTATCTTACCTACACCATGATTAAGTAAGGTGAATTCTTGCGCCTGGAATACAACGTCATGTTTGGCTTAGACGACCGTGTTAAGAAGCACCACTAGATTTTGATTACTGGGACACTGTACTAAGCATCCCCCCACGTCCCCTGGGCAATTTTTGGGAGGAATTGCAGATTCTATGACGGGTTGTATTGTATTGGTGTACCAGATATAGATTGAACTCACCGAGGCTGATTATTGAGACATACATCTGAGATATAAATAAATTCATCATCGTCGGTCCGCTAAAATTAACACATGTGACATGATTTGCTAGAGGCTCTCCAGAAGACGAATTCTACCCAGCACCTCTATCAGATGATCTCGCATTGAGGAGAAGCTCAATGAAGTGCTCATCGATGCTTTACGTACACGTAGAACTTGGCGAAATCCTTCTTGCTCCACAAATTTCCCCCACGTTGGCTATTTAGAACGTAACCTTAAATTTGTTCAAGACATTCTGAAACCTTGGGATATTTTACTGGCGCTAGTATCAAATGGGCCTAGGGAAATACCGATAACTCGTCTGAATACTACAGTACCACCGCTAAGGACAGTGAGATGATAGATTGCGCGCGTGTGAAATGGATTTCTTTCTACGTAGAAAATGTAGAAAGGGGGCAGGGTGATAGCGAGAAATCAATTCCCGATTAAGCCCCATGTTCTTGGCTTTAAAACAATAAATACTATGTAAAATTGATCTAGTCATATAACACATCCTGAACGATCCATGATGATCCGGACTTAGATATGACTGATAAGTCCGAGGGAAATGCAACATAATGGGACGTGAGAAGGCGGCGAGGAGAGAATTAATGAGATACAAACTCTTCTGGCTTAAGCATAGGATAGTGTGGGAATGAGATATGATGGAGGAACCCTGAGTATGAAGAAGTTGTTATAGTATCAGCCAACTATATGACTGGCTCTGTATTGTTTTACCCGTAATATCAGGGTCAACTTTGCCAAAAGAAGTACTCAAACCAGCCAGCTTCCCTCAATACAGTACCGTCTAATCTGACACTACTGACAGGCGTACAGATCGGTTACAACTTACGGTAGTGTTCAGTAGATCTCTTCATTTGGCCCCATCTGGCCTTAATCAGACCCAGTGAGCCACCGAAGTAACTACGTAGCCTAGATTTCCCAGCATTGGCTTAGCCTCAAGGATGAAGGGTTAGATTTGCAATTCATTCATACTAATTAAACTCGGGTTTAGGTCATGGAATGCCAAGTAGATGTATCCCGTTTTCTAACCATTCATAAGGTGGTCATTTTTAAATACCAACATTTCGTTATTTCATTTCGAGAGTGCTGTTTCTGACGGGCTACCTGACGGACCCTGACGCTTTCCCTTTCTGAAGCGGAACAAATATCATCAAGCCACCAGCCACCAGGTGAAGTGATCTAGCCAACGGCACCGAGGATGCTCCGGGCCTCCGACTGGTCTTGGCGACGCCAAGGGAAGACACGTAACTATCTACAACTCCGCCGCGAACTCGCGATCAAAAAGTTTAAACAATTTAACAGTAGCACAAGGTTAAACAACCTTCACGGATATCGGTAAAAGCCGATCTATCTTCCAGTTTAGGCAGCTGACAGATCCACAATATGGTCGAGGAATGGACTCAATCGAGGATAGATCTATGCCTCTATTTACCTCTATAATTTATGACTCTCATCACTAGTTACGATAAAATAATTCCGACCGGCTTGATATGGGGTTTTTAATTCGGATATCAGTAGCAAACGGTGTTTCTACTCTTATAGAAGCTGCACGCATCCACAAATCAAGAGAATGCCAAATTCATTGACAATTGAAGCATTTCTATTCCGCCTTAGGAGGTTTTAAGACACGGAGTTCTGAACGGATTGCCAAGAAACTCGCGTGATTGCTGTGCCCTCTAGCGCACATTTAATCTCACCAATGACCAATCAGTACTCCGGAATCGGCTCGTGCTTATCACTTCCGTCTTCCGTACAGTAAAATTGCTTCTCCTGCGTGTAATTCAGAGTTCTTTTGCTTTCTTCGCAAGGCCGTTCGGCTCTAGTTACTCAGGTCATTAACTCTATTAATTACTGAACTAGGACAACCTGACTTAGGCATAAACAGACAGAGCTTAAGATGAACATGCAGTTTTTATACGGAGCTTTTGTAGTAGTCTTCCGGAAAAGCCAAGACCAGGACCCTTATCAAGGCGGTATCAAAACCCCAAACTATAATTAACCCAGGGTCCCGTAAATACGAGTAAAGTACATAGGGTCAGCCCCGCAGGGAAAAGGAGAAGAAGTGTGGCTTTGCTAAAAACCGACCTGTTAGTAAGTTCGTCATTTGAACCTGAAGGATTATTTCAGGGTCCACAAAATACCCGATTCTGGTTACTTTCTCACCAGGCCACCCATGATTCCTCCACTTGCACTGCTCGCTTGAAAATACTAGTGGAAGAGCCTTCCGGAATCCCGGTAAACGGGTATTAGTGACGATACCGCTAATTTCTCACCCTTTTTGTACTATTTGCTGAAAGATGATTGACTATACGTGCCCAAGTCTGGTGGTCCGAATGCTATTCTAGCCTTGTTCGCTCCTGAGCTGAGACACTGTCTGAGGAGACTTTGGGGTTTCCAGTAATGGGGCGAAATAGTGGGTACGGAGACATGACAATCAAAAGGACCTCGATCGCCTCTGTTTCTTGGATCTCGTTTTCTTTGGCGGGTTAACCTCTCTTTGCCTATCTGTGCAAGATGTGGTCATCAACGAAACGACCTTGGCCTCTGGCCGCTCTGATCTTCACTCTTTTCTGCTTGGCCATGATCTGGATGGGATCTTATCGGCCTAGCTTCCCTCATCCGCCCAGCGTGGAACCGAGCAGCACGGTGGAATGGAGCAGCACGGTGGAATGGACTAACGCGGTGGAATCGAGCATTGTGGGATCGAGCAGCGCGACACCGAGCGTGGTACCGAGCAACTTGGAACAGCACGTTGTGGAATTGAGCGACAACAAGACCAGTAATTCGACGCTAGGATTTGAAAAGATCTTTTTCATCAGCTTACCACAGTCCGTCCATCCGGTCCCTTTCTGCATCAACTGACCCCTGACTTTTGAACTTGAAATTCAGACGCCTAGATCGTCACGATGCAATCACCCTGATTAGCTCAATGACTGGAGTGACGCCGACACTTGAGCCGGGAGTAAGGCGCCCATACCTACCCCATACTCTGTCTTGCCGTTGGAATTGAACTGATCTAGTTTTCGCGACTTACTAGGTCAATGGCAGTTTATTACAGGAGAAGGTAAAGCCAGAAGGCAGCGGAAACCTTCGACCTGAGCAGCTGGGATGCTGGCGGGCACATGCGAACGTTTGGAAGCGGATGCTTGACGAAAACATCGAATCGGCAATGGTTATCGAGGACGACGTGGATTGGGATATTAATGTCCGCGACATTTTCGCCGACATGAGCCACCAGCTTGCTCAGCAGACTTTGTTCCCGAATTTAGTGCCGCAGCCGGACGCTCCATACGGTAAGAGGGTCTAACGACAAATTTTTACTATGCCATATTGACTTTTTGCCGACTACAGGTCGTGATTGGGATCTATTGTATGTTGGTTCTGCTTGGGACATCCCGAATAACGACAATCGTCCACCTCATCTTCTTTATCACGACCCGAATGCGCCTACGCGTGAGAATACCGGCGGCTCTTATATCGGCGAACTCGAGGGATGGGGTGCGAAAGTGACGGAAAATACTCGACACCGCTTGATTGCGCCTTCCTGGTACCCTGTATCCACGATAGGATACGCAGTCACGAAGAAAGGAGCACAGAAGCTACTATACAACCTCGGGGGATATAAGGGACTTTCGGCACCAGTCGATTTGGCCATGATAGGACTTCTGCAAAAAGGCGTCGTGGACTCATATACGATCATCCCTCCGATAATCACGCGGTACCGAACAGGAGGATCGCGGGATAGCGATATTGATGAAGTCAAACCAGAAGATGCCGAGGCGAAGACGGGATCTGAGAATTTGAATATGGGCGCCAGGAAGGCGATGGAAAAACTTCAAGAAAAATCACCTCATTAATTGCCAAGTTCAAACTCAGTTGAAACTTGCCGGTTCAAGGATTACAGATACTATTTACAAATATACCCACTATTGCACAGTTCAGACAAACATTTCTTGATCGAAGTCTGGCGTCCCCAGGGCACAAGAGGATACACATGAAGGGACCTGTCGTGCAGCCCCTGTCTGCCTGGTTGGATGCCGATTACCCACCAGGAAGCCGCAGCTGGTAGCTGCAGGACCCGCCATACCAAGGTGCACATTGCGGCATACAAAGCCTGCTCACATATAGCCATTATTGGCCATTCGGGTCTCAGGAGAATCTTGCTTGCCTATCAAGCTCTCATCCACGTGGTATGATGGCCATGGTAGGGGAGGCGAACTAGAATGCTCAAAGTTGATGGGATCGAGATGTACAACGGGGTATTTCCATATCTCCCTCGCAATCGCCCAAGTCCATCTGGGCCTTCGATCGGAACAGCAGTCTTAATCGAATACATGGTTTCCTGCAAATCAGTTGTAGCACATTGACAAGCCCATCCCGTGAAGAGAAGATGTTTGTTTTGTAGATCGAATAAACATATCGGATGGGCAAAAGTACTGCACTAGTGGCACTGACTGTGTCTACTCTCATTAGCTAACTCAGTTAACTTGCCTGATCACTAAGCAAATCCTGCAGCCCTACTGCTAAATTTTTGCAATCTCTCCAGTATGTCATAGATATGGCGAGTAATGAACAGACGGGATCAGACTATAGTCATCCCGATATTGACAACTTACCAACAGGGCCCACACTCGGCAATGATGGCAAGGACTAAGGTTTGTCACCTTTCTTGGTCTCAATAATTGGACACAACATTCTGCGTACTCAGTTCCCACACGTCAATATCAATATAGGGTGGAGATTACTTGCGCGGCATAGGAGAGGACTGAGCGCTTCTGACGTGCCGAAGGTAGATGAGGCTTCTGCCATGGCGTCCGGCAAGAAAAGGCCACTCAAGGACGAAGTTCACCCAAGTTTCCAAATAGATGTTTAAACTTCGTGCATGTGAGGTTAAAATACGCCTAGGTTGGCCCTAGTCACGCCTGATATAACAGCCTCAAAGCCCATCCAAGCTGTATTTCTGCCTCAGGCACTATAAAGGCGCTTCTTATCACCTAGTACCCCCACTACAGCACTAGGTGCACTAGCAACCGAGTAAACTATGATATAACACCCGGTAATGAGAACATATGACCAGCCAACACGAGGCATCCATAACATTGACCAATTTCCGGAAAATCTACGAATGATTTGCTGCGCCCTCATACTCCATAAGCAGTTTAATTTTCCTTTCCCGAAATCTCAAACACCTCCCCTCGTTGGTCCATTAGCGGTTTCATCATGCGCCTAGCCACCCAATCCGCGGGCGTAGCGTGGGGCTCCCGAGACGATGAAGGCCCAACTAGCAGGTTATTATGATTAGCTCAGGAATAGGACGGTTCGTTTCAACGTCTCACCAGCACAAACGGTGGAACAATCATTGTTTAGTAAGGAGTTTTGATGTTCTGATTCCTCAGTTGGCTGAGCATGTTGTCCCTCTTTCTTCGAGTCCCGTTAGAAGAGCCCACTCTTAGTGTCCGCTGGGTTACCCCTGGTGTCCACGTTGGAGTCTACGTACTTTTCCCCTTCAAGAATGGAGGCCGCTTTTCTGCGCTGCTATTGCATGCTATCGCACGTTCTTAGCACTGTTAGTTGCATCGTGAGATCCGCTGTATCGCCCCCGTAGTACGCTACTCACTTCCACTCTCGACAATTCTTCCCGGGCGGGCGTCGTCAAAGGGTCATAGAGGGGCGGAGGGGAGGGAGGGGGGTTTAATATCTGATTATCAACGGGATTGGCCAAGTCATTTTAACCCGCAAAGGACGGTGCAATGAAGGAGAGCGGGGGGCTTGGAGTGATGGGCGTTTCTTATCATGATGCCCCTGGTTTGAATCTTGGACTACGGAGTACTTGATCTCCTTGTGCTGCTCTTCTCGTCTAGTTTGGAGTTTCTCTTTGGTACTGTTCCGGTCACATTCTCTTCTAGCCCTATCTTGGCTATCACACTCGTTCATTCACTGCCCACTAGGCTTTTGGTCTCTCCTTTTCTTATTAAGTATTTTCCTTTCGCTCTTTCAAGGCTGAGCCTGAATCTATTTCTCTGAAAATCGAGGTAATATTGTTGGAGAATTCCTTGGAAGGGGAGAATATCGTTCTCATCGGACCCGCCTCCTGTATAGATCGGAATAAGGGTTATTTGCTGTCTGCCACTGCCACCACTGCCACCCCCAGGCTCGCTATTTATTTGTCTACGTCACAGAGAACGCGTTTGACTATCAAACGGTAAGTCGCATGCTCGATGAGCTTATCCCGCGATTGCCCCTCCCCTCGTGTATCCAGTGCCGTGCCTAGCTTTGGCAATCCCGACGCAAGGAGAACATTCCGCGCCTTTCCAAGGAGAGCGTCAACCTCGATCTTTCATGTTCTTCAAAGAAGATCTCACAAATCTTGAAATGAAGATCGACTGGCATCATGGAGTAACCCTTATGCGCGATATCACTGCCTAGCTCGCCTGATGCTGCCTCTCTCAAAACCCACGCCTGGAGCCTCCAGTAAAACTGACCTTCTCACAGAGTTCTATCTCCCTCGCTGTGCAGACACACCTCTTGCTTTCGCTTGATCGCGCTCACCGTGTCAGACCGGTTGATTCGGTCCTCCTGGGGAGTCCTTGACAGTCACTCGTTTTTTTCTCTAAATCCTCATTCGCTTCCATCATCTCCCCTCATCGTGGACAAAGCTCGACTGCTATCGCCACTATGCAGGAATTTCGCTTGACAGCGGCCTTGGTCGCCTGTCTTACCTTGCTCCCAGCTTTTACCTCTGCGTTCTGGCGTCTTCCCTGCCGCGGTCGAACTGGTGTCGCCCGGCTGGACCCTATCGTTGATCCCGGCGAGATCTCTTCTCATGTGCATGCCGTTCATGGCGGAGGAAGTATGTTTATCAAGTGCCATATTCGGAAAATTCATCGCTAATATATGCATGCAGACTTCGGCATGAATTCGAACATGCAGACGCTGCGCGAGTCCAGCTGCACGTCCTGCGCTGTGACGCAGGACATGTCTGCATACTGGACCCCCGCGCTTTATTTTATGCACACGAACGGCAGTGCTGAACTGGTCGAGGAAGTTGGAGGCATGCTTGCGTACGTCTATTTTGATAATGAAAGTTTGGTCATAGCGGATAACTAACATTGTTTGAACTCTTAGCTACTACCTCCTGTACGGAGAGGATGTTACCGCGTTCCCCAACGGCTTCCGTATGCTCGCCGGCGACCCCTTACAGCGAAACTTCACCTGGCCAGTTCCCGATCCTCCCAAGTCCTCGTGGTCCGGCGCTCAGGTCTCCCAGAAGGCACTTCGCCAGAAGGCCTTGGGCTTCAACTGTCTCGACTACGCCGGTACCGCCGAAGCCTCGCTCTATCGCCACTTCATGCCGAACAAGACTTTCCTCGACGCGAACTGCCCGGATGGCCTCCGTCTGGAACTGATGTTCCCTTCGTGCTGGAATGGAAAGGATGTCGATTCGGATGATCACAAGTCTCACGTTGCCTACCCCGACCTCGTTATCACGGGTACCTGCCCCGAGGGATATGAGACGCGCCTGGTTTCGCTATTCTATGAGACAATTTGGAACACTTATGCCTTCAAGGATGTTGATGGGTACTTCGCTCTGGCTAATGGAGATCCCACTGGATATGGATACCACGGTGACTTTATGCACGGCTGGGAAGATGGCGTGCTGCAACAGGCTATTGACACTTGCACAAGTGATTCGGGTGAGGTGAGCGCTTGCAGTGTCTTCGATCTTCAAAGTGAGACCAAGCAGCGTGAGTGCACGTTCGACATGCCTTCCACGCTTGCAAACGAAGACGTCCAAATGCATGCGGATGGTCTGCCTGGTCCCATGGGAATCCAGTGGGGTCCAGCCTATGCCAGTATGTCCATGGGCTCTTCCTCTTCTTCCACTTCAGCCATCAGTAGCGTGCCAACTACCTCCGTCGACTCCGTCTCTATCGGTGTTTCTATTGAAATTGGAAACGTGCTCAACCATGCTGAAGCTACCACCACTACTTCAACCACCTCTACGTCATCGCCTACACCCACTCCTACCACCTCGATTCATGTCGATCAATACACCGAGGAAATCGTCTACCTGCAGCAGGATGTCATTGTCATGGTTGGCGAGGGCGGCATCCCATACGCCACCAGCACTGGCACCCAACGCACCGTATCCACCGCAATCACAACCGCCACCCAGACTTCCACCGTTGTATCCTATGTTGAGAAGCGAGACAGCGCTCCCGCTGAACCTGAGCAACGGGATCCCAGTGCCGAAAAGGCCCTCCGACAGGCTCATAACCGTCATCGCCACTCGCACAAGAGACATGGTCACTAACCGCATGGACACGTGGCCTGGGAAGCGAACGCTATACGCTGTGCGTGGCGTTCCCTCTCGTCGGTCGGACTTGATCTCGAGTGCGGTTGCAGTTCCATCAACTCACTTGCAATGTTGGACTATGGCCAGGGCCTTGTTTTTTCTATTCATGTACATGTTTTGCCCCTGTGTCTGTATTGGATGCGCCCCCTGTCAGGGAGTGGTGAATCCATGGTCACAATGTTGTCTATTAGCTCAAAAATGAACATTTGAATCTGTCCTGAAGATAAGCAATAACAGTGTACTCCCCGGGCTCTAAAGATGTAAATTGCCTTGTTTATGTGTAATTTTCGGCAACAATTGAGCCTTTTCTGAGGAACGAAGTAACGTGGGAGTTATAAATGGGTCTGTCGGACTGCAGTATGCTGTCTTATAATATGTGATATCTAGACTCAGCATTGTAGGTGAGCTGACTGAGACAATATAGGTTTCATGACACCCATCTTCGTAGGTTGTGTTTTTGTCTGAAGTGAAAATAAAGTGTAACTGAAAATTTTCTATCGCTCCTGTGTGACCTGTGACCGGGAAAAATGAGACACAAGGTAGCCTCGATCATGCGGTGTAATGATCCCTTCTCCATCTTCGATACCGGCATTATCAGCTAACAACAGTCTTATCTTCTCATGCAGTGGATAGTTGACTTTGATCACCACCTTTAACTTCTAGATTGACCGTTGGGCCTGAGTAACGTCGCTTGAGACTTCTAGGGTTGTTGTTGACCTGCAGGCGACACGCGCAGCGGCATTGTTAGACAGCAAAAGTAATTCCAGTCCAATTTCATATTTCTGGGCTTTTTAACAACAGACTTGTCACTTCAGGCAGGGGTATCGTAGGAAAAACTAAGCCCTGGTCTCCTTGCAGAAACTCTATTGTCATCTCAAACCTACTTTGGAAAATCCTCATCAAGCACATCACTGTGTATCGAGAACCGACATCGGGAGCTCTGGACTTCTCGTGAGTCCATCCTCATCTAGAAAGGTTGCAAGCAGATCTCGCAATCATGTAGTAGAAGCTACATCATGCGAGACCGGGGTTTCGAGAACTGTATTCGGAATACTCAAGGACGTCCTTATCTGGACTTGCTATGGCTCGATGAGCGGCGCGCTTTGGATAAACACACTCCTATAGTTGCGGTGAGAGCATATAAGAGTTCACTATCTCACCTCGAAAACCAGCATCGTCCACAGGCTTTACAGGACTTTGCAAACTGCCATCCACATTTTTGAGCGTCACCCAATCTAATTGTCGACCAATTTCTTCCAAAATGGACAAGCCCTCCCTGATATTGACCATCTCTCTTACCTTCTCCATCACCGCATTGGCATTCCCTCGCGAAACCGGCGTCAATAATCATGTCCAGCCCACCAAAGTTGTGACGGCTGCACCTCCAGCCATCACCGAGGAGGGATCACTGCGCTGCTTTGATGGAGCCACTATTCTACATACAACAGACTGTACGATGGGTACTCCGGTCTCCTTCTGCTTCAAGCCCCAGACACCTATTACCTGTGATGAAGGATACTTCCCTTCAGTCTGGCATCCCGATCACTGCATAGAGGTTTCGACTTGCTTCCCCACAGATGCAGATTGGATCACCACCGAATGCTCCAATGGTGCGTTGCCGGTTTCGACTAAAACGCTGTACAGTGGAACATTGGCTGGAGGAGATAAGGTCATGATAACCTGCAAGTCACAATGGTCGAATCTTATATTGAGGTTGCACCTAACGTACTCCAGCCGTTGCTTGCGCTTGCCCATCCGATCAATGGTATAGCATGACGACTATCGACGGGGCTTCTGATTTCGAAACGTACTGCATGCCTACCCGATCATGCTCCCCTGGAATGACAACTTCCATGAGCATCAATGAGTACTGTGCCACTGCATCGGCAGATATTTGTTCGGGTTTACCTCCTCATGCAGATCGATGCGAATGCGTGGGTCGGAATATGACTCCTGTCTACCCTGATGGCCCTGGTGCCACTGCTACAGGATGTGAATAGGGGTTCTAAGGATCAGGAGTAAGCCAGTAGCTGATTGTTGGTCGAGTTGGATCTGTAATGCATGGTTTGGCCTTCCTGATAAGTTCTTGATTTATGAGGCCACCCGTAATCTTAACCGATCCCTGCGTAATAGTTAATGGAATCAGAAATGGGGTAATCAGTCGATGTCTTTGAATGATGAGGAATGCAAGTACCAATTCAATAGTCCCTGGTTCTCATCCAGCTTTGGATATTTTCACACATATATTCCGAAGGCCTGAACTCAACCCCAAAACACTAGTGCTGGACTGCATAACCTAGATCCTAGATAAGAAAACTAGTTCTAAAGGAGGACCCTGCGGAAGCATGAACCATGAACAAAATAATCAATCTCGACCTCGAATCAAGCTTCCTATCGGCCGATCACTTGCCACAGGATAAATGCCGAAACCCCTCAGATTAGTGGAAGCTTATAAGTCACAATTGCAGCTCAACCTCCAGCTTTGTGGTTCACCGAGAATGCAGATCTATCAACTTTGGAGTCAAAAGAATTCCATTCGTTTCGATCTTAATTACCAATTAGCCTAAACCCCCACGCGCCACAATTCGCCAAAGCCACCAACCTCTCGATCTCGAATCGGCGTCCCAATTAGGAAAAAGGCAAAAGCGTCCCGTCCGGAAAGGCCCCGTGTTAACTTGTTAACTCCGTCTGTGGCCCGTAAATACCCCGCATCCATTCGGCCCGTTGTCTGTTGTCATCAGTGCTGCTGCATAAGCATCTAATTCCCCGATTCTTGATTTTCTGCTTAAATTGCATCATCCCTGCTACAAAATCGGTTCCTTTTTTTCATTCACCTTCTTTCTTCCTTAACTACATACAATTTGCTTCAATTGCTCATAATCGCTCAAAATGTCCGAGGGTCTTCCTGAAATGCAGTACCGGTTTCTTGGCCGAACGGGCCTCAAGGTGTCCGTCATCTCTCTTGGAAGCTGGCTCACTTACGGTGGCCATGTGGGAAATGGTACAGAATACCTATTGGCCCTTCAATTCGTCTTGCAAGAATACTAATTCTGTTGAAGAAACTGCCTTTGATTGTTTGAAGGCCGCATATGACGCCGGTGTCAACTTCTTCGATACCGCCGAGACGTACTCTGGTGGACAATCGGAGGTTGTGCTCGGTGAAGCTATTAAGAAGTTTGGCTGGAAGCAGAATGATTTGGTTATTTCTACCAAGGTAAGCACATTTTTCTCGGAATAATAGATAGCGATTGTGGATCTAACTCTTTGAATAGCTCTACTGGGGCAAGGCCAACAGCGCCAACCCAGATAAGCCTCTCAACAACGTTGGTCTCTCAAGAAAGCACATTATTGAGGGCATGACCCTGTCTCTCCAGCGCCTGGACCTGCCTTATGTGGATATCGTCTATGCCCACCGTCCAGACCGTGACACTCCCATGGAAGAAATTGTGCGCGGTTTCAATTATCTTATTAACACCGGCAAGGCCTTCTACTGGGGTACGTCCGAGTGGTCTGCCAGCGAAATCGCCGATGCCTGGCGCATCGCCGATAAGCTGGGTCTCGTCGGCCCAGTAGTTGAACAGCCACAATACAATCTGCTTGCGCGCGATCGCGTGGAAAAGGAGTACCGCTGGCTGTACGAGGCCCACGGCCTGGGTCTTACCGTCTTCTCTCCTCTCAAGGGTGGCGTACTCACCGGAAAGTACAACGATACTACTGCGCCGCCCGCCGGATCTCGCTTGGCCGAGTCCGAGGATGGCTACATCAAGGGTCTTCGCAAGACTGTTGGTGACGATTCGTGGACAAAGCAGTTGAAGCAGGTTGCTGCATTGAAGCCTATTGCGGAGGAGTTGGGTATTTCGACTGCTCAGTTGTCTCTGGCTTGGATTCTGAGGAACCCTAATATCTCATCTATGATCACCGGCGCCTCTCGTGTTGAGCAGGTGTATGAAAACTTGCGTGCGCTGGCTGTGGCGGATAAGTTGACAGATGAGGTTGTTGAGAAGATTGAGGCTGCGATTGGTAACAAGCCTGCTGAGGAGATCAGGAGATTCTAAGTTTAGTGTATGTAATAGCTTAGCAGAAGAATTGAAACCTCGCTAGATCCAACTCCGATCGGCCTGTACTTCAAATGATTTATTGTGAGGTAGTCGTCCCATTTTCTTGGTTGTCGAAGGAAAAAAAACACCATTGTGGTAGTCATATGATGATTCATCTCCCTATATCAGGCAGATTGTTCCTCGCTCTAGTCAGTCTTTTTCCAAATCAAGAAATCTCATATCTGAGCCTTTTGGGGGTTATATAAGTGAAATTGTGTATGAATCTGCATGATTTATATTCGCTGCTCAGGTGATTATGGTGAAATTGGTAGAATTCACGCGTGGATCGAATGGATAACGCAACTGTGCTCATCCATTCAGCACGGTTGGACGGGACACACGATATTAAATACACTTTCCACCATCGATGACCATTTCAGTACCATTGATGAAACGTCCCTCATCACTTCCAAGGAACAGACAAATGTTGGCAATATCATCCACCTCGGTCAAACGACCCAAAGGAACATTTCCGATGAACTTTTGGCGATTCTCGGGGGTATCCTCCATACCGGTAAACATAGAAAAGAGACCGGTACCGGAAAGTAGAGGAGCGACACTGTTGACTCGGATGTTGTGAGGACCATACTCGGCGGCGAGCCCCTTGGTAGCCTATGATAATCAGTGAGGAAATTTGATCACTTTCAAAGATGAAAGAGCGAACAAAAACCGACGTACGTTTGTGACAGCGCCCTTAGAGGCATTATACCACACCAGACCCGGTCGAGGACGACTAGCACCAGTCGAAGAGATGTTAATCATAGAGCCACCCTGGCCTTGTTCAATAAATTTGGGCATGACGACTTGGGCAGCTAGGTAGATGCTCTTGACATTGACGTTGAACACTCGCTCCCATTCTTCCTCGGTCACCTCAGCGGTGGGCTACTACCGAATCAGATTTCGTTGTTCACGGATCCCTGGAGCGACCGAGATTCATACCTTGTTGCGATAGCTAGTTCCGGCATTGTTCACCATGATATCCAGTCTTCCAAATTCGGAGAACGCCCGATCAACAATGGTCGTCCAGTCAGCCTTTTGTGTAACATCCATCCGCTGGAACTTCAGGTTGCTGGGGTTCTGAGCAGCGACCTGCTCGCCTCCCTGGACGTTGATATCTGCGACCAGGACCTTCGCACCTTCCTCGCCGAATCGACGGGCAATTGCAGCGCCAAAGCCGGAGCCTCCTCCTGTAAGTTACAAGATATGAGATTAGTTCGAGGACCAATTTGGGATGTCAATGACTTGGGAACTCCCTCACCGGTGACAATGGCAACCTTTCCTTGCAATCGAGAGCCTTGGGAAGACATGTTTCTGAATGAGAATGTGAATTATGTGAGAGAGATTGAAGCAGAGCTAGGTGAAATGGTAAGTCTAAAAGAAACACGAGCAAAGAGGGGCAATCATATGTTCGGCGTGAAATCCGTGGTTTCCCCGCATCGCGCCCAGTCCGAGACGCCGTCACGGCTGTAGGCTCAAGTACCCTCAGGCTTCTCCACCACGACCTATGACTAAGTTTGTAAGTTTGAATAACATATTGATGCCCTATAGGAAGACGGCATAACCTTGTCAACTTGATCTTGGGTATGGTTGAGCAGATAATGACACGGGAAGGGCAAACCCACTAATGCAGCATTAGCTTCAGGGACGGCTTTCGCCCGGAAGGTGATCAGAGGCAAATTCCGATAGCCTATTTATGATGACCCAGCATAGAGAGACATTCGAAATTAATATCGAAGGTCAATTCGTGCTGGCATGTTCTTAGTATCTCGCATACCCATTTACTTGATGAATCTACCTGTCTCCGGATACATAGGCCACTACTCCATATACGTAACACTTTTCCTATGCCGGGTGGGGCTTTCCTATCTTGGCTGCCGCCGCTTTTATGGGGGCACTCAGAGTCAGACTCACTGAGCTGCTCAGTGCCATCACGTGATGACCAGTGAGGTCTAATGAGTGCTCGGTGAGTGTGATTGGCTGCCCACTGAGCCATCACTGATTACTTGATGTTCACTATAACTAACGTAATTCACAAGCGAACTGGCCACACAGGCGAGCTGGCCACCCCAAAACACCATACTTAATGCGATAAATTACAACTTCATATCTGAATAACCATGTATATTTAGGATAAGATATTGGGCATATATTCTATATAGTGATTTTAATCTACTGTTGAGGTATAAAAGGATCTGTTTAAGTATGAACAGAGATATATATGTTTACGTCTCAAGTGTAAAAAATACGCAGTATTTTACGGTAAAGTGTCGAAATAATGCTCTAAATGGCTTAAAATCTGCATATGCTATTGCTATGCCTGGAAATATACAGGACCTGCAATTTAACTGAAGTAAAGTATTGGTGGTTGAAATATAGAGAGATCAAAATAAACTTTAAGTATGGTGTTTTGGGGTGGCCAGCTCGCCTGTGTGGCCAGTTCGCTTGTGAATTACGTTAACTAGTTAGGTATCTATTAAGCACATAGTCGATGCTCAGCCCATACCTAAGGGAGCGCTTTGCCCTATAGTCCTGTGTATCTTCCGACCTAATTTTAATAGACCTCAATTTCACCTTGCCCGTGGCTTTTGAGGTACTCGATCATCCAATCTCTTTTTCTCCTTAATAAAATAACGAACTAGGGCACAGTGACGTAAAAATAGAGGGCTTAGGCCGCTTACCATACACCAGCGTAGAAAAAGTGTTCTGCTCTTATCAGGCACAAAGATCTGTCTTTAAGTCGTGAAGTACAAATTGCAGCTATATCCATTTATTTCAACCTACAGAACAGATTTTCTTTATCCTTTATTTTACTTTCTACTTTAATTTATTCTCTCTAGCGTTTATCGGGGATATTTTTAGTTCTAAGCCAAAAGACCTTCTTTGCTTAGCAAGACGAGGCCACTAAGTAACTAACAAAGAGTGGCTATGTTTTTAGCGCTTATGCAGAAGAGGATACTATCCGTGAAAAGGGTAAAAGAATATCTGAGGCCAAGAGGATATATTTCGACGCTATCCGTCCGTCGTTAGAGTAAGTTATAACATATTAGTCTAGGAGGATTACCCGCCGTATACGTTACTAACTTGCTCTTAGCTTCGCTGAACAAAATAGAATCAAAGGCTATAAATCTAGGCTAAGCTATACGACTCTAGACTATAAGCTTCTGTCGACATGAGAATGTGCATAAGCCCTCGAAAGCCTTCGAACTTGACAGAATACGGCATAACGTACACGTGACGATGATCTTCAACGATTGATCCCACATGAGAAACAGCTTCAACACTCTATACTTCTTCTGATTTCTATGCTGTGATATCTTGATGATTATAAATACTGCCTGTTTTCCATAGCTAGTTTAGAACAAGTTTAACTGCTCTGATGAAGCTTTAGCTGCCTTGATTCTTCTACCATAAGTTAGCTTCCGATTCTTTGCTGAATCGTACGACCTTTGATCTTGATCGTACACGAACGTTTCGTGTACACTCGACCGATCGTGTACGACTTCTTCGTGCACGTAGAAGGATTTATGCCGACCCCATAAATCCGACATCTACTAAGCGTAGAATTCGAACAACCTTAGATAATAACTAGCAGATGCCCAGTCAATGAGGCAGAGAGATCTATCTTCCTGCTCTAAGATATTTCAAGGCGCTATATCTAAATAGCAAGGCACTAGCTCGCAGCCCTAGAAAGTCAGTTTCGGATTATATAAGAAAAGCCGGCTACTGAATCACTTCTCTATCTCGTCGAGACTATCGAAAACTAGATCCTCAGTCTTAGGGAAGAGAATTCTGCGACAGACCCCGCTAGAGAGAGGCCCGGGGTTGTTATATCGCAATTTTACGAAATAATAAAGCACACCTGCAACCTTTTCTATAGCGTTAATATCTTCTAACGGATCGATAACCTTCCCTCTATATACTCCATCACAATATAACCCTAACCCTGCTCATCAGAAAAGAAGGCGTACAAACGTGGAATATGAACGATGCAGTTATCTACAAGTTCATACGCTATTCTTTGATTTTCAGCTTCTGCTTTCGTGATATCCGGGCCCCATTCAACCACCTAGTGGTCAGAGATTCCGATAATGCGATTTCTGTACTGGCTGACAATATTGTCAGGCTACGGGTCTGAACAAGACGCTATCAGAGAGGCTCGGAATTCACCCGGGAGTGATATACCTTCAATAGGGTTGCGGAAACAAAGATCTTGTCGCTTGGAGACCCTGAAGATCAAGGTCAAAGGTGCAAAGAAAGAAACGAAAGGGCTAGGGTTCATCTGGCCCTCACTCCTGCTACCGTATAGTAATACTATACATCCTCACACTCTTCTTTACCCTAATGATTTTAGCCGGTTTAACCCTGTGTAATACTATCAAACTCTTCTTCTGTGACCTAGGCCGTGGTCCTTCTTAAATACTGATCTTCTCCCTTCCGCTGTTGATCTCGAACGCGAGGAGAGCAGATCCGACTTTAAGGCTTCCTCAAATTCTATCCCGTTTAAGTGTATTTGTTTACCAACAACAACTTCAATATGTCCCGAAAATTGATATTCCCCACTCTCTGGATATTCCTCGGTCTATCTGCTGCGCGTCCAGCATCCACCCTTATGGCGGATGCATCATCAGCTAATACCAAGTATCTCATCACATTGTACGTCATTTCTCGTTCGGGCTAAGAAATATCCATCGCCGTCATACTTATCTCTACTAGCGGCGACTCTTATTCCACAACCGGCTTCAGCATTCAAGGAAGTTATCCCTCAGCTACAAACCCTCTCGGCAATCCAGAGCTTCCCGGCCAGACATCAGACTGAGGCTAAATTGCATCGGCTTCTTGACTTCCCAGTACAACACCTCGCTCACATTTTCTTTCAATTTTACTGTGGGTGGAGCGACCACAGACTCCAACATTGTTCCACCTTGGAACTTCTCTGTCCCCAGCCTCATTGACCAGGTGAAACTCTTTAGCAACAGCATCGCTTCTAAGCCGCTATCCGCCCCCTGGGATAGTTGCAACACCCTGGCCGGTATATAGATAGGAAATAATGACCTTGGGGGTAGCTATGCGCGATCTGATTTAGACACGCTCCTACTCCGTATCATGTATAGTTACTTTGGCCAGCTACAGATCTTATATAATACAAGAATCAGATATTTCATCCTACTTGCTATCCCTCGTGAGCTTACTCTTACGCGTTATTCTTTTCTATCCTTGACTTAAAATGCTAATATTTCACATCATAGCTATGGAGAAAACACCAGTTGTTATGGAAAGAGGCAGCGAAGCTATTGCCCAAGAGACCGCTGCAATTGAGAAATATAACAATCTCCTTGCGGCTGGTCTTTCCAAATCCCAGTCTTTCAACACCGATGCTAAAGCAAAACTGATCTGAACGGGGCCGTCCTTCAAGAAAGCTCTCAACAATCCAGCAGCCTCTGGCGCACCAAATGCAACTTGCATAAATTGGGGTGGAACTGCCTGCCTCTGGCGCGATGCCTATCACCCTGGGGTCGCTATTCAGAATCTTACCGCCCAGCATGTGCAATCCGAGCTGGACGGCTGGTTCGAGCGTTAAGAGGATGCCCTTCATGCATGCTTTGATCATAACCAAGGCACGAGTTACCTTGGACTATTCAGTATTGATGGAGATTCCCGTCCTCTAGCCGATGTCTCCGCGTTTGTTGCCATGATCAGCGTTTGCTGCCTCTGTCCACTTGCTTTCCTATGGTTCCTTTGTCTCCCTCGGACGCTCTATTTTCCCGCATCCAAAGTTCTCACTGTCTCTGTCTATGCTTCCCGTCTGTGGCCGCTTTTTCAGGTTGATTATTCTGAGCGTTACGTACTATCAGTAGTACGGATCACAGACTTTCATAACCTGGTCAGAAAGTGTTAAACATGGAGAGACTTCAGCGTCCACTTTATATCCGGTCTGAGCCATCATAGCAAGTTCTCGCAATTCCCCTCAAAAAACTATGTTGACTCTCACGAACCGTAGAACCGAGCAAGTACAACCATGCGTTATGCATTGAGCAAATATTTGCCGACCTGAGTACCTTGGTAGATCCGGAGGTTTTGCAGATGGAAAGGATGGTCAGCAGGCTAATATCAAACAGCTGGCAAGTCTCACGCTTTCACCGCTTCAGTGAAGATTATGTCCGATATACGTCCCGTATCTTTGAAGGGAACATGGAATATGATCGATTCCAAAGAGGATATGCAAATGGCAGCAGAAATCGAACACATTGGAATTCAACTATCGACTAAAGGTTTTTGAGGACGGTTCTAGTCCTTGTGAAAGTGTGGAGGAGCAGCGGACGAATCGCCGAGAAAGAACTACATTCTTGAAAAGCCTCACAGTAGCATCCTGCTGAGTGAAGTTCCCTCCTCCGTGATTGGCGTGGGACCCGTGGGTGGACGAGATCCAGATTCAAATGCTCAACGTGGTATCATTATGACAGCGCCCACGGCACTGCTGGCACAGGAAGCGAAGAGAGAGAGAGAGAGAGAGAGAGAGAGGGAGACTGAGTCAATTGGTCTATCTAGAACAGGAAGACAAAGACGACTAGGAAAGGAAGAAGAAGCAGAAGGAAACAGAACAGGGTCTATAAGGCCCTGAAGCACAAAGGAAAAGGAACAAGGCCTGGTCCTGACAGGAAAACCCCGGCCTGCTTCATGCAGGGCCAAAGAAGACGACAAACTCTGCAAACCCTATCGAGGTCAAAGGGATCGAGTCATCACATTATAATTTCACTCGCTCTAAGTACATGCTACTATGTGGAGTGCAATCAGACCAGCCTGCGGTGGGAAAAGGGCTGCCAGCGCCTATCGTCCCATATCCCTGATCTCAGGAGATGGGATTATATAACCCAGTGAATACAGTCTCGCGTCCTATAATGAACTATTTTGACGTGCTGCGAATTCATTATATACAGAAATTTGCTATATAACTAGAGGTTGCCTCCTTGTACATAAAATACCTCCGAATATCGCGAACATGCCTGCTTTCGCGTTTGGTCTTCCTTCCTCCCGTCCGCATATCAATTTCATCGTTCCGGAAGCGCCTAATACATGAAATATCAGGTATTTCATGTGTATTGGGCACGGAAAGACATAAGACCTTGCAGCGCATTGGGTGCCTCGGATATTTTAACTGGCTGATCCCTATCGCCACAAATTGGAAGGCGCTGATTAGGTATCCCTTTGTTGCCAAGTAACTGGTCAATTTGTCAGTAAAACTACGATTAACAGTTATTAAAATTGGGCTGACACTCATGCTATGTCCCTTGTTCATGCAGTATTGTATTGTATACCTAAGAGACCCTCTAACAAATTTTCTCCAAGAAACCTTTAGGCCTGAGTACCTGTTCATCGAAGAACTGTTAACACCTAACCGACTGCTCACTCTGTTGCTTTTCCGGCTACTTAGATTCGGGAGTTTGGAGGCGATTATTCCTGAGATTCAGATGCTCAGTCAAATTGATTTACCTATAGCTTTAACCAGCTTTCAGAGCTAAGTAGGCTGACTTTCCCCGCAGAGAGTTTTTGAGCTAAAGCTATCTGCCTATGCACCTGCCGGATAATTTGCATAACTAGCCTGCAGGAAGAATCCAGGGTGATCACAGCCTAGTATACGGATAATTAGGGCCCCTAGGTCCACTATTGTCCCGAGAATAGACCGAATCCCGATCGCGTTAAAAACTCAAACTTAATACCTTCACATAAGGCAACAAATGTCTCACTTGTGTGCAAACTCAACAATAGAAATTCGAGTTAGCCTAAGGTGATGTTATTGGGAACCCCCTTTTCGGACGACAGTAACGCAGCTTGAGCTAGAACGAGGAGTAAGTTTTTATTAGTCTTTCTCAAAGGTTGAAATATCGAAGTTCGTTCTATTGTTTCTCACGGAGGGTTGCCTGCCTTCGGTAGAGATTGGCGGGCTGCGACCCGGAAGGGATCTATAGCCCCCGCCTCGGAACCATAGACTGGAATATTCGCGCTGCTCTCTAAATGAAGAGATAGCGTGGGATCTTTGTTGACAGCCAGCGACCCGGAGTGGCGCGTGTCTCTACCTATCCCACGGAGCGCTTCGGTGCGACAATAATAGATAGAGCAAGAGTTTGACTGTTTGACGGAATGTCTTCTAGTAATTTCGCCTCTATGCCCTCGGTTCACTATTGCTCCTTGAAGTTGTATCTCCACCCCCCACTGCAGTCTGGCCATAACTGTGCCCTTCCTCCTACTCCAGCGCCTCCATATGGCTTCTCTGTGTGGGTACGCTTCGAATCCCCGCTACACATAAATTCCCTTCTGCTAGAGCAGCTTTAGCTGGAGAAGCTAGGGATAGTGACCAACAAGTACAGACGGAGACGGAGCGCCCCTCTGCTCATTGCAATATCTCAAAGAATTTACATATCACTTAATCAGAATTTGTAGCTTATGAGCTACAACTAGACATGACAATTCACCTAGAATACGCACACACGCCCGCTTTCCGGTGAGAGAAAGAATCTCCCCCAAGACATGACCACACCAAGGAAAGATATGTACAATAAAAACGACGATACATGTCTTCTGCCGGATAAAAGAGAATCTCACACACACAGAGAGAGGGGGGAGAGAGAGACATAGTTGAAAGTATGGCCGTATGATCGAAGCGAAGGCTTGGTCATACAAACACTATCCACAGTCAAACATCCATAGTAGTTCAGTGGATGCTGAGAACGTATTCTGAGGTCGTCAACTGAGCATTGGACCCAGAGAATGGCTCAGTACCAGCAGCGATGCCGCTCATATACTGTGCAGCAGGCATCCCCTGGTAGTGGATCAAGTATTCGAAGAAGTCAAGAAGGTCAGCGTTGAAGGAAGTCTGCTCGGTCCGGGCAACGAAACTGAAGACGGTCCAAGAGGAATTTGGCCCTTTGAAGAGGTCCCAGGTTGTACCAGCAATCTCGACTGTGGCAACAGGCTTGCCCGTGCTGCTGATTGGACCTGCCCCACCGAGCGCAGCAAGCCAAATCATGATCTCATATGCCAAAGAACCGTCAGGAGAGTTACTGGTGAAAATATCATATGACACGTCGGCGACGATATTTGAGCCAGTATAACTATCAAGGTAATAGTAAGCACGTTGGACATGAAAGCTACAAAGGACCAGTGGAAGTGGACACTCTTACCTCCATCGCCAAGTTGTGGGCATACTTGAAACTGAACTCAACTGTCTTGCGTTGAATTTCAACTCAATATTGGCGTAAGACTTGACCTGGCCTGGACCTCCCTGCCAGTCCCACACAGTGTTCCACGACACGAGGTCTCCGGACTGGTAGTCTAAGCCAGAGCACTGCCATCCAGATGTGGCGTCTTTTGCACCCCAGAGGTTTTGGTAAATGGTATACGGTGCTGCAGGAATTGTATCCCATTGACCGCATGATTCCCTCTTAGACAATGCATACGCTGCACAAGCGAAGGGGACGAGGAGCCACGCCGGGCCTGATTGGAAAAGTCGCATAGTTCCCGGACTTGAATTCTCAAAATTCAAAGAATTGGGAAGGAGAAAGTTTGCAGTCTACGAAAGGAATGGTAAAATAGTAGGGTTGTCCACCCTTTATAGCTCTGCGGTGTACGGCTCAGGCTCCATATAATGACGGCATTTGCCCGGTCGCTGAGTGCTAGCATACACGAGTATGGGGTACAGGAGGACCTAACTATCTGGGTATAGCTATTGATTGAAGGACTGTGCATTAATTACAGTTGTTTGAGATGGTCTTACCATGAGCGAGACTAGCCAGTCATATATCCACCAGGTTCGTGTAGTAGCTTGACTCAATCCACGGACATGGTAAATGAGCTCGGTACAGAACTGGACAGCAGACGCCTGCTGTTTCTCCCCTCTTCCTAGGTAGTTCCAGATATCGAAGTGAGTTAATTCAAGGGCTGTGAACCCTGGGAAAAGCGGGGAGACCCCTCTGGTCTTAGAAAGCATAATATATTAGGGATGAAATTGCCGGGAGGTGCAGCCTCCAGGATGCCAAACAGAGTAACATGGCCGAAGGGCGATTTCTCTTGGGGGTTGCAGTGCTTGCAGATGAGCACGGCGATACCTGCTTTGGGAATTGATGGGGCCAGATTAAGATGGATGAAAAGGGCCACCAAACTCTAAATCCCTAATGTCTCGGGGAGTTGGCGCGAAACGTGGTAAAACTGATATACGAGAGAGTGGGTACATGTAAATATTAACAACGGACATCACTACCGATTGAATCTCAACGCTCGGCGGTGTGGGTCATTCATGTCCGGTGCGGAATCGATGCCGAGCATACTCTCAGTAGTGAATCGAGATCTCAATCATTGTGAAACGAGAATCCACCCTTCCCTAGTTTCTTAATCCAAGCTCTCGCGATCGAGATATCCTTCAGCATGAAAAGCCAAGCCAATACAATGCAATGCATACTCGGTGGTGTTCTCGGCTTCAGAGGGCTTGGAAACACCCAATCACATGGTTTTACTTTAGCCACCATTGTTTTGGCAATCACTTGGTCACTATCAAGCTCAATCATATAAAGCTGATTACTCCTTGCCAGCTTGGCCCTTCACCTGCTTTCTACCCCTCCGTCCAACCGTGAACCCGTCGATTCAACCATGTATTGGAAAATCGCGATCGCATGCCTAGCAGGCCTCAGCACCGTGGTCACCGCCGACCTTCACGATCAAAAGGAGATCGAAAACTGCCCCGTCGGTTATGCCTTGACTACGTACGTAGTTACTGTCGTCAAAAATTCGACGACCACAGTCAACGAATGGGCGACCAGCCTGCCCGGAGCCAATGATTGGCAGGCTACTTCTACCCAGGATGGGATCTTCACACTTTCTACATCTACGCCGAGACCCGACGAAACAAACAAAGACGCGCCCAAGTCAGCACCCACGCCGACAGAGACTTCACCGTCACCCACTGTGGTTGAGCCGTCCCAAAGTTTGGCATCATCCCCGCCACTTTCGCCATCGCCGCTGGCCGGTGGTGTCGTCCACGGCCAAGCCACTTCCTATGAGGGTGGTGACGTGGATGGAACATGTATGTTTTCTACCGCCGACTACACCCTCCCTGCAGGAATATATGGTGCGGCTCTGTCTGTGGACAACTGGGACAGTGCCGCTTGGTGCGGTGCATGCCTTTCTGTGGTTGGACCTAGCGGAAACTCTGTGAAGATCATGGTGAGTAGAGAAATATCTCTGGAAGCCTGAAATTGATTGTCAATCTGATTCTGACATCTTCCGTCCTCCGTTTGTGCATTAGATTGTCAACCAGTGTCCTGGAACTTGTGGATTGAACAATGTTGATTTGCTTCCGGGCGGCTTCCAACAACTGGCAGACCTCAAAGTCGGCCGTATCAATGTGGAGTGGGAGATCGTCAAGTGCGATATCAGCGGTCCGCTGTTCCTGAAAACCCAAACTGGCTCCTCTAAATACTGGTTCAGCATACAAGTCGTCAACACGAACGTCCCTGTCCGATCCCTCGAGGTTAGTATCGATGATGGAAAAACTTGGCAATCTCTGAGCCGGCGAGAATACAACTTCTTCCAAAACCCTAGCGGCTTTGGAGTGGACTTTGTTGATGTTCGCATAACGAGCGTCACGGGTGAGACGATCGTGGTGAACAATGTCAGCAGCGCCGCGGAAACCCGGACTGACGCTACCTCGAATTTCCACTGAACAGTGAAACTTGTCTACATAGCTTTTCCCTAGTTTTTCATTTTCCTTTTTTGTTTCTTCCTTTCTCCTTCCCTGTGATGGGACCTACCTTTTTCTTTCGTTGCGTTCTCCCTCCGTCTGATGAACCAGCGTTTACCGCAGCAATGTATATACGTTCCTGCTAAGCTTGTTGGTGGATACTCATCAGCGGAGGATTATCCGGCACTGTGACTTATAACAGATAATTAAAAACAGGAGTGCGCTTTGAAGAGGCTAAACTGGCCTTCCAAACTCTGTTTGTGGCTTCACGCCTCTCACAACAATTACCTAATATAACCATTTCTGATTGTGGATATGGGAAGATATTCAGTAAAACAACTTTACTCCAATAAATCATATTGTCCCATATGCTTGCGATTCTCGGAAAATCCAAAATTATCTACACAACGCTTGATAATTTAAGATGCGTTAGGATATTAGTCCTTTGAAGAGCGCGAGACAGTGCCTGTCCCACGATAAACCTCTGTTTGCGACACCCACCACTTGCTTATCTAGATCAATCAATCAATCAATCAATCAGTCAATCAGTCAATCAGTCAATCAGTCAATCAGTCAATCAGTCAATCAGTCAATCAGTCAATCAGTCAATCAGTCAATCAGTCAATCAGTCAATCAGTCAATCAGTCAATCAGTCAATCAGTCAATCAGTCAATCAGTCAATCAGTCCATATTCTTAGACCAAGTCCATCAAAACCTTTCCAGGTTGTTGCATTGCAGTTTCGTACCCTTCTATGTCGGACGCGATTCGTTTGAACACCTCCCGTCTCTTTCAATACATACGTCGACTTTTGTTTGCCTTAATGACCGCCGATAGTAAATCGTTTTCTATAGCCAATATTGAATTCCAGTCTGCATCAGTGATAGTCATCGAATTAGAAAAAGCAGTGGACCTGATGTAAACACTATAGTGAGCTAGTTGATCAAGAACAGGAAATTCAAAGTGATTGCAGAGATTTCTATAGCTATATGTAAGGTATATTCCAATACTTCCAGCGGCTCGTTCAAGAGTCATATTTCTATATCTTCGAAGGCATCAATGATGTCCCAATCCGGGTTAGTAGAATCATCGACCCGCTCTTCGAAAACCTTTCGATATCTTGTGCAGTCAGCTTGTTTGCTCAGAGTTGACGACAAATTTCTCCTAAAGCTTCGCTTATAAGGGAGGGATTTTTGAGATTATTCAGCAGGTCGAGAATGATATTCTGTGTAGCCTCTGCGGCTTGTGTAGCGGAATTATTATTTCTCGTTGGAGCTGTCATTGTGAAAAAAGAACTAGAATAGGATTAACAGAGAACTCTTGTACAGAACAAACGAGGGTGGACTTATTACAGTACACAGGAGTGGTATATCTCCCCGGAAGGATATCGTTAACCGGAGACGATAAAAGCGATCGCTTGTTGAGGGCGATTTAAATTCATATCCTCAGTAAACCTGATACCACCTGTACCTAACACGTCGTCAGGAGTACTACCTACGTTCTGAGTTCCTGGGAGTCTAGATTATTATGATTATGAGCGAATTAGTGAAGACAGCTTACATCCGTCCACAAAATGGTACGGAGTCCGATGGATTCCCAGGAATATCCAGTGGATTCCTCGCGGCTGGGACAGTCTATAATAATCAATTCACCATTTATCCAGCGGGTTCCCAGGAGCAATCTCTTTTGGCGGCTTCTCGGCCCGGGGGAGATAGCGGTTCAAACATGCGTTCCGGTGCGCGTGCTCAATATAGAGAGAAGCTGTGCTTCGCCATTACATCCACAATATCCTTTTCCTAGTAAAGTCTTGCCCAGGGTAAGACTTGCGGTCTCTCAGTAGATTCATTTAATTGCTCTTAGACTAGCACTCCATCCATGCCTGTCCAGGAGACCGTGGAACCAGTAGGCAAGGGTTCCCAGGAGCATGGAGTTTGATTGATTGACGGATTGGGTGATTAGCCATTAGGCTCCATCGAGGTGCAATGAATACAACGTCAGTTTATTGATGCCAATACTTTTTCGATGGGACCGTGGGGGCAATCTAGTGAACGAGGGTTTCACGTGGATGGGGCTAGCATGTTGCGTTTTATTGGGTGGCCTTCCACTCAGAGCTGTGCTCAGTGAGCAGATCTTTGAGCTTACATAATGTTCACTGATCGGGTCAGAGTGCTCAGAGGCGTGCTCAGAGGCGTACTCAGTTACTCAGTGAGCAAAAGCGGCGAGAGGCTGAGCACCAATCCGGAAGGGAAAGTCAAGAGCTGGCATAGGAAATCCAGTACATAGGTGGAGCGATACTACAGCCCAGTATATTTTAGACCCACTTCGAAGGATTGACTTCGTCCAGGAGAGAATCCAAATATCCACTGTGTTAAATGTGCTTATTTCGTTAGGCTAGGAGGAGAGGGGCTAGCAGCGACATAACAAAGTCCGGCCATGTCGGACGTACTTGTTCAGCTAATGTGATTGGATCGGCAGCATTTTCGGTATCCCAACTGGTTGACCGAGGTGAAGCTTCAAGGTTCATATTGAATTCGTCTGCCTTTTAAATTTCAGGGAGGAAAGTATTCGGATATCTGATGTCCATTACCTGTCGAGCCACCCGAAAGGATCTCTCGAGTGACACAGGTTAGAAGTACCTAAACACACTAGCGTTACCTATCCGCTTCGAAGCCCAGCATTCTTGCACGTTGAACTTATAGAGTTGTTTTCTTGATATTCTACGAGGCCTTCGTGTCCAATTTATACTTCTCAAAAATACCAAAATCCAAGTCCGACATAAGAAAAGCTCCACGCAAGTACGGCATCCGAACGCAAAGGGTATAGTGACCCTTCAGATTCCAAGCTCAGGATCTATATGAGTCCCCCAATACCTAAAAGATATCCTCAGTCCCATGCATCAAGGTAAATGTTTCTGACAAAACTTACTGCAATTTGCTTCGGCTCTATAAAGAGACCCCTAGCCTCCGCAATCAAACTCGTCTCCTGGCCATCAATTGGAAGCGTCTCAATCCGACTATATCCCCACGCTTTCCGGCCTTGCAATTTGGTCGTTTCCGCAGACAAGACAATATATGAATCGGCCATCAAAGGTTGATGATGCTCAATGTTTAGATTGGCAGTCACCCCGACTTTATTGGGCAGGGCTGCGAAGCAACATCTCGCCAATCCTTCGTCAAAGAGGGCTGCAATTAGACCGTTGTGAACAATTTCTGGATAGTCACACATATTCTGTCCGAGGTGCATAATCATGACCAGTCCCTCTCCGTTTTTCTTACTGAACACATATGGCGGCACAGATATTTTTTGTAGCCCCGTAAGTGCTCCTGTCATGAAATTTTGTGCACGATAGCGCTCTGCTACCTTCAAGTGTGGTTGCAACTCGGTATAATCTGGATCATTTCGTAGAGAAATCGCGACCGGATGATTCTGGATGAATGCAGCAATCTTTGCTGACTGAGCGGCGTCTTCCAAGGCTTCTGGCGCAATTGACCCCATGTTAGATTTATCGAAGTTGGTGATAGTAATGAAATGTTGAAGTTAGAGAGAAATGGCATATAAACTGTTCACACATGGACCATGTCGTAGAAACTGAGAGTATTCGTCTGAGACCTACGGGCGGAGGTGGTTTACCTCGGGAATCGATCAAGGTTCCGTGTCCCCGAATCGGCTCGACTTCCATATGTGCACTCAGGCTTATAGAAGACAATTTGATGCCAATTTTGAGCCAAAATATAGCGAAGACCCATATCTCTCATTAAAATTTTCTGAAGGCACAATACAGTATTGGCTGCTCGAATGTATCGAAAAAGGGCAAACATGGGCTAGCAGCAAAGCCCAAGAGGCTATCAACTCTGTTATTCGCAATCACACTTTCGTTGCTATGTACATCCATATCATTAACAATCCCATAGTCTTCGGAGGTACGGTTGGATCTAGATCTCCGGCCTTAATACTAAATCAATTGAGCCCCAAGCGACTGTAATTTGTGGGATGTTCTTGGTGGGTCCAAGTGAAAACGCCTGCAGATCTAGCGACAAACTAATACTGTAGTCGCCTTCGAATCTTCATCGTGCATAAATTAGACACTATGTAGCTCGCGTGCTCCAAGCTCTAGAAATTCGCAACTCCAAACAATGGCAGGCTATGAAACCTCGTTGGCGGCCCCGAATCGGGAAGAGTTTACTAGTACAGCACATCAACGCTAATAGGGACCAGTTTCGACGAGCTGGCTGGCTCCTGGGCTGACTACTGCTTACTTGTCTTACATTCATTCTCCGTAAACGGAGTATTCCATACTTCCGTATGCTCCGACATGCTCCTCGTGATCAGAACTATGCCGCCTCAAGCGCGTAGCTGAATAACAGAGTTTCTAGTCGGAGAACGAGGGGGGAAAGAAGAAAGGAGAACCGAAGTAACCAAACAAGATTACTACAGAGTCAAAGATCAGATAGTAAGATCGTGATGATGTGTGCCCAGTCTCCATAGCGCATATTAGTAGTCTGAAGTATAGCCTACTGTATTCCTCTTTTCTCTTTTCTCACGTTCTTACTGGACCCTCTCTCTGTGTCTTTCAGCCCCTAGCGGAGCAGTACACAGTACAGTAGTACACTTCCCCTCCTCCACTACTCCGTACGCCCAACACACTAATTTAGCCCTTGGCACTACTTTCTCAGCCTTGTCGCGTTTTCTTTCTTTGCATCTCCCAGTCCTCTTTTTATACTGATCAAAACCTCCTTCTCGCCCACCATGCATTGACCTCAACTCCGTATACGTCTTCATGTCTCGACCCTCCGCCTCGCTCCCCTCACACACCCCCATGGAAGTTCGCAATGCGGGCGCACCATTGAAGGCCAAATCGTGGCCAGACTCGCAATCGCCCTCGCAATCGCCCTCGCAATCCCAGTCGCAATCCCCCGATTCACAGTCTCCATCACAACCCCCGTCGCACTCAAGACCTCCCACTTCCGAGCCTGCCCCGCCCCGAAAGCGCGTCCGCCGCTGGCACCATCGCGGATTTACGGGCTGCTCAACCTGTCGCCGTCGCCATGTTCGCTGCGACGAGGCTTCTCCGACTTGCAAAAACTGTACGCGCCTAGGGCTTGAATGCGATGGAACACAGGGTCGTATGACCTTCAAGGTCTACGGACCATCCCAAGTGCAGGATGAGCCCAAAAAGCAGAAGAAGGGCAGTAGCAGCCCGGACTCTCCGGGCGAGTCGTGCTTCACGAGCACTTTCGCTGTGAAATGTAGTGGCGATAAAAAGGTGGACTGCGAAGCTCTGGTCGTCTCACCATTAACTGTGCCGCAATGGTCAGGGCAGACTCAATTCCGTTTCCAGCAGCCCATTTTCCATGCGAACCTTCCATCTTTGACGATACAATGTACCGACGAGCATTACTTTTCCCATTTCGTCAACCAGGTGTCGAGTCTTTTGATTATCTATGACACACATATCAATATCAATCCATACCGCAGCTATTTCCCGGATTTTGCGCGGTCGTCTCCCTCGATGATTGGCGCGATGCAGGCCCTCGGCGCATTGCATCTGGCAAATACCTCGGTCGGTGCGGAGCGCAATCAACATTTCCAGCAGGCTATGGGGAAGTATGGACAGGTAGTGAAGATATTTCGGGATCGGTACGCGCTTCCTAACGGACAGCTTGGGATGAGGGACTTTGCGACGTGCTTGTTGCTCTGTCTGTTCGAGGTGTGTACCATTGTTGAACGAGGCACAGGCGATAATAGCTAATCGGGGTGAATGCAGATGATGGACTCGCAACACCAAAATTGGGACGTCCACCTCAAGGGCGCGCGCGAAATCTACAACCTCCTCTTCTACCCGCACACCAGCAACGCTGCCCGCGAGGCAGAACGTATCGCCGAGATCAACCATCCTCTCCGATCATTCCTCGTCTCCTTGCTCTCATATTTGGATGTGGCTGGTGCATGTGCGAGACCAGGTGGAACGATAGTAACGGGAAGTTATTGGAAGACCCTTGGAGGTGGATGGGAATATAATCTAGGAATACCGAGTCTATCGACCTCGCCTCTCCCGGATGATCCACGCTTGTTGGAATTACGACAAGCATGGTCTACCATGATGGAAGTTCAGGCGGCGATCAGCACCTTTGCCCGTGACAAAGAGTGGATGTCCCCAGATCACCAGGATATGGTGTACAAAAAGATCTTCCACCAGCTGGTAGTTTGGCGTGAGAGTACACCGATCAGTCTACAGTTGCTTGGAGATATGGATCTCGACGATGAGACCTTGCGGAGATTCCCGTACCCCGATATGTTGGAATACGTCGGGTGCGTGGAGGCCTACGAAAAGGCAACGTTTATCCACCTGCATCAGATAGCTGGAGCTGGTCGACCAGGTTGGATCACCGATCGGGCATACCTGGATATGCTGATCACGCGCGTTCTTACTCTGATCCGCAAACTATCCAAGGACGTGGGTCAGTTGGCTGTCTTGTGGCCTCTGTTCATCGCTGGTCAGGAAACTCGCAAGGAAGACGAGCAGCTATATGTTCAGCAGACAATGCATGAGCTGAAACGATTCGGCTTCAGGAATGTTGACAAAGCTCTGGAGCTCCTCGAAGGAGTTTGGTTCAAGCGACGCGCGTTTCCAGAAGGCTGGACGGAGACGCTGGAAGAAATCCAGACAAATATCCTCTTGCCTTGATCGGACGGAGCACTGATGTTCTTGATGCTCACCATCTCTCTTCTCCAACGACGTGCCAAGTGACCCCACCGCTTCGCATGGCCGAGATTCTTCCGACATCTCAGACGACACGCGTGAGTGTGGTCTATTTCTATACCCCCATTTGCTGGACTACTGTAACTCCGGCATATTCACACACACAACCTCATTCATGATAAAACTAACGAGCTTGACACGAACTTGGAACGAACACGCTCATACATTCCGGAGTCCTGCTCATTGTTTATACACAATCACATAGTTCCTGGACACATTGTATTTTTCGGACATACCAATGTGGATAGTTAATGGTTTCATGATTTCATCTTGAGCGATTTTTGAATTGCATTGCTCATTCAACACTCAATTCTATACCCTTCTACCTTTTTTTTTGTCTAGACTGATGTATGACCGGCTACTCACGGCCCGCTAAAAGGAGAAAAGTCGCAGATTTGACTTTGACCATCTGATCAAGCAAGAATTGAATCAAGTGGAGCTGTCCGTACTCTGCCAACCAATCCCAGTTTGGGGTCATTACAATCCGCGAATCACAAAGCTCGTTGTCGTCGAAGGATGCGAACTTCCCTGCCAGGTAATTCTTTGCGCATATCTAACCCTGACGCATGAATGCGCTTTGTACTCCGTACATTCATCCCTTATTTTCTGTGGTCGAATTGTTAGATGTTGCGAACCACGGGTTCCCAATTCAATCCTCTGGTCTTCTCGAACCCCCGGCCCGATGGTCCATCCGCGTCCTCCTGTGGTGCTCCCAGCTTAATTCGTTAGCGGGTCCTCGGGCGGAAAAGACTAGAACAAAAGCTCGAAAAGGTCCAGCGGGAACTTCCCCAATATTAATCTCCTTAACTCGAAAAGTTCGTTGCTCCACGGACCAGACAGCTCCGAGGATAGTCGTTCAACTAACTGGTGGACATCGGAAACCGGAATAAGCTGATACAAATTCTTAATAAGATTGGTCGTCATCTTCAATTGATTCGCAGTTCGCACGGATCCAAGCTTCGTAGTTTCTTATTGCTTACTTCTTCACCACTGTAGATTTCCCTCGCCCGATATACCCGCGGTCGCTTGTTGGAACCAGATCTGAACCACACCATCACTGTCTATATAGACCTTTATTAAACATTTGTATTGACTTACAGTCAGACAATCAAAGACCCCCCGCCATATTCCGCCAGCTTGAGGATCTCGCCCTCGCTCTCGCCTTGCCTAGATAGGTTAACCGCGTTAAGCTAGCGCCTTCTTCCCTAAACTTCCCGCGCGGTGGGGTTGGCAGGTTCCTGGTGTTCTGACCCGGTCACCGAACGGCCTATCCAGAGCCAAGGGCCAAAAGTTTATCAACCAAAATTTTCTTCTGACCTTCTTCGTGTGTAGCCAGTGATCTCGTGTATAATTCGGCGAACGAGCGCGAACTCTTTCAACTTGCGAGTTCAGTCGAGTCTTGGGTTCACTTTTTCTTTTCGACTTTCTTGGTTAGCGAGGGGACTTCGCCGCTCTCGTCATCCGCAGATATGGTGGCCGAACAGGATAACCTCGTTGTCGGTCGCGATGACTTGATCGCCGATGGGGAGGGTGATCGTAGCACACTCGAGGCTAATGATGATGCTGCTCTTCTGGTGAGGATTAGAATTTTGATGCGATCCCATGTTTTCCGGGACATTCGTTGCTGACTACATGTTACAGCGAACGATGGGCTACAAGCCGGTAGGTCAAAGCTTTGATATCTGATCCACGAGATCGGTCCCTAATCTAGTGTCACGAATAGGTGCTACACCGGACGTACTCGTTCTTCGAGAACTTTGCCACTACTTTCGGTACGTGCCGCATCTGAACAGGTATGCTTATGCTAGATCATGACTGACGATATCTCCCTCTAGCCGCGCTTTACTTCGTCGGTGGAGTGCGCGTGACGTTTAGTATTGGTATTGCCGCTGGTGGAAACTTGGCCTACTGGACTAGTTACCTGGTCACTATGGTCTTTACTTTCATCACTGCTGCCGTTATTGCCGAAGTGTGCTCGGCGTCGCCGTCGGCTGGTTCAATCTATCTCTGGGCTGCTGAAGCTGGTGGTCCCCGTTTTGGACGACTGCTTGGTTTCGTCGTGGCTTGGTGGAGTACTACGGCTTGGACGACTTTCTGCGCGAGTATGATTTGAATCATCCTCGAGTTCAATGGCTATAGTGCTAACCTGAGTACAGGCAACACCCAAGCGGCTGTCAACTATATGCTTGCTGTATGTCGATGCATCAATATTTCAGCAACCTATACTAACGCGCTAATAGGAGCTCACGGTCTTCAATGTCGACTTTCCTCAGGACACTGACAGTGTCAAGTTCCGTGCCGTTCAGTGGATCTGCACAGAGGTTCTCCTTGCTCTCGCGGCTTTGTTGAACTTCCTGCCTCGTATGCTCGAATCTCCCAGAAATCGGTCTTCTTCGTCACTAATCATCGGCTATAGCTCGTTACTTCAAGTACGTCTTCTGGGTCTCCGCCGGCTTCGTCATGCTCGACTTCTTCTTGAATCTCATCTGGCTTCCCATCGGCACCGCCCAGACCTGGGGATTCCGCACTACCCATGAAGCCTTCATGACGACCTACAACGGCACCGGCGCCCCCGATGGCTGGAACTGGTGTCTTTCTTACTTGGCAACCGCCGGTATCCTCATTGGATTTGATGCTTCGGGCCATGTTGCTGAGGAGACTAAGAACGCCTCTATCACTGCTGCGCGCGGTATCTTTTGGAGTACCGTTGTTAGCGGTTTCGGCGGTTTGGCTACCATCATTTTGTTCTTGTTCTGCGCTGTAAGTTTAATTCTCCGGGATCAATGGTTTGTTGTACTAATATTCCTTTAGCCCACCGCGGATCAGTTGATGGAGTTTGGCTCCCCTCAGCCGTTCGTCCCTCTCTATGCCGTCGTTCTCGGTAAAGGTGGTCACATCTTTATGAACATCATTTGCATTGTCGCTTTGTGGCTGGTATGGTATCCATCCCGCTTCTCTTCCTAGCTTTTCCTAACCCACTTTAGAATACCGCCATCGCCATCATCGCCGCATCCCGCCTCGTCTTCGCCGTCGCCCGTGACGGCGTCCTCCCATTCTCAAGCTGGGTATCCAAGGTACACGGCGGCCAGCCCCGTAACGCCGTCATCGTCGTCTGGGGCGTTGCCGCTCTGGTGACCTGCACCATCCTGCCATCCAACGTGGCTTTCACCTCCCTCGTCTCGGCGGCCGGTGTTCCCAGCGCCGCTGCGTATGGTCTGATCTGTTTGGGCCGTCTATTCTGCACACCGAACCGCTTCCCCAAGCCGGCGTGGAGTTTGGGACGATGGAGTAAGCCGTTCCAGTTCATTGGTGTGTTTTGGAATGGATGGGTTGTTGCTATTCTGTTTTCGCCGTATGCGTTCCCGGTTACTGGGCAGACTTTAAATTGTAAGTTTTTCCACCCCTCTTCCTTTATGTGGAGATTACATACTAATGTTGTTTTTAGATGCCCCCATTATCATGGCTGGTGTTACTATCCTGGCTTTGATCTCGTACTTTATCATGCCGGAGAGTGCCTGGCTTCCGCGGAACCGGATCACCCATTTCATTGACAGCAAGGGTGCTGCTAATGTCTCCGAGACGGTGGAGGAGGTTACTCCTTCTGCTCAGAGATCATGATGGGTCTTGGAGATCTTTCAAAACAAAATAAAAGTGTGATGGTGTGTCGTTTCGAGACCACCTCAAGGGAAAGAAATGAAGCTTGTTGGTATATATTGCTTTTTGGCTTGGTGTATATGATTTATGTGTGGTTGGTAAATAATTACGGTCTTGTAGGTGAGAAAGCCTGCCGAATTAATGATTGTTGCATACTTTTAAGCCTTCCAATATCTCTAGCAGCCAGTGGCTCGTCTGATTGCATTTCCATGTCCCATAACCATATGTCAGCTTGGACTCATCGCTCAGTTACCCCCACAGGATATACACGACTTTTCCCATATTTTCAAAGAGCAACGGATCATATTCAGGCATGGTGTGCTGCAGCTAGACCTGATGAGCCTTTTCTAGATCTTGTAGGTTTATCACAACCTGTTCTGATCGGATATTCTTTGTTTTTTCTCTTCTCCAGACATCCTGGTTATCAGTAAAGCATTGCTACCTCCTTGCCCTGTTTAGGCTGTATTGCTGAAGTCTATTCGAATTTGGTACTCATTCTATACATTGTGAACTATCTAACCTGCCCAAATTTCCATGTACTATCTAGAGTGTCTTTACAACCTAAGGGGCTCATAATGCACACAACAAACATTTTGCCAGACTCACCTTGCTCTTCCTCCCTCTACTACATACATCACAACCTTGAAGAAGGGAGAGACAATTAGTGGACTGCGCACTGATCGCTGGGACTTGGCACCCCCGCATTATCACGCCCGGGTGCCGGAGTATTTTAGCCTTGTCGTGTTTTATGATTCGGCATAACTGGCGAAGCTCGCAGACTCTCGCAATTCCTCCGATCCACGGATCAAATCAGACCACTTGATCCTTGCCTTTCTTCATGCACCAACTGCGGGGAAATGCCCCCAGAATCTAGTTCAACCGGTTACCGGCGGATGCGTGATGACATGGTGGGAGAGACACGAGGGCAGTACTCGGTCCATTTTCAGGGTATCACAGAATGGATGAACCTGGGTGATGGAATAGAATAATTGGATTCTTATATCTTTTGATCCATGCTAGTTTGTTGGATCTGTATATAGCTATATAGTTATATTATTGTTATGATATGGCTCCCCTTAAAAAGGTCACGGTGGAGCCCCGGACGATCCTCTCCGCGCCCCGCGGGGAACTGGAGATTGTGGCGCCGCAGCTTGGGTGAACCGGGGATTTAACGGCTGAATTAATCACTGTAGTACCTAAACCAAGCAGGTAGGATTCTTGGATTATACTTCAAACTCTTGGAAACAGAGATCAGACCCAATGCCCTGGACCCAAGGCGCGTACGGTTTCATCGCAGCGTGTTAGGTCCAAGTTTTCAAGTGTTCAGGCTTTGTCCCTGTCCCTTTGCCTCTCCACATCCCTTCGCCAGTTGCCCTCTCTCGAAAACTGCCTCCACTCCTGCTCTCCTCCTCTTTTCCTCTCTTCTCTCCTCTCTTCTTTCTTTCTCCTCCCTACCTCCGGCGCCTTGTCTTCCCTCGATGTGCCTACTCCTGGTCTGATTGTCCCCTGCGAGACTGTCAGCCATGAGTGTCCCGCTACCCCTGCGGTCGGCACTGGGACCGTGTCTCGCAGTTCCCAGTGCGCACGCGGGGAGATCATTGCTGTTGACGCAGTCCGGTAAGTTTTTTTCTAGAGTCGTTGTATACCATGCACCTGATCACGCGAGCTTCTACTAATACTCATCTCCTCAAACAGGCTCTCATATTCGCCGGTTTGCTTTCATCGCCTCGTCGCAGAAGAGACGCCCGCTTCCCCAGCCCAAATGGCCTCACGTCTCCAAGAGAAATGCTACGACTCCTCCTCCTCCGGCCTCGGAGTCTGTCCCGACTACGCCTTATTCCGCGTTGACGGTGGGTGTGCCTCGCGAGATAGCTCCGAATGAGCGCCGTGTGGCCATTACACCGCAGAATGTTACCATGCTCCTGAAGAAAGGCTTCTCGCGCGTGCTCATTGAACGTGGTGCTGGCGATGGTGCCCAATTACTCGACCATGTCTATGAAAAAGCCGGTGCGAAGATCGTCGTCCGGGACACGATCTACTCCGAAAGTGACATTGTCCTCAAAGTCCGAGGCCCGCAAATTGACGGCCCCTTCAACGAGGTTCAGGCACTTCGCAAAGGCTCCACGGTAATCTCGTTTTTGTATCCGGCTCAGAATAAATCCGTCGTGGATGCGCTCGCGGCCCGGGGAGTCACCGCGTTTGCGATGGACCGCATTCCGCGAATTTCTCGTGCCCAGGTTTTTGACGCTCTCAGTTCTATGGCCAATATTGCTGGATACAAGGCTGTTCTGGAAGCATCGAATCATTTTGGTCGGTTCCTGACGGGTCAAGTCACTGCTGCTGGAAAAATCCCCCCGAGTAAGGTTCTCGTTATCGGAGCGGGCGTGGCCGGTTTGAGTGCGATAGCCTCGGCCCGTCGGATGGGCGCTATAGTCCGTGGCTTCGACACTCGTCCCGCTGTTCGTGAACAGGTTCAATCGCTTGGTGCTGAATTCATTGAGGTAGATTTTCAGGAAGATGGAGCTGGGCAGGGCGGTTACGCCAAGGAGATGTCCAAGGAGTTCATCGAGGCCGAGATGAAGCTGTTCATGGAGCAGGCTCGCGAGGTCGATATTATTATCACCACGGCCTTGATTCCTGGAAAGCCTGCTCCGAAGCTGATTACCAAAGAAATGGTGGCTGCGATGAAACCCGGCTCGGTCATTGTGGATCTTGCGGCTGAAGCTGGTGGAAATTGCGAAGCTACTATTCCCGGAGAGCTGGCCAGCTACAAGGATGTCACGATCATTGGTTATACTGATCTGCCGTCTCGCCTGCCCACTCAGTCGTCGACCCTGTACTCGAACAACATTGTTAAGCTGCTGCTGTCTATGACCCCGCATGAGAAGTCCTTTGGCATTGATTTCAATGACGAGGTCGTCCGTGGGTCCATCGTGACTCTTGATGGTGAAGTCGTTCCTCCTGCTGCACCACCTGCTCCACCTCCCACCCCCAAGCCGGAAGCCCAAGCAGTTGCTGCTAAGAAGGCAGAAGAGGTTGCTCTTACTCCTTGGCAGAATGTCACTCGGGATGTCACTCTTGTCTCGGGTGCCATGGCCACCACACTCGCTCTTGGCAAGGCCACCGGTCCTATCTTCATGAGCAACATGATGACCTTTGGTCTTGCTGGTTTGGTTGGATACCGTGCTGTCTGGGGTGTTGCTCCAGCTCTTCACTCCCCTCTTATGAGTGTCACCAACGCGATTTCCGGTATGGTCGGTATCGGTGGTATGTTCATTATGGGTGGAGGATATACCCCAACCACTCTTCCAGAATATCTCGGTGCTGCCTCTGTGCTTTTGGCTTTTGTCAATGTGACTGGTGGTTTCGTGGTGACAAAGCGTATGCTAGATATGTTCAAGCGGCCCACTGATCCCCCCGAGTACCCTTGGCTATATGCCATTCCTGGTGTCTTGTTTGGTGGTGGTTTCCTTGCTGCTGCAAGCACGGGAATGTCTGGTCTGGTTCAGGCTGGATATCTTGTCAGCACGATCCTGTGTATGAGCTCGATCTCGGGTTTGGCGTCACAGCAAACTGCTCGACGTGGAAACATCTTTGGTATTCTGGGTGTCGTTTCTGGTATTCTGGCCTCGCTGGCTGCAGTAGGCTTTGATACCGAGACACTCGCGCAGTTTGCTCTTGTAGCCGGTACTGGTGCGCTTGTGGGAGGATTGATCGGTCGTCGCATTACCCCTACCGGTCTTCCTCAGACCGTTGCCGCCCTGCACTCAGTGGTCGGTCTCGCGGCCGTCCTGACTAGCATTGGTAGTGTCATGGTGGATATTGACGATATCTCAACCCTTCACATGGTGACTGCGTATATGGGTGTTCTCATTGGTGGTGTCACCTTTACCGGCTCCCTCGTCGCGTTCATGAAGCTGGCTGGTCGCATGTCTTCCAGTCCAAAGATTCTCCCTGGTCGGCATGTCATCAACTCGACGCTGCTGGGTAGCAACATTGCTACCATGGGAGCTTTTGTGACTATGGCGCCAGCAAACCCGGGCATTGCAGCTGCCTGTCTAGGCGCGAACACCATCCTGAGTTTCCTGAAAGGTTACACCACAACGTCAGCTATCGGTGGTGCCGACATGCCCGTCGTCATCACCGTGCTAAATGCTTACTCCGGCTTTGCACTCGTGGCCGAGGGCTTGATGCTCAACAACCCGCTTCTCACCAGCGTCGGCTCCCTCATCGGTGTCAGTGGTTCCATTCTTTCGTATATCATGTGTGTAGCCATGAACCGGTCTCTCACCAACGTCCTCTTCGGCGGTCTTTCCACGCCGACCCAGACCCAGAAGAAGATCGAGGGCGAAGTCACGCAGACCAGTATCGATGATACCGTAGAAGCCCTCTCCAGCGCAGAGAGTGTCATCATCATCGTTGGCTACGGCATGGCTGTCGCAAAGGCTCAATATGCTCTCGCCGAAATAGTCGCCATGCTCCGCGCCCGCGGTGTCAGCGTCCGCTTCGCGATCCACCCCGTTGCCGGCCGTATGCCGGGTCAATGCAACGTTCTCCTGGCCGAGGCCTCTGTACCGTATGACAGTAAGCTATTCCCTCCACTCCACAATTCCTGAACATGTAAAGCCCAGACTAACACGCGCAAAGTCGTCCTGGAAATGGACGAGATCAACGACGATTTTGCCGACACAGATGTCACCCTTGTCATCGGCGCCAACGACACCGTTAACCCCATTGCGATGGAGCCCGACTCCGCTATTTCTGGAATGCCCGTTCTACACGCGTGGAAGAGCAAGGAAGTGATTGTCATGAAGCGGGGCATGTCAAGTGGATACGGTACGTGCCCCTTCAATTTGGCACTTTATTAATTGCTTAATTTGTCGCCCGTATACACTACACTGCGGGTTGAACATGACTAAAACTAATCCCTTTTCGTGTTTTTAGCGGACGTGCCAAACCCCATGTTCTACATGCCCGGTACACGGATGTTATTTGGAGACGCGAAGACTTCTTGCGATGGTATGTGGATAGATTCCCCGCTTTTGACAGCTTGATACTGTAGTCCGCTGCACTTGCTTTGTTGGGAGCTTGGCTAATTTGTTATCCCGCAGCTATCAAAGCCGCCCTAGAGGCGCGGAAGTAAAGCGTCGGTTAGGGTTTATCCTCCGGGGTCCGACCACGGCGAGATACTCTATTCCATATTGCTTCTTCCCGACTGGCAATTTCATTTTGCATCTTTGATTATTGGCTTGTTTCCTCCCTTTTTTTTCTTCTCCCGTTCTATATGACATGTTGTGGTGGTCAGTGTTATCACTCATGATACATACCGCATTATACCATGCGTTTATCACGGCGCGTTTCTAGATCTCTAGAATGAGCCGATGAGCGCTCAGTTTGAATGAATTCATTGTACTTGAGATTCGAGACTATACCTTGACACTATGATAACTTCGTAGGAACGGCCTGTTGTTCTCTAGAGCCATTCATAAGAGGCCACGGCATAGATCCAAGACAACTACAGTGATGCATAGAGTAAAGTGTTCTAAGATGGGTGATTCATTCGAGGTACAGTAGCCTAAATAAAAGAACCAATCCAAATCCCACCACAAGACACGACCTTCCACGTGTCTCATCACATCGAACGCCTCCAAGCACCCACATCCATTTCTCAATAAGAAAAGGGGTTTCCCTCCAAGCAATCCAACACAAAAGCCAGCTCCAAATTACAATCAAAAATAGGAGAGACAACGCAATCAATTCATGGATCGGCTCCGCGCCGAGGATCCACCAGGACCCGGCCCAACACGCTGATCAGGGTTCAATTAGATAAACATTATCCCGTCTGGAATTTGAGTGACGATTCTTTCCAGTCGACTGGTGAGACACAATCCCCGTATTTCGAAGAATAGAAGTAGAGAGGAAATGAAAAAGCGGAGAAACGCCAGGAAACTGAGCCAATTGGGTAAAGAATAAGAGCCCAAAACAGGAAAAGAGAAAGAAGAAAGCCACCAGAGAAAACCGCCGAGCAGGATAAGCATAGACACAGAAACAAACACCGTTGCATAAAACAAGTATTCCACCCATAAAAACATTACCGAATTAGAGATACCTCGTACCAAAGAGAATAAATAATCAAAAAAGGAAATTAGGAAATTAGGCCTTTGTAAAAGACTTTTTCCCCAGCTTCAACCCCATAAACTTGCGTCCCCCAGCACCGGGTGCAGCACTATTATGCCGTGCATGGCGGCGTTGACTGTTCTTCCGGACAAGATGGGAATCATAGTTCACCGCTGTCTGGGGCATCTGTGCACTCGGTGCTGGGACTGGGACGGGAGGATCCATTTCCGAGCGTAGACTGCTCATGCTGGACGTTGCCGAGTGTTTGCGGGTCATGCGGCGCATCATTGGGGATCGTTGGGCGAGGATGTTGGATACGCTGTGCTTGGAGGGGGTGTGGCCGCGTTTCGGGGGCTGGGACTGAGACTGGGAGTGGTAGGATGGTGGTGGTGGTGGGGAGGAGGCGCAGGAGACTGGGCTGCAGGTGCGGGAGAGGAGGGATCCAACATCGCTGAAGTGGTCGGGGATGTAGCCCAAGTCTGAAGGGAAGGGGGAGGCTGGGAGCGAGGCGTAAGAGGGAACGCTGCTGTTGCTGTTGCTGCGGATGGAGGCTGGTCGCCGGCTTGTATCCGTGGGACGTCGTGGTCGTGCATTAGGCATGAGTTGGAAGGACTTTTCAGCGCCAGATGTGCGTGGTCGTGGGCGATACATTGATTGTGGCCTGATTCGTGGTGATGGTGGCAGGAATGGGACCACTGGGATCTCGGAGACGCGGTTGATGGTTGCGCTTTGGAGAGGGCGGGATATGTAGTCGTCGTCCAGAGTGGGCATGGCAGGTGTCGTGCATGTAGAGTCATTATCTGAGGAGGACTCTGCATTCTCTGTGTCTTTTGTTGCTGAAGCCTTGATCTCGGCTAGTCGTGGGACTTCGAGTCCGTTTTCGAATCTTCCATCGAAAATGCGGGACTCGCGGTCTCGAGGGTTTCCCCGTGTGCGAGAGCGACTAGTTCGAGATCGAGAATTCTTCGAGCGTGAGCTTAGAGAGTTGATGAACACCAAGGTCGGCCGTGTTGGCGGCTCCATCAGAGTGATTTTCTTTGCAATCTGGATCTCGGCGTTTTCCACTGAAAAGATAGACGATGGTGACGCTGAGCGAGACCTGATATTGGTGGTTGGGGGAGTATTAGGCGAGACATAGATTGTAGGCTGCAGGAACAGACTCGATGAAAGATCAGGGCTGTCTGGTGAAGGCAGTTCCAGCACCATGTCCTCTTCGGGGTCGAAGACATATGCGTCTTCGACGAAACTCGCTTCACTGTTACGCTTCACAGTGTCCATAGACACGGGGCGTTGCCTCTTAGCTCCTCGACATGGTGCCAGGAACTCTTCTTCCCGGTCTGAGTCCGGGTCAGCGTGCGAGTTTTCGTCGGCGCTAATATCAGAGTCAAAGATCCCGGCTCGCTGGGAGCCTGTCGGGGATGGAACAAAGTCGTGGCCGCCAGCGTCCGATTCGGAAACATCTTCTTCATCTGATTCATAGCGCTTCTGAAGGCTTTGCCGGCTCAGACGGTGCAGAGACAAAGCGGTAGTAGGCTCGTACATGATGGCGAGGATTGATTAATAGGATTCAATCACAGTATGGTTCATGCAAAATAGTCACACTGTTCCAGACAGGGAAGGAGTCGTAAGAAACGAACAGTCAGGTCAGATCAGATCAGGGTTAAGAGGAGAAGCCAGCCTGTAATGAAGGAAAAGAACAAGGAAGCAGCTAGAAAATGTGACAGAGCAATATCCTCTATCAAGGTGAGAATGTAGCCACGTTGGGGATTTTGTGCCAGTTCCTTGTGCAATGTCAAATAAGCTCACGAGAAGAGACCTGCAAAAGAAGAACCAGTTCTCACTCCTGTAACCGGCCAAGGGAAAGGTCTTTAATGTCGAGTGGACCCGTCCAGGGTTGAACAGGCACTAGAATGGTGAACAGGGGAAGCGGCTCCTCGGTTCCTGTCAAGGTCGCCAGGAACAGGAAGTATGAAGAAATAGATAAAGAGGTCCCACCCTGTCAAGAATCCACCCAGGGCGAAAGAGACTAAGAGTCAGAGAGAGGGGAAGGGCTTTTTTAGGGTCCCATCAAATAATCAAGGAAAGGGACGGTGTAGAAATCCCTGTCCACGTGTGCCAAAGATGGGTCGGGGGCTTCAATTAGTTAGCTGCATGAGCTTTGGGCTTTTCGGGCTTGATCGTTTACTGTTTTGTGCAGAAGCCCTGCTTTTTTGCGCAGTTCTTTTTATTATTATTTTTCATTATTTTTCCCTGATTCTTCCTGGGCGGACATTTTTCTTATTCTTGCGTCGAGTATTGCGGGCATTACATCTGCAGGACCGACGTGTAGATAGCCCTGGATTGGCCACAGGCACCCCCAAGTTCCCAACTAGTGAAATCATCCAGGGTCGGTAAGTAGTGTGATTGGCATTGGGCCAGTTCACCCTTGCATTTGGAACCAGAAGGTACAACCAGGACTCGCGAAGGTCGTTTCACCATTCGGCGACGCGCACTCTCCGCACACCGTGGCGGGCGCGAGAGGCTGGGAGTAAAACCTAAGGCGTGGATGCTGTAACGCCGGAAAAAATCTGATAGATCAACGTGAGCTGTCGTTGGCTCTGGCCCATGCGCCTAACGCTGGGGCTGCAGCCGATGTGGATGGACATTGGTCATGGTGTCCACTAGCCGCAGGGACTGGCGGCGGCAGCAGCTAGATTGGATTTGCTCCATGCACGGTTCAAGGGGAAAAACAAGAGAGGGAGAGAAGACGAGGAGGAGGAATTTAGAGGTTTTGCCGAATGTTACCTGCAGTTAGAAGAAAGGAGAATAGGAGAAGGAATATCGAAACAATATTGCGCCGAGGATGCGCCGTTCAGGGTGAATACCACTTGGAGAGTACTTCGGTACTTCTTTTGCGGAGGCTGTCACTGTACGGAGTAATCCGTCCGGATGAAGACGGAGGCGTAGTGTTGTGTTGTGTAGCGCCAGCTGAAAAGGGGGGGGAAAAAAGTGTCCCACTAAGCCCAACGATTGTGGTTCATTGTGAAGCGCCCGTGGTGGATGGAGTTGACCCGACGGTTCCCTTCAGAGAATTTCATGCTGGAAAACTGGAGTTAATAGTCATATCGACTCCATTCAGTCCATTCGCGAATCCTCTAGAGCATTGCCAAGTTAGCCGCCGCTCCAGAAAGGTGGGGCATCAGGTATAACTCAAACACGCTACCACGAACACTTGGGGCCCGGGAGGGTCCTTGTCTGACCTCGAAACCGTCGCGACGATCGGTCGCAAGTGGAGCTCGGTACCTTGATCCCGAGAAGTGGTCCATGCCTGTACAATGCGCGGTCCTGCAAGAGTGATGGTCTGAGTACTGGGGACAGTGGTGGCTAGCGTTGAGTTTACTATTGCTGGGGATGATGCCAGGGGGAGGAGGAGGCAGGAGGAGAGTTGTGGTGAGGTCAAGAAGAGTTCTTCCAGGATAATGCACCAACCCCCTCCCCCTTGGTTCCTGAATTTCGTGAACCCTAAATAGCGAAAGATATGGGTTGAAGGGCAATTATCTATCTGTATAAGGGACTAGGGGCAACCTACGGCAATGCAAAATGCATAAGGCACATCAGGGGTACAGTGGCATGGAAGAGGGGAGTACTGCCTTTACAAAGTAGAGTATACCATAGAACCATTCGACATGGTTTGGATTCTGGCTAGACTGCTCTCCTACAGGGAGCATTCTCTTCTTTCTATCCCTCAATCAATCCCCTGATCAAGTAAAGGGCGACTATGGAATACTAAAGGGGAAGGAGTGCAAATGATGACAGTATGCCAACGAGGAGATGATTGTAGGTCCCCCAGCACAACCATGACTATCTTCTTGCATGCATTTCAATGCACAATCCAAGCGTACCTGCCTCCAATAATTCCTTCTGATAAAGTCTCCCACTACGACAGTATACCTCTATAAAACAGTAAAGACCCCCTCACCTTACATGCGACGATCACCACGAATCGGCGAATTCTCCCTTCCCCAAAGGATCTCCTCCCCCACTCGGTCCAAGCTCCGGCCAGTCCTCGGCGCTATCGTTTTATCTATTTATTTATAGACAGCTAGTAGTGAGCACGGAGGACGGAGTATGAAAAAGAAATAGTTACATACAGTACAGTAGCTAGTTAATAGTGGACCATTCTTATGACATCTATCACCTGCACCCACACCAATGCAGCAGATAATAGCCTAATAACGTCGCATATTCAACGACATGGCACCAACCCATTTCCACACCATTCCCCCGTTGTAAAATCCCACTTCAGGCAAGGAACTCCGGTTCTAATGCGGATCCTCATTGCTGGGAATATCTTTACTGTACTTACCCTAGGGGCACGGTAAGAACCGAGAACCGAACCGCTGAAACGCAAAAGTAATCACTTGTCTGCTTATGACATAGTAGCTTAACTTCTTAACTACGGTAAGTAGGTACAAGTGCCTAAATCCACGAACTAAACTCAACAGTCGCGAACTCGAAACACGCCATCACCATCACCACCCCTCCTAGCCTCTAGTAAGTTGAACTAGTGTCCCAAGCTCCTACTTTCTGACAGCGGCGTGGTTCCCCGCTCCGAGTTTCGTGGCTAAGTCTTGGCTTACCTTTTCCTTCATAAGAGTGTCTTCTCTACGGAGTAGTTCTATATACAGTAATCTTGTTCCAGTTCCAAGCACTGGTCATCATGCAGTCCTGTTGATCCGGCTTAGTTCCGGCCGGTGTAAGTTAGTGAATATGCTCCGCTCCGTCAGTACCTTGATAAGCCTGTTTGTTGTTTGTTCCAGATAGAATGGAATATGTGGACAGGATCATGGCGAGACGCTAGCCATGTTTTTCTTGGAGTTTCTTTGGAAATTCGGCAGGTTTGTGTAGATACAGACAGACCTGCGCTAGGCATCTGGACTGCGCCAGGCGCCACGCTTGGATGTCGTTCGCTTGGCAATTCGTCTGCTATGACATGCTGATTTGGGTCTAAGTATTTTGGGGACTTGTCTGTTATCTTTGCTTTCATCAGAGGATCCGCTGGGCCCTGCATGCTAACCAACTGGCCTGGTGAAAACATGGCTTGTACGACATGCAGGGCGCTCGTCCAACTTCTAAATTCAGCAATGCGTGGGACATGGTCAGAAGCCAGCCTCGCATAGCTGCTTGGTACCTGACAATCCGATTTCCAACTGCGGGCGATGACCATCAGAAATGGATTATTGAATATCTCCCGGCCATAGGTCTTGACTTAATGCCTGATGGCTGGTTAATAAGGGATCGACCACGATCGACCTGCCAATGCTGCAATATACTCTCAACCTTATCAGGTTCATACCCCCCGAGCGTCCGGTGGCAGGAAAAAAGACATTTATTGGCCACGCCGTGCGCCAGATAACGATCAATTTCCGAACCAACCTTAGCTACCAGCCATCTTGCAAATCCAGGAGAGGGGCAGCGAACTCTTTCCCAAATGCCTTCGCTCAAGCATTCGATCTATCTTCCTATCTGCTTTGCCCAACACACATCCAAACGCTGTTAATAACGCTCGACCCTCAGCAACATACACGTCACGACTTGTCACTTCAGTGGCGTTATTTGTACCCCGTTACACAAGCCATTTATCTGCACGGATCGACAGGCCCCCAGTTGGTACCTGCATGGCGAGAGGATCCACTGATGTGATGCTCCACATTGAGCATGAACGGTCACATCCACGTCTGGTTGTCCCCTCAACGTCGGAGTGTTTGTTATGCTGCTGGCATCTCTCCGAGATGCTGCGAGATAGATGCACTTTGACAGATTGCCCTGCCACATATTTTCGATGTGCATTGATGGGTCTTGGGTAAAGCTCGACGTGTCGATTGCCTGGTGCAGGAGCTTTTGAGAGCACCTGCAGGAGATGAGGTCGCATGCAAGTTGATCTTGGTAAGAACCATCCCCCATATCAAAGCTGACTGGAGCCATGAAACAGTTCGTCCTTGCTTGCTCTTCCTCGACCATTGCCTTCTCAGGACAATACAGAGTACAACTACGAAGCACTGACTCGCATAACTGATTACATTTAGCATGATATGTGAACCTAGCATCTATAAGTACTTCACTGACACATCAGAACGGAAGAAAGCAATTGAGAAAAGGGCCTGCTGCCAGCAGACTGCGAGGGTGATAATGACAAACATGAACAGAAGGAGAAAAAAGGACATTATAGAATACAGCCAGGAACAAGGGACTGCCCAACAGTCTCCGTTCCCAGATGAAATGAAAAGAAAAGAAGTCACAGACAAAAGGCGGGGGAACTACCCTTCATCTGCGGCTGGCATCACCATTGCGCCTGCCCTCCACAACCCGGGCCCCTGCTGCATCGATCATCAGGCCCTAAACCATCAGGCCTAGCCTCATGAAAAGGTCATTCATTAAAACGAGTATAAAGTGAATCACCAGCAAGCAACCACGCCACATCTGCTTTACTGCTTTTGCTTGCTCTTCCTCTTCGTCAAGGTGCAAATATGTTCGAGGAATTTTTGTGAGAGATGAAGGGTTGGGTTCATCTCACAACGCTTAAACTTCAGGATGGTACACACATCCTCACACACGACTCCACAGTCTCACTCATATGGGTACTCGGGAGGCACGTGAGCTACCTCCAGCAGAGGGGGCCATTTAGGCCTTGCGGGAGCGAGTGACGGGGCCGTTGGAGCGGCCAGTAGAGCTGGCGGAGCCGTTGGAGCCCTTGGCACTGCCGTTGGAGGCACCGGCGGGGGAGGGGACCTCGAAGTTCTTCATGTCGATGAGGGACTTCTTGCCGGTGTTGCTGCGAGGGCGGCCAACCTTGGCAGCCTTGTTGTAGGTGGCAATGTAGAAGGAGATGAAGAGGAGCAGGTAGGAGGTGATGATACCAATACCAGCGAAAGCAGCGAACTCCTCGCCGGCGCACTGGCCCATGTTGGGAGCCCAGGGGAAGTAGGCGGAGGAGAAGTAGGTGTAAGAAGCGAAGTAGATGAAGCCTAGAAAGGGGGTATGAATTAGTCCTGCAGTTGTATACAAAGCGCCTGGTTTTAGTAAACTTACCGAGATCAATGACGAACTGAACAATCTGCAGCATGGTGATGTACTTCTTCCACCAGATGCGGATACCACGGGCACTCTGGAAGTAGTACCAGTACATGACAACGTGGACCAACAGGTTGATGGTGATGGGAACCCATTGCACAGCAGTCAGACCAATCAGCTGAGTGTAGCAAAGCAGAGCGGTAGCACCGTGGTGGTAGGTGTGGAGGAAGGTCAAGGGCTTCTTCTTGAGGACGAGGAAGACAGTGTCCAGGAGCTCGACGTATTTGTTGATGTAGTTCAGCTATGCGAGCGACAGGTTAGTCGCGCCAATTTTGTGATGAGGTTGCGCATGGCAATGGGACTCTTACGTAGTACAGGATAATCAGAGGCTGAGTCCATCCACCGCGGTGGTCGCAGATGGAGTAGAAGACACCGTGGCGGACAATTGTGGGCAGGAGCTGCTCAACAAACAGAGCCAGGAGGATGGCGCTGATGGCAGTCAGGAGGAAGTTGTGGATCATGAACAGAGTGTTCAGCTTGAAGGCGGGGAAGTTCTTCATGACCTCACGGCCACCAAAGATGATGATGTAGTAGGTGACCAGCATAGTCGCGGTCTGCTTGAAGGTGGACATGGGGGTGACGCCCTGGACGAAGTCGAACTGGCTGGCAGGGTAGCCCATGACCTGCTCATAGGCCTTGTCGAAGATGGGCCATAGGTGGACGCCAAAAGGCCGGTCCAGGGTCGGGACGGGCACCTTCTGAAGGAAGTCGGCCATGTTGTCTGAGGGGGAGATGGGATCCGAAACAAGCACGGGGAATTTGGCGAAGTCGCGTGAAGAGAAAAATCTCTGGGGGTAAGAGTAAACACGAATCTCAGGCCACAGATCGCAAGTTTGCGAATAGGCACAGAGTAAAGAGAGAAGTGAAGGTGAAGGAATGGAAAGGACCGACGATTGAAGGAGAAGGGAAAAGGGAGAGAGAGTGAGAGAAGAGAGAAAGGCGTTACTTTTTGCGTCCGGCGCGTCCGCTGAGCGCCCGATGCGGACTAGCGCGGCCGTAAAAGGGGGAAAATCCACAACTCCCGAGGAGTTCGGCGGGTTTGGGTCCCTGAAATAATGATCTTATAGTCAATAACAGTTTCAATGGCTATTATTATTTGAAAAAAAAAAAAAGAAAAAACAGGATCAGTATAGTCTATTCTATTGATCTACATATTGTTTCTCCGAGATATCTATGGTGATTGCTGTTAAAAGGTCCGTTTTCAGCACACCCGTCCAAACTTTCACATGCGCAATAATCAAAGCGTAGCTGAATGGCCAGGACCAACGAGAAGTAAACACAACATGGCTGCTCAGCCCTGGATGAGAGTGACTATTCGAATAGAACTCCAGAACCAATCTCATCAGTATTACCATTTCAGCAAATGTTGTACTCGTTTACGGAGAGTACACTATAAAACTCAATCCAGAAATTCAAATGTTCCTGTCTACCTACAATAGGGCACACAAGTAACTCACAAGTAATGCTACACTATCATCGGGATGTGTTCCACCCACATTGTAATAACAATCAAGTAGCCGAGGCTGTACTACCCCTGTCCTAGCTGAATATGTAGTTACCTAGGGCTGGAGTATAGATGATAAAAGGGCATCATTGATAGACTGGAGATTTAATATTTGGTCTCCACCAGTAATCCCAAGACTGGCTGACTTTCCTTGGTTGGGTATCGATCTATAGAAAGCCGGTTCAGCCACCCATCCCGCTTAGACTTGCTCCACACTTATCAACAGGTCTTCAATCTGGAATGCTCACCATCTTGAGGTCTCTCGTTCATTTGTAGTAATGTACCTCTCCACTAGTTCCCTAAGTCTGCGTGTTCATCGCCGCTGGAGCCCTCAACGTGTCGAGGTGAGCTCGCAGGTTTCAGAGGCGATGCTTGAAGAAGACGTAGCCCAAGTGAGCATCTGGTTAGTCAATTGACAATACAAATTAGCGTGGAAGGTCACGATCGATCCTGGGAGGATCTATATATAATGCTAGGAGCCGTCCTTGGGTATTCAGGAACTCAAGAGCTCCCAGGGCTACCGAACGCCCTTAGGCATGAAAAAGTCCACCCGTTGAAGGGCAGCCGAGTTACACTTTATACCAGTACAAGCACAACCATGCTGTACAATTATTGCCGATGAATGCATATTGAATTGAATATAAAAATCAGTCTCATTCTATAGATTCACAGGCATCTGTGCCCCGTCGGGAAACATTTAATCTCATAGATCGGGATTTCCGTACCGTATAAATCATTGCGACTGGAGAGATCTGTCTTTCGGGGGGGAAGGAGAGGTCTCGATTTGAATATAGACTGATAACATCAAATTCTTTTCCTGGTCATGTTTTCTCGTTTTGCCCACCATTGGTCGAAACCTATACATGGTTTAGCCATCGTGATGCACGTCCCAGATATATATCTGCAGTTCTGCATCCGCTTCCGAGTGTACTGCCAAAACCGGCCACATACGTTTTTATCGACTCATACCTGCTCTCTGATAAGCATATATAGGTAATAGGTAATCTACACAACTGCCATAAAATGCACTAATCTGAATGCCATCACCTTTCGTTTACTACACCTATATACTACACTTATATACTGCCTGCATGCTACCAGTAACTAATAACTAACTATATGACACTGACTCTCGGGATGACGGGACCACTTCAACCAATCACATATGCAGTAATCCAAACCGCCCGTGACTAAACACTTTCTCCTGCCTCAGGCCACCAACACCACACCACCCGCAAAATCCAGCCGGGACTAACACGACTCTCTCTCTTCTCGCTCTCCTCCCTTCCCCGTCTCCATCCAACTCTCGCCTCCACCACCGTCCATTGACTTGGTCCAGCACCACTCCGAAATGTCGTCCCTGTCTGTCTTCCGCATTGCGACGCGCGCCGTCCGCCCTGCCAGCTTCATCCGAGCTCCGATCGTCCGCTCCCGGGTGCAGAACCCAGTGACTCTCGCTGCTGCCCGCACCGCCAACTTCGGTACCACCCGTATGCTCCGCTCTGGCCACGAGGATGAGACCTACGAGGAGTTCTCTGCCCGGTACGATTGATCTTGCGACCCATTGGCTTCGGCGGAAACCGGGGGGATGAGAGAGGGGGGACAATGAAGGACGGGCTCTGCGCAGCGAGGCCCTGGGCCGGGTCCTGCATTGGTCCTCCAGAAAGACCTGTGTGAATTGGGTATGCTGACTGTGTGTGTCAATTGCAGTTTCGAGAAGGAATTCGACGGTGTCCAGGATGTTTTCGAGCTCCAGGTAAGATCCACCTGCTTTGGGCATCTCCCGGGAGATGACGGAGGGCCCCCTCATGCGATATCAACTGTCATTCGACTATCATATCGACCTTACATTCAGCTATATCAATGGACCCATCGCTAACGCATCAATTCTCCTCTAGCGCAACCTGAACAACTGCTTCGCCTACGATCTCGTTCCCTCCGTCCAGGTCCTCAGCGCGGCCCTGAAGGCTGCCCGCCGTGTCAACGACTTCCCCACTGCCGTCCGTGTCTTCGAGGGTATGCGCGAATCATTACAGCGAAAGCTGCCAACATCTCAATTGAGACCAATCACTAATACATCATATATAGGCATCAAGGCCAAGGTCGAGAGCCAGGACCAGTACAAGCAATACCTCGAGGAGCTTGAGGGTCTGCGCCAGGAGCTGGGCGTTGCTCTCCGGGAAGAGCTGTACCCCCAGGAGGAGTAAATTAGCGTCGCTCATGTTGTTCTAACCCCCTCCATTTCCACCTCACGTCAATTTTCTCTCTCTCTCCAATTGTTTTACCCACCACCCACCCTCGCATCAGACACCATTGGTCGATCGTGTAATTCCTGTTTGGCCTGGGGTGCTCAGATCGGGGTAGAAAGAGAAAGCTGTATACATATTTTAGAGATCTCTTGTGTTGTTAGTGCTGCTGTTGTTTGGAAAAAGGTTCTGCGGTGCCTTGACTGGTCCTTAATCTATCTTCCATTCTCCGGTTCACGACCTGCTTACGCGGCAGTATGATATCTCCACGTACCGACTTATATTGGACATGCAATCTTTTCACCGAGTCTTTCCATGTGGCTGCGGTGAAACGATGAGGAGAGCATGATTTCTTATTTTATATTTTTGAGCAAATAAATGTCTTGTTTTCATACGATATCATATAAGGTAGAAGAACAGAATCCAGACAAATATTGCAAGATTGAGAAAGAAATACAGAACCAAAGAAATATTGGTAACGTGAAATCAAATATAAGTACAGAGAAGACCAGACCCGCCAAAGCTCATTCTATCGAAGACAAGCCCTGGCGGCCAGGAACGTATTTTGTGGAAATGAAGTGAAAAAAGAAGGGAAACCAGAGGGGAAAAAAGAAGACCACAAAGTATCATCAATAGGTATGAGTCCGCTCAAACGCCAGGTACCAAGTCACATCGAAGGGTTCGGGAATATACTCATCGGGTATGCAGAAAGGGTGATGCAAAAGAGGGTCGAGGTTTTTCATAAATGGCAGCCATTGAAATATGGATGGGCCGCCACGGTCTATCAATTTAGTGCGTGCCAACGTACTTGAAGTATGTCGGGCGACAGTCCTCCTTGGCCAGGAAGTCTGCGCCAGAGTAGAATTGGCCGGGCGTGCAGCCGGAACACTTGGGCGAGTTGGGGCAGTTATAGTAGGGGATATGGTTGTATCCAATGTCGCGGAACCTAGAAAAAATGGTGAGCATACTGGTTGATAGTGGCATTAGGAGGATAAGTAAACACTTACCAGTGAACATCCGCGGCATCGGCGAACAAACCAACACCCAGCGAGTGGACCGGCGCATCGCCCCAACGCTCATAGAAGAAGCCACCGGCACGATCTAGGTGCTGGAAGTAGGACTCGTACTTCTCACCACGGAAGAAATCCAGGTCACCAATCTCAAAGTTGGACCAGAAGTGGCAGGTGGAGTAGCCGTTGGCGCCTTGGGTATGCTCAGGACGTGCCTGGTCATCCGTAATCCACTCCCACATGTTGTTCTCACTCAAGTACGACGGATTCGCGGCCAGGAACTTGCGAGTCTCGGGCCAAAGAGTCTTGATGGTCTGCGGGGCATCGTACAAGTTGATGGTGAAACCGTAGGTCTTGTTTCGGTCCTCCATGTAGCGGAAGACGTCATAGTCGACGTTGCAGAAAAATTGGACCTTGGGCTCAATGCGCCAGTAGTAACGGTACTTCTCGAGGGCGGGGTGCTTGTAGAACATGCCGCTGTTCCAGCGGCACATCTGGTGGTATGAAAGCTTAGAGGCGTACTGGATGTTCTCCTCTTCGAGGATCTTGGCGGATTCCTTGAAGAGCTCCTCGCTGATCCAGCTGGGCATATCCCAATGTTCCTTGGGGACCAACTCTGAAGCGCGCAAAATTGTTAGCAGTGTACATTCCCTTCTTCTTTCCCCCCGAGTCGCAAACGACCCGATCATGAGGCAATTGAGCCGGGCGTACCATATTGAATCTTGGCCTTGGTGACGGCCTGCGTCTTCTGCTTGAACTCCTCGGAGAAGGGCTTGTCATTGAAGAAGATATAGGGATAGTTGAACTTGTTGTTCCATGTGCGCTCGAGATCGCGCATGGTGCTGATCAGCTCGTAGAGTTCCTCGTTACGGACGAGGGAGATGAGGGCGGCATTGGTGCGGGCGGACTTTTCGCTATCGGGGGAGTAATCGTGATCCTCGGCGCGCCATAATTCACCGGCTGGTTCACCAGTAGCTGTTGAATGCGTTAGTATGTTGCGCCTTGGAGGAGGGAGGCTAATCGTGAATCTTGAATCTCGAAGAATCGCGGGAGTGGCAACGCACGATCTAGTAGGGGATCCCGGCTCATGCCGTGGGTCAGTTTGGAGGAGGGCCTGTCGGAGCCCTGGCGGAGCTGGAAGACCAAGAATAGAGTAAGTAGAATGCATGCTGCACCCAGCATGCGAATCGGACGTGCGATCGCCATGGTGTAAGTGTTGGAACTAAGTTTGAAGTGAAAGGGGGCAAGTTGTTCAGAAGGGCCAGAAGCGCCTTCACTTCAGCCCGCGCCGCCCTTGCCCCTTGAGGATTAGCGCCCGCACCACCGCGCGTCCAGTTGGCTTCTCCGTCATTGGAACTTCTGCTTCTATATCAAAGTCCGCGTCGATGATATTCAAGATCATATTCAATCGGATACACCAAGCCAGCTATTGACGGTCACCATGGCACTGGCGGCCTTGGCCTCGCTGACTGATGAGCTCATTACTACGGTTGCCAGAGTTGCCCCTGAGCAAAAGGTAATACATTTTCATATTATGATTGGTAGATCCCTGTTGATCGCGTGTTCTAGGATTCTCCGCGCGTTCAGAGTATTAAGCGCCGCGTGGAGGCTGCACTACGTCCAGGTACCCATGGACGGATAAACCAATTTGAAGTGATTCGCCAGCTCGAGGGCCTTCAGGAGAAATTCCAAGTCTTGAATCGAGACGAGCTGGCTGCAGCTCTGCATAATCGCCTTACCGAGTTACAGGGTTACCCGAATGCATGGCATCCCGAAATTCTGAGCTTGTTGGTGCAACTCTCAGATCGTCCTGCTCAACTAGCAAAAATTAATCGATCGGCGACGCCGCTCAACGCAAATCAAGCCCCCGAGCAGCCGTTGTCATGGGCTGACCTCGATGCTAGCGGGGCCGCCTTCGGCGACGAAGATATCTGGGAGGAGGTTGATTTCGACCCCAGCTCCTCAGGCGATGACTTTGATTCTTTTACCAGTGAGGTCTCTCTCACCCGAGGGACGCCCCAAACACCCCCTGCGTCAGAGGAAGAGTATGTAATTCCGGACGCGGTGTTTGTCTCGGGCGAAGATGAAGACCTTATCACTTCTATGGAGAAGGCTCAGTTTTGGAAGCCTGAGAACAAACCTCCTGTTTCCAGAGGGAAAGAGGAGGCGTCCTGTCCTATCACTGAATTGCAATTAGCCAGAGAAGCGATATTCATGCTGCAAGGCTTACCGACGTCGATCTTCTGGCGTTTCGATAATGATATTGAAGTAGACCGCAGCTACAAACTTGCACACTCATCCCATACGGCTCTTCTATCGTTGTTGGAGTTTTTCACCGAGACTGGCTCAAAGATTGACACCCTTCGGCGATTCACCGCAGCTCCCCAGTCGATAGCCTACATGCAGACATTCTGCCGAGGCGTCGAAGACCGTCTGCACGAGTTCGATGGGTTTCTCTCCAAGGTCCAATCTAGCTATCTCTCTGCTGGCTCGATAGTTAGTCTCCTTCAATTGAGTGACGATGTTCGCCAATTTTCTCATCAACTGCTGCTTTTATCCGACCTGGTTGCAAAGTTGGAGAAGAACTCGACGGATCGACCAATGCGATGCCTCGACCTATTGTACAACTTGGTATGCATGACAGAAGCTCTGGGCGACGAGGAAACCACAAGAACACTCGCAATCTTGTTCTTCTCATGCTTCAAAACTTATACAAGGTCAATCCAACTTTGGATGGAATCTGGTCAAGCTGATTCCACCGACACAGCTTTCTTTGTGAAATTGAAAAGTGACAATGGTGATCTGCGGACATTGTGGCATGACTGGTACGAGATTGATGAGGGACACCGAGGAGAGAATATTCCTCAATTTCTGGAGCCTAGTCTTCTCAAGGTCTTTACTACTGGCAAGAGCATGGTCTTCCTGCGCCACCTGAATGCACTTCCAGACCGTTCTCAGTCAGCAATCCAGGCGGACACGATATTCGATGATGTGTATGCCGAATCAACACATACGGCTCTTCCTTTTTCTGCACTAGTCGAGTCTGCGTTTGACCGCTTGGTAGATCTCAATCACTCGGCCAGCGCGGGTCTTCTGCGGACAGAACTTTATGAACAGTGTGGATTTTGGTTGTCTTTCGACGCCCTGCAACACGTCTATCTTGGCCAGGACCTGAGCATCATCGGCATGATCGACACTAAGGTCTTCGAGCTGATGGACCGCGGCCGATCATGGGATGACAAGTTCCTGCTGACCGAGGTGACAAGGTCCGCATTTAGCGCAATGCCAAATATGGACCTATCAAGACTGGTTGTACGATCGAATGGCTCTTCCTCCCATGACACTCACACCCTTACCCGAACTGTCGATATCCTCGAAACTATCTCCATCGACTACGTACTTCCATGGCCCGTGGCAAACATCGTCACACAGGACGCCATCCACGCCTACCAGCGAATCTCGACATTCCTCATGCAGATCCGCCGCGCAAAGTATGCCCTTGTCAAGCAGCGCTTACGAGACGGACGCGGTGTAACACCGGGTGACCGAGATGGAGCCCTTGTGCACAGTCTGCACCACAATCTACTCTGGGTTTTCGATACCCTCTACGCACACCTTACCTATTTCGTAATATCAACCGGAAACCAATCTCTACACCAGGCTCTCTCCAATGCCGAGGACGTAGACGCCATGATCACCGCACACGACTCCTACATCTACTCACTGGAAGACCAATGTCTCCTATCCAACAATCTCTCTCCAATCCACGAGGCTATCATCAACCTCCTGGATCTCTCCATCCACTTCGCAGACCTACAGACCGTCCACGCAGCCGAGGAAGGAATGTTTGATCAAGGCGATGCTAGCATGCTGAATACACTACGGCGAAAGAGGAGTGACGAAGATAACTCGGACTCGGATTCAGATGAAGACAATGACTTTGAGCATGAGCAAACATTGACTATCTCATTCCGCGATTCGCCATATGCTCTCCAGATACGAAATGTCAAGCGTCAGTTTGATCATTTGATGAACTTTGTGGCAGATGGGCTGAAAGGTGTTGCTCGCGCTGATGGTCTGCCTAGCTGGAACATTTTGGCAGAGCGTCTGGAATGGAGAAAGAGCTGATACATAGTGAACGGGGAATAGGGACCGGAATGCGAACACGACTAACCTTTGAGACAGAGGCAACAAGACCTAGTCGTCGTAATTAGTTATATCGATGAGATTTATGAATACCTAGAAAATAAAGAATTGACGAATTGACGAATGGACTTGATTAAATAATGGTATCTGGACGATATGGGCTAAATTCTATATTCCTGTGAATGCTCCGTCTCCATATCGAAAGTCTTGGCAAGACAAAAGGATGTTATCCGTTAATCACCACGTGACATCTCCGATAAGCCCACCGCAATCGGCCTAGGGCGGGGCCGCTCATTTTTTCAACAAAAAGTTGAGGGAGTCATAGTGGGGAATTATTCTTTGCCTCAAGTCCATACTTGAGCGGCATCACAGCCCTTCCTCCTCCTTTGTCCCAAGGGAGGCTTGGTCTTGATTGACTTCACCTATCTCATAAACATGGCTCCCACCGACTCTTATCTTGCCATCCCGGGCTCGGTGGCGTTCTCTCGTTCGCGGGGACATGCCATTGCGGAGAGCCTGGGTGTTCAAGATATCCGTGCTCAATGGATTCACTATGTGCACACATCCCAGCCATTGGACCAATCTCAACGTGCTGTCCTCGAGCAACTTCTCAAGTACGGCGACATCACCGACGTTCCTCCTTCCTTCACCTCCGATGACGGTCAATTCGATACCTTCTACGTCTTCCCTCGTACCGGAACTATTTCGCCATGGAGCTCTCAGGCTACTGGTATTGCCCAAGTCTGCGGTCTGCGTCAGTCTGTGAAGCGGATTGAGCGGGGTATGAAGGTTTCATGCCTCCGCAATGGCGGAGAGGAGTACAAGGATGGGTATCTGGATCTCCTCCATGATCGCATGACTCAGATTATCGGCAAGGACGAGCCTGATCTGAAGCTCATGTTCTCCGAGCACGAGCCTCTTCCTCTGAAGACAATCTCCCTTCAGGGAGGTGACAAGTCTCCCAAGGAAGTTCTCCAGGAGGCAAACAAGGAATTGGGTCTTGCATTGGACGAGTCCGAGATCGACTACCTGGCGGAGGCGTATGGCCCCAACGGCGCCATTGCTCGTGATCCCACCGATGTCGAGCTGTTCATGTTCGCTCAGGTGAACTCGGAGCACTGCCGTCACAAGCAGTTCAATGCTTCATGGGTGATTGATGGCAAGCCCATGCCCAACAGCCTTTTCGCCATGATCCGCAACACACACAAGAAGAACCCCGAATACACTGTCAGTGCTTACAGTGACAATGCTGCTGTTCTGGAGGGTGGCCCGGCTGCATTCTGGGCCCCGGATCCTACCACTGGAGAGTGGACCCACACCAAGGAAGTTGTGCATTTCCTGGCCAAGGTCGAGACTCACAACCACCCCACTGCTGTCTCTCCTTACCCCGGAGCTGCCACTGGCTCCGGTGGTGAGATTCGTGACGAGGGTGCGGTCGGTCGCGGTTCCCGCCCCAAGGCCGGTCTGTCTGGTTACTGTGTCTCTGATCTCTTGATTCCTGGACTGCGCCAGCCCTGGGAGCTCGAGGTGGGCAAGCCCAACCACATCGCGAGCAGTTTGGACATCATGCTGGAAGCTCCTATTGGCAGCGCTGCTTTCAACAACGAATTTGGTCGTCCTTGCACTGGTGGTTACTTCCGTACCCTTCTTACCGAGATTGACGTTGGCAACGGCCAGAAGGAGATCCGTGGATACCACAAGCCTATTATGATCGCTGGTGGTGTCGGCACTGTTCGCCCCCAGCACGCTCTCAAGAACCCCGATGTGGTCAAGCCTGGTTCCTACCTCGTCGTGCTCGGTGGCCCAGCTATGCTGATCGGTCTTGGCGGTGGTGCTGCTTCTAGTATCACCTCTGGTGAGGGATCCGCTGATCTTGACTTCGCCAGTGTCCAACGAGGCAACGCTGAGGTTCAGCGCCGAGCCCAGGAGGTTATCAACGCCTGCGTTGCCATGGGCAATGACAACCCCATCAAGTTCATTCACGATGTGGGTGCTGGTGGTCTCTCCAACGCTCTGCCCGAGCTGATCCACGACTCCGGTCTGGGTGCCAAGTTCGAGCTGCGCGAGGTGGACAGCGCTGACCGCAGCATGAGCCCCATGCAGATCTGGTGCTGTGAGGCTCAGGAGCGTTACGTCCTGGCTGTTGGCGAGGACAGCATCAATAAGTTCACCGCTATTGCTCAGCGTGAGCGATGTGGCTTCTCAGTCGTCGGCCGCGGCGAGGGTGCTACTGAGGAGGAGAAGCGACTCATTCTTCTTGACCGCGAGTCCAAGGATTACCCTTCGCCCATTGATCTTCCCCTTTCTGTCCTGTTCGGCAAGCCGCCGCGCATGACCCGAACTGTCGACTCACGCAAGCTGACTCTGCCCGCTGTCGACTCCAGCCTCACCAAGTATCTCCCTTCGCTCTCGTCAAAGGTGGAGCTGGTCAGCGAGGCCGTCAACCGAGTCCTCTCTCTTCCTGCCGTTGGCTCGAAATCTTTCCTGATAACCATTGGTGATCGTACTGTCGGTGGTCTCACTGCTCGTGACCAGATGGTCGGCAAGTGGCAGACCCCCGTCTCAGACGTCTCAGTCACCGCCACCTCTCTGCTTCAGGGCGTCAAGACTGGTGAGGCTATGGCCATGGGTGAGAAGCCTCTCCTCGCTCTGATTTCTCCCGGTGCTTCGGCTCGTATGGCCGTCGCAGAGTCTCTCATGAACATCGCTGCTTCTGACCTGGTCGACCGCCTGAGCCGTGTCAAGCTGTCTGCCAACTGGATGTCTGCTAGCAGCCACCCCGGTGAGGGCGCTGCCATCTATGAGGCTGTTGAGGCCATCGGTCTCGACTTGTGCCCCAAGCTTGGTATCAGCATTCCCGTCGGTAAGGACTCCATGTCCATGAAGATGAAGTGGAAGGACGAGGCCAGCAACGAGGCCAAGGAGGTCACTGCGCCCATGTCATGTGTTATCTCTGCCTTCGCCCCCGTCGGTGACTACCGCAAGACCTGGACCCCCGCTCTCCGTAGCCTGGAGGATGTGGGTGAGACTGTTCTCATGTTCGTTGACTTGTCCTTCGGCCGGAAGACCCTCGGTGGCTCGGCCCTTGCTCAAGTCTTCAACGAGGTTGGCACCGAGTGCCCCGATGTCCATGACGTCGACCTCTTCCGTGACTTCTTCGATGCTACCCAGCAGCTGCAGGAGGCTGGCATTGTCCTGGCATACCACGACCGTTCCGATGGTGGTCTTCTGACTACCCTCGCCGAGATGATGTTCGCTGGTCGTTGCGGTGTGGAGATCATGATTGACAACATCTGCTCCTCTTTCCAGACCCAGGATGTTGTTGAGACTCTCTTCAACGAGGAGCTTGGTGCTGTCTTCCAAGTTCGTAAGGAGCACGAGATTCAGTTCCGCTCCTGCTTCGCCACTTGCGGTCCTCCTCCAGGCATGATCCACAAGATTGGTCGTATCTCGGAGAAGCAGAAGCAGAACCTGACCATCTACCACAAGGCCTCGCTGGTCTACCGCGAGACTCGTTCCAACCTCCAGCAGACCTGGTCCAAGACCTCCTACCACATGCAAAAGATGCGTGACAACCCCGAGTGTGCCGACCAGGAGTTTGAGAACATCCTCGATGATGCTAACCCCGGTCTGTCGTGGAACGCTACTTTCGACCCCAAGGACCGTGGCTTGCCTATCATGACCAGCCTGTCCCAGTACTCCCCCTTCGCCAACAAGCCTCGTGTTGCCATTCTGCGTGAGCAGGGTGTGAACAGCCAAGCTGAGATGGCTTTCGCCTTCAACACCGCTGGCTTCTCCGCCGTCGATGTCCACATGACCGACATCATCTCCGGCCGCGTCTCGCTGGCTAGCTTCGCCGGTCTCGCCGCCTGTGGTGGTTTCTCCTACGGTGATGTGTTGGGTGCCGGTCAAGGCTGGGCCAAGTCCGTCTTGTTGCACGACAACACCCGCAAGGAGTTCCAGGCCTTCTTCGAGCGTCCTGACACCTTCGCCCTTGGTGTCTGCAACGGTTGTCAATTTTTGTCCCGTGTCAAGGAGCTCATCCCCGGTGCCCGCAACTGGCCCAGCTTCGAGCGCAACACCAGCGAGCAGTACGAGGGCCGTGTCGCCATGGTTCGCATCTCGGATCCCGATCCCTCGCGCCCCAGCGTCTTCTTCCACGGCATGGACGGCTCTTCCTTCCCCATTGCCGTTGCTCACGGCGAGGGTCGTGCCTCGTTCGCCGGTACTCCCGGCCAGACTGCCGCCGACTTTGTCCGCGAGGGTCTCGCTCCCGTCCGCTACGTTGACAACGCCACCCGCAAGCCGACCATGCGCTACCCCTACAACCCCAACGGTAGCCCCGAGGGTATTGCCGGTGTGCGCAGTCCCGACGGCCGCGTTCTGGCCATCATGCCTCACCCTGAGCGTACCGTCATGAACGGCATTGCCAGCTACCTGCCTCCCAACGCCGAGGAGTGGGGTGAGATCGGTCCTTGGGGCCGCATCTTCTTCAGCGCCAGACGCTGGGTTGGTTAAATGTTGGGTTAGCTCCGATCTTGTGAGAGTTTTTTTTGGTTTCACATTTTCCTTTGTCTATATTTCCTTTTTCTTGGTTCGGTTTTATGGAGTGGTATGGTTTGAAGCTAAAACTGGTGCGTTGAAAAGCATTTACGAAACTGAAAGAATGTCGTGGCCTAGGAGCCATTGTCAGTACTTCTATACGAGATATTAGATATACCAAAATCAAAGTAAATATTCAAGTTTATTCATCTGAATTCACTCATGCTGAGTCGATCGTAAGGGTATCAAAACCAGGTATAGGAAATCCGGACCAACCGAATCCAGGCGCCGAGAGAAGCGAGGGAGAAAGGAGAGCTCTTTTACATGGGCTGATAGTGTATTTAGTTGATTTTTAGCTAGTTTGGTTGATAAATCGCATGGTGTATTCGAAAATAGGTGATGAAAGCGTGGCGCACCCATACGCGTAGCGGATGGGTGGGTCGCAGCGTAGCGAAGGGCACAGATATGTGTGTGTAAGAAGAAAGAGCGGTTGAATTGGTAATTGTAAGGCGTGAAAGGCTTGGCAAAAATCAGGCAAAAATCAGGCAGAAGTGTAGTGCCGCCAGGCATTTTTATAGTGCCAACAGGGTTACCCTAAATGATATGTTTGAAAGAAAAATATAGTTTCTGTGGGGTCATAAGTCAAAAGTGTTAACAAAGAAATAAGAGATATATCTTTAACACAAACACTACACTACTATCACAATTTGCATTAAAATCGAATCCTTTGTTACAACGTCGCGAAACCGGTGCAACAACTCCACTATCCCATTAACTTTCCTGCCCCTTACGCCAAGACACACTAGTCTGTATTTGGAGTTATTCTGGGAGTTGCGTATGTATTCGTACGTACGTAGGTTACGTAATAATTTCAGGCATGTATTCACTTGTAAATTCAGAACCTCTGGTAGTACCTCGATGCTCCCCCTCCGATGCAGCTTTCCTCGGGAGGCACCATTTCACAATCAATCACAAGTGGTCCAACCAACGATGGCTCCAAACCTAGCTCCTTCTACATACCTCTCTGTTGCACCTAGTTGAGACTAATAATCGGCATAGCGACTCTGCGACTGTCGGTGACGTCGGTCTGCCCGAACACGCCACATTGGCCGTCCGTATCTAGTGAAACCTCAGGCAAGAGAGGTATATAGGTCGTCAAACTGCTTATATCCCTCCCCCTGAACGAACGTCTGCATCCACGGGCCCTGCGTTTCGGCGTGCGCCAGCTCCCAGTAGAGATCCGCATGTGCGCCGCCATCGACACGGTACTTGGGCGATCCGTCTGCCTTCCGTTCGTCGGCATAATAGAATCTTCACGGCATTAGCCTGCCACGCTCTAATGCCCCGAAATAGATTGAAGACTTACTTATATCCATGGTCTTTGTACGCGTCCGAAGCAGCCCAGATCATGTGAGCGGCGCCGGACTTTCCAATACCCTGGGTGAGAAATTTTGGGATGATGCCGACGTTCAGGATATTTCCAGTATAGATGAAAGTCTTCGCGGCTGACGTTGGAAGCTGTGAAAAGCCGGAGACGGCTTGTTGTGCGGCAACAAAGGCATTGTAGACGTTGATGGTCGTGTCGCGACTAAGGTCTGCGAGAGTGATAGCGAAAGGGTCGTCGGGGGGTGTGAAGGTCACAGCGCTAACTGCAACGCGTTAGTCGGCTGCCAAATCCCGGCACTGCGAGGAGACAATAGTTCACCATTGTAGACGACGACACTAGGGATACCAAACACCTTCTTCACTTTAGCGAAAGCATTGATTATATCATTAGTTTTAGAGAGGTCGCTCGGGATGAGTAGTTGCTTCTCAGTGCTATCGCCCTCCTTCAGGGAGCGAGCGGCGAGTGCAACCTTGTAGCCTTTAGAGGCAAACTTGCGAGCGACGGACTGGCCGATGTTAGGGCCCGCGCCGAGGATGAGTATAACAGGGGATTTGGCGGTCATGATTTGCTGCTGGGTCGATTAGGTGTCAAGTTGGCGATATATCGTTCTTAGTCGCTCGTCAGTGAAAGATTTCAGGAATAAGCCTCATAGAAGATAGAAATTTCTGACTACTACCAGTAACCAGATGCTTTGAATTAGTCCTACTTATAGCTTTGTATCCCTTACTTCAGTGACATAAGGCTGGTACGTCGACCATGGTCAAGCCCTAGCGCATTATGCTAGGCATCGCATACTTACCTAACACTAGGTCGGAGCAATTCGTCGACCGACGCTACTCATATTTGTCAGCGAAGCAATTTGTCAGTCGAAGCAAACTTGTCAATCGGTGTAATCTATCAACTGAAGCCATTTATCAGCAGGAAGCAAGATAATGTCTTCTTCAATCGTCAAACGAATGCATAGCTCGTGCTCATTTAATTGTGGAGATAGTGTTTATCACGTGACCCACGTCCAATCTGAATAGGTGCTTCACTCCGATCCGCAATTATTAATCCCCCAACCCAAGTGAGTTGGTTTTGTTTGCAATAGTTTGTGTTGTTTGTGTTGATAACCAAGGACCAATCAGCGTCGGAAGGCCCCGAGGCCCGGGCGCGTTAGCCGCATAGTCCGTGAGTTATGTTAAGAACTAAGGCCCAATTAAACTGATAAAATGAGACAATTAGCTATCCAGCTTAGCAAGCGTTCGGTCAACGCTGTTTCCCGGGTGCCGAACTGAATGATCTATTACAACCTTAGGCAAGCTGGTGAGCCTTTCCAACTGCCCGTATGCCCTATATGTGCGACAATTCGATATTGGATACGGTTCCTTCTCAGCTTCGATAGGGGAGGTTATATCATACACGGAAGACCTTGCCGGCTTCCTGTCTTTATGCTTGCGCCAAATTCCCAATCTCAAAGCTCTCGACTTCCGTGGTCCGTCATTGACGTTCTTGTCCCACGATAAGACGAAAGCATCGATCGACTCGATGCTCATGTCGTTATGCTACGTGCCTCAGTCCAACTTGACAGAATTTAAACTTCAGTTACCGATGACGAATGATTTTGCTCCATTGCTTACCGAAAATATCAGCACACTGCGGATACCGATTGGACATCCTTTCAGTCGCCTTAATTATCTTGAATTGTGTTACACTCAGGCACGGAGATGTCAGATCAACATGGTAGTATTCAATGAAGGTATCAAGACTAGAGAGAAAAAGAGGGAAAAGAATCAGAACCCACCAAGAAAAGATCCTTTAAAGCAGGAGGTCAACAAAGTAACAAACGAGCAGTGGCGCGGCATTTCAGCCGTTGAATAAGGCCCTGCTTTGTATGGCATTGAAGGTCAAACGTGGAGATTAGAAAGAGATCTTGTCCCCAATGGATAGTTTACTCTATTCATATGACTAGCGCATTTGTTAGCGGGTTTCTCACGAGAAGTGGACATTCACTCGGCTCCAAAACCATGGGTCCCAGCCTAGAAACCTTGTCTAATACATAATTATTCTTCCTTACTAACGGTTGTTGATCATTGAATGGTGCCGGTAAAAACTGAAGTCCTCCTTCTGTTTCCTACAGTGTAGCCAGCTCTTACGCAGGGAATAGAAGTCGGTGGAGGCTGGGGCTACACTATCGCCTATGGCACTAATTCCATTTGGCCCCCTACCTGCAAACTGTACGGTTTCGGTACGTCAGGATATTGTTCGAGCGAGAGTCGATGTTTGATGGTGGTGATTTCCCGGTGATTCCTCCGGTACTATCTATTAGTTAGCAGTGCTGGCATGACTCATCATCAACAAGTCTCCAAAACACGCAACCTTCCAAGTACTATAGAGATCCTATTTCTACCGAGGGGACTATTTTTCTGTTTCGTGATACGTTCCTTCTTGGAGAATACGAATTGGATTAGTGAGCGTGAAATCTTAGCTTTGGATCTGAGAAATTTGTCTATATCAATTTACGAGTAAAAAGTTCTATCTGAGATAAGAGGGAGAACGACAACGCAAAAAGAAAAAAAAAAAGGGAGAAAAGAGAGAAATTGAAGCAGAAAGAGGGCCATAGGGCCGCAATATTGACGAGATTCACAATCAGAAAACAACCTTGGGAACGCCAGGAACTGTCCAGCATACCTTGTCCAGAAATTCCTCTTGGGTGAAAACCTCCAGCAACTCTGCGCCGCCCTCCTTGAAGTGATCCCACGATTCGAAATGAATTGGGACCATGACATCGGCGCCAATATCACGGGCAAGCCGAACAGCTTGTTTACCGTCCATTGTAATCTGAATAGGGCCAGTTGGGAACTCAAAGGTAGCATTTCCCAAGTTGAAAATTCCTGCAGTGATGTGCCACCTCTTTCCAATCTCTTGCAGTTCATCAATATAGACGGTATCTCCAGAGAAGTAGATTGCATTAGGCTTGCCCGATGGATCAACACCGAACGAATCAGTCTCTAGGACGAAGCCCGTAACTTCTCCAACTGGGAAGTGTTTGCAAGGGGTACCGGTAATTCGGTACGTTTTTCCTCCGATACAAGAAGTTACAGTCTCCCAGGGGCGAAGGCCAATGACTCCTGGGCGTGGGCGCAAGTTGGAGGCCCCGTCCACGGTGGTAAAGACCTTCCGACCATCCAGCAGCTTACGGCCTTCTGGGTCCAAATTGTCAAGGTGATCCTCATGGCTAAGAAGTACAGCATCGATAGGTGGCAGCTCATTGAGCTGAAGCGCTGGTCCTTGCTTGTTGACAAGGTGCGGCGGTGGCGGGATGCTGTCAAGACCGTACGGGTTCAAATCCATTTGCTCCCAGACCGCGGTCGAATCATACTCTGTCCCTTCGATGGCCCCGAAGAAGGGATCTGTCAGGAAGTTGACTCCATCAATGTTGAGAATGGCAGTTGCAGTGGTAATGTGTGTGATTGTAAGGGTTGGTTCAATGGTTGCTGCCATGGCTGCGGTAAGAGCGAAAGTCGCAGATGTAAACTTTTGAGCCAACGAAATGGAATATTAAGACCGTCTATTTAAAGGGAAACCGAGGTTTAAATACTTTGCTTTTCTGAAAATATTAGAAATTATGTTTCATCCTACTGATAACGTAAGTTCGGCTCATCCCACCCGTGGGAATAAAGTTTCATTTTGCCACGAAAATGGAGAGAAATTTATAATATCTGTGCGGGATGTCCACGGCGTTATTCAGCAATACGGTCTGGTGGTTGTGAATAACGTTGAGTAATTTTTCTCCACTCATTACGGAGTAAGCAATTGCCATTTCACGAAGGGGCGTGGTGCGCAGGGTCGGTTTCACCATATTAAAGCCTTAATGCCTGAATTTAGACCGCTTGTAGACATCTATTTACAGTGTACCCACGGAATGACCATGCCCGATGACCTCATACATTAAGCTTTTGGTGCATCATAATGAGTGTAGTATACCACCAAATAATTGAGATGCACGAATTTGTATAAGATCAAAAGCTTCATTTTCATATATGGCGAGAGATATATAACTAGTAAGCTACTCCAAAACGTGGTGATATGTGAATTTTTTACAGGATTAGAAGCTTCATTTTACCTGCCCGAAAACCAAGGTACTTTTCTTATTAGTTAACTTTGAGGTCTCTGTAATGGTAATTCAAGTATCCTTATTTTCTGCCAGGCAAATTCAGGAATTTAATGCCTCCATATCGTGAAAACGACTCTGCGCACTATGCCCCTTCGTAGCCACTTCCAAGGTTGCACACAAAAGACTCGGCGGAGAATCTGGCCGTTTACGGATTAACGTGATGGGGATAATTCAAGATCACTAGATTCCGTAAAGTGTGTATTTTACGCAATGAGTCAGAATATATGTTGAGTATATGACCTTCATAACAACACAACTGCTATCTGCTGCGCTCGAAAGATTACTTCGACTAAATGTATTCTGTATCCTATTCTGGATATCCCGTTGCAACCACGAAAAGAAAAAGGTAACATCTCTAGACTTTATACCCAACTGCACCTTGGTCTTTAGTCAGGACACTTTATCTTATAGGATTGCCACGAGTCCACCGTTTCGGAGGTAGACAAATTCTGGAACGTTGTTATAGAATGACTTATCGTAGACATCAATTTGTGCTTTGAACACATATAAAGCACATATAACATTTGTGTAATAACTTTTTTCAAACTACCTGTAGCTTTTCTACCTCTTTGATAAAGCGACTCGCCTTTCGAATTCGGTGTCCATAAAAGTAGAAGACAACTGGTATCAAAATGCATACTGCCTCAACAATTCCTAGGATTGTACTTGCCCAATTCAAGCCCAGAGTCTTATACATTGATGGTCCCGCAAGTGGGAGGAATGCTCCCATGATACTGCGAGTGAGCATATTTCCTGCAAGCGCAGATGCGGCGTAAATGCCATAAGACCGGGCAATGTAGTTTGAGGCGTAGATGAAGACGCATGCATTACCAATTCCAAAGGGAACACCGGCTAGGATAGGGATGATCCAGTGAACGTTTGGAGTACAAGTCCAGGAAAACCACAACTGGCCAATGGCTAAAAGAGTGGCACCAAAAAAGACGACGCTGACCATAGCCTCCGGTTCTACCATGCCAGTTTCTGGATCCTTGAGATGAAGATTGATCACTTTACGAAACAAAGGTTCGCATGCAATGGCGATCAAGACACCGACGCCTATACCGACGAACGAAAGACCACCGATGCCTGGCGACCACCCACGTTCTTGTTGGAAAGCGATTGGATAGGCAACGAAACATAGGTAGAGGATGCCATAAACAATCGCAACGTAGCCATCCCAAAAAATACTAAGAGAATGTTAACCTCGGCTTTGTAGCATGGGAGGGAGATAGTTTACCAAATTGGCTCAGTTAGGAGCATCACGAAAGGTCTCTTGAGATTGATTCTCAGTGAAGATGCAAATCCGACACCATCGTCATAGCGTGTCCACCATTTGGGGTTCTTGGTCTCCTTTCTTTTTATCTCGGCGCGCTTTTTCAAGATCACGGGGGCGTATGTTTCCTTAACAGAGGCTATCAGAACCAGGACCACACCCCCAATGATGAGGACAATCCAATTTGTCCACCTCCAGCCGAGATATTGGAACACAAACCCTCCTATAATTGGGCCATATACAGGGCCGTTGGTTGGGCCAATAGACCAGAAGCCGAATGCTAAAGCACGGTGCTTATCCGAGACGATATCATTCACAGATGCGGGCGAGTTCGCCATCAATGCACTCCCAAAAAACCCTCCAAAGAATCTGCTCACGAGGATTGAAGCAATGTTTTGAGCTAAAGCACCGGGCAACAACAAAAGCAAAAATATTATCATTGAGACAATATAGACTGGCCGCCGTCCCAAAAGCTCGCTAAGTGGAGCAAAAATGATGCTGCCAATTCCCATTCCAAGAAGGTAAGTGGTGACACCAAGGAGAGCCACGATCTTCGAAACGCAAAAATCTTCCTGTAGACCTGGAATCCCAGATGTATACAGTGTGCTGGAGAGACTGACAACTGTAGCACCAAGACTCATAGCAGCGACTGTGAGGCCTTTGTACCAAAGCGGCCACAGGCGGGGATTTTCGGGGTCCTCAGAGCCCCAGTAAACTTCAAATTCCGGAGGTGCATGTATGCTGGCCAATTTGGAAATTGCTGGTTCGAGATGTGAGGCGTAGTAGGTTTCGGTGCCGACATCGACGTTGTCGGTTTGTTCTGAGTCGTTCCGCAATGTTCCCGGATGATAGAAGTCCGGCATTATGGTGCACTCCAATTGAGATCCACTGAACTGCCTAGAGATCTTACCAAGGTAGTGGAGGTAGTTTAAGGAGTAACTCCATTTTGAAGGTTTGCCATTTATATACATACACGTAAATAGTCGGCCTATCCCACTTGCCGGTTTATCCACGGATATTTATTGAGTTAGCGCCACCCACGAAGTTATTCATCAAGTGGGATGGCCGGTGGAACTTCATTGGTGACTTCCTCGGGGCCCCACCGGAGCTCTCAGTCATTACCTTCTCTTCTCCCTTTTGCCTCCTTCACTTTTGCCATTTCACAAAGTTGTGAAATCCAGAAGTTTGCCAAAATTCTGCGCAATGCCGCCTCCTGCCGATATTGTCCCCTTGTGGTTCCAATGTGACTATCCAGATTGCAACGCTAAATATCGGCGTAAAGAGCACCTGAATCGACATCGTAATCATCACGATAAGGAAATCCATGTCGCTTGTCCTTATTGTGAGAGCGTCCTGACCAGGAAGTGAGTAGTTTCTTCAATCCCGTGGGAAAATTTTCAACTTAGAGAGTAACTAGTGACCTGTTGCGACGCCACATCCGGACTTACCATCCGCAAAGAGAACTGCCACCGACTCGAAAATTTAGGGCATGTAGTGCATGTCATGCACGGAAAGTCCGTTGTGAAGGTGTATTACCATGCAATGCCTGTCAACATCGCGGCGTCTTCTGTGTGCCTAGTGGGGGTGAAACCGTAAGCGAACAACAATCTTCGATCGATGATCTCTGCCCTTTGCCGCATATTTCCAGGATTAATGATTCCATTTCTGACGCTCCCCGGTGGATTGCTCATGACTATATTGATATTTACTTTAATACTTTCCATCCAAGATGGCCGTTTCTCCATCGAAGCACATTTGACTTCGTCAAGGAACCTTGTGTACTTGTTCAATCCGTTGTCGCAATTGGACTTTGGGTGAAAGGGACTCAGGAGGCACGAGACGCATCGGTACGTCTACATAATAGACTATGTTCCGCATTTTACGCTCAAATGGTGAGAAGAAGAAGCATTATAACATTAACTCCATATAGAATTGTGTGTTGATATCATCCTTTTGCTCTAGGACCAATGGTGCATCTCCAACTCGAGTCCACGCCAACACACAAATACCTCGTGGCCTATAACATCATTTCAGAGTGTGCTCTTGAATATCATTCTTTCTCTTTTCATTGCAAGAGAGAATTCCAGTACAGATTTGAGCATGCGATGCCGATTACCAGACGACAAATATGACCTCCTGGCTGCGCTTGTTCAAAGCTGTCGAAGGTGGGATATTTTCTACTACCCTAACATGCTTCTGCAACACGATGCCGATGCACCACTCGCGTTTGTATATCTGAGCGTTGAAGAGATTAAGAGATTTGGACTAGCCCTCTATAAGGTGTGCCGATTGTCCACACCCACTTCCTTTGACTTGAGCGGAGACTGTTCCAATGGCGGCAGAAATGATCTTTTGACCCTGGCCGACTTGTCCTTTTGCATGCCAGACAGTGATGAGCTGTGGAATGCTCCATTGGGTGGGGAGTCTGAGGTGTTAAACAAGTATGATTCATCCGCGGTGGGACGGGATAACGGAGATGCGAAAAACTGGATATCTCAAGCATCTGCTCTTCTACATGACGCTCGAGTTGGCTTTGATTGGATATAGCAGAAACTGTCATAGAAAATGCGGCTATTTAGCCACATATCAAAATGCATCCTATAAAGGCAACGATCGAACATATTCCCTTGCTATTTTCTTTCATGCTAGAGTGGCAAAATGTGAAGACACAAGAGTGTTACATTGATTAACCCGGTCTTTTCATGGAAATCCATGTTTCTATAGTACTACATATATGGTTTTGCTCTCTAATCGGCTATACAACTTTCCAATTCAAGAGCCAGTCATTTTGGAGACTTTTATGCCATGAGTTTGACAAACACCTTTGTAATCTTCTTCTGTCAATCAACGTAGCCGAATGGGACCCGCACCTTCGCAACCCCGAGGCCCACAGTCACCGGTTAGGAAGTCATGTATTATGTCGTTCACCCTTACATCCATGATCGGGTGGGATGGCCGTGAAGTGATCGGCCCAGCCTGTCCGGGTGGGATTGCCGACCCGTCCATGATTATTTATGGCCCCCGCAAAACATATAGGGTTTCTAAGCAATGCGTAACGAAGTCCAGCGTACCTCTATATAAACACATATAAACCGACTCTTCTTTTTAATATCGAAGGTTCCTACTGTACGCCCTACGGACCTTGACCACGCAGGCTGTTTCAACCGCGGATGACTCTTCGTGGTAAAGGTCGTCCAGATGAGATCCGCAACACCCGAAGAATAATAGCGCCTAAGTGAGTGCTTTGCTTTGTTACTGTAGTAGCACACGGTCTTGAATAAAGCTGCGGAAGTGGACTAGGCCACTCTCGCACAGATCATGATGACCGTTTCGCTAGATGGGACAGTAGGGAGATGGAAAGCGCCTTTACCGGGCTGCGGAGAGATATAGAGAATGGATCCTGCTGTTAGCGAAGCGAGATAGTTTGATCCGACACCTAAATACGGGCCATTGCCTTTCCACAATGGCTCGTTGTTGACAGAAAATGTCACGAAATTGTGCAAGGGATTGAAGGAAGGGGCCATAGAAATGGGGTACGGGCGGACGTGTAGCGTGGGAAGCATAGAGATAAATGTGGCTAGAGGAAGTGGGATGGATCGGAATTGCTCGAGAAGATCCAGTACCGAGACTCGCTTGTTGCGGATGATTGGGTCGTGAAGGTCGAGGAAACGGAGTAACTCTCGTTTGTTTCCTTTAAGCGGTGCAGATACGGCAAGTACTTTGTTAGCTAAATGCCTGGAGTAGAGCTGAAGCTAAAGGAGAAAAGATTTCTGTGGACTTACATTCCACGTTGCGAGTTAGGACAGCTTGAGGTACGAGCTGAAAAGCTCGGCCGCCCACACCGTGGCGTGGGGCAGACCGAGCGCATTATACGAATCGATCGTGATGCTATGGTCAGGTGCGAGATGGAGTCGAGCCAGCGTTTCCGAGACCGCGCTGGGTAGGTTGCTTGGGAGAACATTGAGACGATTGCCGGGGCGTAGAGTAGTTTCGTTCGGGGGGCAGAATTCCAGATGTCGCTTTTCCGGTGTCCCGGGGGAGGTTAGGATCCGGACGTCGGTCACAGTCGCCTCGAGGAAGCCTGGGTGCAATTCCACCCTTGTGGGTCTATTGAATCGGTAATCCCTCCATAATGTCCTTCATTCAGTGTTTCCCCGTCGAATTTATTTATCTCAAACTGCCCCGGGTTCCACAGCACTAGGCAACGACTTTTTCCTTCCAATTTCCAGTCCACGCTCGTCGAATGCACCGGTATGGAAGTGATCTCCATTTACCCGGCTAAACCATAGCCATCACCCAGTATGGTAGCGGGAGATGTTCCATCTACGCCATTCTTGTTTTAGTTAGAGGAGCGGACAAGGGTCCAGGGAAGTGCGGGTTCTTTTGATAATGCTTAAAATTAAAGCAAGACATCCAGGGTTTGTGATACGGTAGGAACAGGCACCTTACATCGATCAGTACTATAAAAAGGCCACTTCCCTCATGGAGAGACAAATCTTAAGTACAATCATTTCCCAATTTACTCAGTCATTCCTTTTAAGTGGCTCAGTCATTTCTCTAATATGGTTACCTTCTCGAGTCTCTTCTTGGCTGCTTGTGCCTTCGTAAGTGCTTTCGCAGCTCCCACTGAAATCAATGTGGCGAAGCGAGCTATCTATACAAGCCAGACTGGAGAATGCAATGGCTATCACTACTCTTTCTGGACCGACGGTGGTGGCAAGGTCGAGTACAACAATGAAAAGAACGGTGAATACAGCGTGTCTTGGGAGAACTGCGGCGATTTCACCTCTGGCAAGGGCTGGAGTACTGGCAGTGCCCGGTAAGATGTATTCACTTGGCATTCCGCCTGACAAATCGTTGACATTCAAATAGCAACATCCACTATGCTGGAGATTTCAAACCTTCTGGAAATGCCTATCTTGCCGTGTATGGCTGGACTAGGGGCCCTCTTATCGAATACTACATCTTGGAGAACTACGGGACCTACAACCCCGGCCCTAGCTTGACCTACAAGGGATCTTTCGCTAGCGATGGATCAGTCTATGATATCTTCACCCACCTGCAGGTCGACCAGCCCTCTATTGATGGCCCAAAGAAAACCTTTATGCAGTACTGGTCTATTCGCCGCAATAAACGCTCGGATGGAACCGTTACCACTGCCAACCACTTCAATGCTTGGGCTTCACATGGAATGAATCTAGGCGCACATGACTACCAGATTCTTTCAACCGAGGGCTTCTCGAGCAGTGGACGCGCTCATATGTCTGTTTGGTAAATATGAGCGTGAGGGACTTGGGAACTATGGATCCGTCAACCTAGAGTGAGTCAGGGACAAGTTCCTGTTTGATCTGTACAAAGGCTCTTGGTATGCCAGACAAACAAATTGAGACTCGACAAGACTGCCAGAGACTTTATTCTATGGTTTTTTAGTTCTTTGAGCCTACACTACGCAACATACTCACCAATAAGCCTTTCCTCCACGCTGTCCACGTGCCCCTTTGATTGCTATTTGGAACATTTCCTTCTTGGGCTTGGCTGTTATAACAGTCGGCCTGCTTTTGTAGAATAGCACTACCCATCCTGCCTATTTTCGTTCCCTCCCTTTCTTTTGTTCGGATGACTCGATCCCTTTGACCTCGATAGGTTTGCAGGGTTTGTCGTCCTCTTTGGCCCTACATGATGCTTGCGGGTGATTTCCTAGGTCCAGATCTGTTTCGTTTCTTTGTGCTTAGGCCTATATAGGCCTTCTTCTGTTTCTTGCTGCTTCTTCTTCTTCTTCCCCTGGATAGTCTTCGTCAGCTTGCTCTAGATATAGCAATTGACTCAGTCCCCCTCCTCTTTTCGCTTCCTGTGCCGGCAGTGCCGTCGGCGCTGTCATCTTCCTCTTGCATTGCTCCCCTAAATGTTCTTCCTGCGCACTCCCCTTCCACCTTTCATTGGTCAGGTTTGTATAATCCTACCAAAAGGCTACTGCTTTCGACACAATCTTAATATACAAAGTCTTGTCCTTTATCCATTCTGGGGTCTTCTTTGACAGGTAGCAGGTATTAGCGTACTTGCCGCTCTTCGGCTCTTTAGCTCCCTTCTCCCCATGACCCACTGTAACTTGTTCGCACGCCTTGTTTTACGGATATGTTAGAGCGCAGCGAGTGCATTTAAACCCTCGGTTGCTGTTACTTAGCTTTCTAGTTTGGTTTTATTGTTTGGGCTATTTATAATTCAAATAGATCCAATCAGCTTCGGCTGCTGTCTTCCGTAACTTTACGTACAATATTGCACCGTGCAGTCACAATTCCTCGCATCTAGTCACCCACGTCTCTTGCCTTCACATTCTCCTCTGGTGAAAGCCGTACCGGCTACTTAGGCCTTAGGCCAGCGTTAAAGCGAAAATGCAGGGAACATGGGACACCCTCGGCTTTGGTGAGAAGACAGGTGCCAATGTACCACATGACGCCCTACGTTTTCACCGCAGAAAATAAGTTTGCCAAAAGTAGTCCTTAAGGTTCCTCACAAGTCGTACCTATGGCTCGCTCTATATCGGGGTGTAGCCCTGTGGGATATTATGGGAGTATATTTGCCAGTATACTGTCAGGAGTGGCCGGATGGCTTGTTATACAAATAATCTTACAAGATAGAGAGTAGCTTACTAGCGTGAATGATATACGGAGTACATCGCGCCTATAGCGCCGCTAGCATTGTTAAACACCCACTCCTCCTCGGTGCTCAGATACTTTTCACTAATCTTCTCCTGCAGCTCAGCAACGATAAAGTTGATAATAGAGCCGGTATCCTCGCTATAAGTCTTAATAGTATACTGCGACAGATCATGCAAATGCTTAGGGTAAAAGATATAGAACTGGTCGAGGCGCGCGTCGAGGAAGCTGTACAGAGCAGAGAATAGCGCCAGGAAGACCGCGAGCAGACTTGAGTTCCAGAGAGAAAAGTAGCGGCAGCCACATCCAGAGGCGGACATTTTGTTGCCAGAGGACTTGGACGGCATCGGGGGGTTCGTGATTTAGGAGAGGGGAAGGGGGTGAGGTGAGGTGGAGGTGAGCAAATCGTTGGACCCCTAAATTAATAATAAAATTGAATTTATTGACGGTCGCCCCTGGGCCCTAGCGAACACGCTCCCCGCAAAATTATCGGTTCTCGAGGGTCGGTCCACGCCATGTCGGATCGACCCAATCCGAATCAGAACAACCCGTCTCGCTTTCCGCGGGCTGCGAACGATTGGAATGACGAGGACGATCGCGATATTGGGGCGGCAGAGCTGGTGGACTGAGGTGGGGCCAGCGGATGTGTCATCTGGAACATTAACTATATTAGTATGTCGTGCTTGGTTCTGTATTTGATCGCTCACTTTGGAGCACCAAAAGGATAGTTCTTGGTAGCTTCTGATTAAACTTTGGATATTGTTCTTAGTAGAAGCACGTGCGCGCAGAAACGTCTAATCTGCGCTAGCCTGATTAGAGTATTCATTTGCTCTATATTGAACACAACGTGCAAATATTAATATTTTGGATCTATATTAATAGATGGATTCTGGCAGAACTGTCGTCGAATCATTCTACATCATCCACCTAAGACCCACATGGCTGCTTCTTACCGCGACAGTTATGGCCCGTGTGGAGAATCGAGAATACCCGCAGTCCCACGTCGGCCACCGACCTTTCCGGCTCTGACCACCAGCTTGCACTCTTGGAAGCTTCCCTATGCGGCCGTGCTGTCAGCGCACAACATATATATGAGTCCGTAGTTCCAAAGCCGTTGAGACTCCCACAGTGCTCGTTTTTTCCTGCCTCCTCGGTAGGTTCTCTGGTATAGGTGTGGCCTTGCGACAGCTCTTGTCGCTCCTGCGTTAGCCCTCCCATACTTGCTTCCCTCGAGAGGTATTGCGTCTCATTTCAAAGATACCATGGTGCTTAGAAAGGCTTCCAAAAAGAGGGCCCCGGTTCAATCGGTTCAGGGGGTTCAATCGGTTCAGGGGACACGGGACTCTGAGTCTGGTAAGCCGTATGTGTTCCCAATTGTCGTGCGCTGATCCCTAAGATTAACGTTCGTCAGTCTCGGTGCAATTGTATTCATCTTTGGTCTCTCAACCCTTATCTACGCTTTCACCTTCCTCTGTAATGATGTGTCTGGCTGCCCTGTTCCGTCGCTGCTCAATCCGTCGACACTGTCTCTTGATAAGTTAAAGGAGGAAGTTGGTTGGCCCCAAGGCGGTCTTAAAGCTTTCTTTGACATTCGGGTGACCCTGTGGGTGCTGAGTTATTACTTACTCAGTCTGGCTCTGTACGTGTTTCTACCCGGCGAGGTGGTTGAGGGCACTGAATTGGCCTGCAAAGGAAGGCTTCGCTACAAGTTCAACGGTATGAATCCTCGGATTCTCTTTTTGTGGTAACGCCTAATCTGGTTCTAGCTTTTTCTTCTGCCATTTGGATCCTCTCTGGTTTAGCTCTGAGCACATACGTGTACGGCGCTGATTGCGTCCTATGGGTTTTTCTCTGGGACAACTACTTACAGATTATCACGGCAAATTTGATGATCTGCATGATCCTCGCCACCTTTGTTTATGCAAAAAGTTTCTCAGTCCCTGAGCCTGATCAGCTCAATCCCGAATTAAGGGAGTTGGCACCGGGTGGCCAAACCGGAAATGCTCTCTATGACTTCTTCATAGGCCGGGAGTTGAATCCGCGGGTAAAATTGCCTATTCTATTTGTCGACGAGGCCTCAAGGACGATTGATATCAATGTATGGTGTGAGATGAGGCCAGGACTGCTTGGGTGGATCATATTGAACTTGTCCAACATGGCCCGCCAATACAGAACGTATGGCTACATCTCAAACTCTATCGCACTCTCAACCGCATTCCAAACCTTCTACGTTCTGGATGCGCTGTACCTTGAACGAGCGGTTCTAACTACTATGGATGTGATTATGGATGGATTCGGTTATATGCTTTCTTTTGGACACCTGGTGTGGGTACCCTTCATCTACAATCTACAAACCAGATATCTTGCCGTTTTCCCCTTGGAATTGTGCTTGAAAGATATTCTGTTAACTTTGATTATTACTGGCGTGGGATACTCGATCTTCCGCGGCGCCAACAATCAGAAGAACCGTTTCCGCACAGACCCCAATGACCCCCGTGTGAAGCATATCAAATACATCCAGACATCAAGTGGCTCTAAGCTGATGATTTCCGGCTGGTGGGGATTGGCGCGCCATATCAACTACTTCGGCGACTGGCTGATGTCATGGTCGTACTCATTGCCCACCGGGCTTGCTGGCTACACCATGGTTGAAAGTATTAACAGCGCTGGGCACGTACAGAAGCAGGCCATACAGACCCCTGAAGTGCGCGGGTGGGGAATTGTTTTCACTTACTTTTTCATGCTTTATTTCGGTGTCCTGCTTATACACCGGGAGGGACGGGACGAAGAAAAGTGCAAGAGGAAATATGGCGCCGACTGGAAACGCTATACGTCTATCGTTCCCAGCCGCATCGTCCCCGGTATCTACTAGTCTACGAACCGGAGGGATTGTACCTATAGCTGGGTGATTTTGCAGTAATATCTGTTGTTACAGCAGGGACTGGCTACTCAGGAATGAAGCCGCAACATCGGAAGCAATTCCTACTCTATGTATGAGAAGAAGACTTGATTGGAAATCAACTTGGACCACGCGGTGTATATCTGCCCTCATGCTTTCCCTCAAGGAGGTGAATCAAGCTTCCTTCCACACTACAACAAATTTAGCTTTCATAAAGACTCATGGAAAGTTACACACATCACGAACCCATGGAAAATTATACCGAAGCTGGAGATTACCTAACCCTCTGCAAATAAAGGGCCTACAGAAAAACTTCAACCCATTACTCCTGAACCAAGCTCGACAAATTATCGGTGCGAGGGTTGTAGGTCTTGGGCATCTCTACCCTCAATCCCGATACGAAAGTACTTTACTTCGGCTTTCAGTTTCCTCGACCACAATATGCGATTCAACTTCTCATGTATCTTCACAAGTTTCAGAGCCAAAGCCAACGGCCACTGAAGACCCGATTACAAGAACACGCCCGTTGCCGTTATCAACGGACTCTTTGCAATTGAGCCACGGAATAGCCCCAGAGAAAGTCTCTCTGCGAATCCAAAGTACCTGTAATGCAGCAATTTTTACTCGTTTACAATAAGGTATTACCAATCCGTATCCTACTTACTCACAGTGACCAGCAAGCTCCGCGTAACATCAGGTCCTAGATCAATATATATTGACCACTTTACAGATCCTCTCGAATAGGTCCAGGGCAGCACACTTTGGGTCTATCGTCAACGAAACCGTATCGAAGATTTTCCCTGCGTGCTGCTGAAAAGGTAGTCACGGAGTTTACTTTCAGTGATGAAAGTAATTCATGGAATCACAGGGAGCTACTCTGTCTTTCCCAGGCTGCCACCCAGCAGAGTAGTGTCAGTATCGGGATAGGCTGGCCAGAACCCAGACAGGAATTCGAATTCAAACTCCACTTCCTTTGACAAACTGTGGAAGATCTCTCGCACATACAAACTCGGTTCGAAGATTTCTGCAGATTGACCATGTCCTATCCCTTATATTAGCACTTGTAGAAAAAGTCTCCTCTTGGGGTTGCACAATAGCCCAGTATTATACTGTACCATAGAGCATTAAAACTTTGTGAGTCTTGCAAGCCATTATGCAAGCCATTATCGGATATCGAGACCGTGTTACCTCGAGGACAAATCTTACTTATATTAAAGATGGCTAGTAACGCATAATTCCAGGTTTGCAACTTGTCAATCGGTGGCAGTGAAAGAATTTGTACTTTATAAGACAAAATAAAGAGATTTTTCCAAAACTGCAATTTAAACATACAGTACATCGCTGTACAAATCTATCCAGTGTTATCTTGCCTTTGAAACAGAAAACACTTCGCAATCGCGAACCGATACATTATGTGGAGTCAACCACACGATTAAAAATAATCATCTCTCACATTTGGTTATCCTACCGTCTTCAGAAAATACGTATCCTAATTACTTAGTTCTGGTAAGAACGAGACACCCCGTTCGGTAAACAAGAAACACTTAACAGTGTGAGCTTCTATCAAGTTTATATAGACCGCCATATCCTCAAGAAATCCGCGATACTTGTTAGCCAACTCCTCACGGCTGCCTCCATTTTTAATCAATTTTTTTTTGATAATCTTTATATGCTCGCGCACCCCGCTTCACTGACTCCGATTTAGACCTGTATAGAGTGATATTCACGCCGCTAAAACTAAGCGATAACGCTGCTTTGACAACTGTTACCCTTCTGCAAGGAAATATAACAACTTCTTAAGCTTCGACTGCTAGCTTCTAGCTTTACTACAATCAGATCGTCTGACCTGACCTGATTAAGAGAGAGTTCGAGGCCTACCTGATTGTATAGTAGTCTAATACTGTACGCTGCCTACCTGATTACTATCGATCTAATACTGCCGACCCCCCTCCATCTATCGTTCGACCTGCCCTATACGATTCTTTGCCGGATCGTATACTGATTTGACCGACCGTGTATAATTACTTGCTTGTTCACGCCGAAGGGTTTATGCCGACCCTGTAAATCCGACAAATACAATATCTATTTCTGCGTTAGTCCCTAAATACGAACCTTTTTATTATCAGGGAAAAACCCACTTCCGCTAGTACTGTTTAACCACAGTATTTCCTATTAGCGTTCTAGGCTTAAAGTTTAGAGGGAGCTATCTAAGTCTGCGGAAATAATTTAGTCTAGCCTAAGTTTCTATGTAAAGGATAGGATCGGTCTAGAACTAATGCTTATTAATTTAAGCTAGAGGTACAGATATAGGCACTATAAAGTGAACTCGGATACAAAGGTAAAGGTTTAAATCCTCTGATAAATAACCTTCGAATAGGTATATCGAGGGCGATTAGGGTAGTAGGGTCGGGATAAGGGGAGAGGGGTATTAAAAAACACCGGAAGAGAGGGCGGACGGGGTATCTTATAGGCGCTCGATTAGGCTAAGCGAGATAGAGAGGCCCCCTAGATTAGGATACAGAGGGAAGCTATTTTCGGCGTCGTTTAGTCGCTAGTGGAAACAGGGGGAACAAGCGTTGAAGTCGAGCGTCAACAGCAGGATAAGAGGATTATAACTAACAGTGCTGGTTAGGTGTAGAATAGGGGGCAGTACAATAGAGCGGGCGGTTAAGCAACGGCTCGCTGTCCAAAGTTACGGGTGGAAAGGCAGCCGTTTCTGGCGCTAGAGGTTGCCATTTTCGGCGTCGATTTCACAGGTCCCTATATTCTAGTTGTAAACGGGGAATGGACAAACGACTGACCTTTGAGGCATAGACGGCGAGACCGAGCCGTTGAATTAGTTGAGTAAAATCTGTTGGAGAAAGGGGAGGAGAAAAGAAGAGAATGTAGTGAAAAAGGAAGCTTATATAGTCCATAGATCTCACAAGATAACTAGTAAGATGACTCGTCAGATGACTTGAAGCATGACTTGAAGCATGACTTGAAAGACGTTTAGAAAGACACTTATAGAGATATTTAGAGATATGTTTAAGAAACATTCTGGTGGCAGAGAATGAGCGAGCGACTTTACCCGGAACAGCCATAGTAAACCTTCAAAACAAATCTGTGAGCCATCCTATACCCCCATGTCTCATCAACCTAATCAAAGTGAATGCGCCACAACTCTCGTTCGCAGTCACTTTTATATCCCGTGCGAGTATGCAACATGGCAATGTTATCACTGATCAGGAGATCACCTTTCTCCCACTCAAAGCGAAGACAGACTCTGTGATCATATGTGACGCGATCAATAATCTGAACGAGGCTCGGGTCTTCATTCTCAATCTTCACATCGCAAGTGGAGAATTTAGTCTTTGTGGAGTCCCATGGCTGATGCCATCTGAGGCAAGGAAGTCCCGAAACAGAATGCTTCACAAGTAGCGGGAGACTCTTCAATTTTGCATCCCAGAAGCCATCATTATCCATAGCCCAGGTAACTTTCTGCAGACGCTCCACATTCCAGGGTTGCGGGAGATATCTGAAGAAGAGACGCGAGCTGGCGAACAGGGTGTATCCACTGCCCTTTGGGGCGGTCGCCGGACAAGTGAAAACCTGGTAGCCAGGGGGGCGCTGAACTCTCTTAGTTTCTCCAGTAACTGGATCTGTGACTTCTTCGAATTTAAACATGCCATCAAAATGCATTGGCATAGCCTCGTTGGAGGTAACATTGTTACCCATTTTATCCACGCGACCAGCATCCCGCACTTTCTGAATGATGCCAAAGCTCCACGGGAGAATGGTACCCAGTTCAGTTCCAGCTTTGACATATAAGTCTTCGTCAAGTGTCTCTGCGAATCCACGTAAAACCACAGGAGACATGCTATTGGAGATCTTCCGGACCTTGTGCATAGGGATGGCACTAATAGACGGTCGCGGGTTCAGATCGTCGATATCGGTGGGACGGATGATGACTCCACATGGATAAAGATGCTCAAATTTTACAGAGAGGCCATGCTTAGACCAATCGAAGGTTTCGGATTTCTCCCGGAAGAAGTATGGCTGGCCGTTCTTATATATCAGATCATGCGTTTCACGCACATCTTCAGCGTGGACAGTACGATATGAGCCGTTCAGACCAATGGCCACAGAAGCATGCCATGGCGTAAATCCAAGGGCTCCACGAATCTGTGGAATGAGCGAAACTGAAAGTTTCTTCTCACCCGCGGATTCATGAATAGATAATCGAACATAGTCGCCCCGATTGGCTTTGATGGCGGCAGCAAACATCTTCCCGCGAATAATCATCTTGCGCGCGATCTGGGAGATCTGAGTCTGTCTCGCACGTTTTGAAAGAGTTTGAGTCTCTTCTTGATGTGCGAGATCCTTGGTAAGGAACTTGATATATCCACGATATGTCAGGCAAGTATCATTGTCGGTCTTGATAGCCTCGTCGGCGTTGAAAGTCGGATCTCCGAAGGCGAACATTAGTTCGCGACGCAGGCAGCTGGCGTGAGCTAGATAGAAGGCTTTCGCAGCCTCTGGGCTGCTGCTTGGGAACCAAGGGTGCTCAAGAAGCTCGTACAAGCGAATGAACTTCACATGACGAAGGCCTTTCTCCACTGCCATCTTTCGCAGCGTCTCGCCATAATCCCAGACAGTTTCGTCTGAAACCCCAAGAAGATCTGAGAGTCTGTGTTAGAGATATGTGAAGCACTCGGCATTATTTTACATACCATTGTAGACTAGACCGTCCGAGCTGATGTATACATTGGCTCCTGGCTCATATACTTGGGCGATATTCTGACACAACCCGTTCAGATGGAAAAGCGCCAGTTCCTCACCGAAGTCAGGCAATGTACCCAGCACCTTGTCTCGTGAGTTGGGTGATTTGAATGGAAAGGCGGGTAGAATCATGCGGATGGGTTCCTGGCGCTTGACCTGTTCGACCACTATAGGGACGAATGACTCCAACCCCTTCCAGGAACCACCATTTTTTTCATAGTCCACGCCGTAACTCTCAATAACCTTCAAAATTTCAACTGCCATTTTTCGATCGCCGGTGTGAGCATCGATGAGAGGATTAAGTGGAGTCTGGCCGTTGAGAGCGGTTTGCGCGTGTTGTGTCGAGGCATTGCCGTTTGCGGTAATTCGATCAGGATTGGGACTTTCAGATTCGGAAGGGGGCTCCGCGCCACTAATGGATACATCAATCGGAACTTCATCGGTATTGTTGCGCTCGTCAAACGTAATAATGCCATTTTTGGCCGGACTCTGCAAATATTGGGCCGCGGCCGTGTCCGCAAGGGGGGTCGGAGCAATCATGGTGACGCTTGGAAGTCAAATGGGGTCACACCCATGTATCGTTGTCCTCGTGACAAAGACAAGCTGGTGAAATTTTCCAAAATGCCAAAAAGCAGTAGAGAAGACTTCAATTGCCTTGTTTTATCTGTCAAGTGCAGATAGCCAGACAAAAAGTCTCGAGTCGCTGCAGCACAACTTGGTGCTATATACCCGATCCGAGTCAAGGTCAGATCTCTCGAGAACTGACAACGCCAGTAGAGAAAGCTCAGCCGTATGACCCTTATTTCCTATGGCGGACTAAGATCAAGGGTTTGAAGCTGAACGGAAAAGGTCGTAGACCGCTAGTTCGTTGGGTCTGTACAACTCTCGCCGTGTTGATCTCACTCTTTTTCTCTGGGAAAAGTCTAAAGTACGAAATTTTCTGAGAATAGAACCAAATAAGAGGACTTTGACTGATAGGGGTGTCAGTTTGCCATGTGCTGCTGAGTAGGTCAACAACAGCGAACAAATGAGCAACCTCGAATGGATGCGATGCGGTCTCAAAGGTGTCAGCAAAACTCGTATACGATCAGATGGCGACAGAGAATAAAAGATATCCCGAACATACTTTCAAAACGAAGAGGTCTGTCTGCCGGTGACGAGACTTGCAGTTACGTATCACAATTGACTTACAGGGGGGTGAGACTGGGTATACTCCTCTAGGTTCGGGCTCGAGAGCCCCTTGTAGTTACCTGAAAAGAATAACTAGGCACTCTGAATAGCTTTACCTGGCGATTCAAGGATATACCATGTTATTTTAAACCACAAGTACGCCGGCCTCCGTTACTTGAAGCATGGCCCTGGGCGTCGGTATACGAGAGTACTTTCATAAACATTCTCAGATGGCGTTCGCGGCGTCAATGCTAGTATAAATTCACCGAGCACATGGATGATACTTTAGTGCCGATAGAAAGTTTCTTAAACTAATTAGGGAGAGTATCTTGCTGTCTGGTGATCGCGTGTTGTTCATATGACCCAATAGGCCACATGCTGCCGAGCATTTTGATTCAATCTCTAGTGTTTCAAGCATAAGCGAATAGCGTGCTACATCCATAAATTTGGGAAGTATACGTTCCTAGATTTAGGATCACTTGTCTACTTCATTCCAAGTATATTCCATCACCCGAGATACAAAAGCAGCCATCTCCGTAGTCGTTAGCAGGCGGATAACATAGAAGCTGGCATCAAGGCCTGAGCTAACACCCCCAGCTGTGATGACTTGTACAGCATCTCCTTTGATAAATCCGCCATCCATATAGCGGTTATGAACCACGTTCGTTGACGGTTCGCTCTTGTTCCCAAATTTGGTGCATATATCCCGGAGAGTATTGATGGCTCGATGATGAGTGGTGACAGTCAGACCCGATAGAACGCCCGTGGCACCAAGCAAGAAAGCGCCGGTACAAACCGAGAATAACAGACGTGGCTGCTTTGAAGTAACTCGGGGTAGACGTGCAAACCTACGGATCAGCTCAATCTCGGGCACATTGGCATCGACCATGGGCTGTAGTACAGAGGGCGGCCCTCCTGGCACGACTAGAATGTCGTAGTCGGAGATATTCTCCAGCGCATCATCCAGGGATGCATCTACCCGCACAGTCAATGCATTTGCAGCACGAATGGTACTGCTTTGTGCGATAGTGTTTATGGTGAATATCCGATCAGGGTCGTCTGGATTCCGGTTATGTGAGACATGTGACAGGACTTCCATGGGGCCTGCGAAGTCGAGAATGTCTGCGCCCTGGAAGAGCAAAACACCGACATGGTAGTATTGTTTGTCAGTCGTAGTAGACATATTTCCACTGGTTGAACTAGTGTGTTGTGGTCTAGTATCGAGATATGTGATGCTAGGCTTACAGTCGTCAAAAGGTGCCGGGGAGTCGAATCATTCACAAGAGATAAAGACAATCTGAAAGGTAGCAATCTCCAGGTTTTCGTTCACTTTTAGCCACACGAGCAGATGAGAACTCTGGAAGTAGATTTTACCTCCACGGTGGATATTACGACCGTTGTCCGCTCTAGGAGATAATAAGCCGACGCTGTATGAGCACGCGGCTTCCCATGGCGCCGATTTGCGCATGTAACTTAAATGCATAATTTCAAATCCAGTCCTCACCCATGGCGTACTCGGTCGAAAGGAGAAGAAGGAATGATCGCGGTGTTGGCGATGAAAAGTGGTTCATGCAAGGGTTCCTGGAGATTGAGTTTTGCCTCGTAACCAGGATTATACGAAGGGAAGTTGGACCGTACAAGCATCAATTGGGTTATCATTGCAGGCAAACCGAGGCAATTGATGATTTTGTGGGGCTTACCAAGCAGATACTTCAACAACAGTGCTTGAAATCGGAATTTGGGCCGGCAAGTCATGGCCATCGGGATGTGGGCTTCATCCGAACTCCCCGCAATTTCTTCTTCGGATGGTGGGGGATGCAGAGACCCTGCGCAATAAGAATGTAGCCAGGCGCTATTATTGGGAAGATTGTAAATTTAGAGAGTCGAATTCAATCCTAAAGACTTCATCATGACCTCCCCCGAGTACCAGAGCCACTTTTCTCTCGCGAATATCCCATTCGGGGTAGCCTCGTCCAATAGTCATCCGAGCCCGCAATGTGTAACTCGACTGGAAAACAACATTATATTTCTTGCGGACTTGCAACGGACGGGTGTCTTCGCTGAGGTAGCGAGCCTACCAGAGGTTATCTTCGAAAAATCCAGCCTCAATGAGTACGCGGCTTTGCCAAAGAGCACCCAGCGTGAGGTCCGCACGGTGTTACAAGAGACACTGGCTAAACCCCTGCCAACGGGTTTCACCGAAGACATTAGTGCAGTGACGCTTCATATGCCTGTCGCTGTAGGCGGGTTTACAGGTATGTTGGTGGTGTACTTTTAACTTCTGATGAGGAAACACGGTCTAATATTGAATAGACTTCTCGTGCAGCCTGCACCACGTTCGGAACGCAGGCCGAGCCATCCTTAATGACGAGTCCCCTCCTCCCGGCTTCTTCAACTTTCCAATCGGATACAATGGCCGAGCAAGTACCATTTTTGTCTCGGGTACTCCGGTGATCCGGCCGCAAGGGCATTTCTTTGATCGCTCTGCGCCAACGGAGAAGAAGCCCATTGTGTATGGTCCATCTCAAGCCCTGGACTATGAACTAGAAATTGGTGTCATCGTTGGCAAGGGACTTTCACGCCTGCAAGGATTGAACGCCAAAGATGCAGACGAGCACATTTTCGGCTTCGTCATTCTGAATGACTGGAGCGGTGAGTATTTTCTACCCGTAAAGGGAAGGTGACATGAGATTGATGCTGACCAAATCTCGTATTTAGCACGCGATATTCAAGGATGCGAGATGATTCCATTGGGACCGCTGAACGGCAAGTCCTTTGGAACAAGCATTTCACCCTGGATTGTGACATTGGATGCCCTGGAGCCATTCAAGGTCCCGGGTCCGAAGCCCGAGACTGTGCTGGCAAGCCATCTCGAAGATATCGATGCGTCTAGCTATGCCATTGACTTGAAAGTGGAAATCCTAACAGGAACACAAGCGACCACAGTCACCGAGTCAAAGGCACAAGATTTGCACTGGAGCGGACGTCAAATGGCCGCCCATCTTGCCAGCACTGGAGCCGACATCCAGACTGGAGATATCATTGGCACAGGCACGGTCAGCGGCCCAGTCGACGGCAGCTACGGTTGTCTGCTTGAAATTACCAAAGCTGGCAAGGAACCAATCACTCTAGTCGATGGTTCAAAGAGGCACTTCTTGTTAGACGGGGATGTAGTTCGCATGACAGCTGTGGTGGGTGACCCTGGTTCTGGAATCGGATTTGGCGAGTGCGTTGGTGAGATTCAGCCCTCGATGAAGCTTTAAGATGATCTTGGTTACCATTCTGTTAGCTAGAATGCCTGCACATTAGAATAGATTATCGGAAACATGTATGCGGTGGCCGATAGTGGCCACCCTCGTGCAAGTGGCGTTTTGTTGAGTGTCATCGGCATAAAAATACGTAAGCCACGTAGCCATATGTAGCAGCCCGAAATGTTAATAGAGGCAGGCGGTCTTGAAGGGTCTCAAGTGTCATGTGATATTGATGCGCTGCCCATCACGCACTGAGTGATTAAGAGTAAATGATCGCCGATCAATTATACGTAACAGTGAAGTGTTTTGGGATTGAAAATCGAAAAGTACCCTTCAACGAACGACATTCAATAAACAGACGATGCCACTAGCTTTTGCCGCAACCAAAAAACCCACAGACGCCAGTTCATGCTCCGCAACCACGCTGAAAGGAGAAGCAATATAAAATTCGAAAGCCCAGACTATTCCCAACCTAGCCCCAGAGCGGTGGATGAATATACTCTGACGCGCGGTCCAGGAGGTTGGGCATTGTCCATTCGCCACTGCCGGAGCTTTCTGGGGTTGGTGGTGGAAGAGAACCCACGCTAGGGGTCATGCTTGCCGACACAGGAGGCATGAAATTTCCCATTGAGGATGAGGAGGCAGCGGTCGCGTTGAGGTTTGATTGATGGAATGCAGGGCTACGCCCCGTTGTTCCGCGGCTGTGCTGGTTTCCAAATGCCGTAAGAAGCTTCTGCAAAGCACGATGCGTTTTCGCCAACGACTTGGCCCATTGTGTTTGAGTATCGGGGTTGATTGCAGCAGGTGAAGTGGGATCTAGGATCGGCTGGGATGGATTAGTCACACCTGTGATGGGGTCGTAGGTGCCTACGCCCTGGGCCGGCGAGGTAATGCTGCTACCGGTACCGGCGACATCAGCAGTATCATAGGCAAGTTCGTTGCTAGCACGCTGGGCTATGATAGACTCTAGCTGGCGTAAAAGGCTCCAAACCCTCGGTTCGTGCTTGGCTTCCTCGATGACAGCAAGGAGGAATGCGGAGCTGATTGCTCGCTGCAGCGCAATCCAGGATCGGGCCGCATGTGAGCTGATATTGTACATTTCGATATAAGCCTCCACGGTTGTCATCAAATTGACAATGCAGTCCCGCCGCATGCTAGCAGTATCCGCGTCATTGGCATCCACATTCGGTTTCAATGATGGTCGACAAAGCTCAGAAGAGATGTAGGATGAGTGTAATTTCAGCACGACTCGTTCCAAGTGCTCGGGCGAAGTCGTACACCATTGCGCATCTCGCAAGTGTGGTTTTGCTTCGACCATGATTTTCTGAATTCTTTCTTTGTATCCTTGTATGCTTTCAAAGCTTATTTGGGTATGTGGGCTTAGCATCCGAATACGGACGACTTCCAATGCCAAGGAGATCACTCGGCATAGAGTCTCAAAGTACGACAGATCACCCGGTCTCGAGCCTTCCCGATACGCAATATCGGGCTGGCTGACAGCAGTTGTAGAGGGACGATCGTAAGACAGAGAAAAGTGACTATCTTGCCATGCCATGGACCACCTGTCAATATAGTTAGATCCAGTCAACTTGACTGATAGAGGGCTTAATTTGCTAGACTCTTACCAGACATGTCGGCGCCGATATCGCTCGAGTGACGAGAACCGACTCGACTCAACGTGCAAGCCGAGAGCCAAGCCCATACGAAGAGTCATGCCTAACAGGACGTATGAAATCCCGGGGTTCATATTGTAAGACAATACATTTCCAATAACCAGAAGCGTCTGAATTGCCTCAATGGTCGGCTGTGATAGGAAATTTGTCATGCGAAGGCATTGATAAGAGCAGCACACTATAACAACTATAAGTCAACTGGAGCAAGTTCAATCGAATCTCTACCGAACATACCATAGACTTGAGAAGTCAATTCTCTTTCCTTGCTTCCGAGGTCGGACGACTGGCAGCCGGAAGCGAGAACAGCGAATAATAAACCAAGGTAAGCAATGCTCACACCGAAAGGACTTTGCGCTTCGTCAACATCCTCTCGATAGACACCACCTGAGGCGGTCCTGTTCTGCAGGAGAAGCTCAAGTGTGTTTTGGAACTGCCGAACGTCTTCAAGAACAGGATAAATCGCGCCAGCAATATCCTTGTAGTAATAAAAAAACCTGTATCGATGGTCACCATTAGATGCGAAGTTTCAAAAATGTTCAAAGAGAATCTCAACTTACTCTCTGCATTGCTGATCAGTTGGGAGTGCGCTGCAGACAGCGCTGATATCAAACGTTGACATGTCCGACGACCACAGATCCACGAATGGGTAAGTCGCAGACTCGTTGTCAAGCCCAAGCTTGGGCAGTATTCCGTCCTCCAATAGAGTTTGCAGTTGATCAGACCCCGACTTATTGTTCAAAATATATGCCAGGACCGATCGCGATCCGAGATGAACGGTGCCTTTGCCGAGGGTATTTGTGGTGTGAATGCCCTCACGCTCCGGCGATACGCCCTTAGCCCGGGAGCTTGCATCGCCGCTCTGTACGCTCCCGGTCCCACCGTCCGTTGCCATAGAGGGTCCTTCTTCAGCGCGTTCCAGGCCCACGCGCAGAGAGGAGATTGTGGATTCCATTTCTCGCAGTCGGTTGCGCACATTATCCCATTCCTCCCTAGCAATTGACACACGTCCGCCTGTTTGAGTACCATTGATTCGAGGTGGGAAATGCTGAACAGGGTCAGGCTTCACCTGCACTTCATTATCGTCATATCCGTAGGAGAGATGCTGCTCTGCCGAGGACGCTGCTGAAGCCCCACCGATGGGGCTCTCTTGAAAGGCTTGCGAGCGCTTCTTGGAGGGGCGTTCGTAGGAGCAGAGGTCGGCATGGTCACGCTTGACACATCCATCGCAAGGAAGATTCCGATCGCATTTCACTTTGCGCGCATGACATGGGTAGCAGGCTTTGGGCTCGCGCGCCTTGCGCTTCGTACGAATGATGGCGTCCACTTGAGCTTGCGGCAAGTCGGAAACCGACCTGTTAGGCGTTGATGCTGCTGCAGCCACATTTGACGGCGAGAACGAATTAGGTTGGTGATATGGCGAAGTCATTGTGTCCCGATTATCCTTTCTACCCTCTGTATAGCTTTTTCAGGATTTTCGTGCGCCCGTCGGCGTTGGCGTCGGCGTCAATCGCGACCGTGAACGGCTCGGAGCGGAAGAGGAGATTCAGCACGGAAGGAGTGAAGACGAAGGCTAAGCTAGGCCACCTGTAAATAGTTCGGATATGTGCGTCAATCCATGACACAGTTTAGAATCGCATTGTGGGCAAGTAATTGCATTTGAATTGGAGATGAAGCAAAGCCCGCGAAGCATCATTGCCCGCGGTGCCTTATCTGCCGATGCACGTGACGTGGGGGCGCCTAATGCGGAACTCTTTCATGCTACGTCACCGATTTTAAGCGATTAAAGGTTTGTTGAGCAAAAAGAGAAAATTATCAAGAAAACTATGCTTTAGTAACTATCTAAAATATGAATCTATGTCTAAGTTTATATTATGCATTCCCATGCCATGAAAATCATCAACGCCATATATAACCGTTCAACGTCCTCTTCGCTCATCAAGGAAAGATAGCAAGACGCACCAAGGACTGGCAAGTACAGCCAGACAGAAGACACTCGAGTGCATCATTATTTTTAAAACCATCAATGCGTCCTCATTTGTAGCTTTTGTGTGTATGCTTGTTATGCAATTAAGCCTTCACGCCCTGTTGCTCCTCATCGTCGCTGAAAGCGTATCTGGAGAAGCGGCGAATATCAGCGCCCTTAAAGTAGAACACGTAAGGAATAGCACAGCATGCCAAAGCAAGGAAGGCAAGAAGCGAACTGGCCCACTGGTAGCCGAGACGATTATACATCTGCTCAGTGAACAAGACGGTAGAAGCACCCCACATCGAGCGGAGGAATGTCTTGGCTGCCAGAGCCGAAGCGGCTTGGTGCTGATAAGTATCAACTGTAATTAAGGTCAGTGACAAGTAAATTGGAACAAGAATGTTGTTAGGCTTACCAAGGTAATTGTTGGCAGAGTTGTACAGGAAAATGAAGCCAAACCCGACAGGCCATCCGCCGATTGCGGGGCCGAACCAGTGGACGGTAGGGTACGAGGTCCAGGCAAAGATGAAGAGGCCGATTGGAATGAGCCAGCAAGAGAACATCATGGGAATTAGACGCTTTTCAGCTGGTGGCTTTCCACCGCATTCTGCGGACACCTTGAGGTAATGCTTGTTGACAAAGGGGGCGCAAGCCGCGCTCATGAGCACACCGATAGCCATAGGAATGAACATGAGACCTGTCATCGAGGCGCTCCAGCCCTTGCCAGCTTGATACACAATGGGATAGGCAACAAAGAACATGTACAGCAGGCCGTACAGCACTGACATGTAAAGGGCGATAAACAAGACAATGGGCTCCAAGAAGAGGAGCTGGAAAGGTCGGAAGAGGAAGATGCGAAGCTTCTGACCCAGAGGGCGAGGGTCAAGCTCGGTTTCGGTGGTATACTTGGGATCATTTTCGGTCTTGCGCAGTTTCGCAGCTCGCTTCTTGAGCAAAATGGGTGCGTATGTCTCGGGGACGGTAAAGGTGATCAAAACCCAGGCAACAAAGGACAAAATCAGCTGCAGCCAGTAAAGCCATCGCCAACCACAGTTATCGCCGAGGAAACCACCAGCCAGAGGACCAATTGCAGGGCCAATGAAGGGGGCGGCACTGAAGGCAGCCATTGGGACACCGCGTTCCTCGTTCTTCCAAAGATCTGCCAGTGTACCTCCGACCAAGGTCATCGGCGCACTGAATGCAATCCCATCGATCAGACGGCAAACGATCAAGGTTCCGATATTCTTGGAAACAGCACATGGAATAACGAAGATGACGGCAATGAGCAATGTTACTGCATAAACGGGGCGACGGCCAACCATTTCAGATAGTGGAGCAAAAACCATGGGGCCTATCAAGAATTAGTAACGTGGCAGTTGAGTCAAGAGTCTCTCCGAACGACTTACCAACACCAAATCCAATAACAAACACAGTGACCACGAGAAGACTGACTTCACGAGCCACACCAAAGTCCTCCATGGGTCCCTCCAACTTTGCCGTTATAACGCTACTCTGATCATAGTGTTAGCGCGTTCTCCGGTGAAAATAACCAGAAATAGAGAAGTACACAGTGAATGCCGGGAAGAAAGGACATACACAAAAGGCAACAACGAAACAGGTGAAGGCGACGACCATGGTACAGTACCATTTGTACGCCTTGGACCAGTTCTTTGGGTTCTCAGGGTCATCGATCGTGAAGGTGACCAGCTTCCAGTCTTCCAGTTTACCGGTCACGTTCGACTTGATTGGCTTGATGATTTCACCGGCTGGTGTCTCAGTTGTATATTCGTGAAGGGCGGCGCCATCGTTCAGCTCACGGACGGGTAGGTCGAGGTAATCAGTCTGCCTAGGACCAGATCCCACAGATGCTGTTCGGCTGGTGGCAGCGGTGTTGGTTTGTGTTGAATATGGAGTCGCCATATTTGACTATACCGATCCCGTCAATATAGAGTGGATACTCTGCCAATGTGTCCAGAATAGATTATCGGAGGTGTGGTAACTCTTGACTTGAGGGAATAAACTCCCTGAGGGAGATATGCCACGTTCTTATATCTTATTTCCATATTCTCAGCCACCACAAAATGTGAAAATTTGGTTCATCCGGGAAGGGATATGCGTCATGGTGTGCAGCAGGGGAAAACTTCCGGGTGGACTACAAGCCATAGTTCTTTGATATCGGGTGTGTTGCCCCACTGGGTGCTAAATTACCTGATCGGGAGCTGTCGTGCTAGCCACATTAGGGAATATGCTACGCAGCGAAGGCCCACAAGTAGCTTAGTTTCTGGGAGATATAGCAACTGTAGGAATTCACCCTGAGTAGTGGCGGCTTTCAAATTACACAGTCAATTAATCGGACCAATTATTTACTACGTTATTATTTTCTAGGCATTCATAGTACGTTGGCTGACAACGGTTGCCCTCGTGCAAGTGGCGTTTTGTTAAATCTCGTAGGCAGAAAACTTACTTAGCCACACAGACAGGAAAGCGGTGTGGAAAGAGATGTAGAAAGAGATGCAGAAAGAGATGCAGAAAGGGATGCAGAAAGAGGCGTAGAAAGATATGGAGAGGGGAAAATGCCATTGTATTCATAGTTAGGGTTGAGTGAGCATGGCTGCAGCGGTCGTACATAGAAATTCAAGTTCGTTGGTAATACTCCAAATCATTGTTGCATCAGAATATGCAAACATCTCAAATAAGACTACAATTTTCAGTGGGAAACACGCTTTCGAGTAGATCTCATCTGAGACGCATGGGTAGCTTTGCTTTGGCACTTTAAGGGTTGTATATTTCGAAGCCAGGGATCGATTCAAGACCTGAAATTTCCTTAGGGGCTGGCGAACACGGGGGCGCCACATGGTGACCCCAGCTCCTGATTCAGGAATCAGCTTCGGTTTCTGCCCTTGTGGAAAATCTTTGTTTCCCCCGTAGCCCTATGAAAGGTTCTTTGCATTCTTCTCATTCGTCATGGGATTGACGTGTGGTCTGATCGGAGCATATTACCATTTTAGGAAAAGACATTTCTATTTGCTCAATTAGGAAATCATCATGTCGCCAAGCCTTGAGACGCGCCAAGAAAATATCATGAAGGTCTAGACTTGGATTAAGAAGGCACAATCAAGAAGGCACAACCTACGCAAGTGGAGCCCAATTTCTACTTTCGACCCCCGAGAAAACCCCGTAAGGGGAAATTCTGAACTTGAGCAGTCTTTACTTTAGGATGGTGCAATTCACAGTCGTATGAGACCGATGATTTTGTTTCTGGATTTGAGAATCTGACAGGGGGAATTGCTATTGATGTACCTATCTGTTTGGAAATGCGTGTTATTTGAATACTAGCTTGAATACAGAGTTAGTTTAAAAGTCTGAATCTAGAGACTCGAGAAATAGGCTGAGTAGATATCCTTTGATTTCTTCTCCGTTATAAGATGTTTCCAAAATCCCAACTCTTCTTCATTGATAGCTCAGATATAATCTTCCAATCTTTCTAAACGTCCTTCGGGACGTATCTCCGGCGCTTGATAGCGCCATATTGGCTACTCCAAACGAATCGAATTAGTTTTATAGTAATTAGATTTACACAGGGAGAAGGGCTGTAGGGACTCTAAGGCATGAAATAGTTCCTCCCAACTGAGCCAGGTGAAAATATTGATGTACTAGGTCAGCTGAAATTGTGATAAGAAATGCAGGCATTGATAAATCTGCCTGGCAGGTCCGCAAGTCTTTGGTCCTTCTCTCTTAGTATCTGCCCAGTCTTTTCACGGCATGTAGTTGTGAATGCCTCCCACAGCTTCCAGTCAGTCTCTCCATCGTGACATGGCCGCGGGTAATAAGAATCATTGCCAAAGAATGCTTGAACAAGATGAGAGATGAGAGCCTCGGGTTCCTCCCAGCCGGTTTTCTCAGGCCAGATATGGCTGAGATTAAAGTCGAGCACCCACATACGTGTAGTTCGTTGCTTGACGTTTTTTCTCATTCTGGCATCCAGGTCTTCATGAGAAGACATGCGAAGGACTTGTTCTGGACTCAATTGGAGGGAGACTGCAATATCATCGCTATATCCTAGGCACTCGTCACGCTCACTACCTAGCACGAATTCAATATCGTAGCCATCGACATGGGCTGCCCAGTGGATACTTGCTAGGGCTTCCCCATAGTGCTGGCAAATAACAGCACTGGAAGTCCAAGATCGAGCATTTGATCAAAATGTAGGTTAAAATTGCGAAGGGTAAAATTAGGCGATAGGAGTTCTGGCTGTTGACGTCAAGATCCGAGATACAGCCGAGCGAGACAGTCTCTGTTGGTTGGGTCAGCACTGACAGTAGCCTGAATTTATGGCGGGCAATATCTCTCAATTAGTGCTTGTTGAGCTACCCTGGGAAGAGGGAAGATATGCTCTGTGATCAATGCTGGTGTCGGAGGGGGCAATAGATCGGAGATCTCTGCGAACAAAAAGTGGTTTTCGTTCACCAGTCAGTGTTTGACTCTGGAATCCAAGAGAACAACCTGGGTACGCGACATTCAAGGCTATCCTACTGTTTGAATGCTTCTCGGACAATGAGGTGGGCTTGAAACCGGCCCAAAGACCCTTCTTATACATGGGCCTCGCAAGCTTAACTACGTAAGCTATTCCTAGTCTCTCGCAGATAATTCCACACTGCCCGAAACCAATACAACGGTAGCCAACCACACGTATACTTTGCTGATTCTGGCGAAGGACGGGAAGTGATGATTTGGAAGTGATCACCGGCTTTGTTGATAGCATAGTTGCGACGATGTGGGAAGACGTGGTGGTTGTGGGGATAGCAAGCTCATATTTCATCAATTCATTGCGCTCTTTATTAAGAAGATAGGAGAGCTGGTTGGTGAGCTTGATACCAGCCTGGGGCTGCAGCAAGGTTGAAGTTGGAGATTTTGTAGAATCGTCGCCAGCGTTGTGCACCCGTATGTATGTCATGGCTATGAATAGAAAAGAAGAGGTGCAAATGGGAAGAAAGCCAAGTTTCACGCCAAGGCAATTTCAAAAGCGGGCAATCACTGAACGTATTATAGGATGTTGGTGGGGCATTGGAATCTTATACAGCTGCCGAAGGCAGCTATAATATTAGAGCGTTACTATACTGCCTAGCCATTCCTAAATATTTGCTACACGTCGCATCACTATCTGACTAGGCAGAACTTTGAAATTTACTCCTTGATCAACCACTCACTAGTAATCGAATGGTCAAAAATGATTCTTCGCCGTTTATCGCTACCCGTTTATCGTCACTCGGTCGTCGTGGATTGTTCTTCGATTTTGATTATCGGCTTCTTCATGAAGGCTAATGCAAACATTATAGGCGATGATCTTGATTTCAGCTCACCCTCTAAAGCTCACGCCAGTTCTTACCATTCTCATTGTGGTCAAGCTTTCGTCCCTTTGTGTACCGTACATACCCTCTTCCTTACCTAAGACCCATTGCCAAGGCATAACCTAAGCTTCAGCCGATGCTACTTCTCCACTATCCTTCTTCATATAACAAGATAACGTATAGGCTGTCGTATATTCTTAGAATGAGACAAAAGGCTCAAGTCTAAATGATTAAAGCCGTAAAATACACACTCCCTTATTACAGTACCTCCATCATCGGTGTCATCGTAGACATAGGAATTAATTTTCTCTCTCAATAGCTTTAGATCATCCATCTTAGACTGCCGGTTTGAAGTGCCTGAAACGCTCTTGGTTGTCTCTGTCTTGCTGCTTGCAGTATCGTCAACACTATGATGGACTATACCCACTCGATGCGGGGCTAACCTAAAGAAGTGGTCTTTGAGTCAAACAACCAGTCAGCGAATGCACGGTGTCAATGGCCCCCACACGATCACTGTTGAGTCATAGTGGTGTTACCCGATAACTAACTAACTAACTACGGAGTAATGTCCCATACGTCGCTGAGCCTCACATCCTAGGGAGGATCACAATCCCCACCCACAAGACACCGCCCGGACTTAAATATCAGGTACCGCTTTCTTGCTCCATCTCACATCCACTCCTTCTTTTCTCTCCAAAGCATCGAGACGAACATCAAAATGGCCTCATCAGAGTACTCGCAAACACTGAAACACATCACTGATGCGAAGCTCGACGAGCTTTCCATCAAGCGCCAGATATTCCTGGAGCGCAAAGCGTCCGCCCTGCAGACAGCGGAGTCTAGTCTCACCGATCGCGAAGATCCGTGCCCTCGCCGATGGAGTCAAGTCGTGCTTCAACATCACCGTCAAAGACGGTCGCGTAGTGATCGGTTCGAGCAATCACCAACAACTCGAAATAGCCCTTGCCAACCTTGACCGATTCCTCAAACAAGCCGAGTATGATCCTGCAATATCGCCAGATATGACCGAGCGCTGGCATCAGACGCTACTCCGCTATCTTGACATCCAGACACTCAAATACGAATACGCGACGCTCTTCGCACAGCTCACCATGGAGTGGTTGTCGGTCAAGAACCGAAGCTCACAGCCCCTTGCTGCGTCCCAGGATGACTTCGAGAAGCTCGCGAGCCCGGCCAAGACGGAAAGTCGACAAGCGTGGGAGAAGGTCGTGTTCACTCCTGCTGGTCATGACGCTGAGACTATCACTGCTTTCCTCACAGAGCTCTTTTCTGGAATCGGTCCCCCTGAACAGGAGGGAGAGACAGACCAAGCACGAGGCGTGGAGAAGACGTTATGCGCACTCCGGGACAAAGTTGCAGCCTTCGAAAACAGTCTCTCCCTGGGACAGATTACGTTTGGAACTCTCAACTGGGTGATCAATGGGCTGCTGAATTCCGACCTGGTGACGGACAAGCAACGGGCGGCCTTGCGAGAGTTCCAGAAAGATGACACCGTCCTAAATGAGTTGTCCGACGTGCTCAACATGCGGCTGGCCGGCCTACATGCGTGGACATGGGGGCCTGCTGTCCACGTCGAGCAAAGACGTCAGATGAATGGAACATACCAGATCCGCATGCATGAAGACCTCATCCAGGCGATATTCTTGCAATATCTCGGTGTCAGGTGGTCCGTATTTTTCAAAAGCGCCCTGCATGACTTCCGAAAGACACGCCATTACTGGAAAACCCTGCGATCCCAGGTCCCGGCTATCGATAAAAAACGTCGCGAGTTCTTCCTCGACAAATGCAGTGATAAACCCAGTGTGCAAATCACCAAGGAATCCATTCATCGAAAGGCTTATTTTGTCTCGCAGCTGCTTGATACCGAGTTCCAAATCCGAAAGCATGAGGAAGGCGAAGAAGAGGCCTCCTCTTGGGGTCACGCCAAAAAGGCCCGAACAAAGCAGTCCGCACACAGAGTACAATCACCGGCGGGAGTGGCGAGATTCCTCAAGGCAGCCGATTCTGTTGAAGACGAGGAAATGGCAGAATCTGATGAGGACATGGGGTTTGCTCTGTTCGACGACGAGCACGTCACTTCTCACGACCCGGATGCCACCTACGATGACATCTGGGGCGCGAGCTTGAAGTCACCCGCCAACCAGTCGCAGGCGAAACAGAACCTTTTACTTCTCTTGAGCGCAGACACAATCATCAACAAACGGCTCCATGGGGAGATTACTTGCTTCCGGGCTCAGTACGAATCCCTGTACCCGAGCCTGCCTCACTCCACGATTCTGGCGGTCCTCAGCTTCCTCGGCGTATCGGAAAAGTGGCTGAGCTTTTTCGAGAAGTTCCTCGCTGCGCCGTTGAAGTTTATGGATGAGCCCGATGCAGAGCCGCGAACGCGCCGACGGGGAACCCCGGGGTCGCACGTATTGAGTGAGCTATTTGGCGAGACTACACTCTTCTGCCTTGACTTGATGATCAATAAGGAATGCGACGGCGAGCTACTCTGGCGAGTCAACGACGATATGTGGTTCTGGTCCCGCGATCAGGAAACATGCGTGACCGCGTGGAAGGCCATTCAGCGCTTCAACGAGACGATGGGCATTTCTATCAGCGCAGACACCAGTGGCGGTGCTCATATAACCGCTGAGAAAACGGAGCAGAAATCGACCCTTGACCCTGTCCTGCCGAAGGGCAAAATTCGATGGGGAATGCTGTACCTCAACCCCGAGTCTGGCAATTTCGAGATCGACCAAGAAATGGTAGACGAGCATATCAAGGAGTTGCAGCGCCAGCTGTACGACAAGCAAGGCAGCGTTTTTGGGTGGATCCAGGCCTGGAACTCTTACGCATCCACGTTCTTCACTTACAACTTTGGGATGCCGGCGAACTGTTTCGGTCAACGACACGTCGGCATGATGTTACAGACGCACGAGCGGATTCAACGCAAAATATTCTCTCTGGGTCCGGAAGGAGGTAAAGGGGACAGCAGCGTGGTCACTTACCTCCGTGACAAGATTCAATCACGCTTTGGAACGGAGAATCTCCCCGATGGATACTTCTTCCTCCCAATCGATCTCGGAGGACTAGAGCTATCTAGCCCATTCATTAACCTCGTTGCCCTCCATGATTCGATCTTGTCCAACCCCGACTCCCTGCTCGACGATTTCTTCGAAGCAGAGAAGAGCGCATACGCCGCCCTCAAGCGACGATACGACGAAAAGGATAAAGACAGCCTTAAGTACCAACGTCGTTATCGCCCTGAAGATGCGGACCATTTCATGTCATTCGAGGAATATACCCGTCACCGGGAGTCTGTGGACTACGGTTTCCAGCACCAGTTGGTGTGGGTCTATGATCAACTCTTGAAGCGGCCGCAGCAGGAGGAGATCCGCCAGGATGTCTCCGGACCCGTTACCTTGGGTCTTGGTCAGCTGCAGAGCCAGCTCAATTTATCTGGAATCCGGTCGGACTGGAGGATGATGTCGTCCTACTGGAAATGGCTGGCGCAGCTGTATGGGCCGGAGATTGTGGATCGATTTGGTGGGTTCAATATCGTCGACCCAGGGTTGTTGCCCATCGGGCTGGTGAGCCAGTTCCGCAGTGGTAGGGTCAGTTGGACGGAGGAGTAAGACACATTATGATGGGAGTGATCCTAGCGCTTGATTTGAACCTGCTGCGGTATTTATGGTTGAGAGCTTTGTTTGATTGTCAGGTAATGCTCATGGGGCGAGAAAGGTGTTAATCTACATATCTCGATGCAGCCTACCTTCCTGCCTGTAAAGCTGGCTATGATTAAATCAAAACTATCATCTATATCAGAGCTACCCATAGCGCCAAAACAGAGAGTCTCCAGATACAGATACATAGAGATACTATCTTTATCAAAGCGCCCATTCAAAAGTCGTCGCGGCAGGCTCCACAATTCCCCCTTTTGTGGCGCACCAAGATCGACTGGCCACTCACCTGGTCAAATCAGCAGTCTGAATTCCAATCTCTGATTGGACCGGCGCAAACGCAAAGCAAACCCATTGACTATGGGCCGCGTAGACAAATCCCAATCCCGAAGGGAAAAGCACAAACTTACAAAGGCCACTCCGAAGCTGCCGAAAGCACTAAAAAAGAGAATAACCCCACGTCCTTGAGCACTGGTCTGTCGTCATTTCTTTCTCTGCGATCATGTCTATTTCAACGTCGACGTCGATGCCGATACATCATCCCCCCTCTCCTACCACACAATGACAGCCCTGCGATCCCCATCAATAACAATCTACGCGCTTCTGCTTCTCGTACTAAGCATCTCAGGAACGGCAGATCAAGAGCCGAGATTCCGCTCACAAAAATACGCCAAAGGCTTTGACGGGCCATATCCACTGCAACGGTATCGCTCTGCTGATGTATCAGGCCCGATATTAAACTATTGGCGACGCAGTGTGGCGTGTCAAGATGGGTTGTATACTATTCTGGCGCCGCGGGGTGATTCAGTGCGGCAGTCTGGCCCGATGATTGTGGATGACCAGGGGCATTTGGTTTGGTTTAAACGGTACAAGAGCACGTATAATGCGAATGTGTACATGTACAAGGGGGAGCGGTATTTGACGTTTTGGGCGGGCGATGATTCGGTTAGAGGGCATGGGGAGGGGTCGTACTATATGGTGAGTTTGAGACATAGTTCACATTTCATCTTTGATTGGAGGTTTCTTATTGTGAAACAGTATCAAGGTCTGACTCTTTGTAGCTAAACTCACACTACGAGGAAGTATACAACATCCACGGTGCAAATGGCATGCATGGAGACCTCCACGAATTCCAAATCACCCGCGACAACACGGCCCTCTTCGCCGTCTACAAAAGCCTCCCAGCAGACCTCCGCGAAATCGGTGGGCCAAAGAATGGCTGGATCTATGACGGCCTATTCCAAGAAGTCGACATCGAAACCAACGAACTCCTCTTCCAATGGCGCGCATCAGAGCACTTCAACCTCCAAGAATCCGAACGTGATCGCGAGGAGAGCGATGGCGATACCGAAGATAATCCATGGGATTTCTTCCATATTAACAGCATCGACAAAGACTGGCGGGGGAATTACCTCGTTTCATCACGATACATGAGTTCCCTGGCATACATCGACGGTCGAACAGGTGATGTTCTCTGGAAATTAGGCGGGAAGCAAAATTCCTTCCTGGATATGAGTGACGGGGTAGCAACGAATATCAGCTGGCAACACCATGCGCGGTTCCAAATTAAACACGATACGAATACCACGCGACGATTATCCCTCTTCGACAATTCTTCTCGTGGCGAAGGGGCACCCGAAAATACAAGTCGAGGGCTAATCGTCAAAATCAACGAGGAAACAATGACAGTCACGCTGGTCCAAGAATATTGGAACCAAGTCCCCATCAGCAGTCAATCACAAGGATCAATGCAGATCCTCGAGAATGGGAACGTGGTCCTCGGGTATGGGTACAGCGCTGCATGGACGGAATTCACCGCGGACGGCGAGACACTCTGCGAAGTCCATTTCGGACCACAGACTCAGTTCCATCGTGGACAGGTTCTCTCGTATCGCGTTTTCAAGCAGAAATGGGTTGGTTTACCCTTGACGAAGCCTTCTGTTGCTTTGTCAGGCAGTGAAGCGGCGGTTAGTTGGAATGGAGCTACTGAAGTTGTTACTTGGGTTTTGCAGGGGGCTTTGCCTAGAGGGGAGGAGAGCGGTGATGACAGCGTTAATGCTGTTCGAGAGTTTCAGAATAGCGAGAAGATTGGTCTTGAATTTGAGTTCATCTCTGCCATTCCCAAGTCAGGATTCGAGACGATCATCCCCATACCAGCCGGTACAGTGTATGCCAAGTTGCGGATCATCGCCCTTGACAAGAAGGGTATCACTCTGGGTGTGACGGAAGCGTTGGATTGGGAACCAGAGGAAATGAACAACGAGGTTGCAGTGTACAGTGGCGAGGAGAAGGATGATGAAGAAGGTGGAGACACTGGGGAAGTATGGTCTGCTTCGGCAATCGGGATCGGATTGATCACCGTGGCTATACTCGGTTTCTCTGTTTGGCTTGTGTGCAAGATTGCATATAGTCGCTCCTTAAAAAATCTTTTTACACGTGAGAAGGATGAGCATACCTGGCAACGGGTATCTACGGGGGAGGAATTGGATGAATTGGACGGTTTCAGTGATGTAGAGTCTAGGGACCATGCAAGTGACTCTTTACTGAAACAACCTGGAGAATGAGTTACTGCATGGACCGTACTCGACTGTATCATAGATTATCATGGCAAGGCGTTCAGTTGGATCGATTCCTTTTTACTTTATTTATTCAGCGGTGTTACAACTACGCATTCCAAAATCAAGCAAAAGCTCTTATTCCATTGATAATAGTATCACCAGGTCAAAGAGTGAAACCCGGATCACCAGTAAAACAGGATTACTCAAATAGCAAAAAAGAGCCAGTACCCAGGGCTAGCATAGCAGCCCAGTCACAGCCAGCCGAGCTGAGCTGGGTCGAGTTGAATCGAGTCCAGCTTAAGCAGAAGCCGAAACCTCCAGACGCTTGAAGCCACCCTTGGCAGCAACCTCCTTCTGGAGCTCAGCCATGCGCTTCTGGTCACCAGTGGGATCAGTCGAGTCGGCATCGAGTCCCCAGGAAAGGAACTCATTGGTGTAGTTAGACTCGAAGTTATCCTCCAGGATACCAAGACGCTTTCCATAGCGGGTAACCTTCTCCCAGTCACGGGAGACATTCTTCAGATCACGGCTGAAGTAAGCGTACGAACGCTCGTAGATCTTGCGGTTGACAGGCGTAGCCATGATAGGCTTCATATCAACATATTCCTCGTAAGTACCCGCGGGATCCGCAATAACAGCATCAGTAGCACGCTTAACAGCACGCATGAACTTGCCGACCTTCTCCTTGTTCGCGGCCAGGAAGGAGTCATTGGCAATGTACAAGATAGAGCAGAAGCAGCAGCAGCCCAGTTCGGCGAGCTGGTCGATACGGAGCATCTGGACGTCATCGCGGGGACGACCCTGCTCTGCAAGCCACTCCTCCAACTCGACCATCTGCACGTTCTCGAGACCGATGCCGGCGTCGATGTCGCCGCGGATAATCGCCTTGGTTACGTTCATGCCGCACCGGACCGCGGTGTAGTCGTCGGTCGTCATGCCGTAGTACTTGGTCAATTCGTCGATCTGGATCTTGCCGAATTCGCCGACGTAGCCGATGCGCTTGCCCTTGAGCGAGCGGAAGTCCGTGGTGATGCCGGAGGACTTGAGGTAGACGACACCCGTGAAGGGCTCGTCGAGGAGAGAGCCGATGGAAGTCACGGGAAAGTTGCGGGCTTTAGCCTGGATGGGGTTAGTTGTGGTTTTTTTGTGATTTGAACATAGGTGTATGTGTACATACGGCCAGAGTGTGAATCATAGCCTTGAACCCCATGTCGACCTTGCCGCTGCCGATAATCTCGGTGACATCGGAGGGGTCATTAGGCTCGAGGAGAGCGACCTTAAGGCCCTCATCCTTGAAGTAGCCGCGGGCCTGGGCGAGGTACAGAGGGGCGTGGTACGGGGTGGCGTGCCTTGAGAATACTTAGCCGAGATTCTATAGATGCATAGAAGGATGCAATAGCGCAGATAAGAAGAAAACTGTGAGTGTCAGCCATACCAGTTGGTCAGGAAAGTGATCTTGTCCGTAGCCATTTTGACGAGGTGCAAGTCCAGCTATTGAGTCCTTGGGGGCAAGAGTCAGTATGCCAATGACCAGGGTATATCTCTTGCAATTGCATCTTCAATCAATAGACCTCTGATAAAAATCAAAAGATCCACTAAATCAAAGATAGTAATGACAAGAAGAAATACCAAAGCAAAGGGGGAAACAATCAAAAGTCACGCATGTCCTTTCGCTAGTATTATCTAGATCAAGTTTTGACAGTATAATCTCAGAACGACCCGATTCCGTCCCTTAATTCTCTATCATGCACATGCATAATAGCGGATCGAAGGAACAGAACCGAGTCGAACACCTGTCATGCGTGTCGCAGACTGTTATACCGAGTACAATACCTTGACCCATGATGAACAATCCTAGCTGAGGACCCTGTCCGAGAAGCTCAGGACTCTCTCCCCAGCGGGGAAAAGAGTCGCATCGCGAACTTTCAAGACGTGCGCGGCTCCATGGGAGTCGTACCGAAGGTAGACGGTTGAAAGTCGAGAAGATAAATCGAAAACGATGAAAAGAAGATGAGACAAAGGAAGAAGAAGAAGGAAAGAAGAAAAAAAGAAGAGAGCTCATGGAGGGGTAGTACCTAAATACCTCTTGAGACCTCGAGGACCCCTCCTCCTCACTCCTACTTCGGAGTGGGGAGCCCCGTGTAACTGGACCCTCTTGGACCCTCTTGGACCCTCTTTCACGCATTGCGAGCAAGGTGTTTTGCTCATGATGACCCTGCCACGAAAAAGGTTCACCGGGCACGAAAATGATGTTCAAGTCTGATTGGATTTACTCAAAAGTCAATCCTAGTCGAGTTCCACCGTCGTGCTTCCGACACCAACCGCGTGAGCCGCAATAGGCCCGAGTGGAAGAAGATTCATGAGTCAAGTAAAGTAAACAATGTGCTAAGACAAATTCTACACTAGAATAATTGAAAATAGGAGAATGATTACACTCAAAGTCAATGCAATTCAGGTGGTCAGGTCAAATTCAGTTTGTAAAACAGGCTTCAAATGCAACGATGCAGCGGGAGAAGACTTGAGGGGACAAAAATTACATGGGGGACTGACGTCAGGCTACAGTATGGAGGGAGACGAGTGTCACAAAAAAGAAAAAGAAAGGAAAATCATGACACCAAATGCAGAGGAAAGATCAAGAGATGAAAACGAACAGAAAAAGATGAAACTAAAAGGACAAGGCTCCAATCGCGAGCCAATCAATCGATTCAACCTATACCCTGGTCCGGTCTGTGTTGTCTGGAGAAAGCTGAACACCAGCTAGAGCGTCAACCGTGTTTTTAGGTCTGCTTCGGACTGCCCTCGGGGGCCGGACCTCCTCCGTTGATGGAGATACTGTCCAGCGGAGACTGAGGGCGGTCGTTGGTCTTGCGAGTTCGGAGCGTGAGCGGGTAGAAGTGGTCGTCAGGTTCTTCCTCCTCACTGTGGATAAAAAGGTACTGTTAGTTCTTCCATTCACGTCCGAAGTTTCTCCGGTGGTCTCGACTTACGGGAGCTTCCACGCAATGTAATCTTCTGTACTCAATCCCTCGCGGCCTTCCTGAAGCGACGCAAAGTCGCCTGGGGTCATCATACCAGAGCGATCCCGTGGGGAACCTGGAACTGACAACGGGCGGGAGACCTTCTGGTCAGTACCACCGATGATGTCAAAGTAGTCCTCCGCACCGTCGAATGAAGAAGGGTAAGCTATGAGTTTGGGTTAGTAACAATTCGCTAACTCGGGTTGGGTTCCTCTCTTACCTCTCCGCAGAGCCAGCTGGCGAGCCTTAACATATTCCAAGCCCATGCGCTTCCAATCCAACAGATCGCTCAACCGCTCTGTACGGTTACGCTGGTTGATACGCTGACGCCGGCTCTTTAGGGTAAAGTTAAACATGAATTCGGTGAGCTGGTTCACCGAGTCATCGACACCCTTAGCGCGACGGTCCACGATGTAGATGCCGTAGTCGGAGGAGTTCTCAATCAGCTCCTCCATGTAGCAACCAAATCCGGACAAGTTGGTGGTGATACTGGGCACGCCCATTACCGTGCACTCGGCCGGAGTGTAACCCCAGGGCTCGTAGTAAGAAGGAAACACTCCCAAGTGAGTGCCACGGACGAAGTCGTCATAGTCCAGGGGAAGCACAGGGTTGGACGAGTTGAGGAACTCGGGATGGAAAACGATTTTCACGCGATCGGATGAGTTGTTGAAGAGCTCCACGCGACGTAATTGGTTCAGAATTGGATCCTCGTTGTCGTTGACCATGTTGTGCGTGACGATGGGGGGAAGACCGTGTCGCTTCATCGCAAAGAGACGACGGCGCAGAAGGACGCGGTCTTGGCTAGTGATCAGATCCTTCTCGTCTGGCATGTTGTCACCTTCCTTCCACTCGAGACAGCGCTCGTACATGCGCTTTCCAATACCCTTCTCGATATTTTCAATGGTATCCCGCAGGGACTTCACAACAGCCTGACCCTTGAGCGATTCCACCGTGAGAGAGGAGGTTTGCGCAGGCATAATGATAAAGGCCACCACAGTAGTGGTCGACCCGCTCGCCTTGAGACGGTGGTTGAGTCGGGCCAATCCCTCAATGAACATGTCGACACCCTTATTGCGGTACTCATACCGACCAGCAGTAAAGAGGTACAGGGTGTTATCCAGGTCAAAGTCATTGTGGCCATAGAAATGGCCACGAACAAAGTCATTGATCTTCTCCTTGGCCTGCGAGTGCAGGTTCTGGAACTCGTGCATGGCGGAGAACTTCTTGACATTGAGACCATTGGGCAGGACACCGTCCGGCTTGCGCTTCAGCAGATGCTCACTCTCAAAGGCAGTGATGTGCGAGACCGTGGTGAAGACGTCGGCGCTATGAGCGGCTGCGCGCTCGATGCAGTAACGGTGGTAGATACCGCGCTTCCCGGCCTCGGCATCCACGTCAAAGTACTGGAGGTTGTTGTAGAAATCCACCGATCCAGCGCAGAGGTAGCGACCCAGCAAAGTAGCGTGCGTGGTGAAGATGGTGGTCAGGTCCATGTGTCGCTTCTTTGTCAAGGGCAGAGCCACACCAGCCAGCCATTCATGGAAATGGGCGACTACGGCACGGCGACGCTCGTGAGCAATGTACTACAAAAGAAGGACAATCAATTAGCATATTCTCCAAGGGACCGGTAGAGTGTCTCAACATACCTCGCCCAGGAACCAGGCGACCATGTATCCAAAGACAATAGCCTCATTGGTCTCATGGTCGGCAGACGGGGACGGGATCCCGGAGGTGTTCCACAGATCGCCCTTCCACTCGTCGAGCCAACGGTAACCCGTGCCGGTATTGATGAGCAGCACGCGGGGAGCACCCTCGATCAACCAGCGACCGTAGACAATCTCAATTCCACGCTCCTGCATGGAAGCGATGGTGTCGCGCATGGCCGGGCTCGACGGAGTAAGCTCCTCGACCTCGACGGCGGCAGAGGCCTTGTTCAGGGGACCGATCAGAGTATAGCGGTCGCCATACTCGGCCGTGGTGACAGGAGCTTTGGACTTGAGCACCGAGTAGATACCACCGACACGGTTGGCTACTTCGGTGGCGATCTCGAAGAGCATATGGTTGCGCACATCGCGCTTGATGGGCTCAGCGCCGTTTTCGTCGGCCATAGCGATGGATTCAAGAAAGCCGGTGGTCGGAGGGACGGATCAAGTCTGAGAGTTGGAGTTGAAGAGAAAGGAGGAGGAGGGGAGAAGCTCAAAAGCAAAAATGAGGGGAAAAGAGGAGGAGCAGCAGAACAGCAGCAGCTGCAGCAGGAGCTTAGTAGCTTTGGGGGTGTACGGGGGATGGGCCTCCGGACTCGGTCTGTGCGGGGTTCGGGATCTTGTTGCGAATAGCTGGGACAAGCTGGGTCTGGTTTTAGTTTGACTTTTTACCCCGTGGGAGGCTGGAGGAGCGGAGTCAATTCAAAAGGACGAGACCAGACGCCGGTGAAGCTCAAAAATTCACACCTGAGAAAGAGAAGAGCAAAGAGAAGAAGAATTGGCAACCACCTAAAAAAAAAAAATTTTAATTATAGGGGCCAGACTAACAAAACCAAAAGAAGAATACAACAAAATCTGGGCAGGTCGGGCCAACTTTTTCCTCTCGGGCGGGCCTGGTCCTGGTGGAAGGAAAAAGGTGTGGTTGTCCGCGATGGGAGAGACACTCGGTACCACTGGAGGTCTGTGCCTTGTTGGTCCTTGGTAAGATCCTCAATGTTGATGGCCCTAAGGTGAATGAAAAAAAAAAAAATTTTAACAATCTGACCAGAACTCTCAAAAGTCAATTGCTGAGAGCTTTGAAGATATTGCTCATGCAACCATACAATCAATGGAAACTATGGGGGATCGGAGGACTGTCAATGGCCTAAAACAGCTCCCGGTCAGAATTGTACCTCACGATATCGAATTTCAATTTCCAAGGGACGCTAGTCGGTTCCTTTTTGCCTCCATAAATTCAATACGACCCTAACCCAACCAGCTTGCATGTCCCCAACAAGCTCGAGGGTGCCAAGCTCTTCTCCGTCCACTGACATTTATCACGAGGCAAATCGGATGACTGTCGATCATGAATTTCTCCAGTCAATGCCATTCTCGGAGTTGAAACGCCACCAATTGAATCCGATTGATCGATCATTCAAGCATCATCCTGGACTCGCAAAAGGTCATCTGGGGAAAGCTGGCATCGATGATGTCATCGAATCCACCCGAACGCGGGTCTATTATGTAATCATGTACCTCGACCCCTCAGGTGATCCGTCAGGTGACCCGTCAGGTACCGACTGGAAGTAAGGACCGTATTGTTATCAATCTGTAGTCTTATTGCAAGATCTTCATTAAACTAACCAAGATCAAGGTTAGGTACTTTGGAGCTAGCCTTTGTATTTGTTCAAAAGTCTGAGTCTAGAAACCAGAGAAATGAACCAACCTGACATGCTTCAAACACTCTTTTTGGAAAGGTCTTTCTAATTGTTTTTTTCGAATCATCTTCTTGATAGCACAGATACCGTTTCTATGGTGACTATGTACATACTAAGTTGGTCTTGAATTGTCGGGATCTCAACCTTACGGACTTCTACCTGAGAAGATAGTAATACTATGACTACGGTAAAACTAGAGTAAGAGGTGTATCGTCGAATTGGTAATTCCTGAAATATACCCACCTGCATGCAAGCATATCTGCTCACAGGGCTGACAGCTAGTTCCCCAACTCGGCAGCCCTAGGCTAGCGAGGGTAATCTTCGGCAAGCCTCTCTATATCGAGGACTGAGTTTTCACCCACGGCATGTATAAATGGACGCCACCAACTCGGCTTACGCACCCCCTTTGCCAGGCACAACCTCAGGCTCCCATGTAGAGGGGTAGTCGACGCTATTGACACCTAAGTACCTTAACATACTTCTCGACATTGATATTTTCAAATCTTCCACAGCTCTCAATAACCTTCATGCTACCTGGATACCCTCAATGTCAGACTCGTCTCCCGCCGAGCGCAATTTCCATCTCTTCCCAAGACTCCCAAAAGAGCTACGCCTCCACATTTGGCGACTATGCCTACCACACCGCGTCACCGAGCTAGACAATCCCACGTCCGAAGGGCTCTGGGATGAAAACCATCCCATCTACAAACTCAGACATACCTCCATAGTCAACGGAAGTTCACCCATCATCGCACGCGTAATCCACGAGTCCCGCGGAATCGCATACCAGGCCAACGCGAATATCTACGAATTACTTCGCACAGGCTTCTATAAAGTAATGAGTCCCTTTGACATGTTTGACTGCCTCACGGCTGAATCGGATTACTGGATGGATCCGGATCGGGATAGTGTCCATTTAAATTATTCTCCGGAGTACGGGTGAATCGCGTATTCGCATGACTTTGGGAATCCGGTTCGCACGCTTGCGTTTTTCGCTGCGAGGAACGGCGGAAGGCTTTCTTTTATGGAGGGGTGGCTTGGGTGGTTGAGGAGTGATCCCAAGTCTGATGAGGCTTTCAAAAATCTAGAGCGGGTAGAGAATTGGTTGGTTGTGCTGCGGGTCGTGATTATTCATTCTGAAGACAGGACTGCGGCGCAGACGGGGCTTTTTGGCCTTTTGGGAGATGTACGAGTGCAAATTGTTCCTGTATCAGAGCAGGCGAGGTTGAGTGCTCTGTTTGACTTGGCTGAGCGGTTGGATCGGCAAAATCAATTCGCTCATCGCCAGAACCTGGAGAGATATTCGGTTGAGAAATATCAGGAAGGTTTAGCACATAGTGTGCGGTATGGCCTAGAGACTAATGACGAGCAGACAGTCTCGAAATTCTTGAAACGCATGCAACCGGCTGTCATGTTCCGGCTGTGCACCGAGATGTGTAATCATTCGAGGGAAGAAAATGATTAAAATTCCAAGATCCAGCTGGTCGAATGATTATGATTTGTTTATGCTGTATTGACCTCAGGCATTCCGTGATCAACACCACTCAGGTCATGTGCGAGGAGAAGGAAGTTTCCATCCATACCTTTGTTGATGTGATTACTAGAGACTATCAATTTTAGTGAATTATTAGAATGCGGAAATTGTATCAGTTAAATGTAACTGCAAACATCTTATCTGCAAGTATTCCTAGTAAACACTCAAGTAACAAAGAACCCGGCGACGACACTCTATACTGGTGACCCTGAAGAGGGATAGATTATCGGATAGTACATCATTTGAGGCTTTTCAATCCCTTTGTTCTTCAAAATCAAATCATCGCTGCAATTTCAACGATATATTTCTCGGGAACGTGCGAATTCGATCCGGCAAGTCCCAGTCGAATAGCAAGTAAACGTATGGTCTGAAAGAATGACACTAAGGATGAATAAAATGGACTTTCCTCAAGTGAGACACACTATGGGGTAGATATAAATACCAGAGGATGCCGCCTCACGATAAACGAATTTTGAATTCCCGCTCGCCTATCTCTGGTCCCTGGCCATGGTGTTTACCCGAGACCTAGATTCGGGCGAGCACGTCTATGCCAACCCGGTGTCCAGTTTCCTTCAGCACGTCGGAAAAGCCTCGGGGAGATTTCTGTTCAAGACTGTGAAGGATATTAAGCACCGGATTCAAGTTCGCAGATCACGTAAGAAGCATCAACCCCTATCATTTGTACAACTCCCTCCACGGCATTACGGAGGAGAACGTCCATCGCCAGAGGTATCGGTTTACAATTACGCACCGGTTGCAGACACGTCGTCCTGCCAGGAGACGAGAAAGCCAGAATCTACTAATATCTACCGTCATCTAGAGGGCAACAATTCTTATGAGAGCATGGCACAGATCAACCCTCTAAGGAGGCTCTACGTGACTAACCCGGATGTGCCAACACCCCGCACAGCGGCGGATAGTCGATCCATTAGTTCAAGCATCTCTACCACGAGAGCCAAGGGGAATATTAAGCGACCCACTTCACTCAAAAGAACCCTTCGCCCTATTTGGCCTAGTCGGCCCAGGAGGCCCCTCGCGGATATCCCTGAGGAGTCCATTTCTACAGAGTTCAGAAGTGTAGATCTACCACTATCTAGGGAGCGTACGCCTCCTCGAAGGGTGCACAACATAGACGAGCTTTGGTTCACTGTAAGCTCGATGGATTTGCAAGGAAGAAGCCGTCCTGTGTTTTCTTCTCCATATTCAAGTCAAGACCGGGTCTCCACGTCACCTGCTTCGCTCTCTTCGTCACCGGCTGCGTGTTCACTGCCACAAAAAAAGAGGATTCCTCCTACAAACTCCCGTATGGATGTTGATGCACCACTCCGCAGTCTGAGATCTTCCAGAGGTCGAAGATTAAGTTTTCGTCCTCGAATCCCATCTTTATACTTCCGAGCTGGCTCGCCCTTTGCGGATCGAAACTTGCCATGGAACAGACTGAACAATCTCGAGTCAATTGGCCCATAGTATTACAGAGGCATTGTGACTGATACAATTTGATGGTATTATGCGCTCTTTTGGATGGTTGTGTCTCTTATCTCGGTGTTCGGTTTTTGGTTTATCCTCCTTCCACTTGATACCCTTTTTTATTGCAAAGCGAAACTTAGCTGCACATGATAGCTTATTCTGATACTCAGATTGCATTATCTGCATAACCTTCAGTCTTAATTTAAAATTAAATTTCCAACGATGTCTCAGCCCACCGGCTTCTCAACTTCTCCAAACTAGAATGGCCTTACCTCTTTCCTCTCTAGGCGATCGCATCATGTCACGTGACATTGATAGAAAGTCAACCAAATCTCTCTAGCAACATGCAAATTGTACAGCACACACGAGATCTTTCCATGAAGTTCCTGATTAAAATGGATGTCCTCACTATCTATGATACCAGTGGCTCAACTGGAATCGTCTGCCAAGCTTGAATGCCAACTACCAGGCTGTCAGATCTTCGGTGAAGTCATTGTGGGGAAATGACTTCACTATGGTGTCATATACATCCAGAGTCGACAAGACAGGGTATATAAAGTTGGAACGAACGACAAACTTCATTCGACAATTCATTCAGAACAGACTTTCCAATCATCAAGGTACAATTTCTTTGAATTCATATGAAAATTTCGAACAAAGCTCGCTAATCATAGCATCGATCTAGATCAACATCATCCTCTAAAACATCCTTCACAATGGTTCGCGGCGCCGAGTACGATAACGGAGTTCCCCAGAGCGACAACGCCATTGAGGCGGGCGCTACCAAGGCCCACGGCACTGGCGCAACTGTACGTTCCGACAATTCCAATTGACTATACTCAACGGTCAAAAATACTAATCCAATCATTATGCAGGACGCCCCCATCGACCGCGTCAACAAGGTCGCCCCCATGCCCGAAGAGACCGGCTCTCAGCGCGAAGTTTACAGCGGAATGGGCGCCCCTGGCTCGAACAGCGGCAAGGGTGGTCATGAACCCAAGACTCTCGGCGGGAACAAGGGTCTCGGTGCTCAGGGTATGAAATAAGGTGCTGGTTGCCTTGTGTTCCTATTCTTCGGACCCATAATTTATTCGATATGACCGTCATGAGCGAGGATACTTCTGATCTATCCTTGACATGAACCAGGCATTGTGTTTCTAGACAAAGTCTTGCGTGCGCGAAGGGAGGTGAAGTTTTATGGATATCACTGAACGTTATGTATGACGCTATGTATGAATATCAATGATCAAAGACGTATCCATGTCATATCCCAAATAAAAAAATTCGCGTACTCGAGACTTCGGCCGAATTTCGCTTCGTTATACAGGCTTTTACGTCCTGTAGTACTACATACAGTTTGGTTCATGTTTCTATATTTGGGAGTTGCTCCAGATGTCTTTTCTAGATAGCACTAATACCGTTTAACTAGTGATTGCTGCGATACTTTCAAAATTTGTCAGGGTTACAACTTAACCCTACTCTAGAATATAGTAATACTATTACTACGCTGAACAGAATAAGGGGTGTATCGTCGAGTTAGCAGTCTTGTATCGTCGTTTTAGCAATTCCCCCGTATTTTTCGACTCCGGAATAGGGCGAGCACCTCGTATGCAGTCATCGGATTGGATAATAGACCGCTTATCGATATTTCAACACCTGAATAAGAAAAAACTCCCTATCGGAGGATGATGTGGAAACATAACCTGCTTGTGTACAGTTTCTAAAAAGGACAAATGATGGCTATGAGAACTAAAGTATATATATACACGAGACATGGTCGGCCATCAATGCAGGGAAAGGGTAAGATATTATTCACGGGAGGATCATTAAGAGCTGGAGGATTCAGCCCCCTTGTCCGAGTCTTGCTTTTCACTGGCAGACTCGGTCTTTTCGGGGGTTTCGGGTTCAGCAGGAGCTTCGGCAATATGCTTTGCATTGACGAGTCCGAGCAACTTGTCACCCAAGTTGCCGGCACCCTCGATTTTCGCCAGCTTGGACTGGAGGTGTGCAATATCAACTTGCATCCTGTATATCCTGTCAGTTCTGAATTCCAACGTAGTGGATTATAGTTGTATCTTACCTCTTCTTCCCAGCCTCTGTCTCAACATTTGCTTCTTCAAAGGCCTTGGTCCACTGGTCACGGTAGTTGTTGAACACGGGTATCATAATCATGTCAACAGTCATGTCTGGCAGATGTTTGCTGAGGACACGATGGAGAGTACCGGTCTCCTTGGCCAGCGTCTCCATGTAAGGATGAACACCGGAGGAAGTATCATGATCCCAGTCAATCTTTTTCATCGCGGTGACATGGAGGGACGATCGCGAGCTCATGATATCGACCAATTTTTCATGGATACCAGTCTGATGTTCTTGACACAGTCTCTTGACCTTATCGAATTCGGCCATAACCTGATTTGTTTGTCCATGCCGTCTAACAAACTCTCGTACGTACGGCACCAAGGCGATAACAAAGCTCAATGCCTGCGACGAAAGGGCAAGGTGCTTCGTGGTGATGTTCTTCAAGCCTGCGCTTCGTGTAGCACCCGCGCCGAGAATCAGTTGAGAAGAACGTGAATTGAAAAGTTTCAGTATCTCAAGCAGTTGAGAGGAAATATCCTGAATCATGCTAGGAATATTCGCCATAAGGAACTCAAACTCCTCAATGCTACGCATGATTGCCACGGCCGAATCAGGCAGAATGTATTTCTGTTCATCGACAACTGCACTGCGCACCTTGTCCTTTGTTGAACCATTGGCACCTCCGCTTGATTCAGAAGCATTGGTCTGTTCGCTTCCGTTGGTTGGAATCCAGATCTTAGAAGCATCCATCCAAGCCTCGATATCCTTGGTACTTGCGCCTAGAATGCGAGTAAGTATAGTGACTTCAGAGTCACCAAAGTCCCGTGCGTCCCACCGGTCAGAGTCCATGACCTTGACGATACGGTGGCGTTGGGATTCTCCAAATCGAGCAATGAATTCATGGATCTGGTTGCCAACGATAGTCTTCAATGCGGTGCCGCCCCGTCCCGAGATCGCTTCACACTCGTCGGCAAAGAGGCGGTTGAGCGTGAAGTATCTCAAAAACTCTTCCTTGGAAAGCTGCGCGGTTTGCTCGGAGCGAACCTTTAGGACCTTGGTTATTTGAGACTGGGCGATGTCTACTGCTTGACCAAGGAGGCTTGACATGTCCAAGACCTGCAGAATCTCATCTTGGGCCATGGCTGAAGCTGAAGGTCCGTATTCAGAGGACCTCATGGTTTGGTCTGGACCCTGCGGATTGGGACTGCGACTGGGTGACCTAATACCGGCGGCCGGCGAACTTCCCAAGCCACTGGCAATATCCAAGAGAATCTTGACTTGGGTGCTCAGCCGGCGCAGGGATTCACTGATACCAGTGTAAACTGCCACCAGCATCCCATAAGCATCTTCTGGATCAAGGGCACGCAGGTTCCGTGCGAGAATGGAAGATTTCTCTTGCTGACTCCGTTGCCGATCGTTATGCGTGGACACTGAAGTCATGGACTCATTGTCATCGTCGCTGGAGCTGGGGAGGTATTTTCGGATAAGTCCTTTCATCTCGCGGAGGACAGCCGTCTTGAAAGATGTGGCCGCGGCGGTTGTGTAGTGGGCTCGGGCAAGTCCCATAAGCTGGGTGTTCAACCGGGACCGTAGCTCATTATCGATGGTCATGTATGCAGGTGAAACTGTCGACACGGGACGCTGGCCACCACGTTGCCGCAGAAATGAGGCTCCCCATCGCTGCAAGGTCACAGCAGAAGACACATTTTCAACATGACCTCGTAGATCGCCTAGTAGGTCGTTCAAGAATCGGGACTCATATCCCATGCCAATGCGCTGCCTCAACATAGCGAGATCATCGGAAGCTCCGTCAAGAGCCTTCAGACCCCGGAGATCAATGGGCTTCCGCGGAAGATGTTTCTCATCATCATCATCATCATCATCGTCATCATCATCATCGGCCGGACGATCAGATGCCTTCTCGCCAGCCATTAGCTTTTCTACTTCTTCCAGTTCATCGGCAGCGTCTTCAATATCCCCTTGCTCGACCAATTCCTCGCATCGAGAAACAGACTCTACAACGTCGCGTAATTGGGCCACAGCAGCTGCCAGCATCCGCACGTTTTCTCTCCGTCGCCGCAAATTGACGATCTTCAATCCACCCAGGGCCATTTCCTTGTCGATCTTCTGCAAGTCTTTGCGTAGAACCTGAATCCGCTTCACAGAGTCTGCTGCTTCAGCATGCAGTTCTCGGAGCGAACCCAAAGCAGTGAAAAATGACTTTGACGCGGTAGAAATTGAGGAAATAAGATGAATTTCCACGGTGTCCATGTACCAAGAGAGCTTCTCTTGCAGAATTGCGTTGGTCGCAAGTGCTTTCCTGCCAGTGTGGACCGGCTCCGGAGCACCTCCATTGGCGTGTTTGTCGTCCTTGGTTGGTGGTCGCGGAGGTTTAACCACCTCTGACTTCTCTGAGATGACATCAAATGTGCGCGGGTTCTCCAAATGGAAATCCTCCTCAAAGTATACTGGCGGGATTGTAGACAGGGGGGTCACAGCAGGCCCACGGCCGCGGGTACCCGACGAACGTCTGCCACGAGGATCATAGGGAGAGGTTGGTCGTGAATTGATAGACATAGCTGAGGATCTCCGCTCAGGGCTCCATGGCATCAAGGATTCCATATCATCCGGTTTCGGGGATTTATAGCCCGACGGCGTTTGAGCGTCCTCCGCAGCACCCTCTTTCGACTGCTGGAACACATCGTACAAGGAACCGACTTGCGAGAGATACGGTTGAAACGCTTTCGCATCCACATGAGGGATATTCGTCAAGGTTACTGGCGGGATATCTCGGGATGAGGGGGGTTTATATCCGGTCGTAGATACGGCGGTATGCGGCGTCAGGCCAGTGCGGGTTATCGGAGGTTGGAGGAGGGTGGAGATAGCTGTACGTCGGTCAATTGATTAGCTGTCATGACATTTTCGAGCTTTAATTTGGCAATACAAACCATTCTGGCCTGACTCTGCAATGGAACCATGATGCTGGGAAGTGTCCAGAATGCCTCCAATGCTCACGATTGAACTCGCCGTGGATCCCCTCCTCAGGGGATACCGCTGAGGGGGCACCCGAGGAGACTCTAGCTGGGAAGTAGAATAAAGCGATAGCGACGGCGTCGATGCGTCGGATGCTAGGCTATCAATTGACTTGCGTGGACTGGAGGGTGCCATCGTGTCCACGTCCGCCAGGCGGATGCGACAACCACCCGGGGTCGATCGTTGGGGAAGCTCGGAGTTATCTGATCATGACAGATAGGCCTCTGAAATGCGCCAGTCGGGGGCAGTACCACTGCGGATACTTTCCAGTGAATGAGCTTGAGTTCGGAACTTCAATCCGAGAATAGTCTCTCAAGTTCACAAGGCCTGAAGGAAATGCCGAGCGGAGTTGTCGAGGTGGCTTTGTTTCCCAGTTGCCATGTGCATTTCGGCCCAATCGGGAAAGGCGCTAACCTGCGCGGTGGAAGTCCGGAGTAACTCTTTCTCCGATCGGTCTAACTCCTGAAAGAATTCATGCCTCAAGACTCAGGCAGAACCACTTAACGCGTCCCGCCCTCGACGCGACGCGTTGGTGTTTCCACCCAAATCCAAAAGTTCTCCCTTCCTGTCCCTCTTCATCACCACCGTCCATAAGCACCATGGACAGACGCACCCCCTATACCCTGAGCGTTCTCGAATCCAGCACCAATGGTGCTGAGGACTCGCGCTCCTTCACTCAAGCTCGTCTGCGCGATTTCGTCTTGCAATTCCAGCTGGATAACGCATTCATCTACCGGTACGCAGCCCACATTCATCATTCTCCCCGAAGGCTGTTTTTTGGTCTTCCAGAACTAACACAACCACCCTACTAGCGATCAATTACGACACAATGTGCTAGGCAAGAACTATTATTGCGACATTGATATCGCCCATCTCATTTCCTACAACGAGGATTTGGCGCACAAGCTCACGTCCGAGCCTGCGGACATCATTCCTCTGGTAGGTGCAATCAGCGCAACAATTGCTAACGTGGTTATTTTGTCCCTGGCTAATACCTGAGTAGTTTGAAGCGGCGCTGCAGGAATGCACCAAGCGAATTGTCTTCCCTGGCCAACAGGATATCACGCTCCCCTCCCACCAACTGCTTCTTCACTCCTCCGCAACCCACATATCTATCCGTGACCTGAATGCTACCAACGTTTCTCACCTCGTCCGAATCCCCGGTATTGTGATCGGTGCTTCGACCATTTCATCAAAGGCCACCACGGTGCACATTCGCTGCAAGACCTGCGACCACAGTGAAAATCTCACCGTTGACGGCGGTTTCTCTGGCCTCTCCCTTCCTCGACAGTGCGGTCGCGCCAAGGTGCCGGGTGACCAACCAGATGAGAAATGTCCGCTCGACCCGTACGTGATTCACCACGAGAAGTGTCAATTTGTGGACCAGCAGGTTCTCAAGCTGCAGGAAGCCCCCGACCAGGTGCCTGTCGGTGAACTGCCCCGTCATGTCCTGATCTCTGCCGACCGATACTTGGCCAACCGTGTTGTTCCTGGTTCTCGATGCACAGTGATGGGTATTTTCTCTATCTACCAGGCCAAGGGTGTTAAGAAGGAGGCTGCAGTGGCTATCCGCAATCCTTACTTGCGAGCCGTGGGTATCAACAGCGACGTGGACTCGACTGCCAAGGGAAATTCTGCTTTCAGTGAAGAGGAGGAGCAAGAGTTCTTGGAGCTCAGCCGCCGACCGGATCTGTACGATGCTCTTGCCCGGAGCATTGCCCCGTCCATCTACGGCAATGTCGATATTAAGAAGGCCATCGTTTGCTTGCTTATGGGTGGCTCTAAGAAGATTCTCCCTGATGGAATGAAGCTTCGTGGTGACATTAACGTACTCATGCTTGGTGACCCTGGTACTGCCAAGTCGCAGCTATTGAAGTTTGTTGAAAAGGCAGCTCCTATCGCCATCTACACCTCCGGAAAGGGTTCTTCGGCAGCCGGTTTGACGGCCTCTGTCCAGCGAGACCACACCACCCGTGAATTCTATCTGGAAGGTGGTGCGATGGTTCTTGCTGATGGCGGCGTGGTGTGTATCGACGAGTTCGACAAGATGCGTGATGAGGACCGAGTGGCCATTCACGAAGCCATGGAGCAACAAACCATCTCCATTGCCAAGGCCGGTATCACGACGATTTTGAACTCTCGGACGTCAGTTCTTGCCGCGGCCAACCCGATCTTTGGCCGTTACGATGACCTCAAGACCCCCGGTGAGAACATCGACTTCCAAACGACCATTCTGTCCCGTTTCGACATGATCTTCATTGTTCGTGATGATCACGAGCGTGGCCGGGATGAGAGGATCGCTCGCCACGTCATGGGTGTGCACATGGGTGGCCGCGGTATTGAGGAGCAGGTGGAGGCGGAGATTCCCGTAGAGCAGATGAAGCGTTATATCAGCTACTGCCGCAGGTATGTTTGCAATTCTCTATATCAGTCATCAACATTCAAACTAACATTCCATTTCCAGCCGCTGTGCCCCTCGTCTTTCTCCCGAAGCCGCTGAGAAACTCTCTTCGCACTTCGTATCCATCCGCAAGCAAGTGCACCGCGCTGAACTCGAGTCCAACACCCGATCCTCCATCCCCATCACCATTCGTCAGCTGGAAGCTATCGTCCGTATCACCGAATCCCTGGCCAAACTCTCACTCTCCCCCATCGCCACAGAGGCCCACGTCGATGAGGCCATCCGCCTCTTCCTGGCATCCACTATGGACGCCGTCACTCAAGGCGAGGGCCAGGGTAGCAAGGAACTCATGGAAGAAGCAACCAGGATCGAAGACGAGCTGAAGCGCCGTCTGCCACTGGGCTGGAGCACTAGCCTGGCCACCCTGCGCCGCGAATTCGTCGATGGCAAGGGGTACACCGAGCAAGCGCTCAACCGGGCACTGGTCGTCCTGCAACGGCGGGAGACAGTGCAGATCCGATCCGGCGGCTCGCAGATCTACCGCAACAGGCCCTAGTTTCCTGCGCCGGTCGTATCACGAATTCTGACGTGTTTTTTTTCTTGTTTGTTTCTCTATACCGTGTACGTGCAATGGATGACGGTCGTTTCTTCGGTTTGTGCATCAATTCGGCTCGCAGGGCATGGGAGTTTGGAGCGTGTGTGATATTGGGGTTTTTGGGATATACTGTAGCTTAGTTTTTGTCTCTACAGACATGAATGCATACTCGATACATTTTCATCATTTCAATCTTTCACGTTCAAGTACAGTGAGGTTTCATAAGTTTGAAGCTATGGCTAATGTTCAGAATCATCTTATCAGTCACAAGTTGAATGATAGACTTAAAACGATACCTAAGCTATTAAGAACGACGATTGAAATGACCTTTAGAAAGACCTTTCCAAAACCAAGAGGTGGGAGCATCAACATTAGATGGTCTCTCTGGTCTCTAGACTCAGGCTTTTGAACTACCACTGTACGACTCAAGCCTTACAGGGTTCAAACACTCTGACCTCCCATACTGTAGTCACGACATGATTCGGAGAAAACCAGCCACAGAGCCAAGCACTCCAATGGCCCCAAAAAACCTCTCATTCGCGAACTCAACCGCCAAGACCCTCCAAAGATGAGGCTGCATATTCTCCAAGTGGAGATAACATTCAATCCCCGCCCAGCCAAGCAACGCTCTCTAGGCACCAGTATTTCTCCACGGAGCATCTCGTCCCGAAAGAGCCGTAGGGCAGGGAAATTTGTCTTGGCTGCATCTTCGGTGCAACATCAGCAGCCGTCATCCTCGAAGGAGCCTGTGGCTGAAATGTAGGGCTGCATCATGCGCCACGATAATGGCGCATAGGAAAGGTTCCAGTCTTGGTGTGATATGTCGTGCTTGGAGCGTTCAACTATCATGAATTCTTGGGACTTTCGGATTTTCAGCGTTGATGTGTGTACATGACTCTCTTCGCTCTCATGCGTGCAACCTCTCTGGGCTTTCTACTCGCAGGATTTGGTCAATCGAGGGCACAGTGGGGTTCTCGGGGTCATTGCCATGGCGTGAAATGGCTCCACCGTCCTCATGACTGTTGTTCGAGATACCCCCACCAGTAGCACCTGCGACTAGCCAGCCCACATCAGGATGGATAGCAAATGAGTCGGGGACATGTGTCGGACAGGAAATCGGGCTGCTGCAGGGTATCTTGTCAGAAAAAAGCGGGTTATATGAGGATCTGAGGAGGTCAAGGTAAAGGAAACAGGTATAAATACAGCCATCTCTCGTCCTCGAGATCATCCAGATCAACAACCTTTCAAAGTTCACCATCTCCATTCATAATGAGCTTCCACGCCTCCGCTACCAGCATCGAGCTTGAAGATGGCCACATCCTGAAGGCCACTCTCCGCAACGAGGAAGGCGATGAGGTCGAGTCGGAGTTGGACCTGAACGATATTATCGGCAATAACAACGGTATGTCATGCTGTTCAGTTTATCTCATTTCATACCGTTAATGTATCTTCCAGGATCGTTTGAATGGGGAGGCGAGAACTTCCAGGATAGCGCTGATGAAATTGAGTTCACTCGCGAGGAACGAGATGAGGACGAGCCAATCCCGGTGCTTCGAGCCAGCTTGGGTAACCTTGATGGGGAGAATGTGCCTGCAGATATCAATCTGGCGGAGCGCATCACGAACGAGAATGGACATCTGAAGTTTGTTTAGCCTTCTTGCACTGGAGGTTTTCAGTCAGCTGTGAGACCTATTACTATCATCAATCAATATATTCTCTTAACCCTGGTATCATGCGAAACATGTTCAAATGTCTTTGTAGTTATCTGTAGAGTCGGCTTTTTCCGTCCTTATGCGAATCAAGTTTGAAAGATCGGGCTTAAATTAACAATAGGAAGGCAAATAATCAAACAATTTTTGAATGGATAATAATACAACATCACACAAAATGTAATCAAACAGATAGACCAAGTCATTATTGCACTTTTTCGTTGCGCACTATTTGGCTTGGCGTCGAGGAATCTTCCTCACTTGCAATCGTCTTGGGTCGGACTTTCCAGTCGACCATGGCGAAAGCTCCAAACTGTCTATTCTCGGCATGTTAGGGTCAGAATGTAGTTGATAAATCAAAGTATCAATGGCGGTGATGATGGGGTGGACAATTGGTGGTCTGTGGAACGGATGGGGGGTATACACACAGTAGATAGACTCAGCGGAACTGCAGAGGCAAGAAGTGTTCTTGCTGGAGGATTCGTTCTTCGGTGATCATAGTGACTAGAGGCTTGAAGAAGGCTCAGAGGCTGGCGTCCGTGCAGAATTGCTTTCATCTCTGGGTGACTCTCCTGATCGAAATTTGGCGGCATCAGGCGACATCGTTTGAGATTGGGTGAAAGGAGGCCATCTCGGCCCAGAACTCATCGTGGGTCTCGGGGTTCCTTCGTTGGGTGATGAGACTGGGTCCAATACAGATCCGTTCCAAGGCACTCCAGGAAACGCAAAAGATCTCATCTTAGATGTAGCAGCAAATGGAAAAGTGCTTCTCGGCACCTCAACTATCGGTGAAGGAAGCGGGGGCAAAGCCATATCCTCCTCACATGGCATCGAATTTTCATCATAAGATGATGAGAGCGGTGCCAAAGTAATTGCGTCTTTGGGTTCTCCGGGGTTTGCGAATGACCTCATCTTTGATATGGTAACCTTCAAAGAAGGGGGTTGTGGCGCGTCGCTGATTGACGGGGGAACCAGGGTCAGAGTAGTGTCTTCACTCTGCTTCGGCTTATCATCATAAGATGATGATAGCGGTGCCAAAGCGATTCCATCTTCTGGTCCTCCGGGTGATGCAAACAATTCCATCTGTGATATGGTAAACTTCACAGAAGGGGGTTGCAGCACGTCACTACTTGACGGATGAACCTGGGGCAGAGCCGTATCTGCCCATTGCTTCGGTTTGTCATCATAGAATGATGAGAAAGGCGCCAAGGTGATTTCTTCCTTGGGTTCTCCGGGGGAGGCAAATGATCTCATCTTCGATGTCGTGACAAACGAAGGAGAGGTTTTGAGGGTTTCAAGTATTGACTGATGTGGGGGCAGGGCAGCATTTCCACTGGGATTCGGCGAATGGTTGTTTTGGGGACGAGATGAGAAGCAGTCAAATGGCTTCGGTACAGTCAAAGAAGCTTGATTGAGAGCCGGCACTAAGACTGCATTAGTAGTTGGGACTGGGGAATCAAGACAAAACGACACCACTGCAAGAGCAGTCATCTTTACGGTTGGCTGGTTACCTCGAGGAATGAAACTAGGTAAGGCAGTTTCGCCAAAAGCAACGATTCCCCTGTTTTGCTTCGAACCCGGAGTTCTCGCTGGATTAGGAGGCTCTGAACAATACTTGCTCACTGCGCTGGATTCCAACACAGCTGCAGACACACTGTTTCCCGAAGAGAATGACAATTGCCCAGGCCCGAGGAAACTTGCTGCGTCACCAATTGATGCAGGCTCATTTCGTAGTCCCGGGACCAATTGTCCTGGGCCGAAGAATTGTGCTTTAGGTGATCCAGAGGAAACGCTTGCTCCCCAGGGTGTTGATCTTGTGTCAACTGGCATAAACCAATGCCGGGGGTTAAGGGCTGACCACTTGATCCGAGCGGAAGAAACCTTGGCTGGGCTCCCTGTTAACAAGGTCGAACTTGCGTTGACACGAGTAAATCCCGTGGACGAGCGCGAGCCTGCATTGACAGAAGTGAACGATGGCTCTAGGACAGCTGCCGGCTCCGGGGTTCGATCCGGACGAACAGAATCAGGACCAGGAATGCACTTGGATCTCTTACATTTCATATTCACCAGCTCTTCATCCATCGGGTCTAGTGGTGAGACCATCGTGGGAGGGGTCTTAGCCTTGAGCTTTCTCCAAAGCAGAGTCTGACATAGGAGGGATGAAAGCTTTCGAACTTTCTTGGCGGTACCAGCTTGGGCTGATGAACCTGAGAGCAGGGATGCACGCTTTCGAGATCCTCTGGATCTACCAGCTGGGACTGGTGTAGCTGGGACCAATGGTGGTGCGGTTCCAGGAAACATGACAACGAAAGCTTGATTCTTGTGCATAGCCCACCCCTGTTCAGTTGAGGTGATTCCAGCTGCAGCTGCTGCATGCTTGGCTGCTCCGTAGGCGGCTTTATGAGCCCTGTCGTTACCGGGCACACCGGTGTGCCCAGGCACTAAATGCAGCTCTACCTTGGCTCCAAGGTTATCAAGATCAATGCTGTATTCAATGATTGTATGGGCCTGCTGGCTGGTTCTTCGAGCATGATCCCTCCGAGCATCCCTCTCAACACTGGTGAGTGCACCAATGGAATCCGTGAACACAAATACCTCGTGAGTAATCTGCGTGTCCGGATCTTTCACTGCATCACCTAGTGACTGCTTGATATCATCGACCGCATGCTTCAAAGCATGGGCAATCGCAAACATCTCCACAACCTCGGTACTCTGTATGAGATGAGGGTAAGGAAAGCCTTGGACCTTCCACTCCCACGACGGTGGCTGTTTCCAAACCACCGACCCCGCTGCACAGGCACCGAAGACGATCGATGCATCAGTCCAAAAAATGTGACGATGGGCATTATCGGTCCTCATTGCACAAGTCTCCATCTTCCATGCGAAATCCAACGCCTCTTCGGCCCTTCTATGCTCAATGACACCCCGAAAGCTGCAAGATCCTTCAGGCTTGCGGTTTGGAGGTGTCAAGGAGACCAACACATCTGACATCGGGATATCTGATGTTGGCTTGTCGGATGCCGGTGTGGGTGATCTCTTCCGTTTGTGTGATACCGTGCTCGGTCCTTCGATCTGGTCATTCTGACCGATTTGTCGTTTCGATGGGAGCCTGAACGGGGGCATCTCTGGAGGGATGGACGACTCCTTGGGACACAATTGGTAGATTCGGAATTTCTTCAACTCGGGGGGTGAGAGGGAGGCAGATCGTTCGCATCTTTTTTGGTCCTCCGTCATCTTTTCGACTCCGTATGGTGACAGAGAAACACTGCGCCGAACCTCGTCCTGGCTCTCACCAGGGCAGGTTGGTGGGTCTTTCGTCTGCATCACATCGGGGCCGTGATCGAGAGGGAAGGGCAGTTCTGCCACGGGATGAATGACATTGTCAGACATGGTGAGAGCGAAATATTGGGGAAGTGGGCTTTTCCTAGCGTGAGAGTGAGGGTCAGGAACAGGATCAGAGGGGTCGAGGGATGGAGAGATGATGAAGAGACGTGGATCAAAAACCGCTGGAGAGAAAGATCAAGAAAGAGGGGCAGAAGTGGTTGAAGGTTGTTTGTGGGGGGTGAAATGTCAGATATCGAAAGTCGAAAAAGGAAGGTGCGAGGCAGAACCTCATAGGCAATCACTCCAGAAACAAAGTTATTGTGTATCAAGCCTGGCTATATCATGTTGCCTGGGTGAACTGATACAGATAATCCTTTAGTACTCTGAATCATCTAGCCAAGGTTATTCCATGCCAAAAATAGGTGATAATATTCACCTATATTGCTATACTCTATAGTTATCAGGTAGCGGGATGTGGGCTTGACGTGAACTTTGAGGACAAGTAGGAACATGACTCAACATTGAACTTACTGATTAAATCCACAAGACAGAGAGAAATATAGCCTAGGTCGATCGAGTTCTATGACTCGGCTAGACCTAAACCAAAGGATATAAATGGCACGATTTCCAAGGGATTATACTTCTGTCGCCTACGGTGGTTCTATACTTCAATGTACTACAGTACTTGACTATTTGCTAATAGGTATTTACAAGCTTGGACGACCACTTGAAAGGATAATAATGGAATTAGAAGAGCTGAAGCTCGACTTTTTAGAATATCATATTAGAGATTGCCACTCTATACATAAGCCAGATTTTGCGATATATAGTCTGCCATCCCGCCAAGCGCGGACCACCTCCGACGGCCCCCCACCTCACGTCACCTCCCCAGCTGGGCCTTTTCTCTCCCCGCACTCCTCTCCACGCCACAACGATATAATCTCCAATCTTCCACAATCAGCAAGCAACTAGCTGCTGCTCAATCTGCTCGAAGCAGCCTTCATCCCAGGGATCTATCCACAGCCCCGACTCTCCAATTGAGTGTCCAGACCTTTGTCCCCACATCCCACCTCCCCAACAAACCTTCGAAGCTCTCTCCAACCTCTTTCCCACACTACAATAATACCTTGAATCACAAATCTTACTTCGTCTACACGTCAGCTACAATGGCCCCTCTCATCCGCGTCATCGGCTCCCTCAATGCCGACATGGTTTCCGTGACTCCTCGCTTCCCTGATCCCGGCGAGACGATCACCTCCTCCTCCTACTTCACCAGCGCCGGCGGCAAAGGCGCCAACCAAGCCGTCGCCTGTGGCCGACTCTCTCGACCGAAACCTACAACCGAAGGCCTCAACACTCAAAGCGATGTGACAGTTGAGATGGTCGGCGCTGTGGGCGCACTAGACGGCCACTTCTCCGCATTGCTCCGCCCCACGCTCGACAAATCGGGCGTGGATACATCTCGTGTGCGGGTGATTGAGGACGCATACACCGGTGTGGCAGTCATTATTGTGGACTCGTCTGCTGGCGGGGAGAATCGCATTCTCTTCTCCCCTGGTGCTAACTATACCGGTATGCAGCCTATTCCCGACGTACTGGGTTCCGCGCTGGCTGCTCCAGTGCCGGATGTGATTGTCATGCAGGGCGAGATCCCTGTGGAATCTGTTGTTGGGATTCTGCGTGAGATTGCCGCGTTCAAGGCGAAGAACCGCGCTGCGGGCAAGCGTGGTATCGAGCGTGGGCCGGATGTTATGCTGAATCCGGCGCCGGCACCGCCGGGTGGTTTGCCCCAGGATGTCTACGCGGCTGTTGACCATTTGATCCTCAACGAGACGGAGGCTGAATTGATGAGTCCGCCAGACGAGCAATTGCTCCGTGTGGTCCCAGATGCAGCAGGCCTGGATGATAATGAGAAAGTAGCGCGGTATTTCCATAAGTTGGGAGTGAGCTACGTGCTGATTACGCTCGGGGCGAAGGGAGTTTGGTACAGTGCTACGGACGGGGGCACTACGGGTCCTAGTGATTGTGTAAAACGCTTCACAAACGAGATCCCCGCTGCGCCGGTGTCTCAGGTGCTCGATACGACAGCAGCGGGCGATACATTCGTGGGTGCTTATGCGGTCAAGGTTGCGCGATGGCGCGAACAGCGCCGTGTGGATGGTAAAGCCGGGCTGGACCTGGTTGAGGCTGAGAGGCCGTATCGGTACCAGACGGTGATGGACGAGGCCATGCGGTTGGCAGCGCGTGCGTCTGCTCGCGCTGTGGAGCGGCAGGGAGCAATGGACAGTATACCGTTTGAGAATGAACTCTAAGCTGGTCCTGCAATGCTCTTTCTACTAAATCGACCAGGAAGAGTGGTAGAACAAAGAGTTTGCCAATCATGTACAGTATCATTAAATCATCAATCATCGGCGTTGGAGCAGAGCGAGTTAACGACATCTTCCTTTTTTACCATTCAGCTTTGGAACGGTGTACCATTGATCTGGTCAGCCCTTGGGTTACCCCTCGCAGTCCATCCACAGGAGCTATCACTGATCCGGTCACGGAATGCAACGAGTCAGATGTGTAATGACGGGGATGGCGTCAGGACCAGGCCACGAGCAGCGTGGAGGGCGTCCGGAATTAAGGGGATAAAACTACAAGAAGAAACTAAAAAGGGAATGACAGGCTCACGCGGTCCGTGGCGAATTCTCCACGTCTTACAAGTTACAGCGCCTGAATATCAAGTGAAGGGAGTGTGTGCTATTTGTAGAACCATCCTCTACACCTACATTCTCATTCACCACGGGACGTGTCTAGGTTTACAGTACTTGAGTACAGTAAACGCTCCTTCACTCAGTCCCAGCAGCGCGAATCTCTTCACACCTACTTCAGCAATGCATGATGCATGGTTTCATGAACCATCCTATCCCGAGGTGAAACGGAGACCAATGGCGCGAGAACGCGATGAGTTGGCAGCATTCGCGATGCATACATAACCCGCGACTGAGTTAAGACCCCCCAAGGTAAACTGGAAATCTATAGCCTATGGGGTAATACCGTGGTGAGTCGTGACGATGCAGTACATCACGGTAAAACGAGAAACGAGATTAGAATCGGCGGGATTGAACGAGTCGCGGTGTAAGGGAGGGGAAGGTTTGGACGCGAGGCGTGTCTCGCGACTCGCGTGTCGAAGTATGAAGTACCAAGGAAGGTGAAGGGGAGTGACATGGCATACTTTAATACATTTGGGGGCGGGAGGGGTGGCGGTGGGAATTATTGGGGGATTATAGGGCTGGTATGGATATTCAATAGATTGTTCATAGTTTATTCTGTAGTCTATCTATAATCTAAATTATTGATGATGTATTGAATGATCCATGTCTAAGTACCCGCGACTCGGGAGTCTCGGACGCGTCGCAGGGATACGCGCGGATGTGATCCGACGGCATTAGTTCGGGTTGGACCATGGCTGTAATCTTGAGAAGATATGAGTAGATAGATGATCATTGTAATAATTGTAGACTATACAATTTCACACAGACTGTTAGTCTATCCACGATTATCACTCCAAACTCATCATCTGTGTAATACTCTCTCCATACCGTATATGCCCGTCACGATCGGCATTCCACGGGGCCATGCCTGCCAGACATACTCCGTACATACTACTGACTCTGCATACTCCGAGTTTCCCACGAGCAAGGCCCGGATACTGATCTCCCCCTCTTTCATTGGAGAATGGGATTGTGCCCGCCTGCATGAACGCCACCGCTGGGCTGGTATGGTCCAATCGCCCCAAGCTGAAGGCGCCTTGCATCCCAACGCGAGCACGACGCGCCCGCGATACTCAGGATGCGCTGCCCTTGAAATAGTCCAGCAACGCCGTATTCCTCCCATCCCCAGCGCAAGAGACCTCCTTACTCCTCCTTCCCATCTCACTCGAAGCTTAAGAGTGGATTTATTACTACCACCAAAAGTATTCTATACCAATATTATAACCTATATATCCTCTGGTCACCTCCCTTCTTGACTCACTTTCCATCATCCACTCCCCGCACTTCCATCCTCTCCTTCTATTACCGGTGTTAGGAGTGGACTCGCTGTGGTCTGCCCTACCCATCCCTTCCTTACCACAACCAACTACACAACCTTCCGACCGGTTCAATCATTAGGAAAGATCCATCGGATCCCTTTTTCAAACTTTTATATTCTATTCATTGAATCATTCTATTCTTCGGTTCGATCTCGCGATCGACTTCTCTTAGCGTAGACCGCCAATCGCTCCCCCACTTAGCGCCGCGACGCCAAAACAAACCACCAGCACAGACACTCTTCCCTGTGTCAGCCTCAGATCCTTTCATCATGGCTGCTCTCACCATGACACCTCCCACCCGTCAACCCTTTGCCAGTCTGGATACCCCCAGAATGCGTCCCTTGATGCGGTCCAAGTTGAACCGCCAGAACCAGCAAAATGGTAAGCCCGGGATCTACCTATCTTACCCATGGTTACCCTCCCATACATAGATTCTAATTACCAACCCCTTCCATCCAGGCACACCACTATCAGCCAAAGGCTCCATCTTCATCGACAATGCAGAGAACATCAATCCCAACACCCTCAGTCTATCCGGCAAGCGCAAGCGCACCCTCGACGATGACGAAGATACCTCCTCCAAGGGTTCGCCCAAACCCCTCAAGACCTCGCGCATGGCCCTATCAGTCCGCGACATGAACTTCTCCCCGCGCCTCTCCACCCCATCCAAGCTCTCCCTCTCAACTCCTAAATCAGCGCCCATCCTCAAGCCCGCCGGCCGCTCACCCCCGCCAAAGTCTCTTTCATCCCGTCGATCAACAATCACCAAGGCCCGTCCTGAACCTAGCAAGCGTGGCGGCGTTGCCCGTCCTTTCTCCCTGGCTACAGCTCTGTCCCATGGCAAAGCGAAGACTGCAATGGCCGCCCCTAAGCCTAAGGGTCCGGCATCTTGGTTCTTCGATATTCATGTCGACTCGGAACAGGAGGAAATGACCAACCTTATGCAACACTCCACCGGTGTCCTTGATATCAGCGATGACGAGAGTAAGATTTCCTCCGCCGACGACCGTGGAAAGGAGAACGTTCCCCCCGCTGAATTGGGCATTGACCTACCCCGTTCAAGGGAGGTAATTGCCCTAGTTGAGGCCGCCGCGACTCGTAAGGCGGGTAAGATGGAGGAGGATCGTTCTCCGCTTGGCGAATTGAATGCCGCGGATTACTATCCGGAAGATTGCAATGCGTTCTCATTCGCTGTTGTCTACGATGACGAGGACGAGAATGAGAATGGATCCGCGTCGAAGAAGATGCTTCCACCTTCTCAATCTACTGTCTTGACACCTGCTATCACTACTTCCATCGCCTCGGTATTGGAGGCAGCCACCCCGGCGAAGCAAACCCCAGAATCCGGTGATACCAGCCCCGTGCCTGATACAACTTCTTCAGTCTCGACCGATACCACGCAGGACTAGAGAGGTGTTTGCGATGTTTTCCGAACTTAATGAAAAATTGCATTTGCATCTGGTCTCGGCGTTTGTATTTGGCCTTGTCTTGGTGATTGGTACTGGGCACGGTACTTGGGTTTGGGGTCACTGGCATGGAGTTATGTTGATTATATTGGTTGATAGCTGGTTTTTTATGTTTTGATGTCATTGATGATGGTCTTTACCTGTTGATCTGGGAATACCCTTGTTTGAGTTGGTTTTTCTTGAATGCGATGGCCTGGATTTTTGTTGGTTTGTTTCAATCTGAGTTACATAGGTCTTTTGCTCATTTCACGTTAATTAATGAATTGTCTGATTTAGTGTCTACGAGTTTAAGAAATGTCTAGTAAACCTCAAGCTTGCTCTAAGTAACTTCCAATCAATCCTGTTCTTGATTGCATCGTTGTAGTGCTTCAATCAAGTGGTGGCGTTTGCCGGGGTCAACTCGTAGGTATCATGGAAAATCTGCAGATGGTAATCTCCCCACTGAATCAATTCCCATCAGAACTCACTCGTCATCATCCTCGTCATCATCACTATCTTCATCCTCATCGTCGTTCTCGTTTCCATTTCCATTTTCATCCTCCTCAGCCAACGCAGCCTCTCGAGCCTTGACCGCAGCAGCAGCCTGCTCCTCCCACATCTCCACACGCTCCATCTCCTCTTCCTCGCCCTCACTCTCACTCTCCTCTTCATTGGCATCTCCATCTCCAGCCCCTTCCACCTCCACCTCATCCTCCTCTCCATGTCCCTCTTCCCTCTCAACATCAAACTCCACAGCCCTATTCTTCTTCCCCTTCCCCCTCGCCCTCTTCAAAGCCCCCATTTTCTCCCCATCCAAATCCCCGCGCCCCCGATCATGCATCTTCCGCCAAAGCGGCGCCCCCTTAATCGAAGCCCGCACTTCCGTAGCCATAGTAACCTCCCGACTAAGCGTCCCCTCCATCGGAACCGTATACAGCGCCAAATCCGCCTCAGTGAACGCATGATCCGGGAACGCGATGATACGCCGAAAGTCCGAGTCGTGCGGTTGTCGGTCCTCGATGAGTGTTTGAATTTTGTATCGCATGATCGTTTTGACTTTGGCCAGCGTGCCGTTGCCGAACCAGCCGTCTGTGATGATCTCGCAGGTTGGTCGGAGGAAGTCCTCTGGCGGGTTTGGTGGGTAGAGGATGTTTGATAGGATGGGATCGGTTATGTCGCAGGCCATCCAGATACGGCCGTCGCGTGGGAGGGGGAGTTGGCCCGTGAAGATGTGTGTGTCTGTTAGTTCGGAGGATTGATTCATCTCGTCGCCGATTACACGGGAGATGTTGTGGCGACGGCCGGTGCCGCCGTCACGGGCGAGTTCTGGTTCGCGGGGGAGAATGCGGAACATGAAGGTTTGATAGTCGCGGTATGCGGGGGAAGTGCGTGGGTCATGGCCCATTTTGATGATGGCGTCGCGCCAGGGTCCGGAGCGGAAGATGTAGCCAACGTAGGGGATGGCGTGGCGCAGGTTGTTGCGCTGTTCGTCGGTGGTGAGGTAGTTGCGGATTGCGCGGCGAGTCCAGGCAGGCCGCCTTTCGAAGAGTTCTTCGAGGACTTGGATGGTTGCGCGAAGGCCATTTTCGAGTTCCTCGATTGGGGCGAGACCTTCTTGAGGCTCGGTGGGAACTTCGGGGATGTCGTAGGCGACTAGATGAGTGCGCACTCGGGCTGCTTGTTGGGTGTTGACGGTTGTGACCTCGCCGGATTGGCCGACGGCCTTTTTGACCATTGGATTTTGGCGATAGCTGGTAGGAAAGTGTCAGTGGATTTTCGAGATAGTCCAAGTCCAAAGGTATTGCTTGACATACATGTACTGGAATGGCACATCTCCTTGGCTGAAGGCAGACGGGGGGATGAGATCCACATTCACAGTGGCGCCTTTGCTCATATCAATATCGAACTGCTTAATTTTCTCCACTACTTGTGTGTTAGCCGATGATCGACCTCGCTGGATTTTTATTGGAATGAACTCACAGTCATAGGGGAGAATCTGCTCCCGGAACTTGTTGATGAAGGCACTCCTCGCGGTCGAGTAGACAAAATCAGGCATACCTGGAATACCTTTCTGTCAGTTCATTCCGACCAGAAATAGCTGAGAGTAGAGACGAACCTCGAAACACATGAGTCCGTTCGATCTTTCCCATGGCCTCAACTCTGTACTTCGAGGGATTATCACTTAGGCTGCGCATGATTTCCTTCGCGGGCCGCCGCCGCACATGCTCTCCCGCAGACTCTGGGGTAGCATCAACGAAGGGGTCATTCGTCCCTCTCTTACGCTTTCGACCCGTCCGCTTGGGTACGGTTACTTTGAGGAGAACATTGTTTGATGGACAGCTTGTTGACTGAATGGGTCGTGACAAGGCATCTTCCGGCCTGAGCATCAAATTGACCGAAGTATCAGCCTTGGTGGGGTTCAGCATCTAGAAGCGGTTAGATGATTTGATGCTTCTGGTTTTCAGAATAATGTCATGGAATTCGACTCACCTTCTCGATGCCGGTGTTGCCTTGCAAAGTCGCGACGGCTTTATCGAGATTGCGGATCACTGCAGGGTGCTCCACGCTGACCATGTGCAGAGGCGGGATTCTGTAGAAGGAGGCGGTCCTAGACTCGCGATGTGTCTCCATGATGATGGTGGTGCTAACACAGGTAGGAGTGGCGAGGGAATGTGACGGAGAATGAGATGTATCAAGGCCCGTGGTGGATGGATATATGGCTGCGCAGGTGTGGTTGGATAGAGATCAAACAAGCCCCATACCGAGTCAAGGACGAGATAGCGAACAGACAACGGCCAATGAACCACGGCCAAATCAATCTCGAAAAGAAGCAGTAGTATCTTTTCTATCTGGTGCTTCTCTCACTTTCTCGCATGCAAGTCTTCTTCCTCCGAAGCAGCACCAGTGTCTCTCATTTCAAGATTGGTGGAAGGGCTGCGAAGGATGACTAAGCTTGGATGCCGGCAGCGCGACCACGGTTCACAGTGTTTGAGGATCGGCGTGGCGGGTATGACGGTGGAAAATCGGATCGAATTGTTCACGATGGCATATTTTGTATGATTACCTAGTACGGAGTTAGATTTCTCCTAGCACTCAACATCTGGTCGAAGCTAAAATGAATATAAACACACTAATAAAAGCAAACAGTTTTGAGGCCCGCTATGCGAATACGTACCATCTCCATTCTCCGAGAACAATATATATTTTGGGAGACAGGTGTGCCTAACTATTACATAGGTATCCAAACATTGCGTATCTTGAGTGCAAAAACGACACTGAAAGTACATAAAAATAGACATTAAATATTGTTTTTCAATATTTAGCAATGGAATTATCAGATTCCTCGAACTTATTCCGTCAATTCGAGTTGTACCTACTGGACTGACCTCAAATTTCCCCTTGGACGTGTCCACGTGACCAAGTGACATAAGCAGCGAAAGAAGCGGGAAAACGCATACAAAATAGGGTTGGACATGGGATCGATGCGATAGAATAGAATGATAATAAAGCTAAGTAGAGTAAACTAAACTAGAAGACTAGATCAAATGCTACAAATTATTTGCGCCTGTAGATGAACCCGGCTTACCCCCGCGGTGTGGACTACATTTGGGAGTCGAAGCCCCCTCCCCCATCACCATCACGGCCAGGAGAACCCGCCTTTCCCTTTACCTCAACAACACCCTCCTCTGCCTCCTCCTCCCTTCCCACCCACCCGCCAGCATCCCTGATTTCAACCTTGTGCATTGTCTGGCCCTTGCCAGCTTCCTCTGAAATCTGTTGATTTGGCCTTGGTTGCGCAGTGTAATCGGGTGGCTCTGGCGCTTTCGAACCCCCCGCCCCAGCCTGCCACTAAGCGACACGGAGATCCTTTAGAGCGGACCAACTACGCTCGCCCTATACCGACCTCCACGTCGCGCCGTCCAGTGTTCTTTGCACCTCAAACGTCAATTGTCCTATCTCAGGTCAAAGAGGTACGTACTACCCGCCCTTCGTCGCCGTTTCGCCTCCCTCGGCCCTCATCCTCAACATCGAAGCGCCCTGCCCCGTGCGCATGCTGCTACATCACCCGCTCTGGAAACAGTCATTGAGACTCACCCATTTCCCCTGGTGGACGGCCTGATAGAGATGACTGGAGACGGACCTACTATACTTTGGATGCCTTATGTTCTATCTTTACACGAAATACTCACGGTTCTTTTCCTACAGGTCGATACAAACAATTCGTCCCGCCCCCTCTCCCGTTCGCCTGCCGTCCGAGTAATCCTGGCTAGAGTGCAGCGCCCGCCTGCACTAGCACCAAGAATACCATCGGAGTACATGTGGCTGTCCATACCGTTGTGAAAATGAAGGGTTTTAGACAGAGAGTGGTAAGTCGTCACCCTCGTCGATGGTCTTCTGCTTCACCGCACGACCACTTCCGCCTACCATCCCCCCCCCCACTATACAAAAGGGTGGTTAGCCCCCTTTCTCGACTTGTACCCAAGCTGACATCTTTCTGTTACCTACTATATAGCACGAGCAGTTGTCGCGGGCAAAGGACGCCAACAAATCCTCGAAAAAGAAGGAATCCAACTCATCCCAGAGCCAAGCCTCCCTCGGCATTTCCCAAACACAGCAGTCGGCATCTCCAGGCCAAGGCACACCTACATCGTCCACAACTTCCTTGAATGATGCGCGAGGCAAGTCGCCGGATAATGCCTCGCCAGCAGGCACCCCGTCCTCAGGCGCCACGCCGGCCCAGCACTATATACCTCCAGGAGCCGGGATCGCTGGCCAGCCCATCAGCAATGGCCCGGGTACTCCAACAAGGCAGGGTCAGCCAGTTGCACCTAGTGTGATCATCAGCCCTAGCGGCCCGGTAAGTTCACTGCTCCGGAGGTGTGATAGGACCATTATTCGGACTTGATACTAACCTGCTCTGCGCATGGATAGGCTCCCCCCGGTGCTGCCGAGACTATGCCCGGTGACCTGGCTCCGCCGAGAAAGTCGCACGTCTTCGATCGCCTTCAGACAACCCCGAAAGATATGTCGGAAGGAATTCGGACCCCTAAGCGTCAACACTCCTCGCGATTTGACATCTCCGATCAGCGTCAGCGCGAGCTGGAGAAGCTACCCGGTTTCCACGAGGTGGCTCCCAACCGGCGCCAGGATCTCTTCATGCAGAAGATTGACCAGTGCAACATCATTTTCGATTTCAATGACCCTACTGCCGACATGAAGTCCAAGGAGATCAAGAGACTGGCTCTCCACGAGCTCTTGGATTACGTCGCCAACAACCGGTCTGTGATTACGGAGCCCATGTACCCTCGCGTCGTGGAGATGTTCGCCAAGAACCTGTTCCGCCCGATTCCTCCGCCTATGACACCTCAAGGCGAGGCCTTCGACCCGGAGGAGGATGAGCCCGTTCTCGAAGTGGCCTGGCCGCATATCCAGGTTGTCTACGAGTTCTTCTTGCGATTCATCGAAAGCCAAGACTTCAACACAAACATTGCCAAGGCATACATTGACCATCAATTTGTGCTTCAGGTATGAACTTGAATGGCCTCGTATAGCGTTGATGGTTACCGTTGCTAACAATGATATAGTTGCTGGATCTTTTTGACTCTGAAGACCCGCGCGAGCGCGATTTCCTGAAGACTACTCTGCACCGGATCTACGGAAAGTTCTTGAATCTCCGGTCATACATTCGACGATCTATCAACAATGTCTTCTTCCAATTCATGTACGAGACGGAGAGACACAATGGTATCGCCGAACTGCTGGAGATTCTGGGTTCCATCATCAACGGATTTGCGCTGCCCCTTAAGGAGGAGCACAAGCTCTTCTTGACTCGGGTCTTGTTGCCGATGCACAAGGTCAAGAGCCTGAGCATGTATCACCCTCAACTGGCATACTGTATTGTTCAGTTCTTGGAGAAGGACTCAAGCCTGACTGAAGACGTAAGCTTCACACTCACTGTTGACGCATATCAGGTCACCCCTCCGCAATATGCTAATTTGTCGCCGTGCAGGTCGTTCTTGGATTGCTGCGTTACTGGCCGAAGACAAACAGCACCAAGGAGGTCATGTACCTCAACGAAGTCGAGGATATCTTCGAGGTTATGGACCCCGGAGAGTTCGCCAAAGTTCAGGAACCCCTTTTCCACCAGCTGGCCAAGTCTGTCGCCAGCCCACATTTCCAGGTATGCATATCATTGAACGTCCTTCACTATAAACTTTATCTCCTAACCCCTTGACTTTCTCTTTGTTCCCAGGTTGCCGAGCGTGCTCTCTACTTCTGGAACAACGAGTACTTCTGCAACCTCGTCAGCGATAATGTGGAGACTATCCTCCCAATCATGTTCGCCCCTCTCTACGAGAACTCCAAGGGACACTGGAACCGGTAAGTAAATCCATTTGTTTTCGTCTCATTCAATCGACAACCTGTCTGACTGTTGTTTGAACCGCAGAACTATCCACAGCATGGTGTACAACGCCATGAAGATGTTCATGGAGATTAACCCCCAACTCTTCGATGAGTGCTCTCATGAATACACTGAACACCAGAACAGCGCCGACCAACGGGAAAAGAGTCGACAAGATCGATGGGACGTCATTGAACAACAAGCGACCATGAGGAAGAATGGCGCTCCTCCCCCACCTGCGCCCGTCCTCAGCGTCCCTGAGCCCATCGACGAGGTCGAGGCTATGACCAATGAAAGCCAAAAGCGGTTGAACACCCTCAAGATTCAGGAAGACACCGAGGCCCCCAAGGAACGGCCTGCTCGCGAAGGAACCCCAAACTCGGTGAGTCCCGAGCATCTCTGATCGACTTCGCTGCGTTGCCTGTTTCAGATACGTGCATTCCCCAGCCGGGCGCTCTGCTTTATTGATTATTGTCTTTGGCACGATCCTCCCTTGTATTTGTCTTTTGCTAAGAGGCCATCTCCACCCGTTTACAGCCAGCGTGATTCTAATGGAAACGTCCGTTTTGCTCCAGACACGACGCCGTGGATCCGTTCGTGGTGGCAGCACTTCCCGGAGACGACGGAGTGGTAGCGGTAGCGAAATTCGCCCGCGACGACGGTCGGTTGGCAGTGGTACCAGTGCCACCAATGTACAGATCTTGCATCGCAGCAACTCGACCAAATAATGCCTCGGACAGTGATGGGGCATGTGTTTATGGACATGTGTCTTCCCTTGATTTTCTGCAAACTCTTCCCATGACATAGCGAACACGGGCTGCGACGAATGTTTTTTTTCTCTCTTTCTTTGTGTCCTGATTCCCGGCCTCGTTGCTGGATTGATGCCCATTCGACTCTGCCTTGTTTTCTTTGCCGCATCCATCTTTCTTCTATCTTCTTCTCTCCAAATCCTCTACTTTACCTGTGTACATGGCTTCTCTGATATTTCCCTTTCTGTGATGGGCACCCCGGGTGTGCGTGGGCCTTGATCACTGAGCGGACCTCTGAGCTGGATTCTGTCTTAGAACCGTGTTCGGGTTATGGAAAATGGGTGCAAATGGCGTTTCTATCTATCGGCTCCCGCATGTTGGCGGCTTCTTTTCTACGTGTTGCCAGTTTTTTTCGTTTAGACCAGTACTGAGACATGATATCGCCTTGGGCAAAATCGGTAAATCTTATTTTCATGGTAGCAAATATGTGCAGACGAATAAGAGGAATTGGCCAAGGAGAGACTTCTGGTCAACTTATGTTAAGGTTGAGTGTTGGCACTACGCCCGACTGACTGGGGAGAGCTGGAACGGACTAGATGTATCTAGAAAATCAAACTTAAGCCTGGCATCTAGAATAGTACCAAAGCTTGGACACCTGATCCATCTTAGCTTTCTGTCAATCCATCTTATCTTTCCTTCCTTCTATGTACTCTCGCATTCTGGAAACCCCTTGGGGACCCGCGCGTCTAATCGCTTGATAAGCGCGCGTACATCGGATCGGAACAACACATGCCGGATTGCCTAAAACGGACTAGTGTTTCTTTCGGGGTCTCTGCGATAGCCCGCGTCCTTTTACGCTTTCTGTTCGGGGCCAGGTCGCGCGCTTTAATCTTCAACCCTCCTCACTCTCTAACCTCCCCCACACACTCTTCCCACAGGGTTTCTTCTTTTCTTGAGCTCTGCCGTCCTGTGTCACTTTCAAAAAGGACTAGGCAAGCCTTCCTCTGAAATCAAATGACTTGACGAAACTCCAGCCTCCCTCATCAATTCATCTTCAATCGATCTTTTCGAGCATATTGCACGACCTTCACCGAGCTTCGATTTAACCCCGTTCCTCGCCTATGATCCACCGATTTTGATCTGAGACCACTGCGCGGGCTCGAAATATACCAGCCGGCCACCGGGCCTGGCCGTGATTCCAGTCCTCTTCCCTTGACTGGCCCTTCCGAGGGGGCTTGAACGCCGCCATGGACCGCAATATCGACATTTACGCCAGCAAGTTGGGCGACGAGAAGCTGGGTATGTTACAATGGGATTGATGTCGAGTCGAGTATCTATCAATATGCGACGGTATTGATTGGTTTTACCTCTTCACAGACATCAAAGTCAGAGCAAATGTCGCAACCGAATTGCGAGACAGCATTGAGCCGCTCTGCCAGGGCGCAAGCTACCCCGTGTTCCTGGCAAAGCTATGGCCTGTCTTTAAGACCATTCTGAAAGGAGACCCGGTCTTCTTCAGCATGTCATATGAGCAGGTGAGATAATCAACCGCTTGGATTCAAGGCGCAATCGTTTGCGATGATCACTTTCACAAAGGAACACCCAATAACACTAGCACGTTCTAGAAACTCCGAAACTGTATACTTGAGACACTCCATCGACTACCCACAGCATCTCCAGATGTCGAACCGTACGCCGCGGACATGGTGGATGTGTTGATGGATCTTGCGCGCATTGAGAACGAAGAAAATGCGGTCCTGTGCATGAAGACCATCATGGATATGGAGCGAAATCAGGCCAAGGCTACCGCCGCACGGGTGCAGCCTTTCCTGGAGCTCATCCAGGAGATGTTCCAGACCATGGACCAGGTAGTCCGGGACACCTTCGACACTCCCAATCAAGCGACACCATCCGGCATGCCTTCAACGCCGAATACCAGCGCGCAGAATTTCCAATCTCCTCGCCCAAGTTCACCTGCTACCTCTGTCTCAGACTTGGGTCCTGACCAGCAGGCAAGCAACGTGATCTTGAAGGGAATGCAGTCATTCAAGGTTTTGGCCGAATGTCCAATCATCGTAGTTTCGATCTTCCAAACGCATCGTGCTTCGGTTGCTCAGAATGTGAAGCTTTTTGTGCCGCTGATCAAGTCGATCTTGCTCCTGCAGGCCAAGCCACAAGAGAAGGCACACGCAGACGCCGCCAGCCAGGGCACGATCTTCACTGGAGTTTGCAAGGAGATCAAGAACCGCGCGGCATTCGGGGAGTTCATTACAGCTCAAGTGAAGACGATGAGTTTCTTGGCATACTTGCTTCGCCTTTATGCTCATCAACTTCAAGATTTTCTTCCCACGCTGCCATCCGTTGTTGTCCGTCTGCTCCAAGATTGCCCTCGAGAGAAGTCTGGCGCACGAAAGGAGCTACTCGTTGCCATCCGCCATATTATCAACTTCAATTACCGGAAGATCTTCCTGGAGAAGATTGACGAACTTCTCGATGAGCGTACTCTGATTGGTGACGGCCTCACTGTATACGAGACTATGCGCCCTCTGGCGTACAGCATGCTCGCTGATCTTATCCACCACGTTCGAGAGTACCTCAGCCGTGATCAAATTCGGCGCACGGTTGAAGTCTATACCAAGAACCTTCATGATGACTTCCCCGGCACAAGTTTTCAGACAATGAGTGCCAAGCTGCTTTTGAACATGGCGGAGAAGATTTCAAGGCTCGAAGACAAGCGCGAAGCACGCTATTTCTTGATCATGATTTTGGATGCGATTGGTGACAAGTTTGCCTCTATGAACCATCAGTTCAACAATGCAGTCAAGGTTTCCAAGGCGTATAAGGACTCCCGGAAGGACACAGAACCGCCCGTCGAGAACTACCTTGCGGAGAAGGACCAACCGCCTGATTGGGACGAAATCGACATTTTCTCTGCCTCACCGATTAAGACCACCAGCCCGCGAGATCGTGGTGGGGACCCTGTCTCGGACAACATCTTCCTTTTTAGGAATCTGATCAATGGTCTGAAGAACATTTTCCATCAGCTGAAGAACTGTAATCCAGACGACGTCCAGATTGATTCGAATAGTGTTCCTATCAACTGGTCTGAAGTCTCCTATGGATACAATGCTGAGGAGGTTCGGGTGATCAAGAAGCTCTTCCACGAGGGTGCCCGTGTGTTCCGCTACTATGGTGTGGACCAGTCACCCCCTGAGATGAACTACTCCTCTCCATTCGATTTCCTCGCTAGCCAATACACCGCGCCCATGACACGAGAAGAGAAAGAGCTCCTGGAGAGCTTTGGCACTGTCTTCCACTGCATTGATACCGCGACGTTCCACGAGGTCTTCCATTCAGAAATTCCCTATCTGCATGAGCTCATGTTCGAACACGGGGCTCTGCTTCACCTGCCACAATTCTTCCTCGCCAGTGAAGCAACATCGCCAGCATTCTCGGGAATGGTATTGCAGTACCTCATGGAGCGCATTCACGAGGTTGGAACTTCCGATATGACCAAGGCGAAGATTCTGCTCAGGATGTTCAAGCTGTCATTCATGGCCGTGACCCTGTTCTCCGTTCAAAACGAGCAGGTACTTCACCCCCATGTCACCAAGATTGTCACCAAGTGCATCGAGTTGTCAGTCACGGCCGAGGAGCCTATGAACTACTTCCTCCTGCTGCGTTCACTGTTCCGTAGTATCGGCGGTGGACGTTTTGAGCTTCTGTACAAGGAAATTCTTCCTCTTCTAGAAATGCTCTTGGAAACGTTCAATAACTTGCTCCTCGCTGCTCGCAAACCTCAGGTGCGGGATCTCTACGTCGAGTTGACCTTGACGGTTCCCGCGCGATTGAGTCATCTTTTGCCTCATCTGAGCTACCTCATGCGACCGATTGTGGTGGCCCTGCGTGCTGATTCTGACCTCGTTGGGCAAGGTCTTCGCACCCTCGAACTTTGCGTGGACAACTTGACAGCCGACTATCTCGACCCGATCATGTCTCCTATCATGGACGAGCTGATGACTGCGCTTTGGGATCATCTCCGACCTCATCCTTACAACCATTTCCACGCCCACACTACCATGCGCATCCTCGGCAAGCTTGGTGGCCGCAACCGCAAGTTCTTGAATCACCCGCCCGAGTTGAGCTTCCAGCAGTACTCCGATGACAACCCCAGTTTCGACATCCGACTCATTGGTCCGAGCGAGAAGCGGCCTTTCCCAGTGGATATTGGTATTGACCTGGCCATCGGAAAGCTAATGGAGGTACCAAAGTCTCCCGCAACCAAGACTTCGGATATCTACTACAAGCAGCAAGCCTATCGTATGCTGAGCTCGCACCTCAAACTCCATATTGGATTTGAGAATCTTCCCGACGATCTGGCCTCTCTGATTCGCCTTCATGCCAACGATCTCTTCGAGGGCAAAGCTGGTGCCATGGTTGACATCCTCGAGAAGTCTGAGAGATCAGCATCGATCCCGAAGAAGGTGGTGCAGGAAGCCACTGTGAAGAAGCTTCTCAAGGCTTGTATCTTTGCTACCACTGTCCCCGAACTCGAGCCAGCTGCATCTGCTTTCGTAGCCGATGTTTCCAAGCATTTTGCCATCGTCGAGGTTGGCCGCGCTCTTGCCCAAGCCCGCCACAACCGTAAGCCTTTCGATGTCGCCAACGGAGAAGGTCCTGTTTACCTTGACTCTCGGGTCCTGGCCGAAGCTATCGTTGAGTGTCTCTCGTCTGACAGCGCTCACGTTCGCGAGGCCGCGGAGCAGGCAATGCTGGTTGTCAAAGAAGCCGCTGGAGTCATGTTCGGTGCCCCGGAGAAAGGCTCCAAGCTTCCATTCTTCCAACATCTGGGCCGCGTCTTTTGCCACAGCTGCCACAGTGAGGAGTGGTTCACAAAGGCCGGTGGAAGCTTCGGCATCAAGCTTTTGGCTACAAAGATGGACCTTGGGGACTCATGGTTGTATGAGCGACACGTCGAATTCTCTCGTGCGCTCCTCTACGTCATCAAAGACACGCCTGCAGATCTCCCTGCCTCTACGCGGGTACAGTCACAGGAAACTATGACTTTGATCCTTCAGCGCTGCGGAAAGCTGATTCCCAAGGACGATCTCAAGAACGAGAAGAGCCGTTTGTTCTCCCTGTGCGGCCTCTTCGTGTATGAGCTTGGCCACATGAACAAGCATGTTCGCGAGACATCAAAGCTCTGCTTTTCTACTCTCAAGGAGGAGCTGGGCTGCGAGGTGCACGAGCTCATCCATCCTGTTAGGGATCGCCTTCTTCAGTCAATTTTCAACAAGCCTCTGCGTGCTTTGCCATTTGCCACGCAAATCGGTTTCATTGACGCCATCACCTACTGCTTGAGCCTGCAGAACGAGATTGTGAGCTTCAATGAGCCGCTCAATCGACTGATGCTGGAGTCCCTTGCGCTTGCCGACGCCGATGATGACTCGCTTGCGTCCAAGCCAAATGAGTTCAAGAACGCCGATATGATTGTGAACTTGCGCGTCGCTTGCTTGCGCCTACTGTCCATGGCCATGAATTTCCCTGACTTTGCCAACACTCCGCAGAACACCAGCCGTGCTCGAATCATCTCCGTCTTTTTCAAGTCCCTATACTCGCGGGCCCCCGAAGTCATCGAGGCCGCGAACGCTGGACTCAAGGATGTCCTGACGCAGACCAACAAGCTTCCCAAGGACTTGCTCCAGAATGGCCTGCGCCCGATTCTCATGAATCTGCAGGATCCCAAGCGTCTGAGTGTTGCTGGCCTGGATGGTCTGGCTCGCCTCTTGACGCTCTTGACCAACTATTTCAAGGTCGAGATTGGTGCTCGCCTTTTGGATCACATGAAGGTCATTGCCGATGATATGACTTTGCAGAAAGTCTCCTTCAGCCTTGTCGAGCAGAACCCCTCCATGAAGATTGTGGCCGCCATCTTTAATATCTTCCATCTCCTTCCTCCGGCTGCCACGTCGTTCATGGAGAACCTCATCGACAAGGTTCTTGACCTTGAGAAGAAATTGCGGAGAACATCCCACAGTCCCTTCCGCAAGCCGCTCGTCAAGTATCTCAACCGCTACCCCAAGGAGAGCTTGGCATTCTTCCTTGCTCGCTTCAAGGAAGAGAGCTATGGGCGTTTCTTCGGGCAGATTTTGGCTGATCCCGAGAGTGACGCTCTTCGCAATGCGGTTGTGGCCGATACTGAGAACTTTACCTCAACCGCATTTGGGCTGGATGCCACGGACGAGAAGAGGAACACTGCTGCGATCAATGGCATTTACATCGCACACTCCATTTGCTCATACAGTTCCACTAAGCGTTGGCTGGTTTCCCACGCGGATCTGCGAAGCAAGCTCCTGTCCTCTGGGCGAGAGCTAGAGCGCAAGTTGCGAAGCGATAGCTTGCCTCCTGATGAGCGCCTTCGCGTCGAGCAGGCCGAGGACCAGTTGATGGATATCTTCACCGTGTATCTGACGGAAGCTTCTCATGATCTCGATTTCCTCTTTGAAGTCATCGATGGATTGTCTGCCGACGAGTTCAAGCGTACGCTGGCACTTCCCAAGTTCATTTATAGCCATATCATCGTCAACGAATCGATTGACTACCGTCGATCGGTCATCATGCGCTGTCTCGACCTGTACGGCCAGCGAGCCTGCTCTCAGAAGACCAAGACCTATGCCTTCAGACACCTGGTCAACCCAATTTTTGCTATGGATGTTCAGACCACATGGAACAGCCCCGCCAACACCCCGAAGCTCATGGATAAGAGTATGACCGAGTCTATCCAGAGCCGTCTGTGGAAACCCCAGCTGGCTGATTTGAGCGAGGAGTCGAGCCAAGCTGGAGTCGATCATTCCCGCATGGAGCTGCTGCAGTTGTCAGCTCTGCTGATCAAGTACCATCATCAGACGGTGCAGGACTCTCGAAAGGATATCATCAAGTTCGCCTGGAATTACATCCGTCTCGAAGATATCATCAACAAGTATGGTGCCTATGTGCTAATCAGTTACTTCATCGCCCATTACGAGACGCCTTTCAAGATTGTGATCCAGGTCTATGTCGCCTTGTTACGAGCGCATCAGAACGAAGGCCGAGCTCTCGTCACGCAGGCTCTTGATGTCTTGGCCCCGGTTCTACCAACGCGGACTGCTGGTAACCAAGGCCCCGAGGCAAGATACCCGCTGTGGGCTAAGTGGCCGAGGCGTATCCTAGCTGAGGAGACTGCCAACCTGCAGCAGGTGATGAGCATTTTCCAGTTCCTAGTGCGTAAGCCGGATCTTTTCTACGAATCGCGGGAACACTTTGTGCCTCTCATTGTTCCTTCACTGATCAAGATCGCTGGACCACCAAACACGTCTAATGATAGCAAGAAACTTGCTCTCAACTTGATTGGCCTGATCTGGCACTGGGAAGAGAAACGTGTGCAGGCGATTACAACAAGCCCCACCGTGCCAAATGGAGCTCTCGAATCGCCAAACGCGAAGAAGCGCAAGCTCGAGGAAACACATGAGACGGCCTCCGCATCTCCCTCACTTGGACCTCCACCTAGCCGAGAACGGTCTGAATACACGGTGCCTCCTGAACTACGTGCTGCTCTGATCAAGTATCTCATTACATTCATCACCACCATTCCTGAGCGCTTTGTGGTTCCAGCTGCTCGAATTCGCCATGTGCCCACCAATAAGCAACCACCTCCACAGCCAGTCCCAATTGGTGAGATGGTCAACAAGGCCGTTAGTCTTCTTCGGAACTTGCTTTCGAAGGAGTACTGGGGAGACCTGGATATCGATCTCTACCAAAAGGTGACAGAGCCTATCCTGGCTGGCGAGAAAGCAGACAAACCCGACGAGAAGCAGATCACTCCTATGGTCAACACCCTGCAGGTCTTGCGTGTCCTGATCGCGTCCAAGCCCGATGAGTGGATCACAGCTCGCCTTGCAACCATCCAGAAGCTTCTTGAGAAGCCTCTCAAGTCTGACAACCCGGAGATTCAAGATTGTTTGCACGGCTTGGAAGACGATTTAGATGTCTCTCCCAAGTTGCCACCTCCCGTCCGCCGTGTCCTCGAGGCTATTCCAGATGATCAACCTGACGATGAAGATGCTATGGATACCGAAAGCACCCCGTCAGAGTTTGCTACATACTTGTCTGCCATTGCCACCGAGACGCTGTCCGCTAGCAACTACACTGCTGCCTTGAACACCCTGTGGACTCTCTCTAAGCTCAAGCCTGCCGAGATCGACACGCACATTCCAGCTGTTATGAAGGCTTTCTCGCAGAAGCTTGCCAAGGAGCACGTTGCGGCCTCTACCCCCCAGAACGGCCAGCAGCCTCAGCAGGGTCAGAAACCAGCCGAAGGAGTTCCTGACATGCAAGAAATCGAATTGGGTGTCGACCTCATTTTCAAGACCATTGAGCTCATCTCAGTTAGGATGTCTCATCTCGGTGACCAGCGTCGACCGTTCCTCAGCGTGCTTGCTTCAATCGTTGAGCGATCCCAGAATAACAAGCTGTGCAGCAAAGTCTTGGGTATGGCCGAGGAGTGGATCTTCCACTCAACCGAGTCATGGCCAACCCTCAAAGAGAAGACGGCGGTGTTGCACAAGATGTTGCTCTTCGAGTCTCGTCCGGATCAGGTTATGCTGAAGAAGTTCCTCGATCTCGTTATTCGCATCTACGAGGACTCCAAGATCACACGGACCGAGTTGACTGTCAGGCTTGAGCATGCTTTCTTGATCGGTACTCGGGCTCAAGACGTGGAGATGCGGAACCGATTCATGAGCATCTTCGATAAGAGTTTGACTCGTCTCGCCAGCTCCCGGTTGAGCTATGTGCTGACTTGCCAAAACTGGGATACCCTCGCTGATTCCTTCTGGCTGGCACAAGCCTCCCACTTGATTCTTGGCTGTGTCGATATGAACACCACGGCTCGATTGCACCAAGATGATTTCACGGTGTATCCCCTGTCGTTCCTCTTCGCTGGTGGTGAAACGGACGCCAGGAAAGCCGACATTATGGTGGAGAGTCAGCTGGAGAATTTCGTTGCTGACCGCAGGCGATTCATGTCCGACATTGGCGACGTTCGGGTTCGTGACTTGATTGAGCCTCTTTCTCAGCTCCAGCATACCGACTCGCAGGTGGCTTACAAGCTGTGGACCACTTTGTTCCCTATTTACTTGTCCACCCTGACCAAGGAGGATCGCATCGATCTTGAAAAGGGCATGGTCACTCTGCTTACCCGAGAGTACCACCAGCGACAATTGGACAAGCGACCCAACGTTGTCCAAGCCCTTCTCGAAGGTGTTGTGCGTGCCAGCCCACGCTTCAAGGTTCCACCGCATGTCATGAAGTACCTCAGTCGAACATATGATGCGTGGTATACCGCTGCGACTTACCTGGAGGAAAGCGCCATCAAGCCGATCATTGATACTCCTACTGTTCGCGAGAGCAACCTGGATGCCCTAGTTGAAGTCTATGCTGGTCTTCAAGAAGATGACTTCTTCTATGGTACTTGGCGCCGCCGCTGCAAGTTTGTCGAAACCAATGCAGCCCTTTCCTACGAGCAACAAGGCATGTGGGACAAATCTCAGCAGCTCTACGAGAACGCGCAAATCAAGGCACGCTCCGGGGCAATGCCCTTCTCGCAGGGGGAATACTTCGTGTGGGAAGATCACTGGCTGATCTGCGCCCAGAAGCTTCAACAGTGGGAGATTTTGAGTGATTTCGCTAAGCACGAGAACTTAAATGATCTTCTGCTCGAGGCTGCCTGGAGGAACATTGAAAACTGGCAGAGTGAAGGTACTCGTGAGCAACTCGAGTCCTTGATCAAGTCCGTTTCCGATGCTCCCACTCCACGACGCACCTTCTTCCAGGCATTCATGGCTCTTCTTCAGTACCACATGAAGAAGGAGAACATGCAAGACTTCAACAGCGTCTGCGATGAGTCCATTCAACTGTCAATTCGCAAGTGGCTGCAACTGCCGAAGCGCATCACCAATGCCCATATCCCCATTTTGCAACACTTCCAACTGCTGGTTGAGTTGCATGATGCCAGCCACATTTGCGGTAGCCTGGCTCAGACCAACGAGCGGAATCTGGACACCAAGTCCGCGGAGTTGAAGCTCCTTCTTGGAACCTGGCGGGACCGGTTGCCAAACCTGTGGGACGACATCAACGCCTGGCAGGACCTTGTCACCTGGCGACAGCATATCTTCCAGCTTATCAACCAGACGTACCTTAGTCTTCTTCCACCGCAGACTAACAATGTGGCCAGCAACTCCTATGCCTATCGCGGATACCACGAGACGGCTTGGATTATCAACCGTTTTGCCCATGTCGCTCGGAAGCATCAAATGCCCGAAGTCTGCATCAACCAGCTCAGCCGGATTTACACACTGCCCAACATTGAGATCCAGGAAGCGTTCCTCAAGCTTCGGGAGCAGGCCAAGTGCCACTACCAGAACCCCAAGGAACTGAACAGTGGGCTGGATGTGATCAATAACACCAACCTCAACTACTTTGGACCCCAGCAGAAGGCCGAGTTCTACACTCTCAAGGGCATGTTCCTTGCTAAGCTCGACCACGTCAATGATGCCAACGAGGCTTTCGGAGTTGCTCTTTACTACGACCTCCGACTCGCAAAGGCCTGGTCTGAATGGGGACAGTACAGCGATCAACGGTTCAAGTCGGACCCGTCAGACTATGAGTTGGCCAGCAACGCCGTCAGCTGTTATTTGGAAGCGGCCGGTCTGTACAAGAGTGCCAAATCGCGCAAGTTGCTCAGCCGTATCCTTTGGCTTCTCAGCCTGGACAACGATGAAGGACAGATCGCCGGCGCCTTTGAAAACTTTAAGGGAGACACTCCAGTGTGGTATTGGATTACCTTCATCCCTCAACTTCTTACCAGTCTGTCTCATCGTGAGGCTCGTCTCTGCAAGGCTGTGCTGGTGAAGATTGCCAAGCTCTACCCACAGGCCCTCTTCTTCCTCCTTCGCACGAATCGGGAAGACATGCTGAGCATCAAGAAGCAGCATGATCAGAAGCAAGAGAAGCTGAACAAGGTCAGACAGGCCCAGCAGGGGGGATCTTCGCCAAGCACCAAGCCACCCACGAGTGGTGACACATCATCCCCTGCCCAGAAGGCCCCAGCTAGTGCACCAGCCCCGAGTGCCTCTCCCGCCGGTCAGGCAGCGAACTTGCCGACAGCTCAATCTCCGGCTCAAGCTGCACAAGGCCAGTCTCCCGCTCAGCCACCGAACGCGCAGGTCCAGGCCTCACCGCGCCAGGGCCAAGGTCAAAGTCCCATCCCAGGCCAGCCGCAAGCCCAGGGTCAGCAGGCGCAAGGCCATCTCCAAGTACCTGGACAGACTGGGCCTCTGCCGCCAAATCAAGGTGCCGCTTCTGGGGAGTCTACCGAAAAGGAGCCCCTCCGAAAGCCATGGGAGTACTCAGACGAGATCATGTCTGGCCTGAAGACTGCGTTCCCGCTGCTCGCTCTGTCTATGGAAACAATGGTCGACCAGATCCACAAGAACTTCAAGTGCCCGCCCGACGAGGATGCTTATCGTCTCATCGTCGCGCTTCTGAACGATGGACTTGCCTACGTGGGTCGTATGCCTGGATCGTATGCACAGGATTTCAAGCTTCCGCCTGCCACCGAAGCCAATATTACCCGGTTTGCAGAGACTATCCTTCCCGCGCACATTCGCAAGTCCTTCGAGGCCGACTTTGTGGTCAAGAAGCCAACGATGCACGAGTACATCCAAAAGCTGCGCCGCTGGCGTGACAAGTTTGAGGAGAAGCTTGACCGTCGTCCTCAGTCTGGGTTCCTTGAGAGCTACTCGCCGCATCTTAGCGAGTTCCGCTTCCTCAAGTTTGATGAAGTTGAAGTTCCCGGACAATACCTCCTGCATAAAGACAAGAACCAGGACTTTGTTCGCATCGATCGTTTCCTACCCGACGTGGACCTCGTACGGGGTATTGGCGTCTGTCATCGCCGCTTGAAGATTCGTGGTCACGACGGTAGCATCCAAGCCTTTGCTGTTCAGCACCCTGCTGCACGCCACTGCCGCCGTGAAGAACGCATTCTTCAGCTGTTCCGTATCTTCAACGGCCTGCTAGCCAAGCGCAAGGAAAGCCGGCGCCGCAATCTGTACTTCCATCTCCCTCTGATGGTACCATTGGCACCGCACATCCGTTTGGTCCGGGATGACTCCTCGTATATCTCCATGCAGGGCATCTATGAGGACTACTGCCGACGTGTTGGTATGAACAAGGATGAGCCGGTGCTTTTCACCATGGATCGTATGCGGTCTCTGGCAGAGACAAAGCAGAATGTAAGTTCCACAGTCTATTCCTACTCCACAGTTGTTGCTAACACTCCAAAGCGCACGGCCGATCAACAGCAGGTTCTTCGTACCGAGATCTTGACCGCAATTCAAGACAAATGGGTTCCCAGCACTGTGGTATTGGAGTACTTCCAGAACACCTATCCCAATTTCGCAGACTTCTGGCTGTTCCGACGCCAATTCGCCTACCAGTACGCCGCGGTGGCCTTCATGACCTACGTTATGCACATTGGCAACCGGTACCCGAACAAGATTTTGGTGTCGCGCTCGACAGGCGATATCTGGGGTGCAGAGTTGATTCCGACCATCAACCCTGCCAAGGCAATCTTCTACAACCCCGAGCAGGTGCCGTTCCGATTTACTCCCAACATCCAGACACTGCTCGGTCCCATTGCCACTGAGGGTCTGTTTGCTTGTGCCATGATGGCTATTGCCCGCTGCTTGACAGAGCCTCGACACGAGCTCGAGCAGCAGCTGAGTGTCTTTGTGCGTGACGAGATGATGTTCTGGGCCACTGCCCAACATCGTGGCAACTTAGCTGTGCCGCAACTGCGCGAGCTGGTCTACAACAACAGCGAAATCATCGTTAACCGCGCTGTCAGCCTTGCCAGTCCACCTGAGGGCAATCTACCCGCGAACCAAACTACAATTGACTTGGTCTCTCGGGCCGTGAACCCGCAGCACTTGGCCTCGTGTGATGCGTTGTGGATGCCGTACCTCTAAGCGGCTACGTTTCTGCTTTGAGACCGTTTCTGTTTCTCTTGGCCTTGATAGGGAAGGAAAGGGAAGGGCATTATTTATTTGCATAGCTAAATGGGTATTCATTGGGTGGATTGCTTCCATGGGTGTGTTGTGTTTTTGAGCGTGGCGCTTGGGTCGAGGAGAATGATTGTTCTCTCCTTTTTTTTCTTTTACTTATGATATTCGATACCTTTCTTCCTGTATGATTTTACTGCTCTGTTTCCTTAACCTCGAAAATTAGCTTTTAATTTACAATACTTTATCAAAGAAAGTTTTCAACTTGTAATTGGAATGTGGAGTAGTAAAATTGAGTTGTAATCCATGGTATCCTGTCACTATCTCATGAAAAACGCCAGCGCTTGCAATGCTGAAAGAAATGCAGAAAATATGACGCATATTAGACCAGAGATGGCTTCTTCTTGATACCAAGGCTGGTGAGACCGGGCTTCTTCGCCTTTTTAACTCGGGCGAAAGATGTCGACGGCGGCGGCATCGAGGTCGTGGCAGTCTTTGCCTGCGAGGGCCCTGGCACCGGTAGTTCCTCCTCATCCACAACGCGCTTGACTCTCTCGCCGGTGGCAGTCATAAAGGCCCTCCGTGCGGCTTCCTCGTCCTCCTGTTCTTCCCGTAACTTCGCCTCATCCACCTCGTTGTGGATGAGATCCAAGGCGACCTCGTCCTCCAAACCCTCGTTTCGGGCAATGCGCGCGTTTCTTGTCCGGATCTCATCGAGCGCATCGGCGATGGCCATCTCCCGCTTCGAGTCTTGCATCTTCTCCTCCAGCTCAGCCATCTTATCTCGCTCCAGCTGTTCCTCTTGTTCATTTTCCTCGCGCTCAAGTCGATCCAGCGTCTCCTCCTCGGTTTCATTGTATTTTCCAGACTTGCCATCTCGCCAGGGCTCAAAGTTTCGCTTGGCTCCTTTCTCACACTCATAGTCCATGTCTATTTCATGGTTAGTACGTTTGCGTTTGTGAAACGTGGGATATCCAGCACTTACTCTTTGGGTCTGTACGAAAGGTAATCTCACCACTGCATCGGGTGCAGCGAATGAAGAATCGATAGATCGGAATATTGAGATATTTCTCCTCGAGGGTCTGCTTTCGCGCGTTGAACTTGCGCCCACGATAGATGTACTCGCCGCAGTTGGTGCATTTCATTGGAAACGGGGCCATCAGTCGGACCGTGATGACCTTGGGACCCTTCTGGCGCAGATGCTTGGGGGTGCGCCCGATCGCCGACGGGTCAAAGTCGGGAGGGTAGTACTTGGTCAAGACCTTTCTCTCGGACATTTTGGCGGAGGTACAGCGATGGGTGAAGTGTGAAGTGGATTTGAGGAAGTTGAGGCTGCTTGAGGAAGAGAAGTGGCGCTGGACTTTGCGGACTTATCGAGATAAGGGCACGTGATATCGCATCGACCACGTGACATTCAATGCTCTGGTCATCAGAGATTCAGAGAAGAGCTCCAGCTGGAATGAGGTTCTAGTAGTTACTTGATTCTCCCAGTTTCTATCGCTTTGGCCATACTGATTTATCAATCCTTCGTTGCGTGTCCTCCCACAAATGCTTCATTTTGTTACTTAGGCAGCTGCGCACGGGCCACTGTTTGTTGACCCTCCGCGACCCGCTCATGCGAGCAGCACCGCGGCGCTCGATAACCAAATTCTCCGCGGGCAATTGTCAAAGTGCATGATTGCCGACCGTCTACACTCCTTTCTTCCTTGACCAGTTGTGTCAGATCTGCGATGGAGAAGTATCTGCGCTCCTGGCGACAGGATGCGCTAAATCGCGGCCAGCATGACGCCGCCATTTACATTGGCGACAAGGTTCTTGCGCTCACGAGTATGCCCCTCGTCTCCCTTCACCGCATCTCCTTCCGATGTCAGCAAGCTAATGAGTGAGTAAAGACAGCGATTCGGATGCTTTCTGGCTAGCTCAAGTCCACTTCTCCAACAACAACTTTACGCGCGCCTTAGCTCTTCTATCCCGCAGAGACCTTGTCTCGAGAAGCAGTGCCTGTCGCTACCTTGCAGCTCACTGCTACATCAAACAGAATCAGTTCGACCAAGCGCTGTCAATTCTTGGTGATCAAAACCCGACATATTTGATCCGGAATAACAACAGCCGTCGCAAGATCCAACACCTCAATGGCCAGAGCCATGTCACACTACGGAATGGAAAGAACACCACGACGCGCGGGGAACGAGGCGAGGACCGAGAAAGGGATGAAGAAGGGAGCGTGAGGTTTGAGGCTGCCATGTGCTATCTCAGGGGACTCTGTTTTGCCAAACAGAATGCCTTTGACCGAGCACGCGACTGTTACAAGGATGCCGTCCGGATTGACGTGCAGTGCTTCGAGGCATTTGACCAACTCATGAAGAACTCCCTCATGTCGCCTACCGAGGAACTCGAGTTCCTTGAATCGCTTGACTTCGACTCGATATCCTCTCCTGACCCCGCCACCGCTCAGGAGGCGGCACACTTCACAAAGATGCTCTACACCACCCGTCTGTCTAAGTACTCCGCACCAAGTATCTTGTCCGACGCCACCGAAACACTTTCCACACATTACAACCTCTCCGAAAACCCCGATATCTTGCTCTCACGCGCAGAGGCGCTCTACACACAGTGTCGGTTTGCCGAAGCCTTGGAACTCACCTCCTCCATCCTCTCTACCTCTCAATCAACCGATTTGACCTCATCCAATGGCCCAGGCAGTCTTGCAAATAACCATCTAGGCCATGCACCAGCGGTCTATCCGCTTCACCTGGCCTGCCTTTACGAAACGGGTGCTACAAATGCTTTGTTCTTGCTCTCGCACATGCTTGCAGACCATGCCCCCGAGGAGCCATACACTTACCTCGCTATCGGCGTCTACTATCTAGCTGTGTCGAAGGTCGCCGAGGCTCGTCGATTTTTTTCTAAAGCGTCTCTCCTGGATCCTCATTCAGCACCCGCTTGGATCGGATTCGCTCATACCTTTGCGGCCGAGGGCGAACATGATCAGGCCATCGCCGCCTACAGCACTGCGGCGCGACTGTTCCAAGGGAGCCATTTACCACAGCTCTTCCTAGGCATGCAACACCTCGCTTTGAATAATATGGCACTCGCACACGAGTATCTATGTGCAGCCTATGCCATGTCTACCGGCGCTGCACCTGGTTCAATCCCTACTCTTCCCCCGACCCCTTCCGGGGTTCCTCTAGGAGGCGATCCTCTGGTTATCAATGAACTTGGCGTGGTCTTCTATCACCAGAATAACCTTACTGCTGCGGTAGAGATGTTCCGAGAAGCCCTGATGCTGGCCGCATCGCTCCACAGCGAACCGGGTGCCTGGGTTGCAACTCGCGCCAATATGGGTCATGCCCTTCGTCGCCTCGGCCGTCTACCTGAGGCACTGCGGGAATTTGAGGAGTGCCTTCGAGTCGGTGCTGGGGGCACCAGCCTGGGATACTCTCCCTTCTTAGGTGGAGGAGCTGGAGGTTCTGCGGCTGTGGCGACCGCCTCCGGGGTTGGAGGGTATGAGGACCGGGGGCTCGTTGGATCTTTACATACTTCTCGAGGTATCTTGCTACTTGAACTCGGTCGCACGGGTGACGCCGTAACGGCCCTACATGAAGCTGTTCGCGTGTTGGGGGCTACTGGTGGCGGAGACGCTGCCGGCGGCGCGGGAGTCGCTGGGACGTTGCTGAACCGAGCCCTCGAGCTCTGGGCCGCGGAAGGTCGCGAGCAAGATCAACAAGCCAATGAAGAGCGTACACGACAGTCCAATAATCGTTCGGCGAACCGCACTAAAGCACGGGAGCGAACCGAGAGCAACCGCCGCAGAATCCGGCACGCGGGATACGCCGAGGAATGGACAGATGAAGTGACGCATTCTGCCACACCCGAGACTGCAGACGCGGAGACTATGGAAGATCGGGTTGAAATGGAGCTCGATGATAAGGCGGACAGTATTCTTGGCCGTGCCTTGGGTCGAGTTCGTCCTGGGGGCCGACAGCGCCGCACGCCGCGGCCTGCCAGTCCCGTGATCGACGGCGATACGCCGGCCCGCAGTACTCGTCGGGAGAGGGCTCAGCGAAGTCAATCTCGGCAATGATGAGTGGTAGAGAGGGTTTGTGTCTTGAAGGTGTTGTATTTTAATGACGGATGCATTGCAACGGGCGTTTTTGGTGTTTCGTCCAGTTTGTCTGTTCACTTTTACTCTTAGTAACTAGTAATGATGGGTGGGCATCCATGGAGCATGGGGTGCATTATCCAGCGTTTTTATACCTTAAATAGAGCATACCTTATTTCATCTTTCTAGGTCTCTCTCTAGGTCTCTTTCTACACATCATTCTACACCTCGTTCGTATACCTCTTTCGTATACCTCTTTTGTGCACCTCTTTCCTACCCGTATACCTCTTTCGTGCATCTCGTTCCTACGCCTCCTTCTTAGTTTTTTTCTACAGTTCTTTGTTCGTCTAATAAACTTAGGAAGGTTTACCCTATAGATTCTACGATAGGTAAGTAGCTTCTTCTCTTAGAAGTATACAGTAGTATACCATATACTCTTTATATGAAAAGACCTATGTATAACATAGTCTTAGTATATTCTTCGTTAATTTCAAAAGGGTCAAGTAAAACACTTACACGCCAAGATCTTGGATCATTCATCTATGGTTTCTGTCAGAAAAGTGTACCCGAATCTCGGATCCCTCCGAAGAATAGTGTATGCCCGTATTTTGGACCCTATGGGGGCGTTTGGCCCTTGGGGGCCAGACAAGGCTGACTGGGGCTGGCTATATTTGTCTCGGCCTACATTCCGAAGCGACACTGGGAAGCATAAGCTTTGGTCATCTTGAATTGTATATCTTACTACAATACTACTGTCACACTGGTTCAAGACAGTATTAGTTCCTGGAATGCTTTATTGTCTCAGATCTTACTATTCCTAAACCATGGATAACATAGACATTGTAATATCGTATGCATTACATAGAATACTCCGTTCGATCTCGTATTGGATATTATGGTGGATATATGGGGTGGCTCAGGGATTGTGTTGGTTGTTGTTTTTTCTTGGTGCAGCCTTGGCCCGTTGGCCAGTTCGCAGTCATTATGTGAAAGGTTGAATCAAACACGAAAAGGCCCGACCGTGCGGACGATCTGCCCACTGCCAAGGTACTAGGCTTTTTTGAGTTGGGAAGGTGGAGACTAAAGTGGGGTGGCCAAATAGACTAAACCGTTTAGAGAATCCTGGGCAGATCGCCTAAACGCTGGACCCTGGAATTGTGGAGAAGAATGACGTGGATTGACTGCAGTTGGTTTGTTGGATTGTCAGGAACAAGAGATTTTCTTTTCCCCTTAGATTATGATGTTGGATTGGTATTGTGGGATATTTGATTGGCTTGAATGAGATTAATGTGATAAGTATTGTACAGTAATACTCAATTTCAACGTGGTGCTTTTTTCTAGACAGAGACAAAATCGACGCACAGTCAGGGTCAAGTGGGTCTGCGAGTGTGTACGCATGTCATGTATCGAGGATACGTACGTCGGTGTACCTGCGTAGGACGGGGTCAAAGTATATTTCATGAACTAAGGAGCCTTAAATGAGGTAGATAGTGAGTTATTAAAACTCAGTATATATAGTAATTTCTGTAAAGTACCCAGTATAACAGTTTATATTACGGGGTATAACTCAGGGACATAAATCAGTCAGAATAGCCCCATGGCCCCCAAGGTGTACCACCTACTTGCAAGAACCTCTAAATATGTCTCAGTCATGAAGATGCAGACCCCATTTCCTTTTTTATATTACGCTAAACTCAGCCCCCCGAAAAGAAGAATGACGCCAAACGGCCCCACACTCAGCGGGCTGCGGCTCTATGCATAGCCAATCAAATACCTCAGAAAGTGCCGATCTTACGGGAGATTTTGTTAAATTGTCAAATTGTCAATCGACTGCCCATTAAGGGGCGCGTTTCACAGTTGGGCCCCCCTTTCTCATCCGTTTTTTTTGGGGGCGATCAAATGGCAATTGGCCTTTGAAGCCCAGGCACAGGCACAGGGCGCAGGCACCCAGAATTATTAGGTACCTCTACTCCATACTCCGTACCGCTTCGTCATCCCACGCCCCAAGCCTCTCTCCGTTTCTCCGTTTCTCTTCTCTCATTCCCCCGTCTTCATATTCTCCTCATGACCCTGCCCCTCCTCCTCCACACCCCCTCCAGTTTCTCCAGAAATGATATTCCCCTTCGTTAATCCGTCATGAACCCGAATTACCCCTGGATGCGGCCACGGCGCCGTGGCCTGTCATTCCTCTGCGTCATTGCCATCGTCTCCTGCCTCGCCATTCTCGCCATCTGGTATGGCATGAACTCCGATCGCGATTACATTCACCCAATCCTTACTCAACTTCTCCCCGCGGGCCATTGCGCCTGTCAAACCTCCACCACATTCCAATGCTCCACATGTGTCTCTTGCTCCGAGTCCTCGACTCTCCAGCTGTCCGCCTCCCCCAGCTGGAAGTTCCAATACCCGCGCGACGCCCGTAATGAGGCGCTCGACCAGACGCAATGCCAGGCCGCCTTCCAGGGTCTATTTGAAGACATTGCGCGTGGTGAGCGCTATTGGCGCGGTCATGATGGCGGCCTCGTGACCGAGGATCTTGACGATATTACCATTGAACCGGGTATGGTTCGCGCATTCATCTCCCAGGGCCACTTACACGTGGTGACCGCGCGTGCCAAGGGAGAGGACCATCGGCGCAAGATTCTAGGCGTTTTGAGTTCCATCCACCGTGCGCTGGCCGCAGACCGAGATCGAGTGTCGAGACGCGATATTGAATTCGTGTTTTCCGTGGAGGACAAGGTAGAAGATGTCACAAATCCCCACCATCCGGTCTGGGTATTTGCACGTACTCCAACGGAAGAAGGGGTTTGGCTCATGCCCGACTTTAGTTTTTGGGCCTGGGACAATCCTCAAAATTACATTGGCCCATTTGATCAGGTGGTGGATCGCATCAAGCGCGTGGATTTGCCCTGGGATGAGAAGAGGCCGCAACTTGTTTGGCGCGGCAAGCCAAGTTTTGCTCCCAAGTTGCGCCGCGCATTGATTGAGGCTGCGCGCGATAAACCCTGGGGTGATGTCAAGCAGGTTGATTGGGATACCGGCTCGAATATCCTCCGCATGGAAGACCACTGCCAGTACATGTTTATTGCCCACGTTGAAGGTGAGTTGAAGTTGTCGTCTTTCGGTTCATCAACCGAGATTGTCAATGTCTTCAGTCGAATCGTGCAATTGGTTACTAAACTGCTTTCTTGTTTCCTCCAGGCCGGTCCTACTCCGCATCTCTTAAATACCGCCAAGCATGCAAATCCGTCATTGTCGCCCATAAACTCCAGTACATCCAACATCACCACTACCTCCTCGTCGCCAGTGGACCAAACCAAAACTACGTCGAAGTCGACCGCGACTTCAGCGATCTCGCCAAGAAGATCGAGCCGCTAGTCATAGATACGGATGCCGCGCACCGTATTGCCACCAACAGCGTCAAAACTTTCCGTGAGCGATACCTGACCGCAGCCGCAGAGGCGTGCTATTGGCGCGCCCTGTTCGACGGCTACGGCAGTGTCTGGAACAGCACCGTGAACCCCTGGTCCGACCGCACGGGGAAAGAACGCGGTCTCCGTTACGAGTCATTCATCTTACTAGAGAGCCCGAAAATGTTCGAGTTCACTGCGGACGCAGCCATGTCCGGATACGCCTGATTTGATCGTTCCCAGCTTTTGCATGCGCGTCTTTTCATTCTTCATACAGTCTTATACCATTAGAGCGCCACGACCTGATTTGGCATTTGCCTTTTTGCCTTTTTTGACATGCCTCGTCTTTTTTATGCTGTTCTCTTTACATACTGCATAATTGTTAATACTCCCCCGGTGTCTGGATGTCACTTTGTTCCTCTCTGCTCGATGTGAGTCGAGGATGGAAGTTGGACTGATAGACGATGGGGGAGAATTCCACTTATGTGAAGCAGCGGAAGCGGCGTTTTGCAGCGCGATTTGTGATACCACGACAGCGTCGATGTTTTTGTTTATTGTTATTCTTTGTGGGGGCACTTTACATACATTAGACAGAAGACACCCGCGCATATTCATATTAGACTACACTACAAGCAATTCAAATTCAGTCTCGCTTATCTAAAGCCTATCCCCTGATTTATAACTAGAGTATTTTGCAAATATATTGGTTAGGGCTTGTCCCTCGCACGACACGCTATATACAACTACACACATGAGCTGGGAGCTAACGCGTCTGGTTATCCCTGTTAAGTCACACTCTCCCAGGTCTTTATTCAATCCGTTGTAGGTATTTTTCAGCAACTCCATGAGACGCATTCGGATCGCAAAAGTGGCCTGATGCTAATCTTACGGATATTCTTGACGGATATTGTTGATGTCCGACGTTGGTCGTCGCACCATCTCGCCAGTCCGGCCTAATATACTTTTGAGTCCTGCCCTATACTTTCTTACCTGCAATTTTATCATTGCGATGCTCAATTATCTACAAAGGCTGCCTTTTATTGCCCAGGAAGGCACGATCGTGCATCAGAAATACAATTAAACAGCTACCTAACTAAAGCTTTATTTTTGATTAGCAAAGTCATAGCAAACATAAGAAAAACTGAGGGAACCATATTGTTTTAACTTTGAAATAATTTTAAAAAGAAATCGAAAACTTCCAAAACAGCCTCAAGAACAAAATGATCATGACTTATTAAAGGGGTTAGAGACGTCAAAAGCAAATTCATGTTCACAGATCCAGTAAAGGGAATGGGTTCAGAATGTTGCAGAACATGCTCTCTGCATGTTTTTCCTTAGATCTAATGACCTTCGGACCAGTTCTGATCTTCGTGAGACATTCCATGGTCTGAATGGGCCATTGTAGTCCACTACTGATGCTCCCAGTTCCAGTCTGATTTGCAAACCGTGTATGTTTTGCAGGGAACCTGAGTAGATGTTGTGGCGGAAGTGAGCGAATGGGTTCTAGTTGTGTATTCTGTGGTATGAGACTTTGTAGTTCTGCTCGATATGGTACTGCTCTTGCAAGTAGTTGAGTATTTGGTTTTTGGTCGTAGAAGTGGATTTTGTAGTAGTGGTCGTTGATGTTGGCTGTGTAGTGGTAGTAGTCGTTGTTGTTGGCTGCGTAGTGGTAGTAGTCGATGATGTAGTAGTAGTAGTGGTTGTCGTTGATGTAGTAGTAGGAAACAGTGATGGTACAAAGTGAGTAAGATGGATGAGGAATCCACGTGAATGGTGGAGAGGAAGGAAGAGGAATGGCGAGGGAGGGTAGTGGAAGTGGAGGTGGAAGAAAGGCTGGACTAGCTTAGCTTGTGTAAGACGATGCGGGCAGAAAGGTGCTGCCCGCGTGGAAGAAAAGCTTATGATTCTATGCATTCCTCGGCTTGAATACACAGAGATGGGGATCTACAATTGCATCATTCAAGGTTTCTTAATCACTAGGGCAACCAATCGATGACCTCGTCAGGGTCATGAAGGTACCACAGCAGGGCTCGCTTTTCCAAATACCCGAGTCTATTCAGCCATGTGGGCCTCAAAGGCTGCGTCCGCTGGTCTCGTGGTCCAAGTTGACATTATCCTTTATCCTCCGGTTGGCAGGCAGATACCCTTGGGGATATAATATGGATCTGATATCTGGCAGGTTAAGCGCCAGTATGAGGTTGCCGCCCTCTGATTGAAAGTCAGGTCAGACAGTGAGCTGATTGTAAATCTCTGGTTAGGGATCGGAATATCAGCTCGCTTATTAGAGAGTGAGTAATGTTAGTCATAACAAATAAAATGGTATCTGTCGATGTGATCTTATAAACTGGACTAAAAGCATTGCCCCGATCCTAGTTTTCCCCGAAATTCAACATGTAGGAAATAGGTTATTGTGGTTTGTAGCACGCTCTGCACGGTGTTTGGAAGGAGTACTAAAATCGACATATCAAGCCGAGAATACAAGACCGAGTTAAATACTCTGGGCTGCATGGATGGGTTAAGGACGGTTCCTTACATCTGACCATGGAATTGTCTGCAGCACCAATCACCGGCTATGCAGGAACGGCACCTTGGCACACCATGGAGAATTACATAAATTGATCATCCCTATGCAAATAAATAAGCGAAGACGGTCTGCTGACTCGGTAACAAGGATACCCTCCGAGAGCTGAGGCCAAAACAGTTGAATTATGTATTGAGTTGAAAGATTTCTAGAGGGGTCCTCGAGTAATTTATATTTTAAAGCGTCTTCATGAACCAGGGTTGTTGGACAAGCAAGACTGAATCGCTTTTATAGTGATAAATTCCAAATTCTGTGTCTAGAAACTAGGGAAATCGACCAATTAGACGGGCTTTGATCACTAAAATATGTATACTCTTTCTAAATATTTTTCGCATCATCTTTCGCATCATCTTTCGAACCACCTTCCTCGGTAGCACAGAGACCATTCCTTTGGTGTATCGTTCAACTCGTAACTACTAAGAGGTTTTTGGAAATTCACCAGAGTTTCAAACGTGGAGAACCCCACTGTATCTGTATTGTAGTATGAATATGTGAGGAGGTCTTTTTGTCTAATGTGTGTAAAGTGCCCCCGCAAATAGGGATTTGAAAGTATGGATCTTCCTGGGTGACTTTTGGATCATCTTTCTTGATAGCCTATGCATCACATTTTAGGCCATCGATCAACTCGTTCCTGCTTAAATGGTTCTAACACTCTGTCGATGTTTGAACCACTGAACCCCGCTTTGCTATGTTTTGTCCGATAAAGCAATGAAACCCATATAAAGCAGATACAGGGAATCTATTATATACAATCAATTATTCCAAAGCGCTGAGAACGCCCTGCATCAAGTATAGCCACGAATTCAAAACAATCGCTGGGTCGCTTTTGGTATCATCAACGCCCCAATGGTATCTAATTCATCTATTTGGTGCGCTTGTAGATCTTGGCCAGGAAGGATTCAAAGACCTCCTTCTTCAGGCCAGTGGTCTCGTCCACAGCGGCAATCTTGGCGCGGAGCTCACCAACAACCTTCTCCTCGTACTCCTTGTAAACCTTCTCCAACTCGAGGTCGTCGAAGATCTTCTTGACCTTGAGCTCTTGCTCCTTGTCCTTGCGGCCGTAGGCGGAGTCCAGCACCGCGCGCTGCTCAGGGGTAGCCCGAGCAATGGCCTGGTTGACCAGCCAGGAGCACTTGTTGTCCTGAATGTCGGTACCGATCTTGCCGATGACGGAGGGGTCACCGAAGTTGTCCAGGTAGTCATCCTGGATCTGGAAGTACTGGCCCAGAGGGATCAGGATGTCGTGGGCCTGCTTCAGGGTCTCTGGGGTAGCGACCTGCAGGTAAAGCAGGGCCAGGGCAACGGGCAGATAGAAGCTGTAGTAGGCGGTTTTGTAGGTGACAATGAACATGTACTTCTCCATGGAGAAGTTGTCGAGGTTGACATGGTCCTCGGGGGCGGTGATCAAATCGCAGAGCTGACCGAGCTCGGTCTGCCAGGTGGTCTCGTGGAAGAGCTCGACGAGGTCAATGTAGGCGGGGTGGGAGCGGAAGCGCTGCTTCAGGATGAGGTAGATGGCCGACTCCAGCATGAAAGCGTCGTTGATGGCGATGAGGCCAACACCCTCCTGGCGGTACCAGCAGGGCTGGCCACGGCGAGTGATGGAGCTGTCCATGATATCATCGCTGACCAGAAAGAAAGCCTGGAGCAGCTCGGTGAGCCAGCCCAGGATGCTCAAGTGCTCGAATTGCTCCTCGGTCAGGGGCTTCTTCAGGAGGGCGAGACCGGTGTCGGGGACCGAGAGACCGCGGTTGAGCTTGCCACCGGGGGTGTTGGCAAACAGCGACTATTAACATCATTAGTTCCAACTGCCCCTTTCCATTGAGTGATACCGCTCTTTAAGGTGCTTGGATATAGGGTGGGGGGTAATGTCGCACCTTCTCGAACCACTCGAGGGCATTGGCGGGCAGGTTGTACCGCTTGGCATGCTCAAGGATATCCTTGGCCAGGCCAGGAAAGACGGCCTCGAAATCGGCACGCTTGGTAGTAGAAGCCATGATGAGACAATTGGACAATGAGGAAGGTAAGCAAGAGGGGGGAGATTCAAACAATCGACAATGGGCTTTTCCCCGCGGAGAGGGGCCTGTTTGCTTTGTTTGGTATGTTTGCAGTGTTTGGCACTTATCAAGCGCAACTGCTGCGCGATGATAGCAATTCGTCCTGCTTTTGGATTCGACTCACGTTCTAATGAGACTTGCGACAAAGGGTTTGGTGACCGAATTGATTGCAGTTGGATCTTATTGTCAACAATCTTCCTTGTTGCCGTTCTGCGCTGAAGCTCGCCTCCCCACCGCGTCAACAACGCGCCAGGCCCGCGATAGCTATTTGTTGCGCCAGACCCGAACCTCGATCACCATTACCCCACGACTGGCCAGAGCCTGAACGGGAGAAGCAGATATCCTCAGTGATTGAAGGAGCATTACGACATTTACTACTTGGTTGTTCCTGAGAGTGTGCCTGACGCAAAGTCTTGATTATTTGCGTCTCCCGCGCACGGGACAGACCTACCATGGAGTTCTCAGAGGATGACCTGCATGAGCTGAAGTACCGCTTTGAAGATGCTACAATCAAGTGCTCAGAGCGATGCCTATACCAATCAGCGAAATGGTAAGCCTTTCCACGAAACTAGTTCGAAGGCTTTCGGAAGATTGACAAAACCCGCGCATGTAGGGCAGCAGAAATGCTCGATTCAATCGTACCAATCGATCGTGGAGACACGGATTCCGAGTCTCAAATGGAAATGAATGAGCCCGCCACGGCACCAATCAATCCTTATTTGCGTACGCAAGACCCGATCGAAGCTGCTTTGGAAGCCCAAGAAGCCCACAAATACCTCCTTGCCAAATCCTACTTCGACACCCGAGAATACGATCGCTGTGCCGCCGTGTTTCTGCCTCCAACGACACCTCCCGTTCCTCTATCCGTGACCTCCCCCAATGCAAAGCCAAAACAGAAAAGAAGCACCCCTCTCAAGGGCAAAGACAAAGCCTCGCCTTTTCAAAGCTCCAGAAGCCACGGCTCTGTCCCGAGAAATCCATACCCTAAACTCAGTCAGAAATCGCTCTTCCTTGCTTTGTACGCAAAGTATCTAGCTGGAGAGAAGCGGAAAGATGAAGAAACGGAGATGGTACTGGGCCCATCAGATGTCGGGACGGCGGTCAACCGTGAATTGCCTGACCTGGCTCGCGGATTGGAAGGCTGGCTGACTGAGCGCAGTGCTCAAGGTAAAGAGGACCAGGGACAAGGTTGGCTCGAGTATCTCTATGCCGTTGTTCTGCTGAAGGGACGGAACGAGGAGCAAGCGAAGACCTGGCTCATCCGCAGCGTACACCAGAATCCGTTCCATTGGGGTGCGTGGCAGGAGCTAAATGACTTGCTGGGCAGTATTGAAGACGTAAGCATCAATATCCATCACTCTTGAGTTTGGGCGGTGGTACAAATGCAAATACTAACATTCCCGGTAGTTGAAACAAATCAAGGACCTTCTGCCCGAAAACATTATGACCCTGATTTTCTATGTCTACTGCAGTCAAGAGCTTTATCAAGCGACAGATGACACATATTCAACTTTGAATGACCTGCAAGCCATCTTCCCCACAAGCGCATTTCTGCAGACTCAACATGCCCTACTTTTCTACCACAATAAAGGTAAGTCCGCACCCATTTCCTTCATTTCCGCCAGACGCTAAGAATTGCCAGACTTCGAGCGAGCCTCAAATATTTTCAACGAAATCCTGGCCACATCACCACATCGCCTCGACAGCCTCGACCACTATTCTAATATCTTGTATGTAATGAACGAGCGCCCTCGGCTTGCTTTTGTGGCTCAGATTGCAACTGCCACCGACAAATTCCGACCCGAGACCTGCTGCGTTGTGGGCAACTACTACTCCTTGAAATCGGAGCATGAAAAGGCTGTCATGTATTTCCGCCGCGCATTGACACTGGACCGCAATTTCCTGTCTGCCTGGACTCTCATGGGTCACGAATACATCGAGATGAAGAATACACACACGGCCATTGAATCGTATCGCCGAGCAGTCGATGTGAATCGCAAAGATTATCGCGCATGGTATGGTCTTGGACAGGCTTACGAGGTGCTGGATATGTCATTCTATGCTCTCTTTTACTATCAGCGTGCGGCTGCTCTCCGCCCGTACGATCCGAAAATGTGGCAGGCTGTGGGATCATGCTATGCAAAGATGGGCCGCGTTGAGCAGAGTATCCAAGCCTTGAAGCGAGCATTGGTGGCCGGCTCTTACTACGCGGACGACAATCCCGGGGCCGGCGCGCGGAAAGTCCTCGACCCGGAAACATTGCACCAAATCGCAACTCTATATGAGCGCCTCAGCGACGAAGACGAGGCAGCTGCATACATGGAATTGACTCTGCAGCAAGAAACTGGCGGGGCGCCCATCGGTGAGGGAAATGAGTCTGACGAGGAAGAGTATTCGTCCGCGTCGGAGCAAGCGGCACAAAGCGAAGGCGAATGTTCCGGCGACGACGAAGACGGGCGAAACACGCGCTCTCGCCGTCATCGCCGTAAGCCTCGTCCTCGAACATCTTCATTTGGTATGCAGCAAGACGACTCTACAGCGGAGGAGATGTGGCACCACCCTACAGCCACGACTTCCAAGGCACGTCTCTGGCTTGCGCAGCATGCCCTGCGGAATGGGGATCTCGACCGGGCAGACCAATTAGCCGGCGAATTGTGTCAAGACGGGATGGAAGTAGAAGAGGCAAAGGCTTTGATGAGAGACATTCGCGCGAGACGAGAAGATGTGGGCTGAAGCTATGACACGGGTGTTGGGCTCTCATTGTGGGCCTGTTTCCTTTCTCAATACCATGATAGCGTGGCGTTAGTCTTCATACATGATAGTGTTTACCAACTCAGCATTAGGACGACAGCGATATTTGCATCTTTTCATTAGAAATTAAGCTATTTGTACATCACAGGGCTGTAGGATCAGTCAAGCCGTCCAAGGAAGTGTACTCGCCCAGAGCGAGAATTTCATCTTCATCAAAGCTGACAAAAAGAGAAGGCGAAGGTCCATTGCTGATGCCTTGGCTGTTGCCATGATCTTCTTCAGGCCGGATTCTAGGTTCAGCGCCTTCATGATTGCGTTCCTTGGCAGAACTCCAGCGGAGACAGGCGTAATAATATTTCACACCAAGAGCGCGCCAGGTCCGGCGCAGGCAGAATTCAGGATCCTCGGGGTTGATATTCTCTTTCAGAATGACAGCATCCAAGAAGAAAATCATTGCATTCGCAGGAGGATGTGAGTTTTGATTGTTAAGAGACCGAGACAGGCCCTTCGCAACCTCGTGAATAACTTGTCCGAGGGGTAATTCGCAGGGGTTTACAAGGGCTATGCCGAAAACAGCACCTTGATGAGCGGCTCGAGGATTCGAGCGTTTGAACGAAGATTGTGTCTCATCAGAGCCTAGAGCCTGCAGGAATTGAGAGAGGCTGGAGGAATTTTGCTGTTCTGAGGACTCCATGTCGCCCTCCGATGGAGTTCCGGACATGTACACAGGAATGGTCGTCAGTGGGGATATTGGGGCCTGTCTTTTCTGGTGAGGGCTTTCCGGGTTGCGGAGCTTCTTCATTTGAGTAGAGATTGCTGGTTCATTGGTCCTTGTTCGTGCGCCTTCCCGATGCATGGGGTTGTGATTGGTGACTGGAGGGCTGGATGAAGTTGTAGGTGCTGTCGTAGCTTGGGAAATTCTAAGAGCGTATTTCGACATATCGACATTGCTTTGATCGATGATCCCGGGACCTCCATGTTTGGAAGCCTGACGATTGGACGAGTTCTGGTTTTCGGCCAGAACATGCTTGTCGCGAGCTAGCTCACTTGGCCCCAGAGAAAGTCGGGATTCGTCGACATAGACCGCAGGAGTACCCTGGATGCTGCCATGTGTCCGGTCAATGTTGGCATGGAAGGAAGGAATTTTCTCCGTTGAACTTTGCACAGGCATTGACTGCAGACCGTCTTCGTGATCGCCCATTATAGTATCAGAGCCACCAGGTACATCTGACCTAGTGCTTGAACTACTCTCTGTCGACAGGCTGCGGGACCTCCGAACGATGTAGTCTTTAAGCCCGCTTCCAACCTTCAACCGCTTGCGCCACTGCTCTTCTTCTTGCGAGAGCTCATCAACGGGCACAGACCGGGCATCTTCTGCCAAAAGCTGGAGCTCCCTAAAAGATGCAGCGTCCTCATAAGTCCTCTCGGTATGAACTTTCAAGATCCGTGGGAACCGAAGGGTGAAGTAACGGGCACCTGAGGGCTTCTCGAACCCACTGCCCATCATTTCCACAACGAAAGGCTTTTTGAAAATGACAGAGGCTGCCGGTAGGCCCGCTCGCCCATACTGAACGTCAAATCCCTCAAATCCTTCAGGATTGGTTGCATAAAATTCGCCAAGTTGATTGAGAAGCTGCAACAGCTTCCAGTGCATACAGTAGCGATTGACAGCATCGACTATTCGGTAATGGGCCCTGGCTTCACATTGTATCGCAGCATCTTTGTTTAGAAGACACCCAACTAGGAAGTGAGTCCATCGCAGGCTTGTGAGAGACGAAAGAGCAGCAGCGTCTTGAGCATCGTAACATGCGCCAACCAGCAGAAGATCAACGGTGTCACCGAGACCAGGAATGTAGTCTTTCTTGAGCTTGATCCATCGGCCAAAAGAGTTGTTCACCCCGCCTGCATAGATCGGAAAATAGGGCTCATCGGAAGCTTTCAACACATATCCCTCCCACCTCTGTGCAATAGCTTTGGCAAAGCTAGTCTCAAGCCGAGGTTGGCTATCGGTCCGGTCAAAGTCGAGTATTTCTTGCTCGGCAATTTCGGCACGCCCGGGGGCCTTCTGCACTACCTCTTTTAGAAGTAAGCGTCTTTGACGATGGGGGCTTCTTAGACAAACATCATCGTCCAAGAGAAGAATGTCAAAAAAGACGAGCATCAAGTGCTCATATGGTTGCGGCCTGTTTTCATTAGAACGCACTGCAAGCCAAGTGACTGGAGTATACTTACGGAGAATCATTATCAATTCCAATGAAAGTTCCAGCACGAGGAAGGAATTTTCGAAGCTTGTGGAAATCTGCTATTCCGCCGAGCTTGTCACTCCACACAAGCAGCTCCGCCTCCAGGATACATTGGCTCACAAACCTGCACCCTGCCATTCCGATTCGGAGACTGTCCTTCAAGACTGGAATGATGGCAGACCTGTCTGCAGTAGAGTCTTTGCCACTTTTCGAAAAGATCTGGATGGGGGTCTGCTTGTTTGTGAGGTCCACATGGATTTGACAATACTCTCCATCATACTTCCGCTCTATGCTCATACGTCGGCCTTTCGCCATCTGATGGCAATGCTTGATGCTCCTGGCTTTGAGGTACTCGGGTCGGCCAATTTTGATACCTGTTCGTGGCCTCAGATGGTCAAGGGCGACCGAACATAGGGTGGCAGCCACTTTTGGATCCGGCTTTGAGGGGAACTTATTCATGGGCTCGGAGGATAGCATCTCCAGGGCACCCTCAAAGGTGTTTTGGAATTGAAGAAAGTGTGGAAGCAAGAAGTGGAATCGTCCTAGAGTGTATTTTTCGGGCAGGGCCACTGGGGAGTAGCTCTTCAGAATCATTCGAGTAAGCCATTTGGCATCACGACTGCTCAATCTGCGATACAGGGGTGCCAGAGCACTTTCAACATCAACGGCGGTCTGCTGGCGGCGTAGGCGAGGGCCTGAGAAGCGACACCGAGATGCGATCATATCCAATGCTTGGTCAATCTCTTCCACCAAGACCTCCCGGTCAGGATGAATTTGATTTTCAGCTTGACACATCACATTTTCCACGCACTGACCGAGATCTGGGCCACCGGGCTGTCGCCATTGATCCATGTTTGAGAGCCTGGAAGATCCCAAGCCCAAACAACGACCAATCACGCGTGCAAGCGAGGTGGCCTGGAGCCAGTACACCCGGTCTGGGCGCTTCTCTGGAAACATGCATGACAGTAGTGCCAGCCTATCCGTGTTTTGGTGATGGATGTGCCTTTCATGGCGGTCAAACCAATGACCGATTGACCGAATATCCGGGGTGTCCTTATTCGCCGCGGTGACCTTGGCTATCTGGTTGTCCTCGAGACTTGAGAGCAAGTCACAGAGAAAGGAGAATTTGAACCCCATGGGGGCTTAAAGAAGGTGTCATATCAAGAGGACCACGTCAAATCATACACAGTTTCACACATGCGAGATTGTCATCATGATGAGGAGGAAGACAAGTCGGACGCGAAAACTCGCGGCGGGTCAAACCCATGGAACGCGAAAACACGTGACTACGAACTATAATATATTGGAAGAATTACAGCTCAACGAGCTTCTGGATGGAGGAAATGACAATGGGTATTGTTCTTGAAGTGATCAGCGGATCTGACGCCGGGAAGATTAGTACACTAAAAACCATCCATGATATTCGCCAAACTCCAAACCCCCTTTTGTATGATGATAATAGGAAACCCCGGAGGGGCTATGACAGATTGAAGCAAGAGATGATATATACACAGAGTCGCTGTTTAGAGAATGCCCTGTTTTTGAAGACTATAAGATATTGGTTAGCATTTGCACAACGGTATTTTCAGAAGGGTGTAACTTACTCCAGGTAGATCCTCTCCGGCATGACATTACCCTCGGCATCCTCCATCTGGACGACATTGTCGCGGGAGTCGCGCTCCTTCTTGCGGTCTTGCTCGAGCTTTTCCCAGAGTCGCACGGCGTCATCAATGCGAGTAATCTCACGGAAAAGGTTGGTGTTGGACGTAACACCCAAACACTTCAGCCCGTAGATGTGCAGAGCTTCGGAGAAATGCTTATCGAAAGCCCGCCGGCCCATGTAGACGAAGTTACCGCAAATTTCGCACGGATATTCGGTACCGAGACCATGCAACTTGTATAGCCAGTATGGAATAGGCTTGCCATCCCATGCCAGCGGCAACTTCAATGGGTTGTAAAGCTTATCCGAATCCTCATCATCCGACTGATCTCGGTCGCCACCCTGCATGTAATCCTCCGGATCAGCCATCATAGCTTCGTTATCTGCTTGACGCTCCCGCTCCGTCATGGCCTGTCTGCGTTCAACGTTGTCCCGAGTGGCTTTGCGATTTGACTCGAGCTCCTTCGCCAAGCATCGAATTCGGTGCTCGCGCTCCGCGACTGCTCGCTCTTTGAACTTGAAGGAAGATCTTTGGCCCACAGGCGCTGTAGGCTGCTCACCCGATGCACCGGCAGCCTTCTTTTCCTCCGCAGCTCGAATGTGCTTCTTGCCAGTCAAGTGACTCCGGTAGACGTTGTCGTTGCTGAACTCCTTCTCACAATCCGCACACCAGATTCCGGCTCCTGTTCCCTGTGTTTGTGGGCCAGGGTCGCCATTCTCTGCCTTCTCGTCTGTCCATCCCGGGACCTCCTTCGCGGACCATTGCTTGTCGAACTCTTCATCAAAAGATCCAAATAATTTGTCGAGGTCCTGCAAAGGGCGGATACGTTTGGTGAAACCTTCAAGGTAACTGGCAAGTTCACTGACGTAGCGGAAGTACTTGTCAGAGACCTTATCTTTTCGTTTAATATTGAGCGTAGGGGGCGTAAAGACATCGAAGACGCCGAGGTACTGGGTATATGCCAGACGCTTCACGCCCGGAAGGTTCAGGTATTGTTCGTGAATCATTGTCAAATCCAGGAATTGCCCAAATGCTTCCTCGCCGGTAAACATGGTATCCACATCATTTCGAGGCGCTTCGCCCTCGCCGGGTTGACGCCGCTTGTATGCGCGCTCGAGGTTTTCGACTGGCTCATTCGGATACCGCTTGTGGAAGCCCTTAATATCATCCATCTGCTTATAAAACTCTTCAAACTGATCTCCGGTCGAGATTGTCTGCGCTTCCTTTTCGAGGAGCCTGTCCGTATCATTGTAGATCTCCAAGAGGCGCCGAGACTGCTCCTCAATTCTCGCTAGGAATTTGGCAACTTCATGATCGCGGGCTAGGCGTTGTCGGATCTGGAGAAAAAGAAGAAATGTCAGTGTATAGAGTAAGGATTGAATGGGAGAACAGGCGTCACTCACATTTGAGGGATTCTCAGCCACGCGATCGGCGACAGCCTGCTCTAGCCTCTCCAAATCCTCGTGAATGAATCGCAGGTCCTCGAACAGCATTTTGAAGTTACGAACGTGACGTAGTCCCTTCGCTTTACTGGTACGCAAGAAATGTCGTGGATCTCTGTGGTGAGTTGGAGAAGAAGCGGCGGATTCAAAGCTGGAGCTTTGCGGTCGGTCACGTGAGGGGCCACCCATCGCAAAAAGTCACATTCTGGACTCTTGCTGCCGACGGCGATATCTCTGATACCCCTCGAGAGTACCCATACCTGATTTATTCAGCCCGTTGAACTCTTTATCTCCTTCAATATGGCCGAGGGAATTGACAGACGCGCTGATGGTATGTATTCTACGAGACCTGGTTGAAATTATAGCATCCTAACCATTACCCCAGAGCGGATGGAGTTCAGCACCTCCAAGGAGGTCACGGTGGCTCCGACCTTCGAGGACATGCACTTGAAGGAAAGTCTTCTTCGCGGTATCTACGCCTACGGATACGAATCCCCTTCCGCGGTCCAGTCGCGCGCCATCGTCCAAATCTGCAAAGGTCGCGACACCATTGCGCAGGCCCAGTCTGGTACTGGTAAGACGGCCACTTTTTCGATCAGTACTCTGCAGGTCATCGACACTGTTGTGCGCGAAACTCAAGGTATGTAAAGTGAAATTGAATCACAGACTTCGTTGCTAACCTGCTGTTTGATTTGCGCGACAGCCCTTGTCCTCTCTCCCACTCGTGAACTTGCGACCCAAATTCAGTCCGTCATCATGGCCCTCGGTGACTACATGAACGTTCAATGCCATGCATGCATTGGTGGAACCAACATTGGCGAGGATATCCGCAAGCTCGACTACGGTCAACATGTTGTCTCTGGAACCCCCGGTCGTGTCGCGGACATGATCCGCCGCCGGCACTTGCGCACACGCCACATTAAGATGCTCATTCTCGACGAAGCAGACGAGCTCCTAAACCGCGGTTTCCGTGAGCAGATCTACGATGTCTACCGTTATCTCCCCCCAGCGACACAGGTTGTTGTTGTCTCGGCTACTCTGCCCTACGATGTGCTGGACATGACCACCAAGTTCATGACGGATCCCGTTCGTGTCCTTGTCAAGCGTGATGAGCTGACTCTGGAGGGAATTAAGCAATACTTCATTGCCGTTGAGAAGGAAGAGTGGAAGTTTGACACTTTGTGCGATCTTTACGACACCTTGACGATTACACAGGCTGTTATTTTCTGCAACACCCGCCGAAAGGTCGACTGGTTGACCGATAAGATGCGCGAGGCCAACTTTACCGTGTCGAGCATGCACGGTGAGATGCCGCAAAAGGAACGTGACAGCATTATGCAAGACTTCCGCCAGGGCAACTCTCGTGTCCTGATCTCAACTGATGTCTGGGCCCGTGGTATCGATGTTCAGCAGGTGTCGCTTGTCATCAATTATGACCTGCCTACCAACCGTGAGAACTACATTCACCGTATCGGACGTAGTGGTCGGTTCGGCCGCAAGGGTGTGGCTATCAACTTTGTCACCAGCGATGACGTCCGCATCCTTCGGGATATTGAGCTGTACTACTCGACTCAAATTGATGAAATGCCTATGAATGGTAAATCATCCTATGCCATGAAGGGTATTGATCTCAAAGAAATGCTAATCTCAATATTCAACAGTCGCGGATCTTCTTTCATAAACGCCATGAAAATCTACGCCGGCTATCCTTAATTGATGGAGCCGAGAAACAAGAAAAATCATCACCACCAGTCTTGACACCCTTTATTTCATGCAAGATCATCGCCAAATGTACATAATGGCGTCTCTTCGGGGTTCAATGCGTGGCTGGCTCTCGCGTGGAGGAAAGGGAAAACAAAACGAATCAGTGAGATGATGCTGTCGAAAATTGACCGTTCTGCCTTTCTCGCTAACACTTTGTGGCATATCCAGTTTCAAATTGCCTAACAAGGTGTACATCGGTTGATGATACGGTACACTCATGAATATTTCTTTTGAAGTTTGAGATCAGGAGGCAGATTCTGCTTAATCATTATTTTTTTGCTGCTACTTAGTTCGTCCAGGATGGTTCGTTTGGGAGTTATGATTGAGGGATTTGGATGCATTACTTTCTATTTTCTGTCCCTTTCGTCCCCAGTCTGTCTTGGCTCTAAGCTACTAGCAGGTTTGCCTTAAACGAGATGGAAATGAAAAAGGTCCCCGCGCTTGAGGGCCCGTCCAGCAGCCCAAGACCCATTCAATCCTTGAAACTACGGCGTTGTACTCCCGAAAGGCCCGTCCCCATGTCATTTCCCTCTGTCTGCCTGATTCTCCGCTGTCATAGGGTAGTTGTCTCCATTTAGTAACACTGCCAATCCTTCAGAAACAGCTCCCAGGCGAGGCATATACAGCGCACGCACTACGTAAGCACCTCGTATATTTAGCTACTCGCCGCCTCTCTCTCCCAATGCAGAGATGCCTTTGTTGACGTTTTACCCAGGACTAGAACGTGCGGGTTTATTAACGTTTCCGGATCGGGTCGCATGAAGCGCTCCGATTTGGGGGCTAAAACAAGGTTTGCCACCAACTTTGAGACCCTTGTTGGGTAAGGAACTATACCTTGGATGGGGCTTGTTGCATAGACAGCGCTTCAACCAGTCACATATGGTTAGCCTGGAGACTTGGCTTACGTCTGGGGTTGTTGTATAGATCAACAGCTCATCAATGCTGCGGATCACAGCCACGGTAGATTCAAGATATAAGACCAAAGGAAATTGCTTTGCTAGTTACGAATTCTATCATACAACAATTAGGAAAGCAATCTTCACATCTACTCTCTTATCGAATTGGTACTATGCTTTTTGATAAGGTACTTGTTGCGTCCCTATTGGGATTCGCAGCAAGCTCATCAGCAGCTACTATTGTAGCCATCGATGAAGTCCCTCTGATTGGACCAGCCTTCATTTCCAATTTCGATCCATCAAACTCAACTGCCATACATACTGCAAAATCCAAGTTTCCTCGTCTAATTGAGAATCTCTTCTCCAAAGGAACCCTCAATAAGACAGACTTGGCCTTTTCAGTGGATGTGTTCTCGGCGGCAACCAACAAATCTATCTACTCCTATTCGCACGTCGGAAAGGATGCCAATCACACTTTGACTGCTGGGGTCCTCAATGACAAGACGATAGCGCGCATTGGAAGCGTCACCAAGCTCTTCACGGCTTATGCCCTCATCGCGAAGGGAGGAATGGAAGTCTTGAGCCAGCCAGTGACCAAGTTCCTTCCGGAACTGGCTGGTAACTCTTCTGATGATCGGTTGTTGAGGCTCAGATGGGAAGATATCACCGTCGGCGCATTGGCAGCTCAGCAGGCTGGTACTGGAGGACCGGGTGGTCAGTACTCATCCAAATAACTCACGAATCAAGGCTGACTTCTCGACTAGATTTTTTTTCAAAATACTACAAACCCGATGATCCATCGAACTACACAGTGAAAGGTAGTTGATTAACTCATACATTTTCATTATCAAAATAAGAAAGTTACTAATCCATCTTATGTTCGTCAGATTTCCTAAACTTCATGCGCGACGATAAACGACCTGTGATCTCCCCATTCCGCAATGCCATCTACTCCGATGCCGGATATACTGTTCTAGGACAAGTCGTCGCTCGACTAGCAGGCAAGAAGACATACTCCGAAGCAATCCGCGACATTCTGTTCAAGCCATTGAGCCTGGATAATATGTCGACAAAGGCCCCCAAGGGATCTGGATTGAATGCAATCGACCGGTCAAGAATCGACAAAAGTTCATCTTGGGGTCTTGATCTGGAAGTTGTGGCATCGTAGGTTTTCCCAGTAGCTCTCTGTTTATCAATTAGATATGGGAACTCGAACTAATTACTGGGCAGATCTGGCGGTATTTATGCGAATGGTGCAGACCTTCGAGCAGCAGGTCTATCCATCCTCAACTCCGAACTACTCTCACCCGCCAACACATCCGAGTGGATGAAGCCTCGCAGTGGTACCGGCACTCTAGTCGAACTTGTAGGAGCACCATGGGAAATCTCTCGTCTGGAGATCCCCGTTTCCCCCGGCTCGAACCGGACTCGAATCTCCGATCTCTATACAAAGGCTGGTGGTAACAAGGACTACACCACCATCTTTGCCCTTTCTCCAGATCATGGTATTGGCTTTTCGATCCTCATCGCTGGGGACACTGCCACGCCTGCCCGATGGCCTCTCCGGGATACAGTTGGTCAAACGTTTATCCCCGCTGCCGAGCATGCAGCCTGGGAGAATGCCAAACGAAATCTTGCGGGAACCTTCGTCGATAAGTCCACGCCTGGTACCAACCTGACATTGACGGTTGACAAGGGCCGCCCTGGTCTTGGACTGGGCGCTTTCTGGGTGAAAGGCCAGAATGGCCGTGATAACCCTCACTGGCGCCTCTATCCAACTGGTCTTAACTCCATCTCGCGCTCGTTGTCAGCACTCTACAGGAGCCAAGGAAAGATGCGTGTGGCTCACCGCATGGCAGAGCCAGAGCCTCCAATGAAGCCCCGTGCTGCTGTTGAAGGAGGAAAGGGAGGTTTATTTGATAACTCGTTCACGTGGATGAACATTGACTTTGCGGGTCCGGCTGATGAGTTTATTTTTGATCTTGTCGATGGGCGACTCGTCAGTGTTGAGCTCCCGGTGACTGGTATGGTCCTGCATCGAGTTGAATAAATGTATCGTCGTTAGTTTGTGTCATTTGAGAATTCGCGACGGGACACGCTGAAACTTGATTTGTTTATCTTTATCATATTACAGAATAGAAACAAGACTATTAAGAAAATTAACCTTTCGAAATACTTTGTGTTAGCACTGTATCCAACTTTCATTAACCTTGGCGAGCTTTGCTGCCAGGACGCCAGGAGTCAAGACGATCGGCTAATGAGAGTGGAATTGATGGTGAAACCTGTCCCACGCTATCGAACTCGCAGGCCTCTAAGGATCCACGCTCCGTTATCAGAGCCCTTCAGCTAAGTGCTTGAATCTGGTTGCCTTGGGGCCAAGTGAGATGATTTTCCAAAATAATGTACACGATAAACTCAATCTCCTCCAGACCAATATCTCATCCCTCTTCTCATAACTATCTTACAACACCCTAAAGCCCCGAACCACAGTATATCAGTTTTAACGACTACTCTCCAAGACAGCTTGAATCCCATTCGCGAAAAGCGCCCTGGCATAGAGGGCATGGAACCACTTCCCTACCTCAGGGACAGGCGATTTGTTCGTTTGTGGATTACAAGTAAATCCCTCCAGGCTAATCCGTATCCGAGCCTCCGGTTGCTCTACTTCAGAAATTTTGTCTGAAGAAGTAGGGTTCCTGGTGATACTGAAACGGTGGCATCCAGCGAAGGAGTACTTATCTGAACCAAACCCATAGTCGACGTAACTTAATGGCGAACCCGGTGATTCAGGGACATGCTTGTCGAGAAGTTGAAAGACACCAAATAAGCGTGTACCAACGTCGCAAAGCTCGTTGACTGGAACTTCCGACCTTCTCCATAACTCGGGTGCTTGTGTGTCTTGTGAGAAGTCTAAAAAATCGTCAATACAACGGATCGTATGAATAAAAGTGTGATAACGTACTTGTAAAATGCACAGGAAGAATCCTCCAAGCTCCAGCGTTCAATAAAATACCCTCCATACCAAAAACAAATCCCCCGAAGAATCCCGAGGTGAACGATGATAGAATCTTCGAATCGGTCATACCCGCCAACGTCTCGGCATCGAAGTCTTGCCAGACGGTATCTGAAAGCACCATGTGATGGCGTGGATTGACGAGCTCCGCAGATCGAGATGTGAGGAATCCATCTCTAGTAGAGTTGATGGAATTGGAGTTGTAGAGGGTGTCGAAGAATGACTTCCTTGGGAGCATTCGTGACCAGGACCTGGCGGACATTGAATGAACAATTTATCCTGTCGGGTTTTCTGCGAATTGTAACAATTTGGTGGATTGAAATTGCATAGAATAATGGACATCTGTCTTGTCCTAGAAGTTCAATGGCGATAATATTTAGGAGATCTCGTGATTGTTCAACCTGAGTCATATACGAAGTTGGCCCCCACATAAGCAAAGGCTGATGTTGGCGTGCCTGGGACATCCACACTTCCGATCATCCAATACCAGGGCAGTCGTTACTCATTCCTAACGCTGCAGAGGCTATGATGCAGTGGCGTTTTCAAGAATTTTCATTCGGCACCATTACTAGTGGAGCGTTTTATGATCTTTCGGTTGCGGAGACAGAAGCTAAGCCGTATGACAAGCAGAGCCGAGAACGACACTATGGCCACATTTACTAACTACTATGCCACACACTCAAATCAAAGACACGATATTCCCATTGAAACGCTTGCGCCATTCCTGTATTGACTGCGATAAATGCCTGCAAAGAAATCTGCTAACTTAGGGGAAAGGGGAATCGGGGTAGCAGCGGACAATGAAACTAGTCCTGCGAATGCAACGGAGCGAAGAGAGGGTAAGGTAGGAAGGCTACTGAGGTGAGGTAGAGGGTATTGGGGATAGGATTGCGAATTGAGAAGGTAGTGGGTGCAGACGCGAAAAAGAAGGTGGATTACACGAAATAGTAATCAGAATAGGAGAAATGAAAAGCACGGTTTATCGTCTTCGATTCCAGATGCTCCAGATATGATTGATTCCCCTCGGTCATGGTGAAAAAGTAGAAATCAACTCGTTGAAAACTCAATGGAAAACGCCCTCGCGGGATGGTAGTCATGGAAACATTCTTTGCTTGTGCAATGAGATGAGGTATCAAAATGCCGAAGTAGTCCGTAGTGCGCTTGTCCGTGGGAACCCTGTTGATGATATGCCTCGACGTTGACTCGCTCCAGCGATTGGGCGATGGCGTTCGGGGTCTATGGACCAGCTGTGGAAAGTTGTTAAAACCTGCATAAAGTATGAGATGCGGGATCGTAGAGGTTGTAGCTTACATGCGCACGGCTTTGTCGTCACCAGCTGAGACGAACATGCCTGGATTTGTCGGACTCCATGATATTGAGTTCACACAGCCCTTAGTGTGAGCTTCCAAGGTTTCCACAAGGGTCCCGTTGTCCTTGTGCCAAATGTAAATTCGGGAATCTAAAGTTAGTTAGCACCATGACTCTTTCAAGTCACCATGATAAGGAAACACTCACCTTCACTGCCACTGACAACAAAATTCTCCGCTGCTCCACCAAAGGTGCTCCGAATCACATAACTGCCCTGCTTGTATCCCTTGAATCGTCGCACAACAGCAGTAGTATCCATGTCGATCAATTGAATTTCCCCTTCCGCCAGATTTATCAGCATGTGCTTCGAGTCCCGACTGATAACAACGGATGTTGGTTTGCTCGGAAAGGAAAGGCAATAGTCCTCTTCGTAAGTGCGGAAATCAAATACATGAAGCTTGGAATCCGTGTCTGCTGCGACGAGCCGTCGGCCATCCGGGCTGATTGCGCAATCTTGCGTCCGGAATCCACCCTTCCAGGTATGCAGTGGTGATCCCCTCATACTCCAGTGGCAGAGGCCGGAGCTCGCATCGAATGACGACGTCACGAATGATTCGCTATCAGGGGCCCATCCCGCAGCGGTCACTGGGTGGCAGTGATGGTCGATCGTCAAAAGACAGCGCCCAGTCTGGATTTATGATCATGTAAGTAACTGTTCATTCATTTCCTCGGACAATTTACGAGTGTTTACCTCAGCATTCCATACCCGCGCCGTCCTGTCTTGCGAGCAGGTTATAAGCTTGGAGTCATCAGGACTCCAGCAGGCAAAGGCAACTCCATCTGAGTGCCCGTTAAGTCTGTGGATCACCGAAAAGGTACTCGTATCGTAGATCAGCACGGAGCGGTCCTGGCCTGCAGTAACCAACTTGGTTCCATCGTGGGAAAATCCGCAGTGCCAAACCTCGTCATTGTGCTGGTTGAGGTTGGCACTAACGTCTAGTGGGAAGTCACTTCGGTCGCACATGTGATCGGAATAGAGTGATGGCGGCTCGGCGGTATTATGATAGAGACAATTGCTGATCTGGCCCTGCTTCACGTAGTCCAATAGGATTGCAAGACGGTGCTGCGGAATCATGACCGAGGGAGAGATGGATTCTATGACTGATCAGCAAGAGCTACAGCTTGAGGTTTGAGAACTCCTTACTTGACAAGTCGGCCAGAAGCCGCTCTCGAGATGAGCTGATTGGGCCATCCCACCCTGCCTGCTCGTGGAGCATTTCCGTAGGACACATCAGGAGGCTGTAGAATCGAGTATATTAGAGACCAGCCATGGTAGGCAAACGACTGAATACGAAATGCATTACCTTGAAAGCGCATGGAGCCGGTCCACGTCGTAGTTCAAGGGCGTGAGTTCTTGCCGGAGCACTACTAGCGCTGAGCCCAACTCGCGTGCTTCGAGGAGCTCCAAGAATTTCTGCTGACGGAGATAGAACAGCATTTCACTGCGGTCCGCATCTTCCGCCAATACCAGTGTCTCTTCCGAAGAACCTTTCTGGCCATTTTTCGGTGCCATATTTCGGAAAGATTGGATGAGGATCCGTTCAGCCTCGAACCACCGTCCATCAAGTACCGCGCTCCGGAATGTCGCAACACCGGGTGTCTCCAACTGATAACCACTCTCGGAGCTTAAAGTCGATGCTGCAGAGTTATAGCCCAGCTCGTACAGACTCTGGATCAAAATCCGCGTCACTTCCTCCCGGTTATGGCCAAAGTAGGAGCTCGTCAAGGCTTTCGTAGCGCCATTTGACTGCGACTCTCCATTCGCTGACGTCGTTTGTTGGCCATTCAGACTGGCTTTTCTCGAGGTCGACCCGTAGGACGCCTGTGAAAAGCCATTTGTGCTGGATAGCCCGTTGGGCCGCATGGTTTCTAGGCGCCTGCGCTTGCGGGATGGAGAGCGGCCGTCAGCTCGAGCGGCCGTGAGGGTTGGATCGTCCTGGAACACAGTTTCGCGTGCCCTGGTGTCGTCTGCGTGAATGTCCGTGCCCGCCGTCCTCGTTGCTAGCGCCTCCTCAGAGCTGTTGCTCGATCGGAGATGGCGGCGTCGGGAGTTAGGCGGTCGAGGGGTTCGGCCGGCGATGGAGGGTGGTTGTGAAGTGGAAGGTCCACCTCGATACTCTGAAGAAGGCGGGAAATGCTCAGAACTACTGGTGGCAGCAGCGGCGGCGGAGGAGGAGTAGGAGATGGCGGCAGGATTGGGGGGAAGAAGAAGATCGGGGTGGTCGGAGGCGGAGGGACGATAGGAACGATTGTCGGCCAGGTCGACAAATAATTAGGATCTGCCCGGTTCCCTGGCTCTTTAGAAGAACCAGGTGAGCAGACCTACAGGTGGTGGTGGCGGGTGGATCAGTCCTCGCCGGGGGGAGTAGGAGCTCCGAATGGGGGTTGAATGGGGAGGAGCTTTTTGGTTCTTGCAGGAAGTCACAAGGCTTTTTTAGGTTAGAATATCGAGAATGTTGAGAGGAGATGTGCACGGATAGCAGAGATGAAGGTAAGGAAGTAGTAGGTGCCGCTAGGGACTTTGTATTTCCCTTGGTGAGCAGTAGTAATGGTGATGATGATGGGGGGTTTTGGGTGAGGTCGGGCGGAGAAGTTGCTTATCGGCGGAGGAGAACAGAACGAGTTAAACTGAAAGTTCCTTACGGACTTTGACAGTGAGTGTAGTGGGTTTAGTTAGTTCCGCTGGCAGGCCAATGAGCCAAGAAGCTGCTAAGAAGGCGATTGGGGGAAGTGGGACCTCGTAAGTCACAGGTCGACTTTGGGCCCGTCACAAGATGATGACGATAAAGGTGATCAGGAATTAATAGGCGTTGGTGTCTGAGTTTCACCAATGTTGCGCTTGATTTCTCAGCTGATTGGAAAAAGACAGGATTATTTTCGTCTTTCAAGCTTAGGCCGGTCCGAAAGATGTTTGAGTGCTCAAACAGTCAACGAGTCATGCGAGTGTGCTTGCTGCTTGCCGATCCCCGGGCGCCTACAGAGACAAGCCATGTCTACAGTCCAACAAAAGCACACAGAGAGTGTAAGGAAATAATATAGATAGAATGAAATAATCTCTAGGAATATTTTCATCTTTATATATGGGCCTTCAGTTGATCGTTTTACTTGCCAGTAGGCCAATAGGTAGCTGCCTCAAAGATCTGATGAAACCCCAGATCTTCGGATGAATTATATACATCCAAAGCTGCAGCTGTCAAACTCCATATCCACCTGGCAATTCCCTGACCCAGATACTGGGACTCTTCTACTTGTGCTGGGAACCCGGAATACTTTTGAGCTTAGACATCATGGCCGCATTTCATTTGCAGTGGTTCGCCCTGCGTCCACTGACGACATCATGATGCCGATGGTCCTACTTCCAATATAAGAACCCGGAGCATCACTTTTTTCAGCTTCTCCAAATAATCTCTACTCAATAAGATTTGAGCCACCATCAATCTTTCTATTGAATCTCCAACTTTACCTTCTTATTTCAATCTACAATATTCATCATGGGCTGCGACTGCGGAGCTACTTGCAATTGCACTGGTGCCCAGGGCTGCAACTGCGACAACACTTGTTCCTGCAAGGGATGCGGAGTATGTGATCCATGTTTTTTGGTCCCCAAGGAGAAGAGGAGAAGCTGGTGTGAGCAATAAGATATAGGATCGAGGCTAACCTGCTTATTGTGCTTTATAGAAGTAAGAGGCGTCCCTATCTTAGGATGGCGGCTAGTAGCTCCTAGCCATTAGCCACGCTTGCCTGGTCTAAGAAAGGGCTGTCATGTCGCTTCGGGAAAATGGTTTTAATGTAACATTAATATGGACTCGCTCTTTAAGACAGTTTGAATTTTTATCCACGGACTTGTCCCTCTATATATACTAAACGTGAGAGTTGAGCTTCCGCGTGATGGTGTGATATGTAGACGTCATCAAGATCTCTCTTTAAGCACCGCCTCAGAAGCCTTGAGCGCGCCCGTAATAGTAAAACATATAAACGGCGACAGCGCATACATTACCTAATTTCATTAGCATGTACATAACTTCTCCATAGCATAATTCTTACCGTTAATGTCTTCGCAATAGCCATCTTCTCCGTCTCCGAAGCCTGCGCTACCTCCGCCAACCCCGAAATGACCAACGCCGGCGGCCCGGCCGGCATCAGCATCATACTGAACCAAAGAATAGGATCATCCCCCAGAAGCTTTGTATGCTTTGCCAGGCCGTATATCAACGAAATGCTCACAGCCGGCCAGGCCACCAGCCGTACTAAAAAGATTATCGTCATGGCCCGGATAGGAATGCGACTCGATTCGTCCGCCTCGCCCTGTGCCACCATCCGCTCAAAGGCGACCGCAAGTTTACACCCAACCAGGAAGATCTGTAGTGTTGTGAAGAGCCGTCCGATATTGCGCACGCTAGCCGTTAGCCAACCCTGGAGATAACCGCCATCTTCCTCGCGGAAGAAAAATGCCCGGTGCAGGGCAGGAACTAGGCCTAGCAACGCGCCGACGAGAGTACAGCATATCGCTACCCCGGCGAAGGGATCTCCAAAGGGCGCCATGAGCTCTTCTCGGACCCGATACGGGAAGAACGAGACAAGCCAGGTGGTCCAGGAGTGAATGCGCATTCCAACTGCATGTTGGGCAGTTTGTGCGCGCTCCGGTAGAAGGGAAGTAGTTTCGGTCAGAGGTTCATCCTCGCATTCAGATACATGCTGATCTTCGATACTGCTCGGACGAGTTTCAGCGTTTTCGCCGTCGTGAAGCATCCGCGGACCGACCACGTAGGCGATGGTTTTGCTGACGACTGCGCAGACGAGGAAATAGCTTTGTGCTCGCTCGATTCCGTCGGCTGTGCTTTCGTCGCCGCGGAGGATGAGCCGTAGAGAGCCTACGCTGTCGAGGGATTGGAGGAGTAGTAGAGGGAGGGAGGAGGTATTATTGAACGTGGTTGCTGGTGCAACCCAGTGGGGTAATCGAAATAGTCGTGCTAACACATGTGATAAACCGATGGATGCGAATGTGTAGACGAATGACCAAGCTTAACCGTCGGAATTGATGAGCGTTAACCGGAGATCGAGATATATCCGGGGCACTTACCCAGGACTGGAAGATAGTTCATCGCTGTACCTATATGAAGCTCTCTACCGAGATTCACCACAATGAGTGCCGGCAAAAAGAGCTTAATACCCAATGCAGACATATCATTGATGGTGGCATCGTGGATCAGTCTTAGGCGTCGTGCAGCAACTCCATAGCACATGGTTAATATTACCGAGACACAAGCCTTGAGAGCCCCCAGAAACGGTGGCAACAAGCCATCATCAGGGCGCATGATGGCGGCTCTTGCAATTGAAACAGAAGTACTGTGTACACTGAAGGATTGAAAATTTTCATTGGAACCTATACATTATTTGATAGCGTCATAGTGACCCAATCTACCATTTACAATTTTCCAAAAAGGGAACTGAGTATACAAAAGTTCTGCACTTGAGCTTCCCAGAGAAAAAACACCTATACGCGCATGGCATGCAAAAGCTGGTCCGACGGGATCAACTTCGCGGCGAAGGCTAGTGCTATACCTAGAGTGAGCACTGCGCCAAAAGCTGTCATAAGCCCGAGATGTCCCAGACTCTCGAGACCAGGACTTTCAAACTTGGTTGTGCGTCGTTGACCCAAGCGTGTGGTGCGTGTGAGTGTGGGCAGATACTTGAACTCGAAGCGGCTTTCGCCTCCAAGGCCAAGCTTCTCGTCCATGAGCATCTTGTAAAAGTATTTGCGGCGCATCTAAGATCGGATGGTTAGTTCTAGGAGCGGTCCCAAGGGATGGATAGGCGAAATGCTTACGTTGATCATGAACCGATCCATGAAGTAGATCCTGGGTATAATAGTTGAGACCAGTCTCACCCAGAAACAGTATCCCCACAGAATGACCCGATAGTACAGACTGGACCTTGGGATATCCAATTCATCCGCAAGCTGATCGCCATTAAGGAGACGACTCATCGCCTCGAGGAATTCCTTTGACGCATAAGACGGTGCGGTATTCTCCAGACCGATGATGATATTCTTAGCCAGAATCTTGCCAATCTCGGTAGGATCAATTTCAGAAATCAAGAGTGACTCCATCATCGCCCGGGCCTTGGCCGTACTCTCGAATGGCTCCGTCGGCGTTCCCATGTAGTAAGCGACGAGCCGCCAGAGCGCGATATAATCTTCAATCTCCTGTTGTTTGAGGTAGATCCCCTGACGAGGTAGCCCGAGCCAGACCACCGAGCTGCAAAAAGTGTTGATGGTGCCGATGCAATCGAGATCATTGACGGGTGTACCGTACATGTCAACGTCGTAGTAGTCTGGCTTTTGTTCTACCAGACTCAAGATTCTCAACCGGACGGAAGCGTGGAGGAGCCGTACACGGACGGAGGAGACGTTGCCTTGGCCGCCTGGTTTCATTCCCTCTGCTGAGCTGCTGACTTGGAGGACGTGTTGGAGTGTTTCGAGGAGTCGACGGCGGACTACTTTGGCGCCGAAACCACCGGTTCGGGCAAGTGTTTCCACGACTCGCATGGCGCCCCTGGAGAATGATTAGGCTAGGCTGGATAGAAGATGATAGGAGATGTCCGGTACTTACATTCCACCGAGTAGACTCTCAAACCCAAGCTGATAAAAAAGTAGTCAACAACGATGTTATAGATGGAAGGCCGATGGGTATAGAACTCACCACATTCAAGATGGGAACTCCATATCGGAAGAACACATCCTGTCCTCTCTGAATCTGCTCCCAATCTACCCATTCAGGAACCGTATTGACCTCATCCCATAGTTGTTTGAGTTTAGGATCCTCATCGGCATGCTTCTTCAACAAACCATACAGATCTTTCTTGAACGGCTTATCATCGTCCTCGCACGTGGGAATCTTGTTGAGAATTTGCACACATTCATCCGCCAGGCTATCATATGTTTGGATCATGGGATGTAACTCCTCTGACGACTGATGGAGGTCAGTCCAGTGGAAAGAGTAGCCCCAGTAGTGGCACTCGGTGGAATTTCCTTGTCGGGGGCTTTTTAACGCCATCGTGAGTAGTTTTGAAGGGTGGTCAAGGATTACAATGATAAGAAATGTCGTCTATTCGCGAGAGATGCATTCTCGCAAGTAATATAAGGCTCGTTTTGTTGTGTATATATGTACAGATGACCCGATGTTGAGGTTAGGTTGCCCCTCTCCTTCCATTCATGATCCAACATGGCTTTTTCCCTTGTACCGTGGTCCGTGGTCCGGGGTAAAAACGTGAGAGGGGGGCGGTTGACCGTTTGGGGGGAGCTTTGCATGTGAACCCGCCTATTTCCAATGCCGTTGATGATCGACACTCGCTTGAACATCTTAGGCTGATTTAGTGGTAGATAGTTCAGTAAGCCCATTATTTATGTCCTTTTTATACATCGATGGTTTCTTGGTGATTGGCTAGATGGCACCTGTCACGAGCCGAACTTCTTGCATACTCTTTTGGGTGCTTGGGAAGACAGTAGATGACACATTTCACATGCCGTCTCCTGCAATGAAAGACTTTGATTACTGGATGAGTCTGATATGATATTGCTGGCGTTGTGATCGTGAAGATTTAGGACAATTCCATGTGAAGTTTGTATGTGGTTCAAGTCATGTGTTCATTTGGGGGGCAGATAGGACAAAATACATCACCAGACTCTAGGATATAGGAGACAGCAACATTAGTTAGGACCTGCGATAATTGAGTGATAGGAAAAACTTCATGAATGGCCTCGGAGAAATCCTCGTCCAATTAGGACCCCATGCGACGCTTATCTCGCAGGACTACATAGATGAGTAGGTGGGAGGGGAGGTTGGATACTATAAACAAGAGGGCAAACCAACTATCTCAAATAGGGAGCAGCATCAAACTCTAACTAGGAAATGCAAAAGAGCTACTATTCCACGATGCTCACCTTTGTTCTCAGATGATGACCGACCGGGCGCCACTCTCTGAGCGGGCTGAGCAAGACCTGGATTGGATGACAGCTTAGGGGGGGACTCCACGATGCGAGCACCCTAGTCGATTAGCCGCCACCTCGATTGCTCATCAATAACACAGGGTCTCTGCCATTTCAGAGCGAATGTTAGGACTGGGAAGGCCTCGATTGAAAGCACGGCCGTCACTGCTGGATCTGATTAGCAGACGCGAGGAGCGACCGATTACTGCAACTCCAACTCAAACTGTTACTGTGGAGGACCCGTCGTCACCACCACCACCGTCACCGCCCGAGCTGCCACCGCTTCCAGACTCGCCCACCTCAGCCAGCTCGACTACTACCTCCACCACCTTCTCCGTGTCTACCCAGTCCACTCAAACCTCCTCCACGATGGCACCGGCAAAGGATGACAGCCATGCTCATGGCTCGGTCTTCTCAGTCTCCGGCCCCGTCGTTGTCGCCGAGCACATGATTGGCTGTGCCATGTACGAGCTGGTAGGTACCCCCAGCATTCCTCCCCGGGAAGCTCATCCCAGCTTGATCCCGAAAAGGGTATCGCCGTACTGATAGCATTCAACCTTCTAGTGCCATGTCGGTAAGGATTTGCTCGTCGGTGAAGTCATTCGACTCGAAGGCGACAAGGCCACTATTCAGGTCTACGAAGAAACCGGTACGCCAGCTCCCTCTCCCGGCCACGTATGCTCCGCATCGCAGCCACCTCCGCACATATCGACATTGACTAATTGTTGCGCTTTTGGGATGAAATATAGATGGTCTGACTATCGGCGATCCCGTTGCGCGGACCGGTAAGCCCCTATCCGTCGAGCTGGGCCCCGGTTTGATGGAGACGATCTACGACGGTATCCAACGGCCCCTCCGTGCTATCTCCGACAAGTCCAAGAGTATCTACATTCCCCGTGGTATTCGCGTTAATGCGCTGGACCGTGAGAAGAAGTGGGACTTCAAGCCCGTCAACTTCAAGGTTGGCGACCATATTACTGGAGGTGACATTTGGGGTACCGTGTTCGAGAACAGCTTGGTGAACGACCACAAGATCCTTCTGCCCCCGCGTGCCCGCGGTACCATCACCCGCATCTCCCCCGCCGGTAGCTATACTGTGGAGGAGAAGCTGCTGGAGGTCGAGTTTGAGGGTAAGAAGACCGAGTTCGGCATGATGCAGACCTGGCCCGTCCGTGTGCCCCGCCCCGTTAGTGACCGTCAGTCTGCCGATGCGCCCTTCATTGTCGGCCAGAGAGTGCTGGATGCTCTCTTCCCTAGTGTGCAGGGTGGTACCGTTTGCATTCCCGGTGCTTTCGGTTGTGGCAAGACTGTCATTTCCCAGAGTGTGTCCAAGTTCTCCAACAGTGATATCATCGTCTATGTCGGCTGCGGTGAGCGTGGTAATGAGATGGCTGAAGTGTTGATGGATTTCCCCGAGGTAACCCATTCGACCTCAAATAATCTGTGACATCGCAGAGGGAACTTCCTTGCTAACCCCCGTTCTTTCTGTAGCTTTCTATCGACGTCGGCGGCCGTAAGGAACCTATCATGAAGCGTACCTGCTTGATCGCCAACACCTCGAACATGCCCGTCGCTGCCCGTGAGGCCTCGATCTACACCGGTATCACCATCGCCGAGTACTGGCGTGATCAAGGAAAGAACGTTGCCATGATGGCTGACTCGAGTTCTCGCTGGGCCGAGGCTCTGCGTGAGCTTTCGGGTCGTCTGGGAGAGATGCCTGCTGATCAGGGTTTCCCCGCCTATCTGGGTGCTAAGCTGGCCTCTTTCTACGAGCGTGCCGGTAAGAGCAGCGCTCTTGGTAGCCCCGAGCGTGTCGGCAGTGTCAGCATCGTCGGTGCCGTCAGCCCGCCCGGTGGCGATTTCTCCGACCCCGTCACCTCCAGTACCCTTGGTATTGTGCAGGTCTTCTGGGGTCTCGATAAGAAGCTGGCTCAGCGCAAGCACTTCCCGTCCGTCAACACCTCTATGTCCTACAGTAAATACACCACCGTTTTGGACAAGTACTACGAGAAGCACAACCCGGACTTCCCTCGCCTGCGTGACCAAATCCGCGAGCTCCTGTCCAAGTCTGAGGATCTCGACCAGGTCGTGCAGCTAGTCGGTAAGGCGTCTCTGGGTGACTCTGACAAGATCACTCTGGACGTGGCTGCCATGGTCAAGGATGACTTCCTCCAGCAGAACGGTTACAGTGACTACGATCAGTTCTGCCCCCTCTGGAAGACCGAGTACATGATGAAGGCCTTCATGGGCTTCCATGACGAGGCCCAGAAGGCGATCGCCCAGGGTCAGAACTGGAACAAGGTCCGTGACGCCACTGCTGATCTCCAGAGTGCTCTGCGCAGCATGAAGTTCGAGATCCCCGATAACCAGGAGGAGGTGTCGGCCAAGTACGAAAAGCTTCTCCAGTCCATGACTGAGCGCTTTGCTTCCGTTTCGGATGAATAGATGTAGATTGGGTCTTGATGTATCTTGTTTCTATTTTTGCTGCCTTTGCATCATCTCATTTTTTCCCGGCTGTTATATTGTCTAGCACATTACCCTGTAGTTATTCTTGAACCAATTTTGTTCTTTGGGGCGGACACTTTTCATTCCCTTCTCGTATCGACTACTGAATAGTATACGATAGACAGATCCAAGATCAGGCGACAATGAAAGGACTGGACCGGAAGGGCAGGTGACCCACGTATAAACCCACTTCTTCATGATCGGAGTCCAGTATAGTGGATGCCTGCTGTCAGGTACTCACCACCGTGGCTAAGTAACCAACTGGCTAATCATAATGCAGCAGAACTCCGGTGCACGGCCAGTCGCTGGGCTGGACCGCCACTCTCATCCACCGCCTTCGTAGGCCTCCCCGACCAACAAACAATCTAACAATCTGCTGCTTCTCTTCACGATCAACACCTCTTCCTATTCTCTCCTCGTTCCCTCACTTTTCTTTCTCGTCTTTCAAAAAACCCACCTAGCTCCGAAGGAAGACCCCCCCAACCTCGCCAGCATGGCAAACCCAACCTCTGGCTACTCGTGCGTGACCCCCCTGCACCCCCCTCCACTCCGAGATGCGGCCTAGAGCTAACTTGTGCGCAGCATAAATGTCAACGATCCAAGCTTGATCTCTCTGGTCAACAAGCTGCAAGATGTCTTCTCTACAGTGGGCGTGAGTAAAATCAAAAACCTGCACCCGTGGCAACCCTGGTCTTGACCATTCCCACTGACACCGCTGCTTTGATCTAGGTACACAACCCTATCGACCTGCCCCAGATTGTCGTGGTTGGATCGCAGTCCAGTGGAAAGAGCTCAGTGCTAGAGAACATTGTCGGACGTGATTTGTATGTCTTTCCCCGATCCCATCGTGCTGTCCCTTTGCCCCCCGAACCTCTGCGCAACCCACGTGGTGGCGGGGGAACCCTCCCGGCGGTATCGTCGTCAGCCATTGCTAACCACTGTCTATCTGTACTTTCTAGCCTGCCCCGTGGTTCGGGAATCGTGACCCGGAGACCTCTTATTCTGCAACTGATCAACAAGACCCCTGCGCCGCAAACGAACGGAGATAACAAGATCGAGACGACAGATGCCGAGTCCAACGTCGATGAGTATGGCGAGTTCCTGCATATTCCTGGCCAGAAGTTCTTCGACTTCAACAAGATCCGGGAGGAGATTGTCCGTGAGACAGAGTCCAAGGTTGGCCGCAATGCCGGTATCTCGCCTGTCCCGATCAACCTGCGCATCTACTCGCCCAACGTCCTCACCCTGACCCTGGTCGATCTGCCTGGTCTGACCAAGGTACCTGTCGGAGATCAGCCCAAGGATATCGAGCGCCAGATCCGCGATATGGTTCTCAAGTACATCAGCAAGCCTAACGCTATCATTCTGGCTGTCACCTCGGCCAACCAGGATTTGGCCAACTCCGATGGTCTGAAGATGGCGCGTGAGGTGGACCCCGAAGGTCAGCGCACCATTGGTGTGTTGAGTAAGGTCGATCTGATGGACGAAGGCACTGATGTCGTGGATATTCTCGCTGGACGAATTATCCCTCTGCGCCTGGGCTATGTTCCCGTGGTCAACCGTGGTCAGCGTGATATTGAGAACAAGCGTCCCATCGCCTACGCCTTGGAGAACGAGAAGAACTTCTTCGAGAACCACAAGGCATACCGGAATAAGGCTTCATACTGCGGTACCCCCTACTTGGCCCGCAAGTTGAACCTGGTAAGCGATTGCTCCATTTATGGGAGAGATACGCACGTGGCAAGAAAGAATACTAATCTCAATCCGCCATCTCTGTAGATCCTGATGATGCACATCAAGCAAACTCTCCCCGATATCAAGGCTCGCATTTCCTCCTCCCTTCAGAAGTACACTACGGAGCTGGCGCAACTTGGTGATTCCATGCTCGGCAACAGCGCCAACATCATCCTCAACATCATTACCGAGTTCAGCAACGAGTACCGCACGGTTTTGGAGGGTAACAACCAGGAGCTGTCTAGCATTGAGCTGTCTGGTGGTGCTCGTATCAGTTTCGTGTTCCACGAGCTCTACTCCAACGGTGTCAAGGCCGTGGATCCCTTCGACCAGGTAAAGGACATTGATATTCGCACCATTCTCTACAACTCCTCCGGTTCCTCTCCCGCTCTTTTCGTCGGAACTACTGCCTTCGAGTTGATCGTCAAGCAGCAGATCAAGCGTCTGGAAGACCCCAGCAACAAGTGTATCTCGTTGGTTTACGATGAGCTGGTGCGCATTCTCGGTCAGCTCCTGAACAAGCAGCTGTTCCGCCGGTACCCCCAACTGAAGGAGAAGTTCCACGCTGTTGCCATTGCTTTCTTCAAGAAGTGCATGGACCCTACCAGCAAGCTGGTCAAGGACCTGATCGCCATGGAGGCCACCTACATCAACACTGGCCACCCTGACTTCCTTAACGGACACCGCGTAAGTAAACCTTGATTTTATGACCTTGTGGAGTTGGAATTATGCTGACCGAATGTAGGCTATGGCTATTGTCAACGAGCGGGCGCAGGCCGCCAAGCCCACCCAGGTTGACCCCAAGACCGGCAAGCCCCTTCCCGCCCGTGCCCAAAGCCCCTCTCTCGACACCACCGGTGAGGCTCAGAACCAAAGCGGATTCTTTGGCAGCTTCTGGGCTTCCAAGAACAAGAAGAAGATGGCGGCCATGGAGGCTCCTCCCCCAACTCTGAAGGCTTCCGCCAGTCTGTCTGAGCGTGAGACCTCGGAAGTTGAGGTTATCAGTAAGTGCCGCTCTGCAATAGCGTCCAGTGTGGTCCGCTATATACTAATCCCCCTTCTCAGAGTTGTTGATCACCTCATACTTCAACATCGTCAAGCGTACGATGATCGACATGGTCCCCAAGGCTATCATGTACACCCTGGTGCAGTATGTATCCCTACGATTAAATCTTTGCCACCCTCACATACTAATTCCTTCAATTAGATTCACCAAGGATGAGATGCAGCGCGAGCTTCTGGAGAACATGTACCGCAACAACGAACTGGATGATCTACTCAAGGAGAGTGACTACACCATCCGCCGGAGGAAGGAATGCCAACAGATGGTTGAGAGTCTGGGCCGCGCCAGCGAGATTGTCAGCCAGGTCCAGTAAATACCTGCTGGCAGAAGTATGGCAGGTTCTCATCATGGCTTATTAAGGGAGGGAACGATCAAGTCGTCAGAGCCGACTGTATGACTGAAATGTTTTCGCGCTGGCGGGAGTTGGGAACACACTCTACACCTCTCATCTTTCTTTGTGACTTTGCACCGGGTTCGAAATCTTGACTATACTCGTATTTTTCGCCGTCGCTTGTGTCATCTTGCCTTCGTCTGTTGAATGGCCGCCCGTCCCCGCATACCAGCAATGGGGACTGGCTGGCTCTAGAGCTGTTGATTCTCTTGTTTTGTTCACCGGAGCGGTGGTTTCCCCTCGAAGGAGAGGGGGAGTAAGGTATACCAGGATTGTCCCCTGGTGCCTCACCTTCTCACCTTTCTCCTTCCTGTTTCTTTTGGCCCGAATTTGAAAGCCTTATACCGTTTTCATTTCTCTTTGTTGGTCCGTTGTCTACTGTCTGCTTGTTTTTGAGACCCATGAGCCTTCTTCCAGATGACGATTGTATCAACTAATGATTTTCTGTGTTCTATGACTTTGCTTTAGAATTCGATCTATTCACTTTACATTTTTTGCTTTGTATACGCTGTGTTAGGTTTGTTTATGTTATAGTATACACCCAAGCATGTTACTACAAAGGTCGAAAGACAAAATATGACTGCTCAAAACTTCATGCTCAGTCATTTCTGGCACGCCACTGTACATCACGTGAGAGGAAGCAGCCCTAAGAGTTTAGGACGTAAGAGTGCATAGTATTCCTTCATATATCCATATAGAATAGAGTAGCTATGTAGCAAAATGAGTGCGGAAGAATCCTCTGTTTCTAGAAGTTGGGAACTCTCTGGATTGTAGAAGTGATTTTCAAAAGGCTGCTGGTGGTTAAGGAAAGAACGGCATCTTCTTGAGGAAGCTTCTTTCGCTCTTTCATCCATATTCTTTTCTGTAGGGTATGCCATAGTCCCTCAAAATATAAGCTGCTGGGCCCAGCTTTACTTCGGGTGCCAGGCTTCGAGGGAAAACTTCGCGATTTTGGTATCAAAGTAGGTTATTTTTGCTGGTAGTTTCTAAATAGCACCCACGGGGGTCTCGTAGCTTCTTGTCAAGTGCAAGTCTTTTCCAGGTTGTAGATAAGCACTCACATGTCACTCTTAAGCATCTAAACGTATCTAATAAATGATACCGCGCAGCCTTTCATGTTTACCTGCTAATGGCAGATTCCAGTGCCAGAAACTGACAGGCTTCTCAAGGTGAGGAAGGTGCCACCCTCCCTGCTTGATCCATTTTGATACAGTCTCTTTCCTTCTCTTCCTCTTTCTTCATCCTCCCCCAGACAAAACCTACCCCATAAACTCGAATGACATCGCCTCAGACCCATCTCTGACTTGACCCAGCTTCCAACCGCTCAGCCATGCCTCGCGCGATCAACCACGCGGAGCTGAGAACTCAGTTCCACACCTCGGTCTGCCGCTTGATGAACCAATTGAAGAGGTTTTCCTCTTATGTCCTCAAGGTAGATGAGCTGATGGGACTGGGGGTCCACGTCTCCGAGTTTGACCCCTTCGAATTAAACGAGGCCATCATCTTCCAACCCTTGGCGGAGCAGGAGCTGCACGACTACGTTATCGACGAGATCATGCTACAGAATGACGATATTGTGAAGAAGCTTGATCTTCCGGACTGGACTCCTCCTGAGGCTTCCAAAGTGGTCTCCCGTCTTGACGAAGAACGTGCTGCGTTGAAAGCTGCTGAGGAGGCCTATGAATATCTCGAGGCGATGTATTCCTGCTTGTCGAAGTCCTATGAACCCAAGAATCCCCTCTCCATGGCTCGGAACTGGACCGACATCCCGTGAGTATTATTTCCAAGACTACTACCCTGATCAGTCCATGAGGAGGTGACTGACTGATTTCGAAATAGTATCCCGCATCCCGAATTCACCTGGCCTCGCGAGCTTGGCTTCAACAGCTGGCCCCGTGACACCGGCCTTTTGAATCACAACAGCCTCGAACATGTCGGGTGGCGCTACCAGATAGTGAGTGAATGGAAGGACACCCCACGGCGAGGAGATCCCAAGGCCCGGCCACATGTACGCATCGTCGTCTGCCATGGCGCTATTGGCACCCCGAATGGAATTCTTCTCGGCGAGATAGGCGCTATTGCACAGGCCATCTACAACCGTCTAAACCAGCCCAGCTTTGAGAATGAGTCTTACTTCCCGGTATGATCTAGCCTTTGAGTGGGTTTGAAAACGTGAAGCTAATGACGATAGGTACTGATGATTTCGCTTTTCGGACCCCGCCATGGACGCATTCTGCAGGCTGTGTACAGGCGTACTGGGAATATGGAACTTCGTACCACTCGGGTCCAGGATTTGACGAAGATGGATCATGCTCCCATTGACCTTTTCTTGCGGTACCTTGCAAGCTATCCCCGCCGTGATGATTACTGAGGGGGGTATTTCAACGGGTGATTCAGCTGCTTGCGCAAACCTACGTCTATCCGGGATACAGGGTCTACTTTATGGATGTGATTAGCTAGCATAGAGAAATAAATTTCTAGCCTCATCTATTAGTCACTGTATACTGGTGGTCAAAAGGCAGACGCGCTAAAAGGGTCAACAACACTAAATCAAAGTACAACGTGCTTTGATCCCAGGATTCTCCCTTGAATAGAAGGTGAGTAGTAAATTATTATCCACCACGACCACTGCAACGTGAACTGAAAAATTATACTACCCTCTTCTCTTATTTCCTAATACAGTAACCTCTATCTGTAGTTGTCTAAGAGGTAACCAGAATACCATGAGAAATTGTGATGTTCCGCAAGGCTCCATTGTACACGAGCAGATGGAGCCTAGCTAATATTCCATTACTACTTGATTTGGTAGTATAAGATTTGCAGAGGACAGGCCTAAGATTGGGTGCTAAGATACCGGATACATGGAGCGAATTTGCTATCTAACCTAATATTGTATTCTCTCAGCTAGCCCACCATGCTTTCGTCCAGTAATTTAAAGTTCCATCGCCATGTTCCAGCCTTGCCATCAAATAACAATTGACTCCAGCTTTGGCATTGATTCACAGTACAGCGGTGGGTGTAGGCTCTGAAAAGAACCCCAGATAAGGCAGCGGTCCATGGCTTTCTCTTTGTGCATATTGTCTCCGGGATAGCTGACGGAGAGGGGTGCGACAGCTTGGGTTTCGGGCAGTTTAGTGTGTCCAGGGTAGCATCTGCCGAGTTCAGTTGGCTAGCCGGAATTGGGGTGCTCAGGTCTTTCCAGATTGTTGACGGGCAGGTATTGAATCTCTGTTTTGAAAAAACCCAGACCTCTTTGGATAGTTGTCTGGAAAACTCAGGCCTTCATCATTCTGGTCATACCCACAAACAGTAAATGCAGAGTCCAAACCTCCTTCCAAATGTATATCCACCAGGCGAGGATGGATGGAATTTTGGAGCCGGATATTCAGGTACGAGTGAACATATCTAGAGCCACCAAGTCAGTTCACGTGTCATTACGCTTGAGATATGTGAGTACCATACCTTCGTAGCACTGCTTTGCCCTTTCTAGGGACTTTTGGCAATGAGTGACCATGATCGAGGCGCATACTATTGTGCTGGGATGTAGCCACCGTGTGGAAAGCATCAGCCTCCTCTTCTCAGGACGTGATAACGGGCTACGGCAACCCTTATTGCAATCATTTGTCGCAGTTATTCCATGTGTCAAAGCTGATAAATAGGTTCAAGCGTACTCTAGGGCCATAGTTCCATATTCGTCTGGCGACAAGTTTGGACCTCCCTAATGAGCTGGGAATTCTCTCTTGAATTCCTTCCTCACGGAACGTTTCTCTCTTGCCTTCGTATTAATACCGTATCTCCTTTTCGTCCAGTGAGTTTTCGGCACAGGTGACCATGTCCTCGGCTACCTTGGCATGAACCGGGATTGTATCCTCACTCTTGCATGCCCGACACCAAGCTGTCAGGGCATAAAGCCGGGCCTCAGCCGCACTCCTGATAAAGAAGTATATCAGTAATTGACCAGTTTATTGAGTAGGGAACAGTCCAGAGCGTACTCACCACCATTTCAACCACTCGCAGAGAGTCCTTGACTGCCGTTTCAAGGCTTTTTAGATGTGCCTTTAACACGTATCCAATTTTATTTGTAATTGCGGTCTATTTTTGACTTTTACATGTTTTATGCCGTTTGGATATTGACAAGGCAAATCTCCACTTGCAGGTATATCTGTAGCTGCGGGTATCTTCCCATTCTTCCAAGGATCGATGTCTTATTTAGCTCTAAGGGTACTAGGAGCTACTTATAACCTTTACTAATAAAGAGTTTCTGTAACTAAGCCTTCGAGGTTAGCCTCGAATTCCGGAATACGTGCGATAGAACAGGATACTAAAAAGCAATATATACAGGTATATCACTAGAGAGGGACTATAAACGATCTCAGGAAGTGCAAAAGACTCGGGGGTATAGATAGGAGCTTAATTATATTAATATCTTTGCTTAGGTGTAAACTGAGTTCTGCTTTGTAAGGCTAGTGGTTCTGTGGTTATCAATAGTGAGGCGAATCTAACTATTCTATAGTCTGTTATTAACTTACCCAAAGTAGGTCGAGGATAAGAAGAAAATGAGTTTGCGTCGAATCTCTTTTTGGGAGGGTTCTCTGAAACGTAGACAAGATCAGGATTATTTACTATCCCTTTAGATTCAGACCGTGCATATATATTTGTAGTACTAAGAATCCCTCGATTAAAGTCCCTGCTTAGGCCCTGTTCCTCTTCTCCGCCCTAGAAGGAGTGTTACGATATACCTGAGGTTATCCACAAATGCCGGTGCCTCAGGCTACCAGGACCCTGGTAAGCCGCCAAGCTTTCGGTGGAGGTTCACTAGGGCTTCGCTGCCAGTACGTGTACGAACTCCTGCAAGGAAGGCCTGTTCCCCTAGTTAAATTGAACAAGTTTGACACCATTTTCGATCACGAATAGAGCTCAAGGCAACTCTGATTAAACTGTGTTGACCTTCCACTGTTCAACCTGTTCGCTGTCGACCCACCTCTATTGCACTTTCGTCTCTCGTCCATAATCGTGGTATTCGATCGACCTGTGTGCGCCTTCAAGCACACCCCCCAGGGTTTATGCAAACTAGGACTAGTACATGCATGTGACCCACCGCCCCACAAGCGTCTATGTATGGCGTACTCCGTACGTCTTTTGCAACCCGATACGAGAATTCACGGAGACTCATACCCGACTCCGGATGCTTCTGTCGCATCCCGGGCTTGATATTCGTCATACGGAAGGAAGCTCACGAGATGGTGGCCTACGCACTCGTCAACGGCTTTACGTTTCCGCTTATGATCACGACGGAGCTCTTCGCGCATGCGCTCTGCCTCTTTCCTCGAGATAGGCCACCAATCTGTTTGCTCCATAACCAGCTGCACTAGTTCCGCTGGCAAGCGTTTGTCTAACCCAGCAGTCTGCCGCGCTTCAGAGGCCCACCAGTCATGCTGCTGGGCTGGCACATTCCGTGTGGAGCAGATTCGATAGTGCGGATCGACTAGACGGAGCTTAACTACAGTTAAATGTCCGGGCTGGGTGGGATCCGCCAAGTCAAATGGCTCTCGCTTCGACCGAAAAGTGGCGGGCCAGCTTAGCAGACGACCTTCCAGTAGTGGAATAGAACCGAAGGTATGTAGTGCTTCAGGTGCTTTCTCTTCGAAAATCTCAAAAGGTTCCACGTCTAGCACTGTCCCCATTGTGTCCGGCACCTTGCACTCGAACTCCATTGCGTGTATTTTATCCTCGTGGTCGAATGTGATGCGAGGCGTGGTGATGTTTTTTGCCTCCACCACAAACAAACTCGTGGCTGCAATGCGGTCGTTGCGTAGACCCTCGGTGTGAAAATGCGCATCGCCGGCATAATTCGGCTTCTCCGGTGTGAGTTCAACGCGAGAGATTTCGATTACCACCTGAAGACCGTCTTTGCGGAATTGTTCCTGAAGCTGAACAGCTACTCGTTCATGATGAAGCGGGTCTGGGTATTTGCCGACTCGCTGAGGTATAATTGCGCGCCCGGTATACTGATCTTCCTTCCATTGCTTATATGAAAAAGAAATGCCAGGCTTGGGGTGGTCGAACCAAGACCGACGATCACGCTTGGTCCTTATCAGGCGACTCACAAACTTGGGAATATCCCACTGGTCAGGTTTGATTGCATCAAGTAAATTAGCCGGAAAATGTCGCCGGCGTCCCGCCTGGCGCCATTTTGGCGGCTCGGGGCCGGAGATGTACTTCCGAGCATCTTCACATCGCTTTTGCCACTCTTGATGTGTTTCGCAGAGCGCACTCCAGTGAAGCATTGGGTTGATATCGTGGAAGATTTGGCGGTCTTCTAGGTGATTATGGATATAGCAACCGTATGTCAGTATTCGCGGCGGACGACGGCCACGCTTATTGCCTCGGAACAGAATCTCGTTCCATGACGGTATCGAGGAGGTGATGAGATGTTCAAGATGGCCATATAGGTTTCGGTGACGTTTGGGATTCAAATTATTAACGTAGGAGGTAATTCGAACGTCTAGAGACTGCTCAGACAAGAATTCTACCTCGCAGGGTAGCCATTGAAAGCGATTCGAGTAGCAGCTCTCGGGGCCCCCGGATCCAACCCTGCGGAAAAGATCGATTGGTCGTCGACTAAGTTGATCGAATGGATGTGGAGGGGGCTCTTTATCAACTTGCCCGGTTAAACACCATAAGTCACGCATAGTGACCTGCCCTCCTTGAGATAAGATAGGCGACCGAGCATAAACAAGGGGATACAGTGATGGATCCACCAGCGGAGATTCATGATCTGCCTGGGGCCCCAAATGAGCCACTTGTCTTTGAAGGTCTTCCCAAGGCACTCCCGACACGTCCGTTTGACACACAGCCGAGGAGCTATCGAAAACTAACAGATGTCCTGTAATCTGCCAGAGCTTCGCCTTATCGCGTAATTCCGAGATGCACCAAGCCCACGCGAGATCGCTGATAAGAAACCCTTCGGGGCCTTCCACTGCCTCTCGGTGCCACTGGGTAAGTTGTTCCTCGTCTGGATGTAGGATTGAGCAATCCCACCCGGGTGTCTCAGTGATATGTTGCATCAGTCGTAGCATAGCCATTTCACGCTTGGTTAGGCGAGGTGAGTGGCGATACTCCACCAGTCCATGCGCGAACCGGTTCTCCGGAGGGAGCTCAAAGTTCAGGGGAATGCCCCCGAATCCAGGGACCTGAAGTGGACCATGGCCGGTGTTGGTGAGCTTTGTCATTTCGGACATAAGATGATAAGAGCTTCAGGAAATTTTTGTTTCCCGCTAAATGGCCACAGTCCACGAGGTGGTTATTAAATAAACCGTACCTAGTTGAAGGCTCGCCTTCGCGCGGTCCAAATCAAGCAAGGTACCTAGACTTGGCAGGCTGTCGGTTTCGAAATTTGGGTAATAGGCGAAAAGAAGCAAAGTAATAATGTAACTCTGTGGCAACAAGTTCCGCTTTATATTCTATCTAAGCTAGTTTAATTTAAGTGCAGTATGAGCTAACACATCGCTTATCAAGCTGCGTTTGACGGGCCGCGGCGCGATTACCGTCGTTTTGGGGGCGGGGGTTGAGTTTCCCACTACAAGCTTCTTTCCTCTATGGACCTTACGCGCCGAATATGCCTAAATCGTCCATATTACTTCGTACAGTGGGGTTTCCAAACGTCTATTGAATTACAAGATCGCCTCCTGTAAAGTTAGGGATTTACCAGTGATTAGTTAGGCGTTGACTAGTATAAGAATTTGGGTTTTCTGTACGCGCGACCCCCACACCACTAAAACTATCCGAAAAGACCAAAAACTAAGTGATAGGGAGGACGCAGAGAGGGCGATAGATAAAACGTATCTGTTACATAGATACACATTCTGTTTGCAGTGGATATCTAAGATAAACTGAAACCGCGTCCCGTGACAGCGTAGGTTCCCTTTACAGTGACTACGCAAAAGTTTCAGCACCCCCTAGAGACCCACTCTCAGACCGCCCACCTACCGCCCACCTAAATCGTACACACAGAATAACCAATATTGTGCACTTATAACACCATCCAGAGACCATGACTTCTAGGGTACAGGCCAATTATTGAGTCAAAAGGGTGTTACACCCCTTGATAGGCAAATTGTGTATGTATTTTGTGGTTAATATGCAATCCATGGAGTTCTGCGGGAGGTTTTGCGACCGGCAGTATTCTATGTAATTGGTGTGATGTGGCGTGGGGGGGGGTGCTGAAACTTTTGCGTAGTCACTATAGGCTGTGGATCATCCATACAGCTTACCACGCTATGGGGTAGGCAGTAGTTACACCACGAGTAACTAACTAACTATCACTGAATATTCTTAATAACTCTTATCCGATAGGTCTGTGGCCTATCCGTTGCTGGCATCTCCACCTTTTTATATACACTACCTCAAAAGAAGCCGCGTAGTTTAGTATTCGTGTAGTCACGTTCTATATTACGAATACACCTCTAAGTACCCTATGCCGACATGAATATTGATTCAAATGGCTGGTAGACGGAATATTCAATTATCGAGTATGTTTTGAAGTCTTTCCGTGGCAGAGTTAATGGCAGAAAAGGTGGTTAACCAGAGGTTGCACAATTTGCGCAGTATACTCTGTACATACATCTAGGGTCAGGTTAAAGGCACTACATAAACGCTACTCGCACTACAAACTAAACCACTTTCGGATGACCGCCAATTCACCCCCAAAAGGTACTTGCTACCTTTGCATAAACTCTGCTAAGCCCTTATGTATAGCTCTGTCTTACAGAATATAACATTCGGAGTTGATTTACTGCTCTGCTAAAATTCCTCGAAACTTAGGGTTGCGGCCCGGATAATAGTATTTCCGTGCCGAACTATATAGAAATGGAGAGGCATTACGAGTCTCATACGCCTACGACAAAGACTGTATCTTATCATTCTGCAATGTAATCGTTCTCAAAGAGCCACTAAAGAGTCTTAGCTATCTTTGACATACACAATATCTACTGAGAGATACACCAATATCTTTGGCGTGAGAAAAAACCCGCAAAAAATGACTATACGCATACGGGTATATGGTAGAGATGGTGAGCTACTTCGAGTCCAACGTGAATATAAATACGAGAAATACGGCTTCTAAAAGAGTAAGAGCATGAGAAATGCACTTTACCTACGACATCTAATGTGAGGCCTTCGCCAGGTTTATCCTCCTCCTTTTTCCTCTCTCGTTTCTCCTTCTTTCACCACCACATCATCACAATCTCTCTTCTTTTCATCTCTCCACCACCAGGATGTGCTTCAGCGAGTACTTCGCTGTTATCCCGCAGGGATGCCGTGCCGAGAACAAGCATGCCTACATGCTGAAGGACGTCATCCCATGCTTCGAAACCGTTTTCCTCGCTATGGCCCGAAATGCCGACGCTGGCGGCGATCCAGCTACCCTAAATATCACCCTCTGCGGCCCCAAGGACTGTCTCAAGATCGACTGCTTCCGTCAGAAGCTTGAGGTCAAGGCCCTGCAGGTGAAGGACCCTTACTGTCCTGTTTGCCTGTGTGAGAAGACTCTTGCTGAGGCGTTGACAGTGGAAGTAAGTTGATTCTGATATTCCGCGAGAAAGAGAGATAGTGAGAAGCTAGTTCAAATGCTTATATCTAATTTTATGTATACAGGAGAATGAAAACACCCAATATGCCATCCTGCCAAATGGCAATGTCCTTCGCCCCGCCGCCGACAACCACAACGCGCTGCCAAAATACGTGGTTCAACGCCAGTTCTTCCTCAAGAGGGAAATCATGTCCGAGTCCAAGCCCATCAGTGTCAAGACTGATGTGTCCAGCAAGTTGCGCCCCGCCCCCCGCCACTCCAAGCTGCCGGCCGGCATCTGGGATGAGCCTGACGTCGACGATACATTCAACATGTATGTGTCGATGTTCATGGGACTCTACGATAAGCACGGTCGTAATGAGTTGGAGGAGGTTCCGGGTGCTGAGCTTCGATGGTTCTATGATCCTTGGGCCGATGAGGAGTGAGCTTTGGTCTGCGGGTACTCTGGTTCTCTCTCTTTGTTCTGTTTTTTTTCTCTGGGGATTCGCGGTGTACTTCTGATAGTGCTCGCTTGCATGGATGGGATGGGATGGATGGGCCATGCTTTACTTTTTTCTCATTGTTCTTTTCTTTTCTGGTTGTTCTTCATTTTTTTCTTCTATTTCCACTTCCTTCGTGGAAGATATGCAGTCTTTGCTTTGCTTTTCTATGGTCCCGGGGTCTTTTTAAGGTCGGAGCGTTCTTGTTCTTCATTTCATTTCTCCTGCTTCCACTTTCTTCCTGGATTTGCAGTTTTTTTCGCTGGTGATTCTTGTATATTTATTTCTTTATAGAAAACCGTAGAACGTAGAACAGCTAGCTGTAGTCCACCACTGTAACCAAGCTACTAACCCCCTAGATCATCTCCATAGAAAAACATCTTCACTGCAAAGACGAATGCCGATAAAGATAATGCCAACCCTCCTTCCCAATATCCTGCCTAACCTTATAATTCTTCTCCGCAATATCTAGCAGGCCCAGGTCCATATTCACAACACAAACCCCCTCCTCGGTACCCATCTTCGCCACAGGTCCCACAATTGGAAGTGCAACTTGCGACATACCGAGGAAGTTCTCCTTCGGACCGGTGGCATTGACGAAGATGATACCGCAGGTATTTTCGAAACAACGGGATGTGATGGTTGATGCAAGGAAGAGGGCTTCTGAGTCGGGATTGTGGTGGAGAGCTTCTGGGGAGGCATCGTGTGGTGTCCCTACAACAATGAGTAATGTGTATAGAGGATAGTAGTGGGTGGAAAATCGTACAGAAGGTAGGTATGATCACGATATCCGCTCCATCGGCAATCAACTCGCGGAACGCCTCGGGGAATGCCAAATCCCAGCAGATCAACATTCCAACCCGGCCAATCGGTGTGTCGATTGCCTCGTGGCGCTCTTCACCGGATGAAGTCAAGTGTGGTCTCTCAGGATGCCAGATATTCTTCTTGCGATAGGAGCCCAGGATAGTACCATCGTTGGAGATGAAGTATGCCGTGTTGTAGAAGAGAGTATCCTCATCAGGTCCGACGTGCTTCTCGATGATTGTTCCTGGAACAATGCAGATCTTCAGCTCCTTGGCTAGAGATTGGTAGTTGGCCCGGTATTTTGCGGCTTCGCCGGCTTGTTCAGCCCAGCGGGGGTCATTGGGGACCCAGCCGCTCAAGTGGTATCTAAAGAAGAATGGACTGTGAGCGCCAGGAATTGGAGGAGTTCAGGGTATTCTTACTCGGGGAGAACAGCTAGTTCTGCGCCGTCGGCAGCGGCTTGGCGGATATATTTGCATGCTGCTTCATGGTTCTCCTCGATGGCCAGGTCCTGCAAGGCTTCAATTTAGCTACAATCCCGCAGTTGCGTCATCGACAGGCGGAGGTTGGAGATAGGGTACATCGAACCTTGATATGCCACTGAATAGTGGCAACACGGCGAATCGGAGCCATATCGTAAATTGGTGAATAATATAAGGATTCGAGTATTTACGAACAAAATTAGGAAGTAATAGATCAATTTATAAATTAACGACGTTGGAAGAAGCCCAGAGGGATACCCCAAGGGACCCCAAAAAAAGTTGGAGATGGTGGGCCACGGACGCGCCCGCGAATCAAAACCCTCCAAATGAATCACCCCGCGCCGAGCGTCTACTACCATATGCCATTACGCGCGATATGCTACAGTACATAGGTGGGTATTAGTGATGGGTCATTCCTTGCGAGATTGACACTGTACAAGATGGGAAAACAAGGAAAATAGTACAAAAAAAGAGGACAACAAACATTATGGGAACATTAAGGTTGAGACATAGATCATGTAGAAAATAGGAAAAACGTATCAAACGAAATCCACACAAACGCCGGGGGAAGATCCAAACACTTCCCGCTCTATGCAGAGGGCCGTTTACGCCAGGCCCGCTGCGTCAGTGTTGAAAGTCGGCTTCTTGCTGACGCGGTAGACCAGGCGGTCTGTCCAGAAGTGCGCAAACACGGCATGCAGGGTGGGCACGGCGCCGAAGACGGTACCCGCCACGGGGAAGCAGACTCGGTCTAGCAGGTACTTGGGTTGGTACCAGATGCGCTGGGAGCAGCCAGTATCAGGGAGATTGGCCTCGCGCATATCTTGCATCCGAGAGTTCAGGCAGAGTGTATGCCAGCGCTCGTACAGACTCAGACAGATGTTCATTCCGATGAAGGAGAGCGCGCGAAGCAGATCGGTGAAGGAGAAGGCCCAGGCCAGCGAGGGGTGCAGTTGTGATGCTGGCACCCAGTTGGAGTATATGACGGAGAACAGCATGATGATGGTGAGATGGCAGGGCATAAAGTGCGCTTCCCAGAGAAGCTCGAGGAGGGCAAAGTGACGAGGGCGCAGGAAGAGACACCGCTGGTTGAAACGGAGGTAGCTCATTGTGCGACGGGCTGCGAAGCCCGAGTCCAGAGCTCCCCACATATGGCGCAGGGCCTGGCGGTACCGGGCGAAGAGGGTGTCGACTGTACGGCGCCAGCCACGACCGCCGTCGGCGGAAACATTGCACTGGCTGGCGGGGACGTGGATCACGCGCGAGATAACATTGCCGGCGGTCTCGAAGTAGCACTTGAGCAGCATGTGCATGTCCTCACCGATGGCGGTCGGATCAGCGTCCCATCCGCCGACCTTCTCGGCCATGGAGAGTGGCAGAGAGTAGACGGAGGTGGGAATGGAGATCCAGGTACCGGGGTACATGGTGGACAAGCCGGCGAAGCCCCAGAGCAGATCAGCGCATCTCACGAGCGCAGGGCTCTCGTGAGAGTTGCGATCAAAGATGATGGGGCAGCAGTAAAGAGACCGGTCAGCCTCGGTGATGTGCGAATAGTGTAGACGGCGAATCTCGGTAAAGTAGTCACGCGAGAGGTGAGTGTCCGCTGGAAATAGCTAGATTAGAATTTGGTTTTCCTAGATAGATAATGCGCAGACTTACCATCCATGACCGTGACCACGACATTACAGCAATCCATCTTCAGCTCCGGGCGATGAACCTCAATGATTGCGCGCGCAGCACAGGCCACATTAGAGCTCTTGCCAGCAATTTCGCCCGGGATACCGGTAGCATGGAAAGTTGGTCGAATGTTCAGGAATGACTTTTCAAACATGGACATCAGATGCGATGCCTTCTCGCTAGCGGTGGCCTCCTTCTGCTCCATAGCCAGGTAGATCTATTCTATGTTAGAGTCTTGGTCACGTAGTGTTCGTGTCGTCTTCCAGATCATTCCTGGAAGAGAAAACCTACCTCATAGTGTCTTTTAGCCCGCGGGTGACTAGCCAATACCTTGAGAGTGGTCTCCAGAGTGTGCAAATCCTCGCAATAGTTGGGAAGGATAATCGCGTGTATCAGCTCCTCCTCATGGAGCTCGTTCACGGTGATATTGGCGTCGTCAAACTTCTTGGAAATGGACGAGTCGGACGCCAGCGAGATCGGGGACAAAGGCTGCTCAATTAGCTCCTCGCCAGACATTTGAGGTGACTGGATAGGACTGCGCCAGATGCGGCGATTGAAGGCCTGCTTTGCGTTACTAGTCGCGCCCAAGATGGACCATCCGAGGCGCAACGTAAACCCGAGCATGTGGCAGTGGATGAGCACTGCATAGACGATGAAGATGGCCTGAGCGAGGTTGAGCCCGCTCCAGAATCCATCTTGCGGCGAGGGTTTGCTGGGATGGACCGGACTTGAAGGGAAGAAGCTCTTCCACAGAGCAGACTGGCAAATGTCGGAGAAGGCACACAGCAGGAGGATTGCCAGGCCGATGATGCTAAACCCCGGCAGGCAGCGCGTCAGCCATGCCAGCATTGTGACTTGAGGGTGAGGATGGATTCGCGGTGGAAGGGATAAAGTATACAGCCACCACAGAAGACGGCGAACACAACAGCAGAAGGGAGAAGACAAGCAGAGCAGGAAGAAAAGGAAAGAATCAACAATGGGTTATTTTGGAAGCAAGCAAAGAAAAAAAAAAGAAAAAGGTTATCGTGAGGGGCCCCTGAGAGAGGAGATGGGTCACCAGGATAGCTTACCAACAGGAGGCCTCTACCTTTGGATGGCTTTGCGCCTCACGCAGCCCACATGTCCAAACTAAGCATCACAATAATGGAGCATTGGAGTTGGGATGATCGACTTGGATCAGCAAGTCGAGGTGGCCCCCGAGAGCTACACGAGACAAAAGCGGACGAATGAGAGTGGCGGACGAGAGAGTATGGGAGCGGGTGCATCAGGGACTCGCTATCGATCCAAAAGGGTCACTATCAGCAGTAGAGAAAACAAGGGTAACGGGTTATGATCAGTGCAGAATCAGTGCGTATTGCCGTATACGGAGGCTACTTGTTAGTGTCCACTCATAGTACTATCTAGTGGAGATCACTGGACCCTGAATAGTCCCTGGCTCTCTAGTCCCTTTCTCTCAGCTCCGATATGCGCTCCTTCTACTGTCTTTTTCCAACTATACAATTTCGCAATTATCTGCTTTAATCGGCCAAGACCCTGGGAAGTGGGTCCGATCCCTTAAAGCTGCAAAGCTTGGCTTGACTGGATGTTCTGATTGGTGGAGATACTGCTGAGATAAGCATCTCCCCGTGCACGTTCCTCCACGGGCCAGTAATTAGCAGCAATTAGCACAAATTAGCGAGGACCAATCAGATGCAGTCTAGTTGAAGCGTGCCACACTCGAAACCGCCCAGTTGGACACGCCTCCGAAGTATGAACATAGGAAAAACACTACGGACGAGCACCTCGTCAAAGTTAGAAAATATCATCATTTCCACATTCGATTGCCTGCTGCCTGCTCCGTGGATTCTCATTCGATTTACAGCTCTCAGTCCTCGGCTGGCAATGCCTGTTTCCCGAGCCTTTGGAGGTCCTTCAACCGATAGTCCCTCCGGACACTGGACCAATCCCATTCATCCCCAACCAATCCATAACTCTCCCACTCTCCGGTGGCCTTGCGAGCATTTAGAGCCCAATACCCCCAACTCGCATCCACTGCTCGGAGATATTGCATCAAATGACACCAGTAGTTCTGGTCCCCTTCGCTGGGGGTATCAGGTGTGCCGAACTCACCTACCCAGACAGGGGCAATCTCCTCCGTCAACAAATACCCCCAGTTCTTCCACATCGTGGCTGCAAAGTCCTCATACGTTCTTCCCGAGAAGGGTTTCAAACTGCCCCAGCCAGACCACTTATAACTAAAGTAAGGTTAGCAGTAGTAAGGGACCTACCTCTTCCAACTTCGGACTTATACTCACACATGTGCCGAATATACTACCCGTCCCGGCACGCTGAGCTGCACAGGGCGCTTCCTCACCCCAGACAGGTCGTTTGCCGACGAGATTCCCTCCACAAACATGAGCCACTCCGGGTTCATCACTAATAGTCGCTCAGAGGCCTTTTCGGCGGCTTCCGCCCATTCACCCCAGTGCATCGTCCCCCAGAGTCCGCGCACTTCATTACGCAGATCCGCCCCCATCACCAGTGGATTCGAGATCAGTGGCGCCATCACCGTCTCCCAGTTGCGAATCCACTGCTCCTCCGTCTGCGAGACTGTACACAGCATGTCCGCGCCGAACCAGTCGTTCTTCCAGCTCAGATCGCATGGGTTGATCCCGCAACACCATGTCGCCTGCGTGATATGATTGTTGACAATCACTAATAGACCCGCAGCCGTGAGGCTCTCAACCACGGCATGGAACACATCAAGTGCACGCACCGAGGTAGGACCACCTGCATGACTGCTATTGCTGAAAAGATCCAGGTTCGCAGCGATAACACTCGGCTCGATGACCGGGTTATTCATGACGATCTCATCCGCGTACGGAAGCCGCACACTGTTGAACCCCAGATCCCGAATCAACGCCGCGATCGCATCCCGATGCTGTACCTCCAGTCCACCGGGGACAAAGTCGGTATCACTAGCGCCGTACCAGTTCAGACTGGCGAGTTTGAGAGGGATGCCCTTGGCGTCGAAGATATGCCGACCCTTTGCGTGGAAGGGTGGCGTGAAGTTGAGCGTTGCGGGCGTGGAATGGATAACACTGGTCGCCGTGATAGGAGGCATAGTATCCATCTCGTCTCCATCCCATTTCCACAGTGTCAGTTGGACGAGCACCACGATTGTGGCGGCCAGCACCAAGGATGCCCGACGGTTCCGTCGGATCCAGTGGATGAGTGCGAGCATTATAGGATGCTGGTACACATTTAGTGTACGCGGTCAAGGGTGGTAACTGTAAACTGTTTCGTAGATGATATAGATATTTTTAGTAGAGATTGTAGATGGAATTGAATGGGTTATTGCAAGTAATGGCGATGAATTTGTAGAATTCCTCGTCTGCGAGGCGACATCCGGCTGGCCCGCGCTGACCTTGTGGGATCCCATTCGGCCATTCGGATTCGGCCAATGATGCAGCCGAAAGGCTCGGCGGAGTTTGATACATCCCGATTTCTCGATTTGATGGCGACGTGTCGTATTCATAGAGAGACACTTGGCTGAATGTTTTGTAAATTGAGATGCCTGGACTTGGAGGTTGGAGATTTTGTAGATTTTGAGTGTTTTAGACTGTACATTAGGTTTTGCCTCGATGGGTGTGACCTAGCTCGTTCATTAGAGTAGGATCAGATATTATCTCAGTCTGCTAGTGTTTCAACAAACGGATCCTTCAAGCTAAATCTATCAAATATCTCGTAATAACTGTATCCTGACTTGATGTCTGCCTAGATGCCAAGATCGGAAGTCTGTTGGAGAGGATACAAAGGACAGATTGTCAGGATTGAACGGCGGAACTTTGCCGCGTGGTGGATAGATATACTCATTTCGGGCTACATCGTCTTGGCCAGAGTTGGATCCCGAGATTAAGCCACGTGAAACATGTACGACTTGCATTCTTGCAGAACTCCTTTTAAAGACCTACTTATCCTTCTTCAGGCAGACGCCACCTCTTAGATTTATGTTGATGAGGAGCCATAAGGCAGAAATATGGTCAATTAGCACAAAAGAAGCTCGTTCGTGGCCAAACCATTGATATGAAGACCGGCACTTCTCTAAATCGGGTATCATTCGACGGATATCTCAGTGTCTAAATTATCAAGAACTAACACAGCTCCAAATGCTGAAGGACAGGTGTCGCCGAACGACGCAGATGATTGACTAGAATTGAGAGTCTTAATGATAGCTAGAGGATAAAAGAGCCATGCTCATTCAAAACGGCTAAAGATAAGCTTTCTGGCGAGTGAAATGTTCAATACTGAGGAGAACTACCCTGCCATTCAATGCCAGATCAAAGTAGATAGAACGAACTGAGCATAAACCCGGATTCATTTCACTAGCCATTCTTAGGTCATTATCATACCGGGGCTGTCTATCAGAATATACAAGAGTTTGATAGCCCTACAGTAAATAGGCTGTCCGCTATACAAGGGAAGTCCGTACAATCATCCAAAACTGTCCAAATCGGGCGTCGGCGCATCATCTAGCAACCCCTAAACCCAAATCAGTACGCACATTCATGATATCAGTATCGCGTCTTTCGATTTAAATTCGAGAAGAGTTTTTTGTCGCACAAACTTTTACATTCAATACTCTCTTTTGAAAAGCCCAGCTTCTGAATTCTTATTGATCTCTCAATTTTTCGCCGTTTAGTTCTACTGAAGGAACCAACGATCTAAAATACGCTTTGGATAGCCAACAAAGATTCGTTTAGCTCTTTTTGTGTGTGATATATCCAAATTTACCATGAAGCAGCCATATTCACCCCGCAGCTGGTCTCTGCGCAAAAAGCCAATTGCTTCCCCCGAGTTACTCGTTGGCACAGCAATTCTAGCAGTCCTCTTCAACCTCATCCAAGGCGCCAAAGCACAAGCATACCCCGACTATTCCTCCATCAGATACCAGTTACTTGACTCTTACGGGGGTCCTTCGTTCTTCGATCAATTCAACTACTTTTCAGGCGATGATCCAACAGATGGTTATGTAACGTATAACCACCCTCCACCCTCCACCCTCTTCCAAAACCATGTACCAACATCAATTAATCATCTACACTAGCTACGTAAACCGAGGAACCGCCCAATCCCTCAACCTCACCTCCGCAACAGATACAACAGCAACCCTCCGCGTAGACGCCTCAACCCCCAACCCCTCCGGCGGCCGCAACTCCGTCCGCGTCGAATCAAAAAACACATACAACTCCGGCCTCTTCATCTTCGACATCATCCACACACCCTACGGCTGCGGGACATGGCCAGCACTCTGGCTCACAGATGGCCCCAACTGGCCGAATAATGGGGAAATAGATATCCTCGAGTCTCATAACCATGGTTCCCATGGTAATGAAATGTCCCTGCATACGACGGGTGGGTGTAGTATGGATGGTGGGGAGAGGAGACAGAGTGGGACGAGCTTGGAGGGGAATTGTGATATTGGGAGTGATGGGAATGCTGGGTGTGGTGTTACGGGGGATCTGGGGACTTATGGGGTTGGGTTTAATGGGGGTGGTGGTGGGGTGAGTTTATATCATCTCTTACACTATATCTGTTTCTATTCAAGTGTTTATGCTTACTTGATTTACAGGTGTATGCGTTGGAACTCCGTGACGCAGGCATTCGGATCTGGAATTTCCCTCGTGCCTCGATTCCATCGGATATCAACGATGGATCATCTCCGGATCCTTCGTCCTGGGGAATACCGTTGGCCGATTTCCCCAGTACAAACTGTGATATTGGGTCTCATTTCCGGAATCTGAATATCGTGGCTAATATTGATCTTTGTGGAGAGTTGGCGGGGACTTCGACTCATTATACTCAAATGTATAATTGTCCGGGATCGTGCACTGATTTCGTGGCGAATAACCCGTCGCAATTCGAGGATGCGTATTGGGAGTTTGGTGGGATCAGGGTTTATCAGGCTTCTTGAGAGACGAAGGGTTTTGCTGGATGCTTTGTAGATTTAGGGAAGATTAGTTGCTTGTTGCTGTGCTTCTGTGGGCTTGAACGTTTAGCTATATTGCCATGTCTTGTTTCTTATCTGATTGTTAAAAGAGAGATGGTACTTTCACGAACTGATTGAATTCTCAGTAGTCATTGGGTATCTTAACATTTAACCATACATTCAAGCACGAACGTCCAATTCTCGAGGGGAGAGCCTGGAAGACTTGGACATTCCACTTCATACTCGACAGCGAACCAGTTGTAAAATCTCCCTTGAAGTCATTGATACACACACTGGGTTCTCACACATACAAAACCTCCAGAAAAATCATGTCGTCATACAAAGTCATCCATTCACTCACAGCTTGCGCAGCAGACTGCCTTCCGCAAAGGGGTTCTCGTCCGACATGTCGAGCAACGGGCGGGTTGCGTTACGGTCACCCGTCGCAACCCCATGTCCCCCGATTGCTGCTCTGCTCTGGCCCGGGTAGCTACCCATATTACGACTCGATGCCGCCAACAGACTATTCGCCACGAATGGGCCTTCAGGCGACGTCGGGCTGGCTCCGGCCGAACTGGCGCCTGCGTAGTGAACCGGTGCCGAGACCTGTCGCCCACTCCGCCCACTCCGCATGGTATTCGAGCGGTACCGGCTCTGCGGAGGGACTTCGGCAGGCGGGCGTCGCCAGGATGTGGCTGGGGGAACATTCACCTTGCCAGGGGTCAGTTCGGGACCGGTAGCTGCATCGATCAGCTGCCGTCCAGGTTCGATATGGACGCCACGACCTTTGCGAGAGTGCTGGGGTGGTTCCACGAAGACCGGGGTCAAATCCACCAACGGCTTCTGCTGCTGGTTGAGGGACATTGTACGTCCCAGTTGGGCGGCAGTATCGGCTTGGGTGAGTGTGTTGGTGCGGCTACTCGGCTGTGCAATTGGTGAATACACGGGGCTTGCAGATACGAGACCCTGAGCGGCAAACGGATCTTGCTTTGCTCGCTTTTCTCTTTCTTCCCGCTCACGCATCGCCTGCTGTCGCTGGGTATACGTTCTACCCAATAGGCTGGATGAGTTAAAGACACCATCAGCCGGGTCTTCGGAGGGGGACCAGTCTTGACGTGTACGTGTCTGATGTTGGCTCGTGTTGGTATCGATGGCGAGGGTCTTTGGGAATGAGCTTGGAGGGGGCCTGTGCTCGCGAGTCGTCTTCCTGCGTGGGACGCTTTCTTTCCGGGTATGCTCAATAGAGCGGCGTGTAGGCTCTGGCTCACTGTTCTGACGGTCCAACGATCGAGGTTTCTCGGAAGATGCATCTCTCTGGGGGATCATCCTGGTTGCAGATTGCACCAGCGAAGCCTTGCGATCCACCTCATCGGCTGGTTTGACTGGATTTGCAGCACCCACTTTATTCACCAAGTACCAGCTTCGCCAGCTCTGAACAGCCTTGTGCCACTTATCAGCCACTGCACGGTCATTGGTACTGAAAAAGTGCACAAATTTGTCAGTTGACAGAAACATGGACGACTTCTGCTGACTCTTGATTGCAAGGCAGATTTTCTTAGGGGGCTTGATTTCTTTTGCAGATGATCGAGCGCTTGGGGAGTATATGTCAAAGTCTGAGATGTGGCAGATGTTGGTGGTATCTTTCAAGTTCTCTTTCTTGGAGATTGTCACTTGTCCATCAGCTCGGAGAGTGACATATCGCTTGTCCCACTTGCGAGGTCGATGAGAGTAGTAGCAGTAGACTGTAGTCTCGCTAGGTTTTTCAACAGGAACGCTTTGCGCTTCAAGCTGGGCGATGGCCTCTATACTAGAAGGCGGTACGATAATGAGGCTACCATCGGTATCCAACGCCCAGGAGTTCATGACATCTCGGATACGTTCATACTGGCGCAAAGGTCGCTCCAGCCCAATCTGTTGGAAGGACTCGATCACAATGAAGGTGTCCGGTTCAATGTCGCGAGAGATTTGTTGAGCAGCGGCCTGCAGCATATCTTGCACCTGGGTGACTGGAGTCACGGGCAACCGTGCGCTGGCATCGCCAAACTTGACAAGCACGAAACGCTCACCCGCATTGACAGCAGAGACTGGCGCATCAGTGCCAGGCACAATACCGCCACCTCCAATCCCAATGTAGTTGGGCTTCGCAGATCCTGAGTTGGGGGAATCTTTGGTGAGGTCTTGGGACAGTTTTGACTTGGAGAGGCCGACCTTTTGTAAAAGAGACTTGCGGTTAGTATCACTAGAGGAGGGTGGGGTGTCCGCTTTGTGTCGGCCGGACTGGACCGGCCGCGATGATGTCGTCGAGGGTTGATCTTTGTGAAGCGCTTTCCTCGGTTTAACTTCCTTCGTCGCCTTTGCAGTCCGTGATGAGACTACTGGAACGGGAGCAGCGCCTGTCAACTGCGCCATTGCATTTAACCTGTGTTGTTCTCTTGCCTTCTCTTCCTCCAGCCCTAACACTGGCTTGGCACTGCTTGGCAGAACAGGCGCACAGTCAACTTTGCGATGAACCGGAAGCGCGGGGGTTGGAGGTGCTGCTGAGTCGGTACAGGCTGGAGGTCGATTGCGCCGGTATCGAGACATGCTCCTGGCAATCGAGGGATTTTGCTGACTTGCGGCATTTGCCGCTGCAGTGGCTGGGCGCATACTTGTTTCGGTCTTGTCGTCGCGCTGACGATCCACCATGGTTCGATCTTATGAAAATACGGAGAGGTCTTGAGGACACCTGCTGCCCTGGCGCATCCGCTGTGCACTGTGCTATGGCTGTCTCTTGGAGAGACGACGAGGAATAAAGGAAAATTGTGCGTGGCATACAACCCAGAAAACCTGATTCACGGGTTTAGAGTCCGAGTCCGAGTCAAATCCCTATCGCTTTGCGCTTTGCGATCGCAAGTCACATTCTGGGGTAAAACTGGAGACCAGAGGTGTCAGTGCGCACTTCCACGAATGATGAGACAGCCAACACACACTTGCGCACAAGTGAAAATCAAAGATCGAAGAAGTGCGACGCGCGGGGGTCTTTGTGCGAAGGGACAGAGAGAGAAAAAGCAAAGGGAGAGAGGGTGGGTATGTGCAAGGGCGCCACGGCATGAGGCTGGAGTCGAATGCGACAGCTTCGACCACCGACCTCTAGCGAACAAACCGCCAGGTTCGCAATGGATCTATTGCTTCTTGGAGGAAAAGTGCGAGTGCCGATCAAAAAAGCAGACTGGGGATTGGGCTGGTGTACTGAAAGGACGCGTGGGCGCGTCTGCGGCGCGAGATCGAACCAATTGTACTTACCTAAGTACAAGCTGAAGTGCGTGGATGTGGAAATTGAGAGTGCGCAAGCCGAGCGTGGGTGTTGTTGGCACAGTTAAAGGAAAGGAATGAACTTCTTCGTGTGGCTGGGCCAGAAAGACGTTTCCGGGTTGTGACATTCTCCAAGGCGATCGGCGGAGACTATTGGCAATATTCCCTTGGGCCTACTCGCAGTTCTGAAACTCTACTCTGACGACGAGGATGTCTTGGTCCCTGAATCTAGTGACCGAGCAGGACTAGTGTTGTCGCACAATGCCTTGGTTTTGAGAAAACACCGGACGACATTGGGGGGCGAGGATCTGGAGTTCTGGACCTCCCCGAAAGGGCTCCACTACCTACAATTGACTGATCCGCAGTGGACGCCCTGGAATTCAAGGTCCACTCAGGGCGGGCTAGAGAGTTGGGGATACGAGAATCAGCCTATTCTCGTTAATGGCCCGTCATGAAGTCCCTGTAAGCTCTGTCCAACAGGTGGGCCCTGAAAATGAGACGATCTCTGAGCTCTCATCGAGTCTGCAAGTATCATCCGATGGGGGCTTCTCGCATGCTGCCAAGGACTGGTCTGCCAACTTTGACGCCCGGCCTTCTCCACAGTTGCTGGTGTCGGTTATTCACCGGTCAAAAGAATTGATACAGCAGATTGACCATATCTTCGATCATGGCTGCCGAAACACTTTCAGCAGGGTTTAATTATCCAGGGCAGAATACAGATGTCGGCCCATATCGACTTGTCCAACAGGTCAACACATCGCCGCTATACTTCCACTTTTCTCCTTTGAGACTCTTGAAGCACACAGAGCTTCTCGGTGGGTAAGATAGTCCACGTCTTCATAATGCCGCCAGGGCGATCGACCGAATGATATTCGAACCTCTTCTAGGAGATTGAAGCCAACCAAGTCCCATCGTGGGAGTCTTGTTGTCAGTGCAGATCCGACTGTTTAACAAACTGGTATAGTGGGGTTTCATAAGATTGAAACTATGACCAAAGTTCAGAATCATCTTATCAGTTACAAGTCGAATGATAGACTCAAGAATAATACCTAAGCTGTCTGGAAAGACGATTGAAATGACCTCTAGAAAGACCTTTCAAAAACCAAGAAGTGGAAGCATATCTATTAGGGGGTCTCTCTGGTCTCTAGACTCAGGCTTTTGAACTACCACTGTAAAAGGAATATTGACGTCCATGGCCATTTCAGATGAGCGGTATGTAGTCGATTTGGTTTTTTAACTCTACGAGGAATGGCGTGGCACAAGGTCCCAAATTAGCTGCTTTCTACATAGCCACAGCTGAGAGTCTGATATATCGCCATTGGTTCCTTCGTCTAGATCAATGGTTTTTCTCAGTGTCGGACCGCGCCCAATTCCCTCCGCCTGAAACAAGCCAAAATTAGCATGGGCCACCAAACGAACAACGTAAAATATTCTAATCGGTCAAATCACTCACCACCAGGCAATAAAGTCCATGGTTCTCACATCGATGCCCAAATCCACCAGCGCCTTGGTAGACAAATGCGTGTCGTAGGGCCGCTGCACACCTCCAGGTTCATTACCCTGCTTGTTGCGGATCATTCCAGGCAGGGACCAGCCCTGCACCTCGGCCAGTTTCTCGCAAATCTCATACTTGGTCATACGATCCTCGGAGCTGAATTGCAGAATATGCGGTAGCTCCTTGATGTGGTCCTTCTGCTTCAGATACTTAATGACGATATCACGGACCACGCGGGACACATCTTCAGTGTTGGTGGGATACCGCTGGGCCCAATCGTCCATCTTAACACCGGCATTCTCATCCTGTGCGTTCTTGACGGCGTCGAAGAGAACGTTGACTGCACTCTCCGAGTTTGACTTCGCGGTACCGTACAACACCGGCACGCGCAGGACCACGCCCAGTCCCGACTCCTTGGTAGCCTCGAGGACGGCCAATTCACCGTCGCGCTTCAATTGGCCATAGATATTTGGAGGTTCGGGGGTAGCATCGGCTTCGTAGGGAGCTTCGCCCTCCTTTCCAGAGAATACGTAGTCGGTCGAAATGTAAACGAGGAATGCCCCGCGAGTTTGGCATTCTTCAGCCAGGGCACGAGTAGCCTCAACATTGACCTTGCGCGCTTGCTCGGGGTTCTTCTCACACAGGTCTGGGAATCGGTTTGCCGCGCCTGCGTGTCGCCCGCGTTAGCTTGAAGCCTGGGAAACCATGGAAGTTTCGATTCGGAGGGATCAATTGGTAGATAGCTTACTGTGAATGACAATCTGAGGCCTGTAACGAGCAAGTCGCCATCAGCAATTGGATTTTTAGGTACTAAGATAACAACCGAGTCCGGGAACTTACTTGACCTCATTCAGGAGAGCCTTGATATCCTCTGCCTTCTCCAGGTCCGCCTTGAGGATGGTTGGAGGGGCAGCACGAGTGAGTCCCTGCCCGACCACGAGGACTCCCGAGCGCTGGAAGGTGGTGAATAGCTGGCGCCCAAGGAGGCCAGTGGCTCCAGTAACTAGAACCGTGGAAGTCATTTTATCGGAAATGTGAAGAAAGGAGTGAAAGTTCAAAGCTCAAAGCTCTCTGGTGAGAATTTGGAGCTCCCCGCTTGTAGGAAGGGGCCGGCGGGACATGACGTAGCTGACTCTCGCGTGGTTCAGGTTTCACGGTTCAACTACCAAATCTTTTTTGTTTATTGATATTGTAGTTCTTTGAATGGGTTTTTAGGTTTTCAATAATTCTTTCGGAGATTGTCAATGTTTCCATCATTGCTCATCTCGAATACTTGACGCACCTACCTCTGTGGCGTCCCCGATGATATATTTTGACAAGGACACTACCCAGAAATTAGCCTAATTTAAGGTTACAGACTCATCTTCCCAGAGCCGATCCGTCCCAAGCGTCTCAAGCTTAAATGTCAGTCAAGATAAAATTGATTGATAGTACATTGAGGTTCTCGAGTAATAAGATACCACCGACTCTAGTTTGACATAGACTCTCAGCCATCTGAACAATTGCTCCGCACCTATTCAAGGTAGAGCTGCAAGGGCTTTGAACCAAGTCCATGGTACCTAATGGCTCGTGACCAACCACTTTTCCTAGAGCTCAGTGATCGCAACTTATTATTTAGCTGCTGCCACCACAATTTTTTCTCCAGGTCGTCCGTCATACGCCCAATTCAAACTGTAAAATCGAGAGTACCCTTGCTTGATGGTCGCATTCCAGGAGAATCGCTTGATGAAAACGGCAAAGACCGAAAACATGCCCAATGAAGGCACTCTTATTAACTTCTACTCCCATGAGTAAACTATAGCAGTTATTTGGATCGTGCTTGTATATTTTATTTAGTTAGATTCTGTGTGCTCGCTTGTACTGGTTAGATTGGCTGCAAGAAAGATAGCGCCGAGAATCACCGAGGGCGTACATCGGAGAAAAATCCGAGTCCTGTCAATGGCGCAATGGTCCTCCATCGGGGGGAGATCGGAGGCGGGATCTCCACTCTTCAATTGACCGGTGTAATCCACCCCAAAATTTATCCTGGTGCTCATTCTTGCTCCTCTAACACCTCGTCTCCTCTCCCATCTCCCTCTCCACGCCATGTCTGGTGCTCGGAACCTCTCAAACGCCTTGCGGCGGGCACGCGTGCCTCGTCCTCGCATCATTGTCCGACCCGCCCTCGTGCAATCACCAGCTACAGCTGCTATCCGCACCTTCAGCGTGAGCTCCACTGCTCGCGCCGACAAGACGATCAAGTACACTAGCGACGCATACCCCAATGTCAAGCGCAACCCCAACTTTGCGGAGGTCACCGCCGACGACGTGGCCTTTTTCAAGGAGCTCTTGGGCTCCCAGTCCGCCATTGTGGACGGTGTTACCACCGATGCGACAGATGACATCGAGCCCTTCAACAGCGACTGGATGCGCAAGTATCGCGGTCACACGCGTTTGGTTCTGAAGCCCCAGAGCACGGAAGAGGTTAGCAAGGTGCTGAAATACTGTAATGAGCGGAAGTTGGCGGTGGTGCCACAGGGTGGAAATACTGGCCTGGTTGGTGGCTCGGTCCCTGTCTTTGACGAGATCGTGATCAATACCTCTCGCATGAACCAGATCCGGTCATTTGACGAGGCTTCCGGTGTGCTGGTTGCTGATGCCGGTGTGATTCTGGAGGTCGCAGACCAGTACCTTGCGGAGCGCAACCACCTGTTCCCTCTGGACCTGGGTGCCAAGGGATCTTGCCACATTGGAGGAAACGTTGCGACTAACGCTGGTGGTCTGCGACTGCTGCGCTATGGCTCTCTTCATGGAACGGTGTTGGGTCTTGAGGCAGTCCTGCCGGACGGGACTATCGTTGACTCGCTGTCTACTTTGCGCAAGAACAACACGGGCTACGATCTGAAGCAGCTTTTCATTGGCGCCGAAGGAACTATTGGTCTGATCACCAAGGTTGCTATCATCTGTCCCCCGCGGCCCAAGGCTGTAAACGTCGCCTACTTTGGATTGGAGAGCTTCGAACAGGTGCAGCAGGCCTACCGGGAGGCTAAGGGTCAACTTTCGGAGATTCTCTCCGCCTTCGAGCTGATGGACGGCCGCAGTCAGCGCTTGGTGCACGATTCCACCGGTAACAAGTACCCTCTGGAGGGCGAGTACCCCTTCTACTGTCTGGTTGAGACTAGCGGTTCCAATGCGGAACACGACATGGAGAAGCTCGAGTCATTCCTAGAGCACGTTCTAGGCGAGGGCATCGTCGCTGACGGTGTCTTGGCTCAGGATGAGACACAGTTCCAGGCCATCTGGCGCTGGCGTGAGGGTATCACCGAGGCTCTGAGCCACTTGGGTGGTACTTACAAGTACGATGTGTCGATCCCGCTGCCTGAGCTGTACCAGCTTGTGGAGGATTGCAAGCAGCGGCTGACCGAGAAGGGATTCGTGGGTGACGACGACTCCTTCCCTGTTCGTGCTGTTGTTGGCTATGGCCACATGGGTGACTCTAACCTGCACCTGAATGTGGCCGTGCGCCAGTATAACAAGGAGGTTGAGAAGGCTATTGAGCCCTGGGTGTACGAGTGGATTCAGAAGCGTCAGGGCAGTATTAGTGCCGAGCATGGCTTGGGTATTGCTAAGCGGGAGTTCATCGGATACAGCCAGAACGAGACGATGGTTAAGCTGATGAAGCAGTTGAAGGCCCTCTACGATCCGGTCAGTATTAATCATTCCTTTCCTAAGCTTGTGATACGAGTGAATTACTAACTTTCTACAGAACGGCATCATGAACCCGTACAAGTACATCTAGGGATGACCCGAAAAAGTTGTGTGGGGTAGTCGTGTATAAGAAATATATCCTTTTTTTATTCCCTCAAATCGAGTGATTTATTGCATATAATTCATCCCTACTTACGTGCGGAGTAAACTTTTCAAACCCATCCTTCCTCCTTCCCTGAGGTTTAAATGCGGGCACATGTGGCGCAGTTCCATCCAGTGACTGGAGTTGTCCCTTGCATTTCACATCATTCCCGATCCGGTTAGTCTTGTTCCCCACTTTCTTGCCTCAGGCACTCTGGTTGCCATGCGAAACGCTACTGTTGTTTGGACGATTATCGTTAGCTCAATTCGATGCTCCACCCCTTTAGCTGCCCGACTCTTCCTCTCTTTTTGAACTCTCGTTGCGGCGAAACCTTAGAGCTGCTTCCAACACGGCTTACGGCTGAACCCAAAGCTCGCCATTTTTTCGCGTCCCCTGGATGAGCATCGTCATATTCGTCGCAGCCCTGTCCGACCGGAGTCGTTAGTTGGGTCCGATCCGATCATTTGCGCAACCATGGCGGAAGATATGGCGAACCGTTACCAGGTGATGGAGGAATTGGGAAGTGAGTCGGAAATTCTTCCCCCGGAGACCCTGTAAATGGGAAGCGCTGACCGATTTTCTCCTTCTTTGTTCACAGGTGGCAGCTTTGGCACCGTTTACAAGGCCATTGATAAACATACCGGCGAGATTGTCGCTGTCAAACATGTACGCTCCCGATCAGCCCGGAGTCGCCGATTGGGGCCCCCCGATTGACCTTTGTCTACCCCTATAGATCGATCTTGAGTCCAGTGAGGATGATATCCAGGAGATTCAACAAGAGATTTCCGTCCTGGCTACTTGCGCCAGTGCGTTTGTTACACAATACAAAGCCAGTTTCTTGAAGGGGCATAAGCTTTGGATTGTTATGGAATATTTGGGTGGCGGATCATGCCTGGACCTGGTACGTGGAATATCTGTGCTTGGTCGAGTCCTAATCGCTAACAAAGTTGCAGTTGAAACCAGGGGTTTTCAACGAAGCACATGTCGCCATTGTCTGTCAACAGCTACTACAAGGTCTCGAGTACCTGCACGCCGAAGGAAAGATTCACCGTGATGTCAAGGCTGCGAACGTCTTGCTCTCGAATACGGGAAAGGTCAAGCTGGCAGACTTCGGTGTGGCTGCGCAGCTGGTCAACATCAAGTCCCAGCGCAACACCTTCGTGGGGACTCCTTTCTGGATGGCGCCGGAAGTAATCCAGCAGGCTGGTTACGACTTCAAGGCAGATATCTGGTCACTGGGTATCACTGCGATTGAAATGATCAATGGCGAGCCACCGCATGCTAGCACACATCCCATGAAGGTCTTGTTCCTTATCCCGAAGCAGCCTGCGCCTCGCCTCGAGGGTAATGATTACAGCAACACCTTCAAGGACTTTGTTGCACTTTGCCTGACCAAAGACCCGGATCGTCGGCCGAGCGCAAAGGAGTTGCTGCGACACAAGTTCATTCGAAATGCTGGAAAGACCGAGGCACTGCAGGAGTTGATTCAACGCAAGCAGGAGTGGGACGCTGGTCGAGGAGTCTGCAAAGACGTGAAGTACTACGCGGAGTCACTGTAAGAAGGCCTATTCACCGCATATTGATACATTACTAACAATTAATCCCTAGCAACACTCTGACGAAGCCACCTCCTCCCGAGGATGACGAGGACTGGGTCTTTGACACCGTGAAAGCGCCGACCATGTGGGTGCCCAAGGGCAAAGACTGGTCCACGCTTGACGAGGAGGAGGATGATTGCGATCCGGCCGAGCTCTTACAAGACATGCACATTTCTCAAGAACCCCCAGCACCTCCCAAGCACCAGGTCAATCCGGCTATCCAAGCTAACTCGACTGTCCGACGTACACCAACAGTCGAACGATCGGCCGAGCGATCTCCTTCTATCCGGCGCGCCAACACAAAACGCCGTTCCAGTGGTGTGAAGCAGCCTCTAGGTCTTGACTTGAGCTTTGGCAATAGCCCTTCCACTGTTCGCCAATTCCGTCGAGTATCAGACAAGGTCCCGACTGAATCTACAACCCCCAAGGTTCCACCCGGTTTCGATGAGAACACCAGCCCCAAGCCATTCTCGTCTTCTGAGTCAACTAGCAAAGAGGCTCAATTGGGGCGGCGTGCATACAGCAGGGCCGTCGGCATGTCCTGCCAGGAAGTCCTCGCCAATACTGGAGACGGCGAAAAACGAGAGGCCATCTCCCGACTGGCCGAGGCCTGGAGCGATCTGGAGATGGTCGATCCAGAGGGTCTCTACCATATTATCCGAACCATGAACGAACGACTCCAAGCCGATCCCCGCCTCTCCTCCTTGATTCCCGCACCCCCCGCCCAACCTGACTCTCCCGGCCGCCCTCGCTTGGTGCTGGCCCAAAACAACCCCCACCTCAAGAGCCACCGTCGCCGACAGTCGACGCATGTGGTCGACCCACTACCCCAGTCTCCACCTCGCTCAAGCATGCCCGGTCAAAATGTCCCTGGCATGGAACACACCAAACAACTGTCCGATGTACTCTACCAGCGTTGGGCAGAGGGACTCCGCAACCGATGGGGAATCTAAACCCTAGCTTTCCCCACAAAACGCAATTTTTCCTTCCCCTGCCTTGTCTTGCATCTCCATTGCTCCTCAGATGGGAGCCTTGTTTACATTCGTTGTATAGAGTCATTTTGGCGTTTTTGATTTCTGTTTCTATAACCCCCCTTGCGATCGTTCATATTCCCTTTTTCCGAGCTTGCCGCTGGCCTTTGCATCCTTGGTGTCCGTTCTTTGTACTTTTTGATGACCCGCTTTTCTTGATCTCTCAGCGGGATAGGCCTGGCCTGGAGTTTTGTATGACCACGAATCTGGTGTAATATGTCTTGAGTTGTTACTGTCCTGTGTTTTTGTTCGGTTATTCCTTGTTTACTTTTTTTGGTCCCTTTTGCACGTCCGACAGAATTGTGTGCTGGGTCTGGTGTTTTACCAGAGTCCTTGTGTTTATTTTGCTCTTCTTCATAGATAGCTTTTTTGTTGTGGTGTTGTTATTTAGGTGTATTATTCTTCCCATGTCGGCGCCCCCCTGCTTCCCTTGTATTAATTGTGGTGGGAGTAAGGGGTATGTATACCTGCACGGAAATTGTCTCTGCGATCTCCGAGTATTTAGACGCTGCAATATATAATCTGATTGGACTATACTTTCTGTTTGTTGGCACGAGGGGATTCGATTGAGATTTTGGATAGAGTTTCTCGTGCATGGTGCATAAACTATACTTTGTCATTTAATCTGTGTTGTATATGGAGTTGGAACTCTAACTTCACGGTGACTCCCAGTAAGGACATGACCTGTTTCACTCTGGTATTCTACGATTCGGTCAGATGATGGTCAGGTTCTTCATATGTTTACAATTGATTGTTTACAATAAAGCCGCTTGACTACCTCATTCGCTAGGCTTATAGCACACCCCGGGTTGAATCACGAGTTGTCTCTTTCGAGATGTTCTTTCATCTGATTCACGGTGGTAGTATAGACAGGAAATTGAGGGTTTCTGGTATGTTTGGGGAATATTCCCCACACACAACGTCAAGGGAGAAAAGCACGTGTGTCTGTCTTCCCCTGGCGAATCAAGCTTATCTTCCACGTTGGAACCGAGATTTCTAATCTAAACCCCAAGCATGTGTTGACTTCTTCCTGACTTGGGGCAACCATTTTTGGGGGTTTCTTATGTATTTAGTATGAAATGTTTACCGATGTGTCGGTATGAAAGATGTATATGTAGAGGAGTCAGTCTTCCTTGCTCGATCGATGATCAGGCAAATGTATCAGCATTGAGTTCTTAACGTACACTCGAATCATGAACCAGCAAGAGTCTCCTATCGGATACTGACCTGACAGTATACTCCACGATTTGTGATGCAACCGAAATAAGTTTATTGAGTTCCTTGCAACTGAATTTGCTAGGCTATTGCTACCTGTCAAAGTGGATCTCCATACTTGGCAGCGAGTCCAGGCTTCATCGGACGGTGATGATTAGTTGCCCACAGTAGAATGACCCACGCGGCTGGTGGAGGACGATGACTACGACACGAGTACTGTACTCCTCAGAGAATGTTTGTGTCGTTGTCTATAGAATCAACTGTATGGATAAGCAGCGACCAAGACGTTAAGGTCTATTTCAAGCCTCTCCAACAGGCACGTTCGGAGATTAAACTGCTGGGATGTCATTCGTGGCCGGCATCAAATAGTTTGGCGCAGGGACAAGCCAGACGCCGATCGCTGCACAAGTCCGGGGCGGGCACAAAAGGACGAAGCTCCTGAACGAATCGACTTAAGGGGGAGATGATGGACTCCGTCAGACGAGAGAGTAAATGACCCAGTACTCTTGGACGGAGTATAGTTCACGGCTTGAAGATATTCTTAGCCATCGTAAATGAGAATGGAGCCCCCGGAGATTGACTCTGAACATGACAATACTCAACCACCACCATATTAATGATAGCCACCATAGTTAAGCACTGCCAGTGGAAACGAATGCCTCGGGCCCCTGAAACACTCGTGGCAAAGATGAGCGGACGTGGAGACCCGCCAACAGGCCCAGAGGAGATCCACTTGGACTGGCCCGAGTCTCTCGTCGACTTCTCAGCCTTCAGGAGAAAAAGGAACCCTCCTCCAATCCTCCAATCCTCCACGTCAAACTCTCTTCTCTCTTTATTATTTTTACTTCACTTCCCCAATTCCCCCAGGTCGTGTATATATAAGCACTTTCTTCATGTTCAATCTTGCTTAGACCCTGTGATAACTCCCCCTCCCTTCTCTTACTCTCCTCGTTGGCTGGTCCACCATGGAGCTCTCCCCGGGAACGGGTGACAACCTCACCCACGGTCCTCATCCGCATGCGTCCCCGACTTCAATGGCCGCGACCACTGCGACCGCGGCCGAGGCCGTCGACTCTCCAACACCGGACCCTTCCTCTCAGAAACCAGCATCGTCACTTTCCCGATCATCGTCTCTCTTACAACAGAAGCGGTCCTCGCTCCCTCCTCGTGCTCACTCGGGAGCTCGCCACGCCAAACGTTTAACCCTAAACTTTCCCATCAACATTCCGCTGGACCAGCCTCCAGTCGCTGCTGCCGACTCCAGTGTCGCTTCCCCAGGATCCATGACCCCCGTGACACAATCATCGACTCGTCCGTCCCCTGCGCTCCCCGCGGGGACTCCCATGCCGTTCGATGTCGAAGACGACGGCTACGACTTCCTCCGCGCCATCGCTTCCCAAGAACGAAAGGTATTGGAGCTTCGCGAGGAGCTACATCGGGCCGAGGCGGAACTGTCAACATTGAAGAAACAGTGGGCACAATCGGAAAAGACCAGGAAACGGACCGAAATTAACCTCCATGCCGAACCGCTGCTGCCGCTGCGATCTTCCGATCTCGCTGCACCCGAGGCATCAAGTTCACACCATCGTGAGCAGAGCTTGAGCTCGGTGGCAAGCTCGTCGGTATCGCAAGAGCGGGTCAGCAGGGACCTCGAAAGACGCTCCAGTGTTCGTGTGGCACCTGTGGCACCTCCCAAGGGAACGACCATCTCGGCCAACGGTCGGCGGGTGTTTCAGGGGTCTCATACCCGGACGCTCTCTCTGCTGTCCCCAGTCACCGCGCCCAGTCCAACAACTGCGGGACCCGGTCCGTCTGATAGCGACCGGTTAGGTCGAACTCCACGGTCCGCGACTTTGCCATCGGTTGAGCGCCAGAATGTGTCTACTATTGGGAGTCCTATGGAGGATAGCCAGGTCCCAGAGCACGTCCTGGCTCAGTGGCGAAAGACCATGCCTCCTCCCTCGAGGGAGGCCCTGATGCGCACAGGAAAGCAGATGGCTTCCGATCTACGCGAAGGCTTGTGGACGTTCTTTGAAGATATTCGACAGGCTACGGTCGGCGAAGAAGGTATCAACGCGACGGAATCTCGCACCATGTCTCCATCAAACGGTTCACTGACGCCAGCCACCGCGCGTAAACGAGACTCTTTGGCAAAATCACGGAGTCGAGATCGACTATCCGCTACGGGAACTGTCTCACGATCGTCGTCTTCTTCGTCATCACGGGGCAGGGGGACAGCGGCCGAGAAAACATCTGGTAAAGACACCAAACCGGCGGACATTTCTACGTCTTTCTGGCATGAATTCGGGGTTGATTCACCAGCGCAGACGTCCCCCCGCCCCGGCGCTCATCGCAGCCCCTCCGACAACACAATCGCCGCCTCGACCCAACGGGACAAGACCGAGTCCGGGCATCCCGATCACCACTCCAGCAGTGCAGCCGAAACGGAGGATGATACCGCCGATAACTGGGATATGTGGGATACGCCGTTGCCTGCGTCTAAGATGACGCACACACCCTCGTCGAGCCGGTCGACGGTTGAATCCTCGAAGCATGATCAATCACCCAATACCCAAGGCAGCAGCCCACGAACGAGTGCTAGGTACCATTCGACCTTTTCTGATTTCATCTATGACAACCTCGTCATGCGCTGACGCCCGCTCCCTTAGCTTTAGCGAGTGGAACCCGAGTTCCGCCGCGCCCGATCCCAGCGTCACCGAAGGCATTCCCTGGCCTACCATCACGAAGCTGGCCCCCTCGAAACTCCAGCGAACCGCCTCGAATCTCATGGCCGAATGGGAGCGTAGTCTTTCGCCATCTCCGTCTCCCGAACGAAAGGACTCCTCCGGATATAGCCGCGGCAAAAACGACAAAAAGGACTAAGGAGATGTCCCCCGTCCTTCTATCTTCTTCTTTGTATATACTTACCCCCATTTTCCTTCTTCGACTCCACCTTTGAGGGTCTCCGTCGGACGAATTGGCACGACACATCCCCCTATCCACGGACTTATGCTGAGCTACGACTTTTTAACGCACGAGCGCGTTGTTTCTTCTTTCGCTTGCTTATATTTTTTGGAAAATCTGGCAGTGTTTCGGTCTTCTCACTTTGTACATCTGGTTTGGGAGTATGTTGATACTGGTATCTAGAATATCCCATTACCTTTACCGAAACAAGGTCCTAACTCTTGATATCTTATTTTATTTGAATTTGCACCAATTAATTGGTGAAATCACGGTTGTATTAATCACCATCTTGTAGACGCTCGAGGATTGCTCAGACACGATCACGTGAATAATTGCGTTAGTGGATCGATTGGGCGACCGTAAAAATAAATTTGCGCGAGTCGCCGCCTCCGCAAGATCTCCGCGCCTCTCGGACCAGACTTTTGTTCCAGTCGCATCCACGCAGGGGAATCTCATACCCACTTTTCTTTCTTCTCTTTCAGGGTTGCTTTGTCTTCAGTCAATCCTCAATCTCATTTCTTTCTCCCACTTCCTCCGACTTCCATTCAATCAACACCACCTTTCACAATGAGTCTTCCCGGTATGGGTTTGGGGGGCCTCGGCGGAAACCAGCAGACGGCTGGCATGAGCGAGCAAGAACAGGCTATGGTTAAGATGGTATGTTCCATGATTGTAGTCTGGTGGTATAATGCTTTGTGTACTAATAACCCCCGGCGAGTAGATGCAAGCTGGTATGGAGTCGTGTCCCGTCAAGACCGTCATCTCCGGAACAATGGGTTTCGCACTTGGTGGTGCCTTTGGTCTCTTCATGGCCAGTGTAAGTCAACTCACTCACCACTTAATCTGTCTCTACCCCTCCAAAGTACAATCTCACTCACATTCCCAATCCTCCAGATGTCCTACGACTCCCCCCTCACCCCCCAAGGTCGCGAAATCGCCGACCTCCCCTGGCGCGAACAAGTCCGCCGAGGCTTCAAAGACATGGGCAAACGCTCCTTCTCCTCCGCAAAGAACTTCGGTATCGTCGGTGCCCTCTATTCCGGAACTGAATGCTGTATCGAGGGTCTCCGCGCCAAGAACGACTTGACCAACAGTGTTGCGGCCGGTTGTCTCACTGGTGGTATTTTGGGCGCGAAGGCTGGTCCGCAGGCGGCTGCTTTTGGTTGTGCGGGCTTTGCGGCGTTTAGTGCCGCTATTGATGCTTATATGCGTATGCCCTCGGAAGAGTAAATGTGGTGATGCATATTACTTGCTTCCGAGTGGTGATACCCCTGGTACTTTATGTGAGTTGTATTTTTATCATGGCGCTTGGCGATCTTGGGATAGATGGAGCATAGAGGGCGTTTGGTTTCTTTTTTCTTTTTTCTCCCCTTTTCTTTCTGTGTCATATATTCTTCGGTTCGACGGTTGTTGATTGGGCTACGATGTGACTCCTTTGCGAACAAGTACCTTCTACTTATATGGCGGGCTGAGAGCTGACGAGTTCCACTTTTTCGATCGGGAGCTCTTCTATGCCCGGAAGACCTGGATCATCTCCGTTCTTTTGTTTGGGCTTTACTTTTTCGTGCTCACCGGATTCATGACTGTCTACTTGCACACCTGTATTATATCGACGCGGATGCATTGGCTTTTACAAAACGCATAGAGCTCTGAATATACATGGATAATCACTCTTCTCAACATTTGTTGGTTTCTGCATTCTATAAGAACTACGCCACTACGGAGGGGATTTGGCCGAGTTTGATGATTCGGGGCAGTTGCAAGCTCATTCAAAGATGACCTTGACCATTGATAGAGGGTTATCAATTGATTCTGCCCTTGAATTGCGACCGATCTGTTGCAACAGACCGGTACATACCCCTCCAGTAGCTATTCTTCCTCTTACAACTTGTTTAGGAGAGGTATTCGAGGCGCGGGATAGCAGATATTGCGTGTTTGGATCAGCATGGGCATCGTGCACAGCAAGAACTTCCGATCTTTAAGAGTCTGATCAGAGAAGTGATGATCAAAAGTACATTGTATTCAACAAGGACTTTCTCTGGTCCATTCAAATTGAGTCAGTTACCGATCCATTAAATTTAATACGGATTCAGAGGAGTTTGATGACCAAGGCATGGTCTGGTTGGTTTAGTCTCACATCCAGTTGCCTCCCGCAAAGAGCAACGGGCCTACTGTAAGGTACCACCGTATAGTTTGCATCATGTACTAACTGTGGTATATAGAGATTTTTCTTAGCAGTGTACGGAGTAAATATATCGATGTTGTTGTCTACATGAAGTAGGAACCGACGCGGGGCATAGATATGATGAGTCAGCCATCACATGACTCCCTTATCGTGGTTCCCCGTTTGGGCTGTTTGTTTACCGCCCGCCACTCCTGCTGGCTTTCATCTGTGGATGCGCGACTGCCATGCTTTTCGCCCTTCACTAATTGCATTTCGACAACCACACGCCCACCATGCCTGGCCGAGTCGCCGCCCGCTCGACCTCCGCTGCGACCCGTAGGTCATCCGCACAACCGTCAACCGGACGCGCCCCCTCGGTGACTCCCTCTTTTGCGATTCCCGAAGAGCCCGCACTCCCCCTCATCATCGCCCAATCTCCGCCGCGATGTGTCCGCCATTTTCGCAGATGCTCAACGATCAACCACCGGCCACCGCAAGCTCATGGTACGCTTGCGCAAGCTGCAGGAGATTTGCTGTGGCATTTACCAGAAGAACAAGAAAGGGACGGATCGAGAGCAGGAGGAGATTGTGATACCCGAAGAAGCGACGGTGGCAGAAAAGGAATTCAATGTCGAGGTTGGCCGTTGTGTGCTGCGTATCCTTCCGATCAAAAAGTCTGAACCAGTCGGCGACCGCATTCTGCGCTTCCTGGACACTTTCATCGCCCATGCCTACGAGAAAGATAATGAGCTTTTTGCATCCAAGGAAGAGGAGGAGGACGATGGAATGCAATCTGCGCCCGAAACCCCGACTTCGCGTCTAACTTCAAGTCTTGTGGACTTGATTGTTCCTCTCCTCGGTTCAAAGGACAAAGTTGTCCGATTCCGCGCGACTCAGATTATCGCACACATCGTCAACACGCTCGAGTCAATCGACGATGAATTATACCATACCATCCGACAGGGTTTGCTGAAGCGAATTCGTGATAAGGAGTCATCAGTTCGTGTACAGGCCGTCATTGGCCTGGCACGGCTCACTGGAAATGATGATGACGAGGACGGCCCCGATGACAACTCCACGGCACTGTTGGAGAAATTGATCGAGATTATGCAAAACGACACAAGTGCGGACGTTCGCAAGAGCCTTTTATCGAATCTTCCGCTCTCACAAGTTACCCTTCCCTACCTTCTGGAACGAGCCCGTGACCTCGACGCAGCAACGAGGCGAACACTATATTCACGCCTTTTACCCACACTCGGCGATTTCCGTCATTTGTCTCTGGGCATGAGAGAGAAGCTGCTGCGATGGGGTTTGCGTGACCGTGATGAAAGTGTCCGCAAAGCAACTGGCAAACTGTTTTACGATCGCTGGGTTGAAGACTGCGCTGGTTCGAATCAGGGCGAGAACAACGGCCAACGGTCTGCCCCCAACCAGGGTGCTCTTCTGGAATTACTGGAGAGAATCGATGTTGTCAGCTCCGGTGTTGAAAGCGGCATTGCCCACGAGGCAATGCGTAGCTTCTGGGAGGGCCGCCCCGACTATCGCGAAGCCGTTGTTTTCGATGAACCTTTCTGGGAGTCCTTGACCGGAGAGTCGGCATTCATGCTTCGCACGTTCAATGAGTTCTGTCGTGTCTCAAACGAAGGCAAGTACGACGATCTTGCAGATGAGAAGATGCCTACAGTCACTGCATTGGCCTACTTCCTCTCCAAGTACACCACGGCCTTGTTGCAGCGGAAGAAGCTTGGCAAGAGTACTGGTGATGCCAACGACGAAGATGCGACCGAGAATGAATTTATTGTGGAGCAGCTCTTACAAATCGCAATCACTCTGGACTATAGTGATGAAGTTGGTCGGCGAAAGATGTTCTCCCTTCTGCGAGAGTCACTCGCCGTCCCAGAACTTCCGGAAGAGTGCACCAAGCTTACAATTGAGGCTCTCAGATGCGTTTGTGGACCAGACATTGCCGGCGAGAGCGAATTCTGCAGCGTGGTTCTTGAAGCTATCGCTGAAGTGCACGACACCATCAGCACCGAGGACAGTTTTGTCTCAGCCAAGTCCGAAATTAGCGATGATGCTAGCAGCCGCGCTCGATCTGAGACGCCTGCTACCGAAGATGAAAGGCCGTTCAATAAGGAAGAAGCCAAGGCGAAGATTCTTCGCGAGATTGTGGTGAATATGAAGTGTCTACACATTGCACAGTGCATGCTTCAGAATGTTGAGGGCAACCTGCAACAAAACATGAACCTACGAACTATGTTGAACAGCCTCGTCGTACCTGCCGTGCGAAGTCATGAGGCTCCCATCCGGGAACGTGGTCTATACTGCCTGGGCCTTTGCTGTCTTCTTGATAAGGTTGGTTCTAAGTGGCCCTCCCCTTCCTCAAATATTTACATGCTAATACGTCTTGCGCCTAGAATGTTGCTGAGGACAACATGACCCTGTTCATCCATTGCTACAGCAAGGGACACGAGGGCCTCCAGGTGACCGCCATCCAGACTATCTGTGACATTATCACCACACACCCCTCCCTGCTCGCGCCTGTCACGGAAGCCGATGGAGAGACTGTGACCACGCCCGCAATCCAGAAGCCCATTCTGAAGGTGTTCTCTCGAGCTCTCAAGGCGAACTCTGCTGCTGCAGTGCAATCGGCCGCCGCTACCGCACTCTCAAAGCTTCTGCTCACTAACACCTTCACCCCATCTGGGCCGAATGTGCCGCCTGCTATCCAAGAATTCAATGAGAATGCCGTCGAAACACTCTTGCAGAGCCTTGTTGTTGCCTTCTTCCACCCCCGCACTCGTGATAACCCTGCTCTTCGCCAGTCACTGGCATACTTCTTCCCGGTGTACTGCCATTCGCGACTCGAGAACACTCAGCATCTGCGACACGTTGCTGTACCAGTGGTCCGAGCAGTCATCAACGCCGCTGAGGAGTATTACTCGCTCGAGGCCGAAGAGGATAGCGACGGTGAGATTGATGAGAGTGTTGGTGAGCGTGAAGTCAAGGCCCTTATGACTGGTGTTATCGGTATGCTCGCTGAATGGACTGATGAGCGTCGTGTTGTGGGGATGGGTGGTGAGCGTGTGCTGGCCGGTGGTGCAGCTAGCTCCACTGCTTGTGGCTGGGTACACATGGCGCTGGTCAAAGATATTCTGGAACGAGTTCTGGGTGTGAGTGCCGGTACTAACCGCTGCTCGCGGGAAGAGCGTAAGCTTCTCTTCTCGCTGCTCAGCAAACTCTACATTGCGGCTCCCACGCTTCCATCGCGTGCTAGCTCTCGTGCTCCCGAGGGCGAGGATCAATTCCGCACTAGTATTCGCAGCGCCACTAGTATCGAGATTGACCCTGACAACGTCCAGTTGGCCCAGGAAGTCAAGGAACTGTTGGACCAAACCATTGAGGAGGGTTTGGCCGGGGAAGCTTCTAGTCGCAACGCCCTGGTGAAAACCAAAAACGCTATTCTTAAGATTCTTGCTGTTGCTCAAGATGCTCGCGCTGCCAGCGTCCGTCCACGTGCTGGCACCGAGGATCTCGAGAGTGACGCAGGAAGCGTTCGCTCATATAGTGTCCGTCGCTCTGTCGAACCGACTAGCCGCCGCCATGTCTCCGTGGAACCTAGCATCATGGAAGAAGATGAAGGCGACAGTGGGATTCGATCTGGTAGCGTGCGACCTTCGGTTGAGGGCGGCTTTGCCAGTCGGAATCTAGTCTCTATCGAGCCTAGCATCATGGAGGAAGATGAAGAAGATGATCATGATACTAGCAGGGGCACCATAATCAAGGAGGAGGTTGCCGATGAATGATGATATTTACTTTTTGGTCTGGAATTGGTGGACTGGCTCTGGCGTTGGTCGTGTTTGAGGTTTGGTACTTGGAATATTGTGGTGCCCGTGGACTTGTCGGCGCTTGTATATGATTTGATGTTGATTTTTGCATTCTCCTTGTTTGAATACTATTCTTTGAACATATCTTGCATGACCTCGGACATTGTGAACGAACCTGTACAGTTGTTTACAGTGTTCCTTAAGCTTGAAATCCGGACCATTGTTCAAAACCATCTTGGCAGTCACTTGTTGAACAATAGACCAAAAAACGACATGCACTAAAGTCAGTACAAAGACCTGGACGGAATTTTGGCTACAGTCTGCCAGCACGACCGTTAGGATGCCCCAGCTCGCTAGCCAGCAGAAGTTAAGGGCCGAATCGGTGAAGTAGAGGAGCTCCTGGTCATCCAGCTTGTATTGGAGCCCCGCATCCAGTTGGGTCAGAACGACGCCTGGGCCATTAAAAAAAGATTTGCATCACCTTTGGAAATATTGTTCAAAGAATAGGGAATATAAAAATATCTGGTTGCTTTTGTCTGATCTCTAGTTCCGTACTATTGAACTGCCACTGGGGCCTTGGTGACCCTTCTAGAAAGATTATGGTCCCTATCGGCCATGATCGCCTCACGCATTTATGCCATTCGCAGCAACAATGGTAATCCCAAAAAAATTATTTGAATTCAGCGAGCCTTTTACTTCTTACGGCTTGGATACCCAAGCAACCGTTCGTGCCAGTGCCAGTGCCGATGTTAGTTTGAATTCAGTTGGGGTGATAGAACCTATCCACCAGCGTTGCTTTCCAGTACTAGCTCTGTCCCATCAATTGTTGATGATTCGGGGTGTCATAAAGTAACATGTGACACCTCAAAGTTAGGAGACACTGGCCTCTGTCCAGGTGCTGCTAGAATCCAGAGAAGCAGAGTAGCGGTAATAGGAAAGTCGTACGAAGGAGGTAACTTGCATTAGACCAGGAGGGTCATACACAAAAGACTATTGATAAAATCCACAAGGAGATATACATGCTAATGATGAAATATTGGAAATATCGAGGTGAATTTACAGGAGAGCTGGGAAGAGCATTTGACCTATGGCGCTCGAACCCGAACTGGTACATGCACCCAGTCCTGGTTGCTGATTGTATAGCAAAGCAAGGTTGCTGCTCTCGAGGATGTGGTTGTTGCCGAATCAAATCCAAGCAGAGGGATATCAAGCAGAACAACTCCTACCAGAAGCTTGGAGTGGGTCACTGCACTCTTGCATGCGAATTTTGCCGAAAAGCCCATGGATTTCAACTGTCTTTGAATGAAAACTTGCAAATTCGTGGTTGAATTCGTCGCCCAGGGGCAGAGCGACGCAATCTTTACCGTCGATTCGAGTTAGCTTCATTATGGGGATTACAATCCGACAACTTCGATTATCCTTTCCACCTCATCAAGGGATGTGACGATGTTAGTGATAACGAGTCAACTGCAACAGAAGGGTCTTGGATGCGGGTGGATTGCTGGAAGAGATTTTATACTATTCCAGTTCATGACTCTTCCTTCTTTGCTTGTTTTGCGTTATACTCTTGTGTCGATATTTGGTTATGTTTGGCGCGTGGAAACACTCAATTTCATGATGCAGGTTAGAATGATTGAAGGTACGCGATGTGGCTTGTCGGTTGACTCTTCAGGGCTAGATCCCGTTGCAGCTTTGATCTAGACTAAATGGTAATGGCTATAGAAATAGAGTGAGTGTAATACTCTTTCCCCCACAAACTCGTCACATTACGTAGGTCGTTCTACCCTTGTCAAGCTATTGTACTTGTTTCCACTTGGGCTCCACTAACATTCATGCATGACGACTCGTTGATTCTCACCAATGAACACCTCGGCTCCACAGCTCTAGGGATCACAGTAACATTAAACCATAATCAAAGAGCCTGGCCTTTTTGAGCTTATTATGTTTGTGTAGCTTGTTTCCCTGCGTTGATCTTCATGTTTGCGGTATGCGGGGCAAGCCTGGATCGTATCATAGCAATTGTGGGTTCATGACAGGGTTAACAGACCTTGATTTAAAACAACCATCCCTCCCTCAGTCCTCCGATCAGGGCGGAGCAGGATGCCTCGATATACTTCCTTGCTCAGAGTGTACTTGGGCAATTCCACGGAGTGAACCCACGGAGGAATTTCAGTTCTCACTAACCTTACTCCTCTCAAATCTCAGCAATAAGCCTCTACTTTGCCAATACCAACTTTATGGTATACTAAGCTCTTTTCTCTGACAGAATAATAAACAAACAATTGCGTTTGACTGGAGGTTGATATCCCATTAATCAGCAGTTCAATCCCACGTGACCTCCGGTGAGCATCTCCAGTTGACCAGTTGATAGAATGTCATTCGATTCTGCGGTACACCGGTCGCCTGGCGTTTGTATATCTACTACTAAACTTCTTATTACTGCTACTCACCTGCACTGGTCCTGATACAAATTGACTTGACTAAACTTTAGGTCTCGATCGGCGTCTCGCCTTGTTTCTCTTGCATCGGATTTCCCTCTCCTCCTCTAGGCAGCATGGGCCCATTAAACGCTCGAATTCTGACAGGATCCACCTGTGTGGTAGTAGGTATTATGCCAACAGGTTTCTCCGAAGAGATCAGAGCTGCCACTTAGACCTGGCGAATCGTTAATAATAAAAACGGTCATTCCAATTGTGTTCACCTTGGATTAATTACGCAGAGGATAGCGTCCAATTAACTGGTGAGACCCCCGCCGCAGGGATTAATCTTCTGGCCCGGTTGGGGTCGCACGGCGGAAGCCTGTGGGAGGAGAAAGACGAAGAAGAAATAAAAAAAGTCCTCAGGGGAAAAAAAGGGAATGAGGAATGAGCATTGTTAAATACTTTAATAAAGTAGAACGAATATTATTGATCTCTACTTCAAATATAGACTATAGTATCAATTCTATTATACATTATTACTCTGTCTACTTTCTGTCTCGTGCAGTTAATAAGAATCTCCCGTTGAACCCGAAACTTTTCTTTTCTTCTCGCAACTCCACACTTTTTCGCGCCAGTTGGGCTTCTTTTCTTCTCCTCTCCCTCCTTCTCCTCCCCCCCCTTTCTCTCTTCTCCCCCCGGGCTTCTTCTTTTCTTTCGTTTTCTCACGACATCACCGATCTCCCCCGGTCTGTCGTGTTGAATTGTCTCCTGCATTTCCCGGCAAGAGACATTCCCCCCCTCCCCCTTTACCCCCCTCTTCCCCCGGGCTTCTCCCCTGTCGCTCCGTTGGCAGCGACAAGTCAGCGATGGCCGCCGTATCAGCACCCACTCCCAAGCTGGATCGCTACATCGTCATCCACGTTGCGACCACCTGCGACGAACATGGCGTCTATGTCACCAAGGACTCCGCCGAGGTCATCGAATTGGGCTGGATCCTGCTGGATTCCAAGACCTGCGAGGAGGTACACACAATCTCCGAACCCGCCCACATCCCCCAACGGTTTTCCTATCCCCGTGGATTCTTTCCACCACGCTAGGATATCCATCATTGCCGATATCAAATTCCACGAAATGATCGCTTTGGCTAACAATTGCTCGTTCAACCTCGATAGCTTCACCGTGAAAGCGTCCTCGTCAAGCCCGTCAACACTCCCATTACGCCGCTGTGCAGTAAGCTAGCCTCTTTGCCCCCTCCTCCGGACCGACCATCGAACTTGCGTACCCAAAACCGCCCAAGACAAGATCGATAGCTGACCCAGTGTGATAATTACAGCGAGCTTGACTACTCTGACGTGGGAGCATGTCCGCTCTGCAGGCACTTTCCGTGATGCCATTTCCCGATTCGATGCCTTTGCTCAGGAACACCTCACCAACAAGCAACTCGAGTTTGCCTTTGTGACCTTGGATTCATGGGATTTGCGCGTGCAGCTGCCCCGCGAGGCCCGTGATAAGGCCGTCGTGCTGCCAGCTTATCTGCAGCACTCCCGGACCTTCGACCTGCGTACCGAATATCAACGCTGGCAAACCCACCACCCCGAGTCGTTGCCGTTCGGTCCCAGCTCCCTCTCCAACATCTGCGCCGCCCTCGAGGTTGAACCCGTTCAGTCCTCGGCTCCCATCAAGCACAACCTGCCCTTTCACCTGCAGGCACTGGCTCCCGCTTCGCCGCGCCGTGCCATGGAAGAGTCCATTACTCTGGCCCGCGTCCTTCGGGGTCTGATCCGCAAGTCCCAGCCTCCCCACGAGCACCCCGAGATTCTCACTCGCCCAATGGATGCCCACGCCGATGTTCGTGCGTTCTTGGCTGAGCGTAGCAAGGTTCTGCACCTGAGTGGCCTTCCCCACGATACCACGCAATCGGAGTTGGAGAGCTGGTTTACCCAATTCGGTGGCCGGCCCATTGCCTTCTGGACTCTGCGGACTCCGGACCAGCACAAGCCCACCGGCACTGGCTTTGCGGTGTTCTCGTCCCATGAGGAGGTATGATTGACTCGCCGATGAAATAGTGATCTGATCTCTATTTTTCATCTCCTTTCCGTGTTGTCTATCGTCTTTTCTTGCTAACCCTTACCTAGGCTGCTGAAAGCCTCTGCATGAACGGCCGTGCCCTCAACGAAAAGGCCATTGAGGTTTCACCCTCCTCCAGCCGTGTTCTCGACCGGGCGGCTGAGATTCTTACGCCATTCCCGCCTTCCAAGAACCGCCCACGTCCCGGTGACTGGACTTGCCCGTCCTGTGGCTTCTCCAACTTCCAGCGCCGTACTGCCTGCTTCCGCTGCTCGTTCCCTGCTATGGCGGCGGCTCCCGACCCGATGGGATACGGTTATGGATACGGCCCGCCAAACATGATGCCTCCTCACATGGGCCATGGCCACGGAATGGGTGGTCACGGACGTGGCATGGGCGGAAACGGTGGTGTGGTTCCTTTCCGTGCCGGTGATTGGAAGTGCGGCTCCGAGGGATGTGGTTACCACAATTTTGCCAAGAACATCAACTGTCTTCGCTGTGGTGCTCCCCGCTCGGGTGCTGCTGTCGTGGCCGACTCAGCGTTCCCATCGCCCATGGAACCCCCGTCGCAGTTTGGCATGGGTCCTAACTCAATGGCCAGCACTCCCGCTCCCGGTCCGTTTGCCTCGACTGCCGGCGGCTTTGGGGGATTCAGCCAGCAGTTTGGCGGGCCCCCTAACAACTACGCTCTCCCCTCTGGTGGTCTGAGCAACACCCCCGGTGCCTACCCTCCCATGGGCCAGGTCAACTCGGGATACGGCTCGTCGAACGCCTCCCACTCTGCTGCCTCCTTCGCCAACCCAGCTACTCAGGCGGCTTTCACCGGCGCTGATCACGGAGTGCCGTCCACCAGCGCCTCCAACGGTGCCTTCTACGGTGGCTCCGAGGGCTCCAGCGACCCCTTCGCCTTCCTGTCTACCGGCCTCGGTGGCCTGACGGTCTCTGATGATGCTCACTCGCGCCGCAACGGCGCTGGTGCTAACAAGTCGCCCGCTTAAATCAAGCGGTATGACTGTATCTATTTCTTCTGAAAATGCCCGAACGAATCGGGCGGTCACACTTACGTTGTCCATATTGCAATCCTGCGCTGTGGCAGGTATATGCGCTGATTGATACTCGTTGATACGCATTTGTATAAGGGATTCTGTGGTTCCGGTGCATCGGGTTGGAAGGAGCAGGCGGGTAGCGTGTTGATGATTTCGAATTCTCTCTCATCTTCTCGCCGTCCTGTGATTTTGTGGGATGATTTCTTTGTCTTTTTCTTGTCTCGATTTTCTCTCTGCTTTTGGTTCTCTCGTCATCTCTTTGGTTGTTGAGCGGCTCGGCTCCCCCTTGATTCCATCTTGAGCTATCTATGGTTTGGTCTGCTTTTATTATTATTATTTTACAAAGGATGGCGGCGACTGGAACCTTTGGCCGGGACGTGGGTTTTGTTTTGATATGAAACCGTTGTCTTGAGTCGGTTTCGGAACGCAAACCGCATTGTGAGCCTGGGTTGCGCACTCGACCTGCTTTGCATTTTAGATCTTTGGTCGTCCCTTTTCTGCGTTGGGTCATGGCAAGCGTCGGAGAATTCACGGTATTGATCTCACGGGTGGGATATACAATGGCTCGGACTCCGTTGGGGGTGTTGGGGGATTTCCTTTTGCGAACTTGTCTTGGTGATGATGATGGGATGGAGGGCTCTGTTACTTCTTTTTTCCTTTCCCCCCCTTTCGACTTCCACCAGGGCATGGTGAATGCAACAAAAAAGATTGTTTTGTCTATATTTCTCTTGATCCTTTTGCGTCTTGCATCTATTGTCTCTTCATTGTATGTCTTTCTAAGGTGGCTCTTTGGTGGTGGAGCTTGAGCAGCTGTATAGGCTTACGAGTGTTGCACTGCGCCCTCGGTACATGTATTGAAGTATAATTGATGTGATTTAGTTTTGTGATCTAGTTTATCACCCGAGCTAGGCCCCCTAGTTCAAGATACAGAGCTCTCCTCCATGAGGGGATACCTAGTCTTGGTTATAGATTGACATTGACAGACCTTGGTGCCCTTGAGCGGGCAGTAGAATGATCTATCATGAGATAATTTGGTGTATCCTCTCGCTGACCACTAGATAAACCATAATAAATTGAGTTGAGTTAGTTCAATACACCTGCTACGCCGGCCTTTCTCTGTTTATTTTCTATTTCAACATGCCTCATAGAAAGTAAATGTTGAGATTTACCCGCGCGGCTGCGCCAAGGCAACCGCAGGCTGTCGCGTCCACCGCCCGCTGGAACCCCGTCATGGCTGCTGCCGAACCCCATCACCGTCCTCTCTACCCAGCGCACTCCTCTTCCAGCCTCTTTCTCTCTCATTGATTTCCTTGGAAGTTTGCATCACCTTTCTATCCCACACCTAATCCATCTCATTGCTCCTGCGTCACCATGTCCGGCTACGACCGAGCTCTTTCAGGTAAGCCAGCTAGCTCCCCGAATGACCAGCTCCCTTGGCTCTCTTCTTTGACCGGAGATCGACGATGCTAACTCATCCTAGTATTCAGGTATAGATTGATCTTGCAGTGCTCGAGCTTCTTCGATAAACTGACCGCCCCTTTAGCCCCGATGGGCACGTCTTCCAGGTCGAATATGCCATGGAGGCCGTGAAGCGAGGTAAGGCCACTCCCCTTCCGCGAACCCAGCTTCTCAGCTGCCAACCGAGTGGTCATTTGAAATAGAAATCCCTTGGTATGTTCTGAATGGGTTGCTGACCTTTCTTCCGTGATAGGAACTTGCGCTGTCGGTGTCAAAGGCAAGGACATCGTCGTCCTTGGCTGCGAGAAGCGCTCCGCCCTCAAGCTCCAAGATACCCGTATCACGCCCTCCAAGATCGCCAACGTTGATGAACACGTCTGCCTCGCCTTCGCTGGACTGAACGCCGATGCCCGCATCCTGATCGACAAGGCCCGGTTAGAAGCCCAGTCCCACCGTCTGACGGTCGAGGACCCCGTCACCATCGAATATATCACCAAATACGTTGCCGGTGTGCAACAACGGTATACACAGAGTGGTGGTGTCCGTCCGTTCGGTATTAGTACGCTTGTTGTTGGCTTTGACAAGAATGACTCCACACCGCGCCTCTACCAGACCGAGCCCTCTGGTATCTACTCTGCTTGGTTAGTCTTTTCTCTGACCTGCACCGGTAGTCTGTCTAGTTTGTAATTTTCTAACCTCTCTTTCTATGTATAGGAAAGCCAATGCCATTGGCCGATCCAGCAAGACCGTTCGCGAATTCCTCGAGCGTAACCACCAGGATGACATGGACCGCGAGCAGACGATTCAGCTGACTATCAAGTCATTGCTCGAGGTGGTGCAGACAGGTGCCAAGAACATCGAGGTGGCGATTATGGCCCCTGGCAAGCGTGTGGAGATGCTCCCCGACGACCAAATTGAGTCGTATGTTAAGAGTATCGAGACCGAGAAGCAAGAGGAGGCGGCCAAGAAGAAGACCAGCCGGGGTGGTGCTGCCACAGCTGCTATTCTGACCCGGCCCGGCGGCGAGACGGCTGAATAAGAAGGAATAGAGGAGGGATCTGGTCATCCTGAGGGGTGATTGGGTTTGTGATTTGTGCTTATTTACCGTAGCGCTGGTCTCTTTACTTAACGAGAACTCAAAACCACGAAATTTCTACACATCTGACGTCGATTTTTTGAAGTAGAATGATTTCCCGCATCGTAGCAGGATAGGTGGGTATTTGATGCAAATGCAAGGTTGGTCAATGGTCCCCAAAGGAGGATAGAATGACTGGATATAGATAGAAGTAGTGAAGCGCAGGAAAGTCGTCAATTTCATCAAGAGAGCCGCCAATGACCACCCTCTAGCCCATCCGATCGGACACGTCGCGTATATTGAACAAAGATCGTTCTTGGTCACCCCGAACTCGGTCATCCTTGAGCATCCTGCGGAAATGTCAGCTGTCGCGACGAGTATGGAGTGTCCGCGGCCTTCCACGTACCGGCTATCCATGCGCGCATCGTCACCTTCAATCTGGAGCGTCGGCTTGGCGGTCACGGCCTCGAGGACGAAGTGGTTATCGCAGTGTGGGCAGTATTCGTCACTAAAGAAAGATAGAGTGTCAGTCCGCTATACTCTTTCTTTTCTGGGCGCGGGGTATTTATACCTCTCTTCAAACTCGGCGGCATCCTTGCGGAAGCACTTCTTGCACTTTTTGCATGCGAAGATCTATTTCCAGGACAAAAGGAGTTAGTCCAGATCTCGTAGGATCACTCTATCATGAGGACCATATCATCATACCATCTCCTGAGCCTTCTGCAGCATATGCGACTCCTGCTCCTGGTGGCATTCGGCGCAGTCAAACCATTTCCGGCCTTGTCGAAAGTCAGTCAATTGCTTGTTAAGGAACTAGGATTCGGATGAGGCGTACAGCAAGGGGAGCGAATAGAGACTTGTGCGTTAAGAATGTGTTTACTGTGACGCATAACCATTAGTTTGTGATGCCCCTAAGCCACCAAGAACTTGGATCTCGAGCCCCGACAGAGCTGACTCGAGAGAAGAATAGGACTCACCACATGGCTAAGAGCAAGACTGCCTGGTCACTGGCAGTGTTCTCGTTGACAGACAATAATGAAGCTCCCCGCGTCGGCATTCAGAAAAGGAAAACGTTTCGCGCGCAGGAACCAGTTGATCTCCCACTCCCGTGATCGTCCTCCACTTTCCTCCCCGCCACTCCATTTCAACCATTCCACTAATAATCCACCGTTTTCCTTCTCTTCTCTCTCCTCTCCTCCTATTATTTACATACCTCTTGCTTTCTCGGCCGCTTTTTCGATTTTACATGACCACCACGCCGCTTACCTTTTGCAGTGTCGCCCGCGCTCCTCCTGCTTTCTTTCGGCTTGGGGCAGTTACCCCCACCTAAGCTCTACAACACACTTTCTACGCCGGCATACAAAATTACATTTCTCCCAGCGACCGACAAATCAAGCTTATGATCGAAGCTGCCGGCTGGTTCTGGCGACGGATTCGTGGTTATGGCCATGGAGGGAAACGGCAGGGACCAGGAGAACACTGACGACGCTCCCATTGTATGCTTGCGCAGCTGATCTAAATATGGCACGCGGATACCACTAACCACCCGCCCCAACAGAGACCCGTGTCCTCTTTGCTCTCACACTTTGAGAATCTCTCCCATAATCAGCCTCGAGCCTCGTCTGCATTTGGTACTAGTCCACGCGACTCCTCTACTCGCTTTCTGAGGACCCCCGAACCTGGCGACGAGCCCCGATCCAGCCGTGCCTCCTTGGATTTACCTCGGCCATGTTCCCCATGGACTACAGCGGTCGATGAGAGACCCGGTCGTGAGAATGGACAGAATAATGGTGAACAGTTGCGCGCACGCGGATCCCCCGGAGGTCGATATGGCCGGCCCATTTCGATGAGCATCCACCACTCGTCGCCCCAGCTTCCGCCTACATTGACCGTACATTCTCCCAAATCACCGCCGCGGAGCTTGGAGCGAGAGCGCCGCTCCCCTCCTCAGGATGATCGTCGTATATCCAGAAGCTCTATCTACTTCCCCCGGGAGTCGGTGTCCGCAGGGGTCTCCCCTTCGCCCCAGGCTCGTCCAGTGACGCCCCAGTTTAGATCATCCGTGGCTGTGGGGGAGGCACCGGGGCGGCTGTCGCCGGGTGCGCACGCGGCGAATGGGCGTAGCAGCCCAGCAGATCGGAAGCTGAAAAGTGCATCATTGCCCCCGCCAGCAAACCGGGCTGAGAAGCCGAAGATTCCCGCGAAGCCCGCTATGTTCTCCAACCCGGATACTGGCAGCCTAGCGCCCCGCCAGGATAGACCGGCAGTGGATGATCATGTATCCCCATTTAGCACTCCACCCAGTAGCCCGGAGAAGGTTCCGCTTAAGCCGATGTCTACTGGAAAGCTTCCCCAGAAACCACCTGGACGACCTATTACGGAACCCCCCAGTCGGCGCTCTTTCGATGAAAGGCCACCAGGACCACCAGCGCCCGTAAGGCCTGATCCCAGGGATCTAGGGTTCTCTAGGACTCGAACGGGTCTCGAACCTTCGCGAGCTACTAAGCCCTTGTCGGTACAAATCCCGCCTCCATCCCCTGGGTTTATCGACCCTGCGTCAACGGCTCCGCCACTCTCTGCGCAGAGGGTCCGAGCCAGTGACAGTCCTTGGGATCGTCCAGGGCTACCGCCGAGGTCAGCATCTACGGCAGTGCGTCGAAGAGGACCTTCACCCGCTAGAGACCCTTCACAGATGGTGGGGAGCCCAGCTCAAATGACGCCCATTGCCCGATCTGCGCCTTCATTCCCGCCTATCACCAAAGAAACTCAAGCTTCACGTCAGATTGTGCGGCAACAGTCATTACCGCGCGAGTCGCACATGCCTTCTTACCCAGAGCGGCGTGTGGTTCGAACGGATACGGAAGAGGAGGAGCCAATGGCTGATGAGGGCCCGGTTTCAAGGACGGACTATCCAGATGCCTCGCAGGCCAATAGACGCCCTCCTCTTTTCAAGACAGGACCTAGAGAGATCCCCACACGGTATGACACCCGACTGCTAGCCGTGTGTGGTAAGTATGTCTGTACGGCTGGTTATTTGACTCGCGTTTGGGATCTCACGACTGGCGAGCAAATAATGAGCCTCAGTCACGGTGAGACAGTGAAAAGCTTGTCGCTAGCCTTCAAGCCAGGCACAGCACTTGAAGATGAAGGACAACGCATTTGGCTTGGGACCAGTGCAGGGGAGCTTCATGAAGTTGATATTCTGACCGGTGCCATCGTGGCCTCTCGGTCGTATCCATCCCGTCGTGAAGTCATTCAGATCCTGCGCCACAAGAAAGAAATGTGGACGCTAGACGATGAAGGGCGGCTGCTGGTATGGCCGCCAGATGAGACTGGTACGCCTAATTTGCAGTATAGCTATCACAGCCCTCATGAGCGTGTTGCACGAGGTCACACATTCTCGATGGTTGTGGATGACAAGTTATGGTTGGCGTCTGGAAAAGACGTTTATATCTATCGTCCCAACGCAAGGGAAGACTCTGCATTTAAAGTGCTGAAGCGGCCACTGGGACAACAACACTCCGGGGATGTAACGTCTGGCACCTATACCACTCAGGATGGGGGTCGCGTATATCTCGGACATGCGGATGGCAAAGTCACCGTATACTCATCAACGGACTACTCCTGCTTGGCGGTGGTGAATGTGAGTGTCTACAAGATCAACTGCCTCGGCATGGTGGGAGACTACCTTTGGGCAGCGTATAAAACGGGGATGATCTACGTCTACGATGTCAAGACCAATCCTTGGACGGTGAAGAAGGATTGGCGTGCCCATGACAGTCCCGTCAGCGCCTTCGTGCTGGACACAAGTAGCGTGTGGACAATGAATCGTCTTCAGGTGACGTCGCTCGGAACAGATAATTGTATCCGGCTTTGGGATGGTATGCTGGAGGATGACTGGCTTGGTGAGTATTTTGGTAGCATCTCTGATGGGATTCGTTCTTTTCTAACGTTGAGCAGAGAACCGGATGCAAACAAGAGATGTCGAGTTCTGCAAGTTCCGCGAGATTCGGATGGTTATCATTACTTGGAATGCGGGTGCTTCGACGCCTGGAAGTGTCCGCACGTCGGATTTCATCCGAGATGCTGTTCATCCGGAGGATCCGCCTGATATTATTGTCTTTGGGTTCCAGGAGTTGGTTGACCTTGAGAACAAGAAGATCACAGCGAGTAAGTGCCAGAACAAAAGCTGGGTCTTTGTAAACGTTTACTAACTCGTATGTGCAGAGAGCTTGTTGCTTGGAAGCAAGAAAAAGGAAAATGGAGAGAAAGAACATATGAGTCGGCAGTACCGGGTTTGGATTGATCATCTCACTCGGTCTCTTCACGAGTGCATGCCTCTCGAGGAGTCATACGTTCTTCTTCATACTTCGAACATGGTTGGCCTCTTCACTTGCGCGTTTGTTAAGCACAAGGAACGCCACAATATCAGCAACATCAGCGCATCGGAGATCAAGCGAGGAATGGGAGGATTGCATGGTAATAAGGTTTGTTACGCATTCCTGTCTCTTTCTGCCATGACACTATCTAACGAGTGTCGCAGGGTGCCTTGATCTTCCGCTTCGTCCTCGACGATAGTTCGATGTGCTTTGTCAATTGCCATCTTGCGGCTGGACAGACTCAAACTGCTCATCGTAACAACGATATTGCGGCCATCCTTGAAGCCGAGACTCTGCCACCCGAGAACAGTCTTACAGCTCGCACCGATCAGTTCGCTAGTGGCGGTGACGGTTCGATGATCATGGATCACGAGATCTGTATATTGAATGGGGACTTGAATTATCGCATTGATGCCATCCCACGCAATGTCATCATCGACGCTGTTCGTCAGAACAATCTCCCCAAGCTTCTTGAACGCGATCAACTCTTGGCTTCTCGACGGAAAAACCCAGGCTTCCGACTCCGCAGCTTCACCGAGGCGCCCATCACCTTTGCACCCACGTACAAATACGATGTCGGCACTGACCAATACGATACGAGCGAGAAGAAGCGCTCCCCCGCCTGGTGCGACCGCGTTCTCTACCGTGGCCTGGGTCGCGTCAAGCAGCTCGAGTATCGTCGGCTTGAAGTCCGTGCCTCCGACCATCGGCCCGTCAGTGCGACCTTCAAGGTTCGCGTTAAGACAGTCTTGCCGCAGGAACGCGCCGTGGCTTGGGAAGCGTGCCAGCAGGACTTTCAGAATGAGAAGCGCCGGTTGGCTTCTGAGGCTAGGTAAGTTGATGAATCCTTCATGTCTCGCTCTGCACCTGCAGCTTTACTAATAGTGACTTTTAGCATCGAGTATCTCATTACTGTCCTTGGCACCGATCCTCGCCAGGCTCGTGGCTTGATCCTTGGCAAAGGTCAATAGCCTGGCCTGGCTAATTCTGCATCCTCGAACAAGGGTTGAGCATGGGCATTCCAGCGGCGTGAAGTCTTTTCTTTCCCCATTGGCAACGGACGTATATTGTACGAGTAACGATTTCACGATAGACATGTATCATGACGGAGCCAGACCTGTCTCGCTTGCCCCCTGTAGTGCTTGGTTGCATTGCATGTAGCTTATACCTACTGTCGTATTCTCCTCTGCCGATCCCAGGAAACGTTCAGTATTAGCCGTTCCATCGGCTTATTTCACGTACGCCACGGTGGAGATTCTTCGGTGGAGTGATGGTCCGGGGTAGAAGACAATGCACGCATTCAAGCTTTGCCTAATACATATTTCCTATATTCCGGACCCCATTAGGCAGTTCGAATTTGGTTTCCTGATTAGTACCGTCGTTAATTGTTTCACCCCGGTCCCTGTCCGAATGCGGATCCCGCCAATAGAGCGACATGCCACCCCGCGCGCCACTACAGGGATCGACATGCTAATTGACTACTGTAGTTACGGATAGGGCAGGTGTGAGGAGAGAATTTATCCGATGGTACAGGTTTGTGAGGACCTTCCCCGCACTATGGGATCATAGGGTGTTATATAGGAATGGTGTTCCTGGCCTGATTTTAGGTTTCATAGATCACGTCTTTGGTCGATCGTCTGAGTACACAATATGTTGACTTCACTATCTCTGACTGCGCTGGCACTTCTGCCTTCGGCGAATGCGCTTGTGAGAAAGGATGGTGTGGTATGGCAATATTTTCTTCACTCTACCATGACTAGGGACAAGCTATTGACTGATATGAAAAACAGGGTAGATTACCAGCCTTGGGATGGAATAGCTGGAATGCCTTCGGCTGCGATGTCGATTCTACAAAGATCATGACTGCTGCCAATGAGATGGTCAATCTCGGTTTGAAGGACCTGGGATATGAATACGTCAACAGTGAGTTCACAACCTTACTCTGCACTAGTGATTGTGTTTCTAACCTTGCGATTTGGGATTGTATAGTCGATGACTGCTGGTCCGTAAAGAACACACGCAATTCGACAACTCAGCGTATCATTCCTGATACCTCGAAATTTCCTGATGGAATTTCTGGTGTGGCTGATCAGGTTCATCAGTTGGGATTGAAGATTGGTATTTATAGTAGTGAGTGAGCCTGCCTATACTCTGATGATTCGGGTTTATAACATTGGGCTTTTTAAGGTGCTGGGGAGACTACTTGTGCGGGGTACCCTGCTAGTCTAGGGTACGAGAATGTTGATGCCGAGGCTTTTGCGGAATGGGGAATTGATTGTGAGTTATACTTCCTTATGATGAATCTTGCTCATAGCTTTACAGATTTGAAGTATGACAACTGCGGCGTCCCAAGTAATTGGACAGACCAGTATTCCTCCTGTGTTCCCGACGGCTCCAGCGAACCTGCGAATGGCACCTGTCCCAGTCTTTCTAACCCTGCCCCCGCTGGGTACGATTGGACCAAGTCAAACACCTTCAAACGGTATACCATGATGCGCGATGCTCTTTTGGCCCAGTCTCACACTATACTATATTCTTTGTGTGACTGGGGTCAAGCCAATGTGAACACATGGGGCAATGAGACTGGAAACTCGTGGCGCATGTCGGGCGATATCTCGGGTGAGATACTACCCGTCCTGAGAGTTGAGAGTAATAATACCAGACGCTAACTGGATTTCAATAGCGAATTGGGCTCGCATTGCTCAAATTGCCAATGAGAATACTTTCCGGATGAACTATGTTGGTTTTTGGGGCCATCCCGATCCTGATATGCTCGAGGTTGGAAATGGAGATCTTACGGCCGCGGAGAATCGGGCACATTTTGCGTTATGGGCGATTATGAAGTCTCCACTGATTATTGGTACTGCAGTAAGTGTGCAGCAGACACGACTGCAGGCAAGTTTCTATGCTAACAGTCCTTCTAGCTCGACAGTATCAGTGATAACAACCTCGCCGTCCTGAAGAACAAGTATCTGATTGAATTCAACCAAGACCCCATCGTGGGTCGCTCAGCACACCCTTATAAATGGGGATACAATCCCGATTGGACCTTTGACCCAGCCCACCCCGCTGAGTACTGGTCCGGTCCCTCTTCGACATTGAAGGGTACATTGGTGTTGATGTTGAATTCGGAGAATTCCACTTCGACCCGTACTGCAGTCTGGAAAGAGATTCCAGAATTGAAGGGCCATAATGCGTACCGGGTGACTGATGCGTGGAGTGGGAAGGACCTTGGGTGTGTTAAGAAGCAGTACAGTGCTTCGTTGGCAAGTCATGATGTTGCTGTGCTTGTGGTGAAGGGGGCTTGTTGAGTAGGGACTGGTATCCTAAGTTGGTGAAACATTTTGGTATGGGATTGGCATAACGGCTGCGTATCCGTGTGAGGGGTCGTTGGACTTGATCATCCATTGTATGCCGCATTAGGGGTCTAAAATAGGTGCATTGTCTAGTTCAACATGAAATTGTGATGGACATTTCAAAGAGTATCCGTCTTAAACTCCAAGGTTTGCAGATTCGTGGTTGCCAATATTTAACAGCCTAAAATATTAGGCTACTAAAAGGCGCTGTACTATTATAGGAAGATATGTGGAAAGAGATGTGGAAAGAGATGTGGAAAGAGATGTGGAAAGAGATGTGAAAGATGCAGAGGGAGATGCAGGGGGAAAAGATGAGATATCCAGGGGCACTTTTCGCCACTGTACTCGAACACCATATGACAGACCGTGAAGCATGAAGCATTAGGATAAGACTTTAGGCCCATTGATGGTACATTGGCGCACCTAAAGCTTGGTGATATAACTAGGGCGATCACCATCCCAGCTTACGCTTTGCATACTGCAATGTCTCGCGCAAAAAGTTCCATCGAATTGCGTTCTGGGATAGCCATTTGTGGACCTCGAGCGGTGCGGTTGGCCCAACGTATACCTGATTAGGATGATGCCTTGCCAGCGGCCACAAGTCTTCCAAGGCAGCCGATTGAGACACTAGTAGTGCATACAAATCACCCCAGACCAGGCTTCCAAGGACACGCATTTGACCGTTAAAGCCGGGTGACTCGTCCGGTCGGCTCGGGCCCTCTTTGGGGTCAAATGAGGGATCAACAGCGAGAACGAAGCCGGCAAAGTCGCTTGGGAGAAACTCGGACGTTGTGGCTTCGTAGGTGTCTGTGGTGTAAGATGCAAAGGAGGCGGAGTCGACGGCAAGGAAGGCACTTTGTTGTAGTGTGAGAGGCAATGTACTTTCGTCGCTTCCACTTTCACTGTCATTTGCATTCTCTTTGTCGCTGTCCACCAGTTCGTTGAAATGTCTAGATAGAAAAATTAGTCTGAATTTCCGTTGCAAACTGATAACCGGGTGTGGATCCTACTTTTTAACAGCTTCGATATCCCCTTCGGCGAGACCATGTTCCTTCCCATCTATCCAATGCAGTTTTAACTGAGGCTTGATGGTATCGCTTCCCGGCTGGCCTTGTCCCCAGTTGGAGATATGTGCTTCGAGTTTCTGGACGAATTCGTTCCACTCAGAATCGGATTGCTCGTGCGTGAGGCGATAGATGGCGAGTCCACGGTCTGTGGGGGTATTGTCCTTTTCCGCAAGACGAATCAACGCTAGGGACTCGGTGATCCAATGCTCCTGCGGTATGCTTCCGCTAGAATCACCACGCAGCTCTTGCCTGATCTTATCCTGGGCTTCAAGTTGCTCCATTGCCGATTCACGCCAAGATTCTCCAGAGGTTTGAGTAGGTCTGCCACCTCCGAGATTACCAAACATCGCCTTTTCGAACATTATCTGGTGACTAAGTGCCTTCACTCGCTGAGAGTAAGCCTTTCCGCGCTGGGCCAAGTCTGCGACGTACATTTCCGCAGGGCCACTTCCACGCGGCGGTGCTTTATACCCTTTGTAACCTTCCATTGGTATCATGATGCAGTAGTCCGCACGGACGGATATTTCCAGCAACACATGCAGTCCGTCCATGAGCTTCCACTGCGTAGCATCTGGTACTCCTGTCCCTTCATTCGGGGACTGGTGGTCCAAGAGACCCTGCATCATGGGAGCTCGCAGAGCGTTGACATGCTTCGTGACCCAATGATGCGCATGCTGGGTCATCATCTTGTAATGAGAGGCCATGTATATTGGCCAAAGATCGGCCACACTGATGGGATCTTCACCAGCTTGGGCTCTCCTTTGAGCGAGTTGGGCATCCAGCGTCTGCCAATGCTCATGAATGAGGTTAAACGTCTCGCGGAGATTGTCTCGGACTTGTTGCTGATTCAGATACTCAAATACCGCGAGCACACCCGACAGTTGTTGACAAGCTAGAGCGAAATTCTCGTCAAGATGCAGTCCTTTCTCCTGCCATCGTTGATCGCTCATGGGCGTGATGCCTTCCCATAAACGGGATTTGAGGGACTGAATATTTTTGCCGACAATGCAGAGCCGGCCACCGTCTTCTGTTGAGCCAATCCGGCTCATGACATGATCTATGATAGTCTTGGTATCAGACCCTGGGGGGCTGGATTGTATAAAGCTAACCTCGCCTGGAGTTAGAGAGCCTATAGACGAGGGCCGGGTACCGTCGGGAAGTGGCTGGCCGAGCGCGAATGCCATGAAATGAACAATTGTTTGTGGCTCTATCAGTCGATCAACTGGGAGATAGAGAAATTCATTGGTTAGCTGACTTCCGAGGGTGGAATAGAAAAGGCGAACGCACCAATAGGCAGATCCTGCTGCGCCTGGCAGTGCACGGCAGTGACTGGATTACCTGGACACTCCAGATGGACATACATGGCTAGTCCGCTACTTCTTGTGCTGAACTTTCGAGAAAATCGAGTGTTCCTCAACACGAAGGCTGCGATGGGCCGCATGTCTTCTTAAAGCCTGTCCACGGTGTCGGTATTTTCATCTCCAGGGGCAAACAATTGAGCCGCACGAGACCTTGTGTCGGTTGGCTCTATTTTAGCGCGCCATCTAGATTGCCTTAAATAGGATTAGCGTGGATCGCTGCCTATCGCTGTCTATCGCTCTCGCGTGGATTGATCGCGTTTCCAATTTTGGGGGCGAAATCAAGCGATCCGCTCCGCATCCGAACCGGCAAGATCTAGCGGCCATGGAGATTTCGAAGCGATTGTCGTTTGAATCGAGATCAATCCCACTGCCAGTGTTAATAGAAGACAATATTGATCATTTGTGGGGATAAAGAATTCCAAAAGGTATTGAGTATTTTGTTGACAATTATGCTATCGTTATATTGCTCACTTCAGTTCAAAAAGGGCTATCTAAAGACGGAAAAGTCTAGCAGGGACATCTCTCGGCGCCATCAGGTTGTTCAACCTTTCATCGGTGATCTGATAAAGAGCCGGAAGCTGACCAGTGACATCTTCGCCAGCAATCATGGCACCGAGTAATTCCCCAACAAGCCAGCATTTATCCATACCATAGCCATTGAAACCAACTGCAGCCCATTCGCCATCACCCGGTCTTCCAGTCAACCTCTTACCCAGTTTACCAACCAAGGGCATTCCGTCCGGGGTAAAGCCCATAATACCAGACCAAATTCGTCGAGGAGTGGTTTTCAATGGCCCCCCTGTTGCCGATTTGAAAGTTCCCTCCATCAAAGAAGTCAAGTTCTGAGAGGGTAAAGTAGGCACGACCGTGTCATCGCTGACTAGAATTTCTTCTAGTCGTTGCTTCTCACCACCAAAGAAGAAATCCCCCGTCTTTGCATTCTGAGTCATATAATAAAGTCCGAAAGTGAAAGTGCCAGTGGCTGGATCAAATTTGGGCTCGTGATAAATGCTCCAAGAGTGGCGGGCTCCATGGTTTGGCAAATTCGGGGCGATGGATTGTGTTGACATAGTGCCTCGGAAAGGGAAGACCTTTCCTCGGAGTTGGGGAAGCAAGTGTGAAGTATATGCGTTTGTGCAGTAGACGACTTGGTCCGCATAGACCACTCCGCGAGGAGTCTGCAGTTTATGGCGGTAATGAGGCTTCTTTTCGTCGTATGTGACGGCAGTGACAGGTGTATTGGTATCGATGGAAAATCGGGATGAGTTCTCTTTGAGGAGCTTGGCGAAGAGTCCAGTAATGATGCGATAGGGCCATACTGCACCGGCAGGTTGCTCGCAAGCCCCAGCGGACTCGTTAAATTTGTATTTCTGCACTTGTCAGGATTTGAGGTTCAGACTGAGGGGGGATAGCTCACATCTTTGGCTTCCTCGGCGGAAAGAATCTTGAATTGATCCGCTAGTTCTGGGCAAGCCGCTGAGAATTGCCGCAGGGAATCTTTAAAGTGCTCAAAAGTCGCAGGTTCAAGAAAGTTCATCACCTTCTGGGTTTTGCGAACTTCTGATGCTTCTCGAAGGTCATCGTCCAGCGTAGATACAAATTCATGGAATCTCTCAAGATTGCGGAATGAAAATCTGGTTACCTCCGCAGCCTTCTCAGCTCCAAATAGGCTCGCAACTGCCGCAAAGTCGACAGCTGCAGGAGAGACCAAGTGACCACCGTTACGGCCAGTGGCGCCACTTGTCAAAGCACGGGCCTCGAAAAGAGCAATCCGCTTGTTGTTGAGCTTGGGGTTGCTCAGGAGAGTTCGCGCGACACTGCAACCAGTGATTCCGGAGCCAATGATGGCAATGTCAACTTCTGTTGGAAGTTGTGGTGACTGGATGGTGGAAATGGCATGTGTAGGTTCTTGCCAAAACGCGACGGACGGCCCCTTGCGTGGTAGGCCTGGGTCTTGGCTCACCAAAGACACAATTTGGTCATGGACAGCCTTGCGGTTGTTGTCTACACCCATAGTGGTATGAGGGATATTATGTACTGTAGTCAAGTGATATTGGGTAGTGAGTCTCGAAGATCTTCGTCGTCACAATGGGGCATTGGGAATCGAGCTGATACTTATAGGCTGGCGACAGACTACCACCACATGCGGTCGTTATATGCGTTGACCAATCGGCATGAACTTCTTGAAGATAAGTATGATTATCTTCCCCGGGTTCGCGTAAATAGGTCTGGATTAGGTATATCTATCGCTGCCCCGCACATTCCCCATGCTGTGCCGACCCAATAACCCTCGCACCAAGACTGCCTATCTGGGCATGTCCACCCGAGTTGGTGGAGGCATAGTGGCATACTATCTCAGATTAACTCTTATTCCACAGTATAATTGAATCATGTAAAGAGGAGAACTCATCAGATTGTAGATTCATGTCAAATACTACCTTAATCGTGCTGCCTGAAAATTAGTCGGTGATAACACGCTCGTTTCTTCTCACGCTCGCGTCTACCTTCTCTTTACGGAGTCCAATCATCCATATCCGAATAGTAGTAAAAGAGGCTAATCATTGAGTGGTGCCCTACCATCTTCTGATGGCTCTCTCTGCAGAAAGTACCCTATCTGGATTGACTATCATAATCAGCCCTGACGTCTAATTAGTATGGCTTCTTGCCACTTTGGATCGAGCGCGAGAGGATTGATCGATCGACATTAGCGACCCACTTTAATCGTGGGCTCGTCCAAGCGCTTCCCCGGCGAAGATCTTGGCACATTGGCACGAGGGGTTTCAATCATGACCTTATTCCCCGAACATAGACGACGGAAATTATTTCTTTTAATATGTAGTGCAAGATAACCTTAATGCCACCTACAGTAGGTTTGGAATGTAATTGAAGCCAGGGTCTTACTATCACCACCCACAAATGACATTTCAAAGCAATGCCATAGCTTCCTGCTTCCCAAAAAAAGGAGGTGGCTGGCACGTTATCAGAAAGTCTTATCAGAACCATATCACTCGATCGGTTCTTGTGTGATAAGTCGGGGATTCCATAACAAAAGCAGCATGCACAAGTATGTAGCTTGCTCGGGGTCAATCCATCATTGAATACATAAGACTGCCTTGGGCTTCAGTTCAATAGCGTGCTAGAGTCTAGACTTTTCCCAGCAAGACACATTCTAGACTTATGTTCAGTTATGGCTCAGGTATCAAGCTGATAAATCAAGAGACATACGAGGCATTATTATGAGACAAGTCAATTTGGGCGCTTAGGCAGGCCTCAAGATGTTCACAGTCCTCTTTAAATCACGACTGATTACGAGGAACAAGGCAAAGATCATTCAATTGCGTACCTTGAGCGCCATGACTACAATTTGTACTTATTTAAGTTTAAACCCCCCTATATGTGAAGCTGCACAGGCCATGGGATTATGGGGCTGAGTTTCCACGATCGACACTTTGTGTGTTAGGCGGCCCCGTTTCTGGTTGTTGATGCCGTCAGTTTGAGTTAGCGCCACAATGATGGCCACGCAATCTGATGACTGTGACAGCGGGAAGTCACAGACTCGGTGAGAAGCTTAGCAAATGTCTCAACTTAGTAACATGTTGGTCAATTGAGATCGAATAGATCATTCTAAAAAAGTCAGCATCAGCATGATCAGTTGACAATAACTGTAACATGTGCAATGTACGATAAAACAGAATTCTATCCAATCTCGCGTGATTCCTTGCCAGTTACTGTACTTAGGTCGTAGTCCTCGGCCCAGGCAACACCGTCCAGGTTCAAACAAGTTTGATATCCACCCGCCATCCCCCAATGACGCGGTGTTGTCCAGACTCGTGCATCGCAAATGCTCCACCGAACATGGGGTCGAAAGGCCCCCAAAGCGCCCAGCCTCATTTTTCACAATCGAAGGTGTACATTTGACTGTAACCCCGTCAATTGAAATGATTGGATCTTCCTGATTATTCTTCGGCCAGAATGGCCTACACTTGGCCCCATGAAGTCTAGCTAGAGCCTAGCTGTCTTCGATTCCTAGTCTTTCTGGTGGCCCCGGCCCCAAATCTTGTCGGTGGTTCCATGGAAATCCCGCCCGGGTTGATGGAGACTCGTTTACGTCAATTCAGACCACCTGCGCTTTCCTCGATACTCTAACACATCTTTTGTTTCCAGTGAAAGTCTTTCGTTCGATAGACACACTTTCAAAACGTCCATCTTCATTTTATCGATTTATTTTCCATCATGAGTGCGCCACGATGAACTGGTTTCCTCGATTTACATTTCCAAGTCGCAACGCCCGGGATACAGGTCCCAAAACCGGTCGCGGGCGGCTCTTCGTGTATCTGGCTTTGACGGTGATCGCGTTGCTGCTTTCATACCAGCTGGTTCTGAATCGCGAGTCTTTGAGCTCTGTCTCGACATGGGCTACGGGGAAAGGGTTGAGGCCTGGTGTCAATCATACAGAGCCTGTCGCGGGGGCTCATGATGAAGTTCACAACCCCGGGGGCAAATTCGAAGAACAGCCACGTGAAAAGGAGCTCGTACTGGCTGCTATGAGCTACAGTGATATGTCCTGGGTACAGGAGAATCTGCCAAATTGGCATACTAATATCTATCGCGCTGATGTGCCTCCTGGCGAGGCTGATTTAACGGTGCCTGTGAATAAAGGCAATGAGGCAATGGTTTTCTTGACGTATGTCCATCTCTTCTCTTGATATTATCTGAAATTTGAAGACTGAGCTGGACATCAGTTATATTATTGATCGCTATGATACCCTCCCCGATGTAATTGTCTTCATGCATGGAGGTCGATACCAGTGGCACAACGATAATCCATTATATGGTATGCACCAATATCATTCCCACCAAAGCCTCCCAGATCAACTCATCTAACACTTTGCAGACTCCGTAATCTCCATCAACGACCTCCAACTCCCCTACGTCCGCTCAACGGGCTACGTCAACCTCCGCTGCTCCTGGGTCGTCGGCTGCCCGGCCGAACTCGAACCAGCCCGCTATTTCCGCGAAAGACCCGAAGACAACGGCCATCCCACCGCGGTCGAATTCCCAGATCGATTCATCGAGTTATTCCCCAATGAGACACTACCCGAGGTCATTGGTACGGCGTGTTGTAGTCAATTCGCCGTGTCGAGGGAGAAGGTCCGTGAGCGTGGGATTGAGCATTATGAGAGGGCGAGGAGGTTTCTCATTGAGACTAGTTTGGGGTCGGAGATTAGTGGGAGGATTTTTGAGTATGCGTGGCATAGTAAGATTGTCCCCAGAAGCTTTGAAATGGGTGTTGGGTGACTGGAGCAGAGCTGACTTGACCTTTGCAGTTATGTTTGGACAACCCCCGCAGAATTGCCCCGATGTTCGATGGTGTTATTGCCTCACATATGGATATTGCAACATGACCGACGAAGACCTACAGAAGCAATGGGTGTGGCGTGGCTTGATTCTACCAGAAGGATGGCCCAACGTGGATCCGAATGCAGGATTACAAAAAAGAGACGAGATTCCATCCGAGGCATATTGGAAGAAATAACACCGTTTCAATACAAATACACAGGCAACGCTGGCTCGGGCCTGGAAAGCTGAAGATAATTGCAAAAGTTCCGGATTGGATATGCATGATTACACATTGTTTCGTTATATCATATAGCACATCGCTCATACAGCGCAGACAAAAATGCTGACCATGGCTAATTTGGTGACCCTGACTTGACTACCCAACGCTCCCAATCCCAGACTTATGTTATTGTAGGAAGTACCGCTTATCGCCACAGATCTTGTCGACTCGACCGTTTGTAGCCACTGCTGCTCTGTGGACGTTCCCCATCCTCTGCAGGAACAGCCAGGAACCCGCCAAAACCGTTGCCTACAAGCACACTCTTCCGAGCATCGCCACCCCAAGATCGACTTAGCTGTGCTTCTTGGAAGCTCACCGGTCGTGTCCTTACACCACTGCGTCCCAGTGCGGGATCGGGGTCGTACGGTGTAAAGTTCCACTCAAGCTCGTCCAGGCCTTTGCTGTAGACATTGAGTGGCTGTGTTAGACCACCGCCCGCAAATTGTGGGCCATTCTCACCACCTCCGAATAGTCTTGGTGGTGGCGCGAGGAGAAGGGTATCGGGGAACTGTGCATCTCGGACGTATAGATCCCGTAATGCAGGTAGGGCGCGGGACATTAGGGATGAAATGAGATAGGTGTAGTATGATCCCGCGACAGGAAGAAGCCCGTTTGTCGCCTCCTCTGATGTAATCTCGTAGTGGAGAAGTCGGAGGGACTTTGACATCAAGGGGGGGAACCTGCTCCGCGGGGAATGACCGAGTCACCTCCTGCACAATGGAGAGATTTGTGAGCCGCGGGGCCACTGGTAAGATTCGGTGTAGTGTAGATGGGAGCACGCCAGTCGAGGCCAGAGTCAACGATTGTAGTGCTTTTCGGTTATTTTGGACAGAGAGGAATGCGGCAAGCCCGCTTGCCGTGACGTTTGGAGTATCCCGAAGGGTGAGCTGCTGCAGCGCAGGGAAAGGGGGAAAGGGCCATTGACTGCGAATGCGGAGTCGTCAAGCCAAGGAAGGTCATCCAAGGTAAGATCACGCAAGTGAGGGAACGAAGCGAGACCACTACGCAGAGTCCCAGCCTCGACTTGCAATCCTGATAGCTCCAGTTTTTCCAAATTGACCCAAAGCTGTGATCCTGGCAGACGGGCAAAGCTCCCCTCGGCTCCATGTCCGTAACTCATACGGCGGAGATCAGGACAGCGCGCCATGAGCTCCTGCTTCAGTGCCGCACACGAAGGTTCATCACTGAATAGACCAGATGGAAGGTCAACGAAGCGCAGGTGAGGCAGGACGGAGATGGTGCGGGCGATGTTGGCCTTATTGGCTTCGCGGGTCATGTAGGGCATGCGAAGGGAGAGAACCATATTGCCCAGCCCTTGTGATTCCCGGACCGACCGCATGAAGAATTCTAGGCGGACCTGGGGCGCGTCGATGGGGTCGCCATTGCGATCGAAGAAGGACCGGCGTTTACGTTTCGCGGCGAGCTCAACCTCGAGTTCGCAGTAGTGGACGGGATCGATGCGGACATTTGTGTAGCTAATGAAAGAAAGGTAAAGCCAATGGGTCAGTAGGAAGCCAAGGATTGACATGGACATTGGAGCAATAGGGTCTTGGGGTCGCATACAGGAGAGCGCGTGCCTCCAGATACCAGCGCTTGCAGACCAGCGCGCTGTGCGCCAGATCGCGCATGTCGCATAGCATGCAGCCATCGGTCATGGACTCCTCGGAGGTCTCATAGGAGGTATCAACAGCGTGTGGACAGACATAGGCAAAGATGTAGGCGAGCACCGGACGGGGCAGCTTCCTGGTATAATCGCGGCCTGGTGTTTTGGCCGAGCGGGGCGGCGTCAGATGCTCGGTCGCACTCCCCGCACTGCGCCGAGGCCGAGCCCGAAGCCGGTCCAAAAGGCCCATCCTGGGAGATCAGAGAGGGATCGAGATGGACGAGCAGGAGAGGATAGGGGGCATATGAAAGGGAGAGTGAGAAGAGGAAGAGAAAGAATGAGGATGACCCGAGACGGAGGAAGAACAAAGCGAGGGCCCGTGGGATGTAATTTGATCGCTTTGATGCAGGGAGCAGGTCCCGCCCCCAAACACCCGCCCAACCAACGGGGTACAGAGATGAACAGAAGCTGAAACACCCAAGGAAATAAACAGCCGCTGAGATCGCTTGTTTCATGATTGAATGAACGAGGCCCTATAATTAAAGCTCTGTCAATGAAATGGTTCATCATACTGTTGATTGGGGAGTTTTTGCCGCTTGCAATAACGAATGAGAGAAGGATTATGAAGGATCAGTAAGTAGCTAAGTACTCCGTACTACTGGACTGTTTTTAGTTATAAGCTGATAGGAATAAGCTTCCTCAAGGCTCAGGGGACCACTGGTCTGGACCCCTTAGGACCAGGAATCCTGTCAATTGGCGGTAGACTAGCCGATAGCCTTAGCTTGCAGTATATTGGCCATAGAAGATTGAAAATAGAGATTCCATCATAAAACTATCGAGTTGGCATAAACCGGCCTGGGCCATCCGTATCATGACATCACTCCAGAGGATGTGACTGTTGAATATTGGCGAAACATCCAACTATGGACGAGATTGACGGATAGCAGCAGTAGTAAGCACGACCCAGAATTTTCTCCAAAGTATTGGATTGAAAGATAGTCTGTCCTGCCCAGAAATTGTTCTTCGAAGCATCGAGGCTCGTCATGGTGGCGACAGTCAATCTCCAAGTCAAAAACCAAGTACATGAACACCCAGACCCAATTGATGTGGGTCCATGAACTGACATCATTTCCCCTTGTTCAACCATAAAACTATCAAGACCTCCTCGCTGGTGCAGAACAATTAGGAAAGCTCACGGAACCACGAGATCTTACCTCGCAGCTCATCACAATGGCCGAAATGGGCGCCCTCAAGATGGACAATCCTCTACCTTCCCCAGCCTTCACCAACAATCACCACGAACACACCCTGAAAGAAGAATCCTGGAAACACCGCGCTCCATATCAAATCCAAAGCCCCCAGGAATTCGGACCCGTCAAGTGGCGCGCGAAGTGCAAATGCGGCAAGATCTCATATACCCTTCGACAAGACAAGCCACTGAATGCCAAGTTCTGTCACTGTCGCGGATGTCAGGTCATGCATGGCGCTCCCTTTCAATGGGCAGCGATCTTTCACAAGGAGGATGTCAACTTTGCCAAAGGGTGCAGTGGCTTGTCTTTTTATTCTTCTTCCCAGAATTCTCAGAAGTATCAGATGCCTACTAAGGTGTCGTGTTCGTACTGTCATACGCTTATCATGGACGAGGGACGCAACGTTTGTTTGTTGTTTCCGCAGTTGATCGAGTTTGAGGGCTCGCTGGATGAGCAGAGGAAGCAGAGGGATGCATTCAGACCGACGTATGTATCAGGCCCACCTCGTCAAGGATACTCCCACTGACATATGCCTAGATGCCATATTTTCTACGAACAGCGGATGATGGATATCCCTGATAGAACGCCAAAATGGTCAGGCATGGATGGGACCAGCCACTTATTGGATGATGAGGGCATTCCCATTGACCAGCAATGTGACGAGATGAGAGGAGACAATATGTGATGACCATACGAAGTGCATATCTTGGGTTCAAATAGTCGATGTCGTGCGGGGACGATGCAACTACGAGTCTAGGGTTGATCGATTTGGTTTCACAGAAAGATTGCGGCTGTGATATCTTCTTTTCATGCAAGTCAATCTCTGCTACTACTTTATCCTACGTTTGAGAAGCTATTAGCACCTTTGGCCATGTATCCATTGTCGATCGAAGTATAGGAAGAGACTTGCAGAAAGAACGGCATGACAAGATCACAGAGAATACTTTGCATTCTAAATAGAGGAACGATGAAACTTGAATGTAGATTCACAATTCTGAGAGACCAAAATGACCACTACTCCATTTTGAACCACCAGGCTATCCTCAATTTGTTGGGGGATTATGGAGTGGAGATAGCATCTCCCCGCAATTGAAGTGCCGATCAGTACCCCATAAATCCAAATTCGGCATTTCAAAACACTAGCTATCCGGTCTCTCTGTATGCTTGCACATATTGAGAACGTATCAGGTTATAGCAATACTTGGGACATGAGCGTCCTTATTGCTTGTTTCAAGAATGCCCGAATGGATGATGCCTATACAAAATCGAAGTGAGTCCGGTACTTGATCAACATCACTAGTCCTTTCTGCTTATTGTGGACATTACAATTCGCAAAACACTCACCGTAATGATCTCACGATCAATATGAATACCTCTTTCACTAGCTAGGCAGCGCTTGACGCGCTGGCTTTAGCCAAGGTCCTGCATTTGCAGCTTGGGCCGACCGGAATGTAATGCCGAGGGAAGGGAAACACACCCCCGAGACCCCTCCGCGGGGTCAAGGTGATCAACTCCAACAATTGACTTTGTGAGGATGATATCGATGAGTTCTGCAACACCCGATGAAATATATCTTTGAGAATAGGGAAATAATCTCACAGTTGCGCAGCATGACGACGCAGCCGCCAGCATCCCCAGCAGTGCCTACGGCCGACATTTGGGATTTCCTCTTCGAGCGGCCATCTCTCCCTTTTCCAGAAGATCATGGTTGGTTGACCCCCTGTTCTTCTTTTGCTTTCATTCGCTAACAGAGTCCTCAGTAATCTTTCGCTCGGCCACCACGGACGATAAATGGACCTACAATGGCCTCCGAAAATGTGCAGAGCAATTCGGGCGCACATTACAATCCAGTTGGCGATGGGCCAAAGATGATGTCCTCATGGTGATGGCTCCAAATGATATCGATACCCCGCCTGTAATTTGGGGATGCCTTTATGCTGGTGGTATCGTGGCCCCCGTCAATCCAGGTTTGTCCATTCAGGACCTTCATCAGCAAATCGAACGTAGCGAGGCGCGTGGTCTCGTGGTTCATCCAGATTGTCTCCCCGTCGCCCTCGAGGCTGCTCAAATTGCGAATCTTCCACCAGAACGCATCCTGGCCCTGCGCTTTGATCGTGATCTTCCGGTAAATTATGGTATATCTACCGTGGAACAATTCATCACGAACGGCCAGGTGCCTTCGGTTATGGTACGTTATCGTCCGAGAATTGATTCACAACGAGATACAGCTTTCTTAGTCTACTCGTCTGGGACCACGGGTCTTCCAAAGGGGGTGATGATTTCGCATCAAAACGTGGTCGCGGATGTCTTTCTGCAATCGCTTGTCGAAAGTGCCCATATAGACTGGCGTCAAGATCGGACATTAGCCGTGTTGCCCATCTACCATATATACGGTGAGTTTACGCCGGACCAGATTAGATTGTCATTTCTGCAGAAAAGCTAATCTAAGAGACAGGCCTGGTCTGTCTCGTCCACGCCCCTCTCTATGTCGGAACAACCACAATCTACATGGACAAATTCGAACTTGCCAGATTTTGCCGCTCGATTCAAGATTATCGAATAACACACGTCTATGTTGCACCGCCAATTGTTCTCCATTTAACAAAAAGCGATCAAGTTAGTGATTACGATTTAAGCTCGCTTCGCATGATCACATCTGGTGGTGCGCCTCTCCCTGCGAATCTCATCACCGAGCTGTACGAGCGGCGGAAGCTTGCGGTTCGGCAAGCCTATGGACTGTCAGAGACAACATCAGTTACACATATTCAGGTATGGTCTTGAGATATGGCATCGACTGCGGTGGGAAGGCGAATGCTGAACCATTGTACTAGCGTTGGGATGACTGGAAGAACGGCATTGGCTCAAACGGGCCGCCCCTTCCAGGAGTTGAAGCGAAATTTGTTGCCAAAGATACACGGGACGCTGCAAGTGGAGAGGAAGGTGAACTTTGGATACGAGGCCATATTGTTTTCAACGGCTATCGTGGAGAACCCGAGTTGACTGCAGGATGTATGACCCCGGATGGGTGGTTCAAAACAGGTGATCCCTTTCTCCCATGCTCTTCTTTCTTGCACGGTCTCGGCTTTTTGGCCCTTTATTGCAATCTTTGGGTTCTCTGACTGATGGTCCTAGGTGATATTGGCCACGAAGACAAACAAGGAAACATGTTCATCACCGATCGCTCCAAAGATCTGATCAAGTTCAAGGGATATCAAGTACCGCCTGCCGAGCTTGAAGATCTAATCATTAAACACGAGGTAGTAGAAGACGTTGCTGTCATTGGGATTATGAACGAAAGTCTCGCTAGTGAGATACCAATGGCCTATATCGTGGTCAAACCTGGGATCCCGGAGGACGAAACGACAGCAAAGCTAGTGCTGGATCATGTCAAAAATCAGACGGTGAACTACAAACATCTCCGGGGAGGAATTATCTTTACCAGAGAGATTCCAAAAGGTCCGTCTGGCAAGATTTTGAAGCGGGTTCTTCGTCAGCAAGCGACAGCAGACGCTGTACGCCGAATCGGGGCAATGGAGTATGGGAAATACGGGCGGGAAGCCAAGCTATAACTCTGAACTGTACGCGATGAAAGTCAAGTTCAATTTTAGTGCAAGTGTAAAGGTGCATGACCAATAGACCAAGAGTATCGGTGGTCATTAGCATCGTCCTAGTTTGCGAGCTAATCTCGGCACTGTATGTGCGAAAGGCATTTTCCATATTCTCACCAAGGCTGTCAGCCCTATTCTCAATATGGACTTTCCTCCGTAGCGACATCTGATGCTTGGTTCCAGTGGAACCCAATCAAGATCTGATAGTCCCTGCGTGCCGAATCCACGGCGTCTCGTCGGTAGTGGCTAGGGCGGAAATGCAACGATGCGGGGCTGCATAGGAAGCACTCCCGCCCCGATGTGACCCTTTGCACTTCATTTCCCATTCAGGAAATACGTCGACCACCAATGTCCCATCTAGCAGCTGACGAAGGATGTATTCTTAAAGGTGCGTGATCCCACCAAAAATCCATGTGCTCAATCAAATATCCTGCAAGCTAACTCTAGACAACATGTGGCTCAAGTCGTGGGCGGGTCTCACAATACTGGCCGGCCTCGCCGGCTCAGTCGCCGCTGTCACCCAAATTACCGACGATGAAATGACATCTCTCCTCAATGCTGGTGGAGTCGATCTGGCAGACAGATATGCACCTCTGTGGTTCTTCGGCCAGGCCATGAGTAAACCCCCATGCTATCCGACCTGGGCATTTGGCGGGTCGCCCACCACGGCCGATATCTATAATGATGCCCACAAGACCCCTGCAGCCCCGCAGTGCGAGTATCCCAATGTTGGCTGCAACTGCAGAAATCCTGGTGTTGCTATCGGTAATCGTGGTCCTGCATTCCCGGTCTACTATACCTATCAGCGTTGCAGCGACACGGAGGTTCGCGTTGTGTATAATCTCTTCTATGAGAAAGATGGTGCAACCTTTGCTGGTATTCAAACTGGTCATGACTAGTAAGTCGATCTTGGGACTGGAAGGAATAGGTCTTTTGTTGACATTCTGCAAAGTGACTGGGAACGAGTGATCATCATCCATTCGCGTGATAGTAGCAACATGTGGGCCCCATCGCGTGCGCTCCTGTCAGCTCACAGCGGCTACCATAACTTGGCATGGGGCGATATCCAGAACACTCTCACGACGGATGAGATTAATGCCGGTGATGCAAAGACCCCCAACGGCGTGCAGAACAACGACCATCCCAAGGTGTATGTTTCATGGTCGAAGCACGCGAACTTTGATACTCGCAACACCGCCTGGAATGACCCGGCTAGTCAGTCGCTGGAAGATGCATTCCGTAGTCAGGATTGGTGGTACTTTGTTGACCCGCAATACTATGTATGTTGGGTCTTCATTTGGTTCTTGCAGTGTTTCAGAACTGACCAATTTCTTAGATCCGTGCTGACGATAGCACCGATGCTGGCAAGGCTATCGGCGCTGCGAACTGGGGAGACGCCTCGAGTAATCCACCATCAGTGCAAGCGGGCGTCTGTAGTGCGTCATAAATGATGAACTGAAATGGAGGGAGAAGTCTCGGGAGTCTTTGTCAATTTCTTCCATTAGTATATCACAAACGAAGATTTGTTGAAATTTTATGTTGAAACCTGTGCTGGTACTTCGTAAATACTACCTACGCTGACTAGCTCGCGTGCTGATCCACCGAGAAGCCCCGCTTTGCTCTGTTTTCTCGACTTCATCAACACTGCACTCAGGAACTAGGTGAACTTTAATCCAAACCACCTCTTTTTCTAACCTAGACACTATCAGGTGGCATCTAAACTCAGCGTTCACCTTTTCACAATATCAATAAGCATCATGGCTTCGACCGAGTCCCGAAAACCCTTTCCCCAACCAGCTGCGGGGTACACGCAATCCTTTTGGCGAACTGATTTGGATCCCCTGGATAGTCACCGGAGTACCCCAGATCTACCAAAAGAGACAGATATCTTGATTATCGGTGGTGGGTATGCAGGAGCATCGGCTGCTTATCACCTCTTCCCCGAGGACCAGCAAGGAACTCCCCCGAAGGTTGCCCTTCTCGAAGCCCGTGAATTATGTTCGGGTGCCACTGGAAGAAACGGTTCGTGTCCCAATATCACTGAGGGAAGGGCCTCCACGGGACCTAATAATATCTAAACTCTCTGCGCAGGTGGCCATCTGCGACCAGATCTGTACTCAATGACTGCGACGTACACACAGCGATATGGAATTGAAGCTGCTGTAGAGGTTGTTCGGTTTGAGATCTCTCATATGAAAGAACTCGAAAACCTTGTTCGAAAGGAGAACATAGAATGCGATCTCACCTTCACTCGGTCATACGATATCTACCTTGATGCGGATCAACTCGCGACCGCGAAAAGCTTTTATAATTTTCTGGTTGACCAAGGTCTGGATTTCATAGATGATGTCAAGTATCTGTCGAAAGAAGATGCTCAAGGAGTAAGTACAGTTTCACAACATTGAATGGAGTTAATTTCTTGACTGATATCCTGCTTCAAAAGACAACCAAGGTGCGAGATGCACAAGGCGGCTTCAGTTTTTCGGCCGGTCATCTTTGGCCTTACAAGTTGATAGCCGGTCTCCTCCGCATCGCGGTCTCTCGAGGTCTCAATCTCCAAACAAATACCATGGTCACCGAGATTGGCCAAACCCGAACGCCAGAAGGTCTTTGGCCCGTCACGACAGACCGTGGCATTATCTACGCGCGGAAGATCATCCTCGCTACGAACGCATTCACAAGTGCTCTCGCATCGGAGTATTCGAAGGCTATTGTACCCTGCAAAGGACTTTGTACACATATCGAAGCGGCACCTGGCGCCCCCTATCAACAACTACCGGAGACTTACGCTATTCGACTCGGGTCAGGAGCTTTTATCTACCAGATCTCGCGCAAAGATGGATCGATCATTGTCGGCGGTGCACAGTATACCTACAAAGATGCACAGGAGCAGTGGCACAATAATCCCGATGATGGAACGCTGATCAAGAATGTTGAGAACTACTTTGATGGGTATATGCAGCGGACCTTCTTCGGCTGGGAAGATAGCCAGGCGACGGTGACACATAAATGGACTGGAGGTATGCAGAACATTCTTGATCTCTCTGTCCTGTATATTCCATGATGATTCGCTTTGCTAATCCATTATGCTATCTAGTAATGGGCTACAGTGCAGACTCTTTGCCACATATCGGAGGTATCCCGGGGAAGCCAGGGCAATTTATTGCGGCAGGATTCAACGGACATGGTATGCCAGTGGTTTTCCTGTGCGGAAAGGCGATTGCGCAAATGGCCCAGCAATCAGTATCCTTCCAAGAGACTGGTCTCCCCAAGCTATTCGAGACATCTGCTGCTCGACTGGACCCAGTATACGATGACACCCTTGGCTGAGCGCAAACAGCAATATCAAGTTGCCTTGTCACTCTTTAATAGCTAGACCGGACCTTTTCCTTCATTGCGCAACTCTCGGGTTAAACCAGTGACTGCAAACACTCTTAGCTATTGTCACCTTCAGTTCCATGCAAGGTAGTTGGACTTGACCCTAGATCTGGAATAGTATCCAATGCAGTGTCATTGACTGTAGAAACTTGTTCAATGAGCTCAACACCTTATCACTGGATCTCCAATGACAGGCACGTGGATCTTTACTACGTACAATATCCCATGGTTAACAGGCATTGAATCTGATTCCCCTAAATGCTTATTGCTTGAAAGGTTCACGAAGCTAAGAATTAAACTTCCCATGGAACCTTGTGGCCAATCACCAGCCACGGATGACGCACATGCATGTAACCAAACGAAAATGTGCCGCGACCCTTAAGGCATCATTTGACACCTTAGACCCTGTCGCGTCAGAGGTTCTTTTATCTCTTGAGACTGCGAGCTTGTGCAGCTGACACCTTTCTTTCCTGATAGAAAGCTTCTCAATATGTTGCTCCCGGCTCCGCTCTCGCGGTATGTCGGATCGCTTCGCTCTCTGGGGCAAAAGTGGCGCAGCCATACCGAATCCCGGTATGAGGGCGACGAGGATTCGCTTGGTCATCGACTGACCGATGTTTTTCTTCGCACCTGGGACTTGGGTTTCATCGCGTTCGGTGGCCCGCCTGTTCATTTCCAGATTTTGCATCGTAGGTTCGTGGAAGGCAAGGGCGGAAAAGAGAAATGGGTAGACGAACAGACTGTAAGCCTCGCCTCATTAACGGTTATCTGAGCTGTGCCTAACCAGTTCAGCTAGTATCAAGAGCTGTTCGCCATCTGCCAGGGTCTTCCTGGTCCGGGTAGTACGAAAATGCTGTTTTGTCTTGTCCTGCTGCACGCAGGATTTATTCCAGCTATTATGGCGTTCCTAATTTGGAGGTAAGCATCTACGTCTCCGTTTATTGAACAGTCATGTTGATTACTTGTCAGTCTCCCTGGAGCGGCGGGAATGTATGGCCTCTCAGTTGGCATTCAGAATCTCAGCAATACTCTGCCTGGCCCAGTATATGCTCTTCTTTCGGGACTGAACGCTGCGACCGTCGGGATTGTCGCCGTTTCTGCAGTACAGCTCGCAGAAAAAGCAATCCACGATAAGATCTCCCGTATTCTCATCATTTTTGGAGCGTGCGCAGGTCTTTGCTATAATGCTTTGTGGTACTTCCCCGTTTTGATGGTCATTGGTGGCCTTGTCATTGCTACTTGGGATGGGTGGCTGTACTCACAGGTACAGAAGACCAAGAAGGCCTGGCAAAACAAGCATAAGCGTCGCGTTGATTCGGAGGAGGCGAACTCGACCAACATGGAAATGGAGTCGACGACACTGGCCCCGACGGAGCAAAACAATGGAGTGCGATCAAGAAAGCCTCACCAGGCTGAAGATTTACCGCAGGCCTCTGGGGCTCTTCCAGCCGGGTCGACAAGATCCACCGAGACTGAGGCCAGTCAATCACCGAAGTATCATATTCGCATCCGCACCGGAATTATTATTTTTGTTGCCTTCTTCGGTATGTTCCTTACAGATACACTATACTTTGAATAAAACTAACACTGGATAGCTTCGTTTATCGCCATTCTTGTCGCGAGAGGCAAATTGTCACCCCCTCCACTTGCCCTCGATCTCTTCGCTAGCATGTACCTAGCCGGAACGGTGATCTTCGGTGGAGGTCCAGTTGTCATCCCGCTCCTTCGCTCCTATGTCGTCAGTCCAGGCTGGGTTTCCAGCCGTGACTTCCTGATTGGCCTGGCCCTTATTCAAGCTTTCCCGGGACCGAACTTCAACTTTGCCGTGTTTTTGGGCTCGCTAGCACTGCAGCACTCCCAGTTCCCTACCATCTTTGGCGCATTCCTCGGCTGGCTGGGCATCTTCGTCCCTGGAATCACTCTGGCCGTTGCGATCCAGAGCTTTTGGAGTGTGTTACGGACGAGAAGATCCGTTATTCGCTTCCTACGCGGTGTCAATGCTACTGCTATTGGCTTGGTCTTCACGGCCGTGTACCGGCTGTGGGAGATTGGCTACTTGACGGCTGCGAATAGCGCTGGGCAAAGTCTGGCCAATGAGCCGTGGTGGTTGGTGGTTTCCACCATCTCGTATGCAGGCAACGCCTGGTTCGGCCTTCCTCCCGCGGTTACTATCGTCATTGGTGCTATCCTTGGGTTGTGCTGGTATGGAGCTGTTGGGCGGTAGCGGTGGCTTATCTACAGCATTTACAGCCGAGGGATCGTCGTCTCAACGGGTATCCCTGCACAAAATATGTAGAGCACCACTCGCATCCCCACATCGGCGGGTTAAAAGTGTATCTAAATTGTACAGTACTAGTAATCTAGGTAACGTTCAAACCATCACTCGGAGCCTTCGGGCGTTGTTAGCGAAGACTCGAAGTTTGGTAGGCTACCCTTCAAATGTATAGAGCGTCTAGTTGGAACTTTTCTCGAAGTAGGGCCGAGATTATCGTTTTTAAAGGGAAGCCTTACCTGAGAGCTGAAGGATATACATACCACGTCCTCAGCTCGAGGTTTACCACGGCGTTTGAAGATAGAAGGAACGCGTGGAGTACGCGGTTTTGACGGGATGGCCAGCTCACTAGTGTGTTAGTACGTAGTCTCCACTGTCCCATCCGGGAATTGGTTTCTGGTCCTTCCGCCACTATCAGCGTATCAAATATTACAATATTTGATTGACCCTCCCCAGATCTGGCACCTTAGTTTCCCGGCATCACCCATGCGTGTCATTAATGCTCAATCCCCTGCTGCCAGTTCTCTAATTCTTTGCATTGGAACTTTCGCATTGTTCTCCTCGGCACGCTCCAAGATCCAGTCTTCGCAACAACACAAACAAAAAGTGGTACGTTCCATCCTATCTAGGAATCTTTCTTGATCAGATGAAGTTCTACGCTGAAGCCCTCTTACAGTATAATGAAGGTTCAACTCAATTGCATGCCGTGGTCTGCCTGTTTGTACTTGAAGCTTTCGAATGCCAAAATATCTGTTCTCGGGCTGCACCTATCTACAAAGGCCTGCTATTGGTTGGCTGCGGCCACGGGAAGAGCCGCATCTGCGTGCCTCTAGCGTCAGCCTTATTTTGCCGATCGCGATCGTTGGCATGCACATACCTACTGTACATACTATAGTACATACATCTATGACTCGGATTATTACGTCGACTTAATTTAACAGCTTCTGCAAAGCTCAAAACTATCTAATCTTTCCTCCCTCACATAAAACCATACACTTAACACGACGTTCGTATCTACCATCGCTCATCTTCACATTCTCCCTCATCCTCATCATCCTCACCCATCCCTTCTTCCACATGAGATTTTTTTCACAATTTACAATTTCCCAGACCACATTTCTGGGATATTGCCTAGAAATAATCCCGACTTTTCAGTGCTTTGATCTTGCCTGATCAAAGAAAATGGCCGACATTAGCAGGATTCTCGAGCCCATTACCTCGATGGAAGCAACTATCGCCTTCATCAAGTATTACGGCTGGAAAATATGGGCTTTCAGCAATATATCACGTTGAACCCTTGGTCCGTCGACCCCAACGCCGCGTACAAGCGCTACAAAGCCGCGGAAGTCGAAATGCTTCCCGATCAGCGCAAGTTCAAGAGTGAATGTAAACAATACAACAGAGACTTACAAGACTCAACGATCTGACAAAGGGTTTGGTGGAAAGGTCTCATAATGATCTTCCTCTAGATCCAGGTGTTCCGTCTTTGCTTGGCAAAATCTTACTATTCGTCTTCCTCTAGGTCCAGGGGTTCCGCTTTTCGTCATTTTTGGGTGTTCATTAAGGGTCCGGATATTTCTTTGTGGGCGCGGTTTTGGGTGTTCATAACGGTCAGAATGTTTCTTTGGAAGTGAAAGCGGCCAGTTTGAGGAAGGATCTTGATGATAGCTCATATCAATCATCAAATCCTTCGTTCAAGTCATATTCCAAGTAGGCCAGTTGTACTTGTATGTAGATGGTTTATGTACACTCTGTCTAGCGACCAGGGAAACGGACCAAACCGAGGTGCGTCAATCACTCTTATTTAAATGATCTTTCCAAACGTCTTTTAAACCGTGTCTTTCGATAACACAGATCATATTTTAGATCAAATGGAGCAATCTCATCCCGCATATTTTAGTGTCAGACTTGATTCAATTTAGCTATGGATAACAGGCAGTATTTATAACTTCATGAAATCGAGGCAATACGTCAGAATAGAATCTCATAGAAATTAAAAGGAATATAGAGTGTTGAAGCTCTTTCGTTATGTGTGCAATCTGTTGATGTCAATCGTTGAAGATCGTCGTCACGTGTACATTCCGTCGCATTCTGTCAAGTTCGATAGCTCTCGTGGGCTTATGCACCCACTCATATTGACAATTATCCTCTTAGCAATAGGGCTCCCTAGACCTCTTCTTATCCGACCTATATCGCTAACTATAAGGTTTATGCCGCGTTGATTACACTACGGATATTAAGGATACTCCCTTAATCGCTCGGGAGGTATTTCCGACTAATAAGACTAGGCTATTAATAGTGCGCTAGCTCATACCTACTAGTTTTACTAGTAATAGTAAAAGTATAGTTTTAACTATCTAGTAAACCGGGGGGGTATTGCGCTAATAGCAGTCTGGTCGGAACAGACAGGTCGAGGCACGAATGGAATAGACTCTCAGCAGAAGATGAGATAGGGGGACATAGCCACAGACGAGGTTAATACCACGTCAACGGACCATCGAGGGCAAGCATTTCGGGTTCCCCAGAAATGCTGCAGCAATGCTTCAACAGGATAGGTAGTGAGATGAGTAGTCGTGGACGATTAAATCAGAAAAATCTAAGAGAAGAATGAATCCCCAATGATGTATGTAATGACTGTTTAGTTGTCTCTCTTTTCCCGTCTATATGAGGCTTTTTATCCTTTTCCGAAATCCCGAAAACAAACAGGCGAAACAAAACAAACAGACTCCACGGCATAGAATCAGAACAGCTGCCACCAGTCTATCTCCGCCGAAACTTCTCTCACACATCTGTTAGTAATTCCCCCACTATACTAGCAACTTTATCGAATAGCGAGAAAGGAAAAGGGCGTACCTATCTTCTATATTATTTTATAACGGTCACAGCAGGGGGAAGAAAGGCTAGCCTACAGATCGCCATCGGTTAAATCTGAAGACCCAGCTGATTTCTTCGACCGCGTGACTTCGGAGTATCTAGCTAGGGAACGCCTAGCTACCACCGTAGATAGCCCTGCTACCACTGCGGATGGCCCTGCTTCTACTGTACATAGCCTTGCTTCTATCGTGGCAGAGCTACACAGCGCAGGGCTAGCCAGAACACCTCTAGGAAGGGAAAACGTCGCAAGTCACCTCTACCAGCTGCATCGCAAAGGAACCTGCGAACCTGCGTCAGCGACGTCGAAAATGATGAATACTATGCATTCTTGCTAGTACCATATCCTAAATACATATACTTGGAGAGCAGTAGTAGATAGTTCGAATTGATTTCATCTTTTTGGGTGTATAAGATCTAATTTTCAAGACCTTTATGATAATGTATGAAAATTAAGCAATAGTGTTGAAGAATTCAACAGCGATAGGACTTAGTCAATTTCAAATGGAACTAAGCTAAATCAGAATTCTGCCGGTAAATCTGTATAATATTTATGCACTAGAGAATGGCCCCTACTTGCTGCCGTAGAGCGGGGCAATCGGCAACCTCAAAAGAGACTGTTGACCACCCACCCATCCAAGGTCGATCCTCTTCCAACATGGCATCTATCTCGTCATTCGGTGATTTAAATTCGGGGTTCCAGGCTCGTCGGGATTTTTCCAACCTGCAAGCCAAAATGGCGACCCACAAAGCCGCCAAATTCAGACGACCCATGCAAGAGGGCTGTCTATTCCAAGCAGAATATGATCATCTCGCATCTGATACGTGTGTGGGTTGTGATCGAAGTAATCTCGCTCCAAACCTCCACCAGAGCACGAACTTGACCAGAAATGATATAATGCATAGCAGCGTTGGACCTAAAAAGCGTATCGGAAATTTTTGTTTTCGATATCTGTTAAGTCTGCCAAGCGTAGTTCTTCTTCCCTTTGTTCCACCGGAACGGCCGTGCGATCTCGCTTGTTGTTCTCAAAAATTAGCAAACAGCGAAGAACGAGGATAGTCACAGTGGATATCGCAAAGCATATTATTATGGCGAGGAAGCCAGACTGTTCAGTTTTAGCCTGGGTCAATGACGAGCTTTAGAGAGATCGGGGTAATTACCTTGTAGCGAGGGGCCTCCCTGGCGAAGAACAGCTGAGGACCGATAATATTTCCAGCGCAATAGCACGTGAATAAACCTGTGATCACGGTGGCTCGTTTTGTGAAGCCTCCTATGTTAGAGCTGACCAGAGCCATTGAGAGAGGCATGCCACTGGAGAAGACTTGCATAAGGCAAAGTCCAGCGTATTTCGCTCCAATAGTGTCGCAAGTATAGATAACAACGGCGCCAATAATGCTAGAGCGCCGCGATAACTCAAAATTAGTCATCTCTGCGGTATGTGTAGTAAACTCAGGGGGACGGTCACAAACCTGATAACATTGACCGCTGCAATTATCAGACACCTGGCATTCGGCAGCTTTGAAGATAGGTATGTTCTGAATAAACGCAGTGAATCAGATTTACAAATCACAATATGTATGGAAGGGTACTCACGTCGAAAGAACAAACAAAAAAATGACTATTCCCATTGGGATTCCCATCAAGAAAGTGTTTAGAACCGAAAAGCCAAATCCTTCAAGAATCAATGAAGAGAACTGAAAGTAGTATCAGCAGAGGATTTATACCGTACATTTATCCACGGAGTTCACTCACAGCTAAACTTCCCCCATTGGGGATATTTGTGGTGAGAGAATAGACAGCAACAAGCCAAGTCTTATAATCGAGAAGAGCCTCTTTTATCTGAGAAAGCTCTATTTTATTGCTCTTGAAACCTGCTTGATTGGCCTTCAATCGGTCCATGGCGATCTTCCTCTCTTTTCCACTGATAAATTTGGCATTTCGCGGACTATCAGGCAAGCGCCATAATAGGACGAGCCCCCACACAAATGTTAAAATACCAAAAATAATGAAGAGCCACTAAATCAATCAGCAATGAACTAGGTCGCGTGATCTTTATAGAAGGTGAAAAGGCGGGAACAAC